CGTTCAGTTACGTATTGCTCCAAACCCAAACCCAAACCCAAACCCAAACCCAAACCCAAACCCAAACCCAAACCCAAACCCAAACCCAAACCCAAACCCAAACCCAAACCCAAACCCAAACCCAAACCCAAACCCAAACCCAAACCCAAACCCAAACCCAAACCCAAAACCCAAACCCAAACCCAAACCCAAACCCAAACCCAAACCCAAACCCAAACCCAAACCCAAACCCAAACCCAAACCCAAACCCAAACCCAAACCCAAACCCAAACCCAAACCCAAACCCAAACCCAAACCCAAACCCAAACCCAAACCCAAACCCAAACCCAAACCCAAACCCAAACCCAAACCCAAACCCAAACCCAAACCCAAACCCAAACCCAAACCCAAACCCAAACCCAAACCCAAACCCAAACCCAAACCCAAACCCAAACCCAAACCCAAACCCAAACCCAAACCCAAACCCAAACCCAAACCCAAACCCAAACCCAAACCCAAACCCAAACCCAAACCCAAACCCAAACCCAAACCCAAACCCAAACCCAAACCCAAACCCAAACCCAAACCCAAACCCAAACCCAAACCCAAACCCAAACCCAAACCCAAACCCAAACCCAAACCCAAACCCAAACCCAAACCCAAACCCAAACCCAAACCCAAACCCAAACCCAAACCCAAACCCAAACCCAAACCCAAACCCAAACCCAAACCCAAACCCAAACCCAAACCCAAACCCAAACCCAAACCCAAACCCAAACCCAAACCCAAACCCAAACCCAAACCCAAACCCAAACCCAAACCCAAACCCAAACCCAAACCCAAACCCAAACCCAAACCCAAACCCAAACCCAAACCCAAACCCAAACCCAAACCCAAACCCAAACCCAAACCCAAACCCAAACCCAAACCCAAACCCAAACCCAAACCCAAACCCAAACCCAAACCCAAACCCAAACCCAAACCCAAACCCAAACCCAAACCCAAACCCAAACCCAAACCCAAACCCAAACCCAAACCCAAACCCAAACCCAAACCCAAACCCAAACCCAAACCCAAACCCAAACCCAAACCCAAACCCAAACCCAAACCCAAACCCAAACCCAAACCCAAACCCAAACCCAAACCCAAACCCAAACCCAAACCCAAACCCAAACCCAAACCCAAACCCAAACCCAAACCCAAACCCAAACCCAAACCCAAACCCAAACCCAAACCCAAACCCAAACCCAAACCCAAACCCAAACCCAAACCCAAACCCAAACCCAAACCCAAACCCAAACCCAAACCCAAACCCAAACCCAAACCCAAACCCAAACCCAAACCCAAACCCAAACCCAAACCCAAACCCAAACCCAAACCCAAACCCAAACCCAAACCCAAACCCAAACCCAAACCCAAACCCAAACCCAAACCCAAACCCAAACCCAAACCCAAACCCAAACCCAAACCCAAACCCAAACCCAAACCCAAACCCAAACCCAAACCCAAACCCAAACCCAAAACTCATTTGAAATTTCAGATTCCTCTATCGATTTTTTTCCATTTTGTGGACAAGTGGCCAATTCAACCACAAATTTACACAGAGAGATATTGATATTAATCTTAATAAATAATTATTTAATTTCAATTAAATGTTTTGTTATTAGGTTTATTATAAACCCCCAAACCCTAGATTTCTGGGGGACCAAAAACCAACAAATTGATCGACGTTTCTAAGGATTTTACTCAATACTATGAAGAGTTGGAGGAGTTTCCGTTGAAAGTAATTGAGGAGCTTTTTGAAAAATGCGAACGCTCAGACAATACAAAGACATCCACTTGATTCTGGGAGAATAGATTTTTGCGAACAACTCGCTCGCAACGAACAAGACTTGTAACACAAAAATAGATGTCCAAATGAAAACGGTCCAACCATCAGGAAATGCTGCCGGGCCCTCATTATTTCTTTTTCATGTTATTCTTATTCTTCTTATTATTCTTCTTATTCTTCTTCTTATTATTCATCTTCACTCGTTCTGCCACTGTGTTTAAAAAGTTCTTTAAATATGTCTCCTGTTCTTTATCAAAGAGTAAGTTATAATTGCTCATGTCAACAAAGGAGCATAAATAGTTTTTCTGGTATTTCTTTACAACCTCTTTCGAAAATGTTTCAGTTACATGAAGTCCAACACACACCTGCATCATCTTTGACGATTCAAACACTTCTAAAACAGCATCTCTGATATCATTATACCATTTTGCACTTGAATTAATTTTCATGCCTTTGCCATTCACATCATCTATAATGCTTTTTGAATTATCTTTCACAACGAAACGGTTTTTCTTGTTAATCTTGGTTTCTGCAATATGATAACTATTTAAATTGTAAAGGGTCTCAGGTTTCAGTTGTGCATAATTATCGAGATAAAATAGTTCAGGGATAGTGGAACTGAAATATGAATGTGGGCTAAATTTAGTTCCAGCTTGCACTTTACACTGGAAACCCATTGGTATGATCAAATTTGTAGAGCCATCAATTCTATTAATACCAAACAGGTCGTTATGGTGTGAATTAGATAGAGTAATAAAAACCCCATCAAGTAAAGCCCACTTCTTCTCGGCAAAGTGTTTCCAGAACAACTTTTCTCCATTTAAATCTTTCTTCTTCTCTGGTTTTATAGCACCTTTCGAAATACAGTATTCAATATATCCATTGGGATCTAAACAATGTTTGCACTTGAATATATGATCTTTTAGGTTTAGATTGTTGGTGATTAGTGGTTTGAAACAACCAATGTCAGATAAACATATACCGTCCAACTCCGCGAGTCTTAACATAACAATCGATTCCAAATCAATGTTGTGGTCTGAAGATTCCAGGAGCAATTTGATCATCTCTTGAATAATCCTTTTCATCAATTCTGAATCATTTAATTCTTTCAATTCTGAATCATTTAATTCCTTCAATTCTGAATCATCTTTGTTGCGTAATATCTTTTTTAGAAATTTTAGTCCAAGTGTGTATCCAATAAAGTCCTTTGCAGAATATATAAAATAACGTCTGGTCTGATCATTTTCAAGGTTGGAGCTTTCTGGTCCAGCAAATCCAGAAGAGAGCAAAGCGTCAGCAACACCATCTATGTGTACTTTAAATTCAGAACCTAAAAATGGAAAATGATAATGAGCAACATATTTAACAACGGCGTCTTGAATTGCTTGTTGAATTGCCTGTTGTGTTTCTGATCGACGAGCCAATTTCGAATTATAGGTTTCATAATAGCGATCTATTATCTTCTTTTCTGCTTCGGATAAAAAACCATCTACGGACTTCATAATCGCCTCTTTCAAGTTTTTAGAAAGTTTTTCTAATGCCAATGTGATTAATCTTCTTCTAAAGTACTTGTAACCTTTTTCATGTAAATAGGATAAAATCTCTTCCTTCTCGTCGTCAGGTATTGCGATATGTTTTTCTAAAAATGAAATAATATCATCTCGTGCAACCAAACCAAAGTCAAATATTTTAACTATATCAATCTTTGCTTCAGTTTTACCAAGAGCTGATTGTATAATATCTCCTACATCGACAGAAAAATTAGTTCCAGAAAATATAGATACATGAAATTTTTCTATGGTACCAATTAATTGTGCAAACTTGGTTAAAAGTCCTCTCTTCTCACCACTCGAACTTATTAACTCGGAAAGCTTTTCACAACCACCTGTTTTAGAGATACCAGTATCAGAGTCAGTATTTTTTCTAATGAAATAATATTATGAATCATGTTTGTAAAATTAATCAATACAAACCTTGCATAAACATTTGCTTCATCAATAACCACAACAAAATGTTCAATTTTCTTAACTATTCCAAATAGAGCAGAATTGTCATTAAGTGACTTAATTATCTTGGTCACTAGTTTTGCAATAAATGCCTTCAAGACATCCGGAGAAGAATAAACATATTCCAATGCGTACTCTAGAGCTTCTTGACTGGCGCCGGTTTTGCCATTTGATTGCATATACGCAAGGTATGGAAGTATTCCACCATTAATAATATTTCCATCCTTATCTCTCTGAACAAAGTCTTCAAATACAGTTGGCATTTGTTTGGCTTCATCAATTAGCTTTGAAATATAAATCAATCTACAGATGAATACAAATAGTACTACTTGTTCAACCGAGCCAAAAAGTTCATAAGCCTCCATCCCATTTAAGTAGCCAAATGCTTGTTTCATCAACGAATCGGTTGTCAATCCACTGGATGCCTCTGATGTTGAGGTACATGTTAAAATCATTCCAGGATTGTGGCATAACAAACGCACGCAAGTTGATGTCTTACCAGCACCAGATGGACCCAAAAACATTAAGGCACTTCGTTTACTGTCGTCTACCCTTTTCAATAACTCATCATCTTGTGCCATGGTGTACTGGAATTGTGCAAAATATGGTAGTTCATGTTTGGCAACTAAACCACCTATTAAAGGCAATTCAGTAGACTTATATTGTTCATCAAATCTTGGAAAGCCAAATTTAGTTTTCACCTCAGGAATGATAGTCTTTGAGCGCAATGTTTGCTCAAAATCATTTACATTATCAGCTTTCAACACCTTATGAGGGTGCATGGTTGCCAACTCGTTCCGTGTGTCAGAATAAAAACTTTGGAAATCTTTTACGTTATTACGGCGTGCTTGTTCTATTTCCTTCAGAAGGTCCTTCTTAAAATCAAATAGTGCTACTTGTATCTTATCTAAAGCAGCATCCTCTTTTGATTTTAGTAGTCTACGTAATTTAGACTTCACTTGATCCTTGTCCAACAATTTAATAGATTTGGGCACCAAATTATTGTCCACCCAATTTACCACTGTCTTGCAAGTACTTTCAGAAACCTGAGAAAAGTCTTTGCTTTGAGTCATGGCTTTAATTGCAAAATCTACATCGTGCCTCTTGATATCCTGAACAATGTTGTCAAGAGAAGACCCATCAAAATCAGCACTATATAGAGGCTTAACTTTCACCACGGACAATGAGGCTCCACCTTCACGTTTCTTCATATGGAGAAGAGAAGCAACCTCTTTCTTTGTCCATTCTTCGTAATTGTTGAATGAAAGAACAACTGTGGACGCTTGTTGTTGAGTAGGAGCGGTTGGTTGTGTTGATTGTGGTGGTGATATAACACCTGACGATGAAGCAACACCTGACGAAGTAGGATTTGATGATTTCCCCTCCTCCTCCTCATCTTCCATAATTGAAGATGAGGTTTTGCTGCATTCATACGAGGCTGAGTTGCTTTGTTTTGTTTTCTTTGCTTTCTTCTCAGTCTGAAGAGTCTCCGAACTATATTTTCTTTTAGATTTTGAATCCCCGAAAACTCTTCTGGATTTTCTTTCTTTCATTCTTTTTTCATCATTCTCACCAGGATGAGGAAGATCTTCCACTCTCTCTTCATCCATCACACTTCCTATTTTCTTTCTCTGTTTGTGTGGCAGCATCGTCGAGTTCGTAAGAATATTTTTTAAAGTTTAAAAATAGATAGGAGTACGAGGTATCTTCGGACTTGTGTTATTTTTATTTTTAGCAATCATAGAGGTGAAAAAAAGGTTTGTTGAAGTAAATGCTGAGTCCATTAAAAAAATTGGAATTCTGTCTTATTATGAACAAAATGAATTATACTTCAAAGTTTTTTTCTGACATTGATACCCCAGGTTGTGTTGTAGTGGAATTCTGATCGACAATTAAGCATCTTTTCTCTTACCATTTCATCTTTCGGCACAGTTGGTCCTGTGGTGGCATGTTGAACTTCTTTAGATAAATTTTTCAAAACTGATAAACGGGTTCAAATTCCCAAAGAACATGAATATGGAGGCATTATTATGGATATTCATGTCAATCAAGGTCATGCAGGTCGAGACATTTGTGAATCAGTTGCTTCATCAACGTATTACATTCCAAAGTTCCAAGAAAAATTCCAGAAGGTAAAAAGTTCTTTCGAGAGTTGCAGAACTACAGAGGCATCCAAAGATATCGTATTGGATAATCATTATGATCCTACTTGTGTTGGGGTATTAGTTTTTGTTGACTGTGCATTCTTTCCCAAATGTGGAACAACTGATGGTTGGGTAGTGTTTGTTGATGGTTTATCCAAATATGTGTTTGGATTTATATTATAGTCTAGCAAAAAGTCAAGTGTTATTGCCTCTCATGCCCAGCAAGTAATTGATTTCTTCAAGGCAAGAGGTGTGAATAAGGTTACTTTTGTGTGCGACAACGGGGGTGAATTCAAATCTCAAGAAATTGAAGAGTTTTGTTCCAGCCTCATGACGAGGATGATGATCAAGAGAATGTATTTCAAGAAGTCATTTCTCAACCACAACAACAACAACAATCACTACACCCTTCTCTTGCTACTCACCAACAGCCTCAACCAAACAATCATGCTTGGTTTATGCCACCTCTGACTCATGTATTTCATCACAATCATCACCAGGAAAGAACAACAAAACAACGACCGGCGAGTGTGAAACAATTTTTCGAAAAGAAATGTTTTATTGAGTGGAAAGATATAACTTTTCCGATGAATTCTCCTCATCCCATTTTGAAAAAAGTTTGTGGATTTGCAGTTCCTGGTAAAATCACTGCTATTTGTGGACCGACAGGTAATTATTAGTTTAGGGTTTCTTTTCGTCTCAAAACTCATTGACTCTGCATTTATCATCAATTCACTCAAAACAATGAATCAATTTTATTGTTACAATATGAATAATTATTATTGATTTCTTGGTTCATGGGATGTAATTTTTATTCCATCATCATGAATTTCGGATGAATAATTCATTTAAAACTTTTGATATATTTCTTGAACGCTGAGTTGAACCTTCTTTTGAAACAAAATCATTCGATCAGCGAGTGGAAAGTCGACACTTCTTCGAATTTTATCCAACCGAGGTTTACACAAACATTACAGTGGAGACATTTTAATCAATGGACAAATTTGCTGAATACACAATTGCAAATGGATCGAGATGTGTCTACCAAGTACAAATCGTTGGTGTCTTTTGTCTCGAAAGATTTTTCACCGTCCAACATGCCACTCATAGTGAAAGAAATTTTATATTTTGCCGTTCGTTTCAAGGTACCATTATATTCGAACAATCCACTCTGGACTACACGAGACGAGAGATTGAGTTTGCTATTGAATGCCTATGGATTGAAGAATAAGGAAAATGCACCGTTTCAAACACTTTCTTCTGGTGACAAGCGAAGACTTTCTATTGCTGTTCAAAATGTACTCTTTAATAGAGTGATTCTTTTAGAATATCCCACCGATGGCATTGAATTTGGTGAGTCCTTTCATCTCTTAAAAAAGATGCAAGTTCTCGCCAATTTGGGAATTACCATTGTCATGTGTCTACATAGGCCATCCATTCTCGAATTAGAACTATTTGACTATGTCTCTATTTTATATAAGGGAAGCACCATTTATTTTGGAAAACCGAACATGATACAGGAGTACTTTAACTTAATTGGTGTACAGCTTCCACTCTATAGACAGAACGTTTTGATCTCTGTATTGGAATTATTGAAACTTCATGAGTTATCCAAATCCAGCGATGAAAACGATCAACAATTGGTTCGTGAATGTTTGGGCGGTAGCGATGAAAAATCTTATGAAAAACGTGATCATTTGAATGTAGAATTTGAACAGAGAATGGACTTATTTTACATTCCACAAAAACAACGGGAACAAGCTCCTTATCTTCAATACAAGATTGAAGATATGGAAACAGAAAAGTATTATTCTGACTACTTTTTTTCAATTTTGTTTTTGTTAGAGAGAAGCTATTTGGTCAAATTTAGAAGATGGAAGACCGATATCTTGTCACCAATTCTTGAAAAATTAATTGTCTCTGTATTCATTGGACTGCTATATTTGCAAATTGAACCTACCAATATGACACTCAAAGGAAAAATTTTTTCTTTTCTCAATTTAAACATTTCCATTACATTTGGTTTGGCACTTCGAACCCTAACATCACAACTACCCTTATTAGCTCAAGAACGAAATTCAAGAAGTTACAGAATTGGAGCTTTTTACATTGCAAAATCCATTGAAGATATGGCTGACTTTATTTTTCAAAATCTCGTCTTTGGGTTGACCATTTACTTGATGGCAGGACTGAGCTATCGCCCTGAACATATTTTTGCCTTCATTCTCATATTTAGTGTATATAATTTGGCTTGTATCAGTTGTGCTCAAGCTCTTGCATCCATCATACCCATTCCAAGTGTATTGAATTTAATTGCTCCAGTGGTGAGTTTGATTTTCACAGTGGTGAGCGGAGCTTATTCTGTAACTTCCACTCAATTTTTAAATTGGGTTGGATATTTGTCTTTTCTTTATTATGGCTTTAGAGCGCTTACCATCAATGAATTTAGAGATGTGATGATTTCCCCACCAACAGCTCCAAACGGAACGGTCATACTTCCACCTGGTCACTTCACAAACGGCACTTTGTATTTACAAAAAACTTTTGGAATTACCGATCCACGTTATATGATGTGGGTGTATTTTGGAGTCTTGTGTGCATATTTTGCAATATGTAAGGCCGCGGGATACTTTGGCCTTCGTTACATCTATAGGGGAACAAACTTGAAGGGACTTGTGAGAATGGTAATCTTTGATTGGTGTACTTGTTGCTGTTGTTTCAGGAAACGGGCAAAAAAGAAACGTCTGGAAATTCAGCAAGATCAAACAATCATTTTGCAACAGCAACGGCCAACCATGCGTCAAACGCATGAACAAGTGTAAGGTTATCGTTCACCATTAAATAGTGATATCGCGAGTGTCATTTTAATCACAAAATCCTTTGAATGTTTGACATTTTGATCTTAATACGTTCAATGTATCTATTTATTCTAGCAATGCGAGCTTCCAAGATTCCTTTTTCCAATCTCCAATAATTTCATGAACCTTTCGTGGATATTTCATTGGAGGAGCTGGCTCATTTTCAATTTGAGGTGGTTGGAAAGGTTCCTCAATAATTTCTCGATTTTCTTCACATAGATTGATAAGTACTTCCAGATGGTTTTGCAAAATCTTGGCCTCTTCAAATTTTTCAAAATAAATTAAAATTTCTAATAATGATGAAATGGAAGCAATAAAATTCTTGGAAGGAATGAGAGATTCAATTCTCGAAACTAAGCTTCCTTCTTCGAATGGAGATCCCTTCTTAAGTTTTTCTCTGTTCTTCTTCTTTCTTGAAACTCCTCTCTTTGAGATGACTGATGAAGCAGTTGATCTTGAAGACAACACAGAAACTCCTGAATAACCACTCACACCGCTTTGCATACTACTGGCCTCAGAGAGAGCATCAATATTGTGTGGCATATCTTCACCAAATTCTCCTTCATTGTGTTGTTGCATGAGTAATTGTTCTCGAAGGATGGCTTCCTTCTCCTCTCTCAATTCTTTGAGACGAGCAATGTATTTCGTCAACTTGGTTTCATTCTCAATAAGGTCTTCGGTAATTTCGCGTGCAGACTCAAACACTCCAGGTTTAACGTGACTGTCAATGAGATCATTTCTACCGGCGCAAGTGGCAACACGTACAGCTTCTTTCCATTCGTGTCCAGAAACGAGTTTCAGAACGGCCTCTTCATGATCATTCAAGTAGTCTCTACAAACGAGTGACGCAGCAATCGAATTCTTGCCTCGTTCCAGTACTGAAATGGTGCTCTTGGCAATTTTCTTAATATCTTGAGCACTTTGTCCAAGTGGTTTTGTGAGTGAGAAGACATACTGATATTCACCGGCCTCAATAAATGCTTCTTGAGCTTTTTTCAAACTTTTTACACTTCACATAGGCAAAACCAGCTTGCTTATGATTGCCGGTGCTCACCAAATAGTCACCATAGGCTTCGAAAATAACCTCGAGCTTTTCCTTGTCATTTTCATAGAGTTTCATACCCAACTTGAAAAGACCCTTCTCTCTAATGAGAGACACAGCCTCATGAAAATGTTCAGGTCCAGCCTTGGAAATATTCTCGAGGGCCTTTTCGAAGCGATTCAAATACATGTCAATACTATATTGCCTGTAGTATTGCTCAAGCTTTTTAAGGTTCGCAAGGAATGGAAGATATTCTTTTGGATCTTTTTGTGACTTTTGGGCAACCATGAGGACCAAATCGAAATCATACATTCCCAATGCAATGTCATACAATGTATTAACATCGATCAAAAACACGAGATAGCTCAGTGCAGCATCAGAGTCAGAGTTTTTGATAGGTTTGTCGCTTGTTCGCAAACTTCTGATCAATTGCAAGGCATCTTCAAGCATTGGTGGTTCATTCTTAGCATAGGTTGTGAGAATGGATGAAATGTACTTCTTCTTATCGACTTCATTGAGAGCTGCTCTGAGACAAGTACAAATTTTGTTAATCTTGCTTTCACCAACAGAGGAAGAGGATGAGGAGGCTTGTGGTGTTGAAGTTTCATGATGATTCTTTAAGATTTTTCCATCCGAGTGATATCCTGCAAATTTAGTCTTGGTAATATCTTCATTGGTGAGAGTGGAAACGAACAAGTTGATATGATCAGGATTATTCACATCTTCGACAAACCTCTTTGCATTTTTGAGGAACGCCTCAGGGTTGTGATCAAAAATAATGTTCATGTCAATTCTGTATTTACGTGTGGCAACCACTGCTTTACCATATTCTAAACTATTCAATAAGGATCTGACATGAGATAACACTAGAGCCTTAGGAGTAATTCCTTCCAAGTTACCTCTTGGCATTTGAAGGATGACATTCAAATCTGCAGGCACAGCACAAACCAATCTAGCACCTCTTTCAATTTCTCTAAATGTTTCATCGTATTTAGAGGTGGGTCCACTAGCTGCAATATCAACAGCATCATACAAGGAGAGATTCAGATTGATAATTCTTAATTTGTGAGACATTGTCGTAAAGAGTAAGAATTGGTCGGTAAGAGTAAAAGAGGAGCAATTAGAAACAACGTTGTGTGAACCAATAAAAAGAATTCCTCTACTATTGAGACCCACAACTACTTCCTCTTCTCCCATCATGGTAGGTGCCATAATTTGGCATGGATGTTCAAATTTTTCATTCAATTCTTCAGGTATGTCATCTGAAAGTTTTTGTTTAAACAATGCACCAGTTTCACCTTCAACAAATAAATTTCCACTATAGTCATGATAGGAGACTCGAATAATTGATTCTGGGTAGGATACCTCTCTTACATCAACACTTAAATCTTCCTTGATAGAGCAAATGATTAGAGAATCTGTCTTTCCTGGAATGGATTGTAGCACATAGCAAAATGTTTCTCGATTAATCATGGTTAAAAGTCTAATGGAGGTGTTAGGTGTGTGTTGTAAAATGCCTACTTTCTTTGGAGGAAGTCCAAACTTTGGTGGCTTGTTATTGTGACTAAATTCAAACATATGCAACGAATTATCTGATAGTAAAACGAGACATCGTTGAGAACCACCAAACGTCACACTATTCACTGGTAGATCAAAACTAATACTATCGGAGCACATTGGTGGAGGAACTACAGCATAACGTAATGGAGTTAAATTCACCTTATTACCATCAATGACAGCCATGACACAAGGATTTTCGTTGGTCATGCCACTTGTCATGTCATGATCCCAACACAAATCATAACAAATATAGGATCCATCTTTGCAAAATATATGCAATCGGTAGGATGATTCAATATCCCATGCAACATAAGTTGGAGCTTGCTTCTCTTCATTGAATGTGTACTCTTGTTTCAAGTACCAATGGTAATTCTCTCGGTACCACAACTGCACAACCACAACATTTTCTCGCAACGCTGGCTTGAAAGAAACACACAAAACATCTGAACTGGTGTTCCACTCAAGAGAATAAACGTCGCTCATTCCCTTCTCGAGAAGAAAATCATAATGTTGCAAACCATTTCTTTCAAAGAATGAAATTGAAGTCTCCTTTTTTCCTGCATGATATTGATGAGTACCAATAATACTTCCGTCGGGTCTGTAATGCACTACTTGGCCCAACAAACCATCAACTGGTTCTGACTTGGATACCAAGTTACCATTTCGTTCCCAAACTCGAAGCCATCTCTTTCCATCTGAGGAATCCATGGTGTTCACAACAAAGTATTGGCCATCATTTCTCCAACTGATATTGACTGGTGATTGACGATTCAAAAATCGAGCTGACACCTCCTCTGTAAGCTTGGCTGGTTGCTTGGGTGTTGTACCTGCAGTATTTGTACTAGTGTTGGTTTTTGTTGGTATTAAATCTGATGGAGCCTCTGTTAAGGTCTCAAAATGTTTGGACATGGTCAAAATATTGCCATTACCTGTTGCAAAAATTACAATTTCCTGATCTGGAGACCAAGACATTGCAAGAATACCTTCTTCGATGGAAGCAGTAACTTCACACATATCTGTTGAAATATTAAATGTAATGATATCAAATTGAGAAATAATGATGAGACTCTCCAACTCGGCAACGTATTGAATATCCATCATTTTTGCATCGGGTGTAACTCCTTCAACATTTTCATTAATATTGAAAGTTCTCTTGATGGTACCCGATTGAACGTCCAATTCAAATAAAATACCCTCTCGTGTGATTCCGAAAATTGTATCTGTGTCCGTTGAAGTACAAGACACCACTTCGTCCCGAAATGATGAAGTGCAAAATGGAAGCAACTGATGATGAACAGGTTTGAGATTTCTCATTTTTTTTGAATGATGTTATTTCAACATTGCACAACAGATGCTTTTCAAAGTCATTCGATCGATGGTGACTCTTCGAGTCCTCGAGTATGGTTTCCTCGACAACCTTCGAGTATCGCTCAGATGATGCATATGCATAGTACTGCCTAGTCTAAGAAGGTATAAAATTAAATTAAAATGTTTTATTACATTACTATTGTGAAAAATGTGTGGTAGTTCTGTGATGTTGAGAATGTCTGAGTCATGGGTGAAAATAAACATTTTCAAAAGAGAGTGAGAATGAGCTACCGCCACTCTCTTGAAATGTATAAATATGTATACTCATTCCGAATGATTATTGTTGATTGGACTTAATCTTGAGATGTTGCAAGTGTTCCTTTGGAATGAAATCCAAATTCACATTGGTACCCTTGATGTTGACAAGCTTCTCAGTAGAGACTGCAGATGATGTAGAGGTGGTTCCGAAGAACTTCTTGTATTGAGCAGATCCCTTGAACAAATACCAAGCCCCGAAAGCCATCAAGCCTAACATGGCAAAGAGGGAAACATAGGAGAAGACTGTCTCAAAATCAGCTGATTCTTGAGCTTCGACGAATTGAACAGTTTGATTGAAGAAAGTAGTGGAGAAAGTATCATTATCAACATTCAAGTAAAAGACATCCACCATGACTGTATATTCACGGGCATCCAATGTCTTATCGGCAACAAATTTGTACGAGAAGGTAGCAGTCTCCTCAGGACCTACGGTAACATTTTGAATTGAGCCGGTGAAGTTTTGAACAATGAAAGGTTGATCAAGATTGGCTACAAGATAACCACGAATGAATTGAACACTGAATGGAAGATCACCAGTATTCAAAAAGCCCAAAATTACTTCTGATTCTTTACCTAATTCGAGAGTCTTTTGATTGTCTTGATTTAATCTAGCGAAAGGAGTAACATCAGGTGATGAAATATAGGCTGATGTATCTTGTTCATCGAGGGTTGGTTCTTCAGGCGTAATTTCCTCCTCATTCTCTTGTTGGGCTTTAGTTAATCCTACAAAGAACAATGTCGAGATGAGTAAAGCTCCTATCAAGAACAACACGCTGCGTTTTGTGTTGAAATACTTCATTGTTGTGAGATGATGAAGGTGTTGCTGATTTTTTTTTAAATTCTTTTACAATAAATTTCATTCCAAACAACACACGTCACTCTTTGATGCAGCGATCACAGTCTGGGAACCAGAAATTAATTTCTACACCTTTATTTAAATCAACACTTCGAACAAAAGCAACAAATCGAACAAAGCACTGATCTTGCAAACTTCTTTAAACACTCGGTGGTGTGGAAGCAAGGGGAAAGGACACAACACGACTTATATTACGGACCTTAATAAAAATTCAAAGTAAACCGAATTTTAGAGAGTGATTGCAAACACGAGAGTATCTTCTCTTGTGCCTGAATGTTGAGTATGACTGATTGTGGCATAAAGTGCTTCTCTAATATGACAATGTTCTTGAAAATAAATTTCATGGCCTCGAAAAGAATTTGATAATTCAAACAATAGATAACAAATGAGAAGAATTTGTCGTCCATGAGTTGAATTTTGGTCTGGTTCTTTCTCTTTACGAGGGAATCAATGGTAAGAACAATATTCTGAAAAGAATAGCCTGTTTTCAAGTTGACTCCAACTTTGGATAAGGGTCCTTGAGCGCAAACAACAATCAATTGCCATGGATGGCTCACAAAATTTCCACTACTCAACCATTTAGTCTCTGATACAAGTTTGTCAGACAATATGGTTTTTAGAGTATGAATGATTAGAGTTCTCACTACTCTTCCCATGTTATGGTTTTTGGATTCATCGGTAACAATTTCCACAGATAAATTCTCAGACTTTCCAACTTCCACAATGTAATGCAATAGTGTTTTGGTATTCCGTTGGAGTGTTGTGACCAGTTCATAATCTTCAGCAGCGTTTTTTGCAGCCTCATCAAATTCAAATCTCAGTTCAAAGATGACATGCTTCTTTAGCAAATTCAATAAGGCAAAAAATGGTCTAGCATATTCGTTATCGTGAAGAAGAGAGGTGACCTCGTAAGATTCTGACAGGAGTGTGGATGTGCTCACCAATTCAAAGGTACAATATGCCAGCATTTTCTTCTGAAGTAAATATTCAATTAGAAGCAAGTCCCTTTCTTTGAGTTTTTTCTGGTCTTGTAATATTCTAACTTCCTTAAATGAGAGAAACTCTTGCATGACGTTGTCTTTTTTCAAACAAGGTAATTTCGAAAAAATTCCACACAAATCTCGCTCTCCTTTGAAAAGAGTGCTCTATGTGGATCAAAAGTATGAAAGGATGATTCACGTCATTGTGAATCTCGAGCATGTTCATCACCACACTTACCTTGGGTCTGTTTAACAAAATGGCATATATCGAATGTATTAATGGTTTCATAAAACTTGAAGTTCTATCTATGACGATCATAGCATTGGTTGTTATATTTTCTCGAGAGGGCGATGTGTTCGTTTGAGTAAGCGCCGTCGAAATCATGTCAATAACCGTTCTCCTTAATTTATCCAACAATGGGTGAGCCAGTAGAGGTTTTTCGGTGTGTAGAAATTTGAAAGGTTCTTCCCACCCGGATGGATATGCAAGAAGACGCTCATTTGAGGAAGGCTTTTCATTTCTTTGGACATATGGTACAGTAGGGGTGTCCTGAGATGTATTTTGTCTTGCAGGAGATGTCTCTAAATATGGTTGGTGAGTTTGAGAAAAAAGTGCCGTGTTAAAGTTTGAACTTTTCACGGCAGCTAGCTCAGTAATCATTGTTGCATCCTCTTGTAAAAATTCTTCTAAAGATGATAGCTGAACTGACACTTCTTCATTGTTTGTGAGATGAATCGATGAGGAAACGTCCAAAGTGTCAAGTGCAACTTCTTTTTCATCATTTCCTCCGAGATCATTCTCATTGTTGATTATGGTGCTGCTATCGGTGTGCTCACTTGTTTTAACCTCCTTATTATTCTCAATTATAGACATCTTCTTTTTACGGCTACTTCGCTTTTTATGTTTTCTAATAGCCAATCCCACAAGGCTGTTTGAACTGGAAAGTAAATTTTCTTCTTGATTTTCTGGATAACCTTCCTGAAAATCTGTCCATTCTTGGCTGTTCTCATTTAGCAAGCTTGTGTCAGTAATAAATGGAGTGTTTTCTATTGATGGCTGTTCTGTTGTTTCGTTCTTTGCCTCTATTTGTGTATCATCAAAAACAACTCCGTTAAAATTGTTGGCTACAGCAGTACCGTCAGTAATGAAAGCAATTTCGGAATGATCTTTTGGTGAATCCAATATTTCCATTGGATGTTCATTCTCGGGAGAAGAAGAATCAGTAGGCATCATGATGGATTGAGTGGAGCCAGATATTGCATTTGACTCGCTCGATTTATATTCCGATGGTAGCTCTGCCGTCACACGATTTTGGCTTTGCTCCGTGTGTTGCTCCACAAAATTATCATTTGCACTATCAGTGTTTTCTTGCATTCTCATTGCCACATTTCCGAAGTCCACATAGTCATCATCATCAAAATTGCCGTTAAAATCTTCTGGAGAAATTGTGAAAATTTGAAATTCACTTGATCCTTCTTCCTCTTCACTTGCTATTACATTTTTTTCGTCTTTTTTGGTTGTCAACCTTGTTGAAACACCGCTATTCGTACTCTCTGTTTCCAAAGAAGCAATGATTTCTTTTTCATCCAAGAACTCATCCTCATCGTTCTCATATTTATGATTATTGGATTCAATAGTGTTCTTTTCTTCTGCAATAGATGTTGGTACATTGAAATCTTCGTCTAAAAATTCGGAATACTCCTTTACAATTGGATCCTCCAACAGAGGAAGAGAATTAGTTTCAATAGACTTATTCATTTGTTGATTTTGTTCATGTTCATGAAAGGTTATTTCATCCGAAATCCATGTATCTTCATCCTCCAAATATTCCTCATAAATATCGACTACATCATTTCCTCGATCATCAATGGTTTTAGGGATGGTGGAAGATTCCACAACTTGATATGAAAATTGAGAGAAATTTTTCCTTAAATTAACCGTTGATGAGAACATGTCGGGATGGCGTGATGCATATTGTCTCAATCCTTGATATCTTTTATACAGTACATCGGGCAGAGTATGGTAAGGAAGAGGATGGTGCACCGTATTGTCATTCAAGCCGTTGAAAGCCTTACTTAGGACTTGTTCTTCCTCCTTTTCATCTCGAAACAATAAAGCATGATTCTCTCGATTCCGATATAAAAACACAACAACTTTTAAAGAAGATTGTGAATGTTTCTTTCCCTCCATCAAACGATCAAGTTTCACTCGTAAAGAGGAAACATCTTGTGCAGACATTTTTTAACAATATGAATCTCTAGATGACTGGACCATGTGTAGGCCCTTCTCATCTTTCATTCCCCTTCTTTATGGTTCTTTCTATTTCTTCTTTAGACACATTTGTATCCTAAAATCAACTTTCAATGATATGAAATTAATTTGTAAATTTGTAAAGAGGGAAAAAAATGCCGCCATTTGATCATTCCATTCCGAGTGTGTTACATCAATCCGCAGTTCAAATACAAGTAAGTGTGTGTCTCTCGGATTGTTCCATTGAGGATTTGAAAAATAGGATGTAATTATTTGATGATCAAACAAACCATTTGTTGTATGTGTTGGCTTGAAATAAAGTCCACATGGAGAGGTCATTACACCCGAAAGAAGATTGTAGATTGGGCCATGAAGGAATTTGAGAGTGTTGTGAGAGAAGTTGAAGGAAAACATTCGGATGTTGTATGGAAGTCTTCATCATGTCACGGAATGAAAATACCTCAAGTGATCAATACAAAATTAAGGTATGTGTTTCAAAAGAACAATTGATACGAACAATTCGATACAAAAAACAAACAGCGAAGATGAGAGTGATTTGGAAAAGATCATAACGAGTTTGATGAGTAATAAGCAAGAAAATGCAAATATTTCATCGAATAGCACTAGTGAAGGAAAAAACAAAATAATTCCTTCACCCACGAGAGACAACAAACACGAAAATGCTCACACCGATGAAAACGAGTATATACCAAGTCCTAATGTTGTTTCAAACTCGTCACAACAGCAAACGAGTGCTTTAACAAACACTTCGACGAGTCAAAAATCGTCACAATCGACTCAATCCTCCATCACACAAACTGAGAGTCCTCGCACAACATCTTCCTCTTCAAATACTTCACTACTATTGGAAGATTCATCAAAAACAACTCACTCAACCAAAGAACAAGAAATTCAAACAGATTTATTGTTGCGAGCCTCCTTGAATAATTTTTCTCTACCAAAAACAAAAGAATTGACAACCGTCTCAACCAACACAAGCATTGATGTCAAGACTTTGAATCCATCATTTACCATCATTCCTGAAAAATCCCTCAATAACCATAATGAATCACGAAACTTGATCACACAAGAGTTGTTGAATACAAATACATCACAATCGTCAACGATAAATGCCAGTTCGCTTAAAGAGATCAATGGTGAAGACCATGAGGATGACGAATTTAACAGCTCAATAATGTGTGGACTTGACATGCTTAAAAGTTTTGATTTATCGGAATTCAACAAGAATCAGTCTACTTTATCTCAGCACTCATCCCGAGTTGACTTTCCTTTTAGGAACAGACAGGAAAAATCCATGATCATGAGCAACAGTGGAAACAAAAATCATGGTGAATCCTCCTCATATTTTCACACTCCATCTTTCGAACCACAAGCAAACCAATCTAATCTTTCCATCCAATCACAAAAACCAGAGAATTTTGCATCAAATGCTTCTTCTTTCAATCATTTCCCTTCCCAGAGCTCATCTCGAGAAAACAATCTACCTCAAAATTCCAAGGATGATGCTCTGCAAGTAAGTAAAGAAAGACCAAACGCAGAGGTGGAACAAGAAATATCTCAGCTCAAGCTCGAATTAGCAAGAGCTGAGGAGGCTTACTTGAAACGAAAAAAGGTAGGTTTGAGGATATGCTCGCAATTTTTCAAATTCACATCTTCTTCAACATAACAAAGGAATTGATTGAAGCATACTCATTGAGTCGAGTTCGATAGGGAAGTCCTTTTTTCAATTTTATTATTGCTCATCAAGGAGTAGCAAGGGCAAATGTATAGTATTTCGGAACGAACGAACACCTAATCGTAGATAACGAATACGGAAAGAGAGAAATTATCCTCAAAATAATAATAATGATATACTAAAATCCAAACAATTATTGTGTTGATGATGATGATGCATTCTTCTTGGCAATATATTCCTCTGTTAATAATTTCAAACTCTTCTTTTCTCTCATTGCCTTTATCTTTAAAGCTCGCCTTTCCTTCATGGTCAAACGAGTATGTTGTGGTAAGTGTTGAGTTCCTTCTGGGAATAATTCTGCAGTGGAAACGCTCTTCACCGACAACAACAATCTACACTTATAAATTAAACCTCTGATTTGTGGGGTATCTTTGTGTACTTGTACTTGATGAAGCTTCTTTAATTTGAGAGCTCTAATAGCAGCCTTTACGTACTCGGTTTGATGGATTGGGCTCTTTGATAATGTAATGAAGAACAATCTTCCTCGAGGAACAAGTGGTGCTGATTCAGTAGTGGCTGCCGATGGAGTTGTTTCATTAATTTGTTGTTGTACTTGTTGCTGCCCGAGAGTGCTTGTTGGGAATGAGCAAGAGAAGAAACGAGTTGAATTGGCTGATGATGAAAATAGGAAGGAAGAAGCCACTTGTTGTTGTTTCTTGTTGCAGATGTTATTGCACAAACTTCGGACGAGGCATGAAGAGGGAGAGAACGAAGGGAAAAGTAAACGCTTCATTTTTTTTCAATAGAATTTCAATAAAAACTCAAAAACAATTAAAATTTCAAAATAAAATTTTGTTTTACCTTGTTTAAAAAACACTTTCAAAATATTAATGTCGTTCATCTCTTGACCTTGCCTTATGTATGCTTTCTATCTTCACGTTTGAATTAGTCACACAGTTTCCGCTTGAGCAACCGATTAATTTAATACAAAAAATTGGAAGCCTTATTGTTTATTAGAAATTACAGAGGAAAAGTTACCTTCTTCTATAATCATGTTGAGGTCGATAGTCAGAATGTGATCGATGGTGATGATGATAGCCATCTCTATCGCCTCCTCCTCTGTCACGATAATTATCGTCATGATGCCTATAGGAGGAACTTGAGGAATGGTCATCATAACGATCTCTTCCACCACGATCTCGACTCTCCCTGCTATAGCTGTTGTAACTTCCACCTGAGGACGAACCTCTACCATCTCTGTAACGATCGTCACTTCTTCCACCATGGTGTGAATTGTGGTAACCACCTCCTCCTGAAGAGCCACCTGTTCCGCTTCCACCTCCACCACTATTGTGGTGATCCTCTTGCCCATCTTGGCCAGGACGTTTTCTCTTCAGTTCATAATAACTATTGTATTCATTACCCCCTTTCATTTGTTTATAATGGTCTCTATCGGCAATGAGTTGTCTCTTATCATTGAAGGATCTATTTTCTCGAAGTTCTCGAAGCTTTTCTCGAACTTTTTGAAATCCGAGGTGAGCCTTTCCCGCAAAGTGATCTGCCAATCGCTGGTCACTTTCATTAACACTCAATAAGGCTCCACAAATTTCGCATACTATTAATTCTTGAGTGTCTCCGATTTTTTGTGTTGGCACCTTTGCTTCAATACTTTCCTTTTCCTTTTTTAAACTGTCTAATCTTTCCATGAGTTTTTGAGCCTCCTCATATTCTCCTTCGGTTGTTAATTCTTCAATTTGTTTTGTTACTTTTTCAATTTCCTTCTTGATATTTTGCAATTCGAGAGGCTCGTTACCCTTGTTGAGATCTTTTTTATGTTGTACATCCAATCGTTGTTGAGCCTTGGCAATCTTTTCATCGCAATTGTCTTGTATAGATGCTAAAATTCGTTCTAAATCTCGTTCGTAATCAAAATTATGTGTTTTTTTCTCCTCTTCGTATTGTTTTCTAAATTTCGGAGGCACAGGGCAACAAATATATGGGCAAGGACCTAAATCAAATTTAGTATTCGGAAACAATTTGTAGGGACATAAACCCAACAAATCAAACTTGCAAACTCTCGGATCCGTGAAATGTTCAATAATTAAATCCTGTCTATCGCCGTTTCTATTCACTCCCATTAATTCATCAAGAAGCAGGGAGAAATTCCGCGTTGCTGTGATCATTGTGATATTGTTATCGTTAACTGTCTCGAAATGATTGAAGGAGTTTCGATATTTTTTTTTGGATTTTATTCGACGCACTATAGAATAAATATTATTTAATTTTTCGAGGTGTTGATAAGAACCCAAGCTCTGATTAATCCGTATCGTTCCTTTGGTTGTTTTGTCTTTCATAATGATCAACATTATTCATGAGCGAAGGTTTCGAGAGGGTTTGAAGCCCGCCTTTCAGTGTTCTGGCAAAAGCTGGAGAAAAAATATGAAATCTTTTTATGATGGCCACACAAGCAAAACACCATCCATTCCTTCATCATTCCGTCTCTCTTCCAATAACAATGATGATAATGAAGAGGAACAACAACAACTTGGCACTCCACCCGCTACTACTACAACAACGCGCCGAGCATTTAGGCCCATGATTTCTTTGTTGCGTAGCACAATAGGAAACACCTCTTCATCCACCATTCATAACAAGTCAGGAAATGAAAATTTCGGAAATCTTCATCATCATCAACAATCTTCACCAACAGACCACGATCGTTTGAAACACAACAAGATGGACACGACTTCTCCCACTACAAATCTACGACGACAACATTTTGAAAGCTCTCCAAAGAGAAACCGTTCCATTGCGGCCAGTCCCATTCACAAAACAGGCCAAGTGATGGCTAGCCCAATTTCCGTTCATTCTAACTCTCCCTTCACACCATTGCCATCTCCTCCTAGATCCATAACAGGAGATGCCTCTTCCACATCAAATCTGTCAGATGCTGCATGTTGTTCTACATTTACTTGGAAACCAACCATTCCAAATAACCAAATGGTTGCTTCGTCTGACCATGGTAGGAATATTTGCACGCCCTTATCATCATTGTCCTCAACAAGTTATCTGCAACCCTCTGAGACAAACAACCTCATATCACCACCTCAGCAGCAACAACAACACCTTGTCATTCATCACGGCGACAATCATGCCTCTTCCTCCAATCATGGCCATACCATTGTGGCCTTTCTATTCATGTACAGCTCTAAAAATTCACTTCAAACTTTTGAAAGAGCCTTTCCATTGTGGCAGGGGAGAACCTTGATCTCAAGAAAAAGCCCTGAATATTTCGAAAAATTAATCCCTAGAAGGAACGATCGACTTCCACTTTATGATCATTGTATTTGTATCAATAATCTTTCTATTTCAAAAATTCATGCACTAATTGAAATATCGGATGGTGACTTTTCATTTCTTGAAGATTTAAATTCTAGAAATAGGACTTTCATTGTTGAAAAGTCAGAAAAAAAGAAACGCCATATTAATATTCAATCGAGAAAGCTCTACCAATTGAGAGATGATAATTTTGTTCTTTTGGGAAATATTATTTGTAAATTCAAGTTATGTACAGAGATGGACGAGACTCTGATGCAACTCGCCGTTGCTTCATACAAGAAACATCGAAATGAGTTTATCAGAAAATCTCCAAGTCATCACTTCCAACAAACACCTCAATCATCTCCAAATGTCAAATCTAAATTATTGATGGGTCCACCATCTACTACTTTTACTTCTCCCAGTAAGAAAAGTTTATTTGCCAAGCAACTAAGTGGCTCCACTACAAATTCCACTGCAACTTCAACACCTCGTTCTGAAACCAGGAAAACTTCTGAGATACTGGTGCTGGCAACACCTGAAATGAAATGTGCCTCCTCATCTAACAAACACAACATGCAAGACACAACATGCAGTGATGATATTTCCAATTTAAATAACATCAGTGAAAACAACAGCGCGAAAAATGTGAGTCGCAATGTGAGACATTTCATTCCTCCAACCGATTTCATCCTCAAGAACAAGTCAAAAAGCACCACAACAGACGAAAAAGAACCAACGACATGCCAAAAAGTACTAGTTTTTGAGACGCCCGCTAAATTACTGGAAAATTCGACCAAGTCAACTACTGCCACCATTTTTCAAACACCCACAAGCTCCACTTCCAATGACACTCCTCAGAGACAACATTTGCTCACCACCGTTGCCATCCAGAATTCTTCTTCTTTGTGCAAATTATCCAATGATCACAAGTGCAACCATGGCAATACACACGAGGAGGATGACCTCGATTTGGAATTGGACGATATTGATCTTTCCTTCTTATCAAACCAAGAACCACAAGAACCTACCCATCAAAAACAACTAGAGAACCCAGAACCCTCAACCTCTACCTTTAATATCAGTAACTGTTCACAGTTTGATGATATCGACGATTTTGAGGAGGATGATCAAGAAGAAGAATCACAAGCATTTCCATTACCAAACAATCACAAGTTAATCCATGACAATACACACAATAATGCAAATAAGCGTACCAATGAGGAGGAACCAACTTGGCAAAACGATCAATATGATGAAGAACCTTCCAATGCAAGAAGCAACTCGAACAAGAAACAGAAAAAGTATAAAAAGAGTGATCATCAACATCCTCATATACTCTTTACAGGAATCCAACCTACTGAAGCAAATTTGAGAGCTATTGAAAGGCTTGGAGGAGTTCTTGTTGAAGATGCCTACACAGAACTTGTGGAATCAAGACTCACTCATTTAATTACTGACAAATTGAGAAGGTATGTGAGTATTATGTTTGTCTTATACACCATGAATTTTGTTATCCGAAATGCCTTTGAAAACTCTTTTTGAATAGAACGGTCAAGTTTCTTTGTGCCTTAGGAAGCTGTCCCAATATTGTCACCGTTGATTGGCTTGAACAAAGCACCAAATCCAAATACTTTATCGATGAAGATGGCTTTTACTTGCATGACGAAGAAGGAGAGGAAAAATTCAACATTTCTTTAATTGAGGTGTTGAATAGAAGAGATCGAGCACCACACAAACTCTTTCATGGAATGGCCTTTTTCCTTACCTCTAATATTCTTCCAAAGCCAGACGAAATGAAACTCATTATTGAATGTAACGGAGGCTCTGTCCTTTCAACTCTGAGTTCTCTCAAATGTGAGTTGGGAATGAATAAGAATGTATTTGTAATCACGTGCGAGAAAGATGTAAGTTCGATTCGTGTTCGAATTTTGTGGTACTGACTTTTCGCAATTCACAACCGGTTTTGCGTGTCAATATTGAAAACGCTCTGACCTTCGTATTCATGACTCGATATGAGACCAGATCAAACATTGTTCTTCAACCTTGTTGCCAATATTCGAAGATTTTGGTTTAGACCAAGAACACTTTTTCAACACCGAGTTTGTGATGGCCTCTGTCGTTCGCCAAGAAATCCAAAAAAACGAATTGACCCAATTCGATTGGCCGAAGCAAAAAGTCAAATCCAAAAGGAAATAATTCCAACACAAGAATGTTGGTACAGTTTACCTTCTCAACATTCTGTCTTGATATGACTGTGAGAAAGGTGTTGATTCACTTTATTGACAACAATGAACCTTGAACATGCCTTTTGATTGATTGTAATGGTACATGATGGTCCAATCTTAAAATATCTGAAATGGATGAAAGAGTAAAAAAAATGTCTTTAAAGCCCAACATATTCCACCACAACAACAATTTGGACGGGCAACAACAGTTCAACAAGCGCCAGCTGACGTCAACACTCTCACACCCATCAACATACAAGACATTAATAAGGACAACAACTAGCGCCATGAAACAGCACCACAATGAAGCTCTTTTCAGGAAGTCTTCACCATTGTTCAAGGTATATCTCGACCAGCTCGTAGTATTACTGGTTTCATTTATTGTGTTATGTTGTGGAATGGCGCATCATCATCAGCAAACACTTGTTGTTGTTGCAGAAACATCTCCAGCATCCTCATCCCTACATTCAACATTGCAACCTATACAAACGATACAACCTCATATTCAAAGTTATTTGAAACAATTATTTAGACCAGACTCGACGAAGAACGTTCAGTCAACTGATGGGTCAACCACATCAAACAACGTTGCAAGTTGTTTGCACAAGCAGCAACAAGAACATAACGAACGTTTATTTCAGCCATCATCAGCATTATCATCACCACTAGTTACGAGTGACACCTTATCTGAACTTTTGTCATCATCCAACACCAAATTGGTCATCATGAACCAACAACAACAACATCAGCCTCACAACCAATATATCACAACTCCATGTGAACGTTCCCAACAACAACAACAACACCTTGAATTGTCATTACAAAATGGCTCACCACTCTCTCTTCGTTCCACTTTAGAAAATACAGACACATCCACCATCTCCCCATCCAACTACGTCTTTTACAACACGACCTATTACTTTGGTTACTTCTCCATTACATATTCTCTTTCGGGAGGTTCACCTGTTTATTTCGGAACAGTAGCAAAAAATCAACTCTCGAACCTGAAGGGACCCAATTCGCCCACTTTTCAACAAATTTCCTCACAATCAACCTTCTCTAATTCCGAATTGAGATTATCTGTAGGAGGACAAGCTTCCTATTTTGTGTGGTACAATTCTCACTCGAGTCAGAATGCCCTTCTTCAACTCTCTACATTTTCCTTCATTTACAAGACTTACACTTCGACCTATTCAGTGAGTATGACCCGAGGTGATGTTGAAATGTTCTATTGCTACAGTTGTATCAGTGTTCCCAATACTCGATACATTATTTCATTACGTAGTCTGAGTGGAACTTCTCAAAATGTTTCTGTGGGCTATACGTACGATAAGAGCCTCATGCCCTCCACCTTCATCAATGCTGTCTTTTCTAGCTCTAAAGTGTTTTATATTGATCCATTAGTGCCCTATCCAGCTGGATCACCTCCTCCCGTCTATGCCTATGTGGCTTGCCTTGGAAGTAATGGATGTTCCGGATTGGAAATTACCTTACGTATGAGTGATGATTTACAAGACTTGATCATTATTGTGATTGCCTCCGTGTTGGGAAGTCTTGTATTGTGTACGTGTTTGATTCTTGTGGTGAGTGTGTTGGTGTGTCGTTACAGGAGGCAGCCAAAGCCTTCTTCGAATGCTTCTTCTTCTAATGCTCTTCCTCCAGGGGTGTCTTACAATATTCCTCTGAATGATCATGTCATGAAGGGACAACCACAACAAACACAACAACCACCCATTATGGTTTCTTCTCTTCCAAAACAACCACCACCATCAAGTCTGCCCACCACCACCACCACCACCACCACAACATTGCCTTACTACACCAATCTTCATCCTTATCATACCATGCCAAATCCTCCTCCTCCAACAACAACAACAGCGTATTATGTTCCGACAAATCAATCACCTCATAATATCTATAATACTTTGCCTACTTCCATTCCTCCTACTCAACAACAACACCAACAGTATAGAACTCCCTCGTTTGTCAATCCACAACATCAACAACAACCACAGCCTCCCATGATGATGGTTGGAATGCCTCCAACATCCTCAACTCAACCAATCATGTATCAACAACAACCTCATCAACAACCTCCAACATTGACCAACCACTCAACAACAACAACAACAGGTGGTTCAATTGGAGCTCCTTTACCCTCCTCATCGTCGTCGTCGCCTCCTCACGTACACGTTCATTCAAACAACTCTAATAGTATCAACAACACAGCATTTTCTCAAACTAGTACTTTGAATAATACTGCCACCGCTGATACTGCTACGACAACTAGCACCACAACATCTTCCTCAATATTTATTGAAACGTATCGAGAATCTTCGGATGCAGCTTCCAGCGTGCCCCATAAGAATCAATCATCAAGAACTTCCAATGCTCAAGACTCGGAAGATGATCGTTCTTTATTGAAAGGAAGATATAAGGTCATTGAAAAAGTTGGAAAAGGAACTTTTGGAGATTGTTATTTGTGTCATGATATCAAGAGGAATAATCAAGCAGTGGCTGTGAAATCGATTCGTGTCGATGATAATGATATGGAGAAGGTCATTGATGAGTGCTCCAAAACACTCACTTTCAAGCATCCAAGATTGGTCGAAGTTTATGAGTTATTTAAGGCCAAATCTCTCGAGTCGTTGTGTTTGGTCATGAAATTCTATCAGAGTGACTTGGAGAAGTGCTTTAAAACTCATGGATTTTTCTCAGAGAAGGTGATTGTGGAATTGATTCATCAAATTGGAGATGGTCTCGATTATTTACATAATACCAAGATGGTTCTTCATAGAGATTTGAAACCAAAGAACATTTTTGTTGACAAGTATGACGAAAAAGCTCAGACGATTGACGTAGTCATTGGAGACTATGGTGAAGCAAAAGAAATGGGAGACACGACCAATTCAGTCCGAGGAACCATCATTTACATGTCTCCAGAATGTCTCACAGGTCAGAAATACAGTTTTCCTTCTGACATTTTCTCCATGGGAGTTTCTTTCTTTCAATTAATGACAGGAGAAACATTCAACAACATTGGTGTTGCGAGTCGCATGTTAGGAGAAACTGAAGAGCAAGTAATGAATAGTTTGCGAGAACAGTTAAGCAAGAATCAACTCTATCATGAACCTTTGATAAATTTCATTTTGAGCATGCTCCGTAAGGATCCACAAAAGAGACCTACTGCTATTGATATGAAGAATTTTCACGAGTAGTCATTGAATTCACGATTATATATATAAACAATAAAAGTGGCATTTGACATTCATCATGAAACATCGAATTTAATGAATTTAAAGGCTTTTTATTCATGAGGGAATGGCATGATGAATCAATTCTGATGGTGGGAGCAAGAATTTACTAGCATCATCATCGGTGAATGTTGTATTCAACCACAACAATTTATTCATCTTCCATCTTATCACCAGTGGTAGCAGTTTTCTTTGCGTTTGCTTCCTTCTCCTTCTTTTCTTGCTTTCTGTAATGATTGAATCACACGCGCATTCATTAATTATATTGACATTAAGATGGAAATGTTTACGGTATGGATATGTATTGAATATTCAAATTCATTCAATGAACAATAATGAAAATATTCATATTAATACGTTCATCACGAGTATTCATCATCGGACGTTGTTCAAAAATTTTAGGAATAAATTAATATACCAAATGATGGAATGAATATATATGATGAGGAATTATTACTGCTGCTTTTCATCGACCTACCTCATGGCACGATTGGTCTTATTTTTCACGAATCGCAAGAACAAATCACTGTTAACGTCGTAAATCATTTCAATGGGAAAGAGAGATGGATGAATTCAAAATATTTTTTAAAACAAATTCAAAAATTTAACTGAAAAAATTCTTGAAAGCTTTTTGTTCTACTGAAGGTATTTGGAGCTCGTTCATGTAACAGGATACTGGAAACACGTTTTACAATTTATTCACGACATGTCTCTGAAACACACATCTAAAAAACAATTATGTATTGCATTGCGAGATGCTCGTACTCTGGAGAGGAATATTCAAGAATATTCCATAATAAATGTAAATAAACTGAAAGCACTTATACGCCTTTTGCATTTTCCTTATTTATCTAATTCTGAGTGCGGAATCTTAGCAATGCAGTATTTGTTTGGTCAACAGAGAATCCTCAAAAAGAGCCAAACGAAAGAGATGTTACGTTGTATAATTCGTGGCTACTTTGCAGAGTTGACGTTTCTTTTTTCATTATACCAAATCACTTAATAATCATTGTGATGAATAATAATCACCACCACCACTCACACATGTGTTTCTCACTCGGTTGGATTTGTATTCAACAACTCTTTGATGGAAATGGAGGTTCTGGCATGCTTCATGGAAGACGAGGAAGGAAGAGATTGTTCTCTCTCACATGCATGTGTTGAAGTGTTCATGCTTGACAATTTCATGTGAACATTGTTGCTGCCGTTGTTATAATTGTAATGACTGCACGAGGTGGAAGAAGAAGCTTCTTGGAGTTCTTCTTGTTGAAAAGTGTGTGGATGCATGTAACCATTTTTGGGAATATTGAAATTAATGCACTGTTTTGTGTTATCAATGATAGGTTTTTCATCCACAGGTCGATGACGAGTTCGCGATTCACTGAAGTCTTCCTTCATTATTAAAGAGTTTTGTTCTGTTGCTTTTGGAATAGACATGCAAGATTGCAGCATATCTTGTTGAAATTTCTGCAAATCTTGAAAAATTCCAAAACTGTGTGCCATTCTTCCACCTCTCAATTTCCAATCACTTCCTTTCAAAATTCCCAAAACAAACCCAAAAAACATGGCTAGTGATTGTTGTAATTCCAAATATTTTGCATCCTTTTCGTTTTGAATTTTTGCATGTGAAGACGATGAACCACTTGAATCACTTTGTGATTGGTCATATTTTGACGATGAGGATGATGACGACGACGACACGAACATCATGTTGTTGTTTGATCCTTTCGAAGGTGCCTCATATCCACCACATGCATGTCTCTCACATGTGATTGTTGTTCTTTCAAGTGATGTCTTTTCTTCTTCATGCATGAAAGGATCCTCCTTTCGACTTGAATATTGGCGAATCACTACAAGTGGTTGAAGTTGTGTTGGTGGTGAATTGTGAATGTTCCTTCTCTTTTGCATGCATGTGCTCGAGGATGAATCATCATCACATGTGGAAATGTTCGACGTGAGGTGCTCATCGAACTGCTGTAACGAATGGAAAAGAAGGTCCTTCATGTGTGCATGTTTCATCTTGGAGGGTTTTTCAATTCGTGTTCTTCTATGACCATTTGAAAGTTGTTGTTGTTGTCCTCTTTGGGTTTTGTTGGGAGAATGAATCATGTGAAGATGATTGTTATTGTTGACATTCTCATTCTGATGAGATTTTGAAGAACATGCGGTGTATGAATGTTGAGAGAGTGGAGAGTTGGAATCCATTCGTTGTTGTTGTTTGACATTTGACTTTTGAGGATAGGAGACCATTTTGTTGTATTTTTTTAGGGTTAATACTAAGAGTACTACTCTCAAGAGGATCTCCTATCCTTGGACAGGATTCGAATATTCGTGCTGCATCCACTTACTGTATTTGACAACTTTTATCACACCAAGAGTCTGATGGTTGTGGACAACAACACCCAGTCCTCTTTTTAGGGACTCAATTTCGATCTCTTTCAAATTCGCAGTGGTATACCCTCGCACTTGTTAGAATCCAAAAAACTGAATAATAAACACATCTCCGAAGCACCCGAACTGGTCCCAAAGCAAGAAAGAATCTTTGAAAATTGACTTAATTCTCAAAAAGAATATTCTTCTTTCATATAATATGAATAATATGGAATCATAGCAACATGTCGATTCTCGAAAAGAAAACCATAATAATAAGAAAATTTCTCAACGCGCACCATTAGTCTTTGAGGAACACGCGCAAGATTTTTTTGAGGGAAAAAATGTCTTGTTGTTGTTGCAATAAGGATCAGGATGAAACGATCGTTTCATCCTCACTCCTAATAATGGAACTAGGAGGAGAAGGGGTAGAAGCACATGATTCATGTATAAAAAGAAATTCTTATTCAATGGGAGTTATAAGGAGGGCTAAAAGAGGAGACAATCTCAAGAGCCTTAATAGGGAGAACAATAGGGAAGATCATGATGATGGGATCGATCGGGGGTTTTTACCAATGACCTCACATTGGGGATGGATAAGAATCATTCCAGTTCTGCTTTTTATTCTATTGTTCATTTGCTTTTTTACTGTGATTCGGGAGGTAAAATTCTATGAAGCCTCTTCCTCAAGGCTTTTCAAATATAATCAACGGCTGATGGCATTTGGCGTAACAAATGATGGCACGCTCTCAAAGACTTGCCCACTATATATGAATGAAACAAATAGTTTCAATTCAACACTGGCAATTAGAGGACCAATTTGGAAACGATATCGAATTCCTCTTGTTGTGAATGCGTCATCATACGAAGAAGGAATTCCATCCACGCAAAGACAACTGAATGTTCGATTTGTGTGTGTGGAATGTTGTCCTTCCGTTTCTTATTGGAAAGTAGAAATGCATCATACCCTCGTCGGTAACACTCCGACGCTAAGGATGTACTATCTTCCAACAACATTTAACGGAACAAAACTACCCTTAGATATGTATCACAACATCTCCTTTGTGAATAATCTGATCATGCAACATGCCGAGTGTGCAACTCTGAAAGAATACACTTCATATCCATTCATAGATACAAACAAGGTTATTCAAGGAATGGAATGGATGAGCCATACGAAGAGTGAGATCAATTCGACACTAGTGTTGGACATGTTTGTGACAAATTTCACTTCGTCAAATGTGATGGTCTTCCTTCGACCAGAACAACACCTGCCAACATCACCCATAATGATATTAGTCTTGATTGGCTTTGCAGGTTTTGTTGTTGTGTCTGCTTGTGGTGGAGGATGCATCCTCTTGGCTTTACTTGGTTTCAAAGTTTTAGTAACAATCAGAGAAAAATCATATTTAAAACAAATACTGCATAACAACTATGCTTGGACTGCAATGAGAGCAGAAGAAGAATTGAATGCCGAGTACAGAGAAAGTGCTGATCCGCCTCATAGTGAGGGTCAATATTACGAATAGTCGCGATCTAAGCATGCTATATGATAACCTTTTTGAGTTGAAAATTGGTGACGAGTGAAATGGTTTTTAATTTTTCTGAGAAATGAACAACTTTCTTGAAACACTTGTGGTGTTGAGATTTTGAAGAATCATCCAACAAGATGGACAACAACAACATCAAGATTTTGCTCAAAGAAATATGGTGATCCCGAACAACATGTTATTACAACACCAGTCTCACCAAAGCAGTGGAGTAAAGTACAATCTTCGAATGAGCCACTTTCTCACCTCATCAAAAATGATGATGAACGCTCCCCATGGAAGTGGCAACAGCCAAAACATGAATAGCAAAGGTCTAGTGGCAATGATATAATCTCCAATGAATGGAACATAGATCACAATCACAGCAATAATAACTGCATAGATAATTCCAAAATAAACAGCAAGATTGGTGAATAGACCTTGTGTGAAAAGACTCATTCTTCTTGTTCTAACAGCAAACAAGCTGAACCATTGACAAATAACAATGCCCAAGAAATATGCAGCCTGAGCAGTGCTCAAAATATTAAGCTGTGCTAATGGGTTCAACAATATTTCAGACTCTGAAATGTATAAATATTTAGTGGAGGTAATACCAAAATATCCATCATAGGTTGCTCTGAAAAGATATCTTGGTGGAATGCCATAGAAACCCATACACAAGAAGAAGCTTGTAAATGATGCAAATGTCATGATGACCCCAAGTTGTAGATATGCAAATGACAAGACACGAAAACCAACCAACAACTCGCTTCTTGGTCTTGGTGGAATGCTCATAATATCACTCTCTTTGGTTTCGTAAGCCAAGCATGTGGCAGAAATCAAGTCAGTTCCAAGATCGATACAAAGCGCCAATAGACCTGAAATGGCTGTTGGAAATCCAACTAACACAAAGAGCAAGAAAGGAATTCTATGTGATAAATGCAAACAATAATAATCGATGTGACAGGATTTGTGTAATCATTGTATCAAAAAAATGTACACGAATGACTTACAGTTCAGGTAAAAGATGGGCCAAAGTATAAGCAATGGATTTCTTGAGATTGTCAAATATGAGTCTTCCCTCTTCTACTCCATTAACAATTGATGCAAAATTGTCATCTAGCAATATTAAGGCCGCAGCTTCTTTAGAAACGTCCGAACCACTGTGTGGTCGCATGAACAATAATGTTGTAAATTTCATATGTAAGTGAGTAATTTAAGAATTATATATATATCTGTACAGTACGTGTACTCTCAAATACATACCTTATATTCATTGCAATTCCAATATCAGCCTTCTTCAGGGCAGGTGAATCATTGGTTCCGTCGCCAGTGACAGCAACACAGTGACCTGCCTGTTGGAATCTGCTCACAATGATCAGTTTTTGTTGAGGTGAAGTTCGAGAAAATACGATTTGCTTCTTTCGTAATATTGCACTCCAATCATCTTCTGATAATCTATCTATTTGTTCTCCACTCAACACAACAGCATCAACTCGACTCCATGGAATATCTTCAGGATTAACACCCTCTTCTAAAGCAATGTCTTCACGTGTTTTACTTCCATTATCAATAATGCCGACTTGTTTTGCAATGGCTTTGGCAGTCGCAGGGTGATCTCCTGTGACCATGACTACCTGAATACCAGCTCTCTTACATTTTCCTACAGCCTCTGGAACTCCCACCTTAGGTGGATCGGTCAAGGCGACCATTCCAAGAAAGCAAAAGCCATCTGTTGGAATGTCGACTTGCTGTTCTGCTGTGCTTAATTCCTCACGAGTTTCTGAAGCAAGTGCAATGATTGGAGCAGAAGCATCCACTTGGGTTTCTTGATGTTTCTGTTGCTCTTCTTTGGTAGTGATTGATTCGGCTGCTCCCTTTTCTTCCCTAGATTTTACAGTGTTGACAATATCTGCGCTGGTGAAACGTTGTGCCAAACCGAGAACTCTCTCACCTTTAGATGCCATAAAATTGTAGGCATCCTGGAAGTGCTCTTTTAGGTCTTCATTGAGAGGAACAATTTGACCTCTAATAAGCATCGAGTTACATCTGCCAATAACACGTTCTGGAGCACCTTTGATGAGAGTAAGAAGTTGACCAGGCTCGAAAATCTCCTTATTGACGCACTCATGAATAGTTAACATCCACTTGTTCTTGGAATTGAATGGAATGTCATATTGTTTTGGGAATTGACGTCTAATGTCATACAGAGTGGAGCAATTTTCACGAGTTTCAACAAACTTGATCAAGGCGGTCTCAGATGCATCTCCAAGACATTCTCTAACGTAACACAATAGAGTAGCGAAATGCATTTTCACAAATTTCATTGAAAAAGTTCAAATTTCATGAGTCTTTTCATTTATAACGTTCATTCAACATACTTATCTAAAATTGGTTTTTGCAGATTGAGTTCATTTTCAACAAAGATGGTTTTAGAACAGAGAGCACAGCAACGGGTAATTTTTTGCTCTGTGCTGAGATCGTTCTCTGGAATATCTGAAAAGTTGGTCAAAGCTCCTGATGGCTTTTGCTTCATCATTCTGTTGTAACGAACGTCAACAAAAGAGCCATCAACCCACATTTCTACAAGTGTCATTCTATTTATCAGTACATTCATTAATGAACCCATAATTGCACACGTTATTCTAAAACCTACCTATTTTGTGTTAGGGTTCCAGTCTTATCTGAACAAAGACAAGATACACCACCCAGGGTTTCTACATGTTCCAGCTTTTTGACGAGCACATTTACAGCTGTTGTAATCAACAGTGGCACAATAGTTGATAAATACGGTCATTGTGTGGGTGTGCACTCAAATTTTTAACCTACCTTGAAGACGACGTGCAGAAACGGTCAAACAGAGAGTCATTGTGGCAAGAAGACCTTGAGGAATATTGGCAACGACAATACCGATACAGTAAATAAAGACAACAAACCACGGATTTCCAAGGGCCAGACCAATGATAAAGAAAATTGCTGCCATGATTAATGACATGCTGCCAATGAATCTAACAAAGTGATCAATTTGTCTACCAAGTGGTGTTTTAAGTTGTGAGCTAGTTTGTGCCATCACAGCAATTTGTCCAATGACAGTCGCATTGCCAGTTCTAATGACCACACCAATACCATTTCCATCAACTGCAATAGTACCAAAGAACAACAAATTGGTTGCTTCGAGTGGATTTTGAGCATTGGATTCGACGCTACGAGACTGAGGCTCACTTTCTCCAGTCAGAGAACTGTTGTCCATTTTGAGGTTATTGCATGAGAGAACTCTCAAATCAGCTGGTACCTTATCACCGGCATTTATGACAACCAAGTCACCCTAGGGTTAGGCGGATATTAAGAGTTTAGAAAAACCATCGTATTACCAGATATGATAACAAAGAAGTGTCACAAGTACAATGCAAAATGCTCAACTTACCAGTACCAATTCTTTGACATCGATTCGTTGCATGGCTCCCTCTCTTATGACCATACAATTCGCTGTTTGCAGAGCCAAGAACGCAGCCATTGTTCTCTCAGAGCTATGTTCCTGGGCCAATGTGATAATGGCGTTCATAATAACAACAAGCCACAAAATGGCTCCAAGAAATATATTTGGAAATGAGGAGGCAGTTCTTTCAATGATCACATCTATGAAGCACAATATTCCTGCAACTATCATCAAGAGGGCGAACAGAGTGGTGAATTGGTCGACAACTTTCCAAAAAAAAGATCGACCCTTTGGAGGAGCGAATTGATTAGGACCATTCACTTTCAGACGCTCTTCTGCTACTTGTTGAGACAAGCCGTACGAGCTTTCAGGGTTATCGACATTAAATTGTGTTCCATACATTTCACAGACTTTCTCCCAAGTCATTTCATGCTCCTCAATTTTCACAACTTTCTTAGTGGCTTGTTCAACCTCCTTTTTACGTAAATGAGACTTGATAAATGCCCTAATGGGATGCCTTTTGTGTTCTTTTGCTCTCTTTGCATCTTGTACTTTGGCATCGTGAACAATATCAATCGATTGTCTTTAAAAAATAAATTGAATGAAACACAAATATGAATGTTAAAAATTGACGCGATATGATCGAGTATTGAGTGGAATTGCAGTTCAATCCATCATAAAGCATTCACAATCAATTCAAATGAATAAAGTTATTGTCATCACATTCAAAACTGTTAGCATGGCTGAATGCCACAATAACACGATACATACCTTACTTCCTCAAAGAGTCTTGGAATTGTCGATGCAGTAGTAATACCTTGTGCTTCAAGAGAGGGTCTGGGCATGAGCATGGACAGAACAGAGGAGCGACGCCTTTCCAATCCAGGAGGTAAGTTGGCTTGTTCGGTAAACTCCTTTGCTGTTGCAGGCACTTGCTCAGAGGGCATTGCAGGCTGTTGTTGCTGCTGAAGGAACTGTTGATAAGTAGGAAACAAAAAGCTTGCTCTTCTCATTGGGTACACTGAAGGAGAGGGTGGTGGAATGTCATACTCAGCCGCAGGAAAGACATCTTCTCGTGCTTGTTCTGGCTGTGTGGTTGTTGCTGTTCCCTCACGACGGCTTTGGCCACCACTATTAGAAGTAGTTGTGCCACTGGTGTTGTCGCTACCACCTTGTTCACTAACATTTGAAGAAGAATGGTGATGCAACAAATTCGAAAGATGAGGACGATGATGCAACAAATGATGATGTTCTTCTCGAGAAGTTGTTTCTGTCTCTTGTTGCTGGATGCTCTCGTTCCTTCCATCACCACCATCACCACCATCAGTTCCAACACCTCTACCACCACTTGGGTTGATGCTGTTGTTGTTCATGTTTTCTTTTCAATATAATGAAAAGGTAATTTCAACAAGCCAAGACAATTTCCTTTCATCAATGATAAATGAACGAGCAAGAGTTTACAAATTAATGGATGTAGATTTAGAAATTATATAAATTTGTCCAACATCCCTTTTCTTTGATTTACTTCCTATCTCCATTTCCGTTAATGTAAACCTTCTCTTTGAACGGATGACGATGATGATCTCGGGATGGATGGTTTCAAAAGCCTTTTCATTTAAGCCATATTTTGAACCATCTGTCCCACTAATACAAAATTAGGTCTAAATCATCATTGAAAGCGTCTGAAAACCAACTCATCATTGATTTTGTGTTGTTAATTGTTTAGATCATTGTTCAGCACCTCCGATTTTCTTCGAACTCCTTCTTTTTATCGTGAAGATGATGGCGAGAGGAATTTTTTCCAAATCAAAACAATAAAAAAATGGATGAAATAGAAAGTAAGTGCGAGAGATAATGACTAGCCCAATAATTAATGATTGTTGTAATAATGATCCTCATGGGTGAATATGCGGAATGATGTGTTAATGTACATGAAAATGATGTTGTTGATCAATATATTTTCACGCGCGTGGAATTTGATGATGATTTGAATTGTTTAATGCAATTACAACGGATATGATGATTCAACAATATTTATTGTTGATAATTCTATGGAATGTGCACAATAACGATTTGCAATGATTGCGGAATGGAATTGTATGGACAATTTTCATCATTCAACCATCTCTTGTGGACACATATCTCTATATGTGCTATTGTTTCAAATGGAATGACCAACCACAACAACGTTATCATCATGATAGAACATATGAAAATAATTATTATCGGAGACGGTCAGGTGGGCAAGACAAGTCTTGTTCGCCGATTTGTTGACTCAAAATATGATCCGGATTATAGGCAAACGATTGGCGTGGCATTCAAAGAAAAACAACAATATATACCTGAACCTATCAATGAGGCTGGTACGTACTATTGAGAATGTTGAAATTCACAATACCAATATTATTATTGTTGTTGTTAATTATACATCCTTTAAATTCTCTTTGCAAACAATTCCAAATATGTACGAAAATCATCATGTAATTTTGTCAATAACATGACAAAAATTTTTGACATTACGATGAAAATTTTACAATCGGGAAATTATGCTCTTCCGATCACATACTAGTAACATTTATGCTTTGGGATACTGCTGGACAAGAGGGTAAGTTTGTGACTCTTCAACAGTTGTAACAACAAGAATGATTCAATATCAAAAATTTTCACACTCATCTGTTTTTTTGATGGTTTATTGTTTCAATAACCTGATACACAATTTTCATGATAATATTTCAAAATCTAAAATGCTATTTTCTCACCCTTAAATATCATATTTTATTACTGGCTCTGTTATTAAACTGCCACACATTGACATTTGTGACATGCCATAACTTTATTCAACAATAATAATGATATTGATGACTGTAGAGTTTGCTGACATGACTCGACAATATTACAGAGGTGCCAAAGGTGCCATTTTGGTGTTTTCAACAACGGACAGAAGAAGTTTTGAAGCCATCAAGGCATGGAACGAAAAAGTCGACACACAATGTGACGATACCAATTTATGTAAAGTTTTAATTCAAAATAAGATTGATTTAATAGACCAAGCCGTGATTCAACCGTAGGTATTTTTGACTGAAAATTCATCTGGAGAAAATTGCATACACATCAAAACAAAATACCATGTCTCTTACTTTCCTTTTCGAAAATTATGGGAATCCATTATGGAAACTCTGCAGTTCTGAGGCTGAGGCGCTTGCCACTGAGCTTGGAATTAAATTTTTCAGAGCTAGCGTGAAAGAAAATTTAAATGTAACAGAGAGTAGGTTTTTTCGTGAAATACAAGACTTGATAATTATGATGACGATTGGGGACTTTGTTGCATCATTTTCGTGACCATGACTTTTGTGACAACATGACGACCATTTTATTTTCCAACAACAACATCCAGTTTTCCAAACACTCGCCATTGATTATTATAAAAAATTAGAAGAAACCGCTCAAAAAGAAGAACAGAATACGAATCATCCATCTCAACCGACGGACAATCCACAAGATACGAATAAGGTCAATCTCAACCAAGAACCCGCAAAGGACCCACACAAAAAAAAGAAAAAGTGTAGCTGTAACTAGTATTTTATGATTGCAACATCACCAAGCAAGTAAACACATCTTTTCATGATTGTTTGTCAATCATTCATTCGTATGTACACAGAACGATGATTCCTTTGTTTATTGTTGTTGCTTGTCTTTTTATTCACTACTCTTCGTTGTCAGCAGATAATTTTTCCTCAATATTTTGAATTCTCTTCTTCAAGTCAGACACCGTGAGAGAGCGTGCATTCTTCAGCTTCGATTCTTGCTGGACAAGCTTTAGCTGCCTTCGGATGTCATCCACCGAGGTAATGGTTGGAGTTTTTCTTGAGGGAGACAAAGAAGATGTTGGATGGCTTTTCTGAAGATTATTGCTTCTAGTATCTTGTTTTGAGGCTTCATATTGAGCTATTTTAGCAAGTTGACGATGAATGTATTGCTGGAATGGTTCGCTGCATTTCGATAGGTGGGTATTAATGCTCACAGTGGGGTGAGACTTTTTGAACTCGTACAATTTGTATAACCCCGAATGCGTGCTGTCCTTATTGCTAATTAAATTGAATATTTCAGAGAGTTCATCTTGAATGGCTTTCTCGTTATTGTTTCCATTTGATGAATTGGGAGGTGAAGGCCTTGTTGGTTTTGCTTGCTGTGGTTGTAATTGAGGTTGTTGCTGATTTGATGATGGTTGATTTGTTGTTGTCACATTCATGTTATTATTATTAACACCAATACCTGTATTAGTTGCTTGAGCAGAGAGATTTGAAGTAGCAGCAGTATTCGATGAAGCAACAGCGACCATTGGTGAAACATTCATATTTGTGGTTGTTGTAGAACCACCCGAAGATACTGCTTGCTGATTCGCTGAAGAAGTGAGCATGAGTTCAATATATGAGATAATGAGGGGGTTTTTGTGTGTGGGGATCAGATTGAGGCAAGATCTTATACTTTCTCCCTTGACTTTGACGAGCTCGTTAAGGATAGTTTTAATGGTCCTAAGAGGCAAGTCGTTTCTATCCTTAAACAAGGTTGGAGGATTGTGCGTCAAAAAGCTATGTAAATCCATTAATAGAATATCCACGTCAACTCGTGAAATGGTAGCTGCGAGGGCTTTTGTTAACTTGATGAGACACTTCACCACTAGCTCAGAATATTTTTTCAGAGCAGGGTTGGCATATGAATACTCCAACAAGTGTATGAGAGAGGTATAGGAGAAGGTCCTATTCGAATTCTCCAATACTTTTAGCATGAGTGAGTTAAGACCTTTCAACAAATCTTGTCCATTCTCGAGAGATGGTAGTCTTTCATCTAAAAGACGGCTCAACAACTGATCAATCGTTCTTTGCAAAGTCTCTTGAGGGACAAATGCGGCCATCTGTCTATCATTGAACAGAGACATAAGAGTGGAGAGAAGATATTTACAAATTCTAGTAGTGACCAAACCTGCTGACGCCTTTTCGAAAGAATATTGAGTATTTTCGGTGAGGGATTCTACAAGTTCTTTCAGAGACGAGAGGATGGCAGGTCTGCATGATTCATCCTTAAATTTCAACACGAGGGTTTTTAAAGCATTAATGGCCGCCTCCGATCCGTGTTCACTTGTATTGATTGTATTGACCAACTCTCCAATAGAGAGAGATGTGTGAGCCTGCTCTGTTCGAATAGTCTCTTTAACAGGAGACCTTTCGGGCATTCGTGGAGTAGAGTTTCCTGTGAGAGAAGTATTGTGTGGTTGGTGTTGGGGTAATTCAGGAATAGCGATCTCAGAAGAAGGCATGTGTGGTGTGACAGTGGTTTGCTCTTCGATCTTTTGCAAGTCCAATTTATACTCATCAACGGATTCCACTTGAGGAGTTGCCAACTGCAAACGAGGAATAATAGGTAAGAAAGGTTTTAGCGGCTGGAGCGAAACGCTCGTTTTTGATTGCAGTGCAGATGGTGGAGAAGGCGATCTCTGGTTTGGAGAGGAGGCCAATGTCTTGGAAATATTGGCACGTTTCTTAACTGTTTTTGGTTGCTTTGAAAACTCTGAATCATGGTCGATACTATTATTCATGGTTGAAGCTGCATTCAAGGTGGTTGAAGATGAACCAGCTGCTGTGAACGAGGAAGGCAGATGAGATGTGCCATTTGCCTGTCTGACCTCTACATTCAGTGATCTACTCACGTCCCTTAATGTCATCTTTCGTTCAAATTTTTGCAAAGTAACAGGAACGGCCGAAACAGTGACCGACTGAGTCATTGGTTGAGTTGATGATGGCATCTCAATATCATCTTGCGTTTGAGGAACATGTTTTTGATAAAAAGGAACATGTTTTTCCAACAGAGGAGCCAAACTCTGTTGGAACGCCGGTTTCAATTCTCTTACTTGCTTTGAAACATAATAGTAGCCTCCGTGCTGTAAAATTTCGGATAAAATTGCTTCTGCAAGTTTTCGCGTGTCAGATCTCGACGCTTGCAAATACTCCAACAAGGGTTTGACCAATGGAGAAAAAATATCAATATTCTTAGTTTTCATGGTAGCCAAATGGTTGTTAATAAATTCCAAGACTTCCTTCTTTCCTTCAGGATTACCTTTTTCACCTGTGATGGCTTTAGGGAAAAATTTTATCATACTCTCAAATGGGAACACGGCAATGTATTTGTCCAAAGACTCCAATGCGGCAGTTCTTACTGCCTTATTATTGTGCATTGATTTTGAAACAATGCTGGGTAAAAGAATTTTCAAATACTTTTCCATATCTGATCCTACTGCCTCTGCAATTAAATCCAAAAGTGAGAGAGCAGTTGTCACAACTTTGATGTTGGCATCTTCCAGTCTTTGCCTCAACGCATGAATAAGATCGAGAATATTTGGTTGAATTCGTTTGTGGGCATCATCGGTGATTATCTTTTCAATAGTTTGTAGCGCCTCAACTCGAATGGTCCAATTCTTGTCATCAAGAGAGTGAAAGATTTTTGGAGAGATTTTTGGCATGATATCAAACCTTGGAAGAGAATTTTCGTACGCACTCACACTGAGTTGTATCTTCTCTTGCCCTTTCACTTTGCGCGTTGGTTCCGGTGGAGGCCCTTCGACTTTTTGAAACTCCTTCTTGACCATATCTAACAAGGCAGGTTTGGTATCTGACAAGAAGTGCAACAGTCCTTCGCCCATGTATGATCTCATGGAAACAAGCATTTTGATACAGCCTTTTTTGATGATTGGATTACTATTTCCCAAATACTTTTTAGCAAAATCGATCAGTTCTGGAGTATTAAAGCATGCAATACTGAACTCTGTAATAACTTCACTAAGCCATTCCAAAATAGATCCAATCAATTTTGGTGGCTTGTCATCCAAGTTTTCAGAGATCTTAATAAATAGATACTGGGGATTGATGGACTCACAAAATGCCTTTAAACCCTTTTTTGCTTGTATATCAACTTTAGGCGTAATTAGCTTATCAAGCATCCATGTGATAGTGGGTAATGAATTTAGTTCTCCAGATTTTATATCTGTCTTGTTGAGAACGTTTTCAATCAAGTCAAATGTCTTCTCCAATACTTTGGCATTGGATTCTTTCAATCCAGGTTTGTATTGAAAGAGGCTTATGATGTGTTCATGCTTTGCTTCGAGTGTTGTTTTTTCGAGTGAATTAATGATAGATTCAATATTACATAGTGCCTCAATTCGATCACTCCAATTGCTGTTGGCTAACTTTTCAACACAAGCCTCTCCAAATAAGACCTTACATTCTTCCAATACATCTGAAGCAGAGAGGGTAATAGCAGGAACTGAGCTGCTGCCATTATTGCCTTGTTTGTTTAGACACACTGATTTAGAGGTGGGTACCTTTGATCTCTTCGTGGTAGATCCTAAGGAGGGTTTTGTTTCGATTGTTCGCGAGGGAGGTCGAGATATTGAACCTGTTTTTGAAATTGTAGAGCTTGATGTTTTCTTATAGTCTATAGATTGAGACAGTCTCGTGCTGATATCATTGTCAATTGGAGGCGCTCCGTATGATTCCAAATACTGCACAATTTTTTCCTTCACATGAGACTCCAATTTCAAGAGTGAATTTGTTTGATCCGTCTCTCCAACGACCCAAATAAGGCGAGCAATAATTTTGCAACACGTATCTCTCACTTCGGAGCTAGCATCATCCGTAAAAGCAAGTAAATGATTGAATAGAGGCTTGAGAGATTTTTCCAGATCTTTCTTCTTTTTGTTGATTAAACATCTTTCCAGGAGTGTGAATATTTGCAGTTTTTCTGAGTTTGAGGCTGTCTTATTGTTCATGGCTGAAAAAATGGTTTCCAACATGTCCGTAAAGGGAAAGGTGCAAGTGTCGAATGACACCAGGCATTCAAGTGTAGGATCGGCTAACTTTTTTTCTTTCAACTTGGTCAATAGTCTTTCATAGAGGTATTTTGCCGTTGTTGTGAAATCAGACTTCATGGCTTTAGAGAAGGCAGTCAGACAATCGATAGATTCCTTAACAACAGCTACATTCTTTTCTCGTTGAAGAACAACATTGATGGCAGAAAAAATGTTGGAACAATCGCATCCCTTCTTGATATGAAAATTGTCAACTAGCCTTTTTAATTCTTCAAAGGCATCCCTACGTATGGACCATTTTTCATTTTCAGCATCACTGTACCAATCCTTTCTCAACTTTTCATTGATATCAATGGTTTCTTTTTCTTTTGTGGGCACTTCAATATCTTTGAGGAGTGACGACGTTGTAATGGCGGTCGAGTGGACGGATGAGGGCTTGACAGACGACGGATTTAGAGTGGATCGACAGAATCGTGTCACCGCGGCTGGTGATTTATCATGAAGAAGGTCAAACTCTTCTCTAAGGGCCTTCATTTTGTTTGATTTTACATTTGACAAGTGTACCTCAACAGCCTCAAATCCAAGCCATCGGAAAGTTTCCATGGCCAATTTGTGAGCTTCCTCTCGTACACTTGCATCATCGAGAATGCTTGGAAGGCTTTGTAATATTATTTTAGGAGGAATAGTTGGAAAGCCAAAACCATGCACTGCTGTTTGTACGATACTGATGCATTGTGCTCGAAGCTTGGGCTTCTTATTTGAGAAGTGACCCTTCAGTATGGATATAATACTAGACGGATCTGACACTTCAATATAGAGTAGTATGATTTCCACACTCTTTGACTGTACGGATGGCTTTGAGGGTAGGCCTTTCTCAATTAAGATGGGTATAAATTTTTCAGCTGTACTTGAGGCGTTTTTGTATTGATTCACAAAATGATAAAGAGTTTCTACTGCCTTTTCTAAAACACTTGGATGTCGATTGTTCAGTGCTTGAATGAGCTCATTTTCTAGGTATTTTGGTATTTTACAATGGGTGAATTAAAATAATAATATTTTTGCAATAGCATTGAGATGATGATTGCAAGTATTATTGAAACGAAAATAACACCGGAATAACAAACATAAAATTAACGAAAATGCATACATACCACTTGCTTGAAATACTGAATCAGTAGGATCCGATTCTTTAAATTTCGCACACAAATGCTCTAGCTCATCCACTTTCTTTTTCCATGCTGGATTCTCGTCGTTGGATGAGGAATTGTTCTCTTGCATCAATTGTTTGCGGAGCATGTTTTCAAAAAGTAAGTTTGACGAAGGTGGTGTTGATGGTGTTGCATCTTCAAACGGAGAGGTAACGCTGTTGAGAACTTCACTCATGACTGGTGTTGACAGGAACAAAGGTTGCTCTTCGGGATTGTTGTTGGACGATGTTGTTGGTTCTGAAGCAGCTGCTGGTGCTCGTTTCCGTTGTGGTATGTGGACGTAAACTTCAAACTCATCGTTGGTTGTTTCTTTTGGCGGGTTTTCGCCTTGATTTGTTTCTTGCTCGCTGTTGAGGGGTGATTGAATATGTTTCGGGAAGGTTGTGTCGTTTGGAAGTTCTTGAGCCTCGGTATTATTTGTTTGTTGGTTTAACGATGTTGATGTTGCAATTTCATGTTGCATTATTAATGAATCTTTTTTTGTTGTTTGACTTTCAATCATTCCATCGTTTCTCTCCTCTTCATTTGATGGGTTCTGCTGTTTGATGGTCCGAACTTGCAAAGGAAGAGAGGATGGATTAGTTTGAGGCGTAAACCTTTTTATTGGCTGATCATCAAAATTAATGTGTTTACTTGTGTTCTTTGGCATTCGCTCACTGAATCCCTGATTATTTTTCATTCGTTCCTCTTCCTTTCTCAGCTCCTCTTCCAACATCTTTTGAAAGAGATCGTGGCTCGACGGAATTTCAGGTTCATTGCTCACCGCTTCTTCTCGCAAGGTCATTATTTTTTAAAGAAATTAAATGACAAAAAAATTGGCGGTAAAGTTTACAATTCGTTCTTAAAAAACTTTACCTCTTCCTTCTGAGACCATCATCCATGCAACTGAATATCATCCCACTCGTTCATTTGTGATTTTCATCACGTACACTGTTGTCTAATCGGTTCCTTATTAATTTTAACACTTTGTTTTGAATACAACCATTCTTGCTTTAAAAATTTCACCAAAGGATTCTTGTTGTTTTTTTCTCGAAACATTGACTTTGTTCATTATTTTGAACAACCTCAAGTGCTCCATTCTAACAATTTTCTAACCATATCCTTTCTTGATGTAGGGGAGTGAAAAACGGTTTAAAGATTGTAACAATATAAGATCTCACAAAAAAGAATCTTCAGAAAAAAATGTCTGAACTGAAACATGTGCTTTCTTTCGTTTTTGATAAAATTTTCAACAACAACATTCACCACCAACACTCAAACCCGAAGAATGGCATTGCATCAACCACAACAACAACAACTTCCAACAGCAAGCACATTACCTCAAACCTTTCTCCTCCGCTTTTGACTGCTTCATTATCGTCGGCTCTTCCTCCTCCGATGGCAACTCCACCACCACTTCACCATCACAAAATTCTCTCCATTGATGCCGGTTCATCCAAATTCAAAACGTGTTTCTTTGATTTGGAACATAAAGATGCTTTCCGATGTGATGAAGGAAGTAGTGATAAAAAAGCAATGTACACAACAGTTGCTCTGATTATTAACATGTTGGACCAACATTCACAGAGAATTCAAATTATTAATCATCCATATCCTCTCTCACATCATGTTTCATTGGCACGAGGAGAGGTCTTTGTGTTTTTTTATAATTGGAAGAATATGATGTTTCCCATCACGGAAATCATGACTGATGAATTTGTAAATCGAGAAATGAAAAGACAATCAAATTTTGTCGTGTGTGATGAGAGGACACTTTTTATTAACTCTGGAAATGTTGAAATTACGTCGGAAGGAGTACAAGTTACCATAACATCCTCTCAAGTTCGTAAAGCCACACAAACCGCACCTGAAAATTCGATACTACAACGACGTGAAGGAGATCGGGTATTGTTCTCAAAAAAAGATATTGTTAGAGAGCTCTTTAAATTTTGCTTTAACTCACACGTTCAATTACCTAACGGAATTTCATTGAGAGATTGTGAAATTTATGTCTCAATACCTTCCAAAGTGCTTTTCAGAGATCGTGAAGCTTTTAGAGAGATTATTTCAACTGTTTCACAAAATGACAATATTCGATTGGTTCGAGAATCCGTCGCACTTTGTTACTACTTTCATTATGTATATTATGGAAATGTTCATCATTTGAAAACATCACCTAGGAAAGAGAATCAATCAGCAACAGAGATTGGTGACCACACGGAATCGTCACAATCCATTCCAACCAAAGCTGTTGCCATTGATATAGGTCATTACTCATCCGACGTGGCTGTCGTGGCACTTGAAAATGAGTATAGTATCAACATGACCAGTGCTTATTGTCTGTATCATGGAGGTCATAAAGTGACCATAGATATTTTGAAAAGCATTTTACCTTCTAACGATTTGGAGGAATTGAAAAAATCAGAAGAAAAATTTTGGAGAGAGGTCTGTAAAATGAACGAATGCAAAGAAACTATATTCGACCTCGATACAAAGTGGAATCTCGACAATCACTTTAAAAGTGGTCAGGATGGATGTGTTATTGATGACGTTTTTTTATCGGCGGAGAGTATTAAGCAAATTCTAGATCAAAATTTTTTGGACATTGTCGAATTATTGAAAAAGCTTGTGGAATCTAATTCAAGCAAATATTTAATTTTGGGAGGACCAGTCTCTAAAACTAGATTATTTAAGAATTACGTGAAAAGTTTTCTTCAGAATACTCCATGTGAAATTGTTTTCACGAAAAATCTGTACGATATTTGTATTGGAACGTTCCTTTATGCTGCAAACAGCATTTCACAACCACCATTGGAGACTTCTCAAGCGAGCAGTGTGGAGAGCATTAGCAGTGCTACCAGTGTTTTGGCATCACCATCCAAGATTCGATTTGTAAATTCTTCTCCCATTGATCATGTCTTTTTATTTTGTAAGTATTATTGTCATGCGATACTTGAATTAATAACCTTTATTATTACTATGTTATTATTAAATATTTTACCTCTTCATATGACAGGCATGAGAGACATTGTCTGTACCAAGGTACCTAACTACATCAAACACCGATACAAAAACATTTCACTCGAAATGTACAATCAAATGATTGAGGATGGTAAGTATTAATCATGGAAATTCATTTGTGAAAATAGTCGGCTATGTTTTAAAACAATGAACGATGAACCTGTTGTTGAATCATCTCAACTGTTGATAGTTTACGGACTCGAAAAAACACGCCGCCTGAACATGTACAACTTGGAAGATCAAAACGTGCTCGATATTGATACAAGACAAGAGAGACCAACAAGTCCTATCGTTTCTTATCTTACTCTCGATACGGATGCCGCATATATTGATTTTGAAATTTATAATGCCACTTTGGCCAATGACTCTATTCTAAAACAAAAAAGAGACATGGCTGTGAAAGGATACTTTATTGATCCGAGTCGTCAGAGAAATTATCGAAGAATTTACACTGCTGAAGGAGCCAGAATTTTTGGACTCGATGAAATGAATTTTATTCGTCGAGTGAAAATTGTGGGCTTTCCTAAATTTAGTTCTCGTAAAAAAGAGTTGATCAAATTAATGGAAAATTGGGGTTATACCGATGAAGAAATTGATTTTATTTTGAGCAGCTGTCGAGTGGATTATCAGATTAATAGTGACGATAATCTTGTCATGCAATTCTCAAATTTATTGGAAACAATCACTTTTAATCCAATTGAAATTCACACAAGCCATGTCATTCCATGTACCATTCAAGATGCCTTATCTGAGGAAGTTTCAGAAAAATTCGATCAACAAGTCAAAGAACTTGTCGTATCCATTGAATTAAGTCAAGACGCCATTGAGACTTTGAAAAAGGAAAAATCGGCTTCTGCATTGCGAATGGCATCAACAACATCCAAGACAAAAGTGCTCAGAGCGAAAGGAATTGACATTATTTCCATAATTAATGAACATTTAGCAAGTAGTGGTAGTGGTGGTGTCAGTAGTTGTAGCAGCAACAGCATTATTAGTCATAGAGGTGGTAGCGGTTCTGCTGCTGCTGCTGGTAATCATGAAGAACAACATGACCTCGTAAAAAAGGTCAACCAAGATCATCAAGAGGAGATTTTCAACATCACCTCAGTAGTAGCAACCACTGCAATGAAAATGGATAGTCCTGAACTATTGACAATAACAATAACCACTACTAATCCAAACATGAAACCTGATTCTGATGAGAATGAAGAAACAAATCTTACAAAGAGGAAACGGGAGCTCTATGATGATGCATTCCTTCTTGCCTCTTCTGTAAATTATTCTGACAAGAGCAACAACTTTTTGATACAGTCACCTGGAGAAGAAGAAACAACCAACAAGACGACCTCTGCTGTTGTATCATCAAAGAAGAGAATTGTGACACGAAAACGATGAACAATCACTCAGCACCGGTGCCGAGTTCGTTATCCTAAACAACGGAGTTTCGTATTTTCCTTTTCCTCTACTTGACTCCACTGCGCAGTTCAAACATGATCATTCCAAAATCTCCGATGAATGCATTCATTTAGAAATTAACTCATTTTAAATCGACCTTCATTCTGAATGATAGGATGATAATTTAATCTCATTTGGAAAACAAGATGGCATTATTGTTGTGAAATTTTGAGGTAAAATTTGGTAAAATTCTTTCTGAGGGCAAGTACATTAAGTACTGCGAACACGTGTGTGCGTACAAATGAATGGACATTCCACCGTCACCAGCATGATCATCATTCCACGACTTGTTAAAAAAGATTTTATCCAAATTTGTCCATTTACCATTTTGAAACGAATCGAGAGCATTCACAATACCAGCACACACCTCCACTACAACCTTACTTGTAATATTCACACTGTTACTGCTGCTGTTGTTATTGTTGCTGTATTGTGCACCCTGATGAGAAGCACATGATTTTCTTCTTGCAAAAAAACAACAACAAGAAACACACTCTTCAATAACCTTATTCAGTCCAATCATTCCAATTATTCCTTATTCCACTTCATCATTCAAATAGTTAATATCAACCATTCACATATTTGTTGTTGCATTTACATCACATTCAGAGAGACAAGATGACCAAACTTGCATCCAACAAGACTCTCGTGGTATTGGTGGCACTTTTATTGTTATTTGTAGCCACGGTATTCATTGATGCTCAACAACCACCTCCACCTCCACGACCATCCTCACCACCTCAACAAGCACAAAGTCAACAACAACAAGGTGCTGGACAACAACAACAATCTCAATCACAGGCCAGTCAACAACAAGGTGCTGCTGGACAAAAACAACCCCCAGCTCAAGCGTCACCACAACCTCAACAATCGCCACAACCTCCTGTTGGAGGACAAGGTGGTGGACAACAGCAAGGAGGACAAGGTGGTGGTCAACAAGGTGGACAAAGTCAACAACAACAAGTTCGTCGTCTCATTCAACGTATTTCCATCGATTTGAGAACCATTCAAGCAGCAGGTAGAAGATGTTTCGGTGGTGTTCAATTTCCAATGCAACAAGGAGGACCTGCTGGTCAATCTGCACAACAACAAGGTGGTGCTGATCAATCTGCACAACAACAAGGAGGAGGTGCTGATCAAAGTCAACAACAATCTCAACAGCAAACCAAACAACAGAATCAAACTCAGACTGTTCAAGTACAAACAACCACCACTCCTGCTCAGGGCCAACAACAGCAACAGGCACAAAGACAACAACAAGCACAGCCACAACGATCGCCACAACCTCAAGCTTCGCCTCAACAGTCACCACGACCTCAACAATCGCCACAACCTCAACAAGGCGGTGGTCAACAGCAAATGCCTCCACAAATGCCTCCACCCATGCAACCACCCAGCGATCAAGGTATGGTTGGTGGACCACAGGGTGGCCCTTCACAACAACAGGCTTGTGGATTAGTCTTGCAAGCAACTCAAGCACTTGCTAATAATACTCTTGCTCTACAGAATTTTGCTTCTTCATTCCCTAATACGACTCTTGGTGCTTTGCGTAATTTGACACAAATTGCTCCACTCTTGGTTCAACATGCACAGAGTGGTAATTGGACCTTGTATAAGACAGCTTTGCTGACATTTATAAGTAGTTGGCAGGCAATTCAGACGGCATCTCCAAGATTTGGTGAAGATTTCTTCCCTCCATTCCCTCCATTTGATGATGAAGAAGGAATGATGATGGGAGGTCAGCAACCATATGGGCAGCAGCAACAAGGTGGTGGTCAACAACCATATGGGCAGCAGCAAGGTGGTTATGGCCAGCAACAACCCTATGGTTATCCAATGATGGGACATCCAATGATGGGCCAACAATATGGACAGCAGTATGGTTATCCAATGATGGGTCAACGCAGACCTTATGGCTATGGAGGAAGAAGACCTTACAGTCACTACGATGATTATGGCCAATATTACGATGAAGGCGGATATCCACCTTATTATGAATATCCACCATTCTGCCCACCATGGTGGAATCCTTATGGAATGGGATATTATTAAATGAGTAGTGTTTATTGCCAATAGACATGGCGAGAAGACAGTCACTCGTGTATTCTTTGAAATAAAAACAGTGTGAGAACGTCAACAACTCTGAGAAATTAAAAAAAGTTTCTTATCCTCTCGAAACAAATCAAGCTTCAACTTATTGAGAATGTAAATTGAGCGTCTCAGTCAAAAGCAAGAATAGATTCTCATGCCTATAATCCATCATGGAAGCCAATTTAATCGTTTCAACTATACATCCATCAGTAGAGATGGTTCTTGATGCGAGACAATGACTCAATGGTTGCTTTCAGTCGTTCTTGCAACACTTGTGTGGAGTAAGGAAAGAGATTCTTTTGTTCCAACGAGAAAATTTGTTCATTCAATTCTTGTAAAAACTGAGAAATGATTGTCAGTTTTTCTTTCACTGCATTTTGTGTGCAAGGAGGATTAGAGTCAACTTTTTTTTTCGAATCATTCATCTTGGTCCATTTGGAAAATTTGAACAGTAATTTTAAAGCATTTTCACATGTTTCATCCGAAATCAGATAATCCATCATGACATTGATCTTGAATGAAAGAATTCCAATAAATTGAAACATGACTTCCAAAGGATGTAATTTTTCTTGAATAAATTGTTGAAGGACTTCATTCGAGCTTTGATTGTCATACTTTGACGACCATACTTTGAAAATATCCAACAATGAATTGAATATAATCAATAACTGTACATCATGAGAGACTCCAATGGCATAAATGTACGAATAAAAATCCGAAACGGAACATGTGTTTAAAAGTCGTGACATGATTTGTTCATTTCTTGAAATGAAAGATTCCACAAGTTTGCGAGCACTCTCATCACTTGAACAAATTTCAAAAGTTCTCAAGGCCAATAAAAAGTATTCCCTAGCTACAATAAAATCCATTGTTTCTGACACGAGAGTTTGAGACGAGTTTGGATCCACGAGTATGATCCTTCTCAAATAGTTCTCAAGAATGAATGAACATGTTTCAAGTAAAGTCGGCACCATTTGTATACAATTTTGGATGTTAATGATTGTTCGCATGATGGAAAAGAGTTTCTTACAATTAACATCCATCGTGTCGTATTTTGTCAGTTGCAACTTGACAAAATTGCTAATCGATGAAATGCAACGAAAATCCTCACCACTCGTATGATTTTGAGCAATCCAAAATTTCAAATAATTGTACAATAAATCATTCATGATGAACAGTAATGTAAATGGTAAATCTTGATCTCCTATATGTAAACATGTGAGCTCAATAAATTTAGAAAATAACTTGAAAATAGTAGAAATAAATTCCTCAGTGAGATTGTCTTTTCTAATGCATTTGATGCAATTTCTTAAAAACAGTAATGGTTCTGTATTGGGATCCAACTTGCTGTATATTTCGAGAATTTTTGGTTGCAGATTTTCTGAAATGTCTTTCATCACGGTTTGAATCATGAATTGTTTGGTTGTTTCAGAGGTTTCCAGTTTCCACAAACTGAATAAACACTTTTGACTAAGGAAAATAATGAGGCGTTCTCGAGAAAGATGAAGCCACGGAGACATCAATGGTTCCGATTGAAAATCATGTTCCGAGAAAGGAATGATGATGCCTGAATGAATATTCGCATCCAACACAATCGGACTCGAGAGAATAGGGATCAGCACTCTGAAAACAATTTCCGATAATTTCTTTTGGCGCAACTTTTCATGTTGTTGAATGGTTTTCAATATAGCCTCTCCATCTTGAAAGAAGTTCTTCAAGATTGTATCATCATGATCTTTTCTCATGAAATTTCTCACATCTTGATCATTTTCATTATTGTTTAATTGATAATAATAATTTTCATTCGGAATTTCCAGCTCGAATGGTGTTTGTTCATCATCCAACGCCCGATCTATCCAAAGTAAAAGTTCATTCAAATTTAAAACAGCTCGTTTCCAATCTTCCTCGTCGTCATTTGTACCACTTTGAATGAAAGAAGAGGTATTGCTATCATTATGATTTGAGAACTCCATTCCATCATTCTTTGAAGAAGTGTCTTCATTGATAATTTTTCTCTTTTTTGTTGGTGCGTTCATCATTATTTTTTTTTATTAATAATTAAAATTTAGAAAACATCATGACCATGAGAGTGTTTCATTCATATTTAACGTGTTTACAAAAATCGTGACAATGTTGAGGAAACTCAAATAGATCGGACTTACTGATAGAAAGTTCAAATAGTCGCTGAAGCAGATTCGATCCGTCGAATCGATCCTGATCAAATAAATTTCCTCAATGAATCCAGATCAACGAGCACACACATCCGGGGATGCGCACCCTTACCAAAAACCTCTTCCGCTATCATGATCAGAGGTTTATTCCATACAAAGACATGCTGCGTCACTTTTCAAACCATTCGTGCAATTTTAGAACAAGACAACAAAAAAAAATATTTCATATCTCCACCTTCATCATCATCGCCATCACTATCACTCGCCATGACCTCCAAATTATTAGAAGAAAAGTATCGTGAAGCCATCCGTTCTCTCTCCGTTTCCTGCAAGGAGAATATGCAATGCGTTGATTGCAACAACACCCAAAAGAAAACGTCCTTTGTGGTCTTGCAATATACGAGCTTTATTTGCGAAGACTGTGCCGATGCTCACCGATTCTATGGCTCTCAAGGAGTTAAGCAGATTGGACTCTCCAATTTTACCAAGGAAGAAGTTGAAACCATGCAACGTGGTGGAGGCAATCAGAAGGTACAACAAGTGTGGTACGGAGGAAGGAATGATATTGTCAAGCCAAATCCTAAATTATGTAGTTCCGATAAGGAATACAAGCAAAAGGTGAGAGAGCATATTGAGAAGACCTATGTCAAGCGTTTGTACCGATCCTCTTCATCATCGGTTGTTGATAATACGAATCAACAACCATCGGGTACAAACAATTCAATCAACACCAACACCACTTCTCTCAATCCTGGTACCTTTGGAGAGAATATTCCCTATAATAACGTTCAATTCAACAGTGGAGGAATTGATACCAGAAAGAGAGGAACAGATTTGAGTTCCACTCAGTACGCCAATGTAAAAACCAACACCTCTTCAACCATTATTCATAGTGGTAATATTGCCGGAGTGATGAATCAGCAAACCTCTTCTGGTTCTTCTGTTCAATCACAACAACAACCACAACCAACAATGGTACCACAATCCGTTAATAATCGACCACCCCAACAGCAGCCGCCACAAATGGGAATGATCAACAACAACAACATGAATCAACCTCCCATGATGATGAATAATATGGGAATGATCAACAACAATAATAATAATATGGGATTCAATCAAGGATTCTATAATCAACCACCACCACCACAAGGAAATTATATGATGCCACCAAACAATAACACCGTAATGATGGGATACAATCAACCTCCTCCAATGATGAATAACAACAACAATATGTCTTTCAATAATTATGGAAACAATTATCCTCCATACGGAAACAACACTAATACTTTCAACAATAATCCAACAATGGGAGGATATAATTCACCAAATAACATGATGATGCCTTACGGTAACAATTATGGCCAACAACAACCACCATTCAATAATAATTATAACACGATGATGGGCCCACCTTCACAAATGAACAACAATAACAACAACACTATGATGGGATACAACAATATGCCATCAATGAACAGTAGCAACATGAATTATAACAACAATAATTTCAATACCATGCAACAACAACAACCACCAATGAGCAACAATATGAATAGACCTCCACAACAACCACCAAGCAATAATTATGGTCACATTAGCAGCATGTCTCCTCCTTCATCATCGTTTGGTATCACCAACACAAGCAGCAACAATTTTGGAAATGTAAATACCACCACTCCTGTCAACAGTGGCAGTAATAGAGCCTCTCCTTCATTTGGCAGTACCAACGTCGTTCCATCTCCACCAAAAGCAACAGCAATAGTTCAGCCTCCTGTTTCATCCAATCCTCCACTTCAAACTCCTCACAACAAACCAGTGGTGATGAATCAACCTTCCTCAAGTACAGCTGGCTCAGGTTCATTTGGCACTCTATCAGGCAGAAGTGGAAGCTTCAAAGGTACCACTACTACTACTACTCAACCTTCCACATCTGCAAGTAGCACCTCCACAAGTCAACCACCAGTGAATACCTCAAGCTTGACCAATCAATTCAACAAATTGTCTTTGGGCGGTGGTTCATCAACAACCCTAAAAACAAGCCCAAGAGGCACCAACACAGCCACCAGTAGTAGTCTTCCAAATTCGGCAACCTCAACCTTAAAAACAAGTCCAAGAGGAACGAACAATACCCAGGGCACCTCTGGAAACAACAGTGCCACCACCACAACTCCAAAGGTTGTCACAACACAATCCGGTGTTCTCGTGGGTACTACAAAGACTATTGATTCATCTGAATTTGAAAAGACTCAAGCTGTGACAACTGGAACCTACATGGACGATTTACTAAAGAAAGCCAACCAAGACAATGACAAATTCAAGGAAATTAATCCAAGCAAAGTTGTACCAATGAAACAAACAACAGATTGGCAATAAATTGTCACACCATGTAAATATCGCCTTTTCACATAATCCACCGACCATGTACAACTTGTCTGAGATCAACAACACGGAGTCCTCCTCTCATGAATTCGTCATTGTCCACCATCCCTCAAAAAATAAGACCAACTCTTTGCACCCGCAGCAAGGAATTTCATCCGCAAACGTTTTTTTCTAAATCCAAGTTGATTGATATTGATTCCTCACCTCACACACCATTTGGAAATGATGCAACAACAACAACACGACTCTACCAATCTATTACTACTCAAAGAACCACCAGCAAACATCCCAGCCAGTACCAAGAACGGCATTCCCAGTCATCATTTACCTTCTTCGGATGTTTCTTCTTCTTCCTCATCATCATCACAACAACAACCTCTTCCACAAATTATTTACAATTTCATTGCAGGAACATTTATGAATGATGAACATCATCATTCCATCCATAACGATGAATGGATCATTAACAAATCACCAGCAACCAATCAAATCATTTCCTACATTCCAGCCTCTTCCGATCGTCATGTCCAACAAGCGGTTGATGCCAGCAAGAAGTGTTGGCGTGAACGATCATGGTGTGGACTCTCCGAAGAAGAACGTGCTCAATATTTAGATAAAATTGCAAATGAAATTGAGAGAAGAATGGATGAATTTGCAAGAGCTGAATCACTCGATACAGGTAAACCAATCACTCTCGCTAAAAACTTGGACATTGCGAGAGCTGTTTCCAATTTCAGATTTTTCGCACAGGCCATTCGACAAACTCACACCAAGGCCCATCTGATGGGTGATAAAGTCATTAATTACACCACACGAAGACCTGCTGGAATTGTTGGAGTCATTGTTCCTTGGAATTTGCCAATTTATTTGCTAAGTTGGAAAGTAGCTCCTGCTCTGGCTTGTGGAAATTGTGTGATTGCAAAAAGCTCAGAATTGACTCCTCTCACTGCCAATTTATTGGCTGAAGTAGTGAGAGATGTGAAATTACCGAATGGAGCTTTTAATTTATTGCATGGATATGGAAGAGATTGTGGACGTGCTATTGTGGCTCATCCTGATATTAATGTCATTACATTCACAGGTGGAACTGCTACTGGAAGAGTGGTTGCAGAATTGGCTTCGAGACATTTTAAGAAATTAAGGTAAGTGATCATGCTGTGAACACAAGCAATCATTATCATTCATTGATCATGTTTTGACGTAATTTGAACTTTTTAATGAAATGATATCAATATTTTCACAACAAATATTGTGACGGTTTGATATATTTATTCAATTGGCACTGCTCAAATTTCTATGTCATACCCGTCATGCACGACAATGTTCATTCTCAATGGTAAATTCAAAAATTGACCATTCTCTATGGGTTGATTCATTATTGAAAATCATCATGTGATACTAAAGCTTGGAATTGGGCGGAAAGAATCCATTTATCGTCTTTCCAGATTGTGACCTCGATAAGGCCATCGAAACTGCAAAAAGAGCTGCCTTCTTAAATCAAGGACAGATTTGTCTGTGTGCTTCCCGTTTCATTGTTCACGAATCGATCCATGATCAATTTGTGGAAAGACTCAAAAAACTCACTGAAGAAACAACAAAAATTGGAAATCCATCAGATGCTACGACAACCTTTGGTTCTCAAATTTCTCTCGAACATCTCGAAAAAATTGAATATTATGTGAAATTAGCTCAACACGAAGGAGGTACCATTGTGACTGGTGGCAAACGTCCAGATTTGTCACAACACGATCCACAACTCAAAGAAGGTGCCTTCTTCACACCAACGATTATTACTGGACTCGATTACAAATCTCGAACTGCAACTGAAGAAATATTTGGACCTGTTTGTACCATTCACAAATTCTCCACCGATGAACAAGCTCTTGAAATGGCCAATTATGTCGATTATGGATTATGTGCAACTGTTTTTACCAGTAATTTAACAAGAGCTCATCGTTTTAGTGATGAATTGGAATCTGGAATTGTTTGGGTCAATACTTGGTTGTTGAGAGATTTGAGAACTCCATTTGGAGGCATGAAAAAGAGTGGACTTCACCGAGAAGGTGGAGAATATAGTTTGGAATTTTACAGTGAAGATAAGAATATTTGTATTAATTTGTAAGAAGGGGTTGGAGGAATTGCAGACATTTTCGCGAAAGAATCTCAAGTCACTTGTCACAAAAGAGCGAATTAAAAGTTTTTAAAAAAAAAATGCCTTCTTTGGGATCCAAACAAAATTCCAAACGTTCCTCTTTACCTTCAGGAGCAGTTGTATCCTCCTCCTCATCTTGCACAACAAACGGCACTAAACGACACCATAGTGATAGCACTTTCAAGGAATCATCTCCTTCAAAAAACAAGACCATTGATTCCTTTTTCCGAAAGAATGATCATCAACCGCCATCTTCTTCATCACAAGAACAAGAACAACAACCTCCATCCGTTGAATCTCAAGAATCCTCCTCTTCGGATCTTCAAGGTCCTACTCTGAAAAAACAAAAAACATCATCCATTAACTTGCATCATCCAACTGCAGGGACTTTTAAAAAGAAATCAAATCCTAATAACAATCCATCCTCATCATCATCATCACCCTCTCCTCTATGTACCGGTCCTCTTGATTTATTATTTCAAAAGCAGAAAAAACCATCATCTTCTTCGCAACGATCATCAGATGATGAAACTGCTGAATCCTCTTCTTTGATGATCCCTAATAGTGATTACTCCTCGTCAGCTTGGGAGACGGAATGGTCCAAGTTGGATGATCTTCAACGCCAAGTCGTTCATGAAGACTCTGCCAAATATTTAATGATTAACGGTTCTCATGGATGTGGAAAAACTCTTGTGGTGGCTTTGAGAGCTCTTCATTTGTTGAAAAACGATCCAACGAGAAGAGTACTCGTTTTGACATTTTCAAAGAAGGCAGAACAAGAGATTCATGCCAGAATTTACAAATTTACTGGTTTTAAAAATAACCAGAATCAACGCATTCATGTCAAGACCATTCATGCGTTTGCCTTAATGATCATGAGAAAATTTGCCGATGAAAATCATAAAACTATTTCTAATGACGATCAAATATTGGAAATATTTAGAAAAACTAAACCAAATGACAAGATGACCAATGAATAATTTAAAGATCTACTCTCATGGTGTCAAAAGCAGAGAGCCAAAGGAAATACGCCTGCAGATTTTATGGATGAAGAGAGAGATTTTATGACATGGTATCAAGATGAGCTTTTAAAGAAGTGCTTGACATTGAATTCTCTGATCGAGCAAGCACATCAAGTATTAGAAACAAATCAAAATGCCAAACAATTTTGCTCACAATTTTTCACAGATTTATTTGTTGACGAATTTCAGGACACTTCTTTCAAGCAGTACGAACTTTTGAAACTTGCAGCCAGTCATGACCATTTGAAAAATATGACCGTTTTTGGAGATCAAAATCAATCCATTTATTCATTTATTGGATCAAATGGAGTGAAATTGTTCGAAAAGTTTAAAAATGATTTTACAGTTCTTGTGATGGACATGGTAACAAATTATAGAAGTACCTCTGAATTGGTCGATGTTGCGAATTGTTTCATGAACACCAGAACACTCAAAAGATCCTCTGCGCCAACAACACAAAATGAGAACAGTTGTATTGTAAATCAATTTGACTCTGTTTTACAGGAAATTCAATTTATTACAAACAAAATTAAGAATCTATCAATGAATGGAGTGAATTTGAACAGTATTTGTGTTTTATTTCGAAGAGACAAATTGCGGAATGATGTTGCAGAATCGTTGACAAGAGGGTATAAAAGTAGCCTCTCCAGAAAATGATCAATTTTTTGTAGTGTTAAAGATTCTCAAATTCATGCTAGGAGAAGGTGAGAAAGAATACACTGAAAAAGAACAAGATTTACTTTATATTACTGAACATTTTAAACCTTACATGAAAGGAATTGGTGAAAAGACTGTGAAAGATTTTTTATCAAAAACGGAAACAAAACAAAAGAAGAGGCAAGATCGTCTTTTGCACTTTGTTGACACATTGAAGACATTGCTAAGGAATCTGCGGAGCACACACAAGGAGCCCATTTCAATACCCGCCCTTTGTGACTATCTTTTGCAAAATTTTCTAGATGTGAAAAAGAGTGCCGATGAAGAATATATTCGACGAAGATTTTCAGCATATTCGAATGAATTGGCCTCTCTTCATGCATTGCGTGACATTGACGCTACTGTGACGAGCGATGTTGACCAAACTCATGTGATGATGACTGAGGGAGTTGTCCTCTCGACCATTCATGCAGCGAAAGGTCTTGAGTATGATTATGTCTTCATTCCTGAAGTTCAAGATGGAGTCATGCCTCTACAGAAAAAAGTGATCGATCTATCAAAGGTTCCAGAGAAGCAAATTGAGAAGATTGATGAGAGTGAAGAGAGAAGAATATTTTATGTGACCATGACACGAGCGAAACGATGTTTGTATTTTACTCACGTGGAACCTTCACAATTTATTTCTTGTATTTTCACACACAAGTCATTGAAACAACTTTAAGGTAGTAGGTTTATGGACAGTTGACAACAGTTGCAAATATTTGAAATAGATGTAGCTATAATTTATATTTATTGAGACTTGGTTTTTCTTCTTCACATGAGATTAATCCATCTTCAAATGTTGAGGATTCATCCGAAATGTCGTCATTTGGCAGCCCCAATGCCGAGCAAGCCAAAGCCCGTTGTTCACATGCTCTTTTGATTTGTGCCACGTCATGCGAAGCTGATATCACCAATGAGAAATCCATGATTGCACTCTGATAATCCTTCTTCTTCATATAAACATCTCCTCTGTCCAAATAGGACTGCAACATTGAGGGGTTGCATTGAATGGCTGACGAAAAATCGCGAATGGCCTGTTCATAGTCACCAAGTGAATCGTAAACACAGGCTCTGTTATAATAGGGATGACCATTCATGGGATCTATTTCAATACTTTTTGTACAATCATCAATTGCCTTTTGGTACTCGTGTTGAAGTGAATAAAAAAAACCCCTCTGAGCAAGAGCTTGTGGACTTTCATTTGTGAACTCAATCTCCATACTTAAATCCTCAATGGCTTCTTGAATCATTCCAAATAACGAGTAAACATTCGCTCTGTAACTATACGCTCGAACATTCTTTGGCTCTTGTTCAATCAATTCAATCGCTCTACAAAAATCGTTCATGGCATTGTCGAAATCTTTCACATAAAAAAATGCTTTTCCTCTTTCTAAAACTGTTTTTGATTCCAAAGAGGGATCTAATTTCATGCATGTTGTAAAATCTTCAATGGCCAGTTCATATTCTGATAGTTCTAAATAACAGAGGCCTCTTGCATGATAGGACTTGGCATCTTTCTCATCAAGCAGAATAATCGTTGTGAAATCTTGAACAGCTTGATCCAATAGTTGTTGTTGTTTTCGTTCTTGATATTTCAAATAAATACTACCTCTTCTGTACAATGAGGGTATATCTTCTGGATTCAATTCAATGGCACAAGAATATTCATCGAGAGCATTTTCTAATTGTCCAATAGTTTCATAAATTAAACCTCTATTGAAATGCATCTCAAAATCATTGGGATCTATCTCAATGGCTTTGTTGAAATCTTGAATTGCCAGATCATACTGTTTCATGTTGTGATATAAACTTCCTCTATTAATATACACTTGTTTTTCTGATGGATTTAGAGAGATGGCAGTACAATAATCCTCTAATGCTGAATCATAATCATTCAATTTCTCTAAACGAAATCCTCTGTTCAAATAAACATAGGGATGAGTAGGATTAAGATCAATGGCTTTCGAATAGCATTCAATGGCTGCATGATTGTCTGTCATGTTCATTCCTTTGAACACATAAGCCAAAGGAGAATCTTTCAAATGATCGCCAAAATCGTTTGGATTTTTCAACAAACAGATACAATCTGCCAAATAATGCAGCTCAGAGGGTAAATTTTCTTTTTGTTTCTGCATCCAAGCAACGACGTCAATAGAATCCACGTGTTCCTTTGCGCTCATTCGATAGATTCCTTCGAGTAAGCAATTTTGAAATTCCATTTCTGATTCGTGACCTTTCAAATCTCTAAAATAAAAATACCAAGCCATTAATAAAGTTTCCATAATGTGTTGAGAATTCATTCTTCTTGAAGGTTCGATCTGCAAGCACGACCAAATAAACGGAGCAAGTTGACATCTTTTCATTTGATCACTACCGTCAAAGATTAGTTTCCAGATTTCTGATTGTGAGAGTGTGGATAGAACAGTGTTCATATCTTGAGTAATGACTTGATATAAAACACAACCAAGACTCCAAACATCAATGTGTGGAGAATATTTTCGATGTTTGACTTCTGGTGCATTGATGTGAAGTTTTCCAACAGAAAAGGAAGCTTGTTTTTCAGAAGATACACTACTGTCACAACTGCTACTGTTGCTACTGTTGATACTGCCACTACTGTCACTACTGCTACTACTATGACTTTCCCCAACAATTATTGACGTGTCAATCGATTCTTGCGCTAAAAGCAACACCTGTTCGAAATCAATGACACGAATTCGACAATAATTTTTTCCAATTTCTTCAATAAGAATGTTGTGAAGTGAGAAATCTCTGTGAATGAGCTTCCTTTCATCTGTATGAAGAACAGTCAACACTCTCGTTAATCGAAAAGCCAAGTCAAATAATACTTCCGTCGAGAATTGAGATTTCTCTCCTTTTTTCATGCATTCCACATATTCATCCAAATCACCCTCTCGATAGCATGGCATAATAATTACCAAATATCGAGTGTTCTTTTTAACACTTTCAATCACGTGTAAAATTTCACAAATATTTTCGTTGGGCTGAAGGGATTGAATGACACGGCAAGCTCGAAGTTCTCTCTGGTAGAGTGTATCGGATTCGTCTGCGCATTGTTTTACAACTCTCAACATGACATCATGATCATGTGATATGGATGCAGCAGAGGTAGATGCGGAACTATCAGACACACAACATTTTGCTTTCATGATTTGAATGGAGATCGATTCGGGGAGATCATGATCATTCATAATCATCTCCACGGTCTTGGATTTTTGTACCGTAAATGATTCATAATGTTTTCCAGTGTTTTCGTAGAGGAGTTGCTTGTAGAACTGTTCCATTCACAGTCGCAACAAGAGTTGTCACTTATTTTTTTTGTTGTTGTAATTCTCATATCCAAACATTAAAAACTATTAATGTTAATAATAATAACGTTAATTAATAACGTTCTGGAATTCTACTGGAAGGAGGAGGAGGCACCACCATAACAACGATAGCGAATGGGTGGTATGTCATCCATTTCCTCTAGAGTGATCAAATCATGGCAACAAATGTCGATCAAAATAAATTTCGAGGAAACTGGTGTTTTGGTTTTTTCAAACACTAATTGTGAAATTGGCTTACTAAGATCTTCCAAACGACGTTTTGTGAAGAATGAATAGAGCATACTACGTCCTGTTGAGCACATACTAATTTCTAAATTATAACACTCTTTCATAATGTCGACAAGATCTTTCAATGTAATTTCTATATTTTCATCAATGTCTATCGTGTCCCAAAAGGTACAATAGGTACGATTGGGAAATGAGGAAATGGTTGGATTTTTTGGAGGAGTTTGTGTGAACAATGTTAGACAGTTAGTTACATCAATGGTAGCATTGTTGTAAGAGTCTCGAAATCCTTGAATGACCTGTGCGAGGATCATGTTGTTTCAAACAAATGAAATGTGACACTTCACAAAAATTACAAAATTCACATCACATACCTTATAAAACTCAAGACATCCAAGAGCAGACATTATGGAGGATATACTTAAAATTGATGGTGTAGAATCGAGTGTAGTGTTCCAAATAATCCATTTTGCGGGTTGAACAATTCTGAAATTTTCACAGCGTAATATCGTTGCGATGTAAATGAACTGAAGATAGTGCTTGTGCTCATAGTTTGTGTAGGGATGCAATTCAATGTCGGACAGTATGTTTGATTGTTGCAGCAATTGACCATAATCCATGTCATCGTCTTTCATCATGTTGTTTCTTGTATTTCTAATTGAATATACACTTTCATCATGGTTGTGAGATATCTCTTTAAGAGATGTCAATATATCAAATGTTTCAGGAACCTCAAAACCATAAAGTTGGGCCCTAAACTTGAACAGTAACAGCACAAACTCCACATGATTGGGATTGCATAAATCGAAATTTAACACTCTAGGAAATCGTTTTGTGACGCTCCAAAAGTAGGTGCCATCTGTGGTTATCATGTAAAATGGATAATTATCAATCAATAACTGTATACTAGTATTGAATAAAATTTCAAATTGAAGCCGTGCCCATTTCAAGCATTCCAATAAATTGTTTGGTCTATATCGAACTAAAATATCATACATATGTTCCTTAACCGTAGTAGAAATAAGTGCGGTCGGTTCTTTTACATAAGTTAATGCAGTTTCTGCATAAGTTGTAAACTCTCGGTAAAAAAAAGTCTCGGCCCAGTTAAGACATTGAATGGGCAGAGTAGGAGCAGCAAGTTTGTAATAAGGCTTCTCATCAATCAGGTTTTCCGGTAAGTTTGTGACATAGGGAACCACGATTTGGAGGTTATATTTGACTCCATTATTGCATGTTGTTTTGATAAGAGATGTTTTGTCTCGATTGCAAAATTCCATAAAATCCACTGCACTAATGATGTCACAGCTATCTGTAATCATGTCCACTGAAAACGCTGTCTTGATAATGGATGATTCTTTCAAAGGAGTAATTAATTGTTGTGTTTTTGAGGCTGAAGAATGGATTGTTAGATGTTTCAATTTTTGAACAATCTCTGCAGATGCTTCAGCTTTAGTCAGTCCAACATGTCTTCTCCTGAACAGGAAGTGTGTTCCAAGATGCTTCATGCTCACTTTTTTATCATCACTCACCAAGAAGGATCCTTGAAGGCCATTACCAACACCCATCATGAGATAATTTTTCAAGTATTCACAACCCATAGGTCCAATGGTGTACAAGAGGTGTTTCGAGTTTTCAATTTTCTCATGTACTTGTTGTCCAAAAATTAAGGCTTGGGAACTGTACATGGTGCCATTCATACAAGGATCAATATCTTGACTGCTCCTCTTCACAAGCTTCTCCTTTTGATGCTTGTTTACACAGTCAAATGCATCAAAATAAAAGAGTTGATTTGGAATAGGTTCGTAATAACCACTGGCAGCTTTTTGAATTTCCATCGCTGCAATACCTCCAATCAAAGAGGAAATGGTCGCAAGTTGCGAAGAATAAGTTGCCGCAACGAGCATTAGAATGTCTTGATCTTTTTTTTGAAAGGGGTTGTGCATTACCACATGTCTCATTCACTAATGTAATTAATTTTTTGAAATCTTCACATGAATGTGGAACTCTATGAAATGTCTTATAGAATTTTCCGATTGTCATAATGGATGCATGAACAATATTGGGATTATCTACATGCAACACACATTTTTCGAGAGAAGGATTTTGAAGTATCTCCGTTATTGGTTTGTGTTTAGAAATTGTTTCTTTGCAAACTCGAATGGCAAATCCAGCACTAACTGGATTAAAAGGTGGCAAAATCGATGCGTCAAGATCGATAGTCACACACAAGTTGCTGTCATGCAAATAATTTACCTCAAGGCATGTAAAGTAAGAGCCGTCAATTTCGGGCATGCTTTCAATTCCTTCAAGAGAAATAACATCTCCTTCTTTCAAATTATTTGTTTGGCCCTGTTTGGAACCTCCCCTCAGTGTGATAATGGCAGGATTCGTCGGTGAAACATCAATTACATAGAAATAATCATAGAGAACAGAATTTGGGTGAGGTAAATCCTTGTAAACAAAGGAATTTCCAAAATCACAAAAAACAGATCCAACAAGACCTCGCGTCTCGGAGGCAATCATCTCGATGTCGTGTTTTCTACAATTCTCATTCACAGTGATCAGATCAAGCATGCTATAATTATTAATGGAAACGATAGTAAATTGTGAAATGAATTGATCATCTTGTAATTTTGATTTTTCAATATGGTCACAAAATTCGACAAACACTTGCACCTTTCCACCCTTGGATGCAAAATACTTTTCGTAAATACGTTGAATTTCTTTCTTCATATGATTCCAATCTCCTTCATTGTCTTGTGAAGGTAGAGAGAATAAATTATCCTCATCTTCATCCTCCAATAAAAACGAAAAGGTTTGAAATATTTCTTGTAAGCCTTTTCCATGATCTCTCAAGAAATTCATATTTGAAATCTCAATCAAAAAGGTTACATCGTGATGAATGGCTCCAAAACTCAGCACAATATTCTTGGCAATTTCCAATCCAATCAATACATCCCCACAACTATGTTGTAATAAATGATGAATCAGAATGGTTTGTTGTTGCATGCGATCCACTCCATCGGAACCAAAAAATTGAGTAAGTGCTACTGATGGAACACCAGCAAGTTCTTCCTCTTGAGGTTGATGGAGAGGAGTTGAGATCATTTTTTCAAAAGATGAATTAGCTTTATATATCAAAGATTTTCTCCTTTTTAAATTCATATAAACTTTCATGAATTTCTTCTTGATGATTCTCTCCTTAAGGGAATCTTGGATCTTCGAGAGTTCCTCTAGGAAGACCAAATCCTTGAAAATATATCATCAGATTTTTTCAACCATCAATTTCAAAAAAAAAATATAAAAAAAAAACACCCTGTTCATCATCATGGGACAGTATTGGTCGAGTTGGAGTGAGCACGGACTCGATCACAAAGAGGACAAACTTGCGGTGGAACCTCCGATCAAATGGACCAATGAGATGGTTATGGATTGGCTCTCAAAACATGGCTTTGATGATTACAAGAAACATTTTATCGGAGTGAATGGAAGCATGTTGCAGAGTTTAACCAAAGATACTTTGGTGGATGAGATGAATATTCCGACGGGTGTTGCTATTAAATTGATGAGAGAGGTAGATCGGTTATTTGTTCATACTGTGGGTAGCTCTGGCTCTCCAAATTATAATAATCATAATAACAACAACAACAACACTGCAACATCTCATCTGAATCATCCTAACAACAACAACAACTCACAAAATAGTAATCTTCAAACCAATGCATCCAACAAGTCTATAATTTCCATCTCCACCACCACGACATCATCATCAAGTTCTGTCAATGATCAAATTTCCATTCAACAAGACGATGAAGAAGCGATCAAAAAGTGTCTCATCAAATTGGACAAGTTAAAAGGACTGCAAAATTTATCGGAAAAACAAAAGCGAGATAAAGCAAAGAATCTTGTAATCAAACATCACTTATTGAACAGTTATTTGAACAAGGATTTTGTGGCAACTAAAAGAACTATTACTGAGCTGATCAATGACTCACCGGTGCCTTCATCTTCCTCAACAAGGCATAATTCTGTTTCGTCGTCTTCCTCTTCATCAATTGGATCCATCATCCCGTCAAGTAAAGCACCAACGATTATGATTGCATCTGAAAATGTGGAAATTCATGATACTGGAGCTGTTAATGATGATGAAGATAAAAAAGATTTACAAAAAGTAGCAAATGAAATTTCCGATTTACAAACCAACAAGAATTATGTGATCAAAGATGAGGAGTTTTTAAAGGTAAAATTGGTGATTGTAGAGCTTCATAGAACAGCAGCTCAAAGAAATTTTAGAAAATTTCTTTCACCTGTCTTGGACACGTTCAATGTTGTGCCACAGTTTGGACTCTTCCACTCTGCTCTTGTCGTTGGACCATGGTATTTAGAGGTATGTGCAACTTGAAAAAGTAACCGCTTTGGTTTGTGACAAGTGTGATTGTTTTTTCATGTATATGAACTATCATGGGACCGGTTAATTGGTTGACATTTTCGAATTATATGATTTATGTTTATGTATATGAAAATGACATAAATCATAAACATAAATGACATTTTCATGAACATGGGATGATGTATCGCCAATATTGTGACATATACACCACGAATGTCACTAGTGGAACGACTCTTCACTAATTGTACCTCGCAAATGCTATTCAGGAGCAGCAGTATTGGCTGCAGACGTGGATCGAAGTTTTAAAGGACCTCAAGTAGGAGAAGCTCTTGAAAAAATTTCTAACATTATTTGTAATTGGAATGCTAACATGATGTATTCACAACAAAAGGCTAATTGCCAACATTTTGTTGATGAAATTTGTTTGGCTTTGGGTATTGAATTGAAATTTAAAGGAGCTCTTGGAGATTACTGTGAAAAGTTGCGAACATTTGGAAGTTGTGAGCTCAATTACAGCATTCCAAAAGAATTGAAAGAAAAATGTGAATTCACTAAAGAAACTTGGAAATTTACAAGCCATTCCCAGTTGGATGATTTTGTACATACCATTTGTAAGAAGGATCCTCTCTATTTTGAAAAACGACAAGACGATTGGAGTTTATTGAAAAGCTTTGATCGAGCCTTTTGGCTTAGATATTACAAAAATAAGAAGAGTGACGATTTTAAACCATGTTCCAATGGTTGCCCCTTTTCTGATCCAGCAACAAGGTAAGTTTCTAATTATTGGTCGATAGTGAGTAGATCCATCGATTTAATCCTGTGTAAAAACCAATGTCATTATGAATAGTGGCTCAATAATGGAAAACTTTTTCACATTTGGAAGTAAAAAGAGGTAACCAAACTGGAACACTAGATGGTAGTGTCATAATCTAAAGGCTAAACTGGTAATTACTCTCAATCCAACAACATATATGAGATGTTCATTGCTCATTCATGCTTGCTTTTATTTATTTCAAATCAATTTTGATGTTGTAAATAAATGATTCTTACACTTACACACCCAACCAACATTTCACCAGTGGTTAGAAATTATGACACCCACCATGTGTTTGTTCATCATATTCTCTTTAGAATTTCACCCTTAATAATAATGAAAGGATTTATCTAAAGGTTCTAAAAAAAATTACCTCAACCATGAATTATCGTTTGATCTTCGTCACGGCAGAGAAAGAAGAGCTCGTTCTGATAAAGGCTTCGTTGAAATAAAAAGTGTTGTTGGGTCCCTCTCTAATAACAACAACTGAAACATGTTCAACAATTAATGGAATCAAGATTTATAATCTACGCTGATTTAAGAGGTGTAACTTTAAGAACCTACAATCTCGATGAAATTAGAAGATCATTAGAAAATGAAATTAATTTCACACGTGTCGGTAATGCTCCTTACTTCTTGGTTCTTGATGAATTTGGAGTGTGTTTCTTTCAAAATATTTAAACAAACGTGCACGAAAGGATTCAATATTTACTGCAATGTATGACATTATCTGCGCATTACTCCACCCAATCAATCAAGATCCAAGATGCTCATATTTGTGGAAAGGGAACATTCTTAGATTTACTTGGACAAGGGCTATTTAGGCCAGACTATCATTATCCGTGTGAAGTCCACAGAATCATCAATAATTCATTTTCCAAAGACAACATTTTGGGTATTGTTGAGCATAAAAGATTCTCTCACTAGCAAAATGAATCAATGAATCAATGAATGAAGAATTATCTGCATGAAAAGGGTTACGAGCAAATGCATTTGTTGACAAACTTTATCAACAGTCCTGAAAAACGTCAGAATTAGGAAAGCGACAAATTAGTACGTCTGTTCTTTCCTCCTTTGATAATTGAAAACTTTCTCACTGATGTTCAAATTGGAAAAGATTATAAGAGTTTTACTAAATCCTTACTTACATTGATTTTAGAAGAATATCACATTATTAAGGACATGAGACAAATTTTTGAAAGGTGTTTCAACATTCTTTTGGACATTCAAATCTACATTGGCTTCTGCTTTGGGACAAACAATTGGTTGTGCATTTCCTTTTCTTAAAGATACCATCATTGGATCTGGGCACATTTCAATATTAAGATATTGGGAAAGATTGACTCACCAATGAATTCATCAACAGCATCACAGAAAACAAAATGGATTACTGATCATTGGAGAAAAAGTTGGTGATGTTTTAAATAAGAAGAGTTTCAACTTATCCCAATACATCTCTTGTCATTGCAGATAAAGATGACATGCAAGAGAGTTTTTAGGAAAAGACAATTTGAAAGCTTTTTACCGTCTGCCAACACCCATTCTCTTGTGCATGCGCAACGCAGTTTTTGGATGACGCCACTTTCGCTGGAGAACAGCACTTTCGCTAATTCTAGTCCATTGTCCAAGCGAATCTCTGCTCACTCCAGCGAAAAAACTCGTTGCGCACACATAAGACTATACATTCGCTCTTGTAGACTATAGTAGACAATGACAAATTAATAGAAACACTTTTCTTTTCATCAGCAACAAAATAATTGGAAGATAATCTGTTACCAATTTAACTCTGCAAAGCACATACCTTTTTGAAAATTGTAATACATATCTTGTCATAATATTCACATTTAATTGATCCGAATGATTATTATTTACAAACAGATAGAGCTTCCCATCATTTTCACATAATAGGACAACTCCACCACTGGTAATACTGACAATACAATTTCACTTTGTTTGTCCTGTGACATTTGACAAACCTCAAGAGATTGATTCTTTTCAAAAATAACGATATTTGGATCTGAATTGAACCTAGATGCAAGATCACCAACCATTGGAGAGGATCCTTTTGACAATTGTGCTTGACCAACGGCTTGAACTTTCACAGGAGTCGATTGCAGTGGTGAAGAAGCGTTCATTGTTGAAGCGTCATTCAAAACATTGGGTGACAAGCCAGGTGAAACATTATTTTCCATTAATGAGGACATTAATACGGCTTTCACACAATTGTTTTGAGGAGAGGAAGCATTGGATCGAAGGAGTCCTTTCAATGTAATTGGAAATTCTAATAAATGGTGTGAAATGATATTCTCTTGCATGAGCAAATCATCGTAATCGAATAAACTAGATTTGACGAGTAAAATTCCAATAATGTGATCACCATAGGGTTTGGATAAATCCATGTCCATTGTCGAATTGATCAAATTACTCTGTTTGTAAATTTCAATAATATTTTTGTGTATATATCCTTCAACTTCAATAGAGAAATCTAAAACCTCATTCCAAGAAACTTCCTTTCTTCCCACTTCGAGACAAGTGACAGTTGTCTTTTTGGTTTGTTTCCAATTGAGGGATGGATTCACAGACGAAGAAATGGGTTTCACGAATGGAACATTTTTCTTTGATCCATTCAATCCAGATGATTGTGTATTAAAGAATTCCACACTCCATTCAATTTTCACAAAAGGTGTCACACAATCTTTAAATCCTGGTAAAATATCCGAAATGGTATCCAAATGATGACATTGTTTCACTTCAAATTGACCTTCAAAGTGAAAGTGAACTTTTTGTGGATAATCATTTCCAATGAGAATTTCCTCTGCTTGATCTTCTGCAAGTGCTCCTGCAAATATTTTACTTCTTCCATTCACATGATGATATTTGGAATTTCCATGATTGGTTAATTTGAAATTCTCGTCACTAGTGGAATCGACGACATCCTGATGCAATCGAATGGATCCTCCTCCTCCTCCTCCATTGGAGAGGAATAATTGTGTCGGACTTTCTGCACTTCTTCTCTTGAACGCATTTTTCGAAGGCGATGACAAGTATTTGGAATTTGTTGTGGTCGAATGGGTTGTGTCGTTTTTTCCTCTTGGTGACAACATGGCCATGACAGGTGACGTTGCAATTTCATACGAATCATCATCGAGTGGTACCATTCCATCATCAGTTCCATCCCCTGGATGATTCGAAAACAAATCTCGATCTACCAAATATCGTCTCGATCGATCCAACATTTCTTCCGCTTGTTCTTCTTGTTCATCTTTCACATTTCGACATCCGAAAAGTAATCGTTTGAAAGAAGTCGATAAACTTTTTTTCGAAAGTGACGACGAATGTCTCGAAATTGGATTTAATTTTACATTTTCCATGGATTGATTCGAAGTATTGGGATTTAAATGTTGTCTTGGAGTTGTTGCTGAATTGGGTGTTAATGTTGTTTTGGAAGAATTTTTCAAAGAATTGTTGGATGGATTGACAATTGACACGCTCGAAGGTTGTTGTTGATACCATGTGGCATTAGAACCAATATTGATACCACTTCCATGATCACTGGCTTGATCCAAGTGTTGTGAGCTCACAATCGTAGTGGTTCCGTTAATCGTATGTCGATGATGATAAGAATTAGTATTATTAGTATTATTAGTATTATTAGTATTATTCAATAATGATGGTTGTTGTTGTATTTGTGTCGAAGAAGTGAGAGAAAGAGAAGCGAATGGCATCGTCGTACTCGTTGTGAGAATATTATGGTTATTGGTGATGATGGAATGAGCATTGGTCTCAGAACCGTTACCACCAACGTCACCACTCCCCGAAGAAGAAGAAACGGAAGACAATGCTGCTGTGGTTTTTGTTGATGTTGTTGCTGTCAGAGAAGTTCCTGTTGTGGATTTGCGAGAAAACTTTTTCATGTTGTTTGGAAAGAAGTGTTTAGAAATGGAGTGAAATTGTAAAAAACCGAAATTGTTTGGAGTTTTTGATGATGATGGTGGGAGGTGTGAAAGAGGTCACAGGTCTTGTTGTTGATCAATTTTTTTTGATGAAAAAGAACCACATGAGGTTTGACAAGATGACATTTTCATTTATTTTTAAAAATGTGATTTAAACTTTAAAAATCAAGTGCCCTTAATCAACGAAATCAATTATTTCATGAATCATTAACGTAATTTCCGTGGCCACTTAAATCTTTCCCAAGTGGCATCCAATTCTTGTTCGTTCAACGCTAAAGAGAGAGATTATTCAAGAAAGAGCTGGAAGAGAGTGAGGATGAGATCATGAGATCAGTAATTTGCGAGTAGAGTAGGAAAGTGTGAATGATGCAAGAGTAGTAGAAAGGTTCAAATTGTGGTAATTATTCGACTTGGTATGAAATTTCAAAAGAATTCTTCAACCATTCCTGTTGTGTTTCAATTCTTTTGTTTATAAAGAACATTTGACATGTGCTTTTACTGCTTGGTTCTCTTATTGCTCTCTATCATTGGATTATTCAATAATGAGGGGATGGGAGGATCTTTTCGTTTCAAAAGATTGAGTGGTTGTGGATTTTCTTGGAGTTGTTGTTGTTGTTCGATATTCTCCTTATTACTGTCAGAAAAGAGCATTTTCAAACTGTTGTTGTTGTTAATATTTGAAGAAAGAAGACCTTTCGATCGCCCAATTTGTGGTGGTCGATCTTTGAGATTCGAAGCAGCACTGGAAAGTGGAATGTTGTTCGATGTGGTCGACAACGACGACGACGACGAATTTAACAACATTTCAGCAATGCTATTATTACTGTTATTACTTCCACGTTTCACATAAATAGATGCTCGTTCTCGAAGAGGAGCCTCACCACTCATCGTCGTATTCGTCATGGAAGTAGGAGAAGTGGATTTACCTGCGTTGGCAGTGAATGAAATATTACTCTGATTGTTCGTGAAGGAATCTTTCACATTCATATTACTGAAGAGAGGTTTTGGCAATTCTGAAGCTCGTTGTGCCAAATTGGCTGTCAAAGCACTAAAGAGAGGTTTCGTGGCTGCCCATTCTTGTTTTTGAATTTTTCGAATGAGATTGTCTTTTTCCAAGATCAACTTTTGAGCTCGCATTAATTCATCTTTCAAGTCATTGTTTTCTTGCTTAATTTTCATTTGGTATTGAATCTTTTGTTTGTGATTGTTATGGCCAATGATCATCTCGTGGTCTTTTCGAAGCGATTCGAGCTCTTCCTTTAATTGGGCTGCTTCGGTGGCACTTTCTGAACTCTTCAACTTTAAAAATTCAATTTCTTCTTCCAAACGCTTTTGTGTAGTTTCGAATTGCTCTTTGGTACGTTTCAATTGTTCTTCGTGTTGCATTTGTTGGGTCAGCTTGCTCTTCTCTAAAGATAACTTTTCATTAAGGTCATCCAAAGTCGATCCTAGCTCATTAATTTGAGCTTCCTTTTTAAGAGCAATTTCTCTTTCAGATTGTAAGGATTGAGACAATGTGTCACATTTCTTTTTGAATTGAGAAAGTTGTTCTTGCAATCGAGACATTTCGTGTCCAGAAGTCAATTGTCGGATGAGATCTTGTTGTTGATCAATTTCTGATTGTTTCTTCTCAATTTCAAGTCGAAGATTATTCACCGTGTCTGACAAGGTGGAATTTTCCTGTTCAAGCTTTGCATTTTCAGACTCGAGAGAGGCGATTGCTTTGGCACGATCCAAAAGTTTCTCTTCTTGCTCGCTGATTGTTTTCTTTTGCTCTTCAAGTGTCTCGGACAATGATTGATTTTCTTGTTCGAGAGAGGCAACTATTTCTTCTTTCGATTTCAACTTGTTGATCGAGTCTTCCATACGATCTTTCAGCTCTACATTGGAGGCTTGGGCTTTTTCGAGTTCCATCTTTAAATTTTCAAGCTCAGTCTCCTTGACCTTCAATGCGATGGTTTCGTTCATGATATGATCATTCAACTCTCGTGACATTTCTTCTTTTTCTTTGATCATTGCATCTAGTTGTTCTTGATATTGCTCAAGTAAGGTTTGAACCTTTTCCAATTCTTCACTCTTCTCCTTCTTAAATTCTTCAAAGTTATTTAACAGAACTTGTCTCTCTTCAGCATTGGTCTTGTTCTCCATGTTAAGAGCTTCAATGAGTTCTTGAAGATTGCGAATTTCCTTCTCGTATTCCTCTTTAGCCATGGCTTCTCTTTCGAGAATTTGTTTTTTCTCCTCTTCTGAAACACTTCCAATCGAGTTGACATGAGTAAGGAGCTCGTCATTCTTCTCTTGTTCAAAAAGGATGACATCTTTGAGAGAATTGAGCTTCTCTTCGTAGTGGGCCTTTGTTTGTGAAAGGTCTTGAAGTGCTTGTTGATACTTTTCTGAAATTTCTTTCACACTTTGTTCAGAAGTGTTGACCTTTTCCTGTAACTGTTCTCTTTCAATGGAAAACTCTTCAGACATAAATTCTAGGCGTGACTTGAGATAGGACAGCTCTTTATCCTTATCCTGAAGTAATTGCAGTTTGGCTTGGACAGCTTCTTTGAGAGATGAAATTTGTACTAATGCATCCGATAAGGAGGTGTCTTGAAGGGTTTGAGCTTGACGTACCATTTCCAATTCCAGATTCTGTTCCTCCAATAATTTCTGCTTCTCATCAAGATTGGTCGTGAGCGAGTTGACCTGAGAACAAGATTCTTCGAGTTGGGTTGTGATTTCAAACATTTGTTGTGTTAACTTTTCTTCAATCTGATTCTTGTGACTCTCTGAAACTAAAATTAAATCTGTCAACTGTTTCACCTCATCTTTAAGAGATTCCACCTCTTGCTTCAGAGTATTTTCATTGTTTCTCAACTCTTGCATAACAATTTGTGATTCCTTCTCTCTCATGGCCAACTCTTGTATCAGCGATTCCTTTTCAGAAATGGTCAATACTAGTTCATGTTCTCTAAATGAGAGAGTGTCCACTTGATTATTGAGCGATTCAATCTTGGTATGGAGCTCTGACAACTCTGAGCTCCTTGTCTGTTCCACCACTAGAGTCTTATTTTCATAGAACTCTTTCGTCTCTCTCAATTCTTGCAACGTATCTTGAAGCTGCTTTCTAATGGTTGACAATTCATTCTCAGAATTAGATTTGATCATTTCTTCTCTGAGCTTAATCTCTTCCATGCTGAGGGCAGCCTCTTTCATATTATTTTGAACGGTTTGATTCAAGACAAGAATTTGATGATTGAGTGCTTCAATTTGATGGTCCTTGTCGGATAGTGTGCTTCTCATTGTTTGAATTTCCATCTCATACTGTGACACCAAATTCGAGAAGGATTCACTTTGATTAAGCTTTGACTTTAAATCTTCAATTTCAATCTTTTTCTTTTCAAGCTCAAACATTAACTCTTCGACTTGTTTTTGGCTTTCAGATTGTTGCAGTTTGAGAGACTCTTCCATGAGCAATAATTGCTCCTCTCGTTGATGTTGAACTTGTTGTTGTTTTTCAATATCGTCAATAATTTGCATGACTTCATTTCTTTGATCCAGAGATTCTTTCAAGTTATTAATGACATTCATACATTCTTCCTTTTCAACAGCAATCTCATCAACAAGTTGTTTGACACTTTCGAGTTGTTTCCAGGCCAATTGTTCATTCTCTTGACTCTTTGTCAGTTCTTGTCGTAAAGTGTTAATGGTCTCTAAGGATTCTTCATTTGCTTGTTCCAAACGAGTAATTTCTCCCAGCAATGTTTGATTCTCGTTGGACTGTATTTGTGTTTGAATGACAGCAGAGGTTCTTCTGTATGTCTTTTCCATTTCTTTGATTTTGGTAACAAGTTTTTCCTTCTCTCCAGTCAGGTGTCGTATGGAGGACTCGAGACTTTGAATGTATTGATGTAAATCTCTGTATAGATCTCGATTGGTAGCAAATTCTTTCGAGAATTGTGATTCATATTCGTTGAGCTTTTCTTTGAGCTCGATATTCTCAATTTTTAACATGATCACATCAGGATGTTGTTCTGGCGAGAGAGCCTTCTGGAAAAGTGCTTCAGCTTTGGAAAGCCATTGATCTTCATTCTCCAATGAAAACCTGTCATAGTCAAAATCAAATTCATTGTTGGTCTTGTCAAAATCAAAATCACTCCCAGAAACAAATCCATCGTCCTTAGTCTTGTTGAGTTGAGTTTTTCCTAACATTCTTGCAATCCTCGACTCTCTGAGCCGCAAAAAGAATCGAGTACTTGCCAAGAGTTTATCCTTTGAAGAAATTGCCTTCTTCAACTCGTCAACACGATACGACAGAGAAGAGTTCTTTTCTTCCATTTCATCTAATTGGGATGAAAGAAAAATGTGTTGATTTTGAAGCTCGGCAATGTAATTTTCCTTTTCCAAATCATCCAAAGGAATTGGTTGAGGAGGAGTGAGTGCTCTTGGAACATCTTGAATCTTTTTGTTTGCTTCAAGTAATTGTTTTCTGAGAAGTTTGATTTGTTCTTGCAAGAATGGAATACTTCCAGAGGTTTCTTCGTTGATTTTGGCCTCATTCTTAATACGCTTCGCTCGTTGGGCGAAAGTGAGAGTGGAAAGTGTTTCTGAAAGTGAGGTAATTGCAGGACTGATATTTGCAATAACACAAGTCTTAGAATTCCCTCCAAGAGAATCCTTAAGTAAGAATGTCAACTTGCTATCTCGGTATTGAACATGGCGAGAAATTCCATTGGCCACATCGACAAGATCTTTAATCACCTTGCCCAGTGTAGAGAGAGATTTGTTAATGGCACATGCTTCCTTCAAACGTTCACCTTCTGCGTGTGAAGTCGATTGTCTCTCACTTCCAGCCAAGTCAATTAGATTGAGTCGAGAGGTTCGAATTTTTGTGCCACCTTCTGCAATTTCTTGTGATTTGATATAGATTGTAAAGACAGAGTGAGAACGTGAGCTACGATCGTTCATGGCCGTTGCACTCACATGTCTATTTGGAAGTCCTTTTTGTAGAATATTCAGGGCATCTTTTGGTGAAAGAACATCTTCATGGGTTAAATCTTCCACATAAACTCCTGTTTTGAAATCTTCTCGAAGTGTCAAGCTTTTACCACTTGTACTTCCATCAAAAGACGGTATCTTGGGAGACATGTCTAAAAGATCAGTGATTTTCTCCATATAAATTTCGAGTAAGGAGCAACTGACAATAAATTTAATGTCTGATTGTTGCCTTCGTTTCTCAATTTCACTAAACAAGTAATAAATCACTCTCGGTATCATACCATACGATGAAGGTAAATTGTAGTAATTTTGAATGTCATCATCGGTCATTCGTTCATTGTCGTCATCAACAAATGATGTTCCCATTGTAAAGGTCTATGTGAGTGAAAATTATACATTTTCGTTTTGTTACCATGATAATAACGTTATTAAGGTGAGATGATATCATTCATTGATATGTGAAGATATCCATACATGACACGATCATGAAAAGAGAAGGTGAAAAACCTAACATCAACCATGACGAACACACTTACCTTTCCTGAACCCGTTTGTCCATAACAAAATATTGTTCCATTATATCCCGATAAACAACTATCTACAATTGGTTTTCCACAACAATCAAAGATTTCCTTTTGAGTCGTGAGTGGATTGGCCACATAGTCAAACGTAAAAGCCTTTGGTTTCTCTCGTGGAGTAGTCAAAATTTGAAGTGTCCGTTTTGTAGTCGTATCTACCTGTACGCAATTATGTGTTTCATGATCGGCGAGTGGCCGCACTCTCACGACTACTCTTACACTTGATTTATCATCATCGTCTTGTTTTGCAAAGATATCGGATTTTCTGGTACTTCCCATCAAGGTTTCATCGTCCAATAGAGAATGATGATGATGAAACGAGGAAGAGGGCGGAGAGAAGAGTGTTGTAGAGCCTCCAAAGGCTAACGTGGAGGGAGATGTAAGAAAATTGTTAATTCCTCGTCGGACGGATGAGGATGGTGTTTGAAATGGGTTTCTTCTCGTTGTTGTTGATGATGATGATGATGAGGTGGTGGTGGTGGTGGTGGTGATGCGAGGAGAGGAAAGCATCCGTTCCAATTCTTGAGAAGGAGAAAAGATTCCACTCAAATTATTGGGATTGTTCGTCATGGTATGATTGGAATGATCTCTCTTAAATGTACAAGTTGTTGAAGTTGTTGAATTATGCGGTTGTCAAGAGGTAACAGTGTTATTTTTACTAGTCGAGGAGGGTGAGTAGGTATGGAACAATTTTTTTAAAAATGATTTGGTTTTAACATGAAACGTTCAAAAATTTGAAAATTTGGCGCCATTTCGAAGGCGGGTGTGGGACATGTGTGTTTCGTGAATCAATAATAATAAAAAATAATAATAATAAAATTTGACACACATCCTCTATTTATCTTCTTGAATGATAGAGGCCTGTCACAAATCGTCTTATGCTCATATCAGCCCCATGTAAGGAAAACGGGGATTCAACAATGGATTTGATTCCAAGCCAGCAACAACAAATACCAAAAACCCTAATAACGGATTTGCCGACTTCTAATGGGGTTTCTTGTGTTATGTTGAGATGGCAATCAAATGTTGGCCAGACTATGAAATTTCCCTCTCTCATCCCAATTCGAGCACTCCAACAAGTGAATTTTCAATATTTGATTTGAACAACAAAAAAAATTGAAAAAATTTTTATTGGCCCTTCGGTGCCTCAGGTCTTTCGTTTTCCCAGTATTGATTAAAAGCTCTACCCATCAAGAGCGATAGAATTGCTTGAATGTCTACCCAGTACTTGATGATGTCCTGTTTTCTTCTTGTAAAATATGTGTCGGAGTTAAGAATGATTCCTCTGCTGTCGATAAGGAATTTGGAGGAGGTTAGAATTTCATTTCGGTCATGGTGAATCAATTCAATGTTTAGAAGCCTCTTCATCTGTTGTTTAGCATACATTCTTTCCTCCGATAGTAATGTGCAACGTGTGGAATAATGTTCAATAGTTCCGGTGCAATTACATCTGGGGCAGGTGTGAGTTTGTTGTTTAAATGTTTTCATGTGAGCATTGTGCATGTTTCTCCAGATTGCATATTTTTGTTGGGGAGAGATATTCTTTGACTTCATGAAATTGAATGTTGTTGGGAAGATGCAAGAAGGGTTAAACTTATTCCTGCTCTTCAAAGTTATTGATTCATTCCATTTCTGAAGTTGTTTGTTCTTGATGAATGTTGCAATATCTGGAATCCAGTGGTTATTGGATTTGAGGATAATTTGGTTTTGGGTAAGTTGTCTGTGAGGAATTATCAATTTTCCTGATGTGCATCCCTTTTTGGCTAATTTGTCTACGTGAATGTTACCACTATTTTGGTGGCCTTTAACTTTGATGATGGTGATTTGTAGGTTTTTAGATTTCTTGAGGAATTCAAATTCAGTTTTAAGGGGGAGAAATGGTCCTCGGTATTTAGGATTTGATAGCAAATTGATACTTATTTCGCTGTCTGTGTAGATTTTTGCTTTTGATTTTGTTGGTAATAATCGGAGAGTGTAGACAATACTTAGTAGTTCAGCTAAGTTATTGCTATGGATTGGGTCAAGTTTGAATTTGTGTCTAGTTGTTATATTTTTGGACTGTAAAATAATACCAAATCCAGTTCCTTGTTCAGTTTTAGATCCATCAGTCCATACTTCAAAGTTTTTACATTTCTTATGGTATTTTAGTGATTCTTCATTTACAAGTTGAGGTATGTAGTTGCAGTTATCAACTTTAAGCTCATACTTCCTTGCTATGTGGTGGAAGTTTTCAAATATATTTAGGTTTTTGGATTTTTTGGTGTTGAATGTTGATGTGATAGCATCATTTACCGCTTCTTGCATGAGTTGGTAATTGTGACATGAGATATTAATTAATGATCTTAGGGTTATGATATCAGTCATCATTTCAAGGCATGGAATACCCATTCCTCCTTGGTAGATTGGTAAGTATAGGCATTCTTTAGGTGTTCTTGCATCAATATTTAGTTTTCTTTTGATTTGGTTTCTGATTGAAGAGTCGAATGATTCTATTTGGGATTGGCTTATTGAATTACTGCGTGCAAGGTGTGTAATTTGGGATAAGGTTTTAGATGTGACTACTTGTTTGAGATTATATGGTTGAATCAGATTAATTGGGAGGATGTTAAGGATATTCATCATCTTATGTTTCCTTTTTTCTAGTTCTTCCTTAAATAATTTAGATTCAAAAAGATATCCTCCGAGGATTCTTTGGTTGTCTTGGTTTGGAATTTTGGTATTGTTAATCAAGGCCTCGTTTGGTTTAGGGAGTGAAGTTGTAATTGATTTGGATGGATTAATTTCTAGGAATATTTGTTTGAACCATCTGTTAATTTTCTTGAGTCTTTTGTTGTGGAGAGTAATGTTAGAATTGATAATTGACATATCATCGGCAAAACAAAGTGTGGCAATATCATCAATGTCTAGATCTTGTGGAGTGATTGGGAGTTTTTCTCTTTCAATAATTTTATCAATAATCATTTGGGAGATGCAGTTATAGATTAGAGGATCTAGAGGACATCCTTGTGGGATTCCTCTTGTCTTGGTGAATTTTTCTGATAGTGTATGATTCCATTCTATTTGGATTTGATGATTTGAGTAAGCATTAATGATGAAGTTTTTAAGTTCTTGGGGGAATTTGCAGTGGGTGAGCGCCATGTCAATGATTTTGAGTTCAATGGAATCATATGCAGCAGCAATATCTATATTGGTTAGAATGAATCCTTTCTTTTTGAATTTGTTAATGAGGGCTTGTATGAGGATGCAGTGATTTGTTGTTTCTCGATTTTGGGTGAATGCTTGTTGTCTAATGTTGATATTTGATTCGGCCCAATCTTTAAGTTTGAATGTTATAATGTTGAATAGGAGTCTATATCCAATATTCATGATTGTGATTGGTCTTAGCCATCCTTGTTTCCAGCATTTTGGGATGTCTTGATTTTGGATCATGTCATTAAATGCTGATGCTAATATATTGGGATTGATATTTTCAAATATCTGTTTTGTTGTGAAATCTACCCCTTGTGTTGTTGATTTCATTCTTTTCAACGCGTCCGTAACATCTTCTTTAGTTATTGTAATGTTGGACGGTCCTTCTTTAACTGTTGATTCACCTGGTTTAAATTTAATTTCTGTTTTGTCATCTAGTTTTGAGGTGAATTTGTTTTTAAAGTAGTTCACAGCTCCTTCTTTTGTTATTTTGGTTGAATTCCAATCAATTTCCTTGTATTTGAGATGGTGATCGAAGTTGTGGATTCCTTTGGTGTGTTTGTTATTAATGGAATCTATGAACTTTTTTCTATATTCCGCAAATTCAAGGTTATATTGTTCTTTGAGTTTCTTCTTTGTTTCCTTTATAGATCTTTTGATAGTGGATTCATCTTGGGTTGTTTCCGATAATTTCTGTTCATGGAGATTATGGAGCTGTTGTTTCAAATTGGTAATGATTTCAGATTCCTTAAATCCCTTAATAGGATGTGGTTTATGAGATTGGTTCTTGATCTCATGATTGAGTTTTTTCAATTCGCTGTTGTTGACGGGAAGAGATTTCAAAATTTCTTCGAGTTTTTTTGCAACACTTTGCTCATCGCTGATTATTCGTTTCCAGGTTGTTGGAATTAATAATTTAAATTTGAACATGATTGGTATGTGGTCATTTGTTGTGACGAGTGGTAAAGCTTGTTCATGTTCTATTTCAATGTGACTCGAGTGGAATAGGTGGTCAGGTCTTGAGATTGTTTCTAATATTTTGTTTTGTGATGTGTATTTTCTGATGTAGGATGGAATTATTGTTTCTCTTTCTTTTAGGTTATGTTGGTCAATAAATGTTTTCCGCTTGGTGTCTTTGTAAGCATTTCCTTCTGAACTAAAATTCATGTCAACAATCACTATTATTGGTTGGTGATTTAGGGTTGATAGGGTTTCAGATAATTTCTCGAGTAAAATATTTTCTTCTTCTTCATTTCTGTTTCCAGAGTAGTTATAAATATTAAATATATTCAATAAGCATCCACCGATGTGGATGGTGCATAGTTGGAGACGTCCTTTCTTTTTGTGACGTTGATGGGTAAGGACAAAAGTTCCATCATGAGAATTATTATTGTTGAGAAAAGAATAATATCGATAGAGGTTTTGGTGAAAAGTGCGTGTGTATTGTGAGTTGTTAATGTGTGATTCTTGGATTGCCATGAAGTTAAGTTGATAGATATCCATAAGCCGTATGATTTTGTCCAATCTACTTGATTGATTGGGATCCTTTGGAAGGATTCCATTCACATTAAGGGTTGCAATAGTAAAAGTCATTCAATATCTTCATCATGCATGTCCTTTCTCTTCCCAGCTTGGACGAGTCTTTTAACACTGTGCATTAGAGTTTCCATATTCTTAGCAATATTTGATATATTGCTTTCCATATTGGAAACTCTTTTTTCAAGGCTGGTAAACCTTGCTTCATAATTATTTGGAGTAGTAATAGTTGAGAAGTTAGAGCTTTCTTTCTCTGTTGATTGATTTGATTTGGAGATAGCTTTTTCTTTAAAGAACTGCGCTTTGGACTTGAAGGATTTTGTGATGATTATTGCCATGCTTGGTTTCAATAGGATGGACCACTTCTAAGATACGATCGACTTCAGTATCAGATTTAAGAGTCACTATGGTGTTATAATATGATTCTTCAGGATTAAAAGGAGTGCCTTTTCATCGATTTTGATAGAGTTTGGGTGAATAGTAATTCCTGCTTTAGTGGTGTTATCTTTAACGACGTTTACGATTTCATGTTCTTCAAAATCTGTAGAGAGGTTGATAAAGACTTCAAAACGGGAATCTTCAGCTAGTTGAGTATAAGTTTTGAGGTGAGACCATTCGGTGTTAGAGAGGATTTCTTGTAGTGATTGTAAATTCTTAACTGTAACAGTGGTTTTGAAGCAGCTTGAGTCTGGTGGTTTACTAATTCTCATAGCTATTAAACCTTTAGATTTCTCATGCCAATTGCATAGGCAGGAGATCATATGGAGAATATTGTTTTCATCGTTTCCAGTAAGATGTTGAGCGGTGAACTCTGTGATTTGGAGAGACATATCAGAGATAAAGTATTTAAAGTTTGTTTGACTTTTGGCGGTATTGAGGTTCTTGATGATTTCGTCTCTTGAGCTTGATGAGGACGGAACAATTTGGAGTATGAATGGTCTTTCAGAGGGGACCCATGGATCCTTCGCAAGTTTGGAGGCCTTGAGGTGATTGAGGAGAAATTGAAGTGCCTCTTTGTTTTTGTACAAGTTGGTTGCGCAGTATATTGTTAATCCTTTGTTGAAGTCGATAGATTTCTTAGTTGTTGGGCGGGTTGATCAATGCATTTTTGCGGTCTTTGGTGTTTTTTTTGGTTGAGGTTTTTTTACCTTAGGGTTCGAGTTATCTTTGGTAGAGAGATTTTTCTTGTTTAGGTTGATATTGGTTGTTGTTTCTTGGTTGAATCTACGGCTTTGGTATTTGTTCTTCATAGGAATTTGTTCTTTTTTGTTGTGTGTAAGTGTGTGTGGTGTGTGTGTATGTGTATGTGTTTGTGTAGAAGATGGTGCTTGTATTTGTGTTTGGGGGAATATTGGAGTGGACATAACTGACTCATCATTTGGAGGGTTATCATTGATTTTAAGATTAGAAGTAGGTTCATGCAGTTGCTTTTCAATCATATCATTAATTACTTTAGTGAGATCATTCATGGTAGATTGTAGGTATTCAATATATTTTTCAAGGTGCGCAATTTTAGTGATTAACGAGGGATGATCGTCAGTCATTTTTTAAGGGCTTCGAACAACAAAAAAAATGGTCAAACAACAAGCATCAAAAAAGTCTTCCGCATCCTCTTCCATGATGGATAAAATTAAAAAAGTTGAAAAACAAAACAAGATGAAAGGAAATAATCCTCCGATTGCTACATCTCAAGGAAATAATGTAAAGAATAATAAAAAGAAGGAAAAGAAGAACCAATCAACAGAAGCTTTATCCACTGCTCCGATCATACCATCGGAAAGCAAGGAAACGAAAAAGAAGCTATCAAAAAAATCTCTCATGCAAGGTGATGAAATTTCAAATATTTTGGACAGAAAAAAGAAGAAACCAGAAGAAGAAGAAAATCAAGAAGAATCTAAAGAAGAAGAATTTTCCGAACCTGCAAAAATAGATGACATTTTTGAATCTGTCAAGAATGAAATAATGGAGAAAAACAAGAAATTGAAACAAGCTAAAAAGGCTGCCTTGTCATCCTCTTCATCATCGGCAGCTGATGATTTATTTGAGAGTAACGAAGAGTTTGCCAATCAGAAGAAACGATCAGGAAGAAAAACGATTGACGGATTAGCCGTGTATTCGGTGGATGAATTGAAAATTGGAAAGGGAGGAAATACAGATTTGTGTCCATTTGAGTAAGTGTTTAGAAATGAGATCATTCAAAATTCTCTAACATTAGACAATTAGTTGTGATTGTTGCTTTTAAGCAAGATGGCCAATAACCACTGCAGCACTTCTAACCTTGTTTTGAGTTGATATGAATGTTTTATTGACAGTACAGACAAAGTATTGAATGTTTTATTCCATTGGGTCAATAAATCATTGGTTAGAACTTTTTGTCACCAGGACAAGAGCTTTGATGTATGTAAATCGGGTCACCTGATGTGGCATCGTATCCACAAACCCAACAAAAATGATTGAGACAAGCTCTACAAGTCATGTGATTGCATCCTCCATTTTTCTCGATAGGTGTCGAACATTTTGGACATTTTTTGGTAAAGCTGTCAAGGTATTGCTTGAACAATTTTTCTTCATAGTCACAAGAAACTCCTTCATGAGACCTCTTCTTGCATTGAGAACAATAAATAATGTCACAATTCAAACATTCGTATGAAGATGGAGTGATCATTCGACACAACTGGTTGCATACATCACAATACTTCCACTTTAGAGAATTCTGGAGCAAGTACTTGTTCAAGACAATTTCACACTTCTCCTTGAAAGAGGCCATGTTATTTTTGTAGGTGCTGAGAATTTCAAGCACAGGAACTCTATAATTGCATTCATTGCAAAGAATAGATTTTGATTCAATAACAAATCCATCCAGCTGAATCGCAAAACAAGTGACACAGAAAGGATGACCACACACAAGTGTCTGTCCGTGTTCAATTTCTGAAAAACAAATATTACATTCGTGTTCACAGGTCTTCTCTTGACCTTCGGTTTCAATTTGTTGAATCCTTTGTTTGATCTTTTCAAACTCAGTGTCTGTTGAAACGATAGTCAATTTTTTCATCTTGATATCCTCAATAATAATGTCACCATCAAATTTGAACTGTTTTTTGAGCTCGCTCAACTTGGGAACCACTTTTTTAAGTGATTTCACTATAATAGATCGTTTTAAATCATTCTTAATGGACTGCATGATATCCTGACTCACTTGTTCACGATCTTGCTCTTTTCCATAAATTTTCACTTGTTTGGTTCGAGCATCTGCTGAAATATAGACCTTGTCCTTGTTGGCTTTCTTTAGCTTTTCTTTCTGTTTTTCGAAATCCTTAAATTGAGCATATGAAAGCGAGAGGGTGGTACATTGTAAACTCTTTCTAAGGAAGGTTTTAGCTTTCTCAAACTTTGTCAAGTCATTATTGGCAAACACTCGAATGTAACAAGTGTTACCAAATTCATTCTTGTTTTTCGTTTTTTCATGTTCCTTGGTTTTGAAGACCGCTTTGCATTGAAATTGTTGTTGGACCATATGTATGGAATAATAAATATCCTTTTTGAAAAGCTCAAAGACTGCAATTGGAAAATAAATCTTTTCATCCACATTGTATGAAATGTAGAGTTTTCCACAACCAAAACTAGTGCCATTCAAACGTTGAACGATTTCGGAAGCACTTGATTGAGAATTATACTTGACCAACGCTTTGCATTCCTTTTTTTCTGGTTTTGGAGGAAACATGTCAACAAACTCTAAACCGTTAACTTGTGTGAATAATGATTGTACATGGGTATGGTAGTATTCAAAGGAGCTATAATTAATCTCCTCACGTAAGACCTCCACCTTCGATGGGAAAAGTTTAAAACGAGCTAACAGTTGGCAAATACTCTCCTCATCAATATCAAGACCTAAATTTGAAAGCTCTATCACATTTTCTGTCTTATCTGTATTATCAATTTTCTTTTCTATTTTATCAATTCGAGCCAAGAGAGGAAGAGTTCCAGGTATTTTCAATGCCAACATCGCCTCTTTCAATAAGAAAGTATTGGGAAAGTGAATACGTGCAGTTCCTTTCGAGTGTGACAAGTACCATTTGGCAATGAGTGAAGGAACTTCACCGACTAATGAAGTTGCACCACAAGTGGAAGTTGGAAAGAGTTGCAAGTCATTATTGATGTTTTGGTCTGCCTTTAACTGACGGAAGGCAAGGTCAGCATCTTCCCACTTGTTGAAAACCACAAATCCCTCAATCTTTTGCTGTGAGGTACGATTGGGATAAATTTCAAAGTCCCACAATTTCCCAAACTTTTCAAATTGTTGTTTCAAAGAGCCTCGAAGGAGCTCTGAAGCTCTGAAATTGAGTCGAATAAATTGATTGTTGGTAAGGACATGAACAACTTCAAGGCCACTTCCAATCACGACTCTAACCGTATTTTGTTTGCTTGGGACAAATTCAAATAAATACTTTTTGACTTTTTCACAAGCTCTTTGGACCATCTCATTCACACATTTCAAACAGGTAGCTTCTTGTTCTTCAGAAACCTCGAATTTCAAGCTACTCGTTGTTTCATCGACTTCAATCATACAACCTGTGGCTCTTTCAAGATCTTCAATCATTTCTCCCTCTCTATTTTGAAGAATTTCAACACAAGCTTTAGGAATTTGCTTTTCGACATACTTTTTCACATGTCTCACAAGTTTAGTTTTGTCTAAGGATTTGTTATATTGGCACACGACATCAATCTCAACGGGAGTCACATTCTTCACATACAACTTGTCAGTTCTAACAAGTTCATAGAACAAAATGAAGTTTGGAGGTCTGTCCTCTGAAAACACAGAAGAGGATGGATGTAAACAGGCTTCTTGGTTCAACTCGACAAGTTTGTAAATGATTGAACCATCATTTCTAGTACCATCGTAATAGGCAACATTTGCATTAAATCCTGCAGTAATGCATTGAAGAATGAGTTCTTTCTTTTTTTCATCAGAGTTGATGACATCAGTCGTTGGATTTGTTGCAATTTTACATGCTTTGACATTTCTTGACAGTTCCTTGAATGTGGACTCTGCAATTTTAAATGCCACAAAATTCAAGCTATTTTTTGAGCACCATTCTTTTTGAGATTTCAGAGATTTCAATGTTGAGAATTGCTTGTAAAGTGAATACAAAGAGTACAAGTCACCTTCACTCTTGGAAAGGGAGACCTTATTTGCTAAAATACTTTCTTTTGATTTGGAATCAGTCACTTTTAGGAAGATCATTCCTGAGACAGACATCATGGAAGCAACTCCGATAATTTCCTTTCCTATACCAGATTTCACTCCTTCGATAATCATTCTCGAGGCATATGGATCCATGTAGAGTTGAGAGGCATATTTTCCGTCCTCAGTTATGGAAATGTAATCTCCCTGTTCCTCTTTTACAAATCCCAAAGCAATGAGCTTGTTCAATTGATCATTAAGCGCTACATGTGAAGGTTTTTCAATCAAGTCATAGTGAATGAGATCATGTCTGAGGAGTCTGGAATGGCAAGTCAACAATTGAAGAATTACTGTACCCAAATGAGTTTTGAAAATATCGGCAGGTTGTGAAATGTTAAATTGCATAAATTCAGAGTTGTCATATAGATTGAAGCATTCTCCTTGCTGTGTTCTTCCTGCTCTTCCTTTTCTTTGCAGAGAGGAACTTTGACTGATAAAGTTCACCTTCAACAAGGAGATGTTTCTATTTTGATCAAAGCTTCTCTCTTTCACACGTCCGGTATCCACAACTGTGGTGAGTCCCTTAATGGTCACTGACATTTCTGCAATGTTGCTTGCAAAAATAATCTTCACTTTGTTGGAATCCTGCAATACTTTTTGTTGGGCTTCAGGGCTCAATTTTCCATGAAGGGCAAGAATTTCATAGTCGTGATGCTTGGCTTTTAGTTCTTGTTTCAATTTCCGACATGCAAGCTCAATTTCTTCTGGATTTGTCAAAAATACTAAAATATGACCCTTCAAGGCATCTTTCTTGACTTGTCGATGATTCAATAAAATATATTTCACCTTATGAATAGCTTGAGAGACATAGTTGGGTTGTGATTTTTCCCAATGAACCTTGACAGGATACATTTGTCCAGGAACCTTAATGACAGGACACTTTTCAAAGTATGAAGAAAATAATTCTTCGTCCAACGTAGCCGAGCTAATAATCAATCTCAAAGGAGATCCAGATTCTCTCCTTCGTTTCACCAATGCTTTCAATTCTGATAGCAAAATATCAGTAAAGACTGTCCTTTCGTGTGCCTCATCAATCATCACACATCCATACTTTTTCAAATTTCTGTCTTTACAAAGTTCGTTCAATAAGGATCGATCGGTCATTAAGATGAGCTTTGTTCGATTGCCCTGTTCATAATTTCGTGCTCCTTTTGCTGCAATGAGAGGACTGTCTTTACAATTCATTTCTTCACTGATTCGATGAGCCAATGTGGTCGTGGCAACTCTTCTTGGTTGAGTGCATGCTATTTTTCTTCCAAAAAAGCCACTCTCAAGTAAGAATTGTGGAATTTGAGTGGATTTACCACTTCCAGTTTGGCCTTGAACTAGAATAATGTCATTCTCGGCAATGGCTTTAAGTATCTCATCTCTGTAGCCATAGAAGGGAAGAAGAGCAAGGGCTCTCTTGAATTCTCGTTCATAGGCTTTGCCAAGTAATTCATAATTGGTGCAGTTCGCTCGTTTCCTTTCGAATTCATCCATTCTATGGTTATAGCTAGCCCTTTGTTTTTGAAGAAGATTCTTTTCATCCTCTAATGCTTTTCGGATGGTCATGTACTCTTCTCCAAATCCTAAGTTTTTGATGTTCTCCAAATGTTTCTTCATGAATTCTTCCTGTTTGTAAAGAAAGTGGTTAGCAATAACATCCTTCATACGATTCACATAATCTTTAAGTTGATCCAAAGTACTGACTTGCTTGGCTTGGCTTTTGGAGAGTGTATCAAGAATAAAAAGGTCCTTTTGTTCAGACAACAATGGATCTCGATCATCCAAATCAAAGACGTCAGAAATGCTAAGACTTTCGCTGCCTGAACAGGACTCGATGTCAAAGTGATTTGCAGTACTTCCATTACTTGTTGTGCTACTAGTATCACTAGTATCATCATCATCATCAGAACTCGAGCCGTAATCACCTCCTAACAACAAGTCCGTTTTGAATTTCTTCTTTTTCCATTCTTCCATGAGTCGTTGCTGTCTCTTATTTAGAGTGCTTGACGGATTGCTGACAGAACTGTGATCAAAAGTACAGTCAATGGTATGGCAATTCTCTTCATAACGACATTTGGCTCTACGTTTGTGAAAATAATTGCAAACTCTGTTTTTACATTCGTCTCCAGCAGAACATGGAATGGGAATGAGTTTTGGCAATTTTTCCAATGTGGTATTCATTGAAGGGTTCTGTTGTGGAACAGTAGTAGTAGCTACTACTACTACTGAACTAGTACTACCACTTCCAATCGTACAAATAGTATTGCTGTTGTTCTTATTCACTACAAATGAACCACCACCCAATGATGGGTTGTTGTGAATATTCACAACATGGTTTGGCCTTGCCACAAGAGGAGTGTTCAACATCACGTGTTGATTCTTCATGGCCTCTTGTTGCTCGAGGCTCCAAAAGTGTGGGTTCCTTTCGGTACGATGAACGAACGTGCATTTAGTATTTTTGCACTTTTCACCATAATGACACGATTTACGTTGGTAATGTTGCATCACACATAAAAAGTTTCCACAAGAGTCTTCTTTTTGGCACAATTGTGGTACGAGTTGTGGAAGCTCCTTTTGGGAACTTGATCCCTTGTTGTTATTCTGGTTCTGGTTGTGGTAAGGATACTTGGGCAACATGATGATTTTTTTTGTATTTGTGGGAATGAATGTGTGATCACGCTCAAGTTTTGAATGAGTGGTGACAAGTTGGGAATTCGCAAAAGGTTCGTGATGAAATTTAAATATAAACACTCAAGCGCAAAGGACGAAACTGGACATCAGATTCTCAATTCTGACTATTGATTCAAAAACGAATGAAACAAAATGAACCCGACTGTGGGAATGAAGCCTTATGTTTGCCTTTGCTTAACTCCGAAATTATCTCACCTTGCTTGAACAACAACAATAACAATTCAAGGATATTGTTACCATTGTTGCGCAATAACAATGAACAATTCATGTTGGAAAATGAAAATATTGTTCGATATATCAAGAGGAAATTGATGAGTGTCACAAAAAGCTAAAACTACTTGATTCACTTCAGTAGCACCAGAATTATCTATTCTAACCCTCAACATTAATGGTCTCAGAGAAGAACCATTATCAGCCCTAAGAGGCTACCTCAACTCAATCACTCCTGATGCAATCATGCTCCAGGAAGTTAAAAGCGTCTATATTGGTCCAGATTTTCCCTCTATATATTATTCTTCATTTACATATTATCACAATCCAAGAGATTCCTATGGTGTATCTATTTGTCTCAACAAAAGCACTTTCAAAGATATTGAAGAAATCATCTTAGATCCGATCATTAAGAATAACGCGCGAATTATTGGCGTGAAATGTAAAATCAATTCAATAAACACTCTAGTAATTTCAGCGTACTTTCCAAACCAACCAGCTGACAGATGTGAATTCACACATATTCTTGACGACCTAATTGAAAAAATATCCTAACTACAAAATCATTATTGGAGGTGATTATAATGCGATATTATCAGAGAATCACTCCTCAAACGAATCTAGAAGAACTGATCAAAACATACTAGATCTTATTAACAAGAGAAATCTTAATTACTTCCCTTTCCCTCATTTATCATGGCACCTTCATTATACTATTAACAAACAATCCAAGTCTATAATAGGCTACATATCCACAGATTTTCCAATTGCATCTGGAGAAGTACTGAATGCCAACTTTATATCAGATCACAAAATGGTTAAAATTCTACTTGACCTCTCATGTCAACGAACACCTTTGTTAATTCGGAAGAAGCGTAACTTTCAAGATCCCAAAAATAAGAAAGAAGTGCTGGTCATTAGCAAAGAATGTGTATCTCAAGTTAAGAATTTAGAATCTGATAACGACAAATGGCTTTTCATTTGTGATAAACTAGGCGACAAATTTGTGGAGGTCAATCCACCTAAACTTGATCCTAAAATCTACAAATATAATAAGCAATATAAGAAGCTCATGTTAATACTTGATAGAAATGAGCACGGATATCCTTGTGACAAACTTTTGACCACTATTGGTAAAACTTTAGAACAGGTTCCAAAATGTCTTGCAAGTGTCAAAGAGAAAATCAAGAACCATATCAAATGGAGCCATGATAAGGCTTTGAATAGTAAGATGAAATGGTGGGAACAGAATTATGCAACCAACTCTAAACACTTGCCTCTCATCCCTTATGAAAAATTCCCTAAAGATTTAAGACAATTCCTGATCTACAAAGATTGGTACAGATTAAGTATGTGAGTTCCTGACCCTAAAAATTTACAAGTGAAATTACACAGTGACATCAAACATTCCAATCCTGTCACCCAGATTGGCAACATTCTCAATAGCATGGATTTTGGAAAAATCAAAGACGAAAGTAAATACTACAAATATATTGGTAACAACACATCCCTGTCAAACCTCTTGAACAAAGCAACACTAATTGGTACTGATGGATCATGTAACAATAATATTGCTGGATACGATATTGTAACTGATCAGAATGTTTCCATCTCCAGTCACACCTTAGGACAAGGAACTTCCTACAACAGTGAAGTTCAAGCATTCCACACAGTTGTTAGATTGCTAGATAACAACACTCCTAGAACAACAGTCATAGATGCGAAAAGTATTTATGACCAACTTTTCCAATTCAGAAAATCTAGACATCCTTATGTCGAAGAAATTCGTAATTATTTAAAAGTGAAAGATCAGATCAAAATTATGCATATTAATAGTCATACAGGTAAACAAGATATCTATAGCCGTATAAATGAATTAGAGGACAGGGCTGCTAAGAAAGGTGCTGATTGTAACAACATTCTTACTAATATTCCATCCAATAATTGGTATATTATTATCAACAATGTATTATATACTCAAAACACTAGACAAACAATGTACAAACTTATATTTCAACGCCTCCACAAAAGAACATACACGCCAAAAAACCTTCCTCCCAAGAACAGAAAGTTCACCAACATTTACCCCTCAATAGGAATCGGTTTCAGAACCTTAAATCTAATATTTAAAATTAGAGTGAACGTGATGAAGACTTTGGAAAATTTAAATAAGATATCCAAGACGAACTTGCTATGTCCTTGCTGTAGTAGAGAGACAATGCAACACATTATTTTTGAATGTAAATACTGTAGTGATATAAGAAAAGAAATGTTTAGGAATTTATATAATATCTCAATATATGCAAAGAATAACAGGAAATTCTCCAAACGACTATTGTACCTCATCAAGACTAAGCAAGATATCCATAGCCTAACAGGTGCTAAAGTTGGATTGGGTAAGAAATGGGACAAAGTATTTACTAAGGAAGCTTATTGATCTATTACTAAAATGTGGATGAAACGAAATCATTTTTTCATGTAAGAATTGAAACTCACTTGGAATGAATTTGAATAACAATACGATTTTAATCCCAATTTCATTGATTTGAACAAGTTTAAACTATACATGAAATACCCACGACCATGAATAATAATTGAAATTTACAACAAGTTTACACTTTAAAATATTTGAAATTAACACTAAACCTTGATGACAGAAATAATAATTGAAATTTACAACAATAATTACACTAACTTTGATGACATGAACCACCTTTAACTGTACTAATTGCACACACAGCCATGAATAACGTTTGAATTTTCGAACAAATAAACGCATGGACAGTGATAACAAAAAAAAATGAAAATATTATTCTGAAGCATTTCATACTCTTCATGATGATGATGATGATAGGGTAGGATATGTAGGTAACACAAGGATCATCATTCCCGATTTAAAAGCAACTCTCTGTATTGACAAACCTTCATTCGAAAAGCCTTTGCTTTGCTTTTTTCATTTTTTTTAAAAAGAGTTCCAAGTTCAGTTGAAATGTCTGAAATCAATTCAAATCGGCAACACCAACAACAACTTCCACAAATGATCATGACTCTGCTCTCCTCCCAACCCGATGTCTTTTATAATGAAGTTGCAAAATTTATGAATTCACTGGATATTTATCACTTGTGTGTTGGATTTTTACAATTATTGAAGAAAATGAAAAGTGTATCCGAGTCATCATTCTCTTCAATCATCATTCATGAATTTTTGGATCACTACGGATACAAACAATTTAAATCCCGATCCCAACGTGTGTATGCTCGAGTGGCATGTCAAGTATTACATGAGAGATCATTGAAAAAGAATCTAATTTCATCAAAACATCATTCATCCATGTGGTGGATTGTAAATGAATCTGCTCATGAACAAATGGCTGAATATTATCGTGTTTTGTCATTTGAAATATTTAATCAAAATTCGGAGGAGAATGAATCACTCATGGATGTGAAATTGAAATTATTGAAACAATTTCCAAAATTGATCCACAATGACACTTTTAAAGAAGATATGTCACTTTTTGAAATGTATGATCAATTTTTGAAATTTGAAATTAGATATTTGAAAAGTAATTATTGGAAATTTTCAAAACATACAGCCTTGACTGATAGTTATGGCATTGGAGTGGTTCTACAAGATCAAGTCATGGATATGAATATTGCTATTTATGGTCATGAAAAAAGTGGAAAAAGAGAAATGATTCGATCGTATTGTACCAATGCATTTGGTGGCAATAACGAAACAGATGATTTCGATTCGACACAAACATGTAATGTCATGATTGATGGATATGTGTTTTGTGTCAAGATGAGTGCCTTTTCCATCCACACCATGATACCACTTGTCACTACTCACACGCTCGCTTCTCGACAGGCGATAAATTCTCAACAAGATGCTTTGGAGAATAATTTATGCAACAACAACGAAAACACCAACATGACAGTTCCTGAAGCTGTGATTTTTGTGTACGATTGCACCAAACATTTCACAGAGAGAAATATTTCGACCACCCCGAGCACCTCAACTTCTGTCAATGCATTATTGCGTGAACATGAATTACAAATGAAATTATTACCAGCCTTACGAAAATTAGTAATGACCTATCCTTTTACTCCCATTGTGGTCGCAATGAGTAAGATCGATTTACTGATATTGGACGACAACAACTACAGTTGTAGTGACGAGCTTTCGTCTCTGTATGAAGTATTGAATGAATTTCCTCATGTCGTGCAAGTTGTGGGGTTTTCTGCGCTGACTCAAGAGGGTTTGAAATCGTGTTTTGATGAGGCCTATAAAGCTGCCATCAAAGCGCGTTACCAATGTTCATATGACCCCAAAAAAAAGGATAAAAAATGTGAAATTCAATAAGACCACCATATCGACACAAGAATCATCACCACCGTCATCCAAACATGTACATGAGAAAACTAAGATGGATAGAAATGAATTCGAATAATTATGAAGTCGTTCCTGGGTCAGCTTGAAGCCAATTAAATACATTTCTGTACAAGTTAGGAAAAATTTATTGTTGCATCGACAAGTAATTTTCACTCTCTGAATTTTTGTATTCCTCAATTAAGCCAGTGACTACTTCGGTACAGTCATCGAATTCACCTTCATCGAATGCATCTGTAAACTTATTCATGAAGGCCTTTCGTTCGTATTGTTTTTGGAAATTTTTAATGATGGTCTGACAGAGTCCTGCAATGGAGGTGTGATTGGCCATCATTAAACCACTAACACGATTTTGTGTTTGAATGTAGGGCGATTTCTTACTGAGTACAACCTGTATGGAAGAAGGTCCCCAAGGTATAAAATTAGCTAAATTCTTCTTTCGTATTAAACTTAGTGATTTGTGTACTTGTGTTGGATCAACTTCTCCCTGTATAATATTGAGAATGGAAATGTAGCAGCCCTTCTTTGTGTTCGTGCTGACCATGATATTCTTGGGATTGAGGAGTCGTCTCATGACGTCAAGAACGCTTGTTTTTTGAATTTTCGCCTGATTGTCGACCACACTGAGTGGTGTATAGCTGGTCATTAAAAAGTGACATCTTGGGGTTGGTACCAGAGATGCAATGAGTCCTACCAAATCATTGTTCATATATCCTGGATATCTGAGAGTTGTTGTTGTGGCTGCCATCACTGTTGATACTAGACTATTAATATTATCCACAGTTGGATTGGCAATTTTAAGTCTTTCGGTAGCAATGTGATTGAGAGCAGTATTATCCAAAACAACGACAGAATCTGCATTGAGAATTAATCGTTTGAGAGCCAATAGGGAGTTGTAAGGTTGCACGACCACATCACTCACACCCTGATTCGAAGGAAAAACTGAATAGGTTTGAATGAGTTTTTTAGGATATCGATCATTGAGCTTTTCCAAAACGTACGAGCCCAAACCACTTCCTGTACCACCAGCAATGGAATGCAGCAATACAAAGCCTTCCATAGAATCGCTATTATCGGCCTCTCGATCAATAATATCCATCAATTCTTCATGATACTTTTCCGCTAATTGAAATCCACATTCCCAACTATTTCCAGCACCTCCACCATCACCTGGCAAGTAAATATTCTCGGGATTGAACAAATTCTTTAGTTGAGCATTTTTCTGAATACCATCAATGACTCTTGGTTCCAAATCAACAAGAATTGAACGAGGAATAAAGTGTTCATCATCGGCCTGATAGAAGAATACATCTTTACGGTCACCGGCTCCTTGCACTGCAAAATCTTCTAGAATGCCTTCGGGACCAATTCCGTGCTCGGCACATAATCGTTTCCTATATAAATATTCACAATCAATGGCCATCATAGTTTTAAAATGATCATGTTTGTATAACGTTTATAATTCATCATCAGTGTTATCATAGATTTTACAACATTCATGATGGTTGGAATACAGGTAATATGATGGTTGGAATTTATGGATAACAGTGTTAGAACCGTAACAGTTTTGAACATTTCAAAATGATATCGTTACCATCATCCACAGAGATCATCTCAAAACAATCAACCACCAACAAAAACCACCTACCAAAACTCAGCTCCGATTTGATTTCCACATTGACCTGCTTGAAGGGTAATAATTTCTCTTGGCATTTTCGTTCTTCTATTAATTTTTTTTTCGTAGGATGGCAAAATATTTCTGGGCGCCATACAACGAGTTCCAGTAGGTTCAGTTCTCTCAACTTTTTACTACATTGAGAGTCTTTAAGTTTGTCTTTTCATGTTTAAGGAACTCTCAAACCTCGTTTCGTTTGATCTTCGATAAACATGTTATATTTGGATCGTTGAAGAATTGTGAAATTTGGTTGACTTGTTGTTACTCTCATGTCTCGTGCTGCTTTTAAAACTTTTTGGTCAAATCTTTAAAGCTAAAAAAACGAGAGTGTCCAACAACCCGGACAGAACCCAACAGTAATCGAGACAAGTCGTCGTTCTCTCTCGCCAATCGTTAAGAGTATTCAGAGTCGCCCGTTGAAGGCTCCCACCTATGCTACACCTCTCGAGATTGAGAATTTACTTTAGCTGGCTGATTGCTTGGTGAGTGGGTTCTATCAATTTTCAACGCCCATGAAAGGAGGTCAGTGTCCAATCAAGAGAGATCAAGCCTTCTGAATTGTGGTTTTGTTTAATTGAATGAATCATTTTGTTGTTGATCAAAACTCTCGGTAAGGCCTTAAACATTAAAGAAACGGATTTTCAAAATTATTTATAGAAAAATTCATTGAAAGAAAAATGAGCAGAAGATACGACAACCGCACGACCACCTTCTCTCCCGAAGGAAGATTGTATCAAGTGGAATATGCGATGGAAGCCATCAGCCATGCAGGAGCCGCACTCGGTATTGTAGCTACGAATGGTATCGTGTTGGCAGCTGAAAAGAAAATTACTTCCAAGCTTCTTGATAATGAAAGGAAAACGGAAAAGATGTACCGATTGGACAATCATATCGGATGTGCTGTTGCTGGTATTACAGCTGATGCCAATATTTTGATCAACTCGGCTCGTCTTCATGCTCAACGTTATCAATTCATGTATCAAGAACCAATTCCTGTGGAACAACTTGTAAAAACTCTCTGTGATTCGAAACAAAGTTACACTCAATTTGGTGGTATGAGACCTTTTGGTGTCAGTTTTCTGTATGCTGGTTGGGATAAACAATATGGATATCAATTGTATCATTCTGATCCTTCAGGAAATTATGGTGGATGGAAAGCAACAGCAATCGGAGCAAATAATCAAGGCGCTCAATCCATCCTAAAACAAGAATGGAAAGAAGATTTAACCATTGAAGGTGCCAAAAAATTGGCAGTCAAGGTTATGACCAAGACCATGGATAGCACAAGTTTATCAAGTGAAAAGCTTGAATTTGTCACATTCACAAGAGACGAATCGGGTCAAGTGGTTTACACAGTACTTCCAGATAAAGAGGTGGATCAATATTTGAAGGAAGCTCAGGAAGAGAAGGAGAGAGAACAACAACAACAGGCACAAAAGCAAAATATTTAAATAACATGTAAAATTATGTGTAGTTTTTTTATGTGGTGTCAGTTTCACACAAATATTGCAAGGTCATGGTTGTGTGTCAGGTCCAATGCTTTAGCTTAATTGCATTTTCAAATCACTAAAATCTGCTTTCAACATTCAGTCTTTACTGACTCACAAATTTATACATGGCTGGTTTGTTAAATCTCATGAGGTATTTTCGTGATTGGTCGTATTGGGGCAACCATTTGCTCACTTGTATCAGTATCTTTCCTCGGGTGCCTCTTGACTCAGATATAGAGTAAGCAGTTTTGACATTTTCCAAATTCATTTCATCGAAAGAGGTGGCAATATTTGGCTTAATTTTTCCACTCACATGATACGAAGCCAATTTCTCTAAATTTTCTGTCTGATTGTTTGAATTGACTCTGAAAAAGACAAATTCAGGTCCTAGACCTATCGTAGAAATGACTTTTCTCCATGAAACGAATGCACCTAGCGTCAACATATTCCACAATGAAATTTCTTGGTTGGCAACTCCAATCTGAATATACTTGGCCTTTCTAGATTTCAATAATTTCCATGTTCGTTTTCGTAACTGTTGGTCGCCAATGCAATCAATAATAACATCCACATTTGGCACACTATATTCAAAAGGCATGTCTTCTTCGTCAGCATTTTCAAGAACTGTTGTGTCACCCGTTGATATAGTTGTGTGTTCATTGGATTGTTGTTGTTCCGAGCGATGAGATGGGTCAGAAATATCCTCACTTGTATTTGTTTCTTTTCCACTCTTTATGCTCCTCGTACGATCATACAAGAGAAATGTCTTTTCAGGTTTCAACTCTTTCACCAATTGAACTCCCTTCTCCGTTGTACATCCAGCATAGACCTCCGCTCCTAATACATTCTTTGCATATTGCAAGCAATAATTCCCAACATTTCCAGAAGCTCCCAAAATCAATACTGACGAATTCTCTTTAACCTTTCCAATTTCTACTAAACTTTGATGGGCCGTTAATCCCACCATAGGAATAGTACAAGCCTCTGCATGCGAGAGCTCTTTAGGTTTTAGAGCCAATGAATTTGCGTTCACAAGATTAAACTCAGCCAAACATCCTCCGTAACCATTAATTCCAAAAACTTCATCTCCGACCTTAAATTTACTATCATCACCACTGGTCTGAACCACAATTCCACTCATATCCGAACTCGGGATGATTGGAAATGTAGTTTTTCCCACAAAGATATGTCTAAAGAAGCCATTCCGAATTTTAAAGTCCAAAGGATTAATACTCGTGTACATGACTCGGACCAACACTTGTTCTTGTTTTGGTTTTTTCGACTCGAATTGTGGAGTTTTAAATCTATTACTATATTGTAGAACGTTGAGTCCTCCGTATTCTTCGTAAAAGATGGCTTCCATAGTTGGAGGAATGGTGGTCAAGTTGGAGTTTCTTGTTGGTGATAATGAATTTAGGTCTTTTTCAGTCATTTTTTTTTGGTTGACGTGAAAAATTATAAATGGTGAAAGAGGTGTTTATCAACTCTTATTGAAATAATTCTGAATTCAAAAAACATACACGTTCTCAATCGGTCTTGAATTGTTTGGGAGATTTTTCATACATGTCTTCGAATGGAGGAGGAGGTGGAGGTGGATGAGGATGACCCTCGTCATGCATCATCATTATGGAATCATCACTATCGACAGGAGGTGGAGGTGGAGGATAGGTACCATCGTCCATGGAGGAGCGTTTTCTCTTCTTTTTCGCCTTATCGACAGCTTCTTCGAAAAGAATCGATAAATTGTCTGAGTCAATACTTTTCGTTCTTTCGTCCTTTTCGATGAGAGTTTTGAAATTTTCAAAAGTAGAATTTTCATCAATTTCGACATTCAATTCCTTGATAATTTTTCTGAAAGTTTTCTTGTCATTCTTGTACAAATTAACTAAATACTCGATATATTCGTCGAAAATCTTTCTGGGCTTTTCAATTAATCGAGGAGCACTATCTCCACCATGATGCCTTGGAGAATATGGTGGTAATTCGACCATTTGACTCGCAATGCATTGATATCTTTCATCATTTTCGAGCAATGGTTTAACCTCCTTCCAAGCGCTCAACACGTTAAGCATACGTTTCTGCTTGAGTTCAGTCAAAAATTGCCAAAATCTGTCATCTTGTTCCTTGAGAAGTCGTTGCTTTTCCTCTCGTCTCTGTTTTTTCTTATTGTAATGTTCGAGTTCGAGATTAGAAATAAAGCTTTCCCATACCATCAATCGATCGCAATAATCCAATGCCTTGTACTCCTCCTCATTTTGAATTTTATCCTTAATTTGCCTCCATAAACTTCGATAAATAATCAAGCCTTGCTCTTGTTTCTTAGACAGTAAATCATGAAAATTTGCCATATTTTTCTTTCGTTCTTGTTTGATCGCTTCTTTATCTTTTCTCTCCAATTCGTCAAGAAATGAATAAAAGTAATCCAATCGATCATCCTCATTTTCCACATTCAGATATCTGTGATCATTCTCAATTTTAGGTAATACTTGTTGATAGGTTGTTGAAAGATATGATTTTGGATTTGAGAAAATTGTGGATTTCAACTCGACAAGCATGTTCATAAAATCTTCTTTCAATTTTCTTCTTCTTTCACGGTTGGCTTCTCTTTCCTTTTCTTTTTTCTCCGAAATGTATTTGTAGAAAATGTCCTGCCTATCCTGTACCCGTTTTATGAGTTTAACTCTCGGATCGTTGCCAACTCTTTTCATTGCTCTAGACCAGTCATCATCGGTTTGAACTTTACAATCATCTAACATTTTCTTGAAAGTACTAACCCTCTCTTCGTAAGACATTTCTCGAATTTTTGAACCACTCGATGATGCAGATGATGAGTGAGAAGGGCTTCTTGGAGGTGAAGCCACATCATGGCTACCATGTCGGAAGGGCGAGGCATTGGATGGTGTTGATGGTGATGATGAAGAAGGAGGAGATGCTATTCTTGATGCTGAGGAGGAGGAAGATGAAGGCGAAACATAGGAAGAAGGTGGTCGGTTATAGTTGTATGAATGTTGTTGTTGTTGGTGGTGGTTGTGATGGGATTGATGATCTCTAGAATCCATTCCTGAATGGTAATTGTTGTGTGTTGAGGAAGAAGAATAGTAATCACTGCCGCCACCAGCTCCACCACTGCTACTTCTATCGTGTTGATGATGATGATACGAAGAATGTTCGGAACTGTTCGTATAGTATCTATCACCGTCTCTTCCTCCTCGTGAATAATAACCAGATGAAGAAGAATAGTTATTATAATACTACACGGTCATGATGAATTGTATGATGATGATGATAATAAGGTTTGTTGGATTTACAAATTCAACAACAAAAAACTTACCCTGCGATCTTGGGACATTTTTTTTGTTGGTTTTAAAAAAAATCCAATTAGTTTATTGTTAGCACCATTGGTGCTGGTAAATCCGTGAGGATTGGGGATTGTTTTTGAAATGGTTTTTTGAATCTTGAGTTTTCATAGTATTTGGTGTGACATTTACCAACTAGTAAGGTGAGAATTATTGGTTTTAAAAAAAATGTCTTCGTATGATTCATCCAATCTGAATCAACCTTCCATCATTGCGGAGAGGATTGATCATGTCTATACTGTAGGACAAAATCATTCCACCCAAATTTCGGATCCATACTTTTGGTTAAGTGAGAGAGAGAATCCGAAAGTGAGAGAATATTTGGAAAGCGAAAATGAATATCAACAGAGTGTGTTGTAAGTTCTGATGATGACATTATTGTTGTAATAACAAATATATATTCATTGATATGAAACAAACGAAATATTATGTGAATATATCATTCCCTTCATCATGTCAAATTTTTAAATCAATTCTGGAATATGCACAGAAAACACACAGAAGAGTTGCAAGAAAAGTTATTTTATGAAATCAAGAACCGTATTAAACAAACCGATAATACAGTTCCATACAGAATGAAAGACTATGTTTATTATTCAAAGGTAAGCTAGATCGTCCTTCACAATCGGGATACTATTATTATTGATCAATATTCCAATACTATATCAATAATACTATATTAATAATACTATTATTGTTGATCATCCAAAAGACTGAAGATGGAAAGCAATTTTCAATTTATTGCAGAAAGCCAATCATCAATGAAAATGAACACGGAAACGAACAAGTCTTGCTAGATTTGAATGAATTGGCGGAAGAATTAAAAACCAATTTCGTAAATTTGGGAATTTACAAAGTGTCTCCATCGCAAGATTTATTGGCCTACTCAATTGACACTGATGGATCCGAGTATTATGATTTGTATGTGAAAAATTTAAACACTGGAAAGCTTTTGAGAGATCGAATTGATAAGAGCTCCAAAATTGCAAGATCTTTTGAATTTAGCACAGATTCTAGAACTGTGGTTTTTACGATTTATGATGATACTCATAGACCATACAAAGTTTTTAGAACCAAGCTTGATATTGACACCTACGTTGATGAGAGATCACAATGTAAACCAATTGAGCTTGACAATTGTGAACTTTTGTACACTGATCATGACGAAAAGTTTTTCGTTTCAGTCCGAAAGACTCTCTCTGAACAATATGTATTCATTGATTCATCTTCAAACATTACATCCGAATGTCATTACTTGCAAGCAAACGATTTAGAAACAGGAACTTTTAAATTATTTGGAGACAAACCAAGAAAAACAGGCTTGGAATTCTCAGTGACTCATCAAGGTGACTATTTTTACATTGTTCACAATGAAGGAGACAATGTAAACTTTAAGGTGACACGAACTCCAATCAGTAAGTATGCGCATGAAAAATGTTCTTGATGACCTTGTTTTTCCTTAATTCGCTCATCCAAAACCTTTGATACCAAAACCGACTCCACAAAATATCTTCTTCTTTTGCCAATACACAACAGCCAATCCATGTTTTGATACTGCCGAAGATTTTGTGCCTTACAATGAAAAATTTTATTGTGAAGCATTACTGGCCTTTAACAAACATTTGGCACTTTTTGGTCGAAGTGGAGGGGTTCCAAAACTTGTCATTCTCGATCCACAGCGCAAGGTGGCACCTCGTGAAGTCGAATTTCCGGAACCATCCTTTGATTTGAGCCCAAGTAATAACAAAGAATACGACACATTCAAAGTGAGAATTTCCTATTCTTCCTTTCTGACACCGCCCACTGTGTATGATTACGACATGGAAAATGACAAGCTCATTGTTCTGAAACAAGATGAAGTTCTTGGTGGTTACGACAAGACAATCTACAAACAAGAAAAAATTTCAGCAAAATCTCGAGATGGAGTGACTGAAATTCCTATTTCTATTGTGTACAAGAAGAGATCAGAACAGAATCCACTTGTTCTTGATGGAGATAATCCTCTTCTCTTGTATGCGTATGGATCTTATGGAGCATGCATTGATGCTTACTTTTCATATGCATTGTTCAGTTTATTGGATAGAGGATTTGTTTATGCACTTGCTGCTATTAGAGGTATGTATCGCGTTTTTCAAAAAACAATTCTCTTTTTTACATGGAAACACTGAAACGTGCTTGCATTTGTGGTGTACGGTTTTTACGTGACCACTTTCAATCTTACAGGAGGAGCTGAGAACGGAAGAAACTGGTATTTGGATGGAAAATTACTCAAAAAAAAGAACACGTTCAATGACTTTATTGATTGCGCAGAATATTTAATTAATGAGAAATACACAAAGCCTGAAAAATTGGCCATCTATGGTGGTTCTGCAGGAGGCCTATTAATTGGAGCTGTTGTGAATATGAGACCAGAATTATTTAAGGCAGCAATTCTTCAAGTACCATTTGTTGATGTCATTAATACCATGTGTGACGCTACGTTACCGTTGACGGTCACTGAATATGAGGAGTGGGGTTGTCCTCTCGAAAAGGAATATTTTGATTATATGAAGTCATATTCACCATATGATAATATTGAAAATGATGAAAATATTGATAAGCCATACCCAAGTATTTTGATCGATCAATCATTTAATGACACTCGTGTGAACTATTGGGAAGGAGCTAAATATGTTGCACGATTAAGACATTTCTTTGCCACTAAAAAGAAGAATCAAAACACAAGTGTCATCTTGTGCAAGACCAACATGTCACAAGGCCACTCAGGAAGTGCAGGAAGATATGATCGATACAAGGAAACAGCATTTAGATATGCTTTCTTAATTGACCAGCTGATTGGAAAAATGGAATAAAGTAGGGAAAGGCCAAAAAGTTCATTTTGGAAAATTGTCTGGTGAAGAACTACATCCTTCCTTGTCCCTTCAATTTGAATCCTCCGCTCAACACTTTAGTTCCTTGTTGTTTGCAGTGTTCAATCCGTTTTATTTCCATACATTCATAGGGATTGGTATACTACCTTGTCCTACCTCAAGACCAGTTTATTCTGTTGACAAAATCGAATATAAGTATCTTTCAAATTCATGAACATTTCAAATCGAAGGTCTTCCAAAAATTGAACAATCTGAATTTGAGGAGTTGGTTCTTCCATAGCCACCAATGCAGAGAGAATGGGTGATTGTGGACTATTGTTATTCATAGCATTCGAATTTCCAGATTCCATTTCTTGAATCAAGGTCGACAGTTGAGCGAGCGTTTCCTGATTCAAAGTGGTGTTGTGATCCATGAGAGATGTTGGCACATGGTGAGAGGAATTCACAACAGCATTTGCGGAAGTGCTCGTGGATTGGTTGTTGCTATGGTTCGAGTGATGAGTGAAAAATTTTAAACTCATTCGTTTCGAAACTCTCTTCGAAGCCAACCATTGCTGTTGTTGTAAATTATGTGCCCTAATTTTCTCAATTTGATTCTTGAGTTTGTGTGTCACATTCAGTCCATCTAAACTACTCGAGCCAGAACTACCAAACGACAAGGATGATGAAAAGACATCCTCATCATCAAACAAACTATGACTTGCTTCAAAAACACCTGCCGAATGTGCTTGTTGTTTAAACATGTTTCGATCAATTCCAAAAAATTCACTATTCTTTCGTCGACTCTTCATTAAAGATTTTCGTTTTTCTGAGTGAATTTTTTGCATCTTTTCAAAAATTTGTTCCAATTGTTTTTCCAACTTTTTCAAAATCTTTTCTTCGAATGAGAAATGAGATTGAAGAATCTTGTATTGTTGTTGTTTGTTTTTTTCTTCAATTTTTTGTTGATTGGTGTGTTGATTCTTTCTAGAAGTGACGGACGTATTAAATCCACTTGAATTCAAGTGATGATTTTCATCTTCTTCCAGAAATTTCTTGCATTCCTCCAACAATTGATTCGCCAATAAGAAAATATCTAAATTCTCCTCCGAGTATTCAATTTTTGTGTAATTTCTAAATTGTTGCAACAATAATTTATCTTGCAATATTTTGTTAATTCCATTAAATCCTAAATTGTCAAGTGTGGAAATCGACAAAGGTCTCACATGTGCATTTTTCGGTTTGTTGTGTCGACCAAGTGTGATCTCAATATTTTGTGAAGAACGATTTGCATTCGAATGTGTAGTTTCTGAATTCACACCTTCATTTCCAAAGGAATTCAATAAATTTCTTGGACTTGAACTTGATCGTTGATGTTCCTTTTTCTTGTCAGATGTATTAAATGCATGACAAGTTGAAGAATTGGTTGGCGAAGAAGACGACGACGACAACAACAAGGAATGGTCACCACTTCTTCTCGAAGAAGACCGATGATATTCCACGGCAGAAATGGAAAAATGTTTTTGTTGAATGATACTTGGCGTTCGTTTTTCCAATCGAGACCATGCATTCCGTTCTTCTCCGTGTGTGACAAGTGACATGTCCTTCGACGTTGCTGTTCCTTCTTCCAACAAGGTTGTTTCTTGTTGTTTCATCTCTTTTTCATCGGATACATGTTCTTGGTGTTGTGCTCCGCTTATTTTCGGAGATGTTTTTGGAGTGGTGATTAACTTGGGTGATTCTCGTTGTTGTTGAATAATTTCGGAAAAATTTAAACTCTTTCGATGGTGGTTAGAATTCACCTTTTCAACATCGAGAGAAGGAATTTCGAAGGAAGCACCTCCGATGGACGTGTGTGTGTGAATGGGATTTTCGACAGAAATGGGTTGACCCATGATGTCAATATTTGACAAGTGGCAGGTATTCACAAGACAGGAAGTTGATACAATGTGATAATGGGTTGATATGATTGCACAACAATTGTCGTTGTTGTGGTTGCTATTTTTTTAATCGTTAACATTCAAAACAAAACAGCATAGACATACCATTCATGTCATGACATGATTCAAAATGGAAAGTAACACATGTAAGGAGCGGAGAACCAAAATTTAATTGTCATGACAATTCGTTTGTACAAATAATCACTTTAAATAAATTTATAAAACTAATCTCACAAGAAAGCATCACCTCCGTATGACCAAATCCAATCATTAAATGAATGAAAAATCGGAAATGAAGTTCAAGCTTCTGTCATTGAGTTTCCATTTGACATTTTGAGAGACAAAACAAACTAATATTGGATCATCTTTATACAATACATGGCATGAGATTTAAGGACGAAGTGATTTTGGGAAAAGAGATTTTGCTAACGACTCGCTTGGAGTGAACAATGAACAGCTGCAGCAGTGTGTTATTGAATTTAATTTATGGGTCTGAAAAAACATTGACCCCTTTTCTAATGAGTGTCTTTGTATTGGGTTTGAGAGAAAATTGTTTCTAAGAAGCGAGCATTCCTTTTTGAATGTCAAAAAGAATTCAAAAAGTTGTTATCTCCAAGGTGTCAAATGTCATCACGTTGGAAAAAAACAAAAAAAATTGCGTTTTACTGAAAACCACCACTCTCACTATTGCTCTGTCTGTGCCAACGAAATTGGTGTCGATGACATTCCAGCAGAATTTCAATGCGAAACCTGTCAACAACATCTTTGAGAGACAGTCGTCTTCATTTGAAACAACATCCACAACATGTAGTGAAAAAATTGAATCTTTTCTCAATCCACAACAACAACAACTCCACCACCATCATTATCATCATTAGCTCTACCCCCTTCTCACTCTTTACAATGTTGTCTATTGCATCAATGTCCAATTAATGCTTTTTGTAAAACTTGTCAAGAATTAATTTGTGCTGCTTGTGGACTTGGTTCTCAACACAAATCTCATGTGTTTTGTTGAGTGAAATTGATCAAGAAATGAGACAAGAATTGAAGAAAAAGATTGACGAATTACAAGAATTGAAAAACAAATGGGAATTGAAATGTGACACCAATGATGAGAATTTGAAAAAGAAAATTCAAGAAATTGAAAAACAACAACAAATTCTAAAAAAGGAAATTGATCAGGTCTTTCAAGATTTACAAGAATGCATGAAAAAGAGAAATGATGTATTGAAGGAAGAGGTGGACAAGTTGTATTTGGAAAGAATTTGCTTCATTTCCAAAATGAAAGAATTGAAATAACAAACCATTACTTCCATCAAAGAATTTGAGAAATTGCATGAAATGACGACATTTGAAATGATGAGCAAGAAAATTCATTCACTTGATGTGGTCAAAAAAGAATTTTAACCAAATGGTGAATGAATTCAAATATGCATCTGTCAAACAATTGCATGAATTGAAATTCGAGAATTACCAGAAGGAATTGAGTGATTGAACTCTTTGGAAACATTAATTCAATCATCCTCCTCTAAAACGACATTGAAGGAATGGTTTTATGATAACACTTGTATCGAAGTTTCTGAGAATAGTAGTATCATATTGGTTAAAAAAAAGGATGATCGAGCATGTTGTCTTTTTAACAATACCAAGATGACAAATAGTGATGTATTTCAACGGAAAGTTAAAATTGAAAAATTGGAAAGGAATTGGAATTGGAGTTTCGAAAGAGGAATTTGTGTCATCTAAACAATTTCATGATTTGAAAATTAAGTCTCATGTCCACAATTCCTATAGGATATTTACGGAATGGACTCGAATGAGAATGATAAACCAAATGGATTTAAATTTTCAACGGGAGATAAATTAGAATTGGAATTGAATGGCATTACTAAACAGTTGATTATTCGAAAAAGAGCAACGAATGGGTTTGTGGTCTCTCCAAACAGGTCCGGTGTTGGTGGGATTTTCTGCATATTTTGTCAATTGACTTTATTCAGCAGAGTCCCGAGCATTAATTAAGATTTGAGAAGTAAAAAACTCCAAAAACCGCTCAGCGGAAAAAAAAAGGAGAAAACCAAAGAAACGCAAGGAAGAAGGAAGGAAGAAGGCAGAAGTAACGACTACATGATGTGAAGCGCAAGAAGTCACAGTTAGGTGGCAGAGACGAAGACTCCTTTTTATGAGGTCACATTTAAGCATTTGCTTGATAAATCCATGAAAATTATAATAACTTGATAAATTCTCTTTGTATTCTGGAAAACAAATTTCCCAAGTTGCATTTCCAAACAAATATTCCTTCCATGCTGAATAGGCCTCAAGTGGGTTCAAGTCAGAATCTAATTGATCAAAAAAACAATCTTCTATCTTAGTCGTGAACAGTTAAATTGGTTCTCTCAAAACAAGAGATTCAGGAATATGACATCCTAAATATGCAAATTCCAATCTCTGATTTTTCAAATCATTCAACAACAATATAGCTTCATCGAAGGTGAGACATCGTGACTTTTTAAAACCAAATAGATAATTAATATAACTTTTCGTAATAATTCCACATCGTTTTGCATATTCAGAACTTATTTCAGAATTTACAATAAGATTATGATTGAAATTTCGTATTTCAGCATCATCATGATACCTTGACCATAATTCATAACAAAGATCTGGATGATTTTTTTTCACACATTCCAAAATAAAACTTGCATCTTGTTTCAATTTTTCTGAGGCAATATAGAAAACATCATTAAGTTCAAAATATTGAAGTAATGTCAAAATAAAGTCTCTATCGCTCTTTATCAAGGTCGGGTGTTTGGAGAGACTATAAACCCATTTGTTCCTCTAAATTAACCAAACGATTCTTGTTGTTTACGTCTTCGAAACACTTTAAATCTTCAGGAATATTTCCTATCTTATAATTCTTCCAAGCCACAATAATCACCTCTCGATCTTTTCTTTCAACATATTTCGCCAAAATATCAACTAATGGTTTGTTGTTTTGGTTATCTATATCTATCTTTCGATTTCTTAACGCTTCCAATAGGCAATCTTTGTCTTCTTGAAAGTTTTTAGGTATAACAGAAAAAGAGCATGGGTGTTCACTTTTAAGAGCAGCCAAAATGACTTCTTTGTCTTGAAGAAATTTTTGAGGAACCAAGTATTGTTGTGGAATCAATGGATTTGTTTTCTTATTCTTCTCAAATAACAAGCATGCGTTCTTGAGAAGTATTGTCGAAACAATTTCTCGATCATATCGAAACTTATGCAAAATAAATTTGAAACAATTTGCATTAGCTTTCACAGCTTTCAAAACAAAATTCTTGTCATTTCTTAAATGGTATATAGGTGCATATTGAAGAATTAAAGGCAAATCTTTGCGTTTCAAAATAGATTCTTCAACCCCAAGCCATTGAGGATCATAATTCGAGTAAAGTCTGATCATTATTTGTTCTAATAATTTCTCAATTGTTTGTCCATTTTTGGAGAGGCAAATGAGATGTTGTTGACTATTAAATAGTTCAAATAATGAAAAATAAATTGTCCTTGCTGTTTTGGATTGCGTGGATAGTTACGATATGCTTCATAATATTCTTCTGGCAATTCAAGAAATATTTGAAGCAAATGATGTGACATGATTACATCAAAAGGAACATGTATCGCTTTACAAAAATGCCAGCAATTTGCATCTTTGAGAAAAAATTGTTGGAAAATAATATATCTCATTTTCTCTGGAAATTCATAAATAAATTCATAGGACAAATATTGCAATATTTCTGGGACACATTTTTGAATCATGTCCTGTTGAAGTTTTCTATTGATAGAGATTGGAATATCGAGTAATTGAAAAAGGAATTCCTTATCATTTCTTATTGGAAGATGGGGCATTAATTGAGGATCTAAACGAATAATATCCATACAGAATGTTATATCATATTTCAATCGTTCAGACATATAAATTATTTCATAATTGAAAATTATAATAGGTTTCCGATCACATTCAATGGTATTCTTAGCATTGCATTCAATAGCATATTTTACAATTTCTTCATTGTCTCGTAATCTTTTTGAGAGCTGTTGCAATTCATAACATTTCTTATAAAGTGCTTTCTTTGCATCATCAACATCATCTGGATCAAATGAAAAGCTAAAATTATATATTTTTTCCACTATTGGTATTAATTCATCTTTCAATTCCAATAAAATATCTTTTGGAATATATTTCAACCCTCTCAAATCTTTGTTGAGAATGAATTTCAAAATTCCATATTTGAAAGGTAACCAAAACTCAACATTTCCAATTAATTCTCGATTACTTTTACACAATTCTGCAATATCAATTTCTTGGGCCATCCATGGATGAATTAAAGAAAAATAACCATTTCTAATAGTACAATCAACCATCATTTTCTTAACAATATCTCGATCGTTCAAGAATTCAATAGGAAACTGATATGGATTACCATATTTCAACCATTTCTCTTTTGCCAATAACCATTTAGCAAATCCTTTCATCTGATTTTCAAATTTGAATTTCATCCATTCACAGAGTTGCAAAATATGAGAATGTTTAAAATTTTGAGAGCCTGAAATGAAAGACATTCCGTCTTTTTTTGATGATGAGAATAATTGAGATTGAAAATCAATTAAAATGATTTTGATTGGATTTTTTGTTGGTGAGTCGAGATGATGAGGTTGGTAGTTGATGTAAGACAATGTTGCAGATATTGTTTGAGATAGTGATTGGTTTTCGATAGGAGAAGTAGGATACAATATTCGTCTTTGTGAACAAAAGGCCAATATGTCAAATGTCAAACTGAGAATCTGCTGGTACTTAATTGAAAGACGATTTGTTGGCCTATTGATGAAAAATATATCAGCCCTCGCAAATACTTACGGTAATTGTGTTTGTTTGAGCCTTCAAACGGCAAAACATCGAATATTGAGTAGGAAGGATTAAAATTAAAACAGTCCACCAAAGAAAACGATTGGCCTTCAATGAAATTGATATACCAAATACAAATCATTACAATTCACTTTATGTATGTAAATTATCAATCTTAACAACAACAGAGTGATCGGATTTACTTCATAACCACTACATCAAAAAAAAGTCATTCAAAATTTGCCGATACATTTAAATCTTCATAATATGATCATATACACCTGATAATGAATACTATTGATTGGTAATCATGTAGCGATAAAGTACTTTAAATTCCGAATTTTAAATGATGATCATTGATGAATGAATTATCGTTGATGGTGTTAATGTAAGAATGATGAAGAGAAATTTTTTTGATTTCCAAAGTCTTTGAAAAAATTGCGTCTCAAATTTAGTTTCCCTTATGCAAGCAATAAATACAGGATTTATTTCTTACTAGAAATCAATCATACAAGCATTCGATTACTCTCATTTGGACAAAACAAAATATCAATTTATTTACCCCTAACAACAAAGGCGGAAATAATGCAAATAAATATGGAGCTGGAATGGGTTGCAAAAAACGAAACGAATTGATTTTTATTCTAAAGTTTCAACCATTATATTTGAAAAAGAGGCAACTATTATGTGTTCGTGACTTACAGTAGTATTTGTATTCATATGAAAATTAAAAGTTCAATATTAACTTTAGGTTGTAAATGTTTTGTGATTTCGTTGTTGGCGTTGGTTTGGGAATTCTGGAACAAAAAAAATGTCCACACACTCCTCTCCAACCAGAGGCTTGTTTCGCTTGCAAAAACTTGCACACATTTGCATCCTTCTCGTTCTCTCCAACAAGTATCCACTCGGTCTTGAATCGGAATATTTATTCATCTATATTTTTCAATTACCTTTTATTGCGGAATTTGAAAAAACTAAACATGAATTAGAAAAGCTCATTCCGGATGAAAAGGCTTTGCAACAATTCATTCGAGAGCATGCTTCCGAACATGTCTCGTCGGAAGAAGATGGATTTTCAACATCTACAATCTTTAAACTAAAAACACCTCTCGTGAAGGGAATTTCCATCTCGCAGGATCGAGTCAAAACTCGAGATGGAAACATCAAGTTTTTCAAACACGTGTTAGGTTCAGCATCGTTGAGTGCTGTTGAAATTGCCTCAATGATGCTCAGTTATCCATTGCAGGAAGCAACGCAAAAGGTTGCGAGTTATTTCAACAAGGTAAAAGGTAATTCTTCTTCTGAACACACAGAGTCTCTGATGACACAGAGTAGTGACTCTATTGACACTTTGAGAAATGATCCATCACCGATGAAATTGAATGAAATTAATGATCATTATAATCATGAAGAGATGACATCTGCAGAGACAAACATTGAATCGTCATTTTCAAATGTACGAGAAAAAGTTGAAACATGGGGAAATGAAGACGAGGCAAGTAGTTGTGAATTTTTCTCACCACCATCGATGGAAGAGAAGAAACCTCCCGATCAACAACAGCAAGTGCCTAACATTACAAAACCTCAAGATGCATCAATATTCGCCAAAAAACAACCCAGAAAAAGAAAAGACCAGCCATTGTCCGTCACAACGATCAACAACGCTGAAAAAAGTAGAGAGCACAAAAAAAACTTCAATATGGCTGCATCCTCGTCAATTAGAATGTGTCAAGTCATTAATCAAATTGATGACTTATTGGACATATTTCCTTCGACCATCAAAACTAAAATTCAAGAAATTTGTCATGATCGAATGGAACAATTGGTTGAAATTGTGATGGACAAAGAAAGACCATATGAGTTTTACTTTTACGGGAACGAATCAGAGCCATTAAGTGATGAAGGATTTATGGCAAGTGGTGAAGACATCACTCAATTATGTCACAAGCTTCATTTTGCTTCAGATGATCGAGCAGGTATAGATGGAACACTTCACAGAATTTCAAGAATTGAGAATCGCAAGAACCAACCGATAGGTCTCACCATTCGTGTTGGAAGAGCAGTTATTGGTTTGGGAAACGTATTTAAGGACCTTCTTGAGAGTGGAAAGAACATTCTCTGTGTTGGCTTTCCTGGAAGTGGGAAAACGACTGTCATTCGAGACATTGCACGAATTCTCTCAGAACGAAACCGTGTGATGATTGTGGACACTTCGTGTGAAATTGCTGGACTTGGCGATGTTCCTCATCAAGCAGTTGGCCGTTCACGTCGCATTCCAGTCAAAGACAAAAAGAAACAAAAAGAATGCATGATCAATGCGGTTCAAAATCATACACCTCAAGTTATTGTAATTGATGAAATTGGAACGAGAGAAGAGGCAGCTACTGCAAGAACAATCTCACAACGTGGAGTTCGAATGATTGCCTCTGCACATGGCTCTCTGGAGAGCATGCTCATGAATCCCACGTTGTGTGATTTATTGGGAGGAGTTGAAACAGTCACTCTTGGAGATAGTATGGCTGCTTTTCGAAATGGTCAAAAAGTCATCATGCAAACAAAAGGCAATCCAATTTTTCACACCGTGATTGAATTTATCGAAAAGAAGAAGGATGATTACAGTTGGATGAGTCCTGACTACATCACCCATAAGATGAAAGATCAGCAACGAAAGGAATCTCCTCGTGTGGAGTGGCGAGTTTATACGGACATCAAAACCACTGTTCAAAATATTCTTCAAGGAAAAGAATACACCGCTCAAGTGAGAACATTGAAAAATGCAAATGATGTAAATTCAGTCGAGAGTCGAGTCCTGTCCTTCGAACCAGCAAATGTGGTATTTGCTTAATATTGAACAGGACGTTAAGGTTCACCAAATCTGGAAATTTCCTTAAAAGAAATGACTCACCACCTACGACTGCTGCTCATTCATAACCATTGCCAGCACCATCACTACCCTCGCCTCAACCATCAACCACCCACAAAAACACAAGTATCCTCACGTAAGCTTTACCTTTGCCACTTGATATTGTCCCTATTTTTCATTTGTTTGGCTCTCCAAGTTGTGCAGTCATTTTCAGTATGTGCTGCCACTTCCTCACTCTACTCCAATCAAACAAGAACAACAAGAACAACCGTGAGGTCCTTCTCTCCCTCTTCATCATTCAAATCATCCCTTACTCAAAATGAAATCATTTTCCTCAATACTCTTCTGAAATTGTTTTTATCCAACATGGAGGCGCGCTCACTCGATATCAGCATTCCTTTTGTGATCAATTCGACTCCCTTAAATACATTTGGAACGAATTTTCAATCACAAACCTATATTTGTGGAACTCCTGCCGTATTCCGAGATCGAATTAAATTATTATGGTTGGAACAATTAAGTGGATACGTACGAGAGGGATCTCAAGTGAATGGACCAAACTCGTCATTTGGAAAACCAATCGGATTTTGGTCTTCCAATTTGAGATGTTATGTAGATATTTCACAACAGGCAACAACGCTTACTTCTTCGGGAGATTCTCTTGCTAATCAACAACAACAACAACCAAAATGTCTCTATCCACTTGGAACGTATTTCACACATTGTGGTAGTAATGACTTGTTGCCTCTTCTTCCCATTCGCCCCATGTTCTTTTATTTGAATCAAATTGAGAGTATACGAAGTGATGCCTTTCTACTTGTGTTACAACAAAAGAAAATGTTGAGACTGGCCATTGAATTGGAGAGTATTGTGCTTTCGTATGCAAGTGTCTATTCAAAAGAAGTATTGAGCTCGAAATTGAGCTTATCCATGATGGAGATGAGATCATTACAAGTGTTTTTCAATGAAATTGCAAGAAGATTGAGAGAGAATATTTTGAGTTATTTACCTCAATTTGAATTGTTTTATGATTTGGATAAGAGTTCGAGCACGAGTTATCAGTTGATGAGCATTACCATTCAAAATGGTGTAGAAAAGGCAACACAACAATTCGAGAATATGGGAAGTGGAACCAACGCTACCAGATACCTGTCCCCCTCATCAGGATCTGATCAAACATGGAGCAATCTTTATGAGCTCATTCATTTCTCATTATTGCAAGAAGGTATTTCTGAAGATGCAAATATGGAACTCGCCATGTCATTCTCATCCATGGCTCAATTTGTAGATACTCAAATTCAAATAATTGACGAATTATTCAAACTCATTAATGATACTCTTTCTTTGGATAAGGTGATTGATCTTTCCTTGTATACGAATTCACCTGTTTATGATTTTATTGATTCTCACTCAAAAGTGCTATCCTTGACTGAGGTGGATACATTTTCCTATTTGAGACAATTCATTGGGTTGGATAGAAACTTTGCCCAGGAATCACTCTCAAAAACGCCAAGTATCTCAATTGATTTCTCAAGTCAAATATTCACAATGATTCAAACAACCAGTTACATGTCGAAGGTGTCTTTCAAGGCCACTCCTCCTTCAAGTTATTCATTAATCAATGGATATTTAATGGGAGACGTTTCGAATTCGAAAATTCTTGTGACAGACATCACAAAACAGGCAAGAGTGTTAGATTTGGTGGCACTCTCTGGAAATTCTCAGTGGATGGTTGACTCTTCTCTTGAGACTGATTACAAACCATTCCTTAAGAAAATTCCATCCGTGACATCAACTACTTCAACTACTGGAACAAGAAGCATCATCACTTCGGCATCTCTTCAGTCAACACAACGAACAATTTCCACCCCGAGACGACGTCCTCTCAGTAATTCCGTTCAGTCGTATTCTTCAATCACCACCAACCATTTCAAACTCATGAGTTTCCTTCATGAAAAGAGAAGATTACAGACCTTTGCTCCAAATCGTCGATCGCTTCTTGCTCTAACAAGTCTTCCAACCTATAACTGCGAAAAAGGTCGTTATGGACCACAATGTAAAATCTGTTATCCAGGTACCTACTCTCCAGGGGATGGTCTCTTGTATGTGTGTAGTAATGGACCAGATGGTCAAGTCGAATACACTGAAAGTGGAAGCACCAATGAAAATTGTGCTTTTCGATGTAAGGACACTAAAAAGTACCGATCTGGTAATCAATGTGTGAATATTCCAGTGAGATATTATTCGGTAGATAATGGAGCAACTACACTTTCTGAATGCTCCAAGAATGGAAATTCTTATGGGATTACTGATCCGTCAATTCAACAAGATTTACTCCAAATTGCAACAAGTGGACAACATGCTTTTCCGTCTTCATGTAAAACAGCACTCCGTGATTTATTATCCCTCACTTTCAATCAAACATCGATGTTCGACACAACCACACTTACCACGAATAGCAGCTTTTCCCTAAGTCACTCTTTTACTCTCTCAATTGATTTCAAATTAACACCAAAAGAAAAGTGGAATTTTAAATTGAAAGATTATCAAGTGGCATATGGTATTGTGACTGTTCCAGGTGAATGGACCTGGCAATTGATTTTTGACTCTCCAGATTCCATCTACATGCAAGTGAAAAAACTGAATCCTGTCAAAAACGAACCTCGTTTGCTTTCTCTATCATTCCCATATGATACTGAATGGCATAATTTCATTTTACAGTACGATGAAGAAAAACATGTCTTGTCTCTCTATAGAGATCGAGCTTATATTGGATCATGCTTGTTTGCATTGTCACAACAGCAAGAATTTCGACTAGTTATTGGTGGATTCTTTTATTTCAATGCCACTCATACGCCTTCCTTATATTCTTATTTACCAGCATCTGGAATTTCAAATTTAAGAATTTATCAGGGCGCCATTATGGATGATTTATTGCTCTCCTCTATGAAGACGTCATCTTCACAATGGCCCTTATGGCTCAATTCGTGGTGTGAATCCACTCCTGGTTATGCTTTGTTTGGAGGAAAATGCATTCGAGTTTCATGTGAAAATGATGATATGATTTATGACTCCAGCTCACAACAATGTATTTGCTCGTACGGATATTTCTCATCCAATGTTTCCAATGTCACTCCTTCATGCACGGCATGTCCATTCATGACCACTACTGGAAGTTTTCTTCCAAGAACCTCCATGAAGGACTGTCAATGCATGCATGATTATATTTATAGTGAATATTATCAGGAATGTGTCATGGCGCAGTCCTCTCTATTACCTCCAACTCCCAACTTTAATTTCGGTCAATCGTATGGACCTTATAAGGAATTAGAAGAGAGTATTCTTTCACAACATTTTTATCCAGTTGGAGAAATGACCATTACTTTGGAATTGAATGAGGAAGACGACATTGAATTGATAGATCCACAAGATCCATCCTTAAATTTGCCACAAAAAGTCTATCAAGTTAAATTGTTAGCGAACGGAACACAACTTTTATGGAGCTTACAATTATCGAAAAATCAATTACTCTCTTTTTTCTTACACATGCAATCAAACAGGAGATTTTGATTTAATTCTTTCTACAGAGCGTGACGGCCACCGACCTGGAATTCTTTCAAGAACTTCATTTCACATTCGAGAACGTGATTTGAAACCCTTAATATTACCAAAACCCACCGATGGAATTTTTGACTCTCCCTTTCAAGTGAGATTACAACAACCGTACCGAAACAAACCAAGTGTCATCATCATGTGTTATGGACGGGAGGAATTTAACATGACCTGTCTCGAATACGATGAAAAACAATTGTACTTGTTTGGTCCACCCGTGTACTTGAAAGTCTTATCTTATGGACCATTTTTCACACGACTTCCAGGAGAAGTTCTCTCACTCTTTTACAAAAGAACCATTACGGAAGCTCAACAACGATATATGGACAATCAACAAAAGTGGAATGATTATCTCATTAAGAAACAACAAGCAATGAAAGAACTAGAAGAGAAGAAAAAGGCCTCTCCCATCTATCAAATGGTGAATCCTTTCATTGAATGGATTCAAGTATATCCCAATTATTTATGGTTTCCAATTGTTTGTGTCATTGGTCTTTTCATGTATCTCATATTTCTGTTAGCATTGCGATTCTGTGTGGCGAGATATGTTCAAAAGAAACGAAAAGAAAAAATTAAGCTCTACCTTAAAGAGAAAAAGGAAATCAAAGAAAAGTTGAAAGCATTTCTACCTCCCAAATTTAGGGAAGAAATGACCTCAGATGAAGATAATGACAATCATGATGGACAAGACATGAGTAGAAATAATAACCCACAACAACGAACATTAAGCTGCAAGCCAAAAGACTCCAAATCTTCTCATTCTTCAGAGAGTGATCAAGACACAGAAGAGGACGATGATCACTCCCTAGAGCGCAAAAAGTTTATCAAAACACCAAAAAACAAAGATCACACAAATTCACCAATCATTGGACGTAACACTCCAGGTTCAATGGAAAGAACATTCTCTCGAGATCATGACTCACAACAAGCCATCACCACCACAAACAGAAATAACATCAACACACCAAAATCTCGACCCTTACCTAATCCAAGAAGTTACAACAGTCCTTCCACACGTTTTCAATCCTCCTCTCTCAATCAAATTCAAATTAACATTCAAGATATTGGAGCTAGTTCACAACGATCAATTCCATCTTCACCTATTGCTTCAAATTATCGAAAAAAGCCCTTGCCAAATCCGTTGATTTCAAAACACTTCTCTACTGCTCCAACTCCAAAAGGTGGAAATACAAGTCATTCAAATGTTTCCTTGATTAAGGACAATAACGCTCCTCAAAATGATGAAAATGACTCTAATCATCGTCGTGACGAAATTGCACACACTTCCAATCAGTCTCGTTCAAACTCCCAAAAATCCTCCTCAAAAACCAATCCTCCATTATTACCCAAACGACCCAAATATTTAGTTTGTGGAAAATGTGGCGCCATGGCTAGAGTATGGTGTCACTCTTGTGACAATTATCTCTGTATTGATTGTGACCAACAAGATGATCGTTCTCATTCGGAACGTTCCAAATCCAAAGTCATGATTTGTGATCATTGCATGCAACCAAGATCTGAATTGAAAGAACATTTTCTAAAAGGATCTTCTTTCAAACTCTTTGGATGTAAAATGTGTATGGAAGAATTGTATAAAGAAAGAAAAGTGAATCGAGTGGGATCCATTATTAAGAGATGCACCAAATGTATGGATGAAGAAATTTCAAGAACTAATCCACAAACGAAATTGTGTGATAATTGTATTTACTTTTCATATTGCATATTCCATCATCATGTTCCTCTAGAACTTGTTTATTCTTAGTTTAGCGTCTGGACACCCAAGCACAAAAAAAGAACTCGCAACTGTCACTTGCCATAACCAAAAGAAAAAACTTCACCGTTGCCAACTAGATTTTTCACCCGTCACGACACTTTCGTGTTTGGTCCAACCAAATCTCGAAGAAGAACCTTCTTCCCTCAACACCAACAACAATCATCACCAATAACAACAACCTACAAAAAACAAACCACAAACCACTCCGCGTAGAGTTCACCCTTTCCATCTTTGTATTTATTACTCAATCATTATCATCATCACTTTCTCTCATCACGTTCAAGTGGTTGAACACTTTCAATTACATCAATTACACCAATTACATCAAGAACAACATCTCTTGTTCTATAACAAGATGAATGGATCTTCTCTTGTCAAAAAATCTCCTCTTTCTCCACGATCACCTCGATGTTCCTCCTCATCGAGTAATACTCTCTCAGAAGTAGTCGCCTTCACACCAACAACACCAATATATGCTACTGGAAGCGATCATGATCTCCTTTCTTCCTCTTCCATCATCAACACCACTCGAACCGCCACTTCCACCACACCTGTCACCACACCTGTCGCCACTCCAACAATTGTTACTTTCAATCCCGATGAATATGAATTACAATTGGTGGAATTGATGGAAGTCAATGAAAGTCGAGAGGTGTTTCTCAATTACATTCAAAGGTTTGCCATTCCTGAGACAGTTTCCTTTTTGAGAGACATGTGGAAATTTAAGGAAAAACGAAAGGGAATTTACAATCCAACGACCATGTCGATTCGTCCAGAAATTCAAACAGAGAATTTACAGAATAGTTTTTCATCGAGTTTTTCATTGAATTCTCATAAAAAGACTGTGGCTGAATTGTATCGAATGGCAAAAGAAATGATTGCCAATTATATGGAAAAGGCATCTAAGTATCAATTGAATGTTTCGTCCGATGTCACAACGTCACTTGAAAAGCGATGGAATGTCATTACATCTGTATTGAAAAGTTGTGGCCACAACGTTGAACACACTCGAGTTCATAGTATGAATTTGTCGAAACATTTTTTTAAAAGTGAGGCTTTTGAAAGTGACATGCTAAGTTTAGAATTGGATCATGACATCAAGCTGCCGACTGTGGTGGTAGAGACACCTCAAGATGAAGGCAATGGTCAATCTGAAATTTTGGAATATGTTGAAGAGAACAAGTCGACGAGCAACAACACAAATTTGGATCATCTCTCTTCCAATAATTTGGAATATGAATCTTCATTGTTTGTAAAATGTTTAGGTCACATTGAAGATAAGAGTCAATTTTGTGACGTGTTAGTGAAATTATGTCAACTCTTTGACAATGTGGAATATTTTGTTTATAACGATCTGGCAATGGAACACTTTCCAAGATTTAAAAAGAGTAAGGAAGCCAAAAACTTTCTACTTTCGAAAGGTGAAGATTTCACAAAAAAAATTGCCATCAACATCAAACTAGGTTATGAGATTGATCTCCGATATAAGGCTAAGGATTTTATTTCTCCCTCGATTACTGACAAGGATATTTATTTTATGATCATGTTGTGCAATGACGACAGTTGGGAAAAGGTCACTGAAAAAACTCTTCATGTGGAAAAAGATTTAACAACGTCGTATCAAGTGTTCACATCCAATAAGAAGATACTCATTGGAGAAGAAAAAGAAAACACGAACTTTAAATTAGCCAAAGTGGAGATATTACTACCATTCTCAGTTGAAGAAAGTTATAAGGTTATTGTGGATCGACAGTAAGTGTTTTTTTTGAAGATTTCGAATTTAAAAATAATTTTTCACACAAAAATTGCATTTTACACCCTCGATAGAGCAAAATTAAAATCAGACCCAATGACTGTTGGAGATTTTGAAACGTATAAAATTGAAGCATGTGGAGGGACCAAGAAACCACTCGCAATGGCATACTCGAGTGAGAGTTACAATTTAGGAAAATTCTCAAAGAATCGAGAAATAATTTTTGTACAAACCTTGCTTTACGATCGAGCAACAAATTGTTACATTAATTTTGCAAAATCAGCCGAATTTGAAGAAAAACGCAAAAATAAGGAGCGAATACTTGTCGATATCATGTATTCGTACATTTTTAAAAGTGAGGGACCTCAAATGTGTAAACTCACGTACATTCTATTTGGTGACATGAAAATGGCCATCGACAATGACAGGTTTTTCAAAAAGTTTATCAAGAGCAGAGCAAAGGACATCTCCAAAGGTTTTACAAAGCATCTCAATGAGCGAACGAAACATGGCACGACATCTTTTGGTCCAGTGGATGACATTTTCTGTTTGCTTCAATGCTTGGAACAAAATTCAATGGTCTACCCTCAGCGATCATGGTTTGAAGAATTTTCATCTTATTTGGAAAAAGCAAGCTGCGGTATTAGTGGAACCACGGCTGACAAGGTTGAATTTTTGGACTTTTTGGAGGGAGTTTGAAAGCTGAAAGACAGCGATTCAGCTTCGAGAATTCTTTGATTGCCCAACTTTGATGACCATGTTCTGAAAATATCCAACTGCTTCATTGCATGTTCAGACAATAATGCTGTGACTGCAAGTGGTTGGATCCAACCAAGACAATTTCTTTGAATACTAACATAATAATATCTGCCAGCCATTACTGTTTCGCCACATTACACCGCTTTGTCTTCAATCACCCACATGAAATAATTCCACACGTACCACATTTGTGACAAGTACATCTCACTTTACTTTTTGGAGAATACTCTTGAAAATATAAAGATTGCCAATAAAACCAAAAGCAATGCCACCAAATGCAACACGAAAGGATATCTATACTGATACAAGTCGTATAAATGTTGCAAATAATGTACAATAACTTTTGAGGAAAGCTTACTGTAACCATGAAGTCGAACACCAAATGCGAATGCATGCTCAGCATGTTTTTTCACACCAGCCTTAACATATAATTCAAGAGCAATCTTAAACCCAATTGGATTTACCTTATTTTGGAGGGCTCTTTGATACACAGTTTTTGGCAATGCAAAGAATCCAGACATGGGATCTGAGAGAGGTGTCAATGGGCGTGCCAAAGATCTTGCTCCTTTCGAAATAATTCTACGATAGAGTGGCCAATTACTATCCACTCTCATCTCACCACTTCCATATCGAGTTCCCAATACAAATTCAACATCCGTACCTTCCTTCAGTAAATATTCAAACATGATCGGAACGTCTTCAGGTGGATGCTGCAAATCAGCATCCATACAAAGTAAATAATCTCCTTTTGCTTCATTAAATCCTCTCAATACAGCACTACTCAGACCCTTTTCGTTGGTACGAACAATAATTCTCAAATTTGGAAAACTCGATGTATCTTTAGCTAAATCATTGATGATCTCTTCACTTCCGTCTTTTGAATTATCATCAACCACAATGACCTCGGTACGTTCCCGACTCATACCAAGTGTTGGAGATTTCTTTCCTCGTTCTCCCATGGCATTATAAATTCGGGTGACCAATTCTTTCAGGTTGGCTGCTTCTTTATAGGCAGGAATCACTACAGTGGTTAGTACATTTGAATTTGACATTTTGATGAAAAAGAGATGACGATCAATAACAACAAGTGGATGAAATAATAGAATTTAAATGATGATGATGAGGAGGAGGAGGATGATTCTGAGGATGATTCCTCCAACAAATAATATTTTTTCGATTTGATCCCAAAAAAAAAACGCTTTGAGTGTTGCTTGCTGTTCAGGGATTTTCAAACACACACACACGAATTTATGAAACGATGATGACACTCCCGAGTGTTCGGTTTTTGAAGATTTCAACAGAGATATAGTGATGGACATGACTGGAGAGGGTTATTGTCAGTCGACGAAGTACATTTTTGTCAATTATGAAAGCTTTGTCATGATCATGGTGCAAGAGAGTTTATCATGGACTCAATGAACTCCTTCATGTGCATAGGGAACAACAGAGTTGAATGAAAACAATGTTGCTCACTCCTTTGAACAGTTTGTGAAGAATTTTGGCTTGTGGTGGTTCCGTCATTTGCATCCAGTCGAGCATATTCCTCTCTTGTTTCAACTTTATAATTACAAGGAAGAATCACAAGAGAGGGCCCTCTTTCTCTAAGAATGACAATCTCTAGAGCTCCAATTTCTTGTGATGACAAGAATTAATTGAAATAAAAACAGATAAGGAAATTCTCTGATATTGTGGTGCCCTAAATACTTACGAATCATGTCTTTTCCCATATATTCCCTCCAAAGGCTCTTTTTGTGAAGAAGAACTTTAGCCATTGTGCTTTAATGCCTTCAAGCTCGATAGTAGCTCCAAATGTTTTGAGATTTGTCTTGCGTCTGAATTACATCTTGACTTCATGTGAAAAGTTCAAGGTTGCTGCTTTAGACAATCCTTTGCTTTAAATTTCTATTCGCTTTCATCGAGTTCCTTTTCTTTTTTCACTAATTCCAATGATGAATTGGGTCAAGTTATTGTAATGCCTTGTCAACCCAAATAAGTGTCAGCAATACCAACTCGATTCACACCAACCTGGTCAACACAATTTTCTTTCGATAGAGTTCCATTCCTCTAAAAATAATTATTCGAAACGAATTACGCTTCCAAAATTGGAATTCTTTGTTTCTTTGGTCCTTACACACAAAAAAAAATTTTCATGTCGTCTTACTACACAAAGGAACAGTTTTTCAGAGCACTTCATCAAGTCGAATCTAAAGGACAACTGAACCCACCTGATGGTGATAAGGGTAGAGCTATTGGTCCTCTCCAGATCTGGGAAGTCTATTGGAAAGATTCTGGCATCCAAGAGTCTTATCAATCTGTCCGAAAATTCGAGATTGCCAAAAAGTGTGTCAATCGTTTTATGAAGAGATATGCAGAGAATGAATGGGGTCCAACCATGACGATTGATCAGGTGGAAAAGTGTGCCAGAATTCATAATGGAGGACCCAGAGGACACTTGAAACCAGAAACGGATGACTATTGGGAACGATTCAAAGAGGCGTTGGAAAACTTGGATGATGAAGAGGTGGTGGTGGTAGAAGAGAATGACAACAACGATGACGACCAAGATGATAACGAGGAAGAAAGTAAGGATCACCGCGAATTGCTAAAGATTGGAATGAGTGGTGCCGATGTTGAGGAGATTCAACAACAATTGGCTGATCTTGGTTATGATCTTGGAAGTTATGGAGCTGATGGAAAGTTTGGAAAGGCCACTCAACAAGCAGTGATGAAATTTCAACAAGATCATGATTTAGCGGTGGATGGCATTGTTGGAAAAGAGACAAGAAAGGCATTGAATTTGGAAAAAGGTGAGGATGATCAGGAACAACAAGAGGTTGCAGATGATCAACAGGAGGATGATGACGAACAACAGCAACAACAAAATAAAGACCAGCCACAAGAGCAAGACGAAGAAGAGACCACCAATGAGGTCAAGGAAGAGGAGCAAAATGATGACGAACACGAGGACCCTCAAGAAGAAGAAGAACAACAACAAGAGGATGAACAAGAGGACCCACAAGAAGAGCAACAAGAGGATGAAGACCAACAAGAAGACAATGATGAAGAGAATGATCAACAACAAGAAGATGATGACGATCAAGAGCAACAACAAGAAGAAGAAGAACAAGAGGATCCACAAGAAGAGGAAGAACAACAAAATGATGACGACGACCAACAGGACGACATGGAAGAACAACAAGATGGAGATGACGACAACGACGACGACGATGCTTAAGGAACATCTCATTGTGTATCACACAACATTTCAACGACCAACAATCACTCTTTCAAGTTTTGAATGAATGAACCAAATTTAATTTTGTGGAAATTTTCTCGCAAGCTCAAAAAGTTGAAAAAAAATGAAAAGCAAGTTGCGTGGTGGTTGTTGTAAGGCGACGAAGACGACGTTGTTTCTTCAACAACAACAACATCTGCTGGCTCATCATCATGCGGTTCCGAGGTATCATCACCTAGACTGTCTAACGAAAAGAAATAATGGTATTAGCTCTTGGTTTAGTAGTAATATTTTCAACAACAACAACTATTTATGGAAGAACATCATGATGGTTCACGATAATCATTTATTTTCTCAACAAAGAGAGTTTTCGATATCTTTGAGGACCCGAACATTATCGAATAATGGTTACGGTAATAATCATCAGAACACAAAAAAAGAAGATTATGATCCACAAAAAATCAGTAGAAATGCTGTAGTGAAAGCTATTGCAGGAAATACATTTATTACAGCCATTAAATTTGCAGCATATATCACATCAGGCAGTGCCACTCTCTTGGCCGAGACATGTCATTCATTAATAGACAGTCTCAACCAAGGATTGTTATATTTAGGAATTAAGCAATCGGCCAAAACTCCAGATCAAAAGTATCAGTATGGATATGGTCGCGCTCGTTACTTTTATTCTCTGGTGTCAGCTTTGGGAATATGGTGGATTGGCTCATTTTCTGTCATGTATAACGGTATTCAAACACTAATTCATCCACCCTCTCATCACACACACCCGAAAATTACTGATATTGCCACAGGAACAGAACACCACAATGTCCTTGTTCCTACCAGTGACATGATTGAGAAAGATTCTTGGAGTTACATGTTTTTGAACTCATTTTTACCAGACCAAATGGTCACGACCATGATGTGTCACTATGGCCTAGTCACACCGATTGTACTTTTGATTTCATTTGTCATTGATGGAGGTGTTTTATTGAGTGTCATTAAGGATTTGAGAGAAGAAAAACCAAAAGGCATGGGAATTTTTCAATACATGAAATCTATTCAAGATCCTATGGTTTTGGCTGTATTATTAGAAGATTTGGGTAAGTTTGAATCACTCCATTCATTGCAGTGAATTCATAATATTTTAACTTGTGATTATTTTGATTGGTTTATTCGTCCAATTATTATTTTCTTTGTGATGGTCTTCTCACGGTGGTTTAAATAGCTGCATGTCTTGGCGTTGTGATTGCCTTTGCAGGAATTGGCATGTCTGTTTATACAGATAATTTAATCTATGACAGTGTTGCGTCGTTGGCCATTGGAGGCTTATTAGGACTTGTATCACTTTCACTCATTCAGCTTAATAGAAACTATCTTATTGGACGAAGTATTGACAGCAAAATGGAGGCAAAAATTAGAGACATTCTAATGAAGAGAGAATCGATTGAGGCTGTTTATGCTATTCAATCACAATGGTTGAGTCCAACAAGTTTCAGCGTGACTATTGAGGTTGATTTTAATGGTTATTATTTTTGTAAAGTGCTCAAAGAGCTTGGCTATGAAAAAGAATTTATCAAAAAGAGCAAAGATGTGAAAGAATTAATGAAATTGTTGAATTGGTATACTGAAGATGTCACCAAAGCCATGGAGGTAAGTGAGTAGTTCATCACACAAGTGACTAAATATTTCAACGTTGGCCAAATCATGAAATCATTTCAAACAACAAACTTTTAACCAACCTCAGAGAGAAATTATTGACATTGAAGATGACATTCGATCTCACATTCCTGAAGCAACATTTATTGAACTGGAGCCAAGTTCGTCCATGACTGGTTTTCGTATTGTCGAATATATGCTTAGCGACTCTCGAAAGTAATTATAAAAGGAGTTACCAAAGGTTATTTAGATGAAATAATTAAATCTATCAATAGTTTTACATATTATACAATTAATCATCATTAATGTGACACCAGTGATTGGTCAGTTAACCGATGCATACAGTCAAATTCAAAAAAATGATTCACAATATGAAATTCTCTTCAGTGAGTTTGTGTGAAATATTTTCTCTATTCTGCAAAAGCATTTTCTTTGTTAACGAAGTTATTCCTTCATTGTTTCTCATTCGAAATATGGTGAGATGTTTCATTGGAAATCTTCCTTTCGCTAACTCATAGCATGCCTCGTCAGTAATTTCATTCGATGAAACATCCAAATGTTCCAATACTCCAGTAATGGATGAAGATTCACAGAGTGCAAAAAGGCCAATATTATTCACTCGATTGGATACCAATTTTAACACACTAAGGTTTTTGAAATCTGCTGAGGCTAAACATTTGCAACATGCCTCAGTGATTGAATTGTTGTTTAAGTTTAAGTATTGAAGATGTGTCAATACCATTGAAGTACTAATATATTCACATGTCGCGAGGCCAAAATCATTTCCAGATAAATTCAAGTGTAGAATTCGCTGACTCGATAAATCTTTAACCCAATTATTACGTTCATCACCAAAATTGTTTTCACTTAAATTTAAATGTGTTAATTTTGGAATAAATTTTAAAACGCTCCCTCCCTCATATTCGTCTTGATTGAAAGTGGCTTCCTCTGATATGATTTGTGCTTTTTGTATTTTGATGTATCCTCTTGAAACAATTGTCTTTCCAGGAAATGATGGAACGAATTTTAATGAAATCATCTCTTTTTTGGATCGAACAATTCCCAAATGAAGGCCGCTCAAAACAAGTGTAGAAACATTTCCAAACAAACCATTTTTCGCACATTGATAAAAACTTTCACATCTCAGTGAATTCCGAGATAAATTTGCAACAAGGCTAATACCTCTTTCGGAGAAGGCTTTTTGAGTTTCAGAAAAATCACATGATTTCATATGAAAATTTCGTGAAGTATCATTCTTAGTAATGAGTTCATTCCATGTAAAGGACACCTTTCTCGTTTTCAGAAATAATTCCAATCCTTCCAAATATACAAAGATATGGTTCAATAATATTTCATGTGGTATTTGTTCAATCGTTTGATCATTCCGATCTTTGGAATACTCCTTTTTAATGTTGTTTTTCTTCTTCTTGTTGTTCGTGTGGTTGAAATCACGATTAGCGGAGGATGAACGAGTAGGAAAACGAATTGAAATGAATGGCATTTTTTTACAGGATGAACTCTCTGACTATTGCACTAAAAAAAACATATTTAGTAATTCAAAAAAAAAATGCCAAAAGACAAGAAACGAAACTTATCTTCGGAACAAATTCAATACCACCAATTGAACCAAGATGACCATCATCAAGAAATTTTACCAAAAACAAGCTCTCAAAAACACGAAAAGAAAATTAAAATCAATCCGAAACAAGACAATGACCGCAAACTAAGCATCAATGATACGACGCATGATGAAACGAAGAAAATTAATTCATCATCAGCCTCTTCTTCTCAGTTAACAGCAACAACAACCAAAGTGGACTCGTTTGCATTTTCATTCACTTCCGATTCTTCTGTTCCTTCTTCTTCTGAAAAACAAAATGTAGATTCATCTTCGTTGTTGACCTCCTCTTCCAATTTTCTTACCTCCAATCTCTTTCAACCAAACACAAAAATTAGTGGCAATCAAAGTGGATTTTTCAAACTTTCTGAAACGTTTAAAGATTTGGAACAGGACGAGGAAGAAATGGAAGATGAATCGGAAGAGGAAACACCTGAGCCCGAGCTCATGGAAAGAAGAGCAGACACTGAAGAAAGTACTGTAAAACTGGTACGAGATAAATCAGCGCTTCAGTCCCTTCGTTTCGTGAAAGATCCATCGACTTTGCCTTCCCAGGGTTTTGATCCTTGTGCTAAATATTCGAAAAAACACTCGTTTTTGTTTCCATTGTTGCCCTTACAAACAGCTCAAGTCATTGTTGAGAAGGAAGTGCACAAGTTGTCGATAGAGTCGTCGAAATTGGCACAAAATACCAACGACTCATCATTATACAAACAAATGTTGAATGATCTCTCTGTGCATTCCGTCATTCAGAATAACTTGAGGGATTTTGGAATGTATGGTCAGAACTTTTTCAGAAAGAACAACCCAGAAGCAATCAAGAAGATCGCTCACGAAAAGGTCTCCATTACTCGAGCCAATAAGCTCAGAATGTTGATTCAATCAATTGAGGGACGACACAAGAGATCAGTGAAAAAGCAATAAAATTCTTAGTTGACATTTTTATTGATTTCAAATAGAATAGTTGGAAATGGGAGTAAATGCAAAAAATAGAGAACACTGACTTAGGTGATGTTGTGTTTCTTTGGACAAGGCTGTCCATTCTGTACAAATAGAAAGATGGATGCATCAGGTGTCATTTCTTCTCCTCCTCAACGAATAAATCATTGTCATCCTCTTCCTCTTCGTCATCCTCGTCGTCATCTTCTCCAACAATGGCCTCTTTCAAATATTGAACCAAATTGTAGTTGAAATGGAACGTGAGAAGTCCTAACACAGTACCTACTAGCCAAAACACGGCATAACCAGCAGCGAACGATATTGTAATTGCCTGAAAACCAGGAATAAGATCGGTTGAGGGACAGCTGAGAGAAAATGCATAGACACAATAAGTTATAAAAGTAAGTAGCATGATAAGGGAAATCAATCCTTTTCCAAGCAGTACTGTAGTTGACAGGGCGCTTCCTTTTTCCTTCATTTTGGAGGCGTACCAAACAATTTCAAATATATAAGACCCCACATGGCCTGCAGAAATGAGACCACTCGCCAATTCCATCACTGCTAAAGTGGCAAAAATGTTATTCACGTATGCAAAAAGACATGTTTTTGTGTTTCCAATACGATGGCAATCGGCCTTAGTTACTCCGAAAACAGCAAAGGACCAAACGCTGATCATAATGTTGCATATCGCCGACGCCAATGAAAGGCCCATTGTGATTCCATAATTTATCTTTTGTTTGCGATCTGTTTTCTCCCATCCAATCTTTACTCGTTGAAGGAATGGCTTTTTTATCTTTTTTCCCTTTCGTCTCTTTGGCACAGGTTGTTGAGGTAGCGCAGTCTCCTCATGATGATGAGGGTCATTTGTAGTCATATTTTTTTCTCAACTTCCCGCCTCAAACGATGTAGTTTTGAATCCAACCGAAAACCGAACCATCATCACTTATAAAGTCTTGGGAGTTGCTTTTTCGAGCGAAATTCTAGTATCGCTCAAAGGGAGACATGTCCAATATATTGCCCGAATCTGTAGACGACCCAAACTTATTAGGCGGAAATAGATTTAAGATTCACAATTACGCCCACTCATTTCGATAAACTTCGTGGCGCTACTGTGGAGTGTGCAAATATGTAATATTCTCTCCTTAGAGCCTCTCGAAAAATTCTCCATCGTCGGAAGCAGAGGAGGACAATGCTAATGAACGACGTTAACTTTTCTTCGTTCTTGAAAATGCCCAAGCGATGGTGGCCACCATCTGCTGCAAGAGAACAGGAGAATTAATCAGTGGTTTCTTCCTTATGGAAATCTTTGCGGTAAATTCAATGGTCTTGCTGATGAAATTTTCCTTCGGGACTTTCGTTTGAAGAGCATGCTCTGAGAAAGCCGATGAGAGAGGAAACCTGGAATTGAGCAAAATTCCTGTTCGAACAATTTCGCTCAAAAACAGCCCTTGCTATTTGAAACGAGCAGCCAAAACCAGTGTCACAAAAAAACAACAACACACAAGGTCCATACTTGGCTTGCTAGTTTTATTTTCCTCAAGTCAATCAGTTATATTCCTAGTTAACCAATCATTGCCCACTCTTCTCACTCAACAAAAAGTTTCAAACACCCTCTTTCATCATTCACAAGATGGAAGCTCTCAATCAATTCATTCACTACGTCCAGAATCATGAATGGACGGCCAAGATCAAGTCCAACACTCTCGTCCAAAAAGTGATTCAATCGGCCCTGTATACACTCTTGGCTTCCTATGCTGTGGTGGTACTCACACAATTACAACTCTTTTACAACACCATCATTGCTCCTGTATTGGCAGGAAACAAAAGCATCAAGGAACAGTTGAAATTAGCCTACAACGATTGGTTGATCGGAAAGCTCCTCCAAAACGATCTCGTCCAAAGTTACGTCAAACTCTTGAAGGATCAATACGAACGAGTAAGAAAGAATATCAAATGGGAAGATTTCAATAGTGTGGATCAAGCTGTGAGCACAATCACATCGTGGATGAGTCAAAACTTGATCGGAAGAAATGGTCTCGATGTCTTGTTGAGTACTGTCTTTGAGGAAATCACCAACGTGAATCCCAATAAGAAACTTGTCTGGGTCGATTATGGTGCTCAATCCGATCTCTCCTTGATGGCCAACAAGTGCCGTGATGGCAATTTGAAGAGCAGTTTTAGCAAGATTTACTTGATTGCTTCATCCAAGAAGGCATTCGAGAAGGCTCAACAACAAGTAACCTCCATGAATTTGAGTGATGATTTGGTTCAAGTAGTGGAACATGATCCAGTCTCTTACCGATTACCAAATAATTTGAAGGCTGATGTGGTCACTTTGAGCTATGCTTTGACAAATTCTTCCTCCTTGAATTGGATTGAATTATTGGAAAATATTAAGAACCATGTCTTGAAGGAAGAGAATGGAGTGTTGGGTGTTGCTGACTTTTATATTTCAAGAAGAAGACCAGCACCTGGTGCAAGACAACACAATCTCATCACTCGTGCTGTGTGGCCTTTGTTATTGAATTGGGGACTCCAACTCTCTGTCAATGCTGATCATTTGCCATACCTTGAAAATCATTTCGAGTCGGTTCATGTCGAGGAAAATATGGCCAAGGTTCCTCTCGTGTCAAGTCTCACCTGCGGAATTGTACGCGTTCCTTATTACTTGTTTGTTGCAACAACTTCATCAAAGCAAGAATAATTCTCAAAATAATTTTTATGTAAATAAGAATACATCAATTTTGTGGTCAAGCTTAGTATTCGTTTTGACGATCTGTGCGTGTTAAAACCCAAACAACAAAAATGACAGAATTATGTTACAAACTCAGCTTTAGGACAGGTGGTCGTTCTGATCAGATTTTGTGAGAGGGGGATCTTTTTCTTGGTGAACGATTATTCTTTGTGGGTGAGGACGAGGAGATGTAGGGCACCTTCGAATAGGACGATGATCGTCTGCTGTACGTCACAGAGTTTCCTTGCTCCCTTACGGATCTTCGATCCATGGACTTTCTGTCCAACGATTTTCGATCCATGGATGATCTTCTCTCCGTGGTTTTTCCTTCTCCAGAGAAGGAGCTCCTCCTCACGACACCACCTGCACTCGAGACACTCGTATCGGACCGATCGGATGTGAAGGACGTTCGTTTAAGATTCATGGGCTGTGACTGAGGTCTCACCAAAGGCACAGAGGTAGGTTGAACAATTTTTACACCCATCTCTTTCGCCAACACATAGTCCACAATTCGAATTTGAACTCGTCTCTCACCGACTGCAATCGCAAGACCAATTCCTTTTCCTTTCATTATTTTACTTCCAGCAAAGACGAGATTGTGAGTTTTCAGAGGCAAAGCATCGGTCATGTAGGTCGTACAAGAGACAGGCTCCGATGTTTTCCCCTTAATGACTGAAACATCTACCAACAATTCCTCCTGAATCCATATAATTCTACAATCGGCCGGACATACTTCTCCCTCTTTGAGTATAATCAAATCTCCATATACAATGAACTGAATATCAATTTCAATTTCTCGTCCCTCCCGAATCACGGTCGCTGTTTGTGGAAGCAAATCAAGGAATGCTTCCATGTAGTGATCTCTCTTGCTGAGAGGTTTCTTTAGAAGGCCACAAAAGTAGGTTTGAGGAACCGGCCTCTCCAGAACATTGTTCACGCCCTCATTGAATAAGGATTCGACCTGTTTCGGCCTCACTCCCAAACTCGAGGGTATATTCAACAAATTGATGTTACTATGCGGAAAGAATGTATTGCTTAGAGTTTTTAAATCATACGTATGCTCTTGAATATCGACAAAATAATAGAGTTGATCTTTGGCTAACATGTGTTCACAATTTCATGAAAAGTGGTTCGGGATGAGCAATTTTAACCTCAACGCAGGATTATTATGGTAGTTAGAGTCCGAAATAGTCGAATTACAAAATTGAGATGATGTTGTTGTCGTTAAGCTCTACGTTGTGTCGTTGTGTTGTGGGAATGAATTCGGAAACGAAACGATCGGCAGTTTGTGATGAACCCACGCTTGGATAACGAGAGGGGAATTTTCTTTTCGAGAGTTTCCGTAAGGCGGAAAGATACAGTTTTATTCTGACTTTCTTACTCCCAATCTTATATTATTTACGAGGACCAGGACCGAGAGGATTGGAGAATGAATCCACCTTTGAATGCACACTTGCCAGGTTGGCATAAAAGAAGCAACCACGTCTTTTCACTTTCTGGAATTTGGTCTTCAAGAGAAGGAGTAACACGAAAAATAAGGCTAAAATATGAAAAAATGGCCTCACAAAGTAGCTCTGTAGTGATGATCGATTCATCGGCCCAAGACAAAATCCATATATCTACCTCTTCTCAAAGCAAAGACAAAATTTCAGAAAGTGAACAAAGAGCCATTCTGTGTACAAGTACAAACGTCGACGGAGAGGGGCCTGAATATTTTCTCATGTCATTGGTTCGAGGTGAAGATGAAGACCTTCTCTACATGTACGGAGGAGAGAATAATAAGGGTCTACTCTCCAACGTCCTTCATGTATTGGATCCTCATCTTCTTCAATGGAAACAAATTTCTTGGAAGAAAAGTGATGATCATTCCTCGAATGATTTTCCTCCAAAAGTTGAGGGTCATTCCATGTCATTCGTTAAGGTAGGAGAAAGAAAGGAAATTATTTTCTTCGGGGGCCTTGACAATATGAGATTGAGCGGTTACGGAAACACCTTGTTTGCACTAGATGTAAATTCCCTGAAATGGGAAATCATACAGGCACAATCGTCATCAAACATGCCCCATGACATTCATGGTAGAAGGCAACATGCTGCTGTGTGTGTGGGCAGCAAATTGTATGTTTTCGGAGGAGAAATGTTGACAGATATGAATGAGATAAAACTATTGGATGATTTGATTGTCTTCGACAGAGAAAGTTGCACCTGGTCGAGCCCTTTTGAACAGGATCAACCAATTGTAAAACCTCCTCCAATGCGCGGCCATTCCATGCTGTACGATGGAGGCTCCAATCTTTATGTATACGGTGGAAAAACAGAGCATACCTACAGTGATCAGATGTGGAGATTGAACATTGAAAACATGAAGTGGGAGCTCATTGAGCCGTCTACACAATCAACAACTCCAAAAGGAAGGGAAATGCATTCAGCAATTCTTTTAGACAACATCATGTATTTCTACGGAGGATGGTCGCAAAGAGGACCAACCAACGAGCTTATTTCTTTCAACTTGGAGGATCGAGTTTGGAAACATTGGAAACACTCATTGTCGCAATCAAAAGATTCCATTCGTTTTGGGCATTGTGCTGCCATTGTCAACTCTAATCAACTTGTCGTGCTGGGAGGAAGAAATCACTTGTTCCAAAATCAGCCAGGTGTTTTAACGTTTAGTTTGCAAAAAGGTGAGATGGATGAAATGCCAAAGGAATCGGCCAACCTCATCAAGCCCACATTACAACAAGTCATTGAGCTTGACTCTGACGAAAAGATATTGCTTGAGAAGTGCGGAAAAACACTTTCTCAACAAGATGCACTTGATGTGACAAAGTATAAGACAATATTTAGTGAATTGACAGAGCAACAAATCAAGTTCTATGAAGAACTTGCCATTATTCTCGCAAGTCAAGCTGAGACTGCGAAGGAGGTCAAGGAATTGTTGGAACAAAATCGAAGAAAGGAGGAGCAAAAACAGAGCGAGACAGAAAATTCTTTGAAGCCAATCGTTCCAGCTAAATCAGAAATATCTGACACAAAAGAGAATGAGAAATCTACAACACCAACTACTACTCGAGATCCACCCAGTGGCCTCACCCTCTCACCTCCCGCTTCTTCAGCATCCCCAAGCAAACCCAACAAGAAGAACAAGAAAAAGAAGAAAAAATAATTGTATCTTTCGAATAGAGACATCCTAAAACGAATATGTGCATTTTCGTAGTCCTTGTTGCATATCATGGATAATAATAAAACACTGCAGCCAGAAGTTTGCACCTGTATCCGGCTATGATGAGATATCATCCATGTATAAAAATTGTAAAATTCCGTCGAAGAGTTTCGATAATAATACATCAAAAAAAATGATTAACAATAGCACACCATCATCATCAGCTTCAAGCAAAGCGAGAGGTAAAACATCAACCAAGGAAGCCTACGAACAAATTGGTAAGAGACTCCACGAAAAGAAATTGTTAATGGCAAACCTGAAGGATGAAATTACCGTATTGAAGAACCAAAATCCACCAGACAAGGATGCGATCAAGAAGAAGGGAAAGGAAATTGATGATTTGAACATGGAAATTAGTCAAATCACCAAAGAATGGAATAGAGCAAATCCGGACAAGCTTCACATTGACCCCGAAGAATTTAACGAATTGCTCACAAGAAGATTCTTTGTTGTTCCTTCCTTTGAAATTTATGGAGGTGTTGCTGGTTTGTATGATTATGGTCCTCCAGCTTGTGCCATCAAGGCCAACCTTTTGGATCTGTGGCGAAAACACTTTGTCATTGAAGAAAATATGCTCGAAGTGGATTGCAGTTCGTTGACGATTGAACCTGTTTTTATTGCTTCCGGACACGTACAACGATTTGCTGACTGGATGGTTAAAGACGTAGTTACACATGAATGTTTCCGTGCTGACAAGCTTGTCGGTGAATTCATTGACACTCAGTTAGAGAAGAATTCAAACTTGTCTCAAGAAACTGCTGAGGAATATCACTTGGTCAAGAAGAAGATTGACGACTATGATGGAAAGGGTCTCGATGAATTGATCAAAAAATATGGCATCAAGAGTCCAACCACTGGTAATGATTTATCCGAGGCATACCCATTCAATTTGATGTTCTCAACTCCAATTGGTCCAACTGGTAAAGTGAAGGGTTATCTTCGTCCTGAGACAGCACAAGGTATTTTTGTCAATTTCAAGCGTTTGCTTGAATACAATGGTAAACAAATGCCTTTTGCTTCGGCTCAAATTGGTCAGGCTTTCAGAAATGAAATTTCTCCAAGATCTGGTTTGCTGAGAGTAAGAGAGTTTACTTTGGCAGAAATTGAGCATTTCCTTAACCCAGAACAGGATGTGCATCCAAAGTTGGATCAAGTCAAACATGTCAAAGTACCATTCTTCTCACGTGAAAACCAAACTCAAGGTTTATCACCAGTTGAAATGACAATTGAAGAGGCTTTAGAAAAGAAATGGCTCACCAGTTTCACACATGCCTATTATATTGCAAGAGTTAAATTGTTCATGGATCAATGTGGAGTTTTGCAAGGGGCCATAAGATTCCGTCAACATTTGGCCAATGAAATGGCTCACTATGCTCGTGACTGTTGGGACTGCGAATTACTGACATCGTACGGTTGGATTGAAGTGGTCGGTATTGCCAACAGATCATGCTACGATTTGGAACGCCACTCTGAGCATTCCAAGAACGAACTTGTTGCATACGAAACATTTGACAAGCCAATTATCGAGGAGTATATTGCTGTTGAGCCTGTCAAGCAAAAGATTGGCAAGATTTTGAAGAAGGATCAAGAACCTGTTATTAATTATTTGACCTCGCTCCCTGATGACAAGAAACTTGAACTTCAACAACAGTTGGATCAGACAGGCAAAATTACCGTGTTCGTGCCTGATCTTAACCGAGATGTTGAACTTTCAAGCGATTTGATTTCATTCCCAAAGCGTGAGAACAAGATTCAAGGTAGACACTACAACCCTGCAGTTATTGAACCATCCTTTGGTATTGGTCGTATTATTTATTGTCTCCTCGAACATAGTTACTGGGTTAGACCAAAGCAAGAACACACTGACGATGACAAACTCCAAAGATGTGTCTTGTCTCTTCCACCAGTGATTGCTCCATACAAGGTTGTTGTTTTACCAAAGTTACAAAATTCAGAATATGATCCAGTGGTTGCCAAGCTTCAAAAGTTGCTCTCCAGAAATGGTATCAGCTATCGTGTTGATACTGCCAATCAAAACATTGGTAAGAGATATGCTCGTGCCGATGATATTGGTATTCCATTTGCCATCACTGTTGATGATGGTAGCGTGAGCGACGACACTGTCACCATCAGAGAACGTGACTCGTGCGAGCAAGTCATTGTACCAATCAATGATGTAGTCTCTGTTCTCACTTCACTCATTGAAAGTACAAAGACATGGGAAGAAATTAAACAACAATACCCAGAACAAAAACAAACAGCCTCAGACAAGGTTGGTAAGAAACAACTCAAATAAATTCATGTTCATTGATCATCTCTCTTCACCATGTTGAGGAAATTTAAATAGATCGGATTTTGGATTGGATTAACTGATAGAAAGTTCAAGAATAATCTCTCCAAAGCAATCCGACCCATCGATCCCGGTTAATTAAATAACCTCATTACACAGTTCTCGTTTATGGTGCAAAGTTCACAATGTGGCCAGAAGCAGTATCACTAAGCAAATGAATGACATCACATGACACATGCCGAGAGCAACCGAAAAAACCGTAGAACTTTAACCGCGCGAATTTTGAATCAAGAAAAATATTCAAAATATTCAAGTTTGATTATTTACTGTTTGCTCGGAAACAACAACAACAACAAAACAGCACCTGTAGGAGTGTACATTCCCGTTCATCGTCATCATCATCATCCTCGAGAATTTACAGCGAACACGGTGAACTGCAGAGAATTGAAAACTCAGCTATTTGAAGATCGTGTGCTCCAGAGGCTATCGGAATGGGATTCAGCTCATCATCACCTCTAGTTATGAAAAACTCTCGCAGTAATTATTAGTAACCATTATAATTATTATTATTATTCAACAGAAAAGACTTGTAAATTAATCCATGCCTTCCGAGACTGGAAATGCTTCACTCTTGCTGGAAAACCTCATCAATGTTCATACGAACATCAATCTCAGTAACTTGATTCTGGTGTTGAAGGAAATTCTTGATACATCCGCAAACAATTCAGTGAGAATTGCTGCTTTGGAACAGTCTTTTGTGACTCAAACAGAGCTCCGAAAACAAATTAACAATTTGAAAGATGACATTAAGGGTTCCATTGGAGATTCGCTTAAAGAGAATCAAGATTTGATTTTGGATTGTGTAAAGAAAGATATTCAAACCAGTGTTAAATCAGTTGTGGACAGAGAGGTTTCATCAATAACAGCAGAAATAATAGAGCATAAAACAAAGTACGCAGAAAAGATGCGACAAATCGACATTACGATCGCCGATCACTTCAAATCCATGTTAGACACGACGAACAAAGGTGACAGAAAAATCACATCTGTTCAACAGTTGGTAGATCGACTCGAGTATCGAACCATTAAGATAGAAGACTCTATCCGAGAATACTCAGATAATTTCAAAAAGTTGCAAAACCGATTGTCAAGGTAGGTACTAAAAGATTTCTGCATAATCATGGAGTTATTCCATTTTGAATTCAGAATTAATCAATCTCTTAATAAGGGAAACGGGGCTTTCGGAGACAATGAAATTAATGTAGATGAAGGTGACACTGAGGCTGCCGAAACCATTAAAAAGGAGAATGTAGCAAAAAAGAAACGAAAATCTTCGAAAGCCAAACGAAAAACAGAGACGACCAGCAATAGTGAATCGACGACAACGAATGTAAATAATCAACAAGATACCTCAAGTCCAGCAGCAACAACAGAAAAGACTGAATCAAAGCCTGAGGAGCAACAACCTCTCGTCGTTAATAAGCGAATAGCGTCACTCCAAGAAGAAGCAACTCCTGAAACTCCAACCGCCCAACTTACTCCTCTCACTGAAACAACAGAATCTCCCAACAGTCTAATCGATCCAAACTCTGCTAGTTTTACTGATATGAATGCTCCAATGCGTCTGCAAGGAGATTTAACTTTAACGAAAATTCAAACCAAAGTGAACGAATTGAAAGATTATGTTGACAATTTGAAAGAGACTCTTCAACATCGAATTGCCACTCTAAAACAAGAAATGAAAGAGGATTTCACAATCAATATTTACAATACAAAAAAGGATTTGGAAGATAAAATCAATGCCAAGATGGACAAAAAAGATGTGTATCACCTACTTGGATTTAAGGCAAATTCTAAAGAATTGGAAAAGATCAAGTCTGACTATGATTTCATCATGTCCATGTACGCCAAGCTCGATAAGGATCTTCAACAATTTAAAGAGAATCCTCCTGCAAATTTCATGAATTTTCGACAAGGTTCTCCACTCGGTTTTTCCACCAATAACTTTCCTTCAGGTTCGTTGCGAGAAGAGAATGCTGCTGTGCCTCGAAAATCAAAATCTACCACAGATGATCCACTCGACATTAATAACAGGATAACATCTCCAAATAAGGAGAGAATGCCTCAATTATATGGCAATTCAAACTTTGGAGCTAAAATGTTGGCAAAGAATAGAACGAACAAGGGTAATTCTGGGGACTCGAGACCACTCACACAGCAAACCATCAACGCACTCAATATTATTGATAAATTGACACAACGATCAATAAGCGCCTTAGAATTTAGAAATGAAGGAAGTGCAAATCCTACTGTTGATCCAACAGCGGATGGTGAAGTAAATCTTATTGGATCAGATGCAAAGATTTATAGATTTGGAAATGTGGACAAGAAATTACTGGCAGCAAGTTCCAACTCACCTGTGCAGTTGTCAGATTCTGAAGAGGAATTTGCACAACGAACAACCGCGGCCTACATGGGTAAAGCACCATCAAACTTGGTCCCAAAAGAGAGACAAATCAACAAGAATAATAACTACCCAATGACACTATCAAGACTACGAAACGAGGTCAAAGAATTGCAACAGTCGGAGTGGTTCAAATAAAAAGAACACATGTGGATCCGATTTTATGGATACGAATTGTTCTGTAACCGTTTACTGTTGAGAATCGAGTATTTGAGTGATTGAGGCAGCAGGGAAGGCTTGTGGTTTGATCACCTCTTCAATCCTCACCTCTTCGTCCAGGTGTTTAGTGCTGCTGTCACAACTTGTGGAACTGTCCAATGAGGTCGAAGATCCTCCAAATGATTCTGAATACGCACTCAAATATTGACTACCCTCTACTCCTGGTACGCCTAAGAATTGGTTATCTCTTCGTGAAGTGTCACTTCTCGCACTGTTTTTAGGAAAATAAGGCGATGTTGGAGTAGTTGGCTCAGTTTGAAGCATTTCCTTCACAAAATCTGTTGCTTCTTCAATCTTCATCTTGTTTGCAGGATAATTGAATAAAGGATTGTAAAGAAAGAGAACAACTACAGCAAAGCTCAATATACCAAATGAATTGACAAAATAATAAGCCAATTCTATTCCAGGAGTTTTGGTGGATTTGGCAATAGATTCGAATACTACCGCCAACAATTGCAATAGAGCACAAAATGACAATGCTCCTTGAAGAATTATGATTTTGGCAAAATGTTTTCTCTTCACACACAATTTGGTTTGATCTCTTTGAGTTTTTGTACTCTGCCGGTTGATAGTTCTCACGACCATATAACCGAAAAAGTTAAACAATACAGTTTCCAAAATAATCATAGTACTGTCAATCACAAAACACATGACGTATAAGGTGACAAGGAAATCTCGAACAGCATTAAGCTTGACAAGAAATAAGCCTATGGAGATGGTGACAATAATTCCACTAGACAACAAAAAATATATGACATTAAAAATGTTCAAAGAAATGTTCAGTCCTCGGAATGTTTTGTCGGAAATTGCATTCACTTTGTGACATGTAATCAAACTAGATTGATAGTTTGATAAACAAGTCAATAATAATAATTATTAATTCTATTAACAAGTCAGAAACACCTACAAGACATGTTGTACAAAGCACATGATCAAGATTGTAGTAATCATGTTTCCAAATGTTAATCCTAATTCAGCACAACTAAACAAGAAAAATGCAACCACGGTGGATTCATTCACTGTCGTTTCGAAAAAATCACAGATCGAACAATTGATTACAGAAATAAACAATATCTCTCACTTACATGCATTTGGTGATATGTCCTTAATTATGAGACTCATGGAATCACTAACCATTCGACTCGTTAATGCAAAACATTGAACCACAACCAATGCTAATACCAAAATAAACATGATCTTTTGATTTTTGTTAATTTTGGATGTGTCATCCAGAGAGTGACTCTTTTTCCATCCACTGTAATATTGAGCAGTGGGTGTATTGTAATTTGTGGAAGAGTTTGTTCGCTCATCCACTTGTTGTTCTTGAGAGGATGGTTTCGAAATTCCACTATTTGGGTCATTGGATTCTTCTTTTTTGGTGCAATCAGAGCAGGCCTTTCGAAACTGTTCTGTCAACAAGAATCCAATAAATACTGTCAAATAAATGATGAAAGAGATGAGAAAGAAACTGCTGATCCCGAGACTAGCAATGGCATAACTGGATTCTTTTACAAAGGTGTCATTCAAATAGATATTTACAATTTGGGAAGATGAAGTTGAATCAAAATTGGCCTGTAGCAGTATTTGTTGGGGCATGTTGATGGTGCTGGTTGTTGTAATTGTTCTATTGTTTTTGTATGTTGGGAACTGATGTGAGTGCATCACATGAATTCACCATATTTTCTCACTCGCTGTCAGTTTTGATCCTATAAACCTGTTGTGACAATAGCGGTATTCTTGTTTCTAAATTAAAATGGTGATCCAAAACCAATTTAAGTAAGTAACGTCCCAAAAGATGGAACAAAACAGTCTCAACTACAATAAATCTATCAACAAGAATTTCACGAGATAACCTGTTGTTGAGAGTGTGGATTTCCGAAATAAAAGGTGACATCAAATTGAGCAAGATCTGATCAACTTGGTCACAGTTTCTCTCCAACTGGCAATTTTCACTACTTGTTGGCTGCATTCAATCGCTCGATTGCCTTTTCTCTGATTTTTTCAACAGGCTCAGGAAATTCTTCTTCAATTCGTTTCAGAGCATCCTTATTGAGAACAAAGAGATCACAATCTGTCCCAGCTCGAACTGTGGCCATTCTGGTTTGGTCTAACACTACACTAACCTCTCCAAAAAACTTGCCTTCGTCGAGAGAAGCAATAATTTTAGGCTCGCTATCTTCAGTGACAACTTCCGCCACGCCTCTCAAAATAAAGTACATTTCATTACCAATATCTCCCTTTTTCACAATGATAGCACCAGCTAAAAACGATTGTGGTTGTAAAGCCAATACCATCGCTCGGATAAAATTCTTGTCGGCCCCTTCAACTTGAAATAACTCAACTTTTCGGATCAATTTTTGTTGTTGAGCTTCTCGTTCTTTCAACTTGATTCTCAACTCATCCATGACTTTGCTATGTTTGAGACGAAGTTTGTGTAAAAAGTTAGTAAATAAATCTTCACTGTTAATATTCAGCTCAGCAATAAAGAACAAAATGACTCGCACAGTCTCTCGATTACCAAAGAAGCTATCGAGTCTGGATGTTTTGAATAAATTACTTGTTGACATTCTCGAGTCGAGTTTGCTCATTTCTTGCACTAATGGTTTGATGTTTTTAAAGAAAATTCCTTCCTTAGTAAGATCGTCTGTTGGGTGTTCAATGATATGTTTCCGAATGGACTCCAATAACTTTATCAGATACTCATTCTCAGAAGTGGGAACCTTGATTGTTTCTAAATGAAATAATAAGCGTCTGTAAAAAAGAACTGAGTGATAAAACTTGCTCTTCTTGACCTCGAGTGAATGATTTAGTTTATCCCACATGGAGTCCAATGAAGTATCTGTTAGTTTTCTCATCTGAGGTTCATTCAATCCACAGACTGCATATTTTTCTGACCTTTTTAGCGATATTTCAGCAATTTTCTCCAAGTATTGTCGAGATTGTAACACTGAGAGTCTATTTCCAAATCGTTCATCCAGTGCATTGAGTAAATATTGTTGGCTATAAATCTGAGATCCTAAAAATTCATTTCTCCAGTTATCAGAATTCATGGATTTGGTGATTGGTTTCAATTTCTTTTGACCATATTCTGATTGATGTTGTTTAAAATAACTAGAATAAATATCTCCAAAAGGATTTTGTAAGGATCCACCTTGTACTTTTCCACTAGCCACCACATGATGAGCTTTTTGAAAAAGATCCTTAAATTGAACATCGGTTTTCCTTAACTCATCGTCAATCTTTTCCTCAAATTTTTTGTCAGCCAATATTTTGGGTGCTGATTTTTTAGTAGTCGGTTCAGGTTGATTTTCCTCAGGTTCTTCAACATTATTTAAGAGGGAAATGTCGGATGTTAAATTAGTTTTGCTGCTTTGGTAAATTTTGAAAGGTGTAAAAACTTTCTCTAATCGTTCTCTAGTGAATTCTGGCTTGGAATCAAATTCTTTAGATTTGCTAAATAGTAATCGAAAATTGCTAGACTCTAGTTCTTGGAAAGGAAACTTATTCAACAGAGGTGACGCAACAAAACTATTGTCATTAGGGTTTTTCCAATATTCATGACGTTTTTCTTTCGCTTGATTCACTCGTTTGATTGTGTTACTAAGGGCGATCTTAACATCCTTGTTTCTTTCCGAAGCATCGAATGGATCCTCCACAAAGAGCTCGTTTGAATTGTGGGAATGAGCAGTGGTGGTGCGAGACTTGGATTTATCGGGAGAAGTAATATGCATTTCCGTCATGAAAGTATTAGCTTCATTGTCAACTTGAACGCTTTCGTTGAGTTTGAATTGTTCAACTTGCTCATCAATAAAAGAGCTGATTGGTTTCAGTCGTTTTTTCTTTTTGCGAGTCCAATTAATTTCCTTAAGAAAGCCAGATCCTATTTCTTCATGCTGCTGTTGAGATGGAGGTGGTGTTGGTGTGGGAGTGATCGATAATTTGCCTATTCGTTGTTGTACATGGGGTGGTTGCTTGAGAGAAGGTAGAGTACGTGTAGAAGATGATCTATTATTTTCTGTCGTAGTGTTATTGTTGTTGTTAGGATTTGCTTGTGCACCAATTATTGAGCCAGAAGAGTGAGTGATTGCAGAATTAATTCTCGATGCAGGAAGAGAAGTCTTCCCCGAGTTGTTGTTTTTGTTGTTGTTGGTTGCAATGGCCGTACTAACTCGAGAATTATGATGAGAAGAAGCATCGGGCTGAGAAGGCCAACCCATACTACTGCTCGCTCTTTGCTTGTCGTTGCTAGTTGTCATGATGAATGCTTTCCGACAAGACAAAAATCAGAAGTATGATTTAATAAGCGAGGGGAAGATATATTTCTCGATGATGCTGTTGTTACACAATTGAAAGTGTTGCTTATCGATTCGATTGCAATGCTTGTTGAATAAATTATGAATAATAATAATTGCGTAGTTGTTTTTGTCGTTTCTGTAAACGAGAGATGACTCGGAAAAATTGATAGAGACTGATGTCCGTTGGGAGTAATGTCTAACGAACAAATTTCAAGATGAATCGCTCGGATGTTGTTTTTGTAATCGAGTGTTGTTTAATTCTTGCTATTTCTCATTATTATTAGGAAATTAAATCATGTCTTGGATGATGAACCGACGAATCAGGAAATTAACGTTTTTGGATCTTTTTTTTCTGTAAATTTTGGTATCAAACTCATAGAACCACTTTTAGTGAGCTATTTCAACATGCTCCTTTATTATTGCCCTGACTCTGAGGTCACTTTCGGGTCATTATTGATGGATAGGACCTTCAGCATTTCTGCTTTCAACTGTTCCATTGCAATTGGTTTGTACATGACACTATCGAAACCTTGAGAGAGCAGATGTTCCTTTGTCTCCCATGTGTTGGCAGTGACGGCAATGATGGGAACATGAGTGTTGGGTCCATGCTCGAGTTCATTTTGTTTTTCATAGTTTCGAATCATTTCACATGCTTCTTTTCCGCTGTGGAAAACATAATTGAAAAAAAAAAGAAAGGTCAAAGAAAACATAGTGTTAAGCAAAGGTATGAGGACACGATCAAAACTTACCTCAAAATAGGCATGACACAATCCAACAATATCATACAATACGTCTTCTTTTTAAACATGTTGAAGCACTCCATACCATCACATGCAAGATCGATTTCTTTAAATCCCAAAATTTTGAGCATTTTAAAAAGTATCTTTCTGTTAACTCCATTATCATCGACGGCCAAGATTGGTTTCGATAATACTTCGCTATCAAATTCCATGTTCATGAGCGGTGCAAGAGAGGCAGCAGTTTGAGAATCCAGTTCAACAATGCTTTTCCTGTGTGTCTTTAAGATAGATGAGGGAGGAGTGCGTAGAGGCGGCGAGCTTGAGAATCGTGGATCTGAGATAATGTCAAACAAGTCGGCAAATTTGATTGGTTTCGACAAGTACTTGATCTTTTCGAATGCTCTGTTTCGGCCTCTGGGAACAGCTGGCACTACCACTGTGGCATGTTCTCCATTCTGCTTCGATTGGAATAAATTACTCAATTGTTCATAGTACTGCTCCAAACATACGATTAAGGTATTGTTGCGAGAACCGTGGTCATGACATTTCCTTTCTCCCTCCAGAATTGCTTCATCTTTTGCTAAATAGTTTTTAAGATCAAAATTTTCAAAGCTAGTATATTCTTCAATGCTATCTACTCTCTTGAACAACCTTAAATATCTCTTTAACACCTCTCTAAAACAATCATCAGGATCAAATATAAGCACCTTAATTTTTTGACCTGTTTCCGCTTCGTAATGTAAAATTTCATGAGCATTGTCAGGATTCACAACAGACCCTTTCTCGGGGATTTCACCCACAAATTTTCGTAATGGAAGGATGACCGTAAATGTCGTTCCTTGTCCCTCCCTGCTGGTTACTGTGACCGTACCGTTCATTTTCTCAATAATGAACTTGGAAATACTCAATCCTAATCCATTTCTATAGGTATGAATCAAAAGACTATTTCCTCCACTAATAAGCTCAGCCTGTTTGAAATATCGCTCAAACTCTTCTGGTTTCTTTGAAAGTGTGGTTTCTTCAATCATGTGATAGGGTTGGAAAATATTTTGTAATTGCGATTCTGGAATACCTCGTCCAGTATCTTGACATTCAAGTTTGATGAATACGGTTTCATCTGGTTCTGTCTTTGATAATTTTCTGATAGATAGATCAGTCTTTTTCAGATCCTCTTCGGAGGCTAGTTCACATGTAAGCTTGACAAACCCTTTCGAAGTGTATTTGATGGAATTTGAAACTAAATTCATCACAACCTGACTTATTCGAGTAGAGTCTCCTTTCAAAAAGATTGGAACGTTTTTCACATCAAAAAACGAATGAAGTGTGAGGCTCTTTTCAAGAGCAAGCTGTGAAAATACAGAGGTAATGGATTCTATGAGACACATCACATTAAACGGCTCAATCTTCAAGTTAATTTTTCCAAGCTCAAAATTACTCCTGTGCAATGATGATGACAATATATGAAGAAGTGTTTTAGAATTCTCTTCAATATCTTGAAATAGCTCTGATGTGGAATTGTTTTTAAGGAGACAATGTTCGCATCCCTGCTCACATATTTCGTCCTTCTTTAGTACATCATGTCGAAGCAGTTGTAAACTACCAAGAATGCCATGCAGAGGGTTTCTTGCCTCGTGACTCAAGTTGGCAATAAATTTGGTCTTTTCTGTGTTTCGAACTCTCTCTTTTGTAATTTCTATTTGTTGTCGCGTGTACTGCTCATTCGTTTGGTTCATGTGTTGAGAGAACAAAAGAGACGAAATGAGGACCGTCGTTAATAATACAAAAACCTCAAATATGGATCTGTAGCAAAACATAATTTCCAAATCACTCAACATGTGAGATTCGTTCATCAAGGCTATATACTTTCCCATCACAGCACTAATGATATGAAACGATCCATTAAGCAAAGTAAATTTCATATCATAGTACCACATCATGGTCGTGATCACAATCTTATACACTGTAAATACATGAAAGGCCACAAATGGACCATAATACACCTGTAGAGAGATATGATTCAGTGCCACCATGAGCACACGGATTGTATTAATCGTAGAGAAGATCCTTAATGATTGGACGCGCCCAATAAAATAATTGACGGTATAATGAACACAATGCTCAATGATGGTCGATATATAGAAGGTGTATAAACCTCTCTCCCAACAAAAGGCTGTTCCAAAAACGATGGGCAGTATGGCCAAGACGGTCCCAATTTTTGAATGATAACTTTGATGTTGGAGGACAATTTGCAAGTCCTCATCAGGTTCCGAACTTGAATTTGTCGTTTGATTCCTTGTGGTGGAAGTGGTGGTTGTGGAAGAGGAGGAAGTGGTCGATGCTCTTGAAGCTGAGGTGTCATCCTGTTGTTTATTTTGAAATACACTTGAAGATGTCTCCGATGGTGTATGGTGGAGGGATTTGTTGTTGGTTGTAGTTGTTGTTTTCTTGAAACAGGCACCCGATGATGATGCTGTGGCTGTGCCAACTTGTTTATTCTCTGTGTCATTGAGAACGACCATTTTTTGAAGAGGTTGTGTATCTTGTTTACCGTGACGGTGGTGGTGAACTCGGGCATATGGACATCCGTGCGCATGAAATCGTGTTAGCTCAATTTTCCTTGAATGGAGGTTTTTCAAAGTGGCGCAAATGAAAGTTCACTCTCATTAACGACCTTATATATACTCTCATCATTTCCTTTTTTATCTAGAATTCCACCGCTCAAAAACCAACGATTTTGAGCCATAGACCAGTATTAGGACGCGATAGAGTTTTTTCGCAAGTGTTCGATTGGGTCAACGAAGAAGGAAATTCGTATTTTGCGAGAATAGAGAGATGGCGAGCCTTATTGTTTTTATGCTAATAGTTGTTCATATTCTTTTAATTTTTGCATTTCATAGCATCTATAGTTTCTTCTTCGTATTATTCTGATAATCCAGACAAAGGTCAATCCAATCAGCACCTTCTTTTGATATTTGAGAATAGAAATACTTTGGCCAAATTAAAAGTTCACAAGCAAAACAAATCTCAGTCCTAAATTGGCCCATCTTGAAGTCCAACTTGTCTCAATCAACTCTATTTATCTCCATGCATTGAAACATCTATAGAATAAAACAACTATTGCCTTCATCACATTCCATGCAACGATTCTCGTTAACGGATCAACAACCATCATCATTAAAATCAAAACTTTGTCTGCCCATGTGGATTAGACTCACTCACATACCACTTTCATAACGTTCTTGTCCTCACATATGCCGTCCGTACTCTCCAAAATCAATCAATCTCTTCATCCTACATTGTCTTCGTGCTCGGAACTTTTGCAATTCTTATACTATCTTGCATTTCGTCGACGAAACAAACCAATTCGAGCCACCACAAACACCAGCACCACTGTCTATATCAATCTCCTTCTTACGCTTGGCATTGGTCTTTTGCTTGGTGTCTATTATTGGTTCCGCAAGAGATGGTCTTTTAAAAGTAGTAGAAGAACCTTTTCCAACCAAAAGTCTTCTTCCTTGCCATCCACCACTTCAACCAATCCTTTAATGCCATCCACCAACAAGGAAGATCCAACATTAGTCGAGAAAACAATAATCCAAGAACCATCCTTAGGACAGGTATCGCCACCAGTACTTCATCAAAGAGAATTCTCTTCAGAGAACCCCAAACGACAAGAATTTGCTTCCGTTTTCATCACCACATTCATACATCAGATATGCACTCTTTGCATGAATGTCTTTTCAAAAAAGAATTACAAAGAGAAGGTTCCAAAAGCATTGGCAATTTCTGCAACATGTATTTCGGTGATGATTTTGCAATCGTTGGTCCTAAGGTCGAGAGCAAATTGGTAATGATGATGAATGGACAATGGAGATGAAGGACGATTAAATTTTTATGAAAGTTTGTCACCCTGTTATGAACTGTTCGAGAAAACTCTGGACAACTAAAAATAACTTTTCATATTTTGCTGGAAATTTCTTGGTTTAAAAAATTTCTTGGTTTAAAAAATTTCTGTTGAATATCCTCGAAAGATGGTAAAACAGCGAAAAATAGAACAGAGCTTTCCAGCCTATGAGTCCCTGGTGGATCTTCAATCGCCAATTTTTAGCTATACAAAAGTGGGAGTTTGCGATTGATGAAATTGAAGATGAGGACGAATAGCGTTCACGTAAAATTTCCAGTTTTGGGGATATGTTGTGTTCATTGTATTTTTAGCATTGCATTGTGAAGAAAATGTATGAGTTCTTTAAAAATAATTGCAATGTTCATTTTGAAATTCTGTCTGATTTCATCGTGAAATGACAGAACACAAAAAAAAATGTGTGTTCCTGAAATATAATTGGAGAGGTGCCATGGGGAATGACATGATTTACGCGAGACAAGTGACAAGTTGCGTCAAAACCAATAACATCAAAATGTTGCCAACACTCTCTCCAAGCAAAGCTAAACCACCCAGCACTCTAGAGGACATCAAATCCACCACTACCGCAAGGTGAACACCAAACTAGTTGAAAGACATCTCTTCGTCAAGAACCTCCGTATCACATTCTACTGAAAAATTATGGGGATGCATATCGCAAAAGATGTTGAGGTGATGATTTTCGTTCATCAAAAAAATCAGTCTCAACAAATATGTCCACTACTGACTCCGTACCCGCGAGCTACTAGAAAATTTCGCAAAACGAACCAGCCTGCCTGTGCTGCCCACTAAAGTTGACATCAAAACACTTTGCAAAGACCGTATTTACAAACCAACTGAAAGCGAAATGAGAACATTTTTGGAGTATAACAAGGAATCAATGGTGAAAGAGAGAGAGGAAATTATTAAGTCAAACAGTCGAATCAAACAAAGTCAAGCGAACACTTTGCAAACAGTAAAGTTGCCCACACTCTGGTGCTAAATTAAGAGGATTGTTATCCGTCCGGGAGTTGCATAGTGCTAGAGGATCGCTGGCATTTTTTGTCCAGGGTGTGTTTTGGTGAAGTCTGCTAGATCAAACATTTATTACTTGGTAGAGGTTTCGTTGTACAACATAATAAACTGCAATTCATTGCTTTCTAATACGTGAGTAGTGTCTATATTTTGAAAAGAAGATTGCTAAATGATGTAAAATTCTTGGGGTACAATTAATTTACCTGATGCAAGGGTTTCCCGTTCTTTCCCCATCGATTGGGATAATATTATTATAACATTAGGTCGAACAAATTAGTCACTCAAGGAGCTTTTGTCACCCCATTATCTCAGGATCACAGACGACACTGGATCGCTCAGGATGATGCTATTACATGGAGTCCTGGTTCTAATAGGCTCTCTTGATAAAATTAATAGATGTTTTGAATCCTGACACAACTATTTTCTTCGGAGTAATCATAATCTATTAATTCAGTTTGAATGTTGCTTTTCTCTTTTTTGTCATTAGAAGATTCTAACGAGTGAATTGGAATCATTGGCTCATTTGTGTGTTGTTTTGTGGAGCTCTGACTTGATGATTGAGTGATTTGGGAGAGCAGACTTGCTGAATCGGAAGCGGAAGGTTTGGTGTATTTTTTTTTAATTTTGCTTTCCGAACATCTTCATATTTTCGATTCATTTCATTTCTTAAGAAACTTATAAACACGAAAACACATTTTCGATTTCATTTCATTTTATTTCTTTCAACGATTATAAGCTCTCTAATGGATTCAGAACTTCTTTGTTTTACCATTCAATATATCGCAAGCGTGTGTCAATATATTAGAAAAATCATTTGTGCGCAACTTTACCTAGAGGAGAACGAAAGCCTCCTACCTGTGTTGTTGTTTTGCAGGCATAACCAAGTGAACATTTAAATAAACAAAAAAAAGGTATTCTGTTGTTGTTGTGGATAGCGAGACACAAAAGTCAGGTACTCCATTGCTCCTAAACAATTTAGAAAGAAAAGGATGGTAAAGCAGAAACGCAACAAGTGGTGTGAACCTTGTAGGCTTTTGAATATATCCTCATCAATAGAAAAGATCAACACACAAAGTTCCGAGTCAACAGAACCAAATTCACAAAAGGAATTCAATTGCAACCATTCTCATAATGCTGAAAAAGACCATCCTCGTGATGGTGATTGTAAGTGTTTTTATCATAAATTTAAGTTCATACTAACAATTAATAAATATAATAATACAAATACAATAATAATAATTTCTAAAGCATTGGAAAGCGATGCGCAACGTTCCGTGAAGAAAAAGAAGTCAACACATAATATGAATCAAGATCAACCTACCCGATCAACGTTTGCAAAGCTCTGCGAAGGATTTCCCAACAAATATGATGATTTCATTAACACTGATAACAAAATATACGACAAATCAGGAAAAATAGTCATAGGACACATTTGCAATGAAGTTATTTTCTCCACTGAGTGTAGTAAAGATTTGGATTCAAAGAAAGTGCGATGCCAAAATTGTGAGAGGCTGCAAGGAAGGTTACATAAATGGCAATCACGATTTCATGTGGAAGAAAATATAGATATTTCTCGCTACAATCAATACCCAAAAATTATCCAGAAAAGATTAGAATTATGCCAGAAACATATGACAAAAATTCCATCCAACCAAATCGAGTTGTTAGAATCACTATTGAAAATGCTTGAAAATTATGAATAGAGTCAAAAACTTCCTTTTAACCTACTAAGATTGAAGGACGAAATTTTACGAACGTTAAATCCAAATCGTCCTTATGCAATACCTGATCCAATTAAGTATTTTTGGAAATTAGGTAGATATTATGGATCCGAGAAGTTGATTCAACTCATGCGTGGGAATTCAGATATTGGATTTAATATTTATGCTCCTTCAATAAGCACACCAAAAAAGTGGAATCAAAGTGTTGTCTATGGGCATTTGTATACAAATGATAGTGTGTCTAAAATTAAATAGAATATGGACCAATTTCATCCATCATGGAAATTTTTAACGGCTATTTATTGGGTGATAGCAAAGAATTACAATCTCAAATGAATGACAATATGGAAGATGAAAATGATACTCTATTAGAAGAAACCATTTCTAAATTAGATGGATCAAAACTTGAAGAATATTTAACCAAACAATACAAGATTAGAGAACTTATACCGTCACAAGAACTTGCTGTGGTATCTGAGCTTTATGATTATTTGTATAACATGCAACAATTTTATCAAATATGTATTGATGACCAATATTCTGTGTTTGAGAAAATGAGTTTAATGTAAAATGTTGTTCAATATTTCTCTAAATCTGTAATAGTTTCAGATCAAACAAAAGAAGGAATTACTTCAATATTGAGAATGTGGCTTAATTAATGCTCGGGACTCTGCTGAATAAAGTCAATTGACAAAATATGCAGAAAATCCCACCAACACCGGACCTGTTTGGAGAGACCACAAACCCATTCGTTGCTCTTTTTCGAATAATCAACTGTTTAGTAATGCCATTCAATTCCAATTCTAATTTATCTCCCGTTGAAAATTTAAATCCATTTGGTTTATCATTCTCATTCGAGTCCATTCCGTAAATATCCTATAGGAATTGTGGACATGAGACTTAATTTTCAAATCATGAAATTGTTTAGATGACACAAATTCCTCTTTCGAAACTCCAATTCCAATTCCTTTCCAATTTTTCAATTTTAACTTTCCGTTGAAATACATCACTATTTGTCATCTTGGTATTGTTAAAAAGACAACATGCTCGATCATCCTTCCTTGGTCGATCATTCAGACACAAAACGAGGATTAAATTTTGACAGTGATGCAGAAGATGATCATGTTAATGATGAGGGTGATGATACTTGCACCGTGATGCAAGATGATCCTACTTTTAAAAAAGTCAAACCAAAGTCTGAAAATGATGGTAAGAAGAAACGTAAAAAGAAGCTAGTGCAAGAGGGGAATAAAAAGAAGAAAAAACAATAATTGTTTCCTTTAATATTGCATTATTAATTAGTTTACCAAGTTGTAATTAGAAAATACATAACCTCATTATACTAGCCAAACCTAGATCTCTTTTGAGATTTCGCTTTAGTTAAGGGTTGAGTTGTGTTACAAATCACTGTCCAAATTTGCTCCAGAAAATATGATCGTTCGATGATTATCATCGCCTTCATCATCCATGGTCTCTTTTCTGGTAGAATAATTCAAAGCAGATAACCACACGGAAAGGGCAGACTGAAATTCGGTGTGTTTTTGAGAGAGAGCAAGTCCTAATTGTTGGCAGTGATTCTCATACTCCATTCTCTTCTCGAAAAGTTGAGTGAATGCTTGTCGTTCTTTTTCGAATTGTTCTTTTTCTCTTTGGAATGTGTGCTCTTTCATGTCAAGATTGGAATTTCTCTTGGAAATGAGATCTTCATGCTGTTGTTGTCGAATTTCGAAAGCATCTTCACATACTTTAAGATATTGAAGTTTCTGTTCAAGTTGAACTTGTTGGTTTGCAATTTCGGTCTCCTTCTCAGAAATTTCTCTACATTTCAATTCGTACCACTCTCTTCTTGATGATTCCACAAGCTCAAAATCCATTTGTTGAGCTCTCAATTTTTCTTTTTCTTGATTTAAGAGTTGCATATTTTCATGATATTCATTCTCCAATTTCTGTCTCTCAATCTCAAGATCTTTTTGTTGTTTGTGGAAACGCTCTGACACTTCTCTTTCAAAAAGAATATTCTTCTGTTCCAAATCTTGCATGAAATTCTCCTTTTCTATTTCGAACTTGTTCACTTGTTCCTGAAGTGCATTCTTCTCGGTTGAAAGAGTCATTTGTTCATTTTCGATTTGTTTCATTCTCTCTTCTAGTTCTCTTTCATTCATTTCCAAGAGTGATTCTCTACGTTGAACCTGTTCTATACGACATGATAAATCTTGAGACAAACTCTCTACCATTTCACGTTGTTGATTGCATTGCATTCTTTCTTCTTCGAATTTCTTTTCTAATTCTCTCAACAATTCTTCTTTTCTGTACAGCTCTTCTTGCCGTAAATGCACAGAATGATTCAATTCATCCATTCTTCGTTTTAACGTTATAATTTCTTCTTCACGCTGGTCATCCTTCTCCACAAGTTCTTGTCGATGCAATTCCACTAATTCAATCATTTTTCTCTCTAAATAATTCTTTTCCAAATCTAAGGCATTGGCTCTCTCAGTTTCCATAGTGATAGTTTGAGAGAGTTTTTTGATCTTTTCTTCAAGTTCTTGTTGAATCAAGGTAGATGAGATATGAGCATTGTTGTCAGAGGTGACATTGGACCTATTGACAAAGGAATAATTATCATTTAGATCGTCTTCAAAACCTCCACCAAAGGATGAATCATTCATTCCAAACGGTGACGTGAAAAGAATGCTGGATGAAGAATTCACTCCTCCATGTGAGCGAATGGATGAACGGGCGAGTGCATTATCATCTTCTCGATCACTTCCCGAGTCAATATCCGAAAGAGGTCGAGAAATATTAAGGGAACTAGTTGAAGGCGTGATCAAATTGATGTTATCATTACCATGAGGAGTGTCTGTGGATTGAAATCTCTCAGGAGTGTTGGCAATAATGATCTCTCCATAGAATTCTTCAATCCCACCTTCATCATCGTCTGAGGAAGAATGATCAAGACCTTCCTCTACAGTGGCTTCTGCAGCAGTAGGGACTTGTCTTCGAGATCGATAGGGAATTGGAGAGAGCACGAGAGGAGTAATGGTACTTGTGGAAACAGAAGAAGAGCATGGTTTTTGAGATCGTGGAGTAGAGAGAAGAATGGATGGATATAGGGTGGAATCATTCTCAGCCTGTCGTTGTTCCACTATCGAAACATCACGAGAAGAGGTTGGAGAATGGATCCGAGGAGTGAGATCTCGTTTCGTCTTTTTCTTCTGAGGAGCCTTTGTTCTTCTTCTTCTTGCTTGAATGGTTGTAAATTGTTCATCTCCTTCTTCTGATTCACTACTACTGCTGCTATCACTACTACTATTTGAAGAGGAGGAATCGTTGTCGTGTCTTTTAGAAGAATTTGATGAGTGTTTTCTCTTAGTGGATGCATTTCTCTTCTTATTGTTGAGGATGGTTTTAGTAACAGTTGTGCTTTTTCTCCTTGCCACTCGTGGAGGAGGTGAGAATGTTTGTTCTCTACTCTCATCATCACTTTCCGATGAAGAAAATTCAATAATAGGAACTTTTTGGTTCTTGGTCTTTTTAGTGCTTCTTCTTCGTAAAGAATTGGAATGCAGGCCTACGAGTGGTGGTAAATTAGGGATATTCTTCGTTGGGGTTAATCCCAATCGATGGAGTACCAATTTCGTCAATCGTTGGGGTGAGCTTACTCTCGGAAGTGAAATATTTCTCAACTTGAAAGGAAGAAGATCATCAACAACTCGTCCAAGATCATCCTCTCTGTTGGTTGAGGGTGGTGATGGTGGTGATGCGGAGGCTAATGATATTGTAGAGTTTGTTGTACTCTGTGCAACACGATTCCGATTGGAGAGAGCCTTTGCCAACTCCCTAAACAGTTCATACTGCTCTTGAATTTTTTCATTCACCAATGCAACGAGTGTTTCGAGTGGAAATTTTCGTTTCTTTCTCTCGTAGACCCATTCGTAACCTTCTTTGAGTTTTGAGTGAATGCGAATTAAGAGTTCTTTCTGTGCTTGCAGTTCGGAAGGAAATTCTTTTTGATAGGAAATGCCTTTCGTGGTGTGAATGGTGTGAGTGAGTGGATGGAGGGTGGTGGTTCCGTGTCGTGAGAGAATGTAGAATGAGTGAGGAGTGGATAAAGTTAAGATGTTGTTGTTATTGTTGTTGTTGATGATTGATTGAGAAAATTCATCATCACAAGCATCATCCTCTTCGGAATCGGACATGTGTGAAGAGGAGGTGTGTGGAGAAGGTGATATGACAAACTGCCAGTACTTGTTCTTTCCTTTGATCCCTGTTGATTTTTGAAAGACGAGAGGTGAGGACATGAGTTTATGACGTACACCTGTGTCACTGCTTGACAGGTGGCAGCCCTTTCGGATCGTGGACATTTGAAAAAGTGAAGAATGTTGTTTGATTTGTTTTTGATTATGATTTTGAACGTGAGATCTTTATCAAAAAGAGAAAGGACTATGAAAGTTTCCGGAAAAATCTGGAATACTTTTTTCCCTCTCACATTGGAACGAAAAATGGCTCGAAAAATCATCTCTGGGCCACTTGCTCAAGCCCTTGAAAAATATTCAATCCAATACATGAGTCCGTATGGTCTAGTACGTACTATCAAAATCGATCATCATTAGTTTTTTCAAAAACACCTCCAACGACGAAGGAGTGTTGTTGTTGCTAAAAGCATAGTACGACCTTGCGGGCTTCAACCCTTATTGCCCTCAACGGTTAAGTTCGTCCTGTGGATGAGGCATTCGCGCACAGCAACACTCTTCATACCAAAAAATTTCCTTCGCTCGAGCGTGCTTGCCTTTGGGTCCAAACCGGTCCAAGAGAACACCCCTTCTTCTGCACAACACCACAACGCGTGTTTGTTTTGCTTGCAAAGGAAGAAGGAGATTCATCAATTTTTGTGTTGTTGTTGCTGTTGTAATTAATCGTGTTTGATCTTTTTTGTGTGTCGATGAATTTGGTGAGCCTTTGCGGGACCAAATTTTAAGAACAATAATAACAACATCAGCACAGGATTACCATCATCTTTTTGCTCGCAACGAAATCATCATCATTATAGCTTAACCATCATCATTGGATTGGTGGTGCGCTCACAACATTGCCACCATCAAAGATTATATAATTCTCCATCATCATCAAAAGATTTGTTATCTTTGAAAAAGCGCATAGTGTGATTCTATCCAACCATAGAATCGTCATCATCTTGCCACATTACATTTTCATCATCGTCACCGTTAATATATTATTACTCTAATTTGTAATACATTGATTCGAGACTCCAGCAGCGCTCCACGTCATCACAATGAAAAAGCTTTCCTCCCACTACTCCCTCATTCATAATCAACAACAACAACAGCAATGTACCACCACCGCCACCAAACAACTCTCCTCCGTTCTAGGCAACCACCACGTTACATCCATAACAACCACTTCCACCACTCTCTCCAATAGCGATACCTCCTCCTCTTCTTTGAGTAACAGTTTCGTTAGTAGCAGCAGAAACATAACCGTTACAACCTCAACAACAACAAATTCACTACACCTTCATCAACAGGATGATCCTGTGATTGTGGCTGATCGATCTATACTCTTAAATGATCCACTTCACTTGTATCATCAGTACAAGAAGAGAGCTCACCAGCAGCAACAATCTTTGACTTCTTCTGGCAACGGCTCTGAGAACGGCAATCACACACAGAACGTGGACGCTAATTCGATCATTAAGCAAGATGTCGTCCTCACAACGAATTCACATGCGAAATCGCAGCAAGAATCAAGCCGCAGAGAACCAAATCCAACCACAACACCTTCACCCTCTTCTTCATCGCCAGCATTCACAAATAAGAAGAGAAAAAAGAGTAGCGACGAAACCAATGTCGATTCCACCACTGCTGCTTCATCAAAGAGCTCAGCCCACAACATCAAATCAAACTCTCTTTCCTCTTCTAATGATGTCAAGCCAATAACAACATCTTCTGTTCTTCCTCCTCTTCCAAGGATCAAAAAATCCTCCTCCTCTTCCTCTTCCATTTCAACAACATCAACTAGTGTTGAAAACGATCAGCCATCTCCTGCATCCTTGAGCTCTAGTTCTAATCCATCCAATAATCATCATTCCAATTTACATCAACCACAACACACAATCGCTCATCACTACCCTCCCCACCATCAACACTTTCACACACCCCATCCACAAGATGCCAATGCAAACCCTTCAAACAAGGATCCCTCTTCATTATTGCACCCCAACAATCATCATCTCCAATCGACAAACAGCTCCTCGATTCCTACCACCGCCAGCTATCAACAACAACAGAACCACCAAACCATTACCGCTAATACAGCCCTTCTCCCATCTAATCATCCAGATCATCCATCTAGTTTTAATAAGAGAATTTTTGTGGGTGGCCTTAAGGAAAGCACCACTGAACAAGAGCTCATAGATTTTTTCTCCCTGCCACCAAACAATTATGGACCTGTCATTCATTGCGTCATTATGAAAAAGTGGGATGGTAGATCAAGAGGTTTTGGATTTGTGACATTCTCAGAGGAGTCCATTGCTAAAAGGGTTCTAAGTGACCACAAAGAACGCCCGTTTACAATGGGATGTCATCGCATTGATTGCCAGCCAGCTCAAGGTAATTTTAATTCAGAGCAGAGCCCAACTGCTACCACTACTGTGGGAGCATTCCAAGCCAGCGTCAATGCTGTACAACAATTTCAACAACAAACATTACAATCATCATCCAATACAGGTTCTAACACCTCAAATGTTGACCATGACCAAAATTCAATGATTGACTCTTTTCCATCCAAAAAGGAAACTTGTTCTTTTGATAAGAAGAGAAGAATTTTCGTTGGAGGTCTTCAACCTCAAGTTACAAAACAAGCTGTTCAAGACTATTTTTCAAAATATGGCACCATCGAAGATTTGCAATTAATCCTGAACAGAAGAACCCCATTTGCTTTTATTACATATTCTGAGGAAGAGGCTGTGAATCGAGCATTGGATGACTTTTATTCTGGAGTTTTGTGTAAGGAATTTCCTGCCCATGACGTCAGAAGAGCCATGCCAAAAGGAAGCTTCTCTTTTACCAAACAGCGAGAAAGAGAAATGGAACTTGCCAATTCTCAGTCGCCAAGAGCTGGGAGAGGTCCATTGCACAGGCCGCCCACAGGCCATCGAGACTCGGCTTCAACAAAACAACCCTCATCTGAACATTTTGACATGGATGGAACTCTTAACCATGGACAAGGCAATGGGGCGAGTTCAACAACAAGAAAATCTCATATCAATTACAGATATACTCCATACGACGTAAGAACAGCATCTTCACGACGTTCCATGCCTTTCTACGTTGACGAATCAATGACCAATGCGAACTCGGCTCTCAGTCCACCTACCACGATTGACATGTCAGCGAATAATTCTTATTTTAATGGAAATAGTAGAGTGTTGGTTCCTACCAATCCATATGTTCATTCAAATGGTGGAACATCCCATCATGCCCATGTACACCTCATGAATCATATGGACAGACCACCTCATGCAATTCCTCCTCCATCAGCTTCTGTTGTGCCACCAATTTACAGTCCACCGCCGCTTCATCACCCCCACCACCGGCCTGGTCATGTCAATGACGATCGATACGGCCCAAAAGGAAGTCCATCAACATCTATCTTTTATTCTGTTCCTTTTTATGAATCTCATGCATTTCCTCCTGTAGGTCCAGTGATGCATCACCCTCATCAAATACCACCTCCTGCCAATGGTGTTGGATTTGTACGTTCAAACCCTCACAAAGATAATATCAGCAACAGCAGCAGTGAAGACAACAATAGGCATAATCAATTTTCGTCCAGAAGATAGAAATGTCACATGTGTTACAAGATGTGACGATCCTGAATATGAAAAAATTATTGTACTTTATGTGGTGTTTCATCGCGATCATTTGCTCGCTTTAAAATCACCATTGAGTCATGACAATTATCTATAAATTTGTATTATTTATTTTTTGAATATCCGTGTTCCTTGCAATACTTCTTTCTTCCCTTTTCTACTGGCTTGGTACAACCTTCAAAGACACACTTGACAAAATCTACTTTCATGGACTTCATTTTCAAAGGTCGTGCGGCGTGTATTTCACAGTATTTCTTTCTGTATTTTGCAATTGGGTTGACGCAGCCAGGATGTTCACAAATACGTTCCGATTTTTCGCTCAAGGGACTCTTTGGCTCCTGCTTTGAGATGGTACTTGACAACTCTTGCTTTGTTTCGATACGTTTTTGGATTATAATAGTCTCCTGTTTGATAACTGAAGAGCTCACTGTTTCTGTTGTCACATTTGTTGAGCCCCACGTAGGGTAGAGAATAGATGAAGCTCCAAATTGTTGAGAGTTAGGAATCACTTCTTGTTTAACACTAAGCGCAACAGCATGTGATGAAGCCGCATTGAGCGGTCGCAAAAAAGCTCTCTCTGGAATTTCACCATTGTTTTTCATGTTATTCACTCGTAATAGCGCGTTTGGATAATCCCAATTAAATTCGACAAGACATTGGAACGAAAATTCAAAATTAAGGCCTGTGTCATGCATTAATTTCATCATTAAATCTACTCGAGATTGACACAATAACAGATTAAATTCAGAATATTGAAGTACTTGTCGGGCCAAATGAATGTTCATCCCTGTTTTTTCATGCATCTCTTTTGGGTACTTGATCATAAACAAGAGTGACGTTTCCACATTATTCCTAAAATATTTCAGGTAATCCAAGCACAATTGAAAGGTGACATCTTCCCCGTTTTGAACACAATAATTCAGCATTTGAGTAGCAAGAGTTTCTGTGGGATCTGCATTTGGTTTGAACGAAAAGTTGTTTTGACTGATCATTCGGAAGTTAAAAATGAAAATCTCTTCGAAGGGCAATCAAGCTAATTTTTTGTTGGTTAATAATATTACAATAAATTCGTGTTTCCTATTATGATCAATTTCAAAAACCCCATCATGTCTAGAGAGGTGTGGTGAAAATTAATAATATTGCAGAGTCTCCGCAACGATGAATAATGGAATGTGTTCGTTCACCTACTATACGACACAACACACACTCGCACTACTCGTCGTTGTTGTTGTTATTGTTAGATCAGCCATCTTTTATGCTTCAAAGTACTAGACATTCAGTCCCGAAAGGTGATTAATGAAATTGTGTTGTCATCACGCTCAAGAGTTGCAGAACAACGAGTTTCAACAGGTTTTCTCATTCACTGAAAAAAAACTCGTCCCGTAAAATCAGTGCTACGTTGTGGGATATTTTAATTAATTTTTAACTGGAAATTGTTAATGGTGTGAATCAACGTGCAGTTGTTGCGATTTTCATGTGAGAATTCTTCTTGAATTGTACAGCCTGATATTTCCATGTGCTTGAAAAACAAGACAACTTTCATTCCAAGAACACGTGTCACTACAATGACTTTCTCACAACCAAAAAAATAATTCAAATAGAGATTACAATGAATGTATTTATTTTCGGAAAAGAGAAGAGGAATTTATGCAATGCTTCTTCTTCTTATTCGACGAGTACTATTAGAAGTACTTCAACAAAATTCCTTTCATTACGAACGAACCATCGTATTATACTGCAAATAACAATGATGGCATTGATCATATTCTATTTATTCCAATGTATGAATCATGTTCCGATCGAGGCTGCACCGTCTCGGGATGATCCGAAAGGTTATTATGAAATTTTGGGATTAAATCCATCATGTTCTCAGAGTGATATAAAAGCTGCTTATCGGAAGTAAGTAGTCACTCACTCACTTTCAAGGATTCATCATTGTTGTAAACTGTTCTTCTTCTTAAACTCTCAACATCATTCAAATAACTTTTTCAATTCTTCAATTGAATTTGACCTTCATCAACGCCATATTCATTTAATAATATGCAACAATACCTTGTTCCAACTCAACGATCTTCCAACAGACTCACTCTCAAATATCATCCCGATCGCAACCGAAACAAACCCGAAGCCGAGCAAAAAGCCATCAAAGAGAAATACGTTCGGATTTGTCAAGCCTATGAAACACTTTCCGATGAAAACAAGAGACAAGCTTATTCAAGAGGATTTTATGATACTTCTTCTCATGGTAGTGATGATTCCGAAAGTTATGGAAGTCATTCCTTTCATTTTCATCAACAATTTCAGGATCTTTCCGATCTGTTTAAACATTTTCATTTCGGAGGATCCTCAGGAGCTTTTGAACAGAGAGGAAGCAACAATAATAATGGAGGACATGCTGAAGGAGAACGATTTCGTTTCAATCCCTTTGGATCTTCCTTTTTTGACGATGAGGATGATGATGATTTTGGATTTCCTTTTCATTTTGGCTTTCCTCATCACCATCAACAACAACAAGGCTCATCAAAGAAAAAACAACAACAACATCACTCCAATTCTCAATCTTCAAGCAATGGTGATGAGAATAAGGGAGGTCTTTTTTCAGGCATGTTCGACAAGTTGAAATCAGCCTTTGGTTTGAAACAGGAAGAAGCTCAACATCATCATGAAGAAAGTGATGACAGCTATCGAGAAGGATATCAACGAGTGAAGAAAGTAGTGACAAAAATTGCAAGTGATGGAACAAGAACGACCTATGTCACTTATGAATATATACCCACAGGTCAGAATCGAAGAGGATTTAGTTTTTAATGTAGATTTGCAGTGATCATGCTGATTTGCCGAGTTTTTTGAACATTTGTGTTCTCTCAGGTGTAATACAATTGTCAATTATACTCCGAATACATGTCAAAGTGAGAATAGTCTATTATTCACTTGAATGTCCATTCAATTAGTCCTTTTTTTACAACGCGAATGAATCTTGAGAGAGAGCTCAAGTTTCTTTGCGCCAAGAACACACTTCTTGGAGTGGATAAAAACACCGCAAAGTGTTCAGCTGAAAATGTCAACTTCATTACCACAAGAGAGATACTCCTTGTGTGTACCAGTGCAACAAAGCACGGTTGTATTCAAGTGTCTCCCGTGACAGAAGAGGCGCGACATCTACGCCACTTTTCAAAAAAGACCACACATCATCAACAAGAAGAAGCCTTGGCGATATCTTTGTTCCTGGGAGTTGAACCAAACAACATTCACATATACACACACTCGGCGGAAGGAGAAACACGTCTCTGATATTCAATAACTCATAAACCAACAACAACAATAACAACATCATTTGAGCGCAACAGACATCATCAGAAAAATCTCAAAATCGACTTTGGAAATATGACATGTCTGTTATTACTCAGTTTCTGCCATCGAACTTCCAACCGCTCCCAACACGTTTCATCACGTCAACAACAACATCAAGAAATGTCTTTCCACTCTAACACTCAGCAAGAATATGATCAATCTCATGTTCGGTGGAGAGAAGATGAAATTTTGAATCGTGTCAAGAAGAAGAAGAAGAAGGAACGAACAATGACGCCAACGTTGTTACTGATCGTATATGTTTTCATCATGTTGTTATTATTTGAAATCATCATGCGGCTACAAAATTTTCGAGTGGTGATGGCCAGTGAAATTAGGGAGTCATCGCCATCAGCATCACCACTTCGACTAGGGCATGCTTTTAGAGTGAGTGACGACACCGTTGAACAAATTTCATCCCATACATCTTCTTCTTTGGCAACATTGAAACCATCAACAACAAGACATAATTCACATCAACAACAACAACAATCAAATCTTTATCAAATCGTACGACAAGTGAGCGTCACAGAACTAACCAATTCGAACAATGGTGTCATTGTGGGAGGATTTAATTATTACTCGATATTTATTTGGAAAAAGTTCTCACAAATTCAATCTCTGCAAGATCTAGTGACATTTGTACAAACTCACCCTCAAGATTTTTGGAAAGTGTATGGAGGAAATCCCATCTCGAATTCAAAACGAAAATTCAAAATTTTATGCCCTCAATTGTATCCCTGTCAGAAAATATGGACTCTCATGACGGCCGGGTATGACAAGAAATTAATTGACGAACTTTTTGTGGTCGAACCAAGATCAAACTTGTATCCTGATTGTATGGCTGGATCCTCTTTAGAGATTGGAGATGCCTTATTACTGACTAGTTACGACTTTGCTTTATATGTAAGAGTGAATGCAGTCGTGACAAGGAAAAGTCTGTTTCAAGAAGTGAGTGCTGTTGAGGATGAAAATGCCGTCATGTATCATCCGGGAGATTTTACACCGATTCCACTCTTTCCAAGTGAGGTTCTAATTTACGTGTCTCTTCCAATGACACAGCCCAACAGCAAACCATTTATTGATTTTGTGACTGCACGAACCGATTTTTCGCAATTCACTTCTTGTAATTCGAGTCGAATTCACGACATGTACATTTTGGATCGAGTGCATGGCGTGTTAAATTTCACAGAGAGCGACATTCGCCTCATTGAGCAACTACAAGGAGGAATCAAATTAACCATTGATCAATCTCTTCTTTCCAGCTTGGTTTCTACTCAGTATGCACAATTTCTTCAACCTCTCTCCATCCAAAATGCTACCAACTTACTTTGGAATTCCACTTGTCATTTTTGTGGAACTCGTCTATGTCTTGCAGAGAATATTGACAATGGAGACATTATGTTGTTTGCGTATGCCATTCCTTGCCTGATTTTTTACTTTGTTTTTTTTGCATTTGGCATGTACAAGAAACCTGCATTACGCAAACGATTACTCGTTCCATACCTTACTCCTTTTTGCATTTTTGCTACCGAAGTATTATGGACGTCACTGTGTAAGAATTCATGTCGCTCCATTCTGGTTCCAGTTTCCATTCTCTTTTCAGGATATGGCATTTCAGTTTATGTGTTGGTGGCTTTTCGGTTTTTATTCATTAAGAATTTGTACAAGTTGATTAAGAACGCTCAAGGAAGAAAACTCACCTTTTTCAAGTGGCTTGCCTCAGAGAAAGTAGGATGGACTCTCATCACAATCATTCCTCTCTTTTTCATGATACTGTTTATACTTCCTTCCATGTTTGCTGCCATTTTTGATTTGAACAATCTTGTATTCATTAATAATGTCTTCTTTTCAATTTTAACTGGTTTCGGATGTGGTTTGGGAGTGTTGTACAGTTTCATTGATTTATTTGCCAATAGAAAGCTCATCAAAGAGAAAGGTAAGTGAGGTGTGATGTGTGAAACTGACATTTAATATTACTAACTTTATTTGACTATTTCTGATTATTCAAATATGTTCCCCATGGATGTGTGTGAATATCTAAAATTATTTTTCGCTATCACATGTGTCACACATAGGTATTGGAAGGTATTTATTCTTTGACGATCCATTTCACATTCGAATCGATATGCTTGCGTTCATGTTACAGGTTTTTCTGGCCATTCTTTTCCTTGTCATAACACCAGCCAATCAAACACAAGTGGGCAGCAACATTATTCGAATGCTCATTGCTATTTGGCTACTATTCACATCGGGTGGATTTGCCATGATGATTGAAATTTATAACATGATTCGAGCGAGACACAATTCCAAGAAAACTCGTTCCAGTATTGAACAAGAACAAGGAGTTTTTGAATATTTACTCACCACCAATGTAGAATTTGCTCTTCTTTTTAAAGAATACAGTAAGGCTGAGAGTTCGATTGAAAATTATTACCTCTTTGAGCGATTGATGGAAATTAAGAAATCAGGACGAGCCACACTCACACAATTTCAAGACATTGAACAAAAATTCATTCGTCAATATTCCCTGTATGAAATCAATATGCAACACAGAAACAGATTACGATTTTACGAATTATTGCATGCGATCGAAAACAACAAGACAAACCAGCAAGAATTCAAAGTTCGAGGAGAAAATGTCGATCCAAATGTCGAAAATATTTGGCAAATTTTAATGACCGAAACTATTTACAACATGTGGGATACGTACTCTCGTTTACAAATATTGCAACAATATCGAAATTGGGCTCTCGTGTATGAGATTCATGCGAAACAAGCATTGGACTCTACAGCTTCAGAAAGCTTGAACAAGGTGTGAAAATCAATGGCATTTTGATGCTTGAATAATTCACCAGTGCACGCATGTTGTGCTTCAAAAATGCAAGAAGAGTATTGTTGAATTTGAACGAATCGCCGACTTTTTCAAATACCGCTTCGCCTTCAAAGGAATTTTCGAAATTTTCACTCACAAAAACAACAACAACAATCATCCTCTCAATTTAGAGACCAGTCTCACAATAGAGACGGATTGGCTTTTTCTTCTGCAGCTCAATTTCATCATTAATCATAATTTTGACCCAATAACATCGACCAGGTTTGAAAATTACCATTTTCGTGTCTTTGAAAATACTTTAGCATAAAAAAAATGTTTAAACTCTCTTCCATTACGCGATCATCATCTTCAACAAATCAACCACATCAAACGATGATGATGATCCGATTACTCAACAACACGAGCAGTAGTAATATTATTAGCAACAAGCAGCATTTGCATTTGCAAAGATTTACTGAAAATATGTGGCTCGGGATGAATCAAGGTTCTTCATCGCGAGGAATGGGCTATGCTTTTTGGCCAAAGAAAGCAGCAGAAAAGATGCAACAAGAACGATCAGGAAAAGATTCCAACAATATAAACTCGGAAAATATTGAAAGAATTACCAACGCACATAAAACACACTTTTTTGAAAAACCACTCACGGAGAGTGAAAAAGCACAAGTGAACCAATTTGCTGACGAAAACAACTTTCCTCTTCCACAAAGAGTGGAACAAATTTTCAACAAGGTAGCTCCAATGCCACAGGAATATGGAAAAATTGGCCAACCAAGAGTATTCATGAGAATTGCCGGAAAGAAACCACAATTCTTCAAGTTGGCGGTCTTTGCTGCCCTGTTACTTGTTTCTCTGCAGATTATCAATCACTACGGAACAATATTTCTATTGGATGATATTGTGAAAGAGTTATTGAACCCAAGACCAGATATTGAGTCTGTGTTTGCCACGCATGACAGAGGAGCGGACAAAATTGCATTCCACAATCAATATATCCAGGAAATGGATGAAATACTTTCATTCCTTGATAAAAATTTGGAATCTGATGAGAGTTTAACTCAATACTACCTGAAGAGTGGAGTTATTGACAAGTTATTCGAGTTATTACAAAACTCTGACCATCCCTATATTTTACTGCATTCTCTTACCACTCTCGAGAAGTGTGCACGATACGACAGCAAATGCATTGAATACATGGTTAAAGATAAGAAAGCAATAGAAATGCTAAATGAAAAATTATTGAAGCTCGGTTACGAAATGATGCAAGAAAAGAGAATTCCTCTCAACAAGTTATTGAACCCAATTGTGAAGTTGCTCATCAAATTGTACAGTGAGAAGAATGAATGGATCACCGATAAGGATCGAGAATTTTTGACTCTTGCTCTACAAATTACTCAACCCAAATATTTCCACAAGATGAGTCTCGAAATTGTGCAGAATTTAGCAACCAATCAAATGAACCGTGTAAACTCGGCCACAGAGGAAGATTACACCAATGATGAAAAGAGAGCAATGTTAGAGAAGGCCATTGTTTCTCTCGATTCTAACTTTGTTTCAAGCCTTAAATTTCTCTCTGAGAATGCTCCTCTAGAGGAGGTTCGTTCTGAGCTGGCTCTTATTTTACAATCATTTGAGGTATCTCAGAATGCATTCATGAATAGAGAGAAGGTACCAAATCCAATTGATGTCTCTCCACTTCACAAAGCAGGATTCAAAGAAACCATGTATCGCAAATATGAAATGGGTCCTAAAGAAGCCATAGGAAATGTTCTCTACCTCTTCATGATTCCATTCATGATGGGATGGCTCAGATATCGTTGGATTGCCCACGGAGCACCAGTTCCATTCATTAGATGGACCATGTATCGTGCAGCTTCATTATTCTTTGTCACGGACTTTATTTTGGCTCCAATTTCTACCTTCTTCTTTGATCCATCCAAGAGTGACTTTGCAAGAAATAAGGTCATGGCCATCTTGCCTGAATCTGTATTTTTGGGATCCACTTTGAACAGAATTCTGACCTATGGATTGCAATTGAAAGCATTTGCTGATACTTACTTTATTGCCTTTCCATACCTCATCAAACAATATGAAAGTACTCAATTCGGTGTCATTAAGAATTCTCCACCAGCCAACACCTTCAGACTCTTCATTGCTTACCAACTGATCCAACGAAAGAAGGTATTTGGTCAAATTCCACTTCAACAACCTCCCCTACTTGTGAAACAAGAATCATCAAGACCTTCAGCAGCACAACAGTGTCACACTGATGATAATTGAACTTGTAGTTGACATTATTTAACATCCGATCTTGATTGCACACGAGAATAATAAATTCAAAACCTCGGACAGAAAAAACGCAAATTTTTATGCGAGTCGAATAAAGACGCATTCTCAACGATCTATCAATAAAAAAATGGCAGAACGAAAAGCAACCAACAAGTACATTCCTCCCGATTTTGACCCAAAAAAACACTCCTCCGTCAACAAGTATCGAAATTCTCACCCACTCCGAAAACGAGCGAGTAAATTAAAAACAGAAGGATCCCTCGTGATCCGATTTGAATTGCCCTATGATGGAATTTGTACAAATTGTGAAACCAATATTGCTCGGAGTACACGATTTAATGCCAGAAAATATCAAAAAGATGGTGAATCCTATTTATCAACTCCAATTTATACCTTTGAAATGAAATGTTATGAGTGTTCGGGAAAGATTGTCATTAAAACAGATCCACAACATGCGACCTATGTTTGCGAGCAAGGTTTGAAATGGAAAACTCAACCATTGCTCAACGTTCAAGCTTCATCATCATTGTCTGGCGATTCCAATACAACAACTATTGATGAACAACAAGAAATGTACATTATAGGTGATGAAGATTTTGCTAATAAGGATGCCATGGACAAAATGCAGCATGAACAGGAGGATTTGGAAAAGTCAGAACATGCAATTCCTATTTTACAATCCATCATCAAAATGAATCAAATTCGAAGTGGTAATGATTTTGAATGTAATTTAAGGTTAAGAAATGCTCATCGTAAATTGAGACAAAGCGAGAAGAAGGCTTGTGAGGAACTTTCCAAACGAGTTGGTGCATTCTATGTGAATGAAAACACACTGAAAAGTGTACTGCCCGAAGAGTCGTTGGAAGATGGCATCATTGCCAAGCAAGAAATTTCATCTCGCCATGTGAACAAGAGTAACACATTACAAGGAAGAAATGCACAAGATGACTCAATATTTAGCACCAGGAGCAGTAACAGTCCTGTCCATCATCACAATTCAACCATGAAATCCATGTTGAAACGAATCCATCAACCTGGTGTCGTTCAGTCGTTGGCACAGGAGCTGAAAAAGCGAAAATACAATAGTCATGCAACCAGTGGTCATGCCGAAAATGACGACCACTCGTCGAATCATCAAGCGCCGCTGGACCTCAATGTTCAAATGCCACCCAAGTCCAAAAGGAATCATTCACAACAACAACAGCAAAATATTGCTCTATCTGGTTTGCGAAATATGTACGCCTCTGACTCAGATTAGGATAATTTGAAATGATTTAAACGGTTGGTAGGTCCATACACAGCTCACTGTGGTCTCATCAACACGCATCACTTGACAATTTTTGAGGTTTGCATTCTGTTCACACTCTATTTGACAATCTCCATTCGTTCGTTTATTATCAATGACCCAAGCTTGGTTGTGAGGTAACCATGAAAATGTACGTGTTCTTTGCAGGAAATTTCCATTTGGTCTGAAAATGCAGAAACATTTCTTTGTTTTCCTTGTTTGCATAACCGCTCTGACTTTGACAATGAAAAGGGCGATTTGACGTGTGAAGCATCAGAATCTTTTGTGCGTTGTGAGATGAACGACTGAGACAAACATTACCACATCGAGGCTTCTAGACTACACTTGTGTATTATGTTTTTCACAACTTGTTTTTAACAAGTGACATCAGCAAAAAAGAGAGAAAGAAACAACCGAGTTGACTGTTTGATCGAGGATCGACACCTTTCTCAATCCATTGAACCCTAAGCGTGGAAACACACCATTCATCAACCACATCCACAAATAAATTTAACACCAAGAGGCAAGGAAGGGTGCGGCGCTCACAAATCATCATCATCATGAATCATCATCCATCTCAGCAACAACAAGAACAACAACATTATTTGGATCCAATTAACATTGTTGATGTTGTTGCCGACCAACCACCCAACCACCATGACCACACCTCTCTCTTCCAAACAAACACTTCACAACAAATTGTCCACACAAGCAACAACACCAACACAGCGGCGGCGAACACCACCACCAACTATGAACCTTTGACTCATCATCCTCTCTATTCGAACACAAGCGTCGCCAACACCACAAACACCACGCACTCTCCTTTTTATAATTCATCGACGACTTCGACGACTCCTAATCATTTGTTACATCATTCAACAGCAGCAGAAGCAGCGATTGGTAGTGGACTAGTCCTACATGCCACAAATTCAAATAATAATAACATTTCAACAACAGCAACCTTTACAAATTCAACAATGGTTGGAAGTAATTGCTCTTCATCGAATCCATTGCTCACACATGCATCATCGCCCTCCAATCAAATGATTCATTCCAATCATTTGAATATTGTTAATAATAATAATATCAATAATTTAAATCATGTGTCGTCGTCATCATCGATGAATCCACAAGATTGTAACGGAGGAGGAGGTTCATCAAGTACCAATGGATTATTGTTTTCTGACTCAAATTCAAATAATATTACAACAACAGTTACAAATAACAGTAATAATAATATCAATAATAATAACAACCAGAATACTCAAGTGTTACAAGAATTGTTTCGACAACAGCAGTTACAGAGCTCATATCCATATGGCCATTCGGGGAGCCATCCATTTATAGAAATCCAAGCAAGTCACTTGTCAAACAATTTAACACAAGATTACAACGGACATGCCGTGTCCAACACAACCACCACCACCACCACCAACAACAACAACAACGCAGTTCCTTCACATACAACTGATTCCTACATGGTTCACCACACCACAACCAGTGAAGGTTCCTATCCTCATCACCCGTTGCATCCTCACCAACATGACGGAACAACAACAACCAACACTCAGGACACATCCTATGACTTGTTATTAAATGTTGTTGGAGTTCGAAATGATCATGCAAACAGTTCATTGACACCACAACATGCCAATCATTATCTTGTCACAAATCAAGGTGTCAATGATCCTCATTCTCATCATCATCACATTTTGAATGCATCTTCTCAACCACCCATTCCATCTCATCACTCAAATTCCTCACAACAACAACAATTCGTTCATCATCATCATCATGCTTTAAATAATTTTACAAATGATTATGTTCAACAACGATTTGAGGACAATCTTTTTTCATTGTTGCAAACATCAAATTCGAATCAACAAGATCCTTCGAACAATCCTACCATGGACCACACGAATGGCTTAATGGATCTTCATCATTCACATGCATCTTCTCAACCACCACAAGGTGGTGTGACCAATGAATCTTCTCAATTAAGCTTTCAACATTCAATTCATTCCAATCACCCTTCCACCCATGTTGGACAAACACATTCTCATGAACCATCATCACAACATCATTGGAGAGGAGAAAAATTGAATTTAAATTATTTTGACGTTCCCTATGACACAAGTCATCCCATTCATTCATCTGCTCCAATTTTAGGAGATGTCCATTCACAACCACAACAATCACAACAACCACAACATTCACACACGACTCAAATCATTAATCCATTAGAAGAAGTGGTTCATCCTCATGTGTTTCATCCTCAATCAAGTATGGATCCTCATCCACAACATCAATTTTCAAATATTCATCAAAATGTCACAACAAATCCCTATCACACAAGTGCCTTCATTCACACGTATGGAATGCAAGTGGCGTCAGAAGCCTCTCACCACACGCTTAATCACATGATGGTGAATCATTCACAACCACAACAAACAATACCATTTTCTCAACAACAACAACCATCATCATCATTGATACCAAGTCACTCGTCTCCAATAATGTCACAACAAGGTGGTCCATATTTACTCCATTCTCCAACGATGGCAATGACTTCTTCGAATCCTTCTTCTGTTCATCCTGTTGTGAATTCACAACAACAACATTCACAACATTCACAACATTCACCAAAATTACACAACACTTTACAACACAAGAAGTCCATTCCATCTTCGAAAAGTAAAATCATCTCCATGATGACCAATGATGGCTCCAAAATGATCCATCAATCCAGAATGAATTTATCAGATCCTGATCTCAATCATGCATCAAGTACACCCATCATTTGTAATTGTTGTGGAAGATCCGACAGTGAAGTCAGCTTTAAGAAAAATTATTCCATTCACGAGGGAAATATTGAATCTTATCGTTCGACCTTTCCACAAAATTCTGAAACAATTACACCAGGACCTGTGTGTGCCACGTGTTACAACAAACAATGGAGATATCAACGTGGATTATATGATCCACAAAAGTCATCACGAAAAAAAGAAGGTCATGTTAAAAATTCACAACAACTTGTTGGAAATACGGGTAACCATTCACCTCAAACACCTTTACAAAATAATCGTGTCACAGCCATTCAAAATGATTATTCTTCATCGTATTCAAATTCTCCAGTTTCCTTAAAGAATTCTTCTCCAACACAAAGTTCCAATGGAGGAGTGAAAAAGAGAAAATTACCCAATACTACTACCACCACCACCTTAATTTCTTCTTCGAATGGACATTCCAACTCGCCTTCTTCTGTGAATCATCATCCGTCACATGGGACTCGAAATTCAAATATGGATGTTATGGAACAGCAGCAACAGCAGCACCAACACATGGAAGAAACAGACACAACAATGATGGATTCATCATCTCCTCCCATCACGGATGAAACATTCATTCACAGCATCAACAAGAAAAGTCGTCGTCATTATGATTCTTCTAACTATGTTTTACTAGAAAAAAGAAATTCCAACAACAACCACAAGAATGACATTTCTATCATTGTTCAATTTTATCGAATCGATGCTGAATGTTTGAAAGTATTGTCATTACCACAACCACAAGAAGAAGAACAACAACAACAACATTCAGAATTGATCCAATATGAAGATCTTTCTTTGAAAAGTTCTCATTCATCCTCTTATTCACAACGACCAAAGAGAGAAGTGAGTGATCTGAGTTTTGGTGGTGGAATGAGTAATGACAAAGAGAGTGGTCATTATGTGACAGAAAATGATGAATTATTATTATTGCATCGAACAATCATGATGATGAATAGTGAACTCCTTCAAGACTCGATTCAAGAATTTACGAATCAACAATTAGCCATTCAACAACAATTCAAAATGTATGGTCATCATGTGTGTGGTAGTTTCCTGAATCCTGAAAGAAGATGGATGAATCATCACAAAGATTTAAATCTTGAAACGACGACCATTTTGAGTGGTGGTGTTGATGGTGATATGGATGGTGGTGATGTTGGTGAATGGTTTCATCACAACAAGAACAAATCCTCTTGTTGCCCCATTCGACATTATTACACCACTGCCCTTAGACTTGATTTGAAAGACTTGCTTCCTTCTTCATTATTGAGAAGTGGTCATGGTGGTGATAGGGAGACCATTATCCGTAAAGAACAATCTCATCATGATGGTGGTAGTGTGGTTGTTGTTATGGAGGATATTACCCCCACCAGTCATACGACGACGAGTAATGAAAGTAATGATGATGAAGAGCTCAATGATGATGATGATGATGGTGGTGGTGGAGAGAGTGGTGTGACTATTGTTGGCATGGGACAACCAGAAACAATGCTAACAACAACCACCACCACCACTACTACCACTACTACCACTACTACTGCTGGCGCCACAAGTACAAGTGAATCGACATTTTCATCCATGGCCTATACTATGGAACCAAGTGATCTCAGGATGATGGCACACGGAAAACAAGCCTTCCTTAATCTCAAGAATCAATTGGAGAATCATCTGGGTGAGATTTATGCCAAACAAGAAGCACTAGTGGGAAAGGTGACAATGGAAACATGTGAAAGAACTCAACCATTCACGGTACGAAAGAAATCGAGTACCTCCACGTCGGTCGATGATGAAGATGTTGCAGCAGAAAACATGATTCTCACTACCAACACGAACACCAACACCATGATGGCGTATGAAGAAGCTTTATTAACCACAGACCAAGAAAAGAAGACTTTACAATCATCATCATTGGTCAGATCTCCAACTGTGTTGTGTATGAAGATTACATCGATGGATCGCTTCCACAATATGGTCTTTTTAGATTTTGATGAATTCTACATGATGGAACGATCGCTCTGTGAGGGTGATTCTTTGAGCGTTTTTTTTATTTGAAACTCGAGAAGGGGATTTCGGTGTGCTGAAATAAAAAGATGACAACTGACAACATTAATGGTGGTTAATATTTGTTATTCTTCCTAGCAGGAAGTAAATAAATAAAAACAAATATCATGCCTATTTCCTTTCACAACATTTCGTCTTTCTTGTGCAACACACATGTCACCTCTCTTTTTGATTCATTCCAGAACTTGAACTCGAAGAAGAGTTATTCAATTGTAAATGTTGATCCAATAAGGCATGCATGGCGGGAGTGTCCATTTTCGCATACGTGTTGACATTCATACTGGAAGTTGGATGAGAGGTCACATCCATAACTGAGGCATGGTTGTTACCAAAACCTGTATGATTCCATGAAAAAATCATATCTAAATCTTCTTCAGTCAGAAACGGATCAAACACAGTCGAGGATTGAGGTGAAGATGCCTTACTGGTGGTGATTCCAGTGTTATTAGGACCAGTACTGGTCGTTGTTACCAGTCCTTCCATCATCGTTGATGATGATGAATTCCAATTGGCAAGAAGGCCACTATTAGGATCATAGGAAGAAGGCATCAAGTTGCTATTCATCATCATTGGCATTCCAAGGTTAGTGGTCAAAAAGGGTAGAGCATGATTTGAAGTCGGGTGTCCCACCAAACTGCTGCCGTTAGGTGTTGTTGAAGGTGGTGATCCTCCTCCTAGTCCAGAAACCAAACTTCCTCCCATCATGATCATATTCATCATCAAGCTCTGTATATTTTGCGAATCGTGGCCCAACAAGTTGTAGTTGAACAAGTTTACATTAGGATTATCACTAGCATTGTGATTACTATTGTTGTTACTACCATCATTCAAAATTCCCTCATTACTGTTTGCCATCATGATCAAATCAAAGGTTTGTTGTTGCTGTGTGGAACCTTCTAAGGCTTGTGGTTGTTGTGGCAGCTGCTGTCCGTGAGGTTCAACTCCAATGTTGTTCATTGAGGCTCCCGAAGAAGAAGCAACAGCAGAAGCTGCACCATAAAAAGAGGAGGATGATTGTTGCTGTTGAGGATGAGAAGCAAGACCACCACTACCTAGTGAACTAGTCGATATATCAGTTGTAGTAGGATTCGATGGAAGGAAGGAAGGAATAAACTGCGCAGGTAATGCTGCTACTGCTGCCATGGAATGAGAAGAGGACGAAGAGGGTAGTGGTGGTGATGTTGTTGTTGTGGGCGATAACTTTGAACCTTCGGAGGAGCTAGAAGATGATGACTTACTTTGAAGCTGTTGCTTCCCATCTGTACTTGGAAGGAAGGAAGATGGATAAGGTGAAGATGAATAGCTATTCTGTGCATGAGCGGAGGAGGAGGTTTGAGAGTGTTGTTGAGGTTGCTGCAGTTGTGATTGAGGTGGTTGTAGTTGTTGTTCTTGTTTCATCATGTCCAACTGATTCAAAGTCTCCTCCATCTCTCGTAATAATTTACTGTACTGGGTACTCACGAGTTTGAAACGACGAGCCAGGATGTGCATGGCTCTCAAATCCTTTCGTAAAATCTCTTCATAGTAGCGACTGAGAGTATTGGCATGATGAGACTGCAAGGTCGCAGCAGCAGCAACAGCACTCGAAGATCCTGTTGGAGTGGTGAGAGAATGATTTTTTTTGAGTTGTTGTTGAATGTGTTGAGTGTGAAGTTGGGAATGTTCGAGTAATTCTTCGAACATTTTGCGTCGTTCTAATTGTTGTTGTTGTTGAGATTGTTGAGGTGATGAGGATGAGGATGAATTCAGCGCATGGGTGGTCATGGTATGGTTAGGATTGACATGATCAGTTTGTGTTGTTGGTGCGGATGATTGCTGACTTTGTCCTTCTCCAAAATTAGTATTGTTGTTCGAATTATTTAAAATCATTTTCACAATTCTCAAATGAACCAATGCTGCTGCCGAAATAAAAGGAACTAGATATGGCAAAAAGAATGGAAATAGATCGTGCTGTGTCGACATGGTAATATTATAGGCCGACTGCTCAATAATTTCTCGACTGGTGGCACTGTGATAATTTCCTAATTTTGAGAGAATACGAATTTTGGTTCCATTGAGGACAATATCTAACATGTGTTCATAGAGAGAGAGGCATTGAGAATTTCCTTGAAAGAAGCAGGGTGTTGGTGTGGTGTCGCTATTTTTTGTTCCATCTGATACACTATTATTACTGTTATTTGACTTCATCTGAGAATCAAAGGATGTTGTTGGAGGAGTAGAAGTAGTGGCGACAGTATTGCTCGGATTTGATAATTTTTCCTTAATGTGCTGTTTTACAAAGGTGAAGATGGTATCCAATAATTTCAAAATATCATAACAATTTTTGTGTGAAATTTCTTGATTCAATAGAGTAATCCATTGAGGTGGAAATTTCAATCCTGTAAACATGGTGAAATATCGAGGAATTTCTCTCAAAAATCCGCCTTCTGCAAATGATAGATCAAAGAATGATTTGGCATTTCGTCCACTGGCATCTACACTTGATGGTGCATGAGCAGAACCTCCCATGGATAAAATACTTTGATCAATGTATTGTCGGTTATTCTCCAAATTCTTTTCGTATTGTGTCATTTTAGAGAGACAATATCGACATTGACTAATGTCGTGTTCGGCAGGTGATGTATGGCTGCTGTTGTTGTTCATGCTATTATTATTGTTCTGTGTTGAAGCGGACAATGATGGCTGGTTCGTATCAGTGCTGTTCATTGCTGTTGTTGTTGCTGAGATTGTTGAGGAGGCCGATGAATCATCATTCGTATCACATTCTGCAGTCTGTACAAATCGATGTTGCAAGTAAAAGGCAACAAATTGCAAGTAGAATTTTGCATTCGTTATTCGTGAATTGAGAATTTCATATTGTGACAAGTGTGAAAAAGTAGTTGCCACCAGAAAGCTTTCATGTTGATCAAAATAATTACAAATAGCATTTCGAGCGAGTTTAGCGCTCTTTTCAGCGACTTCTGACATTCCACATCTCATTTCACACACTGCCTTCACACTTAAAAATAAAGCGACTAACTCTTGTAAATGTTTGAACTTGGCATTTCCATTATTTCTCGAAGAATTCATCAGTTCTTCATCATTTTCTTCAAGTATAGGTGTATTTTGCAAATAATCCAAATAATTTTCAGGACACTGCTCCATATCCTCTCGATCCATGAGTGGAAAACCATCACATGCAAAACTGTAATAACAATCAATGACTTGTCTTTTTGAAAGTCCTTCTTCATAGAATTTTTGATGATTAAAGCGAGGATGAGACATATTGGAATGAATTACCTCCTGATTGAATTGTGAGGAAGAAGATGTTCTCTGCAGTGTTTCTTTTTCTTGAATCAATGGAGGTTGACATTGAATTTGATTCTCTGTTGTGTTCTTTTTTCGTTTTCTTGAATTTCGTTTTTTTGGAGTTGGCGTTCCTCCCTCCGAAGAAGGATTTATTGAACTGGGTTCGGTTGTTGCTATGGTAGTGGAGGCGGAACAATTGGTTGTCTTCGTCGTTGAAATGGTTGCAGTTGTGGCAATTCGTTTTGATTCCTTGTACATGCATGTGAGACCTTTCTGAATGCATCGGTCACAACTTGGAAGTTTTCGGTCGCAACGTTTGTGTTGCTTTCTGCAATGCACACATGATATAGGATAGAGTGCCACGGGTGAATTGTACACAATGGAATTGGGAGGAAGATAGTTATTAGTGTTGTTGGATTGTGATGAAGCCGAAGCTGAAGATGGATTCATCATCATTGTTGGTTGTTGAGACGGAGAGGAAGGAGAAGTTATTGTTGTTATTGTTGGAGTAGTCATATGGGATGCTTGTTGTTGAGTGGTATTGGATGGTTCGGTTGTTGTTATTATGGTTGTGGTGGTGTCTGTAGTGAGATTGGGAGGTGGTGGTTGCAATCCCGAAGTGGATGATGATGCAGCAGGATTCAGAACAACACCATTGATGAGAACCGGAGCAACAAAGGTTGTTGAAGAAGAGGATTGTGGTGGTACTGCGGAGAGAGTGGCTTGATTGGATATGTGTGCTGTGGTGGTGAAGAGATGATGGGATGAATTGTTGTGGTTGTGCTGTGCGGTTGGTAGTGGTGGAGGTAAATGGGATTGATGAGAAATGTTGCCATTTCCATACTCTGGTTGTGGATGATGATGATAATACGGTTGTTGCTGATAGGAAGAGTAAAAGTGTGGGTACTGATGGTGTAGGTGGTGATGAGGATTGTTATTGTGCATTTTTAATGACATTTCAAATAGATCCATTCATGTTGTCCAAATCCGAGCTGGAAAATAGGGAGAATTTTTATTTACAGGCACTCACGGATGATTCTTTCTTTCTATTGTGGGAGACTGTGATTGGCTTAATCTCATGAGTGGTTTCAAAATGGCAATGAAAAAAATTCATTTGATGTTGAGATTACTATTTCTTTAGTATGCCCAACGGAACAGCCACTGCAATGACTCCTGCAGCAATGAGAATGACCACAATGGCAATGACTACAACAATCACCAACAGCACACATTTAGCATTTCTGGTCTTGTCACCAATTTTCTTGGCAGTTTTGATGTTTTGCACTCCCTTCTCAGTGAAATCAATGCTCCTTAATACGTTATCTTCAATATTGTCAATAAGATCTTGTTGCATCAATATTAGAGTATGCAAGTCTCGAAACATGTCTTGTAATTCATTCATTGATAATTCCAATCGTTTCAAGTCTTCATGTGTTTCCTTAATTTCTGAGTAGGTTGCCTTGATAGTATTCTGCGCAGAATTTTTCAGCAAATACTTTCCATAGAGATTACCCTCTTGAATTTGTCCAGTTTCAATCATTTCATTCAACTCTTCGTCAGATTTTTCTTCCTCAGAATAAATGTTGCGTAAATTTCTCATTAGGTCATCTTTGTATCTGGCTTTGCAAGCGGCCTGAATGCCATTAAACCTCTGAACCACAGAGAAAAAACTTTGGGTGAGTGAGGCTTGTTGATTTTCTCTCATTCTTCTCTCAGCAGAAAATTCCTCAAGAGTTTTGTTGGTCTGAGCCATCTCTTCCAAACTTCTCTTTACAAACCTCATATCTGCATCAATTTCATCGGAAATGGTTGCAACTTTTTGTTTAAACGCCTTTGTATTCGATTCCTTTTTCACCTCGGCAATGATGCTGTTGTAAGTCTTTTCCATGAGCGTGGCGTTTTCATCAATTTTGTTGATACGGATTTTGATCTCAGTTACTTGGCTCAAAAAGTCGGAAACAAATTCACTCTCTTTGGGGATGAGTCTTCCTCCGGCGTAACCTCCTTCTGCATGCTCTAAATCACCGATTTCATATTTCTCTTGGAGAGTAATATCATCCAGATCATCGGCTCGGCCTTGTGCTTTTTTCTGTTGGTGGTTGAATTGATGAAAGGTTTCCGTTTATTGGGAATGGAACGTTAAGTTGCAATATTTCCCAAGTTTTTATGTGTTTCATCATCAAGATTTAAAAAACACATCACCCGTCCATGTATCCAATTTGAAAATCAAAACCCTTACCCTCAATTCTTTTAAGCGGTTGTTCATTTTTTTTGCGCCTTAATGGTCAGCAGAGGTTCATTGTGGGTTCTGGTTCGGACCTTGATAACAGCAACAAGAAGGAGAAATCCATTGATACCATTGCCATACATACACATGTATCAATTATTGTTGTGAGTGCCGAAATGTCCATGCCAATGCCAAAATTCTCAAATGAATAACTATTGTCAAAAAATACCTCAAGATAACTTGTTTTTGTCCTTATTCTTACTGCTGAGCTTGGCTTGAACACTAGCTTGTCTATCTTTAAACATGAGCTTGAGAATCTCTTTCCTTCGTTCTTCTGTGTTGGTGGAAATAATCTTACTGGGTTTTACATTCAAGGGTTTTCGTAAATCATCTGTAAGTGGAGAACCAATACCGATCCATGAATTGATGAGGGTTTGCATTATGACTTTCTTAGTATTTAAGGAGCATGAGGCAGGTAACTCTCGATCTAAATCCGCACTCTTGTCATACGAAAAACCTAAATCTGCTGGAGTTAGACGCTTTTTCTTTGGTGGTTGAGGAAGGTGAAGTGATGATGAAGGTGACACGGTAGGTATCGAAGAGTCACGAATAATATTTCGTACGGTGGGAGGAAGTTGATGCTTCTCAGAGGAGGATTTCTGAGTATTGAGGGATACTCCTTTAACTTTTTCTTGGTATTGGCTCCTATTGGCTACAATCAAAATTGGATTGGTGGTAAGTGAGAAATGCTCCTTGTGTTTGGCTTGAATTTTCGAGCTAACAGAGCAAAGAGTAGAGCCTACATAATCCTCAGGGAGCGGCTCTTTGGGATGACTCAAAATATTTACATGTTTTTGGGAGATGGAGGAGGAGGAAGATTGAGGTCTCTTAGATGAATCAGATTTTGTGTTGTTCGAGCTTTTACCAACTTTCATAGAAAGCGGTCGCTGTTTAAGGGGACTTTCATTGGTTTTGATTGTGGTCGAGAGATTACGCTGATGCTGAATAAGTGAACTTTGTTGGGGGAGTTTGACAGAAAGTGCTTTCTCCAAACTTGATATTAGATGAGACTTTGATTCTTGCTGGTTTTTTTTGTTTGTGAAAGAGCTGTTGTGAAAAGTGTCAATAGGAAGGGCTGGGCTTTTTCGAAGGACGGGAGGAGGAGAGCAAACGCTAAATGGAGAAGGGCTAATTCTTCCAAGTTCAACTCGTGGTTTGATACGAGAGGATTTTTCCAGTTGCTTTGAAATTATTCTACTCGATTGATCGTCATGGCATTGAACGTATTTTTGTTGGTTTTGATGTGATGAAGATTTTGATTTCTTCTTATACTTCTTTTTTGAGGGTGATGAAATGTCATCATCAAGGAAAGGAAATATTTTTACCTTATTATTGTGATGCACGAACTCAGAGTCATCATTATTGTTGTATGCCTCTTCATCACTGTCCAACATCAATACACTATCTCTATCTTCGTTGTAATCGTGGTCATGATCCATCGACGATGGAGTGTCATGATCAATACTATTATTATTTGTTCCTTCAACGGTTGATGTTGTTTCCCGAGATAACTGATTCATTCTCTCCTCGTCCGTATGTACTACTGAACTAATATCGTTGATAGAAGAATGATGATGACAGGCATCCGAACGATGATTTGAAGAGTCTTCCTTATTTTCCTTATCATTTCCGTAATGAGAGCGGTGCGTTTGTAGTTCATGCCTTTGTTGAAGAAAACTATGATGATGGTGGTTATTAATGCTGCTGCCGAATGATGATGTCCTATCGAGAACAACCATTAAATCAGAGCCAGCTCCTCCCAGCGAATCTCTTCGTTTTCGAGAGATTTGCATCATTTTTTTTTTCTAACGTTTTTTTTGTTGACGACGAATTTGGAAATCTCTGACACAAGGACTTTCAACAGGATTTGAAAGTAAGTTACTTACACCTTTGCAATATCCAGTTGAAGATTGTGAAGTGCATGTGGAAAAATCTAAATAGCTACGCAGGTGGTGACGGACATTATTGGAGAGTTTTTTGACTCCCCATCGACCTTATGTCATTCACTACAGAGCTTTCCAGCCGAAGTCGTAAACCAAATCCAGCATAATATGGAACATTTGGTCGTGAAATGTCAAAATATCTATTGCAGACAACAAGAAGAACTCTCTTCGTTCTTTGAAAGCATAACTGCCTTAACACATATCTCCAAAAAATCACTACAACCTTCATCGCTCAATGCAGAAGTCTCCAAAAACGAGATACAACCATTCTTTTTTGCAACCTTTTCTCCTTCTTCGAAAGGGATTGGTTGTTTCCGTGAGACGACCTCTTGATTGTTTCTTAAATCAATTTTGTTTGCAACTAGAATGATTGGGGTTTGAGGAGCGTGATTTCTTGCTTCAGGTATCCATGAATAGGTGACATTTTCTAGAGAGTTGGAATCCACACAAGAATAGGCAACAAGTATTAAATCTACTTGAGCATAGGTATGTTCTCGGATCGTATGATAGTATTCTCCACTTGCAGTATCAATTAATTCAACTGTAAAGGAAAGTTCACTAGGGACATGTTTTGTAAGATTGACAGTTTGAGTACAAGGATCAACTGTTACAGGAATATACTCGTCGACACCTCCCGGAAATCGTTGTTGAGAAAGTCTCGTGAATAGACAAGTTTTTCCGGTAGACCCATTTCCAACGATCATGATCTTCACAATTCGTTGGTTGAATTTTGAGAGAGAAAGGCGTTTCACTTGTTTCTTGGTTCGGTAGGAGGTGTGGTGTTGTTGTTGAACTTTGGAAGAAGAGGAAATCATTTTTTTGTTGCAAAAAATGTCAAACGAATTCGACGATTATAAACGGCGCTGTGTTCACTTTCGTCTTCATCATGCTGCTGAAGTTTAATTTTCAACTTGTGATATAAATAATTATGAATTAAACTTCAGCAGAATGAGTTGCAATACGTGAGCTTTTTTTTATCCGAAAAGCTCAAAAAAATATTCTCTCATCAACGAACCGGTCCAGTTCTTCCAAAGAACACCCGTCATGGATATTGGACCCCAACAAACTTAACAACAACAATCAGAGGAGGAACACATTTTAAATATGTCGCTGCCAGTCTCAATAAGTACGACAAGTAAGGATCCTTCCTCTTTGGATTTGTGGGCTTTGAATATTTCGGGGATTCCCTTCACGTTCAATATGACCCTTAATGCTACCTATTCCGAGAGAGTTCATGCAACAGATGAATGGTTTTTTTATATTTCCCTTGTAATAACCATTTTGGCGGCTGCAGTGTTGGCATTTCTCGTCATTTGGTACACGTATCAAAGTAGAAAATACGTTTCGTTTTTTCTCTATATTCCCTTATATTTGAATTATACGCTTCTGTTCATTTCAGTATCTCTCATAACATTGGACGTCAGTATTGCTTTGGCTTCGCCAGGAGTTTTGCCAGATGAAGCTCTTGTGTGGTGTTGGAACATCATTTATTGGACTTTACAAATTCTCTCATGGATTATTCTTCCAATTTTACAGAGCTATGCATACACTGGGGAATTTTCTTTGATTGGAAAGCTTATACGGGCTATCTTGTCAAACATAGTCACATATTTGATTATGGGCTTGGTGGCAGGTGTATGTATTGCAGTATTCGTCATTTACCTTGCAATTAGGGACGTTTCCCTCTTGACATTTTCATTTCTGGTCAGTGTGGCTGTTTCACTCTCAAATTTTGCTGGTCTTGTGCTGCTGTCACTGTTCTTGGGTTATGGAATTGTCAAAGCTCCTCGAACTCTTTGGAAAAAAGCTAATATTGAAAGAACCATCAAATGGAACTGTATAGAAGCTCCAGAAAAAAGAACTAAACTTAAAAAGGAGGAGAGAGCCTTGGTAGAGATGATTGTTGTTGTTAAGGAAGTGCTAAAGATTGTGGATAGTAACCACAAGTTCATATGGTATTTGAACCAAATGACACAAACTTGTGAGTACATCATGGAAGAATTTCCCAGCCTGACCAAAAAAGTGAACAATCTCCATATTTTGGAATGCAGCACATACAACAAACAAACATATGACAAATTTTTGGAGGTTGGTTCTGAAAAGAGAATATGTCCCGAAGAGAGTAAAAACAAGATGTGTTCTCGCTCTACATGTGTGAAAATGCATAGTGAAATTCAGAGAGCCTCCAGAGAATACCGATCGAAGAAGTATGAATGGGATAAAAAGCTAAGGGAAACGTTTTATTATCAAGGTAAGGGGTTGGTGTTGCAGTTCATTACTTCTTTTTAACCACAATTATTTTTACTGACGTTTACAACACACAGATGTCATTCGTAGTTGCACCTATCCATCAAACCATCCTCTGCACAAAAAGACCATTATATCTGCATTTTCAACACATGGACCAATTGTCAATCGAATACTCTACTATTACTACCGTTACATTCATTGGCTATTTAGGAAAACCTTGGCATTGTTACTGGGTGTGTTTGGATTGGCCATTCTTTGGAGCGAATTGACTCCAAATTTAGCTCTTCTTATTGATGAACGAGGTTCTTCAATATTCTTTGAAATCATAGATCGCCTTCGCGGCAATAGAGCAGCAACACAAATTGTTTCACTGTTAATGATTATTTCTATTTCATTTTTGATGCTTGCGGGGTTGTTTAAGGTAAAGCTATGGACTATATTCAAAATGATGCCCTACAACACAGATACCTATTCCTTGTATTTTTCAGCCTCATTAATATGCAGAGCTATTCCTTCTTTATGTTACAATTTTTTGCAGCTTATTGAAATTAAGAGTGATGATGGCGTTGCTTTTTTCCATGTTGTTGGCATTTTGGATTTTGACATTTTACAGCCTGGTCTAGGTTTTGTGACTCAAATTTTGAAACATTTTCCAATGATTATCATTGTTGTAGCCTTTTTGTGCCTATTAAGAGTGCCAGAAAGAATTGCAAATTTCAAAAGGTTGAAATGGAGAGCATTTTCATTCCGTCAATATTCCAACGAAGAGCTTGAGGAAGGAATTCGTCTCATGAAGCGGAAACGAAAGTCTGCGCTGATGAAAATGAATTCCCAACAAAAATTGAAGGAAAAAAAGGACTTGAAAGCAATACTCTTCTCCATTTTCCACATTCAAACTTCCTCAAAACAAGAAAATCCCCTAGCCCAATCAAGCCAAGCTTCTGAAACCTCCTTCGAAGAAATGGAATACATAAAGCTGGACTAAAACTGTGCGTGGAATTAACCGTCGCTTTGGTGCATCATCAGCCAGTAAAGGTATTAGAATTTTAGATGCGAAATAATGGAATGCTCATGTTTGTCCCATCACCCAAAGTTGTCTCATCAGCAACACCAAGACGAAGTGGCCATGACAGTGGTTGACCCTCACCACGGCATTCACTCTCAGTCACATCTCACAAATCGAAACAAAAAATCTTGTCTCAATCTCGGGAGGTATTGTGGTTATCGGAAAAAATCTTAGAGCTATCGATCGAGAGTCTTTGATAACTTTGATCATTAACAATCGTATTGGAAATTATTAATTCCCCGTCTGCTCTATACATCCTAATATAACAAAATAATTAATGAAACAACAATGTTGATTCAACAACTGCATAGGAGCTGGTTTATGCTCCTCCGAAGACTCTACTTGACCTACAATGTTGGACTTACTGCTTTTTTGGGTATGTACATTGGAGAGCACGATCATAGAATTTAACATTATGATGGCAAATCATGAAAGTCTTGTTGGAGGGTATTTCATTCGGACTACAATTATTCTATGTTTTCCACTATGTGGACACGAGGGAAGTGTATTCATACACGGGAAGAATTTGTATTCAATTTTCAGTCATCGGAATGATCGGAGTCTCTTGCTTTGTGTTTTCTCTCATTATTGCCAAATGTGTTCAATTGGTGAGAATGTAAGTTGGGAGAGAATTGTTCTCGAAAATGGTAAAATTTGGATTTAAATCATGACGATAATAATAATTACGTATCTATCCAATATAATTTTATTCAAGTATTTGGTCAAAAGATCAGTATATGCACATTACCAAAAAATTCAGATCCTTTATTCACTCCTTTCCATGTTGTCCATGTGGAGAAGCTCCTCGTTGGATCGATATCTCCTTTCAGGCACTATTAATTTTATTTCTTGAACTACTTCCAGTGTTTATTGCTATTCTTACGCTATTTATTACACCAACGAAAGACTTTTTATCTAATTTTTCTGTTGCTTTCCAAAATTTTATAACTTCTGGATTTTTATTCAGTTTCATATTTGTCATTACTTGGTGGATTGGAAGTTTGGTTGAAAATTGGAAAAGATTAATCATGTTTGTTGTTGGAAGAAGAGACTTCTTTGAAAAATTGAGAGCTACCGAATATTTTAATACCGAACGAAAAGTTAGAAAATTATCAATTTCAAAGTTAGGTGCTAATAACAGTAGTTATGGAACGTCACAGATTAATCAAGAAAATATTGAGACCAACCAAGAACAAACTACAGGTCCAATTATCACTCGTCCAAGATCTTCAAGCTCCCTAAGTTCCAAATCTGATTTTGAATATATTAGCGACAAGATCATGACAGATGTTAGCCCTTCGTCTCGTGACATTAATACACTCAATTCGAGTGCATACAATAGAAAATATCAAGATGAGGATCAAGACGAAGACGAATTGACCCACCAAAGTGAAAAATTATATGAAATCGAAAAGGAAAGAAATGTATGGGTCATATTAGCCTGGTATTGCTGTTTGGCAGGAATCAAGTTTCCTTCCTTTACAGCAATTTATTATACATTGAAAAAGTGTATACGGCCCAATACAAATGATCATGAGAACAGAGACAAACGCAAAATGAGCTTGAAGATGAGCTACTTTTGGGCATTACTAACTTTTGGACTGATGGTATTAGTCATTTGCTTATTAGGAGTTTTTCACATTTCTGAAGTATTTTTAATAGTCACTGTAGTTCTTGTATGTCTTGTTGTGAACACCTTCTCTGAGAGATACTTTTTCATTCCCGTTCACATGCCTTCAAAAGACAAGCTCATCGCATGTTGGAAGTTCAACGAAAAGAAGGTTCAAAATAAGGAACGGTTCAGAATCGTCGCCTGGCTTGATAAGTATATCACCTTTGTTGAAGAGGTGTTTTATCACTCTCCACACGTCATTTATAAGGCATCCAAATTTTTACTTTTCACTTTCACTGTGGTCATTGCTTTATGTATTACTTTCAAATTTACAGAGACGTATTTAACTTTTTTCATTCCTTGGTCCTTCTGTTTACTGGTCTATATCTTCCAAGTACTTAGATTTAATTTACACAAATGGTGGGATAAGATATTGGCATGCTTTGGGAGAACTTCCCTAAAGAGCGAACAAACTTCAGAGCCTGAGAGTTCTGCTTTCATTAAGGATTTGTACAATGAGCCTACTGACGAGGATCATAATGTACCTGCCGTCATCTCAAAAACCACAAATGCCTCCGAATCCATTCACATTCTTTCTCAAAAGAGTAGCCAAGTTGATATTGAAGAAATCCCAATGGCAACTCCACCTCTCCAGAGAACTTCTATTTCAAGCTTGACATTTAATCATTTGTCACAAAAATCAAGTTACTACCGAAACAACATTCCACCTCACTACCATTGGTAAGTATGATACACAACATGTGAAGGAAATATCATATTCTCTCAACAATGAAAATCTATCATCAAACAAAAATGTGGAATTTATTATTGAAGTGAGCATGAATCCACCTTTTTCAGATTTTTGACAGTTTTATATTTCCAACTATCTATTATGGTTTCATTGATATTATTGATCGTTTTCACATTCTACTTTATTGGATGGATTTCAGGTGTTTGCCTTATTATCCTACTCTTTCTCATTTCATTTGTATTATTCATGCGTGTTGACATTGATGCAGCTGACAGTTTGTTTGCTTGTTTTATTGTATTCTTATTCATTTTGGGAGCTGTATTTGTGTTGGGAGGGTTAAATGCTTCTGCTAGTAGCGATGATTTGTATTGGAGCCGCATTGGATATCATCCAAATGAAACAGTCAAACAATTCGATATTTGTGCAAATTCATGGCATGGCTACAGCTTTATAGATTTTGCCCTCTTGAGTGCATTATCCTACGAGATTGATCCCTATTTTTCTCATGACTTACGAACATGGTTCCCCTCGTGTCAAGGATGTTATGTGAGACATCGAGAGAATGAAACCATCAACTTCTTTGATCTCTATGTGCCATCGAAGAATTTGTCCATCATATCTGTACGAGGAACGACCATTCCAAGAGATGTGGTTCAAGATTTTGATGTTTGGAAGGAAGCAGGTCTATTGCAGATAGCTGCAGTTGTTGGTCCATTCGCTGTGTGGCCACAGCCACTTCTCACAAATATTGTTTGGTATGTCTCACAAATGGAAAAGTTGACCATGGTTCAGCAAAATCCAAATTCAACCCTCGAAGAAACAAGGTATGTCATTAGTTACAACTTTAAAACATGTTTTGAAAATTCATCATTACAAACCATGAATGAATTTATTTACAACATTTTACACAGATATTATTATCAAATTTTGGATGACTATGTGGCTGATGCTAAAAAAGATCGAAATATCATTTTGTGTGGACATAGTTTGGGTATGTAGTAGTAACTAATGATTTGCTCTTTTCAATTATACGAAATAATTATCAATAACGACGTTCTAACAATTCACCCAACACTGGTCATTCTTTTAGGTGGTGGTCTTGCGAAAATTGTAGGAAGTCGTAATGCAGTCCAAGCTGTCACCTTCTCAGGACCAGGTGTCATGCTGTCAAGAATGAAATTTGATATCACTCAAGACAACATTGACAGCTACAGTGTGAGCGTTAAGCCAGCCGTAGACTTGGTGGCACAAATAGACATTGACGGTGGATTGGTTCAACATATTGAATGCCCTTATTCGTTTGTGACTTGCCATAGTATCGTTCGCACGACAAGAGAGCTGATTAAGAGTTGTGGTGATTATCCTCTCAATCGATGGATTGAAGGACAAGTGAATGCAACCTTACCAAATTGAATTTACAAATGTGTGTTTTGCATTTCGAATGCACACTATCAATTTGCATGGTGTCTAAATCCATCCTGCAACTAAGTCTGTTGGCTTGTCTTGCTTTGTGAGAAAGGAAGGACAGTAGTGTGTCTGAAGAGCATGCAGCACATTTCATCCTGGGCAATAATTGCTCTTTGATTAAAATAAGTATTGAATTTACAATAAGACAATTTGTTATTGCCCTTTGATTATTATAATTGCGATTGATCAATATTCTCAAATTCAGACTGTTTGGCCAAATATAGTCGGCCTAATTCTCCTTCATTAGAAAAACATCATTGAAAAAATGTCCTACACTAAGGGAAGAACGACAGGTGGCGTTTTCGTTGCTTGTTTGTTGGTGTTGTCAACCGTACTCGTCGCAACTATTGCCGGTGCCACCGAAAACAGAAGACCAAGTGTTGAACTCGAGGGTTTGAGAGCTCTCAATTTCTTTTTGCCTGATGCCAAAGGAGTGGTCGATGCAGATATTGTGTCTTCATTAAAGGAAGCAGTTTCCGGAGAGGAGGAAGTTGAATTAGCACAACAATACTTGAACTTTGCGAAGGATGTGAAAGATGTATGTTTGTTTAGTGACACTGATGATGATGATTGTTTTTTATCGAACTAACTTTTTGTTGTCGTGTGGAAAATGTGATGATTATATGAAATTTCCTTCATGTGCAATGTTTGACATGTACCGTTCATGAATGAAATGATCGACGAATGGTGCTACAATATTTTCGCATGCAAATAGCTCTACGATCAAATCACCAATGACAACAACTCACAAGAAATTTCAGACTTTAAGAAAGTCTTGTTGAAGATTGTCAAATACTTGACCAAGAAATCAAGCCATCCAAGAATGGACTTGTTAAAGACTCAACTCTCACAATTCGTTAATGAACAACAAGCTCCATCAACTGCACAACAAGGACCATCCCAAACGAAACAAGTAGCTGCTGATTCCGACTCGGCTGACACTGCAGCTCTTCTCAAAGAACTCCAAGATGATGAAGAAGAGGCCGATTCTGAATGGATCACTGTCGCTTTGAGAGTTGCTGGAGCTGCCATGAACGTGGCCAACAACATTGGAACTTATCATGAAAAGATTTCAAAGGTTGGAAATTTCATTAGTGGCAAAGCTGCCAATGCTTTGGATCGTGTGGGTTTGAAAGGTGCTGCCTTTTTTGCTCGTAAAACTGGCACCTCCATTTCAAACTTTTCTCGTGATAAGATTGCTCCTATAGAGAATCGTGTAGCTCAAAAGATTGCTCCAGTGGTCAAGTCCAAACCATTCCAAGGTATGTTTTTTGTGTGAGCTATGAACGTTGTCATTGACCTTTCTTCATCAATTTGACATGCTTTGAACAATGCATCATTAACGATCAATAATATATTTGATACACATTCAATGGCGTATTGATCAAATTCAATATCAATTCAATATCAACCTGCTGCAATAACTCGTGCAATACTCGTGAAATCATTCACACAGCGGTGAGAAAGACCTTAAACGTCGTGAACAATGTGATTGGTGGAGTGACCTCCATTAAGTCAGGTTTGAATGCTGTTGGTTTGGCCCCCAACGTTCGTCTTCCAAGAAACTATGCTGCTCTCAAATCCAGTTTGAAATCTGCCACTCGTTACGTGACAAGTGGAAATTGGAGACAAAAGGCTCGACAAATTGGACGATTGGCCAAGATTGGAGCACGTAACTTTAAAAGAGGAGATTGGAAGACTAAGTACAATGCAGTAAGCGGTTTCTACAATGGTGCTTCCTCGTTGAAGGCTGCCATTACAGGTAAATCATTTGGATTCTCTCTCCCAGGATTGCCAGGAAGATGGGGAAGAAGTAATAATGCTGCACGAAATGGTAATAACAGAAGAGGAGCAAGTTCCCGACGTGGAAGAGGAGGATGGGGTGCTTCTAGATCAAGTCGTTACGGAAGAAACAGTAACCGAAGAGGAGGAAACTCAAGAAGAAACAGATCATCCTCTAGAGGTGGTGGTTTCCGAGGTGGAAGAAGAGGAAATTCATCAAGAAGAAGAAGCAACAACAACAGATCATTCTCCTCACGACGAGGTAGCAGAAGAGGTGGAATGAGCAGAAGCTCTCGTGGAAGAAGCTCCAGAGGTTATTCTCGCCGATCTGCATCCTCTCCAAGAAGAGGAGGTGGTTTCCGAGGTGGAAGAAGCTACCAAAGAGGAGGAGGTGGTTTTAGAGGAGGTAGGTCCAGAGGTGGCGGTTTCCGAAGTGGCGGTTCTTCCAGAGGTGGAAGAAGATAAGAACACTTCCACTCAATTAGATAAGGGTAAGAGTTTTTGACTTGTCTCTGAACATTATTCAGCGAGCGTGTTGCTACTCCCAATTTTTTTTAAGGTTTGAAAAAAATGTTCACCACCTCAACGATGTCGTTTCGTGTTTCCAATAAAATGCAATAATTGTTGTGAAAGATTATGTCTTCTCAGTGATAGAAATTCTCTCAGAATGATATGAAGGAAAAGGGTTTACTCGCAGAACTGTGTCACACCAACAGTCCAGTTTTTAGGAAAAGACCGTTTGAAAGTTCTTTGTCGTCTGCCAATGGCAATGACGTCAATAAATTAACAGACACCCATTTCAAAGAAGGCCTTTTCTTTTCATCAGTAACAAAATAATTGGAAGAAAATTTGTGAAAATCATATTGTCGAATAAGGAGAAGTGAATAAAAAACAGAGAGTTCTTTCCATGGCAAGAACAAAAAGTTGGTCTATTTAAACATCAAGTCCACTTTCAGGTTATTGTTACTTCTTTTCAACTCGACTGCCTTCTTATAGGGTGGATTTGTGGGTGGTTGAATTGGTTTCATTCCAAGTTCTTCGTTAGCACCAATCGAATAGGTTCGATCACTGTCAAATCCACTCAAATCTCCGCATGCCAAGAATGGCACAATATATCGATCAGCTCCTAACATGGGTCCTCCATTTTGAGAAAATGTCGCATTGCTATCTTGTTGTTCAGATTGTTCTTCATTGTATTGAAAGTCGAGTAAGGGATCAACCATTCTTGGGACATAACCTGGAGGGAGCTTAAATCCCTTGCAAACCACAAAGGACTCGAGAGATGAATTTCTTGAAGACTTTGGTTTGGCACAATAGACCCTTTCAAAAAATACGCCACATTGAGCGTAAAGAAGTGTAATATCTTTTCCTCTAAATATTTTGCTCACAAAGCAGCCACCTTCTTCCAAAACGTGTGTGGTGATATTGAGAGCTGCTAGAATGAGTTGTAATTGAATATATTCATCAATGTCGTGCATTCCCTATTGTGTGAATTTTGAAATAATTGTTTTACAATGTAGTTCCAAAGTATTTGCAATGAGTAATAAATAAAAGTTTAGTGTCCTTGGTTGTGCATGTCAGTTGACAACCAATATCACGAAATTCTCTTTTGAAATTGCACAAATATTCCTCTTCAACATAAACATACCGTAACATCAGGGGCTCCATCACAAACCACCAACTGAGCCTTTTTTCCTCGAAAATGATGTACAATTTCCTCCGCTGTTTTTTCACTCGTAATATCACCCTGAATTTCAATCACTCCTTCCAAGGGAGCCATTTCTTGTAAATCCACACTCACAATAATTGCATCTTCCTCATCCTTCTCATGAATGTCAACCACTGCAGGGCTTGCATGCTCGGAGCATGAAGAAATCGCTTCATGATGAATTTCATCACTCCTCTCCTCCGCTTCATCAGCAATTCCATTATATTCTTCTTCATCATCACTAAAATCCTCTTCATTAAAATGTTTTAATTTTGTTCCTTCTTCCCTAAATTTCTTCAACAATTTCCTTTGCAATACTTGGGACCATGATCCCGGAGCAGCACACAAATCCACAGCTCGCTTCACTCCTTCAAATATATTAAATTCTTCATCGACTTGAAGTAATTTATAGGCTGACCTCGCTCTCCAGCCTTCTTGTTTTGCTTTCCGATAAAAGATGTCGCGCTTCTCTCTCGAGTTTCTTCCCATTTTTTATTATTTGGTTTTTTTCAATCAAAAGTTGACATGAACCTCTGAAACCCCTTTAATCATCATTGTGGTATATAAAACATTCCTCTCATTGACCATTTGTCTCCCACTCATTTCACAATAAACACGACTGACCATAAAAGAATGATCGTGCTTAAAACATCTCAACAATTTTTTGCGCCAAAATTAACGACTTACGGTTTGGCTTTACAACAAAACCTCAAAACATCAATTTATTTAAAATGCCTCAACTTCAAACAAGCTCGGCAACCATCACTCCTCTTCGATTGGAGTTGAAACAGACTCCCACCAACACACAATCGGTGGTACAGGAGAATGGAACGCTTCGATTAAATGAATCATCGGGACAGTCAAATCCCGTCAACAAGACAGCGAGCCAAACCGGAAATACTCAAATTTTGCAAACTCAAGCCCGAAAGAACAATAACAACCCTTTGTATACTACCTCAAATTCCATGTACGGCTCTAAAAAGGCGTCGGAAATTCATAGACCGAGCGAATATTTTGGAAGCTCTCATTCGTTCTCAAAAGAGTTTGTTGGTGGAATGTTTAGAAATCATAGTTTGAACACAAATAGAACAAGAAATATTGCTTTACCAGACCCCACTTTCGGCGCGAATCATTACCACGAGCAATAAAAAGATTATTAGGCTCAACTCCTTGGTTGCCTATGGTTAATGCCACAATGTCACGAAGAGGTTGGTCCTGTAAGTCGTCATTCAACAAACACCATAGAGCATCATTCCTAGTTGAGTGATTGTTGAAGAAAATAATCTAACAAACTTGGAATTACTCAACCTGAAATATTCCGTAAAGTTATTTCGAATATTTAATATTACTCCTTAGCCTTTCTTTTATCAGTTTACTTCTTCAAATAGCTCACAAAGTCTGAAGGATTGCTTTGTGCCTTCAAAATATATTTTGGTGTGTAACTGTTCAGTAAACTAGTGTTGTAAATATAACATCCAAGTTCAAGCATGAGGAAGAACTCCTCCATCTTGCCTTGATCCTCCTTCAACTTATTCCATCCTTGCCATGAGAATTTCTTCAATTCATCAACCACAGGGCTCAAATCGATTGGCTCAATACCCAAATCGTTCAACAATCTTGTAAGATCATCTCCTGAATGCTTCTTAGAATATTTGGAAATTGCGGCATCAGCCTCTGATGTTGGTTTGGAAGAATTTGTAACATCCAAAGCAGCCAAAAACTTGGGTAAGTCTGTTCTCACTTCCTTCAATCGAGCAAAACGAGAGAATTTATCCTTCAGTAATTCATACTTTTCCTTCAAAATGTCGTGCACCTTTTGTCCATTCACAAATGCACTATAAATTTCACGATCTTTACCCCACTCTGCGCTTGTGGCTCCAATCTTGTTCACGTCAAAGGCCTTCACGTAGGCTCCAATAAAATCAAATGGTGAAATGTGAGGACCATCTGAAAGAGCAGCATTTGGAGGGCCATATTGTCTCTTCAATTCTCTAATTTCCAAAACAACTTTCTCAATTTCAATAGCCTGAGCAATCTTACGAAGTACTGTTTGATTGACACGTTGTTCAATTTTGATAGCATTTCGTTTGCTCTTTTGTTTTGGATCCAACAATTTATCAAACTCAATTTCTGCTTCATATTCAGCCTCTCTGAGCAAAGACTCTTCAATATCAAGACCCAACAATTTTCTTCTCTCAATTTCAAGTTTGGCAACAATTTTTCGGAGTTTTCTTCCTTGTCTGATATCATGCTCTCTCTGTGTATCTCTTATTGTCTTGAGAATGGCAAGTGTATCATTCATGGAGAGTACTTCATTATTCTTGAGAGCTGCTTCCGAGAGTAAAGTACATTCACGTTGTTGAATTTCTACTTCTCTGCTATATTCTTCGTCCCACTTTTTGATGGCTTCGTCTTCGGTGAGTCCCTCTTCCATCAATTGACGGACTCTAACAAGAGCAGTATCTCTGAGTTTTCTAGCAAACCAGAAAGGAAGTGGAGCAAATCCAGACTTCATAATTTGCTTCTTGTGTTTGGAAATCTTTTCAATCTTTTCTTTCAATGAATCATCAGGAAATTTGAGTTCTTTCAATTTTCCAATATCGCTAGGGATACCATATTTTGCTGGTGGTGGTACCTTCAACATGGCCTGATAAACCAGTGGAGGAATGTAGGCTCCTTTCCTTGAGGCCAAACCTCTAAAGTGTTTCATCAAATCCAAACCTGCAAGCTTTGAATTTTGCGACATTTTTAATTCCAAAAAAAATAATTCGTGATGATGAATTTTAAAATGAAAAAATCATTTCAATAATTTAATAATTCATGATGATAATAAATTTCATCATGAATATATTTCATCAAGTCACAAATCGATCCACACCAACACATTAATCCCACTCACATATTTAAAGGGTGTCCACTTCTTGCCAACTAGCGATGATGCGGTGTTGCTCGAACAAATTCAGCAGTTGCCGCCAAAATCCTTACAAAAAAAAATTATGAAAGCTTCATCCCTCCAGCCCTCGTGTGTTCCTTGGTCGGGCGATGAAGAGCTTGAAAATGCTTCTTGTAAAAAGACATCCATAGATGAAATGCAGAAACAATCTTTAGCTTTATCGGGATTGAGTTTTTCGGAATTGGAGAGTCAACTCGTTCAAAACATGCACAGCTCAACAAAAGTTCTTGCTTCTTTGCAACGATTTGTTCGGAACAATTTGGAGGTGAAAAGATCAGCCAATTACAAATGCAAAAAAACTGATAATCCAGATATTATTTTAGACGTTCTCGATTTACATCGGGATCATGAGGAAATTGTTGTACAATGCTTGAAAACATTACGAATACTGGCGAGGAAGGTAAGAGGAGATGATTTTGACATAAAAGTTTGATATTCTTTTGAAGAAACAAAATCGAGAAAACATATCAATACGGCTAATTCAAACAATATCGAGGATATTACAGGAAAATAAGGAACAAAATACTGAGCTTGCATCTGAAGGATCTAATGGTGAGTTTGTGAATTCGATCAATCAGAATTATTTATACTATTCGCTATCAAAAAAATTATGTTAAACACAGTTCTTCTTAATATATGTTTCGAAGCAAGAAATGTCTCCTCCCTATCAAGTACAAGCTGTGTACCTGCACTCGTTGATTTGTTGTCGCAACATGACAATAAGCAAGTCCTTGTGGCAGCCCTCGGAGCTCTTCACAGTATTGTAAGTATCACACCGATCGAATAGAATTTTCACAAATTGTTGAACAATGAACCAGAGTTTTAAGGATGTAGGAAAGAAAATGATCGTTGAAACAAATGCCATTGAAAAGTTATGTCCACTTTTGAAAGAAAAAAACAAGAAGGTAAAAAAGAAAGCCATCGGAACCATTCATAATTTATCATCTGAGCTTTGTGTCGTTCAAATCATCAACAATTTACAACAAATTCCATCCATCATTGATTTATTGGAGTAAGTAATCTTATCTTTTTTTACAACATTGAATTAATATGATACATTGGTTTTGTCAAAAATCCTTAATAGAGATACAAATCCTTCGATAGCATCTTCGGCAGCAGGTTGTTTACAAAATTTGTCACGAGACGATAGGGCACGAGATGTTATTCAGAAGAATGAAGGGCCTGCTCGATTGACAAACCTAATTTTCTCTACTGACAACACCATGGGACAAGTTAGCTCAATAGGAGCACTGGTCAATGTAAGTATTTCGAATGCACAATAGCGAATAATGAAACTGTACTTCATTATTGAAAGATACTGGGCCCTGATGCTCAACAAGATGAAATGAAGAAAAAAGCTCTCAAAAAGATACTGAGCATGTGTCTACTTGTCGGCCAATTGAAAAGTCTTTCTTCTGACGTGGAAAACATGACATTAGAATTTTCTTCACACCTGCAACATGACGACATTTCGTAATAAAAAACAAAAATTTCCAAACAAAGCATTTCACCGTTTAGTCAAAAAGAATTGATGCTATTTACTACATTTACTGTACAGGATCTAATTACTTCTTTTGCTCCTCTGCTTCCTTTGTTCTAGCTCGTCTCTTTTCTCTCTTCTTTCTAATTTCAGAGTAGAGCTTTTCACGATATTCATTGATAGAATATTTCTTATTGTCATCAAAGTAGAGAGAAATTGGTTTGTCACAAATTGGTTCTTCAGCAGGATTGTGGAAAAGAGCAACATATGGGTGTTTGAGAGCGGACTCGGCATCAATTCTCTTCTCAGGGTTGAATTGTAAAAGCTTTCCTAATAAATCCAAAGCCTCTGCGGATGCCTTAGGAAACATTTCTTGTAAGGACTTTTGTTCAGTTTCAGGAATAGAGTCAAGCATGGAAGAAGCAAAAGCAGATTGAATTGCGTCAATATCTTCTGGACTTGGTGGACCTGTGACAGCAATAATTCTTTGCAATTGGTTCATGGTGGATGTTCCTGGGAACATTGGCTTTCCTCCTAGCAACTCACCTAAAATACATCCAACAGACCACAAATCAACTCCCTTTGTATATTTTGTGGATCCCAACAACTGATATTCAAAAATTTTGAATCAAACAATTTGTACACCAATAATGATTTTCAACTTACAATTTCTGGAGCACGATACCATCTGGTAGCCACATAGTCGGTCAACACAGGACCGTGATCCTTGTCTGTTGAACTGACACTTCGGGCAAGACCAAAGTCAGCCAATTTCATATGACACTCAGAGTTCAAAAGCAAGTTTGAAGGTTTGATATCTCTGTGAAGTAAATTAGCACTGTGAATATACTTCAAAGTCTTCAACAATTGATAAATACTATATTGTTTGTGAATTTCTTCCAAAATGTTAGCTCTGATCACTGCGTGCAAATCTGTATCCATAAATTCGAAAATCAAGTAAATATCATTGTCATTGTCTGCCTTAAGTACGTTCAACAAGCGGACAATGTTGTCATGATGCAAGTTTTGAAGAAGCATAATTTCACGATAAGTACGTTGCGCATCGGTGGCATTCTGGAAAGCATCAAAGATTTTCTTCAAAGCGACTGTTTGTCTTGTCTTTTTATCGACCGCCTTCCACACAATACCATAGGCCTACATGTGTTGTTGGAATGATAGATAATAATAATAATAATAATACATATTCATAATATGATCGTGTAGAGTTCCCATTATGATGATGAAATGATAGAATGATTGAGATAGATGACGATGTGGAAGAAGGTAATGTACATTCAAATGAAGGTTGATAGATCATATATCATTCCATCATCAAGTCATATATCATGGAACAAGAATAGGAATCCATCGCATTTGTTGTATACAAAAGCACAACAAGTCCAAAACACAACCGTTTATAAAACAATTAAAACCAACAATGACAAGATCCACCATGATGTTTCAAATATTCAATGTTGTTGTTTTTGTATTGTTATCCATCATCATCATGGCTCAACAACAATTTAATAGAAAAAACTTACACCTTTGCCCAACTTGGGACCAATTTCGTACTTTCTGAGAACGTGTTTATCGATTTCTTCACTCATTCTGTTGAGGGGTAGTGTGTTATATTGTGGGGAGTGCTAAATATTATGTGATGATTTGTAGATGTTGCTGCTACTCTGCCAGGCTGATGATGGAATAGCAAACAATTTTTTTTTAATGAACTCAATGATTGACGACTTCACTGCAAAAAGGGGATGATAGTCCTTTTTTATAAGGTAAGAGGTGATGGGTTGTTGAAGATGTTTATATTAAATATTGAGGATTCACGAACAGCTTCATTGAGTGAAAAACTCAATTCTTTAGGAGGATGTGCAAGTTGATCATACGAATCATTGTGACAAATGGAGGATCAATTTGTTCAAGGTATGATTTTTGATGATGAATGTAATCAAATAAATAAATGAATAAACAACTTACGATGATTGTGCCTTCTCCATTTCATGCAGAAAGTCATAAAATTGTTGGAGCGTCATTTCTACAAATACGTCCCTTCTACCACCATCATCAATGGTTAGTTTGAGTTGTAAAAATGTTGATCCCACTTCATTGAGCTCACTACTCGAAGCAGTCACACCAAATCTCCAATCTAAATCCAACAATGGATGAACGGAGAGTGTTTGAGAGAATACTCCTCTACTCAGAGCAATAAAATATTTCTTCCACAGTTGACATGTTAATTGTGCTTTGTCATCATCGAGTCCGAGATTTTTACAATCTTGTTCAATAAATTCTGGTTTTAAATTATTACCCAAAACTCCTTGTAGAAAAACAGTGATCGATCGTATGAGATTTGCTAATTTTTGTGTTGATACTCCAGATGATTCCGAGAGTGGGTTTAAGGCTTCGTGTAATTGTTGAACTGACGATAATTCTGAATCTCCCGAAATAAGTCGCACACTCGCAATTACTAATTGTTTATAAGTATCTAATTCTACTTTTTGTAACGTTTCAAAATCGCTTGCAAGTTGAGCTGGTACCGTTTCCGCAAAATAATATTTCATCTCTCAGTATTAGAGGTGTGTTTTCGTGACTATGGTGTCCCGATGATTAGAGAATATTTTTAATTGTTGTGAAAGAAGATTTTTTAATGGGTCCGATAATAAATACGAATTAGCCATAGAATTGCATGCAATTTTTGGAACAAGACATCCAAAGATTTTGGAGTGTTGTTGTTGTGTACAGCCAATTTTCTCTAGCCAACTTTAATTAATTGGGAAAATTTGGTGTTATAAGGATGATATGATGACACAATTATATTTAACGTCAGTAGAGAAAATTGAGAAAATTTGGTGCTCATGAGAAAATTAAATCCCACGCCATATGATTAAAAAGCTTTTGAGTGATGATGAAAATTTGGCTTCAGTGATGAGAGGTTATTAGGCATTCAACTCGGCTTCCAATTCTGCCAATTCGTCATCAACTTCCTTGGCTGTTTTAACAGGTTTCGAGGCAGTAGCTGTGGTGGCAGTGCCTTTTGTGAGTGGACCTGTTGGCACTTTGGTTTGTTTCATACCTAACATTTGTTTATCAAGCTCTTCTTGTTCCATCATATCTAATTCATCCTCCAATTCTCCTTCATCAATGATTTGACCTGTTCCGAGATCTTGAGCAAGTGCATCACCCAGTTCATTGGCCGTAGCCATTGTGTCTTGAATTTCATCCATGACGTCTTGTACTTTATCAATTCCTCCAGTTTCTTTAAAGACTTGTTTCATGGTCTTGGCGGCTTGTTGTTGGGCTTTCAAAGTCTCAATGTCAGTGGCAGCATTTTCTAGCGTGAGTTTCATTTGCTCATTATTCATAATTTGTTGATCGAGACGTTGCACTTGCACTTCATATTGTTTTTTACGCTTTAAACACGTCATTGCGGAGGACTTGTCACCCTTTTTCATAAAGTCCTTGGCCTTTTCAGTTTCTTGTTCCATTTTCTTCTCTAATAACTTTTTCCTCTTTTCCAATAGAGAGATGGTTTGATCCATCTTTTCTATGGATTTATTTGTAGAGTCTTCGGTTTTTTGAGAGACTGAAATTTCCTTCTTCTTCTTTTTACCGAATAACCATGACATGATGAGTGTGTATGTGTGAGAGAAAGAGATATGTGATGATGATGCTGCTGCTAAATATTGCAAGCCGAGATAAAATGCTGCTGGAATAACCACAACGGCCAATTTAAGATAATGCTGGCTTGTTGTTGATGATGATCAACAGGGATATTTTTTGATGTTTTTTTTAAAATATTTTTGGCCAAACCTGCTTCTAATTGGACCTTCTGAGAAAATAGACAAAAGGAAATAGGGTGTGAGAGTGTCTCCACATTCAATTCACATGAACATGAAAAAGAATAACTTGTTTATGTACAATAATTACTTGAGATACTTTTCAACCACTAGCTTGGCTTGTTCGGTGGAAAGTTTTTGGACATCCTTGGGATTAACCACTTGAGAGCACATGGGACACTTGTTTCCTAGAGTTTCAAGCATTTTGATAAAGAAGGAATGTTTTGAAGAGAATTCACATTGAGGGCATTGACACCAATCATCCAAAGTCATGTGCATACCTGACGAGATACACATGGGCAAATTATTCATGCAATGTTCACAATAGAGTGAAAAATCTGGCACTTGTGCAGAACAAATGGGACAAGGAGAGGTGTTTTCTTGTTCGTCTTCGTAGGCTTTTCGCTTTCTCACAAGTTGAACAATCGTCTTTTTCTTTTCTGCTGGAATAAGATTTTGATGTTCAGGTCGAACGAGAATGGTTGCATTCTCGAATGCTGACTTTTTCAACCCTGATTTGTAGCACAGTAAAACTGAGGATGTAAGGATAGGAACGATGTGGTGAGGGAATTTGCTGATATTCTTTGTAATACGGAGGAGCATTCGAGACGCAATGGTTTGCTCTTGCATTTTTGTCAAGTATTTCACAATGAGATACGAATGCAAAAGATTGAGGCTTTCTCTGAGTTCAAATTGTACGTGGTGACCCTTCTTTTCAAGCTGTCTGACCGTGTCGTACAAAATCGAGTGAGCAATTTGATAGTTTCCAATTTCTTGTTCTTGTTTTGCAATAACGAGTGCAGTACTTGCAGCTTGCTTAAAGTTGCCTAGTGCCATGTATAGTCTAAAAACGTGCTTTGGATCTTTTGGAACATTATCAACTTGTCCCATTAAAAAGTCAATCAATGAATGCGTCAGGTTGTCGTTCTTTGCTGCAGCGACGACGTCAATGGCCTTATCAATGACAGACTCCATCTCCTTAGAGTCTTGTTTCAGTCTGCTCGAACATTGAACATACAAAGTGAGGGCTGTAGCAAACTCGTCACACTTAAAGTAGTAATCAGCGGCCTTATCCAAAGCTACTTTAGATTCATAGTATTTGGCGATGCTCAAGTAATCCGATTTTTCTGCCTTATTTTCAATGATTTTGGCGTAGGTGTCCATTTCATCGTGTGTCTTGGCAATATCAAAGGCCTCTTCGACCTTTTCTGCCATGATGAGAAATTCGATAGCAGATCTATAGTTACCCTTTTCTTTGCAATAAGTGGCAATGAGGTTCGCTCCATCTGTTGAGTTTGTCTTTTTAACCAATTCGATTGCTTTTGGAATATTGTTTAAATAGCGAAGGTTGATATTAATCACACTATTAATGTCACCTGCTTTTTCGTATGAGTTTGCTGCTTCCTCATATTTGCCTTCCAGCTCCTTAGCTTTGGCGAATTGAAGATGGAGTCTTGGGTTCATAATATTCTTCGATTTCATGAGATTTGTAACTTTGGAATAACTTTTGTTTTGAATATAAACTTCGGCAGCCTTTTCATACATTTCAGCTTCTTCATAAAGCGCTGCAGCATCGTCGAATTGAGAAAGCTCTTCAAATATTTGGGCGCATTCTCTACAAAGCTTCTTATTCTTGCTCTTCATTGCAAGTTCAAAACCTTTTCTAAGATCGCCCAATCGAATAGTAATTCTACAGAGGCCTTCATTGCACATTTGGTTGTGAGCATTGTTTTCAGGATTGGAATCCATGAGAGCCCTTTGATAGAGTTCATAGGCTTTTTGGAATTCTCCTTTTAATTCCAATTGGTTGGCATACTCTCTTGAGATGAGAGGTATTTGTTTTGGATCAAGGGTTTGAGCTAACTGTAGAGCACGATCCCAATTCATTAAATCTCTTCTCATTTCTAAAGCCTTGATTGGTTGAGTGGATTGAAGGAACTTGGATTCCGCATCGGTAAAATCACCAGAAATCATGGCCAAGTTACCGATGATGAGATTGATCTCGTCGAGGTTGATAAGCTCGGAGAGAGCCATAACCATTGATGCATTTCCTTTGAGTCTATAAACTCTCAATGCAAGCTCCAATTCTAAATTGTCTATGGCAACGTCTTTGAGCTTATTCCAAAAATCTTCTTGGTTGAGGTCGAAAGCGTTGGACCATGCATCCTCTAATCTAAGTAGTGCAATGTTTTGAGCGAAGGCTCTCTTCTTATCTTCTTTGCTTTTCACTTCAATTTCTGAATGACTCGATAATCGAATATGAGCAATCGAGCCATTTTTCATTTGACAGCACACTTTTCCATTATTGAGGAAAATTGGAGAGAAACCTTCAGGTCTTGGTGTTTTCGAAGGAGTGTCGCCATCTAGTTTAACAACATATACCTTGGGTCCCCACCTTGTGGTGTGACTGTAAACATATGTGGTGAATTTCTTGCTATCGCAGGCTACGAAAATATTTTGGTCAGCTTGATCCCAAAGAACCTTGTCAACAGAACTTGGGAAGGAGTCGATGCCACAAAGAGAATCATCTACGGGGCTATACAAAAATCCAGCATTGGTCTCGTCAATAAATACAAGTCTAGTGCCTATTATATTGGTAAACACGGAAGTAATACCGACATCATGCCTAAATTCATTTACAGTCGACCAGTCATCGAGCGAAAAGTAATACAAAGCGCCTCGAGAGGTTCCATAAATAAGAAAATCGGGAGCCATTGTGAGTGTAGTAATGGAAGATCCATCGTCTTTCTCTGGGAAGTGTTTCTCTTCACGTCCTTTCCATTTTTCATCCTGTGCCGGATCTTCAATAAGGTGCAGCGTAATTTTACCGCCTGAAAGTACAGCAGCATAATCAAAACCAACACAGACTTTTTCTACAGTTCCCAAATACTCTCGTGTAGAAATTAGGGTGGCTTTACCATTGTCAATTCTATAGTACCAAACTCTGTTGTTCATTCCTACAGCAACATGCTCTGGTCCAAGTGCTACAAAGCTAGGTTCAATATCAATACTGAACCGAGCAATTATTTTCTCGGTAACTTCATCCTTAATTATTAATTCTCTCAAAGATACGAGCATGAGAACATTTTTGCCGTGACAATCGTTCAGAGCAGGAATGCTTGTCAAAAAATTGTACAGATTACCGTTATTGGAGCTTACTGTTAAAATTTGACCGTCTTCTGTCCATTCAGCTCGGCTCAAAGCTCCATACTCATTATCTAGCTCGTACTTGTCGATCACATTTGTGTCAAAGGCTGACAAATCAGACAAATCAAAAACTTTCACGCAATTCTCTCCAATAGATGCTCCCTTTTTCAAGGCCTCGCAATAGGTAACATATTTCAATTCAGAATCGTGAACCTTGCATGAATTTACTTCCATACCAATCTCATCAGAGTGTGTGGAAGCAATAACAACATAACCTCGATCGAATCCAAGCAATAAATACCCATCTCCAAACGATTTGAATGAGATCATCCGACCATATTCATCACTGAAACCTAACTCTGTTGGCTTTGATTCCGTTTCATCATCATAGTCGTACATCCAAAAGTTTCCACCGACAATGGCAGCCACTGTTGTGTCTTTTGCATTTCTCTTTTTTACTCGTACAAATTCCATTCCTTTTGGTTCTGTTTTTGCTTGTTTTTGTTTGAGGGTGTCACCTCCAACATCACTAATGGTTACTTGTAAATCTTCAGAACCTAATGCTAGGACATTTTGCGAGTTCCATGATCCACATGTTATTTTCTTGGTATGTTTTCCTTTGATGGGGACATATTTGCTCAATTTCTTATTATAAATTAAGAGTGTTCCTTTGACACTTCCGATTGCGAGATAGGGTCCAGCGGCGGCCCATCTCATAAAACTTAGCTCTTTTGTATTCGTTTCAATGCTTTCTTCTTTCTTTGTATTAATATGAAATAGGGGAATTTTACTTGAGCCTTCTTGCATGATTGCTAGTGTTTCATCGGAACAATCCCAATCCAATGCAAGTACTCTGCCAGGATCTTCTAATGAAATTTGATGGAAAAGATTTCCTTGTCTATCGAATATTTGAACACGTCTGTATGGGCCGACACATGCCAAATAGTTTCCGCTTTTTTGCCAGCTGAACACAACAGGTCCTTTTCCATTTGATTCTTGCGATACAATAAAGAGTTGTTTCTTTGTTCAATTCAAATATTGTTGAGACATGTTCGGCCATACAACAACCCGTTCAAAGAAGATAAGATCCATTATTGTTGTTGTTAATGATGTTACAAAATCGGATCATGTGATTGTATACAACAGCAACACGACTGTCAGACAAATAGGTTCCGACAACAACAAACTCTGGACTTACCATTTTTTTTGCGTATTTGGTTTTAAAGTTGTAATAGCATGGCGGGTTGTGGGAATATATTGCTGTTACAACTTTAAAACCATGTAGACATTTTTCAAATGGCACATACTATGGCGAGTGGAATCTTCAGGATGACATTGAAGGATCTTGCCACGACTTCATCCCCCTAATAACGAATTGTGGGTTTGTTTTGATCACGTACTATCGTTGATTGTTGCATTGTTTGCTCAATATTTCAAATAATAACGAACACCAACATACCGTCACAAAATCTACTAACGACTCTTCATCGTGAAAATTCTCAGTATCTAGAGCACAGTTCAATAACAGGGTCTGAACAGCATATGATTCGTAAGATATGTTCGGTTTGAGAGAATTCATAATTTTCTGAAAGACTCTCGGTAATTGATTCACACGAATGCATGTTTCAGCGCTCAATTCATCTTCATCATCTTCATAGATACGTGCCTCTGGATCTTCTTCGTGTTTTTTCTTTTTTCTTCGTCGTTGGGGCATGTTCAGCTCATCGTCTTCATCATCCGAATTTTGTTCATTGTAATTAATTTCCTTTCTTGAGCTTCTTCGTGAGAGTGTTCTTTTGAGAGGAGATGATGAAGCAGATTCGGTGCAGAATAGGGATGAATTGTCATCTGCAAGAATTGTTGTTGCAGGTATTGCTGATGATTTATCTCCACTATTCCCATCAAGAAATAATTTCGCACTATTAATAGAATTGTTGTTGCTTGTGGGTGGAGATCCCACAGAGGAAAATGTTGGATGTTGAATATTATCCATCATGATCAATAAACTATCATCATGAACTGAACACGTATCGGAATTGTCATCATCTTTCCGATGATAAGGATTGATGAAAAGAGTCCTCTTTCCCTCCTCTAAACCTTCCAATGTTGAGGGAGATTTACTCGTATTGTTGACAATGGTGTTGTTGTTATTAACTTCCTTCTTATCAGAACTATTGCTGTGTTTGTTGCTTTTCGGAAGAAGCCTTTGCTTTTTGGCGAGATTGCTTTTTGGAGGCATTTTTTTGATTGTTGAAATTTGAATAATTGTAATTAAAAAAGGATTTCAAAGACCTGATACCGAAACAAGTCCTTCAGCAATGCGAAGGAGCACCAAAAGTTCTCAAATGTTATTGGTGACAAACAGATTGCGAATCAAATATCATTAATAACTAGATATACACCTAAATTTATTTGTTTGTTCTTGGTTCAATTTTGAGTGACAGATCGAACAACATCTTTTCGTCGGTTTTGAGATTTTGTAAAATTTCTTCCTTCAAAATGTATTGAAGATATGGCAATGGTTGAAGTGAATATTTAGATTTGGTTTGCAATGTCTTGATAGTATTCACAGCATTGTAGTAGAGTCTTCTCTTTTGGAAGTTGATGAGTTTTTTGTTTCGATTGGTCTTGTGCTCGAATGTATCAGGATTACCATCCTCAATAAAGACCAAATCGGTAAAGTAAATGGCAACCACAGGAACTGCAGGTGCTCCGTTAATAATGACCTCTCGTTCTAATTGTTCTCTCAATGATTTGGAATTGTTGCTCACCAAATTGGAACACTCTTCAATGAGTTCCAAATCTTGCTTACTGAGACCTTCTTTTGTTTTCTTCAGTCTATGAATTTCAGCAGAATTGAAAGCAGAAGTAATTTGAATCATGGAGGTGTAATTTCGAAGCTCTTTCAACTCTCGTAAAATATCGACAAACTTCTTCATTATCTTCTTTCGAAGTTCCAAGTTGGATTCCATTAAAATCTTATTTCTGACCCAGAAACTAATGTTGTTTGTTCTTTCAGTGATGGCACAAAGTGTGGGAGCGAGTTCTTGCTTGTATCCCTTATCGGTCCAAGCACTACCAAAAAATTCTTTGGCCTCAATTTTTCTAAAGAGTTTGGATTCAATGAGAGTGAGTTGTCGAGCAATTTCCAAGCTTGGCCATTCCAATAACTCAAATTTCAAGTTGAATGGATTTTCGAGATGTTTTGCGAATTTCTTGGCTTCCTTCCACTTCTTGATATCCATTTCAGGTTCTTCCAATTTTTCTTTTGGAATGTTCTTTGGTATTTGAGGATTTGGAAAGATGTTATTAAGATCGCCGTAATTCTCCATTTTCACGTGTAGGAAGTGCTTGATAATGTACTTTTTGATCTTCTTTTGTGTGACAGCTGAAATGTTTGAAAGGAATGATACCAACCGAGCAATGAGCAAATTGTCAAAATCATGAAAACCAAATCTCACCCATTTGCTAATAAATTGTTCCACACGCAACTTTATCACAGCATCGTCTGTATTCTTGAAAATATCAATAATTTGTTGAAGGAGAAGCATTGGAGATGCAAATGAGGTGCATGTGAGAAGGAAAATATCGGCAAATCTATTACCTTCCTTATCTACGCTATTAGTATTCACGTCCAAAAGTCTTTCGACAAGTTTTTTGAAAGTACCAGCCTTAATATTATTGTCATCTGTGTTGAACATTAGATCACCCTCTTCAGAAGTACTATCTTCGAGAATGGCATCAAACTTCTTGTTTTTGAATGGTGCTAATAAAAGTTCGTAACATTTTCTCACAATGGGGTATGCATTTTCTTCTTCCTCTGAAGTAAAACCAGCATGCAACATTACGGCACCAAGTAACCATCTCCATTTTTGCTCGAGACGTCGTTTTTCAGCGATTGGAGCTCGTTCTTTCTTTGGAATCGACGTGTCATAGAGTTCAGTGAGAACCAAATGACTGGTACAATTGCAAATGAGTGGGAAAATGGATTCTCTGAAAACAATATAGCACAGGTCAAGCTCTTTTCGAAGCGTAAGTTGAAGTACAGCATTCATGAGTAGTCTGCATATTTGGCGGAAGAATAAACTAACAATTGGTCGTTGCGAAGTTACTTTAAGAGATTCATAATCAGACACCAACTGTCTTTGTTTCAACAGGCTTGGATCGTTGAGTGGAATGTTTGCGAGCAGTTCAATATTGTCACTTTGCATTTCCAATTCCTTGATAAGATCATAATCCGGAATATGAACTGAGGTAATGACAGAAATGAGGTAGTTAATTATAAGAATCACTTCTGTTCGTAGAGTCCTGTCATCTTTGAGCTCTCTTTCTTTGGATGTTTTAGCATTATAGTCAAGATTGTTAATAGCAATAGTGAAGGAATCTAAAAAGGTGAGAATATTTGAAGTCCTGTAATAGGGTTGTGATTTAAACCACTCAACAAGACGTCTCTGTGAAAGACCTCTCATGATCCACAAAATCATGCAAGAGGTAACAACATAGAGGTCATCATTTTGAAGATATGGAAGGCTACCGTCTCTTTCAAAGAAGGCATCCACAAATCCTAGATATAATTCGCACACAAGTGCTTTCTCAGAATCTTCGTTGTATCGAGAATCGTAATCGAGCTTGCACAAATGATTGAGTAGGGCCTTGGAAATTTTCTTCACGAGCTTGTCCTTATTGGTGTCGACAATTTGATAAAACAAGTTCGAAAAATGGCTAATACCAAAGTTACCCTCTTCCAAGCTGAGATTGTTCAGAGGAATCCAATATTCATAATCACTCACAATAGCAATAAACTCAATCTTCAAATTCAATTGTTTTTCATCAGAGCCGCTGAAAAAAGAAAAGTAATTGTTCAACAATTTAACAATATTTCTTCTATGTAACATGGGTATTAAATCTCGAATAAATAATGCCAAATTTCTGTTGCCATTCAAACCAATATTGTTCCTATTGGCTACTTCTGTTAGCATTAGCTTATTGACACAATTATTAAAGTTAACCATGACAGATTCAACGAGATCAATAAATGCTAGTTCATCTTGCTCTGAATTGAAGTAAGTCATAGTGTTGCTTTGATAACCCATGGTTTCACGATTATTGGCACAATCTAGTGCAACACTTTTTACAATAGCATCAAATATAAACCAAGAAAACTTGATGACATCATAGTGTTGATCATCCTCTTTCTTTTCTAAGACAGGTGCAGACTTCTTGGTATTAGACAACCTCTTTTTTCCAAATTTCTCGTCAATGTATCTGGTATCTTGACTTGCGTCTACTTCTCTGGAGGTAGCTTGCAACAATTTAATAAAAATGTATGGCAGTTTCAAGGTAAGACTTTGATCTGGAGCGAAAATGTACTTGATATAGCTCGAGAAGAATTTGTTACCTCGTGAGTGGAGTTTGGTGTAGTGATAGGCGCCTTTCAAGCACACAATTACTGCATCAAGAGCCTGTTGTTCGACACGTTCCACAAGTTTGATGTTTGTTGAGAAATCTCTTATTCTTGTCATTAGTTCAAAGAGCATATTCATGACCACTGGAAAATGAGGCATGAATTCTGAGAAGTCAATTTCATTAAATCTCAGTAAAAGGTCGTTTGAAAGATATTCTAAAACTTCGTTGGACTTGAAGAGAGGGAATGTATACAAATCTGTCATGACACAATAGAAAAGAGATAAAAAGCGATCTCTTGGATACAGCGTTGATACCAACTTGGTTTTCACAACAAGTTTTGCATTTTTGATCGCTCGTAAGCCCTCCAAAGACAGATAATTGCTCAAGAATGTATCTTTCTTGTAAATGTTTAACTCTTTTGATATTTCGTGACAAAATGCAATATTTTCTCCTATCTTGTAGTTTGAATTATCATTTTGGACGCGTCTGGTAAGAGGCAAGAACGAATATCCTATTACAGCTCTGTCCGAGGTCCCGAAAAAGTCCTGGCGTGCATCAATCGCTGGATTAGCATATTCAAGTTTTTTAGATCGTTTGTTGTCGATATCAATGTGATAGAAAACAAACAACAAATGATGTTTGTAGTTTGGTATTAGTGGAAGCTCCAATCTAAATTCATCAAACAACTGTTGTTGCTTTTCATCGTAGGAAAGTGATGTCAAAAGAGTGTGTGTTTTTTCTCTCTTGAGCCATGTGATAAATCGTTTTTCAGAGTAGGGATCGTTGATGTCATTAATGACTGGTGGAATCACATCGTTATTTCTGAAATACACTTCAATGAAAACATTCTTGGCAGATTTTGATCCTTCGATGGAAAATGCAATTGGATAAATAAATAAAGTGTTTTGAATCGCGAGATTTGGATAGTTAGAGGAAAGTAATGGAAACTCTTGAATAACATCACGCGGTATTTGCTCCACATCGTGACGATCAAACATTGAATCAGATCTTGGAGAAACCTGGACAGTCAGGGGAGTGCATGAACCAAGAGAGCTATCTGAATTGTTTCTAGAATGAATGCTACTGGATTTGTGATGTTGTTGAGTCACTCGTTGCTGAATTTCATAATTACTTTGGGCACTAGCATTGGAGTAGAGCTCAACATTTAGTGACATAACTCCTGACACTTGGTTACTCTTTGTCTTCTTTTCTTTCAGAGAGTTGCGTATCGTCGTTATGACATCCATAGGATTTTTCCAATCTCCCTCAATCTCATAAAGTGGTTTCAAATCTATTTTAGAGCTACTAAGCTTAAATGTTTCCACCTGCTTTCCTTTGATTTCCATTAATTCTTTCTCAAATAAGGGAGCAAAGCTGAATAAGAATGGTTGTCTATGTCTACAAAGTTTTGGCTTGTACTCTTCGTATTTCTCGAACCACTTTTCAACATTCTTTGCCTCTTTAGAGTACATTTTGATAGCATCTTTGATAGTAGATGTTGGCATTCGATATACAAATGCCACTACATAAATCTGATCATTTGGATAGCTCACTGAGAAAAGTTTTTTGGAAGCAAACATGGAATTGTTTAGCGATGCATCATACAGTGAAAGATCACGCTTAATCGTTTCCGAAACTCTGTTAAATTGACAACTAGGCATTAAGTGGAAGTGATAGTCTTCCGAAATTTTTCTTCCAGCAAGTGTGTCATAGAGAGCTATGGTCATGAAGAGAAGCTCACGATCTTTCATTTGTGTACTGTCCAAAAATCGTAAGTTCGAACATTGCAAGAAGAATTTTGTCTTTCTCTTAACTGGGTACGGAATGTCGTTCGATCGCTGACAAAGAGATGCATCTAGAGGTTTAAATTTGTAATCTGGCTTTAGACAACTCACTAAACGAGTTTTTGAAGTAATATTTTCCGTGATTTGGTCAAGACCGACCTCTTTAAATGTCATCACTGTTCCATTCTTTGGTTCAATGTTTTCAATGATATCGGTTGTCTTTTTTGCGATGGTGGCCTTTGCAAATTCAAAAAGACTCTTTTTCTTGTCAGAGAGTACCATCTCATCAAATCCTTCGTTCGATTTATGAGATCTTCCCACAGAACTATATTTGTTGGATTGTCTCAAAAATACAGTTCTTGGAGAGGAACTACCAGCATAATCCTCGTTTGAATTCGCTTCTTTGAGCTTTGCCAAAAATGCTCCAAAGGATTGAGCTCCACTCTGCTCCTCCTCAGCTTCCTCTTCCTCCAGTGTTTCAGTGGAAGGTCGGAAATATGAATTAGAGTTAGATCGAGAGCGTGAATCAGTTGATAATGACACATGTGATGATGTAGTTGTGGCAGTGTCGTAAGTATCATCAAACGTAGGTCTGAAAGGAACACTGCAATATGGAGGTTCTATGCATTTCATAATGCGGAAAGGCTCATTAAAGGCTTTGAAAGCATTTCTCAAATTTGGATGAGCATACTTGCGTTGAGAGAGAGCTGCTTCTTCCTCGGGTGAGATTGTACTATCGGTTTGTGACCACGGTTTGATTTTAGTTTCTATTAAAAAGCTAGGTAGAATGGTTTCAAAGTTGGATGTGTCACATTCTTTTTGCACTGCAGTCGGTTGCACATAATCGTTGCTTCTAGATCGTTGAGGTTTTTTGGATCGCTGATTGCTCGACATGTTCATCGACTTCAATTTACCCAAGCCGGCAACGGTAAAAGAGTCCATATCAAAGAAATTCCTTGAACTTCCGAAAGACTCCTGATCTTCTGCAAAATCGTTGTCGACCTCACCGTCTGATTCTAAGTCATGAAACGATGATGTGTCCTCAGGTTCGTGAGCACTATAGATTTTTTGCATTGAATACAAAGTATTAGAGGAGTCACAAGAAATTGGACTTGTTGATGGTGTGCTTGTTGAGGAAGAATCTTGATCTAGACACTTCTTTTTTTGAGAAGTGCTTGAACTTGAAGAATATTCTTCTAAAGAATATGTTGTTGTTGAATTAATTGAGAATGGTGATGTCTTTCTCTCAGTTATTGGCGGAACTGGGCTGTTGCTGATGCTACTTGAAAGAGAGCTAGTAGTTTTAGACGGTGGCAATGGAGGAGGTTGTTTTTTAAATGGAATTGCCTGTGACGAAGTTTTGATGTTGGAATTGGTTGTGTTGGGTTCTGAATGAAGAGAATCAGAGCCGTTGCTTTCGACAAGACAGTCCTTATTCAGCAATGAGTTTGATCTGGGTGACACCAGACTGTTTTTAGATATTGTCGTGTCTGATTTACATAGCAAACCAACGCCTTGTTCTCTTTCATTCGTTAAAGACACAGAAGGAACCGATGGAGGAGGTCTTTCTTTGAACCTCGACAAAGTTGATGATGTCGAAGAATTCGACAAATTTGTTACAGTCGGAGAAGAAGATTGATGATTCTCAAAATTTCCTCCACTGTTGCTACTACTACCTTCATTGTTGTGATTGCTACCAGGACTAACACTTCCAATCTTCAAAGTAGGCTTTCGGAGCAAAGAAGGCAATGGTGGGGGTGTTGATGGCGAGGAAGAAGAAGAAGAGGCTTCATCATTTTTCGGTTGTTGTTGTTGTTGCTGATCAAATTGTTGCTTTTTCGTGTTCCACAAGAAACGATTAATCGTAGGACTTGCACCACCGACAGTGCTACTAGTGCTGCCCGAGAGAGCCTTATTCGTTGCAGGAGATACAGAGAGTGATGATGATGATTCATGAGAGGAGGGCAACTGGTGGTTGTAGGTGGGTGTGGTCGGTGAGGCTTCTTGTTGTTGTTGCTGCTGCTTCTGAGGTGGCCATTGCTTTGATGATGTTACAGGAGAGGAGGAAGATGATGATGGATTCTCAGAATGAATTTTCCGATTTAAAACCCATGAAGGGGTTGTCGATGTTGTTGCTTTTTGTGGGGATGACTCTTTTGGTGGCTCTGTTACTTTGTTTTGATGAAGTGAAAGTACCTTGCTCGGTGATGAGGATGCTGTTGAAGGCGACAAGGATGAGCATGGTGAATGTTGTTGTTGTTGTTGATGATGAGATCTTGGTGATGAGGTTTGAGTAGTGGAGGATGATCCTGGCAACTCTTCCTTTTGTGTTGCTGTTTGGCCAATGAAGGTTGCAAAAACAGATCTTGGTGATAGTTGATGGTTTTGATCTCTGATCCCTTCCTTATGAGACGAAGCAACAAGCGTACTGGAAGATGAAGAGGAGGATGACGAGGAGGAAGGATGAACCATGGTGGACTCACCAAATCGACTCACTGAACCACCACGAGAAGGAATCGGTGGTCGTGGTGATGTACTTGATTGAGCACTTTGTTGAGTCATCTTCTCTTCGGTTGACTTGATTTCCTCTTGTTGTTGTTTGATGATGAATATATTCTTCTTTAGTGCTGAGGTTGAGGTTGTGGTTTCTCCAGACGATGTAGAACCCACAGCTGTGTTATTGTTGTTATTGTTGGAATTTGTAGATCTGAGCTTGGGCCACATCGTGATGGATGTACTTTCGTTATTATCAGTGTTGTTGTTCGATCGAAGAAGACTGTTCCCACGATTCTTGATTGAAGCTAATGTCGAAGATGATAAAGTGGTTTCTACCGAGATGGATGATGTATTTTCAAAACCAATAGTACTCGTAACAGGTTGTGTCGTGATGCTGTTGTTATTTCGTGGTGAGAGAGCAGAGGGTCTCACACTTGTTGTACTATTAGTACTACTCGGGGTTGTTGCGTGTGAATGATTATTATTTTGAAATGCAGTGGCAATTTGGTTTCGAAGGGCAGAAAAGTTAGTCGTCGGAGTGGTTGGATTCATCATGGACGCTCTGCTCATTGACGACGAAGAAGGTGATTGGTTGTCACCGCTTGTGACTTTCTGTTCTAACTGACGCTTTTTAGAAAGAGATTCCATTGTTGAGAAAGTGTTGTTGGAATTTAGGGGAGATGAATCCAAACCAGGAATCGCTGACATGTTTCTGGCAGGTTTCGAAGGACGTGAAGGAGGAAGAGGAGGTGGAGAACTGGTGTTGCTTCCAGAGCCAGACGAAGCGGTGCTGTTGTGAGGAGGCCACCGATTGATAAAATTTGTGTTTGATGACATTTTTTTCTTTTCTCCTCGAAAGATGACGTTTGAGGTTAACTTTGTATGGCAGGATTTATCAATTTTATAAATATTGATGAACAATAATTATTAATAAAAAAGAAACACCTGCAAGTTTTATTTGTGTGAGACTCATGTGAGTCGTTGAGAGGACTGCCATACGAACGTAAATGTCCTACTGTTTTACAGTTTTCTCTTTCACTTGTTGTTCTTTGAAATAAATTCCATTTTACCCAATTTGACGAGAAAGAGAATGTTTGTCGCCTCACGCACAGATGAAATTTCGTTGAAGGATTCGTGTTGTAGAGAATCAAACCAGGAATACTAGTAGACGAGCTCGTCGATTACATGTACGCGCATTCATGGAACATTTTATCATCGAATTGTTGTTGATGTTTCTTCTTCTCCATCTATTACTCCATCTATTCCACTTGTCGTCAAAATCTAATTCGTTGTTCGAACCAACAATAACAAAACAAAAATGAACATCCAGAACCATTCTCCTCGCACTCTTCCATTTTCCATTGCTGATGATTTCAGGTTGGAGCGATTGTTGGGATACAATGCTCAGCAAAAAATAATTTCTCTGTTGGGACATGTAAACGGTGTGAGAACAATCGTGGTAATGGAAAAAACACAATTTGCTGTGGATTCCGAGGAGGATGTCAAGAAATGGCTCGCTTTGATAAAACAACCGAACGGACAAGGCTTGCAGCAAGTGATTGTAAACGATAAATATTACATGTTGAATTTACCAGCGATGGAGGATGACCACTTTAATTTACTGAACACTAGCATGTAGGTGTTTGCAATACTATTTTCTGAGGAAGTGTAAATTTGAATGAGGACTGTTGTGTTTTTAAATTTTTGATTTATCACTTTAACATTTGTTAAAAAATCATCAAACAATTCACAAACAGAATATTTCCTGCTGACGAGAGTGACATTGCAAAGTATTCCATGCAAAGTCATGAACTCTTTCTAGAAACTCCATCTCTCTACCAGGAAGTGACTCGACCTTACATTGACAAAATACCAAAAGAGCATGAAAAGTGGGTCGATAATTTGCTTCAAAAACAGAGTGAAGTTGAGCATATGATTTATGAAGATACAGAATCAGAGGAAGATTTGCGCTTCATGTTACATCCTGATATGAAGTACGATAAAGTGGATAGAAACCAACTCTACTGCATTGCCTTTTGTTTCAACAAGGAAATCAAAAGCCTTCGAGACCTATCCACAGAGAGACACTTGAAAATGCTTAAAAATGTTCGTGATCGTGGATGTCAAGTCATTGAGCAACTGTTTGGAATTCCACGAGAAAAATTGCGAATCTTTGTGCATTATTTACCTTCCTTCTTTAGATTCCATGTCCACTTTACCAATGTGGATAACACCTCAGTCAATAACGGTGTAGAGAGAGCTCATTTGCTCGATGACATTATTGAAAATATGGAAGTATTTGGGTTAGACTTCTATCAAAGAAAGACTCTGACCATTACTATCAAAGGCACTCATGGTCTCTATCGTTCATTTAAAGAAAGAACCACAAATGTGGATAGAAAATGAATCATATCATCCAATGTCTCATCACAACTATTGCTCAAAAGTCTGAAAATTGATAGGATCCCCCACAAAATTTTCCACATCCCAAAATTCCACAATCATCTTTTTCAGCTCCTCTTCATTTTGAAAGTCATCATTGAAAAGCCTTTTCCATCGCCTGCGTAAATTAAGAGCCAAGTCAATAATGGTGACAGACTTGTCAGTATTTCTTCTCATAGCTCTGCCAATTTGTTGAAGAAAAACGATTTCAGACTCGGTCTGTCTCGCCAAAACAAGACAATCAACATCCTTAACATCATAGCCCTCGCTCACCATCATGACATTTACCAGCACATTGAGCTTACCGTTAGCGAAATCCTCGAGTATTTGTTTTGTTTGTTTGATTCCTTTCTTGTAGTGAATGGATGACGCCTTTAGCTGTAAATTACAAGATGATTTTTCATTGATAATCTTTGAAATTTTGTCCGCTGTTTCACACGAGTTTGCAAACTATTTGATGAAAATTGTTTGCCATTCATATTTGGATGCAAACACTATGGACAACTTACAATTATGGTTTTTCTTTTGATTTGCAATCCAGCGTTAATTTGTTGTGTAAAGAATTGGAGAAGAACATTTGTAATATTTTCAGGTGTGAGCTTTTTTTTCACCTGCTCATCTGTGTTCATTCCTAATTGATGTAAGCTTTTGTCTAATTTAGCAATGAAGTTTGGAAGTTGACGTTTTGGGTTGTTATAAGGATCAAATGCCTCTTTCAAAATTTGCTGATAGGTTAAAATGTCCAAGTTCGATTGGATAGTATGAGGAAGATATTCCAAATACTCAACAGGAGGAAAGAAACCAAGTGTTTTAGCTAACCTCCAAGGTAAATTTACATATACAATGCCTTTGAAATTCTCCTTGAGTTTGTCACCTGTGGGATCCTCTCTGTGGACAAGTGTTGCTGTCATTCTTTTTTTTACAAGGATGAAATAATTATTTTGAGTTGGCACTGTTCTACCTACCCTAGCATGTATTTGAGTGTTGCTAATTTCATGAGCGATTTAAAAGCCTTATTATATGTGGTTGCTACCACGTGATGTACTTCGTCAATGATGCAATGTGTGAATTGGGAATCTTTCAAGTTAATTTTCTCAAAAGACTGAAATAAACAGAATACAAATTTTGCTCGCTTTAGCTTGCTCTCAATACTCGATTGGTTTTCATTTTCCGTGATATTGAGAAAATCAGAGTCCTTAAAACCCCACCGACTCTCCAAATCCTGATAGTCTGATGAAAATTGCATCTTGAATTTGTTAAAAGTAGTATCTCGAATGACCTTTGAGTGTACCATGAAGAGCACTTTGAACTTTTTCAGATCATTCTCATATTGCTTAATTCGTGACAATTCTCTCTCAATGTCAAGAATCACAAGAATGGTTTTTCCAAGACCTGTTGCCAACACAACAAGTCCATATTTGTGACCAGTATACTCTCTGACTTTGTCACAGTGATCCAAAATAGCATTTTGAAACTCAATTGCTTTGAAACCCTTAAAATTGGAGCTTTCATGTGGATACTCATGAGAGCAGGTAGCAAGTATGGAGGGATCAATTGGATTTGTTAGAGTTTCATCATTTTCTCTTTGCTGTTGAGGATCTGAAAGAATTGTTATTACGTTTGTATTCTCCTCGAATTCCTCCTCTACCTCAATCATCTTCTCTACGTTCTCAGTCAGCATCAGAACACCATTGACAGTTTCCTTTTTTTGGGCCACAAATGGAGGTGTTGGATTGGCATTTAGAAATATTTCATCTTCCTTGTTGGAATCTGAAATTTCAAAATTATCTTCATGATGATTTTCAACTGATCCATCCCATACCAATGCTTCCAAAGATAATTTCTTCATCCTTCCGAATAGTGTATTTCTCACCCGATGCTTTCCGATCTTGTTTAAATTCTTGAAAATGTCAAACACATTTAATGGATGATTGGTATCATCCTCGGAATGAGAAGGCATTTTTTTGAGATTGTCTTGTTGCAAATTCCGTGACTAGTTCGAGCATTCCCTCGAACAACATTTTCCTTTGTTACTTTTTTGAACAATAACCAAATCCAATATTAACAAGTCAATGGCTTGATTGAAAAAATTGATCCAAATCCACATGAGACGTTCCTTCTCCACCAGCACTCTTCCTCCACAAACCTCGACGACCTCACAAACCGAGTCGCTTGGGTTTTCAAAGAAAAAATCGTTGAGATGGAAGAACGAAGAGGAATTGGTCACGAATGAGCAGATTGAACATAAAGCTTCGCCTCTCTTTGGAAATTTACAGGGTGGCGATGAAGAGGATTATGAAAACAAATCGGATGTAAATCTGTCGAGTGAAGCAGACACTCTCAGCATTCGAACTGTGGAATTAATGGACAAATGGGATACTGGTGATGGCTCGAAAACAGTTCTCGATATCAATCATGATGAAGCAGATGAAAACCGTCATCAAGGCGGTCGTCAAGAGCATGCCAGCCAGCCATCTTCAAGTCATCACATGACAACAGGTTCTGCCTTAAACATATCGTCCATCCAACCGAAAACAAGCATTGATCGAGAGTTGATTTCTTTTTACAATAGACCGAGTATGGTCAACGTATTACAAGATGAAAAAGCTTCAAGTACTCTCAATGATATCCTGGCAACTTCTGCAGAAAGGCTATCCAACGAGGTGGTGGCAGTGGGTGCATCGGCGTCATCAAGAAGGCCTTCCATCATGCTTGGATTTGGTGATTTTAAAAGCAAGGAAAAACAACCTCCACCTCCTCCTACGATACCTCCCAAAGCGACAACTCCACCCACCGAGGACGACCACAATAAGAAACATCCATCTGAACATCTTGATGTAATCACTGTCAAGCCAGCATCAGTTCTACCTCCTCATCCAAAATTTGGAATATTAGACGGCGTTTACATTCCATGCGTTTCTGCAGTGTTGGGAACGATTTTATTTCTTAAGGTAAGTGTGAAAATTCGGTCCCAAGCTGGGTGATCTATCGCCCAATTTATTGAAGGTGCCCTGGATTTTAGGAAATGCGGGTCTTGCATATTCGCTCCTATATGTTGTGATTTCAGTGTTGTGCTCAGTATTCACTTGGAACAGTTTGAGTGCAGTGGTTACGAATGGTTTAATTCGAACTGGAGGTCCCATTACCATCATGTCACGAGTATTGGGCAATCAATTCTCTGGCAGTGTTGGAATTATATACTTTATTGGTTTTATATTTTTATTGTCGCTGCACTCATTTGGAGCTGCTACTCTAGTGTTAACAACAGTACATGATTTTTATCCAGGCTTTGTCATTGCAGACAAGGATGTGAATAACTTGTATTGGGATGTTATTATACTAGCTCTTGGATTTCTAGTACTGCTTTTTCTGTTTGTTTTGATAGGAATTAGAGTGGCTGTAAAGGTAGAGAGTATTTTTATTATTGCCGTTGGAGTTTCTGTTTTGTTATTTGTTATTGGATGTTTTGTGACAGTGAAACCTCTTTTCAAAATTAATACAGCAAGTTGGGCCACATTTACTCAAAATTTTCATCCTGATTTTGACAATGATGTTGGATTTTTCTCTGTCATGGCAGTAATTTTTCCCACAATTGTAGGACTTTTAGGTTTGTTTTTCAATGATTCATAATATTTAACTTTGTCATGAAGCTGGCCTTAATAGAAGTGGTAATTTGAAAAATCTTTCAAGAAACATTCCAGTGGGCACAATGGCAGCTCTTATAACTAGCACATTTGTATATATAGTAGTTTTTGTATTGATGAGCTTTGTAGGTGATAGAAAAATGATGAAAAAACACAGTTCGGACTACTTTGCTCTTATTGCCTTTCCTGATTTTGGGCTTTCTATTGGTAAGTTTTCAAATCAACACATCAATTATATAATTCTCGAAAATAATTATATGTGATTGTTATATATCTCCCAAAAAACACACAGGAACGTACATTGTCAAGGCTGGAATGCTCATTGCCATCCTTGGAGAGGGTCTTCAAGCTCTAATTGCAGCACCTAGAATTTTGCAAGCTCTATCCAACGATAATGTTGTTCCATTTATTTCATCGGATTGGTTTTCAGGAAATGAATATTCAGAGCCTCGTCGAGCCATCGTTCTCTCTGCGTTTCTAGCAATTTTCCCTCTTTTTCTTGGCAATTTAGAGAGTATCTCAACATTTATTGCCATGCTGCTCTTGCTATGTTTTGGATTTTTGAATTTGGCCACAATTATTGCGAGTATTTCACCAAATTGGAGACCTCGATGGAAACAATTTCATTGGTCTTTGGGATTGATTGGAATGTTTGTTTGTGGATTATTCATGTTTTTAATTGGGTATGTATGCTTTAAACGTCATTTGTGAATCAGCTGAGCCAACACCAATTCTACTATATATATATATATATAAAACCACTCACATAGGTGGTATTGGGCTCTGCTTTCTTTCGCGATTGGCTTAATTTTTTATGTCATTATTGAAATGAAAAACGAAACCTCCTCTTATGGAGAGGCATTGAATGGTCTCAAGTTACAAAGTGCCCTTAATGCTCTCTACTCATGTGAAAATTATGACCTTTCCATCAAGCACAAAAAAAAGAGAATGAAATCAGAGACAGAAATGGATGAATTTGAAAGAGGTCAGCTGAACAAAAATTGGCGACCTCAATTATTGTGCTTGGTTAAAATTTTACCTGACAATACCATTGTTCATTCAGATTTGCTCAATGTTGCCTTTCAACTCAAAAAAGGTAGAGGATTGTGCATTGTAGCAGCCATCATTGAAGGAGATATTAAGAAGAGTACTTTTAAACTGGCACAAAAGGAAAAACAAGCTCTAACTCTCAAAATGAAAGAAAAAGGCATTGCTGGATTTCCTCAAATTTTGATTGCTAGAACCTTTTCAGATGGAATTAAACATTTCATGCAATCAGCAGGATTAGGGCCTCTTTCTCCCAATACCATTGTCTTTGGATTTCCCGTTGTGAAGGATCGAACTTCTGCTCGTCATTTTGTGGAAATGGTCAAATATGCTGAAATTTGTAATAAGGCTGTTATTATTTCCAAAGGAGATTTTAATGTAGAAGAAGAGAGTGGATTCATGGATCTCTATTGGATTATTTATGAGGGAGGTTTAGAATTATTGGTGTCGTTTCTTCTTCATCGTCACAAAGCCTGGAGAAATACCTCTCTAAGAATATTTTCTGTGGTGGACAATAGAGAGTCTGTGAGTACCATCAAAGATCACGTCTCTGAAATTTTGTATTATCTTCGAATTGAGGCAGAATGCCATGTCTTGTATATAGAGCCACAAGAAGAAACGCTCTTTACCGCCACAGCAGCAGCAGATACCTCCACAGAGCGATCAACATCAACCACGGCGACACCAGAAATTAGTCGCACGAACACGAACGAATTGAGTGTGTCTATCAGCCATCCACATAACCGTTCTTCACAGGTACCTCCTTCGTTGACAAGTACGTTTAGCTCATCCACATTAGAAAGTAGTGGTATGAATGACAACATTGAGATTAACTTGTCGGCGAGCCTAAATCCTCCCCCACAATTTCACCACAGAAAACCCAAATTTGATGATTTTTTGGTGACCGCTTCACGCCTTAATCAACTCATTCGTGAATATTCTCTCACCTCGAAACTTGTTCTCATTAATTTACCGTTTCCTTCTCCTCGTTTATCTCACTTGCAGTACGTTGAATGTTTGAACACTCTCACTCGAGATATTTCACGTGTGGTGTTCATTAGAGGCTCTGGAAGAGAAGTTATTACACATTGGATGTGATTGTGTCTCGATATCAGTAAAGTTATTCAAATTGAAATGACTTTTTGGTTTAAAGTTTTTTCAACGGTCGGTAGTGGCGCCAATTTTTTTAAAAAACCAACCAAAAAAATTAAAACCAAACGACCATCAAATCAGCATGAACGATTTTGTACAGAGAGGAAAAGAAATCATCGGAGAAGCCATTGCATTGGATCGAGCAAAGAAATACGAGCAAGCTCTTGAAAAGTATGCTCTGGGAGTGAAACACTTCTTAACAGGGTTAAAATGTAAAGTAATATTTGACAGAGTATCGGAATTAACTTGTGGTTAATATTATTGAAATGCATCAACATGATGATCACAACATGTTTAAATTTCATCAATTAGATATTAAAGGAGAAAAAACAAAAGAAACCACACGTGGCTATGCAAAGCAATATTTAGAAAGAGCGGAAGAAATTAAAAAATTATTGAAACAACAAGAACAAAGTTCCCAAACTTCTCATTCTTCACCACCACAAAAAGAAAATGTAAAAACTCAACCTAATGTTGTGGTGAATTCACATAAAACAACACCAAAAGGTTCGTCCCCTCCCAAAGTGAAAAAACCATCTCCAAGAAAATACATGTATTCAAAACCTGTTTTACCAAGCAGTGCGAAGAAAAGAACCATCGATCAAACATCACAACAAAAAACGGAACAACAAGAATTAGAATCGTCAATTAAGAATTCTATTGTAAGAGAGAAGCCCAATATTTCATGGGATGAAATTGTGGGAATGGATGGTCCTAAAGCCATTGTAAACGAAGCAATTATATTACCAAGACGTTTTCCTCAATTATTCACAGAAGAGAGAAAGCCAATCAGAACTATCCTGTTATATGGGTAAGTTTAACGAAAAACTGAAGTTAGATGCAATGTCACACATGAATCAAATGTCACATCATTGAATATTCGAAAAATCGATAGCCCACCAGGAACTGGTAAAAGCATGTTCGTAAAATGTGCAGCAAGTAATATTGATGCAACATTTTTCTCAGTGAGTTCCAGTGATATAGTTTCAAAGGTAAGTAATTATCAACAGTTTTCGACAAATTAAATTGCTCATTCCAATATAGTTCATGGGAGAATCTGAAAAGCTTGTAAAGGTATGCTCTTATTTTCTAAAACACATCTTTAATTATTGTTATACTCGTTACTTTTTTTTATGATTTGAATGGCATTTCTAAATCATAGACCCTTTTCGAAGAAGCTAAGAAATCACAACCATCAGTCATATTTATTGATGAAATTGATGCAGTGGGCTCTGCTAGGGATGGCTTTTCTGGCAGCAGTAGTAGCTCTGAAAGTATGAACCGACTGAAAACTGAACTGTTGTTGAAAATGCAAGAAATTCTCGATATGGACAACAATTCTGCTGGAGTGGTCGTGATTGCTGCTACAAACAGACCTTCCGACCTTGATCCAGCCCTAAGAAGAAGATTCCAGAAGAGAATCTACATTCCACTTCCTGGAGAGAATGAAAGAAAGCGTTTATTCCAAATCAACCTTGAAGGTGTCGAGTCAGATGTCACACTGCAAGATTTGGATCAATTTGCAAAAGCCACGAATAACTACTCTGGATCTGATATTTCAGTTGTTGTTCGGGATGCCCTAATGAAACCATTAAGAGAGGCCATGAAATCAGAGTACTTTAAATGGGTAAGTTATCTTCATGTATTTGTGTTCATACAATATTCTAACCATCACAAATGTTTCTGAAACAACTCTAGACTAAAGAAGGAACAATAGAACCATGCTCAGCTACCGATGTAGGTGCTAAGAAAATGAATTTACTGGATATTCAAGAAACAAACAAGCTCAGAATTGCAAAAGTCACTGCCCAAGATGTATTCGATTCGATTGCATCGATCAAACCATCCACCAACCCTAATGAACTTTCTCAATTTGTAAAATTTACACAGGACTATGGAGAATCAGAATTTGACTTGTCACCGCCATCCTCGAATGATGTGAATACTACTCACACAGAAGATTCACTGCCTTCTTCATCAACGGCTCTTGAAAGAAAAATAAGCACAAAACGAAGAAAACATGATGACAATGGTAATGAATAGGTGAACTCCACGCTCGATCTATTTCCTGAGATAGAAAGGATCACAAAAAAAATGTCTCAACAACACACTCCACAATTTTTGTCATCTCCTCTTCCGAGGCTCATTCTTCATTTTGATGTCAATAAAACCATCATTATTTCTGATGAAGCAGCTGGAAAAACCATGGATGATATAATTAATCAAATTATCATGTCCAGCATTTGGGGTTATGTTTCCGATTCAAAAGATTTTGTGGTGATTGAGTGGAAGCTTTTTAGCAATGTAAAGGCTCTTTTAGAACATTTAACGTCATCCGAACACCAAATTCCAAAAGGAAAGAAAATCATTAATTACTACGATTACATTGAAAAAGTATTGTATCCTTATCCAGAACATGATGCATCTGTACCATTAGAAGAGAGAAAACGCATCAATGGAAAGATTAAAGAAGAACGTACAAGAATGGTGAAAAACTTTTCACAATGTAAAATGGCAGAAGATTTTTTGGATGACATTTCACGGTTGAAAACAAATCTCATTAGAAAGAGTTCAAAACAGAATGGAATCACGTTGGAAACAGCAACACCAAGTGACTATGTGAACATTGTTCCTGCTTTTTTTGAAGCTTTATTGGAATTGTTCAAGAGAAAGAGAGATTTTCAGTTGATCATTCGAACTTTTGGATCATTGAAGGATATAACATCAGTCATTAAGGAAATTAACACATTTTGCAAAGGAGAACACATTGATTATCCATTGAATGGTGAAGAGCGAGAATTTTTCAAAAACAAGCAAATTCATATGGAACAAGATCATGCTGTTGGATATATTTATAGAAATGATCCAGGCACGTGTCACTTGATTGAAAATTCTCTGGAGTTCAAACCAGAAATGCTTCAATTTGCATCGATTGAACAAATGATATTTTCAGACAACGAGCGTGTAGTCAGTGGATTTGAAAATATTTACAAGAATATTATCCAAGTTTCGAAAACTGGCCAAACTCGATTGATACGAGATTTCTACTATTGGTGGAATGTTAACAATGAAAAAACAAGTGCTGGAAAGATCTTTCTGGTAGATGAAAAAGATAATTCTTGCTTCCAAATTTTCTTTGATGATAATGTTGCATCAAATTCAGATTTTCCCATCAAGGGTATTTTAGATTTGAGAAATCCACACACTGGAAACTCGCTCGATCAAGAATTGTATTTAAATGTTCACACAGTCCAATCCTATGCATTTGATTTTATTACCAATTGCAATTATTACATTGAAAAGATTGATCAAGCTGAATCATTGAAAATGAACCAATTGATTTGAAAGTGTATGAATTGTCATCCTTCGACTCGGCTTTGTGCTTTTTTAAAAAACTGCAATGAAGGTCCTTTTTTGTTATGTGTCACGTCGTTCCTTCAACTCTCTCAAAAAAATGGGAAACAACAAATCATCCAGTAAATCCTCTCATCTCAAAACAGAAGTCTCTCATCGGGAAGGCATTTCTAACGGTAGCAATGATGATCATGACGATCAGATTCGAGATCGTAAGATGATGATTTCAGAAATGGATCCCGAAGAATGGAAATTATTAGAAAACGTAAAAAAGGATCAAATTGTGTATTTATTTGGAACTAAAAAGTCTCTCGATATTTATAATCGTAGATTTGTCAAATATATTGTAAAACAAGAGAAGAAATTTGGAGATGATATTTCAGCAATGGGAAATGGAGATAATGTTGTGATTTTATCTTCGGATTCTTGTGTCAAATATGCTCCGATAGGATGTTCTTCTCATACAATGATTGTCATTCCTCAATGCATTTCAAGTGATTCTATCACATCGAAAAAGTATTTAGTGTTTGGTGGAAAGGTTTGTAGTTGAAACGTGATGATGATTCGAATCACCTTTTGATCGGTTGAGATCAATATTATTTGTGATTGATTTGATTGATGACAATAATAATGGACCATAACAATGCGATAACGATTGATCTACAAATACAACCATATGATCTTTGATTTTCATCTGTATGATGATAAACAATCTCTTCACACTATTCTGTGAATTGACACTTTGAATACTATACATGATGACAAATTTGACTCGTTCAATACATCGATAGAAACAAATTCCTTCAGGTTACAAATCCAATATGGGAAGGAGCTTGAAAACTTCTGAAGATGCCTTATTGACCTATTATGATTGTGGATTAAATATTTGGCTCTACGGAGAAAATACGACACACAAATACACAATGGACAATGAAAGACCTGATCCCAGCCTTTTCTATCATAGTTTTACATTCAATCCAAAAAATATGAAAGTTTATATATTTGGAGGCAGTTCGAATGATTCAAAACGAGCGAATTTTCTGGTATCTAACAAATTATATTGCCTCAATCTGGAAAATTGGACTTGGAGACAAGTTCGACAAAGTCACAATGTTCATATTCAGCACACACCAGAGAATAACACATCACCCTCATCGAACATTGTGACACCTGTTCGAGGTCATGCAGCCATTTATCGTTCACGAACAAACAGTATTGTGGTGTATGCAGGAAATCTTGGAGGATCATCCCTAACCAATGACATGTTCGAATTTGACTGTGATACAGAAGAATGGTCTATGGTACCACAATACGACACAGTACCCAGTAGGGCTTACCACAATGCTGTTTATTGTAAATCGAGAGATTGGATGATAGTTTTTGGTGGAGAATTTTTCGATCAAGGAAGTTCTCGTCTTGAAATAGTGAATGACATGTGTATATTTGACTTTTGTGACAAAAAGTGGCAATCGGTGGTTTTTAGAGGAGATGCCAATCCACCAGTTTCGACCTTTGGGCATTGTACGACCATCATTTATGATCGATTTGTTGTGACTTATGGAGGTTGTGATCGAGAGTATAATCCAAAGTCTCAATGCATGATTTTTGACCTCTTTGAAAGACGTTGGACGCGATTAAATGTCAGTCTCGAAGCCATTGAAGTGAGTGCAAAACATACCTTAGACTCTTCAGAAAATCAAGAACTTTGGAATTTGTCCTATCAATGTGACCTTCCTCCGTTGAATTGTTCTGCAATGATCTATGACGAACAATGTGATTGTTTAGTATTTTTTGGAGGTTACACCACCTCCAAAGATAAGTGCAACTACATCTTCAAGGTTAAATTTGATATTGCATTGTTATTGGTGACCAAACATTTCAAATTTATCTCACAGGCTCTCAGGACGTCAGAAGAACCCAATATTACACACGACATTCAAATTACTACCTTTCAAAACAATAATACCTCAATCACCACCACCACTACTGTTGCTACTCGTAATACGAGTCGTTCAACATTGGAATAAACAATTATTCATCAATTTGATGAAACAACAACTCAAACCCTCCACAACTAACGAATTCAAGACAAGTGAACTCCGAAATAACCCAATAACAAAAAAAAAAGAGAATTTTTGGTGTCCTCTCCCTCTCTCGTTGCCCTTGTTCCCATCCCACCAGACGCTCTGACAAGATAGATCCGTCCGAGAGTGAGAGGAGGAAGTCTAATAGTATCCTTTGAAATCACCAATTTTCCAACTTGATAAAAGAACAATAATATTTATGTATTCTCTACATCTCTACATCATTCAACAACAACAACATCAATAGTTAGTTCTCGTTCAACAACCACCACAACACCAACATCAAACGGAAAATGTTTGATATCACAATAGTTAGTCATACGTTAGTAACAGCATCAACACCCTATGTACTATATTGTATATCAATTCAAGTGGATGATCTCAATGCTCAGTGGTCCGTAGAAAGACGTTATTCTCAACTCAGAGATCTACACACCGAGCTGGCAAATTACTTTCAGAATTTACCTGATTTTCCTCCAAAGGTACGTTGTTTGTGGTGTTGGTGGAAACCGATGATGAAAGATCTTTAATGATTATAATTTCATATTTCATGTGTTTAAACAATTGATGATGACAATGATTATTTTCAAACGCCATATCATCACCTGTGGACTATTCTGCGGTGGTGATGATATTTCAATGACACTCTCGCTCGATTCATCGATTTCCACAAAAAATTCAATAATAATTCATCATCCATGTAGTATTGGAAAGGAAATTTGAAAGAACAAAAGATCTCTGAACGACAAACTCTTCTCAATCAATACTTTAAAACACTCACACGTAGAGATGATATTTTCAAGGCAGGACTCGTTCCATTATTTGTACTTCAATTCTTTTCGGCTCCTGCGCCAGTGAAAGAACTCTATGTCAATCCATCACTTACACTTCGTAAGAGTAGTGAGAAATTAATTCAGACTTTAAATGATGATGTATCTCCATCAGGTATGAGTGATAATAGCCCAAGTGCCAGCTCCAAAAGAAGATCTGGAAGCTCGTACGACATTGAAGCTGAGAAACCAATCAATGAATGGACGGTCGACGAAGTTGCTTCATGGATTCTTCAGCTTAACCAAGTCTATAACAACAACAACAATATGATCCAATCAAAATTTACTGAAGTTTTGAAATCAGAGTCCATAGATGGAAGCGTACTAATTTATTTAACAACAAGGGACATGATCAAGATGGGTACAAGAATTAGTGTTTCTGCATCAACAGGTCAACTCAATTCTGTTGTTTCCGATGCTTTTGCCAGTATTATTATCGAGAATATTCTTCGAGTGAAAGAGGCTCAAAAAGAATCAGGTCTCTATAAAATTGGTAATAGAGATGATATGGGTGATACGGATGATGATTTTGATGAGCAATCAGAACATCCTGAATCATCCACATTTATGACAACGACGACAACTACTACAGCCATGAACACTGACTATGATGATGATGATGATGATTTGAAACAAGACCTTATTGGAACTGTTGTACCTAGTGCCACCTCAAGATCTGACAATCACATGCATTCCATTAGCTCATCGGGACAAAGCTCCTTCTCTGGACGTATTTGTCCTGAATTTAATTTAGATACAGAATTAACAAAGGAAGAGCAAGAAAGCTACAATTATTGTATGAAAAAAATCATGAACCTTAAAGATCCAGTTCCAGAAAGTATCAGGAGGCGATTGTGTCAGGATTTGGTTATTCCTCAACGCTTCAAATTCAAATACTTGAATCCTAACTCCATTCCTCAAGAAGTATTAATGATGAACAGTCGTAGAAAGGAAGGACCATACCTTAAAATCAAGCTTATTATCACCGAGCTAGGTGAAGGATTTACTCATCGTACTATTCGGAGATTAGGCTCACTCGTTGGCCATAATGAAATCAAGAGTTCTGAATTTGGTCTTTTCCATAGTTCATTAATTATTGGCCCTGTTCAATTAGAATGGACTGATAACTCAATCGTCGTTCCAAGAAAAGAAAAGAGCAGTTCAAAGGCAGTTTTCGCAGTGGATGTCTGTAAAATTAGAGGTCAAGAGAATTTGAATGATATTTATGACAAGTTAGCACATTTTTGTACATTTTGGAATGGACATCGATTGTATGTTCAAAAAGATACAAATTGTCAACACTTTGTTGTGGAACTTCTCAAAGCAATTGGCGTTTATAATCAATTCAAGAAGAACATTGAATCCACAATTTTAGGGAAATATTTGAACAAGTTGAAAGAGTTTGGTACTTGTGAAATGAGTTACATAATACCAGAACATTTGGCTCAACGTATTTTAAAGGAATGTAAAGATGAAATTTCGAGCTCACTCAAGCAATTACTGCAAACCTCGCTAAAAGGAAAAGAAATTGTTTTTAATTCTCACTCAGTCCTTGACGAATATTATGAGACGGTTTTGAAGGTAGAACCAACATACTTTGATCTTGGTGATCACAAGAAGGAAGAAGAATTGCTCAAAGCCTATGACCGTGCGTTTTGGTTGAGACGTCAATCTTCCAAACTTTCCAATGATCCTCGAGTGAAGCCTCTTCGTGATCCATGCCCTTTTGACACAAACGGCGGAGCGAACACTGTGAAAGAGGGTGCCTTTTATCTGGGCGATTATGCTCCTGAATATCCTGTTCCAAGTACTGTGTTAAATCAACTCAAACAACAGCAACGAAGGAATAAATAGCTTCCTAATTTTGTGTAAATTGACTTCCTTTTTGGCTTATTGTTTCCAAAGAATGTAACATGAATTTTGGATAATGTCTTCAAAGAAGAAATTTTAATTTGTACATTAATTGTGATGTTCTTTTTGTTCAAAAAGCAGAGAGGCCGCCAGTTCAGCATTACCTTTGGCGAGTTCTAGTGCTTTTACAGCTGTTTCTCGGTCCACTCCAATCATCTCCATTAACTGTTTAATGACAGTCTCTTTCTCGGTACTACTTTGTCTCATGTCGAATGGATGAGGTTTGTTAATGTCATGCGATGTTGGTTTTGGAGATTCAATATCTGCAATTTCATTTGGACACTCGTGAGGTGGAAGAAAACTGATTTTCTCATCTCCAACACGCAAGACGTTATCCTTCAAATCAATCATCATTTGGTGACGCTTTAACATGTCAAGACCTAGCAAAAATTGCATTCCTCCTTGATTCAAAACTGTAATGGTGACCGGGAAAGTCGATCCTCCAAGTTGCATCAGCGTCAAGTGAATTCTTCCCAAAATTTCACAACTACCCACTCCCTTAGCAACTCCTCTATATCGAGTATCCAAAAGTCTCATTAATCCACACCTCTCTGCACACGACTTGCTCATGATGGTCATTTGAGCTCCACTATCTACAAATGCTTTCAAAGCATGACCATTTACTTTACAGTCGACATAGAGCATGTTGACTTGGAAGAATGTTTCAGGAGTGTGTTCCATGGCGTTGTGGAAATTTTCCTCAATATTTCTCATCTTAATTTCTTCTTCCAATAATTTTTGAGCTTCCACGTCGAAAGGATTCTGACGAAGTCTCTTCTCCAATTCTTGTTGTCGAGTGAGGCGTGGATTTGATCTTGAAATTCCTCCCAAAATTTCATTCAATAAATCTTCAGTGACTACGCCGCCTCCTCCTCCTCCTCCAGAGGAATAATTAGTTTGTAAATTTGAAGTGGAAGGAGGTGGAACCGAAGAAGTGCTTCTCGTATTGGAGGTTGTATTAGAAGAGGATGGTGGTGCTTGTTGAGGTCTGTTTGCATTCAAAGCATTGGATAGCAATTGAAATGGATTTTGCGTAGGATTAGTTCTGGCAGTGGGTGGTGTTGATTGTACAGATCTTCTCTTAAACACAACAAGTTCTGATTCCGAGATTCCATACTTTTCCAAAACATCTTCATCTCGCATTGGAAAATTCTGATAAAACATTTCTTGTTGTAAAATGGGTATTTTTGTTTCAATCTCCATCAAAGCCTTTAAATTCTCAACCGTGTCCGATTTAGGGTCCACTTCAAACGAATAAATATCACCTGTGATCTCATTGACGATGGTGAGTTGAACCATTTTTTTATTTGAAGTTTTGGAGTTATTTTTGGATCAAGATTCCTTTTTGGAAAAAAAGGCGTTGAAAAAAATTATTGATAGATCGCGATTTGTTGAACAACAAGATCAATAGGAGGCTTTGAATTCCGACAATGATGGATCCCGAAGCGAAAAAATTGATGAATCATGATGATGGTCCATATATTCAGGAAGTAATGAATAATTATTTCAAGAAGAATGAGAATGAAATGGTGTACAGAGAAGAAAAGGAAATGCAAATTCCACGAATAGAACTTTCTTTTGATTTGTATGAATATATTCTTGAATTTGTTCCTCCTGAACATTTATTCGGAAGTGTGATTTTTACATGTAAAGAATTTGCAAGAATCATTTTGCATGATGAAACATTTCATATTCAATTGGTTAGGAATAATATGAGTTCAAAGAGAAAATTAAAAAGAGTGATTGATGAGATAGGTCCAAATGGATACAATGGGAAAATATTAATGAGTTTGAATTGCAATAATGATGAACAAACAAACCAAGAGGAAGAGTTTGTTGAAATTGATATTATTCAAGAATTGAAAAAGATGAGCTTTTTAATGCGGTGGGGAATTAAAAAGTATTTAATTGGGTGTATTCGAAATGATTATGAAAGACCTTTAGTGTTGGTCTCTACGTACATGTATTCTGATGTTGTGAGAGAGCAAGAGGCCAATCACCAATTTTTCAACAGTTTGGTTCATGATCTCATCTGGACTCCTTCCGATAATGGTGTGATGGCAAAGGAATTACTGGCCTTGTATGAAAAGGTGAGAAAAATCTCCAATCCATCACTTCCAAATCTATTCAAAACAAAAATTAGAGGATTTCACTTGATTCATTCCCTTGCTTTTCACAACAGGGTAAACATTCTGAAATTCATGTGTGAACATGTACCTTCACCGCAAGAAGAAGAAAATCCTCAAACCACTGACAAGATTTCTCACTTGTTAGTGAGAGAACCTAGCTATCATCAAAACATTGCACATATTGCTACCTCGAGAAACAGTATGGAATGCTTACAATACATTGTCAACGATTTAAAGGTTGATGTGAATATACAAGACAGAGATGGATACACTTGTCTTCATATTGCATCCTCAAAAAACCTGGTGAATGTATGCAAATATCTTGTCCAAGTAGGAGCAGACAAAAACATGGTCGATCATTCACAAATGAAACCTTTTCAAAAATCCTCACGAAGAGAAATTCAAGAATTACTGAGGCCAAGTCTCTCAATGCTCAATACTTCTCTGCGATAAACACAGATGAAAGCTGTGATGAATGAGGCTGGTTATGTCATACCATTAGGGGTTTATTACAGTGCATCCCTCAATGTCGTTCTTGACACTTCAATAAGAAAATAAATGAACGCTAAGCGAGACTAAGATTTTTCGTGTCACTCGATTAGGAATATGATCACAATCGAGGGACTCTCTCTGAAACAATTTCATGTCACTATAGTGATTGTACAGAAAATGTCTCAAAACACAACCTTCAGCACCACCACCACCGCCACAACGTTCAGAACTTTCGCATGCTCATTCATTCATGCCGTTTTAAACATGACCTTTCATCTGCAAACAAGTCTCAAATTCCTTCTCTCTCAAATCATCCGCTCTTTTCATTGTTTATCGGATTGTTTCATTTCTTGTTGGTTTCACCTCTTTCCATACTTCAATTCTGTTAAGAATGATCATCATCACGTTCTTGTTGCACTTACTTTCCAACCCGATATGTGTTACGAAGCACTGAAATTTCTCCCTCCTTCTGATTTGTATCAATGCATGAAATCGGGATCATTCCTTTGCAAGATCATTGTGCAATACAAGGTCTTGGCTCCGTACTGTGAATCAGCGCTGGCACTTCGTTTGTGCACAACACAAGATCATAATGAATCGTGTTTGATATCAATTTTAGAAACGGCCGGAAGAATGCATTCGCCTCCCATCATGATGATGTCCGGATATGAGGAGAGAACGAAGAAATTACCACATGCTGCTCCTATTCTATTCAAGAATGATTTATTACAAATCATGTCTTTCGGCTTGAGGAGGAACAACCCGAGAATTGTGTTTTCAACCTTACATCTCCTTACTCACTCACCCTTGTCTATTGGTTCAAACCTCCATCCTCAGAATCATCCACATGATCTATCATCACTCACCGAACAACCACCTTCACCACTCTCATGGCAAGATCTCTCCCAAGTCTTCCAATACATGACAAGCATTGAACAACTTTCTCCCGAGCTCTTCCGTAACCTATTCACCCATCCTTCCATTCAACCTTTGATCCCCGACTTGAAAACTCACCTACTCGATCAACAACAACAACAACCAAACCATCAAACTCAAACACGCTCTCCCTACCGACCACAAGTGGTTTTATTTTTTTTAAGGCATGCGTCCCAAGTCCCGAACATGGAACTCTCATGCGAGGAGTGGCTGTCTCTCTATGACTCGATGGACCTTCTCGAGTCCTCAACCTACAACTTTGAACATGTCTTGATGTTTGAGGATTCCATTGTGGATGTTCTTTCTCACCTATGGAGCTTTAAACAAGGGAGAAGCCGCATCGTGAGAGATTATTGCACGTTATTGTCCATATGGACAGGCCAGACGATTGAATTGATTGATTTTCTCCTGTGGATGAATGCAAAAGAAAGAAGGAAACAACTGCCACGTTTACTTTCAATCACTTCAGTCTCATGGAAAAAAGCTGTCTTGAATCATACGAAACAAGAATTGTTTCATGAATTTTCCTGGCCATTCTTTGAGTGGGCAAAGCAAAATTTTCAACATGGTTTAATGTTGAAATGTTTGGAAAGGGATTCTGTGTTTTTGTGTGAGATGAATGCACATGATTTTGCAATGGAATTGATTGTTTTTAGAAGATTCTTGTTATTGGCCAAATTCTTGGAGTGGTTGGCAATTTACCAAAAAAAGGAAAACTATGGATTGCCACACAAACATGTACAAAGTCAAGTACTGGCCATGCTTCGAGTTCCAAATGCCAGATCTTTGTTAATTCTTGTGTTAGAAAGGGCATTTCCGCTAGGATCTTTCGAGCATTCCAACTATCTTGGAACTCGTCGTGATTATTGTAAGAATGATCGAATTTGCAATGAAAAAGAAGGACTCATTGTGTTCATGAACACATTGGATCTACTCTTCCCATTGGCTCTAAAGAAAGAAGCAGCAGTGACAAACACCAATGCAGGAGATGATTCTCTGAAAGAAGATTTGGTTGAGAAAAAAGTCATGCTTTTGCAAAACGAGGAAATTTCAAAAGTATTGAAAAAGCTTCGACTTGATCATATGCACAAGAAGAATCGTTCAACCCCTCCAACACTTGAAATTAACATGATGATCGAAGGAGATAATTTGAGGGATGAAAGTAGTTGGAGAAATTCGAATGATATCATCCTTAATGAAGACTTTGAAGAATGGTGTTCATCTTCTTCGACTTATTCAGACGTATCGCAAGAGATGAGTGGCGACGATGAGAATGAGCAGGAATACGAGGATCTTGAATGGATCTCCTCTCAGCATCAAATTCTTGAAAAATTCAATAAGAAAAGAATCGAAGGCTTAGAGAGACTCTTTTTCGGCGAGGAAGAAGAGTAAACTGAATATAATATCTTCTGATCCTTTTCGATTTCTCTGTAAAATTGTAAAATTGGCCTTACCATTCACAATGCACCGGGGTCAAGTCAGTACAAGGATGTTGCATTCTGATAGAATTTGCTGAAATTGTTGCTTTCATGATACGGGTTTAATCATTATTTCAAAAAGGCCACATCTGATGGAAACATAAGGGGACCATTCTTAATCTTGTCTGCAATGGCTGAATCTATGCCGTATGTTTTTGCGTGAACTTCAATGCCTTTTGGACTATAAAATCCAAAACTTCCCAAGAATTTGCTTGAAGGTTGCTGCTTCTTGTCTGAGTTTGCTCCTAAATATCTAAGCCAATTAGAGTCACGCTCGTCTCCAACAATTTGAATCCAGTGAAGGTTAGGACTGAAACGAGAGGCTACAACTCTCATTAATGTCCATAAATCATCCTCATGACCTGGCTTGGCATATAAATGATCGAATTTAAGACTTCTAAAACTTTCTTTTGAATAATGAGTTCGCTTAAAACCAAATACTTGAGAAAATGCCATGACACGATCAAGAGTCACATCACCACAATTCAAAATATTCAAATCTTGAGGTGCTACAAATTTTGCTCCTGCCACAATTTCACCTTCCTTATAAATCACAAAGTAATTTCCAGGTTCAGGTCTTTGATACACGGTTTTTGCTTCTTTGAAATTACAGAAAGAGCCATCCAACACTTGATATTGTTCGTATTCTTCTTGTAAAATTCCAACAACCTCTTGTTGCAGGGAAGTATGACCTTCAATGACAGCAACAACTCTCTTGTCATATTCAACATTTAAAGAGTGGGCCAAAACAGAACCAAGACTACCAATGTGCTCCATTCCCATTTGTTGATTAATGGCAGCAGTGTTTGAATCACCTTCCTCCACAAAAGAAAGAATAATTCCATAATTTGAGTCACCTCTCGCAAACACAATATCTGTATCTTTTGTACTCTCCTGTACCAATGCGCTCTCGATGTCTTTATCCCGTCCAGCGCTCACTGTAAAGTTTCTCTTCACAAGAGGAATTTGTTCCAAGGTTGATGGATCTGTGAGTGTGGAGGTCTCCGATGATTTCTTCACCCACAATGTATCTAAAGTAACATGATCAAATCCAAGAACATTGCCATTTGCATCAACTCCAGCAACAATGTGATTCCTACTTCCCATTTCCAAATTTGAATAATTAATATTCAATTCATTTAATTTATACTTTAAGACTTTTCCTCCTAGTTCTGATGATTTAAGAAGAGCATTGAGCTGTTGTTTTTGATCAGCGTTCAGTTTACTGTCCTTTATGAACGAGGCTATGGATGATCCGGATGAAGAAGATTTTGAAATAGTATCCGATGAGAAATTTCTACGTGTTTCTCCGATGAAGGATTGCAATACAACAAGATGAAATTTTGATGCCAGTGATGATACTGATGATGATGAAGATGCACACGACCCGAAGGCTTTGGCCTTTGACAACGCACTCAATGAATTTCGAAACATTTTTTTTTCGAATCAAATTCAATCAACAAGTTGTGTTCATTCCACAGAGAGGAATTTATGAAAATAAATTCAACCTGTTGAAGTATTTACAACAAGAACAACACTGCAGTGTTTGTTATGAAAATATTGCAAATGAATGGTACCTAGGTTTAATGTTGTTGTTGTTGTTGAAGATAGAGATTCTTGTATCTCCTCAAATCGAGATTCTCCTTTTCCAATTTCAGAACGTCCTTATTATACGTATTCTTAATGAGTTCATGTTTCTCATCTTCCAACTCTCTCAAATGTTTCTCCATTTCTGCAAAGTCCTGTTCAAATCTCAGCAATTCACTCTTACATTGTAAATTCTCTTCTGTTAATTGTTCAATCTTTGTCTTGCTTTCTTCAATAGTTTCTAAAAGTGCATTTAATTGTTCCTGAGTGATGGCTGCATGTTGTTGCACATTAGATGGCCTCTTTTGTTCATAAATCATGGAATGATAATTTTCATTGGCTCTCTTTAGAAGCAAGTTGGATGACTCTAATTGTTCAATCTTGTCTTTTAACAACTTCAAATCGTCAACACTGCTTTTAAGGAATTCATTTTGCTTGGTGAGATGTTCAATGGTGGATTCGTGTTTCTTATTCTTGGTTTCACTCTTCTCGAGCTTACTCTTTAAAAGATCAATTTCTGTTTCGAGGGATGAAATCTTCTCGTCGAGAGCATAGGTATTGGTTTGTGGAGCTGGTTTGGAGATTAATTGTTCTATGGACAAGTTTAACTCTTGAATTTCATGTCTGAGTTGTTGAGCTGTGGATTCTAATTGGTCATTCTTGAGTTTGTAAGTGTCAACAAGAGAATTGAGCTTTTGATTCGACTCCTTGAGATCTGAGTTTTGTTGTTTCTCACTCATCAAGACTGTTTGTAAAGCAGAGAGTTCATCTTCCTTGTTCTTGAGCCGTTTAATTTCCTCCTCGTAAATGTTAATTTGGGTTTGCTTTTCTTGATTGTCTCGAATGGCTGATTGAAGTTGGTCTTGTGCTTCCTCAAGTTCCTCCGTTAAATCCTTGACTCTTTTCTGCGCTTCTTCGAATTGCTGGAAAGTATTCTCCAGCTTGTTAGTTACATGATTAATATCACGTGTCAAATTCTCAATGAGTATTGTCTTTTCTTCGAGTTGTGACTTGTAAATTGAGGAAATTTCTTGTACCTTCGACATCTCTTCACTTAATTGATTAATGTCAGCCTGTTTGTGGTCAATTTCAGAAATTAATTGCTTGTTTTGAGCGTCAAGCTGTTCCACAGTAGCTTCCAGCATTTTGACATGATTCGTTGCTGTTTGATACTCAACAATGAATGCAGAAAGATGTGTCTTCTTTTCTTCGACTTCTCTTGTGAGCTGTTCATAGAGTTCTCTGTACTTGTTTGCTGTCTGCTGTTCTGTGTCTAACATCTTTTTGGCATCCTCCAAGTCAGAGGAAAGTTTCTCAATGTCTTTCAGAAGTTTGTTTTGATTCATAATCTTCTCTTGATGAGCATCAAACTTTATACTCTTCTTTTTCAATTCCTTTACCTCCTTATCCAAGATTTGATAAGATTTAGAAAGATCTGACTTTTCTGCAGTGAGTTTTTTGATTTTTTCTTCGAGTTTTGCATGTTTCTTCTTGAGCTCTGTATTTTCGAGAAGAAAAGGATTCTTTTTCTTTTCCTTTTCTAACATGGCTTTTTGTTTTAATACATCTTGAGTTGCATTGTTCATTTGATTAATGGCTTCTCTTAGATATTGATTTTCTTGTTGCAACTCTCCAAGAATACGATCTCGTTCCAGAATTCCTTGTTCCATAAAGAACATTTGTTCTTGAAAGAGCACAAGTTGTTGTTGAGCAATTTTCTCAGCCTCTGAAGAAGAGTGAGAAGATTGTGAAGAATGAGCAGAAGTGTTGAGTACTTGTTGTTCTTCTGTGGGTGATGTTGTTGTGCTTACAATAGAAGAGTTCATGAGAAGATTCTTTTTCGAGGCATGATGATTGGTCGTTGTGGTGGTAGTGGTGCTTGGAAGAGGAGGTTTTGACGAAGAAGCAAAAGACTTCTTTTTAGGCACTGAGTGGACTCCACTCAAAGAAGAAGAGGATGAAGGATTACTTTGTACAGAGAGGTTGGAGGAAATGGAAGCCCTTCGTGAGAGACTCTTTCTTGAAGCAAGGCTTAATCGACGATGACCTGCAAAGCCCGAGTTATTGTTGTTGTTGGTATTATTGTAGTTGTTGTTGTTGTTGTTGATATTGTTGGAGGAAATACTTAATCGTGTCTTTGAGTGAGTCATGCTACAATGATTGAGAATATTCTCTTGATCCGATCCATCGAAAGAAGAGGAGGTGGGTGCAACAGCCATCATCATGGAACTTAGTTTTCTCTTCTTTGCATGTTGGGTGGAGGTTTCGTGAGGAGTGATGAATGATGGTTGTTGTTGTGGTTGCTTTTCATGGTTGAAAGGTTTTGGCGAAGGTGGATAGAAGAAGGTTTGAGAAACTGAATTGTCGACAATGGTGGAGTGATGGCTGTTGTTGTTGAAAATGTCGTCTGTGGGTCCATACACAATGGGAGTGTCTTCGTGAATGACAAAGTCTTCGACCGTTGTTGTTGTTGCTGATGAAACTGGTTCGTGTTGTTGGGAGAGTATGGATTGATTCATTTTTTTTAAGTGTGTTAAATTATAACGTTAAATTTTGGCGGGCTTGAGTGTGGCTGACAAATTCCAAAAGTAACTGAAATTAATCTTGTTTTATTAAGACCTTGTAACAAAAAACAAAATCATGTTGGTTTTTCATAAGTAGAAGTCAGGTCTCATAATCCATTGGTACACACGTTCTGATTTCTGCAGATGACCCTCCAAAGAAAAGCAATGAAGTCACAAATGTGCAAATAAAGAAATGATGAAACGACGAGAATAAGTAGAAGGAGAACCAACCCGAAACCAGTTCATTTCTATGCGCTAGTTTTGTCATCATACACCAAAAAACCAACTCGCGACATTCCACTTGACTCCGAGGTCTCAAAGATGGAAAGCGTTTTTCAAGTTCAACTTTTGGTTTGCATTAAAATCTTTTTAAAAATGCCACCAAAGAGAAAGAACACGTCCGCTTCAGCGCATCCTCAAAAATTGTGTGAAAGAAAACTCCTGTTCATTACGATGATGTTGAGTATCAGCCCATTTTCAACCACTTGAGCATTTTTGTAGCAGAGTTTGATTTCTCTCAATTCTAAGGAAGACTTGGACGGTGTTGGAATTCTTTCCGCCGGTCATTTCTCCAGAATTAGCTTTTCCTTTTTCGAACATGATCAGGTATAAATCAAGATGGTTCCTCAAGAGGAAACATCCAAAAAAAAAGTCCTTAATCGTTTTGTTCCTTGTTGTGGTTGCTCAGAACACACACGACGAACACACACACCTTCCATAAACTACGAATCAACATCATTTGTATCGCCGACGTCGGCCGAGATTTTTCTCAGAGAGAGCCCTCGTTGTTCATTGGGTCATCTCAAAAAAACAACAAGCCCAAAAGGACAAGACACACTCACGTCGTCCAACCAATTTAAAGTTGGTGGAATCAAGGTTATATTCCTCTCTCTTCATCCATCGATTCGATACAGGAATATTACAAGATGAATTCCACCAATGCGGCTGCATCATCGCCTTACCATCAGAGCTCGGTGAGACCTCAGAGAAGTACTCTCCAATATCACTATCATCATCGATCCTCCTCCTCCCCACCGAATAACAACAACCAAAGGAATTATATGAACCACCCCCATAGCTCTCTTTTATCCCCTTCATCGAATATGAACTCCACATCACTCATGCTTAATAATAACAACACAGCAACATCCTCTCCGACTCATAAGGGCAGTAGCCATTTGATAGTTCGAAGAAGCAGTATCGTACGACATAAAGAAGTCAATGACTCCACCATGTTTACAGAGACATCTCGGCGACCCTCCACAACCCGTCTGCCGTCCCTATCTTCACCAAAAGCTGCTGTTGCCTCTTCAAACAGTAGTAACAACAGCTCCTCATCGACTTCTCCTCTCTCTGAAACAACTAGTTCTTTCGCTAGCACGGCCAGCATCAGTGTGAATGGAAATTCCATTTTAACAATTAATTCATCTCCTTCGTATGTGAACTCCACGAATACAGGTGCTCTCTCTCAAACACATAAACATCCCAAGTTTAACAGAATGCACTCCACTCTTGGAATTATACAATTGAGGAATCACTCGAGTCAGTATCGAAATTCAAATCCTTCATTGGCTAATGATGAACCACATGATCGTCAGTATTGTCGGAGTCCATTAAGGTCTACCACTTCCACTTCTTCTTTACTATCTTCTAATCAGACGTGCAATGAAGGAAGCGAAAAATCATTGATCATTGGACCTAGCTCTTTGGTTCAGAGTCCTCCACCCATGAATATTCATCCCTCATTGCTTGTTTCACCTGACCTTGACTCGTCTCCCTTCAGGAAACCAAGTTTGTGCTCGGCCAGAAAGAGAAGTACCTTCCAAGCTCCATCGATGGATGAGGAACCAGATTTAACACGACGATCTTCGTTTTCAAACCAAGGGCAACCGCCTCAACAAATGGATGCACATCGATCTGCAACGCCGGTTCCAGGAGGATATTCTTCCAGAAGTATGAGTCCAATGGGCATGGTATCATCTTCACTCATTTGTCAAGCACCAAGCATGCCATCAAATTCGGCATGCCCTTCCACAAGTTTTTCAACCACTGTCACATTTAACTCAACAGAAAAAACGAGCCCAACCAATGCTAAGCAAAATCAGGAACCAAAACGAACAAACTCTTCGTTTGTGGAAAAGATTTCGAACGCAGTTGAAACTCAAAGGCAAATTGAAGCATTGAGAGATTATGTCAAACTTGATTCTTTTGCCTTTGGCTCTCAAAACGAAGAGTATAAAGAATATTCTGCAGTAGATACAAAGAATGACGAGCTCTTGTACGGTAAATATGTGGATATGTATGGAGACCAGAAAATGTTGCTCAATGTACACAATTTGGTCAAGGAATATATCAACACAAAAGGATCTAGAAAGAATGTGGATGATGTGAATGCAATTGTTATGGATGTTTTAAGAAAATTTAATTCAAGAACTTTGAAAAAGAACAAGTCAGAGGCAACAATACGTACATTCAATTTGAAATAGCAATCCAAAACAAATTTGAAGTCGATACCTAGTTGGCATGTATGCTCCTGTGCCCCATCTCTACTCTTTGCTTTTGGTGAACTCCATCTTTTTCTTTTTGCTGCCACGATAGTCTTCTGGGTTGACAGAGCCACTTCCAGCAGTTGCAGACATGAACCCTTTCTGACCTATATGATCGAAAGTTTTTCGCTTCTTTGTATCCGTTAAGAACTTGGAGAATCCGAATGGATCATCATCTTCATTAGAAGGCGGCTCACTACTAGATGTTGCTTCCTTACTGCCTGCACCACCACTACTGCTGCTGGCTGTTGACACTTCTTTTTGGAAAACAACAGGACCTGGCTGTCTTCTTGACACATTTCTAGATGATTGTTCCTCGTCAGTTTCAAACTTATCTTTCATATTTACACGCTCGTCCAACTCTTGGAACATTCGTATTCTCTCCTTGTTAGGATTGTATAACTTTCCGGCATTAGTTTCCCCAAATAAAGCTGTATCATACACGTTGTAGTCCTCGTCATCGAATTTTGAAGTCTCTATCATGGCAGACGATGACTGATTGAGTAGTCTGCTATCGATTTGAACTTCACTACTGCTATAGGTAGTTTTTTGAGGTTGATTAAAGTTCACTCTCTCGGAAACTTCTCTTCCTTCTGATGAGGTTGCTCTTCGATCAACGGTTCGTGACCTAGCTCGTTCCTCTTTGGACTTTAAGTCCTTGTGCAATTGTTTGGCACGATTTGCTAATTCTCTAGTTTGTTGCAACTCTCTTTCTTGTTCCATTTCTGCGATTTTTCGTTGCATTTCAGCTCTTTCTTTGATTTCTAGTCTTGCATTATGTTCTGCCAAATTAAGAGAGGCTGTAAAATCAGCAAATTGTGGGTTAATTGTAATCTGTTGTAGGTTTCTTCCATCTGCTAGAATTCTTTTATCCAGCGGTATGATAATACCCTTTCGATTTGTGTAATTCGACACACATGGAGGAATATCCCAATTTGCTTGATCAGCCTTTGTCAACTTTTTTGGTTCTGAATGCATGACTGTAGGAGGAGGTGACGGAGGTCCATTAGGCATCTTTTTGATGTGAAATTTGGCAGGCTCCACAGGATCAGTGGGCGCTTCTTCAATTTGGATGAATTTGATATCCGCATCAGTACCTCCTCTTGGTTTATATCTAAAGAATTGTCTCTTTTCTATTTTGTTCTCACTAGCAGCAGCAACAGATCGGTTAATGCCTTCTCCGATATGGGCCGAGCTTATTTTAATATTCAATTTTTGCTCGATAGCTTTTTTTGTTTCTAATACATTGGTTGCGGATTGATCGGATGATGGCTTTGCCAATTCATCATCATCGACATCTGCTTCGATCATGTCCGAGAATTTGGTGAACGCTAGAGCACCCTTTCTCATTCCTTGAGTAACAATCTTATCAAAATTAACATTGCCATTCGCGTCAACTTGCACGGAAAGGACATTTCCAGACGCATTTCGATACTCTGATTTACGTCCCATGTTTAATGGAAATTGAGAAACATGAATTTCCGGATAGGCTCCTCCATCATCAAAATCTGCTTCAACGGACGGTATCCAATCCGAATGTTCTCGTTCTCCATATTTCGGAATTTTTGTATGATTTGATTTCGAATGATGATTCAGTGTTGATTTCTTCATCATGGTGGAAATTTCTTCCTCCGCACCATTGTGTTCTTCTTTTTCCAACAGTAACAATTTGGAATGTTTAGGAGGTGGAAGCAATGAAAATAACGTGGACATTTTTTTTAATAATTTTTTTAAATAATCGATGATCTGTATGCAATCGATTGAAGATGTATTAAGCTCGTCATCTTGACCTCTTTTCAATTACAATGGATCAGTTTTTTATTATTCATTTTGCAAGCATATTGAAGCTGAACAATGGTCAAGCTCTTTACCACTCCTCCGTTCGGAGTTGAAAATCTCACACAAAAAAAATGTCTTCTGCTTTTGAAGAAGTGATTGTTGAGACTCCTGCTCAATTCGATTCCACTATGCAATCGGTGGTGAATAATCATCCGGGTTCATTGGTTTTTGTTTACATCACTGGTAAGAAGGATACAACTACAGGAAAGAGTTGGTGTCCAGATTGTGTGGTTTCTGTACGTGTTGTTGTCCAATTTTAATTTCAAAGTTAATATTCACATCTTTCACGTGATTGCATCAAAATGATGATGATGATGATGATGATTCAATATTCATTAATATTGCCAACACTAATATTGTTTTTTTTAATGCACATGTGTACACAATAGGAACCAATTGTTACCGAAGACTTCCTTCCTGAAGTTGACAGAGAATGCAAGAAGAAAGGACTCAAGACCATTCTTGTGAAAGCTCTCGTTGAAAGATCCGAGTACAAGGGAAATCCACAATATCCATATAGAACTCATCCTGATTTGCGTGTCAAGTCAATTCCAACATTCATCTTATGGAATGCCAAGGACGACGAGAAGGCCCGCACTGATAACTTTAATGATCTTGATCGATTGGATGCTATGCGTGTTGCAGCCATCAAAATTGCAAAACAATAAGTTTATTTACGAGAGCGTGGTGAAATGATTGTCTCTATGATTTCATCAGCATTAACAGTATTTGGATTAATTCGTTGTAAAAGCTGTCTGCTTCTTTTAAGTAGAGTTTGCTGTAACTGCTTTTTTTCTTGCAATTCTTGTTTTGCCTTTTCTATAAGATCTACCTTTTTCTTTTTATCCTCAATAAGAGTCATCGTTTGTAGTTTTTTGAATTGTTCGATTCGCTTTGCTCTTTCCACACTCTCTTGTTTTTCAAGTTCTTTTAGCCTTTGCTCTTCCATTTTTCTTAACGCTTCAATCTTAGCTTTTTCCATCATTTCAGAGTTCATCAATTCTTCCTGTTGTTGCTTGAGAATGATTTTTTCAACCTTTTTTTCCATTTCTTCCTTGTTTTTCTGAATAACATCCAATCTGTGCATCTCCTTGCTTTGCTCTTCAATTTTCTTTTTGTGCATCAGTAGCGCCTTCTCTTGTTCAAACTTTTTAAGCTGATCTTCGTTTGTATTGATCTTTTCAAGAACTTTGGAGATTCGTTCTTGCTCAATTCTCTCACTTTTCATTTTCGTTTCACGAATTTTAGAATCTTTCAACAGAGCCATTTCCTTTGTCTGTCTCAAGGTTTTGTCTTTCAACATTTCAATTTCCTTAATCTTCTTTTCAAAATTCTCTTGTTTTTCAAGAAGATTCTGCTCTTTGGCTTTTTGAATTTCTTCATCTCTCATGAGGGCTTGCTTAACTTTTTCTGTTTTCCTCATTTTCATGAAATCTGTTTTCGCTTGGAGTTCTCTAAATCGTTCTTCAACCTGTCGTGTTCTTGCATTTTCTCGTTCTTCCACTTCTTTTTGGCGCTCTATTTCTTTAGCTCGTCTTTCATTTCTGAGCTTTTCTAATTCCTGTTGCCTTTCCAAATCGCTTTGATCACGTTTCCGAATGGTTTCTTGCTGTTTTTCAAGTCGTTTCTGTTTTTCTATTTCTATTTTTTCCTCTCTTGCTTGAAGTTTCTTCTCTTTCTCTTGTTGTTTTCTCTTTGATTCAATTTCATAATGGATTAAATGTTCAAGGTAGGATTTGTTGCTCTTGAAGTGGTGTTCATATTTCTTTTGCTCTTCAAGAAGCACTCCAAATGTTTCATCGAGTCCATCATTTCCATTGAGCACACAATCACCAGCATCAGAATCCTGAATTGCAATTTTGTGTCTCTCTTCTCTAACCATATGAAGTTTTTCTTTTCTTCTTGTTTCGTAGTGAGACCATCTCATTTTCACAATATCAGGAGGTACGCCTTTTGAATAGAATTCTGATTCATCTTTTTTAATGAGTTCGGTTGGCGATATTCCAGTTCTTAAGCACGCCTCGATTGATCTTGGAGAAGTGAGTAAAATTTTTTGGTCCTTTGCGTTTTCGTCAAAGTTTTCCAAGCTCTTTTTTTCTCCAGAATCAGTAAATCTCATACCCATGGATTCCAATTTTCTATTAATTTCTACATAATCAGTAAAGTCGGAAAATGCACTTGAACGACTCTTTGAACTTGGAGGTGTGAAGAGCTTTGCTATCCGTTCTCTTGATTGAGACCTTCTATTGGTCGACAACAAGCTGCTAGCGGAATAGTAAATTTTTGGAGAAAATACAGTAAGATTATTTCTGGTTGGTGTTACAGGTGAAGCGCTTTGTTTGGATCTGTTGGTTGAGGGCCGTTTGCAAGAGTCAATCTTAGGGCTTTGTGAAATGTTTCTGTGAATGCGTTCCGAATTTTGTTTTTCCATGGAACGATTTACACTCTTGTTTGCACTGCTAGGCCTGAGCGCTGGTGAAGAGGTGTGATGTTTTAAGTTGCTTAAAGAAAGTTTAGGTACAATGGAAGGAACAGATCTCGATTGGGAAAGATCCTCTCTTGTTGGATCTTCATTGTGCTCTGTGTTTTGTCGAGTGCTAGGTGCTTGGATGCTTGAGACCGGAATGGGACAGTGTTCTTTAGGCACATTATTAGCTTCGTCTTGAGCTCCAAACCTAGAGGTAATGGGAGATGGCACACAAGAATTTTCATCCTTCTCATCCAGGGCATTATTATTTTGCTCTTTTCCGATTGATGTTAATGGAGTAATATCGTCCTCCATGCGATTGTTGTTATGCTCCCATTTTGGGGGCGTAGTGAGCGTTGTTGTTGTTGTTGTTATTTCCTCTTCTTCTTCGACGTTGGCCATTTGTTGCAAGAAGACTGTTATTAAGACTGAGGGTTATGTACGCTATTTTTTGAGGCGGGTGTGGCTCTTACAAGGATCTTGGATCGGAATGAAGAGATATGTAGTGCATGGCGCTTTTTACCATCAAATCTACAGAACACCTCAAAACTGAACAAACAAATTGATGGAAACCACAACGTAAGTACTATTTTTTTTAAAATGGCTCTCGTCCACAAATAAAAGACAAAAGAAGAGCTCCAAGAGGAATGATGACGCAAAACTGTTGAATGGTTGCTACTGAATAGACTCTCAATGGGTCCATGGTTCAAAACGCAGTATAACATGACTGACTCGATTCTCCCTCAACGCGAAATATATGTTCACACATCGACACACATGTCTTATTGGTTTCCGCTCTTGATTTTTGTTCCGTGGTGCCGACCGAATAGGAAGCTGTTCCTTCCATCAACGGATGTTGTGGATGTTAACAGACTGAATAGGCAACTTCTCAAAGAGAATGTAAATTCCCTTGTTGCTATTAGTGCAACGCGATCCTCTCAAAGATGCAATTTTAATGAGAAAAGAGAGAATTTTTCTCAATATCCGGGTCGAAATGAAAAGAGAGAGAAAGAGAGATCACGGTCTTTTCGTTGTGAGTGTGTACAGTTACATGCAATGTGTCGAGATCCTTAGATGCTTTCGACCTCCTCAGGAGCGCGCACATACAATTACCGTAATGAACCAAAAGGGATGGTGGTTTTCGGTTGAAACTTTGGGAGATTAAGACACACTTTCGAGCATGAACGTGCATGAGGGGTGCGCAAACACACCTACATTAAAAAATGATAAATCATGAAACGCAGGTATCTCTCCCTCATATTCAGCTATCGTTTCCCGAGTTGAGTTCATCGCTGCTGCCTTCTGTTTCAGAGGTTCCTCTTACAGAGATTAGAAAGAATGCTCAGGTAGGTGGTTGGTTGTATAAGAAAATGTTTCTTAAAGAGATGGCGAGGGAGCCTTGACTTGTGTGTTTGATGACCATCCTCTTCTGTAAATCATCGGGAACACAACCTTCATTTCGCTTCATCAAATTCGATCGAAATCAATAGAAAAAAGGACAACTTCTCGAGCGCTATCTGGTCGATGAAAATCTCGGAGAAGTCGAGCGGGCTGAATATCTGCTCACGAAAGGAACATCTGTACAAAAGTGTTCTGTACTTGAAAACTTGCCATCTCTATTTCAAAGACACCAACAAAAAGCCATCTCGAAAATAGTCTCCCTCTTCTCGGTATGTCATTTTTCTGAAATGATGTTCTTATTTCTGACATCTTCTTGCTCAACGTTAGGATAAAATCGGAAAAGAAGATGAAGAAACTCAAATTATGATTGGAGACTATTTGGTTCCGTGTTTTCCTTTACTACATCCAGAAAATATGAAAGAAGTATTCGCGCTTATACAATCAATGATAAATAACTCTGGAGAGCATGTATCATCAGTTTGGCAAGATGTATTAATCTCTGCCGTAGATTTTATGGCACCCTCACTCTTGGAACATGAAATTATTCCCTTTGCCATCCAGAAAGGAAGCTTATCAGAATCAGAAGGCAATCGATGTTTTTGCGCCAAGCTGTTGGGTGCTCTTTCAAAACGTCTGCCCTTCCAAATCATAAAGCAGTCGTATCTTCAAAAATCGTTGGATCTTTGTCAAGACACATCATTCTCGGTAAGAAAGACAATGGCACAAGAAATTATTAATTTATCAAAAGGATTAGGGTAGGTTGAACCACTTGTTATGAAGCTTGTCCTTGTCACCAACTCGTAAACAATAGCCCTGAAAAATCCAAACAATTTTTAATGCCTGAGTTATTTCAGCTTGTAAAAGATGAAACCAAATTGGTGAGACAGGCAGCCTTGGAAACTTTGACAAACATGTTAAGCTTTTTCGATGAAAAATATAGAGCGGATCAAATTCAACAATATTATTTGAACTGGGTCAAATCACCTCCGAGCGATTTGTACAGAATACTCGTTGAGAGGTTTGGAGAAATATTCTATTACTTACAAATTAGGGAAGAGGATCAAATTGCATGTTTTGTCAACTTTTTTGTTTCAGCAGCTAAAGACAATTCTCAAGAAATTCGTGAATTTTGTGCATTCAATTTTCCTGCTGTTGTTAAGTGTGTTGGATCCAAGAGGTATGAGAAATGTTTGCATAACAGCATGGTGGCTTGTTGCGAGGATCCAAGTGTGGCTGTTAGAAAGAGGATTGCTTCTGGTTTTCATGAGATAGTTAGGCTGCTATCAGAGGATGGAACGGCCAAACTCCTTAAAAACCTTTTCTTTTCCCTGCTGTCGGTAAGTTGATGATAGTATGCAACAACATCATATAACTAGTTTATATTAGGATTCCAATATGGACGTGAGAGACAAAATTGTGCAAAACTTGAACACGATTTTAACATGCTTTAAAACAGCTTTAGCAAAAACATCGGTAAGTAATAACAACAGTAATTAAGGTATGATAGAACAACACTTACTTTGCTAATAGGATTCCTTTTTTACCAATGTGATCAGCTCCATCAACAATTATCACAGTGGAGTGCAAAACGATTGGAGAAGATTGGAAAACTATTTTTCCCATTTTCAATATTTTCATTTATATTTTTCGAGAGATCAAATAATAGACACGTTCATTCCCATTCTTAAAAAACAAATATTTGAGGGAGTTGCACAACCTGTAAAAATTCAAGCCGCAACCTCACTTGTGATTGTCACAAGAGGACTTCAAAGCTTACCAAGACAAAAAGATATTTTGTCGAGCGTAACCAAGGACCTTATCAGCAGCAGGTCTTATTCCAATCGCATGATGTTTTTTGATTTATGTATTCCAATCATGGAACATTATAGCAAAAAATTTTCGAAAGAACTACTTTTCGATAACGTTATGAAAATGGAGAAGGACAAAGTTCCTAATGTTCGAAGACGGTTTTGCTTCATGCTTCCAGAGTTGAAAAAAACATTGACACTTCCTGATGATGTCCTTCTTCTAGCGAAAATTAAGGAAAAACTCTCTTATTTGAGCTTGGATAAAGACAGAGATGTTAAGGAGGCAGCCATGACTGCAAGGAACATCCTTCATACTATTGAAACTGAAACAAATCGAGGATTCAGACTCAACCTTCAAAGCATGGACGACATTGCTGACAAGAAAAAGGAGAAGGAAGAGTCAGAATGGACTGATCGAGAATATATTACATCAATAACATACATGAGCCCGAACACGTCCTCTTCAACTCAGATTTCTCCTCCTTCCACATCCATTTCTTCTATGAGAAGGAAATCTATTCCCAATGCTTTGAAACCTCCTACCACTTCCTCTAGTAACCCTCCAAAATCTAAATCTCCGTCGCCTACACCTTTTTCGTCCTCCTCTGGTAAGCCCAAGAGTGGAAACACTATTTCAAGAACTCAAAGGTATGTGAATGTCATTTGTTTTGAATCATGATGGAATTAACCTTAATGCTCATTATTTCTAATAGTTCCACATCAAAGAATATCACCTCAAACGAGCCATCATCCAAACACAAAAGTAAATCAACTCCCTCTCTTTCTGTGAACCATTCCCATTCCATTCCTCGAAGTACCTCTTCCCAATCCAAACATTGATGAAGAGTAAAATGTTTCATCACCAGTCTGTTTTTGTTTTCTTTGAAGGATTTGAACTTGTAAAAATAGATTAAAAAAAATGTCAAGCAACAATAACTTTATTCTTCGTGCAGAATGCAAAGGACACATTGATCAATGTCGTACTGTGTGTGCTAATCCTCTTGTTGATGGAGGTATCATTACAGGATCATTAGATTGTACTGTAAAGACGTTTACTCCGAATCCTAACTATCGGGAAGAGCAAGCTAATTTTGAAAATACCATGTTTGATGGAGAAGAGTTAATCAAAGCAAAGAAACAAAGTGAATACCAATGCACAATTACAATGGTTGGTCATGAGAAGTTTATTACATCGGTAGATTTTCTTTCGGATCACTACGCTGTTTCTGGATCACATGATAAATCATTGATTGTTTGGAATTTGGTGGATGGTAGCCCAGTGAAGAGATTTACAGATGCTCATTCCAATGCTATCAGCTGTTTGACTGTCGATAAATATACTGGTTTGATCATTTCGGGATCATGGGATAAGTAAGTGGTGGTCTATGAGCGTTGATTTGTCATCTTATTTAATGGTGAAACAAAAATTTGATTCTTTCCGATGACGGTGATTTTGATTTGGATCACTATTCATCTACTACTCCTACTTTGGCGTTGCTTTGTTTTATGAAAATCAACAACACTAACAAACACAGAACCGCAAAATGTTGGAACCTAGGAAATGATGTACCTGTGTATGAGTTGAAAGGACACCAACAAAACGTTTTATGTACATTGGCAGTTTCTAATGGATTGATTATTACAGGAAGTGGAGATGGAAGCATTAAATTTTGGGAGAATGGTAAAAACATTCGTACAATTGATGCTGCACATAGTTGTAAGTGTTTGATCAATGATTGGAGTCATTAATCATTGCCAATTTTTCATGTCAAATACTAGCTTGTGTGAGATCCTTGAAGGAGTTGCCAAACATTGGTTTTGTGTCTGCTTCCAATGATGGTACAGTCAAAACCTGGACCTTGCATGGTGATTGTATTGCTCAAATTCAAGCTCACAACACACTCGTGTACTCTGTTGAGCTTACTCCATCAGGAGAAATGTTGACTGCTAGTGAGGATAAAACTGTGAAAGTTTGGAACAATGGTAGTCTCATTCAAACCATTGAACATCCAGGATGTGTTTGGCAAGTTGTTGCACTTCCGAATGGTGACATTGCTGTAGGTGTTTTATTTTCTGATTGTTTTGTTTTACTGAATACTTTTTCTCAATCATTCACAGACTGCTTGTTCTGACGGAGTTGCACGAGTTTTTACAAGAAAATTAGAAAAAGCAGCCAATCCAGAAATTATTCAAGCTTTTAACGACAATATTGCAAACTCCAAGATCAAGAAGAGCGGAGTTGATCCAACCAAATTACCCACAGAACTTGTCTTGAATTCAACAAAAGGAACAAGTGATGGAGAAATTAAGCTTGTCAACAATAATGGAATTCCAGAAGCCTATTCATGGAGTGCAGCTCAACAAAAGTGGGAAAGAGTCGGTGAGGTGACAGAGGGTCCTGGTGTCGGCGATGGATTTGCACAAAAAACATATCACAATGGTAAAATGTACGACTATGTATTTGACGTAGAATTAGAGCATGGAAGTGGTCTGAGAAACTTTAAATTACCTTTCAATAAGGGAGATAATCCATACTTTGCAGCTCAACAATTTATTTGGGATAATGATCTTTCTCAAAATTATTTGGATCAAATTGCAAAATTCATAATGGACAATACTGACATACATGAAGAAACTCCACCTCAGTTTATGACTGGCGATCCATTTACTGGACATCAAAGAGAGACGTTTGTTGCCAAACGTCCAGGAACTCAAACTAAACCAAAGGACACAACTCCAGTAAGCTCTCCTTTTGCTCAAGAACAACAACAATATCAAAAAGAATTGGAAGAAAGAGAAAGACAAAAAAATGTCAAACACTTCCCTGGTAATGTTAAAATCTTCGATCAAGCAAACTATGATGGTATTCTCCGTAAATTGAACGAATTCAATGACGCCATTAAGAATTCTGAAAATAGCTCCCTCGCTCTCACCAAAGAGGAAGCAGGATCACTTTCACAACTTTGCTCCACGTTGAAGGCAGGTCAAGGTGAAAAAGTGACAACAAGCCACATTGTTGTTGTCGAGAAAATCCTCCAATGGCCCATTGATAAGATATTCCCTGGTGTCGATCTTTTTAGATTACTAATTCTCACTAATCCTGCTGCAAACTTTTACTCTGAGCAATACAAGAATGGATCGAACATCCTCACCAAGATTGTCACCTTATGCTTTAATCCAACAACTACGTACACTGCTTTAAAGATGCTTGCTTTTAGAGCTCTTGCCAATATGTTCCACACTTCCCAACTCAAGTTCATCATTTCCAAACATGCACAAATTGTTGTTGATAATGCATCCAAGATGGTTGAATTGGATAATGCAAATATGAGAGCTGCCTACTCATACTTTATACTGAATACTTCTGTTTCCTTGTACACCAACACACAATCAGATGCTCTCAAAGAGAAACTTTTAACATTGGCATGTCAAGCCATTCCAAACGAAACAGATACTAATATTTTATACGATCTTCTAGTTGCTGTAGGAACCTTGTTAACTGGAGCAAGTGAATCAGTCAAGGCTGTAGCCAAGCAACAGCAACAAATATTTACACAAAAGACTGCCAATCCCAACGCAAAAATTGCAGCATGTGCCTTCCAGATTGTCTCATTGCTTTCTCAAAAATAAAGTTGTGACCAAAGTAAAGGTCTGATCGATCGTCTTGGATCCCCATTCGGAATGACATGAAAGTTGGTCTTCATTTGTTTTTTACTCGATTCTGCTAGGGAGCTGGTATTCTCCAAGTCTTTTTACAGTTTTCGAATCATTATCGCTCTTTCTTGTTTCTCCCATGCCTTCGTAAAGAGAAGATCTGAAATCAAACAAAGCAGCCAGTTTGAACATGCTATCCACAGAAGGAGTATCAATTGTGTTAATACCTTGTGTTAAAATGTCAACAGCCTCTTCTAATGTTGATGCATTGAGTGCCTTAGTTAAATAGAGCACATGATTTTTAGGATATTTTTCAAGTAATTCTTCAACAAGGTTATCAAGGTCAGAATAAGAATATTTACAATGATGTCCTGGGCCTTGTTGAATCCATCGATGAATATTACAGGCCTTTTCTGCTTGCATCTTTTCTAGTGTTTCTGGGTTTTTAGCAAACGACAGTACGGCATCACAATCCTTGACAGCCGAAGCATACATAGTAAGCCTGCTAAAGAGATTCATCCTATTTTCATAAACTAATACATATTTCCGACTGTATTCAATACCTTTGGATAAATACTTGAGAGCTTCATGATCAGTTGAGAATTGTAAAGCACAACATCCCATATTGTTAAAACACAACGCTTTTCCCATTGAGAGGAGTTTTGAGAGCTGAGAGACAGATAGAAAATGAAAGACATTGTTTTTAGCACTATTCTCTAGAAAATCAATGGCGCTCTGAAATGTGTTAATTGCCTCTTTTTCGATTTCTAAATCCATCATCACACAGCCCTGATTAAATATTGCAAAAAAAGGTGAGAAAACGTCAAATAAATTATACATCGTAGTGGCACATTGATTCGAAAGCTTGAAAGTATTTTCATAAAATCTTAAAATTTGCTCTTTTGGAACGTGATACGCTTGTTCATAGAGATCACGAGATTTTGTAAAATTTTGTTCAACCTCACATGTATATCCTTCACACAAGAGCGACCAAAATGGGTGGCCTTTGCAGACAAATTTTGTAATATTAATTGCTCGTTGCATCTCTTTTGGATTGCTTGTTTGGAAATAAATTAACGCTCTTTTATAATAGGCCTCTAATTATTTCAAGTGAAAGAAATGAGTGGATGATGATGGACATTAATCATAATAATATTTTAAAGAAATAATGACAATCGTACATTGCCTTTCAATCCACTTCAATGCACCTACCTGGCTGATACGGAAATAAATTAATTGCTTTTATCAGTTCATCGTGAGCAAGCTTAAAATTCCTTTCAAACCGATATGAATCAACTTTGATCATAATTTTTCGGTAGATTAATCCTGTATTATAGATGTACTGTTCAGTCCACAATGACGAAGCATCCTTCGGAATACCGGGAATCAATGACCCAAATTCCAAGACTGGAGGAATATTCAAATTTAAATCATCGTCATCATCATCAGTTTTGTTTTCCTCTTCATTATTATTCTGCTGATCATCAAACAATGGTAGGTCATGTTCGGAGTCTACAGATGATAGTGATGAATGAGTCAATGGAGAAGAATTCTCCTCTTGAATGGAATCTTCATCATGGTGATTCATTTTTTTTGAATTTCAAAAGTTAATAGATATACTACTTAATCTGGTTCGTTTATGAAGCTTGACTACAAATGGACATTTATGGAAAGAACAATCGATCTCTTAATAGATCTCTTTGATGATGTCCAGAGCTGTCATCTAGATGTGTGTTTTCATCGATTCCGCCAAAAAATTTTGTAAATAACGCTAAAAATGTTTACAATTATTTTCAAAGATGAAAAAAATGAGCCCAAACTCGACAAGTGTCGACAATGTATTGAGAATTGGAATACGTAAGCAACAATGTGCTCTCGTCGTTGAATATACAAAGATCAATAGTAAGGGAAAGAGGGAATTGAGGCATCGGAGAGTGTATTTGGAAGATTATATTGTAAAGAATTATCCAGAACTGGACGAAGAGGAAATTGTGAAAAATATAAAACAACATGTATTATTTAAACATCATCATGAGCTGTTTGAGCCTATTCCCAATCATCAAATAGATAAAATGGTCCGACAATTAGTAGACCACACCACAAAATCATTCTTACCTCCGGAACCACAATCAAAGTCTCAGCCTCAAAAAACAAACAATATCATCAACAATCAACCAAAACAAAAACCAACAGAAGTTATAGAAGAGGAAGACATTGAAGAGGAAGATTTTGATCAGTTTGACGAAGATGAAGACGACTTTAAAAGCCAGGACCTTAACAAACTGGACGATCAATCTCTCAGGAAGGTCAAAGCAAAAATGGATGAAAATTTCAAACAGCTAAAACCAGGCGATAAAGGTTATGTTTATGATAAGCAAGTAGACTTTGACTCTGTCCCAAAGGTACAGTCGTCATGGGACGATTAATAATATCCAATTCGATCCAACCTGTGTCTCACTCAAGACATTTCCAAAATTTACAAAAATGCAGAATCAACATCTTCGCCAACAAGCCCTCAACCTGTATGTTTTTCAGCCAATCCGTTCCGATGATTGACAATGTACATTCAAAGATACAAACGATTTCTTGCCATGATTCCTCACTACCCAGGAGAAGAAAGCCCACAAGTATTGAAAGCTCGTTTGAAGAAAGCCTTTCTTGCAAATAAATCCGATATGAGCGAAGAAGATTTAAGAAATCAACTTGCGAGAGGAGAGTATATTTTGAAAGAAGTGGAGGCACTGATTCGGTTGAAAAAGTATCGAACACTGGATAAGAGATATTCTGCCCATCGTCAAGAGCATGATGACGAGCGAATTGATATCTTTTTCTTAACACAAATGAAGATCGGAAATAATTTGATAAAAAAGGAATTTGTGTTCTTCGAATAATAATTATTGTTAATTTTCATGAAATCTAGCGTACTAAGCAAATTACATGTTGCACTATTTACAAAACCTAGATCAATATTAAGCCAAACATAACTAATCAATGTGACCTAGTATTCAACTTCTCCATACTCTGCACTCTCCAACCATGCCAATCTAGCTTGAACAAGATCTTCTCCTTTCAAGTCAATCAAAGCCTTCAATGGTCTTCCTTTCATAGTCAAAACCTTATCCTCCTCTTGGGTCCATATTCTGCTTTTTTCATTCTCTGTGAGCTCCACAGAGTCATCCAATAAACGAGCAGCAAGTTTAGGATCTCCACTGCATGCGTAGAGAGCATGAGCAACAAGATCAGACGATTTTTGCGTCTCTGCAGTCAATTTTTCAATTAACTTTTCTGCATATAAGGTTTCTTCATCTTTTTCTCTGCTACTGGAAGAGCTTGCACGCTGTCTTGTTGGAGTTGAGGACGATGATTTGGGAGATTTTCGAGGAGTTGACGAAGTGCTTGATTTTCCTGCTGGTGATTTTTTGGGAGTTGAGAAGTGTCTGGCATTAAAATCTTCAATCTCATTGGATAATCTTCTAATCTCACTCAACTGAGCTGCTCGTTTACGTTGTGCTTCTATCTCTATTTCTTCCGCCATAAGTTCCTTTAGTCTCAAAATTTCATCTTTAAATGGAAGTAGCTTTTGGTTATCTGCTTCCTCTGTTTCCATCATTTCTGTTTCAGTTTGTTTATAGACACCTGTTCTATAATAATGTTTCTTAATGCCTTTGGCTTGGCCTTCTCTACCATCCAGAATTTTGGACATCAATTCGAACACTTTCTTGTTAACAACCTTAGGAACATCACCATAAATGTCGAGAACCACACGTTTCACAAGTCGATCTTCATCAGGGGTAAAATTCTTGGCTCTCTTTCTAGAGCTTGGTGGTGAGGTCATCCTGTCACTTTCATCTTCTATCACTGGAACACGATACGACGATGTTGTTGGAAGATAAGAGACTTTTCTCTTTGGAGTTTTTGCTGCAGGCTCCTCGTGTTGCTCTTCTTCACTTGGCTCATAATCTTGATCGTTTTCATCATCACTGGATGCAGCGGTTTTCTTTTTTCTTTTTCTAGTTCTTGGCGGATGAGTTAATTCTGGTGAATCTTCGTCTTGTTGTGTTTGCAATACATGATCATTCATGGCTTCATCTTCTGCCGTTTGATCTTGTTCTTCTCGAGATGATAATCCGAGAACGGGAGACAATGGTTCTTGTGCCGAAGAGCTTGTTACCTTTGATGATTCCTCCTCGCCTGCCGATTGTGTTGATTGATCAGCAGCAGCAACATTCTTAATGCTGCTTGAAGCCTTCCGCTTCTGGGCAGTTTTTGACTTTCTCTTCTTCAGTCCTTTAAATACAGGAGGAGGCATTTAATGTGTTTCTCGTGAGAAGAAGGTAGATTATGTCGATGATGATAAGCCTCTTTAAATCCGAGCACTTTGGTGATTGAGTGTAAGAGCGCCTCGCAGAAGAAAATATTATGTAAAATATTTTTTGTTGGGTTCGGAATTTTTGGGATTGGGCTTAACATCACCAAACCCCAAGAAATAACAATACCACGGATAGATTTAAATAATAATAATTGTGATCGGATGGTTTGAGATTAATCAAATGTACATCATTCAATTATACAAAGAAGTAACTCGATGAAATCAAACATTTCGTGGTGATGTTAAAAACTCGATCTCCTATTGAAATTTCAGATCTGAAATTTATTTATCGGCATCATCGTACATTTTGCAGTCTTGAGATACACTTCATTAAGAATTCACGCTTGTGATAATGATGATGACTTTTAAAAATCTCAAAGTCCCAAAACAAGCTCCGAGCTTCCATCATCAAAAAAATGAAAATTCAACCTTTGATTTTTCTGATGATGGTGAGCCTTCCACTGCTCATCATGATGATGATCTCTTCTTCAAGAAATTCAAATCATCCAATGGGTAGTAATAGTTCTGGAAATTCAGAACACTCACTATCATCAATTTTTGTACACGCTCAATATACTCCGAACCCTATTTTGTACGAAATTTCAACCCGTCCTTGGCTCTATGAGCTCTCTCAAAAGTACGGCTACAAGATCAGACTCAATAACATTCCCATGCAAGAATTTCAAAATTTGAAGCAATTAGGAGTTCAGTATGTGTGGTTGATGGGAATTTGGACGATTGGTGATTACGGAAGATGTCGTGCTACAGATTTATCCATGAGAGCTACTGATTATTCTCTCAATTTACCTGATTATCAGATGGAGGATATTATTGGTAGTCCTTATCAAGTATTGCAATATACTGTCAATCAGCTGGAGATTGGTACAGATAATGATTTGATTAATTTGAGACAAAAATTGAATGCCATGGGACTTAAACTCATGTTAGATTTTGTTCCAAATCACTCTGCTGTGGATAATCCAAATGTGTGGCAAAACTCTTCACTGTATGTGTTGAATCCTCCCTCTGTTTCTCCACCTTATGATGCTTATTCTTATTTGCCTAATGGAGTTGCATATGGAAAGGATGGTTACTTCCCTGCATGGTAAGTTTTTGGTGTGTGACAGTCGTCCAAGTGAATATGTATATTTTTATGCATTACTCAACCATAATTTTCAATTTGGAAAGGACTGATACGGCTCAATTTAACTATTGGAATCCTCAAACTAGAACACTTCAATTGACAAATTTAATGAAAGTTGCAAGTATGGCTGATGGTATTCGATGTGACATGGCCATGCTACTTTTGAACTCTCAAATTAATAGAATTTGGGCAGCTCAATTAAGTGAACGAGGATATTATCAACCAAACACAGAATTCTGGGAGTGGGCTATTTCAGCCGTAAAACAAAAATATCCAAACACAATCTTTATGGCAGAATGTTATTGGGGACTCAACTCTCAACTTCAACAATTGGGCTTTGATTTTACTTATGATAAGGATTTATATGATGCACTCACTGCCAGTAGCAACACCAAAAATATTCACAATTACCTGTCACAACAATTAATTCAATATGTTTCCCATAGTGCTCACTTTGTAGAAAATCATGATCAGTAAGTATTCAAATGATTATTCAAAATACTCATATTTAACAATATTTCCAAATTTACACAACATATGTTTCCATATTTACACCACATTTCAAACAACGCATCTTGTTGTGACATTTTACAGAGCAAGAGCTGTTGCAAACTTTGGAAGCTTAGCCAGAGCAAATGCTGCCTGCGCCATTTCTTTCTCAATCCCTGGACTCAAATTTTCATATTTTGGTCAATGGATTGGTAAAAAGAATCCACTCGTGGTTCAACTCAGACGCAGCACCTCAGAACCCGTCCAACCAACAGCTGTTCAATTCTACACTACATTCATTCCACTTGTTTCCAATTTCACAACTCCAGATGCCATTTTCTCATACAAAACAGTAAGCCAAAGCTCAGCTGCTTACAGAGTTTTTGCATTCCATTGGAGACTTCCAAATTCAGGAGTGAGTTATTTGGTAACCGTGAATTATAGTGAAAACCAAGGCAGTGGAGCCATTGTTTTGGATGACGTTCCAAATGTTGCTGGTGACGTTCCATTTGTAGATGTAATGAATGGAAACACCACATACATGAGAAATGCTCAACAAGTCAGAACAAGTGGATTGTTTGTTGTCTTGTCCAGCTATCAGGTGCAAATTTTCAAATATTCGTCTGTGACTCCTTCGCTAATCAAAAGAATTTAATTTGAAATTAAAATTATTTATTCCGATAAATCAGCATTCTTTTTTAAAATTGAATTATTAATCCATAGCTTAACAATTTCATTTTCCTTCTGAACGTCTAAAAGCTTCTGCAGTTCTAAATTGTTCTTGTTTTTGAAGTTGTTGTAATTCGCTTCTAATGTCTCTTTTAGGGAGGCTTATTGCCATAAATACATTTCAAATTAAATTAAAATATTAATAATTCAATTATTTAGCAATTAAAGCTGATTGGAGGTATCACTTACTAAACAGGAGCTGCAACAGCGCCTATCATAAGGCCCAATCCAAGCACTGACAGTGTGGCTAATCTTTTCCCTGGATGTCTGTTCCGAAATAGAAAAATTAAATTAATCATCAGTTGAATGTTTTTCAAATGATCAAATCACCCAACAATTTTAATCACACCCGATCGGCACACTGTTGTTATCAACTCGGAAAATGCTTTGACTGAAAGATAAACCCACCTCCAAATTTCTTCAATCGTTTTCCACAAAGACATTTTTTTGAATGAATTTCCTTGACGATCTTTTTTAATTCGGATCCTTGTTTTAGTTTCCATTCAGAATTTCTTTCAGATTTGCTGTTCTCTCTCTTAAACTATGTCTGACTTCTCTATCTGCACCATCCTTTCAATGATCATCATCTTCCTCCTCATCACTATCATCTAGGAATATTTGTAATGCTTCCTCTTTCACACGAGATCCTTTACTCAGAGCAACACCAAAAAAGTCATCTTCACTTCCACTCCTGCCAGAAGAACTCTTTTCAAAATCTTTGAGAGAGGTCGAGAAATTTTTCATCATTTCATCCTTCGCCAAGTCACTCTTCAAACTCACAATCAATACATCTCCATCGCTGATATTGATTCTCTTCATGAGATGGATTTCTTTGTTTGTGACGGTGTCTTTAGGTGATGCAGAAGTTTCTCCACTAGTTGTGGATGGTTGTGTTGGTTCTTTTGTTTCATGACTTGCTTCATCCAATTCAATCCTAATGATTCTTGTATCATTGAAACTATATTTGGAAATGATCATGTCGTTTTCATTAAAATTCAATTCAGCCATTTCTAATATTCCTTTTTTGAAAGAATCCAAATGGTCCCACTCGCTAATGGTTTGAGCATCAATGACAAGCTCTTTAGCAGGTGAATATAAAAATTGTGATCCTGTTGAAGATTTTTCTCTCGTTCTAACTATGACATGAACTGGAGGAGGAATAATTTTCTTCTTGCCTTTTGTCTTGGCACGTTTTTTGGAGGTTTGAGATGGTAGATCGAGTGGTTGTTGTTGAATTTGCTCTTCCTGATTTTTTCGAATCTCAGATTCATTGAGAATTTTAACAGCAATGACTTTGGTGTCTTTCCATCGAAGCTTTTCCAATGTCTTGTTCAAATGGAAAGTGTCAGTATAAACTTTGGTCATTCGTTTGAAACCTCCCGAGAAAGAACAATCTCTAATTTGTAGTTGTGAAATGTTTGAAATGTTTTTAAAGACATTCACTCGTTTCAATAAACATTGTTTAACAAAAGCTAGAGTACAGTTTTCAGAAACAGTTAATGTCGCACAATACTCAAGATATTCCTCATTTTCATTTCTGTCATGTGTCAATAAAAAGAACATGAATAATTTGTGATATTCCGTAATTTACGTATTCATCAGAAGGATAATCAATACTTACAAGATCTTGTCTGAAGAAGTTTTTGGAGGAAAATCTTTCACTAAATTCACCAATACTTTGACTTGTCCAATAAGAGGAGCTCTTCCTAATTCTACAAATAAAACATTATCATTTTGCTCAATAAGAAGAGTGGACAAAAGAGTTTCTTCATCTTTGACCACTTGGCCTGAATGTCCATTTTGACTTGTTCTGAATCTGAAATTGTGAATGTTATCGTATTCCCAGTTGTCCTTCTTAAATCGTTGGCTTAATTTTGTTTTACTGTTATTATAGTCACCAAGTTTGCAAAGTGGTTCTATTGTAATATTAAAGTGACACAAAAACTTACCATTGCTTCAGGGTAATATCTTGCTCTAATTTCATCACAAAGGAATTACGAGTATCGAAGGCGATTTTTTCATTTGTTTGTTCTTCATAGATTGGGTCTTGTGGTACAATCTCAATAAATTGAATCTCCACATCCTTTTCAGATTGGAGGTGAATGACAACGTCTAATCTATCGCCGTCACCAATATCCAGCTTGGTTAAAGGAGAGTCATTATTATTTTCTTCAAAAAAGCTCTTTTTTTGCTTTCTAACAAGAACACATTTTCTAATCCAAGCATCCCCTTCAGAGCTCAATTTGTCGAAAATTTTGGATTTGCTAGAGAACATTTCGTGAAGAATCTTTTTCTTGAGCGCAAACAAGGTACTTGACAGATCGATATGAATTAATTTCTCTCGATCAGCAAATTTCACAATTACTAAATCCCCACGATCCTCGTCTGATTTGTTGGAAGAGTCGATATTTTGATTTTTTGTGACCTGTGCAAGCTCTTGGGCCTCTTCATACAACATTTCAACATAGGATACATCATTTGACTCATATTCAAGACTAATAGATGTGAATCCGTTCAGGTGATAAAGCATTTTGGTATCAAGATTGCTTACACGCTTTGGTTTACCATTGGAGTAGTTGAAAAAAACTCGCAAAGGAATTTCACATGAAAAGCGCTGTTTTGCTTGTTCAATTAATTCTCTCAATGTTGAGGAGACGGTAAAATCTAATCTTACAATCTTGGTGTCACAAAATGTTTCATAAAGTGTAATTTCAGTCGAGGAAGTAGGATTTTGGATCTGAAATCTAGTATCAGCAGCGGTTGGTGTTGCAAAAGAGTCCACTAATATATACAAGTATTTTGTATCTTGCTTGCAGTATTGTCTAATCAATATTTCATCATCATCAGCGTGCCTTGGAAGTTCAGATCCAACCGTATACTTATTTCCATCCTTTTCCATAATATACAGAGTAACGTTGTCAAACGAGTCTGCGAATTTTTCCTTGACTAATTGGTAAAACTCATTCACTGATGTGTCATAATGGAAAGAAAAAGTTCTGTACAATTTACCAATTTCATCAAAGTTGGAGGCAACCAGAGATGAGTTATCAACAGAGAAAAATCTTGGTAAATAAACGAGAGCGGAGCCAGTGTTTTGTTTTTCCGTATTGGCTTGTCGACTCATGTCATGTTGTTGTGTTTGATATTCTCGTAAAATTTGAATGTGCTCATTTTCTTTTTCAATTTCTTGTTCAAAATATGAAGGTAAAGAAAAATTAATGAAAGTTTCAGTGAGAGACTTCTTCTTGTAGACCAGCATGTAAGCAGATGCTCCCTTTCCACCAAAATATTTTGGAATTTCTTCTTTGGGGTCAATTTGATAAACTCTTTCATCATTAAACTCAAACCAATGTTGATCGTCACTAACTTCAAAGCGTGACGATTTCTTCTTGTTTTGCTTTTCATTCTTTCTTGATTCTTCATTTTCAATTGTGGTCTTTCCTTCACCTAAAAAATCTCTTGCAAAACAATAGTAGTGGCCTGCATAAGGACTTCCCGAATGGATAATCACAGAGACAAGTTCATACTCTTCTCTGTTGTAAGTTGAGGGATTTTCTGTAAATGGAGTCATGTCCAAGGTTGCTTCAAAAGTCATTTCTTTCTTCACCTTAATTCTTGATTCAGTATTCCAGTCATATGAAAATCGAGTAAGACTGAAAAATAATATAGGCGGTAGTTGTCGAATGGTAGTGCTCCTTAAAGCCAAATCAACGCATTTCTGACAATTTGAGCAATGATATTTGTTATTTCCTTCAAATCTTTCAACTTCTGTATATTTTTCCAAGCTTTCTTTTAAGCTATTCTCAACAGTTACTGTCAAGTCATAAAAGTCTTCCTCAATACAGCTTATATTTCCACACGCTTGGCATACGATTTTGTTGACAATCTTTCCTGCACATGTATTCTTAATAAAGTTGTCAATTTTCATCTTTGAAAGTTTTGTCTCTAATGCTTGAAAGAAAACTCTGCTGAGCTCTTGGATGTCATGTTGCATGGAGACATGTCTCGATTTCCAACCAAATGCATCTGTCAACTCTACTGTTTCGATCGATGGCTTTTCAATTTTTGCCATGTATGAAAACAATTTCTGCATGACAAATAGCAAGTTTGGCTGTTTTTGTTTCTTGGCCTTTTTCTTCTTGATCGTTTTTTTAGAACTTGTTGAAATCTGAGATGTGACACTTTCATCAACGACTGGAATGTTGTTATCAAACAAAGACCCCATCACGATTCCATCACTGTTGTCAAATGTTACTAGAGAGGAATTATCAGAATATACTAAGGACTGTTGACGTTCTTGTTCTTCGAATAGCCACAGAATCATACTTTCTTGAGCTCGACTATTGACTTCGGTATCTGATGTATCGGAAGGCTCAACAAATTTATGAAAAGCCTTGTTGATCAGTGTTGCTTCAAATCCCATATCCAATAACTGAAAATAAAAAGGAAAAGTCGAAAAATCAATTTCTACATCTTCATACTCGTCCACTGATGGTTTTTTTGACGAAGATGAGCCTGATGATCTTTCATAATATTTTGCGAGATCCAGATTTAAGAAACTGGCTCTCATTTGGGGAATCATGTACAAAGTCTGAATTAAGGAGTTCAGATAGCATGTGGAGGCTCTGTACGTTAATTATGTGATGATCACAAAAATTATTAATATATATTGATATTAATAATTCCGCAAAACAACAATGGTTGATATATCAATAATCAATTCATTGGTTGTTAAATAAAACATACTGATTCCGAAGTCCGACAAAATTAGAGGCTTGTCTTTTCAAATTGTCTATGGATGATAAGAGTTGATGATAATTTCTTCCTTCCTTGCTTGTTCCTCCATTCGATGATGAAGATGATCCTTGTTGCAACAACAGCTCTTGATCTTGAGCAAACATGTCCCCGAAAAGTTCACTCATTTTATTAAATTTATCTTTACAAGAGTGAGTCTGTTGAACTTGTCTTTGGTTTATTATTAGCAAAGTTTGGCTATTTGAACAAGACGGTATGTTCAGGTTTGAAGGGGTTTGAGGATTTACAAAGGCAACTTTGCACACAAAGTAATTTTATTGTTTCAATTTTATGTTTGAATTTTTGCAGTTTCAAAGGACGCATTTACAGGGAGTTCAATGTTTTTAAGGTACATTTTGAGGATGTTTTTGGAGAAAGAGTTGAATAAAAATTGTTACACTTCTTGAGGTTGATTGTTTGAGTGCAAGTTCTTTTCCGAGTGGGTGGTCACTTTTTCATTTGATGTTAGTTCAGTTTGGTTAGATTCAAAGATTGAGTTCCATAAATATGATATTGGTTGAGCAAAGCAAGAGAAGCATGACATGGATTCATAGTACTGAGCTGCTTCTTCATTCTCTTCGTAGATTTGATTCGCTGACTTGCCAAGAGACGGAATTTCACCCAGAGAAATTTCATGAAAATGTTCTTCATCTATTTGAATTTGTTCCTCAAGCACAATTCCAACTGTAGATCCTCGTAAGGGCCCGTTAATAGGAATTATTTGTTTGATTGCAGGAGGAGCGTTCAGTTGTTCATCTTCGTCTTCTTCCTCAAATGTTACAACCGATGTATTTACAATAGATTTGATGTTGTTTGGATGATATTGAATTTCAGCCGTAGTAGTAGTCACAGAGGATCCTTGCCATACAAATGTAGTGTGTTCTTCCTCGCTATTGTTGTTGTTATTAGTGGTTGTTGTTGTAGTTGTTGTCACCACATCCACCGTAATTTGAATTGGGGTATTGGAAGTTAAATCTCCCTCACTAGTATTCGAAAATATTTGAATTTGTGTCGTCAAATGATCACCACTGGATGTTGTTGAATTATTTGAACTGATCATTGAATTTGAGCTGGGAGAAGAACCACTGATTATTGTTGTTGTTGTATTGATTGCATCTAACTGTTCTTCTACCATGGTGGTGGTTGTATCAACAGTGTGATGATCATTGCTACTATTATTTAGTGCTGAATTGAATCCTTCTTCATACGAATAAAACGGAGTATCCTCCGCAAATGAATCGGAAGCATCATGCTTTCCTCGACCAAGTTTTGATAAGTGAGAGAATATTTTGAATTCTTCATCATCGAGAATCTTTCCAATCGTTGTATTTCCGATTGGGTTCAATTCAGAACCTGTTGACGTTGTTGAAGTATTATTGTCCTGGCTATTATTATTCAAATTATTATTATTTGGGTCATTGAATACTACTTGTATGGAAGAAGGAGATTTTGGTGAAGAAATTCTTTGATTTGCTGTTGTAGTTGTTGTTGGGTTTTTACTTTCATCCAAGGCAGTAAATTCAACTGCTCCATCGACAAGAGGAGATGTTACAGACAATCTTCCTTCACTTATTTGATGAGGAAAATTATTTGAAATTGCTGATGGTGGAACAATGTTCAATTCTGCATGTTCCGTCATCTCTTATAAAAAAGTTTGTAGCAGTAATATCTTCAGTTGTTTTTATGCAACCTGTTCAGTTATAGTCCGATCAAAACAAAATTAGTGCAGGTAATTTTTTTCTTTTATTTTTAGAAATGTTGTAAACTGTACACCAGTTCGGATAATTAGAAGAGGAGACGCAGTCATTGAGGATCTTCTTTGAGCTTTATAAAGTTGCAACCTCGATGGAAATCATATCTAATACAAAATAAAACACCACTTCGTTATCCATATCTTTCAAAAAATTGTGTCAACACAAAGTTGATGAACTCAGAACTATCTGGATTTTATACAAAAAAGAAAAAATATCCTCAATGTCTCATGAATGAAGAAAACGATTCAAGGTTGTGTACCTACTCCTACAAAAACGGGCAAGGCAGACGCTTCAATTATTCACATCACACTGATGGCTATTTTTACTTTCATATTGAGAGCTCTCACACCGTGGCAAAGACCAGGTTCCGTTGAAACTCCACAAACACATTGAAATGTTTGAAGGAAGGAGAAAAGAGAAAATGTGTCAAAGCTCCTTATAATCCACTACAACCACAAAAGAAATCAAAAAGTCGTTAAATCATGCTAATTGACTTTTGGGATGTCCATAATAAAAATTTTGGACGAAGATTGAACTTTTGAAACAACTAATATATAAAGTATGACTCATATTTGAATAGGGAACGGAATATTAGACTTTGAGGTTGTTCATTCACCAAACCCAAAATACACGAAATTAAATATTTTCGTAAAGTAAGAAATGAACAAGGCCTTCGATTTTTACAGAACTTGATGTCTCTTTATTATAATATGTCTATCATCTTTTGCAGCCAGGTCTTCACAATCATTTAATTCATAGAGGTTTCCTATCCAATGTGATCATGTGACCGTATGGGACGCCATAGATCAATAGCGAATCGAGAGAAGGTGACAAAAATGATGTTCGAGTCGTAATGTGGTACCTTCTCTACAAGCGGAAAATCAGGCCCCTGTGGCCTCAGGCTGAATGACAGGAACAGTTCTCGAATCGGGTGATTTTGTTTCAAGAGTTGAATTGGGTGGAAGATAGGTCGCAAATGATTCAATTTTAGGACAACATGGCTATTCATTAGGTTCTGCAGAATGTGAGGCTTCCTTCATCGCGATGTGCATCTCTAAAGAGGACTATGAAGCACGACCCTACAATTATCCATAGAAGTGCTTTTAAGAGTTGAAATGATCAATTAAGGAGCTAAATCTAATCTTGTGAAAGAGGATACAAAATTATTTCAGTATCTCTCGAAGTACTAGTAATTTCCTTCACCACTCATTTCCTCTTCGTCTTCTGAGCTAGAAGGAATATCTTTACCAAACTCATCATTGATCACCACACGAACCCAACCTGTTTGAATATCTTTTTGCAATGCTTTATCGACAGCACCAACATTGGAGGATGTAGAAACAACGTCAACACAGAAAAATCCTGGATGAAACGAAATTAGAACCCCCTCAATCTCATCAATTTGTCTTCAATGGCGATTTCAATAGGATCGAATTCATCACCACATACTTACTCTATCCTCTGTAAAAATTGTTTTTGTATGCTCAATTTACAGTTTCCTTCTTTATCAGTTTTAAAATATTGCTTTGCAGTAGAGCTCGTACTCATGTTTGTATCCATTTCAATGGTTTCTAACGCTCGTTTTGTTTCCGGTGAATAATCAAGAAATCTCAAGTATTGATCTCTCATTTCCGAAGAGAGAGCTGTTTCTTGGGAGGATGTAGTCGTCGTGGCTGCTATTCTCCACTCTTCCTCAGAAAGACCCATATTCTTGGAAAGTAATCGAACCTTGTTTTGCTGCATTTTTTTTCTTCTGTCGCTTTCAAAAAAATCTAATTAGTTTATTGTTAGCACCACTGGTGCTGGTAAATCCGTGAGGATTGGGGTTTGTTTTTGAATTGGTTTTTTAAACCTTGAGTTTTCATAATACTTGGTGTGACATTTACCAACTAGTAGGGTGAGAATTGTTTGGATTTCAGGCCAATTTTGGTAAATATTTGGTAAATTTTTAAAGTTGGGCATTTGAGTATCTCGAATCATTACTCCGTCATGATGAATAATGAAAACTTTCCTTCTTTCACAGTATCTTGATTCTTGATAATCGTTGAGGATACATTGCATTGATGTAATATCTAGGAATTTAGTGTAGAAAAAATCCCTAAAGCATTGAGTATTAGGGCAATAGTATATGAAATGTTTTAGAGTTCCGGGGCATTTACAGTGAGCGCATTGTCTTTCCTTATGTTGTTTGATATGGTTGCTTGTTAAGTTTCTCCAGATTGACCACTTAGTATTTGTGTCAATTTTAGATTTGATGAATTTTAGATTGATAGATGACCAGTTCTTGGTAAGGTGTAGACTGGAATTATCTCTATCAAATTGGCTAAACATTACATCATATCTTTTCTTTTGTATGGATTTTTTGATGTCGAAAATAATGGTATTAGATGTGGCAAGGATGGTTTGGTTCGAAAATAGCTTCTTAATGTCAAAATAGTTGTGCTCTTGAGCTCCTTTCTTAGCTAATTCGTCAGCTTTGATGTTTCCTTTGTTGACATGACCTTTAACTTTGATTAGTTGAATATTTAGATTGGATTGTTGAATGACCTGTTGATATTCATGCTTGAAGCAGTTAAAAATTCCGTTATAGGCTTTGTTTTTCAAAACGTGGATGGATATTTCACTATCTGTGTGAATTTTTGCCTTAGATTTAGGTGGAAGTATCTTTAGTGATGTGAGTATTGCTGATAATTCAGCAACGTTATGTGAGTATTCGCTGTTAATTTTGTATGAGAAATCTTGGGTTTCTTGGGAATTGTTAACTTTGGCGGTAAAGCCGAAACCTGTTGAGTTGTTGAGATTTGATCCGTCAGTGTAAATAGTAAAATTCTTTCCTTTGAGTTTTGGAAAGATTTCGTCATTGTTAAATTGTTGAGGTCTGATCTTGTATTTCTTCATTGATCTGTTCATTTCCTTAAAAATCGAATTTTCGTGTTTGATTCCTTCTGAATATACTTCTCTAAGAAGTTCATTATCATTGTTAATAAGATACAGGGCTGTTTTGATTCGAATTTCATCTGCAAAGATATCGAATCTTGGAATACCAAGTCCGCCATAGGTGATTGGGAGGTGAAAATAGTTTGTTGGACTAGCATTATGCATGAAAATTTTCTTTCTTATTGCTTTTCTTACTTCAATGTTAATTCTATCAACAAGTGATTCAGGAATGTAATTTGTTCGTAAAATGTGTGTAAATAAGCTAGTGCATTTGGCAAAAATTACTTTCTTAATGTTTGTTATCTCCATTCTTTTCAGTGGAATATATTTGAGTGAGAGTTGAAATTGGAGGATTCTTTTTTCAATATCTTCATTTAAAGTAGAGTCATCCCAAGGATAGTGTCCAAGTACTCGAAGGTTTTTGAATCTTGGTATAATAGTACCGTCTATCATTGGCTTCATTTTGCTTTTAGTTGGGAGAGTGGTTGCCATGGATTTTGAAGGATTAATTTTTAGACTTAATTGGCCGAGCCATTTAGAGATATTATCAAGTCTTTCGTTATAATTGCAGTATCTGTTTGAAACTAAATTAATGTCATCAGCAAAGCAGAGCAAACCAATATCGTTAATATTAAGCTTGGTTGGTTTGATTGAAATTTTCCATTGTTGTATGCATTTGTCAATGATGAGTTGAGTAATACAATCATATATAAGAGGAGCTAAAGGGCATCCTTGTGGTATTCCTCTTGTTTTTGTGAATGGTCTAGAGAGATGGTGATCAATTTCTAGCTGTAATATTTGACTCTTGTATGAGTTTAGTATAAAAGTTTTCAACTCATCTGGAAACTTACAATGAGTGAGAGCTTTTTCAATGATATGATCTTCAACGGAATCATAGGCGCCTTCGATGTCTAAGTTTACCAAAAGGAATGACGACTTGTTCTTTTTGGCTAGAGATGAAAGTAATAATCCGTGATTCATTGTGTTTCTGTGTGAAATAAATGCTTGTTGCCTTAAGTTGATGTGTTTGGAAGCCCATTGTCTTAATTCGTATGCAATTATGTTGAAAAGTATTCTGTAATATATTGGGAGAATGGTTATGGGTCTAATATCATTTAGTTTTTGAATGTCTCTTTTAGGGAGTAATTTAACCCAACCAGATTTCCATTCTTCAGGGATATTACCTTGTTGAATGCAGTTTTCAAATTGGTCAGCAATAAGTTGTAGATGTTCGTCTTTGAGATTACGTATAATTTGGAAGGATATTGAGTCTAGACCGGGTGTGTTGGATTTCATTCTCGATATCGCCTCTTTAATTGTTTTAAGGCTTATTTGTGGTATTTTCGGTCCTTTCTTGACGGTTGATGGTGGATTTTCAAAGTCTGATGATTTGGATACTGAGGTAAATTTTGTTTCAAAATGATGCACAATTTCTTCTTCAGAGAATTGGATATTTTTCCAATCTATTGATTTTTCTTTTAGATGTTTGTCAAACTGGTAAATCATTGAGCTGTCATGTTTGTTGAAATTTTCACTTAGTTTTGCTTTGATATCAGCTCCAGTTTCCTTGTATAGTACTTTGATATTATTTCTTAGTTTTTCAATTTCCTCGATATTTTGACCTTTTCCTTGTGTTACAAGATGGAGGAGTTCTATTTCTTTGGTTTTGATTTCTTTCTTATTGATTGTGTTAATGTATTTGAGATTGGTCTTATCGTCTTTGAAAGAAAATTTGTTAACCATTTCTGATATGTCTTTCTGAAGTGCATCAAATGAATCATAGTGTGATTCGTTCAATGTTGTTGAGATTTGATTCATATCTTTCCTAGAGATGAAGTTTCTCCAACAATAGTCTGTTTCGAGCTCAATGTCAATATAGAACGGTAGATGATCATTTTTGGATATTGGTGGCAAAATAACTTCTCTGATTATTCTGATGTTGTTAGAAACGAAGATATGATCAGGTCGTGATTTTTGAACTGAGTTGATGACTTTTCTGACGTATGTGTAATTCTCTGGGATGATTAGTTCTTTGAGTTGGAAACACTCAATAAGTTCTTTCCATTCTTTTTCTCTCGAATTTTGTGGTTTCCTTGTGTTGATATTGAAATCTCCTAGCACAATGTTGAATTCATTTTCACATTTTAGTAGAAGGTGAATAATAATGTTGATTATTTCATCATCATCTTCACCATCAGATGAAGCATAAACCGTAATGATGTTAATAGGTTTGTTTCTAGAGAAAAACCTTGTCCATTGAAGTTTTCCTTGTATTAGATTTTCGTTGGATATGAATCGTTTTCTTTTGTTGTTAAGAATATGGAAGAGAGCTGTTCCCTTTTGAGCTTTTCTTGCTCCAAATAGTGAATTAAAGAAGATACTTCCATTCCCTTTGTTATAGGCTTCTTTTTGATCTTCATATGTTTTTAAGTGTGTTTCAGTAATTGACATGATTTGGATGTTATGATTGTAGCACATCCCTTTGATTTCATTTGTCAATATTTCTTTTGTGGCTGTCTTTATGAGCCCGTTGCAGTTAAAACAGCCAATTTTCAAATTACATTTTGGTGACTTAATTGTTCTTATTTCCAAGAGGTTTATCACCTCTTCTAGGTTCTACTATATCTTCTTCTTCGTCATATTCCATTTCATCATCACTATTTTCATTTGGTTTTGGGTGATAAGATTCATTATCTTCATCTTCTACATCATCCTTGGATTCATGAATTAATTGATGGTACGGTTTTGTCAAATGTAATTCAATATTTTCCATTTTGGAAGCTATTTCGTTGAGTTTTTCAAAAATGGTCTGTATGGATTTTGTGTGGTCTGTTAGTGTATTGGTGATGTTTTGTATTTGTTTAGAATGTGATTCCAGTTTGATTGAGTTTTCAGTACATTCTACTTGAAGTGATTTGTGATTCTTTTCTAATGCTGAGAGGTCATTATTGAATTGGAAATTATTGGTTGCACCAGTCACTTCGTTTTCTTGTTGTTTTTTGAATTTTTCTACCAAATATTTGGTTGTAGATATGAGTTTTTTTGAGGTTGGTTTTGTGCCATTTGGTGGAGTGATACTTGTTGGGAATTTTGTAATTTTTTCCAATTCTGCAACATTAGTTGCTTTGTAATTGGCTATATAATAATGCTCTCCAGGGCGATATGGGCTAGGTTTGTTAATAATCTCTAAGTGGTTTGATTGGAAGACACAGTTGCTTTTTTCCACCATCTTTTGTATCGCAGTTTTGATATCTTTCTCTGTGTAGAGGGATGAAAAATTGCAAGAGCAGTTAAGCTTAGATTCTGTTATGATCTGGTCAATGGATCGGTATTCAGAATATTTCCTTGCCATAAAATATTCTTTATCTTCAAGAGATTCAACTGCTATTCTGATTTTATAAAGCTTTTGGACTCTGTCATAACTGGTATTAGTTTCTTTAACTCCATTAGTTCTTTTCCAAAAATTTTTGATAATGTGGTAGTATACTTCATCATCTCGTCATATGATGAAGTATGATATTTGAGGGTGTGTTCAGCTGGTGAGAAATTCATAGGAGTCACAACGTATTTGAATGGACTGGAGTCTCTTGTTGATTGTGAGTTTAAAATTCCCAAGGTTGATACATAATCTTCATGATTGTTACAGACAAGTTGGAGTACGTGCGTCTTGTCGTTAGGTATGTACCATGATGTAAGTTTTTCTTTGACTGCATCTGTAATAAATTCAGTGATGTCTGAGTCGATATGCTTACTGAGGTAAATAGATACACAGTGAGAATAGTTAATTGTTTTAGCTCTTTTAGCAGGAGGGTACATGGTTGTTGTTGTATTGTAGGATTTGATTTGCGGAGTTTTTTTTGTTGGATCAAATGTAATGTTCTTGGCTGTCTTGGCTATTTGCAAGTATGACGATTGCGATTCATTCAGGTTGAAGCTGGTGTTGATAGGTGGGCTCTTAGATTGAAGCTGGGGTTGACTTTGGGGCTTTGAAGTTGTTTCAATTGGTTTGATGAGGTTTGTGCTTGTTTCAATTGGTTTGGTGAGGTTTGTGTTGGTGATGAAGTTTGTTGTCTTATTTTGATTGTTGATTTTCGATTTGTTTGTTGGATGTGTAATATTTTTGATTTTAGATATTTGGTTTGATGGTCCATCAGTTCGATAAGGATGTGCAGGGGATGGAGTTTGTTCTATGAGTGTTGTTTTTGGAGGAAGAGGTTGTTTAGGTTTAATTGGTTGGTTGCTGTCGGAGACTAATTTAACTGACTTTACCTTTTGTTTCCGATTATTGATGTGGTTAGATAATCCGTCCAATGTTTTTGAGAAATTCTCAATATGTTTAAAGATGATTCCGAAAGCTTCTGAGTGGGTCATCAATGTTTGGTTGATACTATTCATTACAACGTCTTCGTTTGTGTTCATTTTTTTTGCGTCGGTCGCTTTCAAAAAAATGCCGTAACTGGTCTTGTGGTGGCTGACGAAAGTTAGTTTCTACGCCTTTAACTCGAGGTGCCTGCGAGAGATACCCAAGTCTCCTACGGGAACACTTGAACGTGTTGTATTACAAGAATACAATGTGTTGTTACAATTTTTGACAAAGCCACAATGTAGACAGGGTGATCGATATTATGGCAAGCCGGCAACTGTCTTGCAAATGAATCGAGTCGAGATACTATTAAAGAAACCATCAATGATGGTGGTCATAGGCTCGACAACCTTCCTGCGGGGTAAAGGTAGATTCTCGGTATCGACGATGTACGGGCTATGGTGGGGGTGGCGAGTAATGAGCAATCGCCGGGGAGCCTGAATGAACAAGCAGCGTCATGATACACATATAAGATTCGGAGATGTTTCTGGATTCAACGAAGGTCTATGGGACCTGTGATTTGAATCTATATAGCTTAGGGATTTGCGTGCCTACTCTATGAGATCAGTGTTGAGATGAACCTGTTATGGGAATTCTGGGGGTGGTCCGTGCTATTCACTGAAATACGGCAGGGCAATAACTCCACCCTACATCATAGATCTCATTAACGAACCTACGACACCGGTTGGAGGGTATCTATCATAAGCCTACAAAGGGCAGGTGGGAGTCTTACGACGCTAATGTGAAACCACTACCAACGTAATGCTGTGACAAGAGAGGATCGCAACCATGATCCGGTTTCCGAAGGTGAATAATAAATTTTTGGGTTCAATTTTTTTTCTTCTGTAAACCCTTTGGCCGTTTTTCTTCCTTTCAATGATGATCAGGTGAGCGCAACATCTTCTCTTGGGAGATACCTTTCAAAAAGTAGCAAACACAATTTAAATACAATTAACATTATTAATAATGGTTTAGAGACCACAACAGTGATGGATTTATTTTGATTGAAAAAAATGTCGTTTGTTGGTTCTTCATCTTCAAATTCCGAAAGCTCGGAAAACTCACACAAAAAATTACAGGATAATCTCGGAGCATCCACTTGGGCATTTATGCACACTGTGGCTGCACAATATCCAAAAAAACCATCTCCGATTCAACAACATCATATCAAACAATTATTTGTTAGAATTGCAGAGTTTTATCCTTGTCGATGGTGTGCCAAGGATTTTGCAGAAAGTATTAAGAAACATCCCATTCGGGCAGAAAGTCGAGAAGCGCTGAGTATATGGCTTTGTGAGAGACATAATGAAGTGAATGAGAAAATTGGAAAACCAATCGTACCTGATTGTAAAACAGCTTGGAAACGATGGATAGTGGAGGATGATGAAGAGGAAGAAAATACTGAACAAAAAGTGGAGACGGAACATAAAAAGCCGGATTTTGTTTCAAATGATTTTGATTGGCTAGATAACGTACAAAATCAAAATGATAATGGAGGAGATATTGATTTTGATACACCCTCAATGGATGATTTGATGAAAGATTGTAAATTTTGTGAAAATACGATGGGGAAAGAACGATACGACAAGCTTAAATCTCTACTAAACAAGCGGCCTTAACGCATATCATTTCAATTTTGAATAATATGTTTATTCCATAAAAAACAAAATCACCCTCTACTGGAAAATTCTTGATAAATTCCAACGCATAAATGCCAAGAAGAAACGTCACACGGTGCATTTTAAACCTTGTTTCCATTTAATTTTGAACATAGTGTTGATGATCGCATTTATTGAAACAAGTCAATACACATGTTCTTAAATATATTGACAATCATCATGCAAACTAAAGGAATGGAGCCCATCCATGAAACATGAGTGCCAAGTTCTCCAATGATGAGGCGTCTGCAATGAGCTTATTGACCTGTCCTTTGACACCAAACATGTAGCCTTCTTCCTGACCCAACAATTTTTCTCTCAATCTCAACAAGGCTCTCTCAGCATCTCTGTTATTCTTATTACCTTCCCCAGTATTTTGTGTTGGCATAATTCTCTTATCCTTACTTGTTTGATAATTCATTGCTTCGAGAGGAGACAATGCCCATTTATACAAAGGGTCACGTAAGAACACCTCAACCACCAGTGACAGCGCTTCCATATTATTTCGTAAGACATTCATGGTGGCATAGCAACTATTTTTAAAAGTGCCTTCTACTCCACACACTCCAAATCCATCAATAATATCTCGTGTTAATCGGAATGGAACAATCTCAGGAATTGGTAAATATTTTCCTTGTTCAAAACAAATTCCAAGATCAATATGAACAGCTTCTCCAGATTGTTGGTCAATTAAAATATTACTTGCATGACGATCACCCAAACCAATTACATAACCAACCATACTAATGGTTGCGACAGATTTTGTATAGGCCTGTCGTTTCTCAAACCAGTCACTTGGATTTGGAAACTGAGACAAGAAGAAATGATGGAAAACGGGCTTAAATTGTTCACAAATCTTCTTAAATTCTTGAATTCGAATGTCTGTTTTGGCTCGTTGCTTTTCTAGAGCTCCCATTCTAGATCTGCATTCATTATTCGAAATATCATTAGGTCTATACTTGGCATGAAGACAATTATTTGGATCTTCATTTGTTCCCACGAGAATGGTGGCCAATGGTTGAGTATTTTCAACAAATCCTAAAATACCGCTCGTGGGTGAAGTAGGAATAACCTTATAGGTTCGTACGAGTAGTTTTCTCTTTCTTGTATCTTTTTCTTTAGCAAGTAATTGATTTACAACTCCAAAGAGCTGTTCAATCACGTGATCTTGTCTCATATCATCATTGCCTTTCACAAGCTGTCTGTATTTAGATCCATTGGAAGCAATGCAAGTAATAATTTTTGGCAAGTTTAATCCACCTGCCAATGAGAAGGTATTAGCAAATCCCTGAATGCATGGTAAAGTTGGCATATTGTAGTCCCCAGAAGAAATGATGGGAATGTCAGCTGTCAAAACTGGAATGCTTAATGATGTGATTTTTGAAATTAATAATTGAGTGCTTAGTTTGTGGGATGAGGATTGATTTCTTTTTTGTTCTGGGCTTAATTCAAGAAATGCTAATTGAATAATTGCATCCATTAGAGTAGTATAGGATTGCACAATAGGATGAATATCTTTGGCAAGCCTTGAAATGATTTCACATGCTGACTTGATTTTAAGTGGATCTGGTTTGATTGGCGCTGCTTTTGTAATGATTTGATTTTTCTGATCTCCATTCTTAATTTGAATCAGAAGAGGCAAGGTATGATAAGGATGTGAAAGGGCAATTTTGTACAACAAGTGTTGAACTGCACTATTGAAACTATGAATAGGATCCTCGTAATAAGCTAATCGAGAAGCAATTTGATAAAACAGAGGAACAAACTTGTAGGGTGGAACAATAGCAGCGTTTTTCTGTGCACCCACGGTGGTCTGGTAAATATAATGGTTCACGGAAGGGTCATTGGAATTCGAGTACCAAATGTTCAAAATTCGAGGAATAATGACAAGATCATAATTATTGCTAAGAATGGTGGCACTGATAAAATTGGTGAGAACACCTTGTCGATATGTTTGTTTGCGAATAGTAATATTCTCTTGGTCCTTTTGATCGAGTTCAATAATTTTCTGCAAGTAACTTAATTTGGATTTAAAATCTTGTGGAATTTCCTTATCATTTCTAAACTCTTGTCTCTTTTTCATATATTGTGCAAGAAGAACCTTATTCTCTTCAAACAATTCTCTGTAACTCTTGCTCTCTTCACTATTTTCTTTTCTCTCAATATTTTGATAAGCTGAATCGTAGTATTTTCCAAGTTGATAGTAAGCTTTTGCTTTGTTGTCATGACGATGAATAGCTGTTGTAAGAAATTGTACAATGGTGTCATAGGTTTCTGTACTCGTTTCTCCAGACCATCGACCTAATAAATAAATGGCTTTGGTGTATAGTGCCTTTAACTTGACCACCAACTCTTTATCTGCCACTGGTTGTCGTTGTTTCTCCAACTCTTCAACTTTAGCGGCTCTTTGGACAAGAAACTTGAGAATTGATATGGCCTCAGTCTTGTCACCTTTCTTGTAGAGATTCTTTGCTTCTTGAATGATAAACAATGGAAGATCTTTGTTTGTAGTTGTTGTAAGTTGACTCACTAAATTTGTAGCCAGCTGATCTTGGCCTTCTTTTCTTGCAAGAGAGACGATAGCACATTGATGTTCCATTAAACCTTGCCCAAGATTAAGTATTTTGAAAATAGAGGTTCTTACATTGAGTACTGTTTCAACATTGAAGAATGAATCATTTCTTATTCCAATAGAACCCTTGAAAAGTGCCAAATCTTCGTCTTTTGGAATTCTTTCTACAATTTGTTTTCTGTCTGTCCATTTAATGTTCCATGCTTTTTCAAGTTCTGATAAACTTTGTAATTTTGCAAGAGTTGATTGCATGTTGGATGTTGAGTTGATAGATTGTGATAAATGTTTTCTATAAGTTTGTAATGTTAAATCAAAGTGAGAAGAGTCTCCTTTTGCAATTGAGTATAACAAATTGTAAATGGTTTCATTGAAACCTAAATGTATGGAAGGTGGATGCTTTTCTAAATTATCTAATGAAATAGTTTTCCACAGATTTTCAAAGTATTGCTCTCTAAGTTCAAGATTTTGCATCATTTCATCATGAGAAGAGCCTTTCATGATTATGGAGGAAATTCTATCGAGGCCAAGATTTTTCATGGAATCAAACACTCCAATGAGACTTTGTGGACGTCCTTCCAATACAGTGGAATCATAGAGTCCAAGGGCATTGGACCATTCTCCTTCCTTACTGCAAAGAAGAGTTTTTGATTCTATACCATAACTTTTAGTGACGCCATAAATACCATCAGGGTCATCAATCGCATTGTATAATGACAAAAGCAACTTCTGGGACTCCTCTGCTTGTTCTTCAAATTCCATTGGCTTTTTGTCAATGAGTGTCAACACATTGTCCTTTTCATAGAAGAATTCAGAAAACATGAGCGCTGAAAAATGCATGCCAGCCCTAGAGGCAGCTTTTGCAATGGTCAAGTAATCCATGCACAAGAAGCACTTCGAAGTGTTTGGTTTGAGCTTCTTTTTAGAGTTCATTGAAACAAATCTGTAATTTCTATGTAATAGATCGAGAGTATTCATCAGTAAAACAATGGTTTCCTTCTTTGAATATGCACTCTCAAACACATGCTTCTTCAAAAGAAGAGAAAGTGCTTTTGAAAACTCTTTTCCTCTTTCACCCAAAGAAATGTCAAACACGGCAAGCATAAATAAAAATTCTGCAAAAGCTGTCTTTTCTCCACACAACTCACTACAACGCACCAGAATTGGATCTGTGACTCCATTGCTCAGTAAGGACTTTGTCACAGCCCTAACCCATTCATCATGAGTCTTGTTACTAGTATCATACAGATTATCGCTCATTGGCTCGTATTGTGTACTGGATGATGTTGAAGCTTTTTGGGCGAGCACATGTGGCAAAAGCACAAAAGGATCTGTGTTGTTGATAAATGGCTCTAAGCAAGACTGAGTAGCAGCATCAATAAACCGCGAGCAAATCTCTTTTCCTTCTTTTGTTTGCAAAATATTGTTAATGGTATTGGACGCCACTTTGATAATATTAATGTCTGGGTCTGTCAAATAGGAGCAGATGAATGAAAATATTTTCATTTTAGAATTGATAATTATTTCTGTTTGACGCTGAGGTGAATTCTTATTGATATCTATTTCATCTACAAGACTCTTGTCATGCATTTTCAGTCTGTCAATATTTTGAATAAGTCCAACTTCTCCCAGAGCAATTACAGCTTCCTCTTTCCATTCTACGGGATAATCCCCTGAGCATATGTTATACAATTTTGAAATTAATTTTGTTACAAGCCAGTCCCCTTGTTGTGAAATTTGATTGTTTTGATTCAATACGTCTAAAATGTATTTTCTGTTTTCTCTCAGAGCCTTTGAAATATGCCTAATTGAGAATACGGAAATGTTTTCACTTCTAATGAAATTATCCATTTGTACTGATACTTGTAATGTTTGACCTTGAATCTTGACATGCATTTCATTGAGCTGATTGAAAATAGGCAAATTAGGAAAAGGTTCCAAGTTTTTGAGGATATCCGCAAGGTTTTGAGAGCGAAACAATAATTCCAAGATTATATTGGGCAAACTTGTTGGACACCCACTTGTGATTAGATCTACCATTTTGTTCCGTATCTTTGGAATGGATTTATAGAGTTCCATCTTGGCCTCATTGTTGGTCGTGTTCAAATGGTGTACTAGTATGACCTGAAGCAATGAGCAAGTTTTTTCTACCGCTTTTGGAAACTCAATTTCAGTGCTGCTGAGTAGCATATTAATTAATGTTCGAAAAACGAAAGGGCTATAAATGTTTGCTCCTAAAAATTCGTCTATAAACGTCTTCAATATGAAAAATCTTCGATCGATAGGATAAGCTTTGGATGTGATTAGTTCATACAAGTTCAGTAAAATTATGTGAATTCTGGGTTTTGAGGCTTTCAAAAACTTTTCAAGATTCAAATTTTCTTTTGGTGATAAAAGTTTAGCTAAACTCTCAACACCTTTCTTAATGATTGAACTGGAAAAGCACAATGTGTTATCGGCATTGTCTGACATCAACAATAAAAGCTCTATTACTATATCAGTAATTGAATTGGAAGATCGAAGAATGGCATCCATTGATGCGCCAAGAATTCCTCTTAACTTCGTTTCTATTAACACTTTACCCCTGTTCGAGTCCATAGTGTAAATGGCATAACAATAGGAGAAAATGTAGCAGAAATATTTAGAAATGCCATCTTTTAAATTCATGTTCATGCTCGAGCAAAGCGTTTCTAAAAGTCCTTTATCCTCAGAATGAACAAATACAATAGGGAATATATCTTGGGCATTGGTCTGAACAAGGTCAGACAGTGATGAATAGCCAAGCAAATCTAAAGGCATGTTATCAATGTTCTTGTTTGATTTCATCCACTCTAAAATGAAATATCTGCAATTATTCATAAATAATTGATTAATGTCAGAAAATTGGAGGTTATTGGAGAGGTATGTTAATGATTGCTTTGCAAAATATCTGTCAACAAAGGAATCATTGGAATAATAATTCATAATTTTGAAAATAGTGTTTAGAGGGTAATCGGTATTGGATGCCAGACAGGTTAAAGTCAATAAAGCGCTCCTAACCATCCCAACTTCGCTTGAATTTTCAATTAATCTGTACAATAACTTTTCAATGGTTTCTTTTTCTAGATACTTCTGAAAGACCGCACAATTTTTAGAAATTTCCAATCTTGCCATAAAGTTGTTTTCTTCCAAAAATTTGAGAGCCAGTTCTGCGATACTTGTCATGTTTGGTAATTTTCCAGAAATCGCAGCTCGAACAATACACTTGGAAAGCTCAATACTGGAAGAAGTGCTGAAAAACCCTTTTTCATAGATGCTGGTTAATGATATCAATAAGTCATCCCATTCTGAAACGATATCACTGTGCAAATACAAATGCTGATCAAGAGATTGTAGCAGTCTAAGTACAGCAGTCCAACTTTTGTTATCGCCAATCTCTCTTGGTATCTTCTCTAATGCAATTCTGGCAAGTTGTTCATCACCAGCATGAAACAGTAGGTCACAAATTTCAAACTTTGGAAATACTTCACTTGACTTGTCAAATAACTCCAATAATGTCTTGGTTATGGTTTCCTTAAGAGAAGATGTGACATCTCTGATAGAATACTGCAAAATTTTGATTATAGAAGAAACGAGCTTTCTGCTAAATTTTTTGTCTTCTGGTTTTTTAAGAGAGGTAGAGCCATTCTCCTCGTCATCGTCGTCCAACATGACAATGTCATCATGCTGAGAGCTGTGTTTGAGAATAGAAACAGAATGTTGGTTCAACCTCTCAATCGCTTCGGACACCAGAGTAAGAAGTACGTCAGAGGAAAGTTTTGACCATTCGTAAACAATCTGATCTTGTTCTTTGATTAGTAACAAAACATCCTTAATAGGAAGTTGTGACAGCTTTTCGGTAAGAGAAGCCCACAATGGAGCTCCCATACCAAACTTGAATGCCTCCTTTAAATTCACTATCAATGTTAACTGAATGTCTAGATAATACTTATAAAACACTCGATTTTCAGTGAAAAATCGATTCTCTAAAATCATACTCAAGAAAGTGTTCACAATGTCTATCAGCTTGCAAAGTTTGCAACAAATGCTCTCCTTTGATTCCTGAGAAACAATTTTCAGATCTTCCTTTAGAATTAAGTTGAATACTTCAAGAAGTCGCTCCATACTCTCACTCTCAACAAACAAGCTTGTCATATCATTCTTCGTAAATAGTGTGACACTATCGGTGGCAGAGGAATAGAGTTCTTTTTGCATCTCTCGCAAGCAATACAACGCACGCGGTGATTTGTAGTCGTTGAGATAAATATCATACATATATTTCTTGAAGTGATCATAACGGTCACTATTTCCAGTTATAATGAGATTCGAGAGAACAAAGGAAATGCATTTGCAGTCTTTTTCCACAGCATCTGTGAGAGTGAACGCTTTTCCAATCCACTTGAATATTGATGGTTTATCGTTGAATAAAAGGAGTTTTTTCTTTGTTTGATGCAAATGATAGAGGCATAAAAGTAAATGCAAGGACTCGGCGCAAACAAACTCACTCGTTTTGAAATATTTTGAGCTTAGCACTTGTAAATTAAAGTCTGTTTCATAAGCTATCTTGTTGTCAACCTTTTCTAATATGATGGCAAGTAGGGAAAATACTTCCCTCAAAAGATAGCTGCACTCTGTCTTTACAAGTTGAATAAGTAGAGATAACAGCTCGCCGTTCCAAGAGGAGTTCGAAATGTTATCATTTTTCAGAATAAAGTATCTAAAAATCTTCAGGATATGAGTATGTACATCATCTACAACTTTTCTGTACAGACGAAATGCAATCATAATAACACTAGATCAAAGACAAATACCTCGACAAGTGCCAAACATACCTTTCTCTCATGATATAAAATAGCCTGCTGGTTAATGATTCAAAGATTCCACAAAAATGAGCAAAATATCTGTTAATTGAGGTGTATAGTAACCTTATCCAATTTGATAATTCTTCCTTATCTAAAAGTAGATCGTTACTGACAACAGAAACAATTTCTTCCTTTACAGAAAACATTTTTCTCTTCTTTCTAGATCCTGGAGATTCCTCAACTTCTCGTGGATTCTGTGGAGGCGAGTCTGAATCCTCTTTGGTGTCCTGTAAGAGCATTACTTGGTAGAAGCAATCGGTACAAAATTCAAAATAAATATCTCTGTTCTTTCTTTTGATATCAACTTCTAATGTACTTAAATTCTTGATATTGAATGAAAAGAATCTGGTTTGATTAAGACTATCTTTGAGGACTGAATATATTTTCATTAAATTGTCTTTTTCAAAAACAACATCTTCGTCGTGATATCTGAGATTTAAAATAGTGTGTAAAAATTTAAAAATCTCAATCTAAAATATTTGGTATATAATGAACATGAATCATTTTGTGTAAATTTTCATTATCTTACCTTCAAGTGTTCGCTATTGGTTTGCAAATAAATATCCAATAAAGATGAGCAGATGATATTTGCAAGTTTTCGTAACACAACACTCTTATTGAGCGCTTGCTTTTCACAAAAAGTGTTCAAAGTTTCTATGATGTGAAGTTGCACTTTTTCATAGTTGTTGTTTTTGCTTTTGAAATAAGCTTCAAAAAGTGCCAAGATCTTTTCAATTTGATCTTTGCTAAATTCTCGTGAATATTCTTGGACTAGAAGTGGCAAACAAGATGCATAATGGGCAGCATCTGTTTGACTTGAAGAGCATGCAATCAATAAATCCCCAAAAGTTTGTAAAAGCTCATCAAATAGATCACTTGTAATCTTGGAAGAATATTTTCGAATTCGAAGCATTCCTTTCAGTATGTCACAGCTAGCTGAACCAAAAGTATATCTTCTGTCGGAGTCATCGTTGGTGCTTTCTCCGTCATAATTTAAATTTGAAAGAATAAATTGTACAATTTCTTTGATCGTCTTTGCTTGAATGAGATATGGTCTTGCATTATCAGCATTGTCAACTGCAACCAAATGCATATATATTCAATTTACAAAATTATTTTAGTTCGAAATGCACAATGTGATGATGAACATACCTTCTGGGTCATCACTCAAGCTAAATTCAATGAGAGTCAATAAGATTTGCTTTGTGGGAAGAGCCACATCGTTTTTCAGAGTATTAGTTTTTTTGTTCGATTTTGCTTTAATTTCTGTCTCTATGCAGGGAAGAAGATGTTGTTTAATGATGGCGCTCCATTGTTTATCATCTTTCAAAAATAATGTTCATAAAAGCCTTGATGATCTGGATTTTCTTCAACTTACCTAAAATCGTTAAATTATTCCGATTGCTTGAGACGAAATCTCTTAATTCCGTAATACCTCTCTATATTCAAATGTACATTGGCCAAACACGTAAATTGTCATCATCGAATGTAATTATGATCGGATTGTTCAAATCAACAATGATTGTTCAATTTAATCTCATATATTATATGCATGTAACAATAACACTATTCTACCAACCTTTCTTTCAGTGATCTTTGATGATCCCAAATTGTCCACGATGGTTTTAATGACCGATGAAGACATTTTTTTCTAATATTTTCTTGATTCGACTTTTTAAAGGAAAGTAAAGAGAAAACAAGCACCTTTTCAAACAATAGACAAAAAATCAAAGGGAAGAGTAGCACGATAAAGTTCGAAATGAAAACGACAAACATGAAGCGCTCATCTATAAATGGATTTTGGAAATCAAAGCAATTCTTTTGCTCCAGATTCAATAAAATTACAAAAAAAGAAAAAAATGTCTTCATCATCATCACAACAGCAAACACCTCTCTCGACAAAACCAAAAGTCGACCCGAATGGAAAATATTATGAATGGTTGGGAATTGAGAATTGGCAAGAGGCAACAGCGGAAACTATTCAAAAGGCTTTTCGTAAGAAAGCTTCTCAATACCATCCCGATAGAGTTTCCGATGAAAACAAAAAGAAAGAATATGAACATTTATTTTCTAAAATAACAGAAGCGAATACCATTTTGAAAGATCCTGAATTAAAGTCAAAGTATGATTTAATTTTGAAACAGGCTGAGTATAAAGAAAGACAACAGAAAGAGATGGATGCCAAGACCAAAGATTTGCGAGAGTCGTTGGAATTACGTGAAAAATTGGCACAACAAAATAAGTTGAAGAAGGAAAAATCGGATCAAGTATTACTGAACAAGGAAATGGCTTATCTAATTAAAGAAAGCGGAGGATACGATATGTTACATCAAGTGCAAGAAAAAAGGAGAGAACGAGAAAAAAAACAAAAAAACAAGAATGGCAACTCAAATTCTTGTCAAGTAATTGTAAAATGGAAGAAAACTCAGGATGTGACAGAGGACTCTTTGAAAGTATTATTCAGTCGTCTCTTTGGTCCTATTAATATCATGATATTCAAAGAACCAAAAAGAAGGTGTGTCATTTCTTTTGAAAGTTCATCAAGCGCTCAAAAAGCCGCAAACTATGACTGGAAAGAACATACACAATACAAGTTTAAGGTGAAAATGGCAGGCTCTGAAGATAGTGAAACTAAGAAACGAGAATTAAGCACCCCAACTAGATCCACCAGCGATGAGAATAATGACAATGTAACACCAGAAGAGGACAACCAAAATTATGATCTGAATTTGAGACTCATGCGTTTAGCTGCAAAAAAGCAAAAAACAAGTTAACTATTTATTCGTGTCGTCACTTCCATGTAACGAAGATGGCTGAATATCGTAGTCTCTCGATAGGGCTTCAAGCATTTGCCTTCCATAATCCTTTTCAATGAGAGAACGTTGAGAGTGAACTTGTTTCTTGGATAAGAATTAACTTACCTTGGATTGCATGACACCATCCACATCTCGGTCTGGCCTTTCCAACAACTCATTGTAGTATTTAATAGCACCTTCAACACTACCGTTTCTATGATGAATGATTCCCAATACAAGTAACACATGTTCATGACCAGGACATTCAGTGTCCAATAAATTGAGCAGACCTTTCACACATTCATCAAATTTGGTGTTATCCTTCATGAAAGTGTCTAGATAGTGTGTTGCTAATGTGTTTCCTTTTTGTCTCAACGTATTATCTCTCAAATCATAATTATATTTCAGTGCCTTATCAAACTCTGCTACTGCTTCTGGGATTTGTTTTTTGGTTGCATAAATGCAAGCACAAAGATGATGAAGCAAGCCATGGTCAGTATCGGTAAAAACACTATCATTGCATTGTGTCATCAACTGCTCGCACAACTGTACGTTTGACAAGCTTGTCTCTAAATTTCCTTTCGAGTAATGTAGTGACGCAATTCGATAATACAATTTGTACACTGACAGATCGTCACGAATTTTGTTCGTTACAATATTTTCAATAGACTCTGTCAACATTCGAATGCAATAATCATAGAGGTCTGTTTGCTTTACATCTTCAGCTGCTTTTGCATATGCCAATCGATATTCAATGTTCGATGGATCACTCTTTAATTTTTCAGAGGCATTAATCAAATCGTTCAATTTAAGTGTGGATTCTACAGAGTTGAGTGCTGAGCTCTTTTCCGTGCTCACTACAAATTTTCCTTGTTCCTATAGTGTATTGAATTATTGCAATATTTGTGCAGTAAAAATTATTAAATGCATATGAATGGAATATATTCCATCAATTAAATTTCCCAAATATCAAGTATTCAATAATTATCGTATGAAACTCATGTGTGTCTCAAGACTCAATATGAATACCTACATATCCCTCAATAATTGAAAGAACCAAATCCAATACTTCCACTTTTACATCCATTGGCAAATAAGCATTCTCTCCATCCGTTCTAAATCCTGAATGAAGCAATAAATCAAAGGCTCCAGGTACATAAATGATCTTTTCCGAAAACTTTTGGTTGGACATTTTGATTTTCCGATACTTTTCATCAAAAAAGTTTTTAATAATATTCATCATGATGTTCTTCACAAGAGTCAAGGAATCCTTTTTTTGAGAAAGACTCGGATTTAATTTGAATGTTTGATGGACTTTGTGAGAGACAAAAGCAGCCACATTCTCTGAGAGCGAATTGGAAATCATTTTTTTTCTTTTTTTTTTTGAATTTCCTTGTTTGCTTGGTGATGACTTCTTTCATCATCATTTTTGGAAAAAGAGAAGGATCAATGAAATCAGTGAAAACAACATTGAAGGAAAACAGTTTCTGCAAAAAATCAGAATCTGCTGCAACGGGTTGTTCTTATTGATTTATAAGGAAATTGCTGACCTGGTGGTGTATTATTGAAATAGTGGTCATACGTCGTTACAAAGGTTGAGATACTTAAACACAACTTGCAGTTCCACATCTGAATGACAATTTTGAACAGATCCAAAAAATTTCATGAAAAACGATCAATATTCACACACAATTAGTGTTAATCACAACTGTCAGTTGTGACATTTCTCTTTGTGAAATAAAAACTTCTTATTCAACGTCAATACCAATCGATTGTAATTGATCCTCAACCAAGGTGTGCATTCTTCTGAATGTTGTTTGATGTTTCTTCTTTCTCTTTGGTTTGTCCTTGTCACTTCTTTGTGTGACATTTCTTGTTTTGATTTTTGAAACTACTGGAGAAGTTGGAGTTTCAACTGGGGTAAGAGTAAATGTTGCTTCAACTGTGGCAGTTTCATCTTCGTCATCATCGGATGACACAATTACTTGTTTGAGTACAATTTTTGAAGTAGTCTTTGTTGAGGAGTTCTTTGTTTGTGGCTTGACATTGGAAAGTGAGATTTCTTGATCGGAACCATCAGAGTCTGAATCAAGAATTCTTCGAGAGGATGCCGAGGATTGAAGAGAAGCTTTGGATGACGAATGGGATAAATTTGAAGCGCTAGATTTTTTTTGAGTATTGGAATTCACACGAGAGGATACTTCGTCACCGCTTGAAACCTCATCCTCTTCACTGGTACTGTCATATTTAAGTTTGACACTTTCTGTGTGATTAATTAGATCGTCTAAATCATCCAAATCATCAGATTCACGAACAGTTGCATTATTTCTCTTCACTGAAAAAGAATCCTTAATCATAATTTCCATGGCATGATCTCCATCAACCACATCATGTTCAATGACAAGTTGATCTTTCTTTGCCTTTTTTTGATTCTTTTGCTTGTCAAGTTTGATGTCGTCAATTTTGTAAGGTTGTTCATTACTATTCGCAGGAGGAGAGCTAGCAGAAGGGCTACTACCACTCGAGTCTACATTAGATAAAAGAGATGCTTTTCCAGGAATGCCAACAGCTCCATTTGAACTTGACGAAGATGGTGACGATGGTGTCAACAATGAAATTTTTTTCTCATCATTCATTATTCCCAATATTTTCATACCTTCTGGATACATGAGTGAGACACGAGTATTATTTAAATCTTCATGTTCACCTAAACTCGAGCCACGTGTATTCGTGATTTTTCCTTCTTGAAATAGACTTTTCAATCTCTCAACTGGATTAATGTTGCCGTCAGAGACAGGTCCTTCCTCGAGTCGATCCAAAAATTGATTTCGACATCGGTGGAATGAGAGACTTTTCCACATCATGGGTGAATGAGGAGAAACCTGTTCTCCTAAAATTTCATTTGCCCTTTCTTTCTTGGCCTCTTTGATTTTGTTGATAATCAGTTGATGAATTGCAATAGATTTCTTTTGAATAAGTTCTCCCTCATTGAGAACCTTAGTGACGTTGTTGATGGCTTCAATCCATTCTTCTCGATCTTTTTCAGTTTCTGCCAAGAAAAAGTATTGTCTTCCGACGGTGTGTAAAGTAATCCCACATTTTGTGTTTTTGGTTTGTTCTACTCGAGTGCCTTTTAAATCAATCGAGTCAATTGGTTCCATTTCTTTTTCACTCTTATAATAGGAGAGAGTACTATCTTTTAGCACAAAAAATCTTGTTTTGATACTCTTAAAACTGCCTCCTTGTTTTTTCAAAATTCCCTTCTTTTCAACTCTCTTTGCTTGATCGCCACGAAGGAAATTTCTTGGATCATTGTACACTTTCTTTAAATTAGCATAATACACACTGGCACGAAGAGCATAAACCCATTCATTGACCTCTTCTTCTAAATCACAAAACATGTAGTAATTTCTGTTTTTTGTGACAACTGCAAAACAATTCTTTTTTCCGATTTGAAATTCATCGACAAACATGACCAAACTGTCAATTTCAATTTTCACACTTCCTGCAGGATATGAATCGGTTTGACTCTTGTAATAGGAAAGAGTGTCATCATGGAGAACAAACCATCTCTTTTTCCAATTCTTTCTTTTTGCTCCTTGTTTTGTGATGTGACCCTTTTTACTGGTCAAAGAAATGTCAAATTCTCGTTCGAGTTTGAAATCTGAATTTTCCATAGATGGAATGTATGCTTTTTTGATGTACTTGTCTGTGATGAATTTTTTCCGAAAGGAACTGTTGGAATGTTGTTTGGGAATGTATTTGCAATGTGTTTGATTTATATGTTGCATTACATTCATCGTGGTTGTTGTTGTTGTTATTGACATGGTGGCCACAGTGAGTAGGTAACGAGTGTGGTTGTTGTCGTTGTTTTTCGAACGCATCCACGCAGTAGTTTGTGTGATATGACAATCAGAGAAGAAGGGATAACAAAGAACCCGAGGATGTTCAGTCGTGATTGTACACGCAGTAATGACAGATGATTGATGAATGAGAGCATCATCATGATGTCCGCGAAAATAAAATTGAATGTTGTTGTGTGTTAGATCAATGTCATACATTACATTTAAAATATCAAAAGATCCATAAAATTTGATAATATTTGTTGAAAGTACCATCAGCGTTCAAATGAGAGACATGATGAGACAACAAATGTTCAACAAATTTTACATACTACTTGTCGTGTGCTGAAGGTTTTTCGAACGGAAATAAATTACACTCCCAATAAGCATTAGCCTCTACATTTCCAACCTGACTCATAATTTCATATTGTTCTTCATCATTCCATTCATCGAGCTCGACACTTTTGACTTTTGACACATGAGTTCCTAAACTTCGATGTACACCCGAACAATTGATACAAACAAAAACTCCCAAATTCGTAGATGCCCATGCTGTTTCTGTTGCCAAGCAATCAGCACAATACTTGTTTTCTGATTTGTTTTTTATCGCGATGATTTCTTGTTTGAAGTTTTTTGTCGTTGCTGGCACGACAGGGCTGTTTGTTCGTGACATTGTTGAAAGTTTTTTTTGGGCTGACAAGTCCTTTCAAAGCGAGTGACAGTACTGTCGTGCGTGCGATGAGGCTTGATCTCATTTCTTATCGCCCAATAAATTTTCCTCCATGAGATGATGATGATATTACACTCATCCAGACTCTGTTATTTCTTGATGGAAAGAAGAAGAAGAGGTGAACCTGAACATGATGACGCACCACGTGGGGTTCATGGGTTCATCCTCATGTGGTTGATCAGAGGTGTAAAAAGTTCCCTCCCAAGAAAACCGTTATGAAATTTTTGAAAAATGAAATGCATCAACTTGCTTGCCCTCTGCGAGGGATGGATCAATCATCACCACCACAACCTTCTTCCGAGAGAATGTAAAATACTGGTGGATTATATCATCAAGATTCGATTGGGAAGTCTTTCCGTGTGCTCTTCTATCTCATGTTGGCACCACATGAAGAAGATTTATCAATCTCTCACAAGATATGCCAAAGGGAAAAGCCATCGTTGGATGAGAAGGATCTCATTGATCATCATTGCTATTATAGTGGTATTTTCAGCTTCGGGTTATATGTTCATCAGGTGGATTCTTCTCTTCTTTTCATCTCAACCGAACAAATCAACAACAAGCCTTGAGGAATTAGATGATAATGCCTTACCTCATGATGATGATGACAATTCATCAATTCAACAAGATTCTAATACTCCCCCTCTCCATCATTCCCCAAAAGATTGTATCCTGTTTTTAGATCAAGTGAAAGCACATTTACAAACAAGCATTATGAATGAATTCTTTTCGTCTCCGATCGGAGGCGATGAATGGCCATGGAACCAACAAAACCAACATCATCTCATGAGAGCGGTAGTAAGTGTGGTCCAGGTGTTTTGCTTGGCCAATATGATGAGCCGCATCCTTTCCTCGTGCTTGTGCAACAACAACAGCACGATGGATAAAGTTTTGGATGAAGTAGAGCACACGTTTTCTGACCTTGTGATTGCCAGATGTGTTCAACAGATGTAAGTAGAGTAGTAGTAGTAGCGATAGAAAAGGCTTTTCAAACCTCATCAACTCATAATCACTTACAAACCGAACGATATAGCAAAACTCCTGGTGTGCTTCATCTCCCAGATCCTTTGTGGACCCGACGACGAATGGAGTACTTTTCATCACCTCCACTCATGGTCACTGGTCATAATCATTTAGAGGATGTTCTAAGGAGTATTCGAATTGAGTATGAAAATAATACGACCGGTCAACAATTCTCACCGTGCTCACTGCTTTTCGATTCTCTCTCACAAGGTTTGTTAAGCCTCTCTTCCTTCAAACCAATATTCGAACATCTTGGATCGAATCGTATTGAGGAGATTTGGTTGCAATATTGTAATGCATGTTTTGATTTACTGGTTTCCAATGTAAGAAATTCTACATCGCCCGTGCTTCTCAAAAGAGAGCTTGAAGAAAAGATGTTGTGCAAAAGTAGCTGCATCGAAGGTACAATGAATAGGTTCATCTATGAAGAGCTTTTAGATGATTTGCCATGCTTCGTGAAACTTGATATGGAGCTGAACGTTTAATTTATTAACTTCAAAAGCATAACCAAGGTTAAGACATAATATTCAATACCTTAGTGAATCCGAGCATTGATATTCGTTTGAACATACAAGAAATCGCCTTTTGCTAAATTCTTTTGCATGCGGGACGTGTTTTGTTTCATGGAAACCGCCAGCGAGTCCAACAACCTTCCAATAGTATCAACCGATGTGGAATTGGATGATCGTATTGGGCTAGTGTTGAGGCCTTTGCCACAATTTGCCTGGTTTATGCATGTAGGATGTTGGTTCATTGGGTTTGTTGTTTCTAACCTAAAAAGGGTTATTGGGTTTGTTGTTCTTTCGAATTTTTTTTATTGAGGTTGGAAACTATCAATTTTTTGATGAAAGCGGCCCAATGGATTTGCTTCGCTCCATAACAATAAACCATTCATTCAATCGTAGTTTTCGAATTCATTCATTTGTTGATCTCTCAGATCGTAATTGATACCTCTAGGAAGAAACATCAATGCTCACTATAATGTTTTCTTGATAAAGAATGTGCTTTTCAAAATTGTGTTTATTTCAGAGACTCTTTAAAGCATTTGTTGGAGAGCTTGTTGTTGATTAGGTGGTAAAGAAGCAACTAATTGTTGGAATTGTTGACCATATTGTTGTGAGAATTTTCTAATACTTTCCAAAATGGACATTTTCACCTTGTCCTTCATTCGTTCTGCTGGGAGAGTCAATCCTTCGACGAGTTTTTGCAAAATTTGTGGCAAGAGAGGACCAGTGGTATTGTTTGGATTCTCCAATAACATGGAGAGAGAAGTGTAGCAAATTGGGCATTCCTCAAAATCTTCTCGGAGTGGAAGAGCACTCAAGAAAACTGGTAACACTTGATCCAAAGGCATTTGAAGACCACATGCAATAAATCTAGCAATCGCTCCACATGCATTATCTACCACAGCTGGATGATACTTGCTTGGATCGACAAAGATTGGATGTAAACTAGCCAATACAGGCATGACGTGTGGTTGAACTTCATCCTTATTAAAGAATGCAATCACACCAACACCATAAATAGCATTTCTTTGAGCATTATAATGTGGATCCTTAATACATTGTAAAATAATTGGCAACACGTGTTGAACGTATGGCTTCATGTGTTCTTGAAGTGAATTCAAACTTTCACAAATAGTTCCCAAAGCCATAATTCTGTCACCAATGGGTCTTGTTGGTTGCAAGTATTTCATCAAATCTGGGAATACCTTTTCAAAGAATGGAGCAAATTCAGGACCCAACAAACCAGCAATCGTGTCCACAATATCAGCCACAACATCAATCAATACAATGTCATGATCTCCCTCATCTTCCATTTCAGTAGAATTGCATGGAGTGTTTTGTCTCAACAATTGAATCACTCCATCCATAATTTCAGTAATATAACCACCCAAAACAAGAAGACCAAATTTGTGAGAGAGTTCAATAATACTTTCACAAGCTCTTGCAACAGTTTCCTTATCTTCTTCAGCTGTCAATGCTTGAACCAAAGTTTGCATCACCTTATTCACAACCACACGTTGATCTTCATTGAGTTCTTGATTCTCTGTTTGATATTCCAAAGTTGGAACAGCAGCAAAAACAAGATTTCTAATCGAAGTCATAGATTGTCTACGAAGTGAATAATGGAAATGTCCAGCATAATCAATCACTGTATCAATCACTTGATGTAAATATTTAGCAAAGTGTGGACCTGTTGCTTTTGCAATTTGACAAGCACATGAAATGGCAGCACTTCTTTCATCAATGGCTGAAGTTCTCACACTAAATTTGTAATTAGTTCCATCAAATCCCATATCATCATCAGAATCATTTTCATCATTGCCATCACCTGCAAGATCTTCATCATCATCAGCAGCTAATTGATTTCCATAAGATTCAATATTATTTCCATCATTTCCTTCAACTTCAAAACATGTATCTTCAGCACACAATGCATTCACTACATATTCACCAACAGTTGGTAAATAAACTTTGTAATCTTCTCCCAAAGTCATGGCCATACTCTCAAAGAACATGAATGTATATTCTTTAAATTCTGATGAATTATTCTTTTCAACATTGGCCATTGCGAGTCTCATGAATCCATCGACAAAAGGTGCAAAAGTTTGTTTTCCAACAGCAAATGCAATAATACCCACACATTCAGTGGCTCTCGATTTTAACACAAGAAGGTCACTACTTCCTTCTGCCTCCATTAATTGTTTCATCATCATGACAAATTGATTAAAATAGGGTTCAAATAATTTACCAGCAGCAGAGGCAGCAGCACTGATACCAGCGACAGCTACTTCTTGAGATTTTCTGTCATTGGAGGTCAATAAGGAATAGAAATTGTTTAAAATAGATTCCAAATATGGTTTGATTGGTTCACCTTCCATATGTTGTGTGAAAATGTCCAAACTGTAAGCACTCTTTTCCTTAATTTCAAAACTCTTATCAGTGAGGTTGTGAATAATGAAAGGAAGGACTTTTTCGTGATATTTCAAAATTTCAGGTTGACAAAATTCAGCCAAACTGGAAATTGCCAAAATTGCACAAGCTCTAACAAGTTTGCTTTCATCTGTGAAACCTGCAGCAATCAATGAAACGACTTGTTCCAAATTAGCTTTGACAGCTTCTTGACAACCTTCTGAAATAATTCCCAAAGCAGTAATACCAGCTCTTCGATCAAATTCATTGGCACTTTGACACAATGGAAGAGCTCTCTCAATAATATCCTTAAAGACATACTTGCTTGGAAGTTCAACAGCAGCATTATCTAAAAGTGCAGAACCCAAATCGTATGGAGTGTGTTCATCTTCATCTGCTTCGTAACCTTCTTCAAGTTCTTCTTCTCTTCTTTCACTCATCAATGCAAAGGCAACATTTAAAATGTGTGGAACAACTTCCAACTTGATCATTAACTTGGGTTTGTAAGTAATGGTCCATTCCATAAATGTGGTTGCCTTTCCTCTCAATTCATTGGTCAATTGTGTGTTCACAGCAATTTCACACATAAAGCTCAATAAATTTGGAACAATCTTGTCAAATGCTGTGGATTTGTGTTCAACCAATTCATCGAAAATTTCAAAAGCATTGGATGCTTCTTCATATCTTGATTCTGCAATACAATGTTTCAAAGCTTCTAACATTTGTGGAATGACTTGAATGATTGCATCCAATTGTGGGTTTGATTGTTTTGGTCCATCTTCTTCATTGACATCATCAACTTCAAGAACCAATTGACGAATTCCTTTCAATGCTGCAATTCTCACAGCAGAGTCACTATCCATCAATCCTGCTTGGAAAACTGCCAAAATTTGTGAAAAGTTGTTCAACATTTCATCTGGAGTATTTTCAATCAAAACTGTGAAAAGTGTAATTCCAAGTTCTCTAAAAGCAGATTGTTCGTGTGAAACACATTGAGAAAGGAATTTTGGAAGGTCTGGCCAATTGGAAATTTCATGAAGAGTCATCGAACCAACAAGTTGAATGATAGAAGTTCGCACAAGGTGACTGTGAAGAGACATTGAAAGGTCATTTGTTGTTGGAACAAATGTTGTGAAAAGCAGTGATAATTATTTTAGAGAGACACCATTGAACCAAAAACAGCGAGTGCCATCATCACAACAAGTAACCATTGAGAAGAAGGAACAGCAGAGAGAGGCGGACATTAGAGTCAATGGTATCATCATGACCGACAGGACGGTGATGGAACAACAAACACACATCAAATGGGTGGTCATTATCATCAAAGTGGTCATTATTCGGAGAGAATTGGTTGATACGATGGTTTGAGTGTGCGTGTGAACATCGTGATGATGATAATCATTTAAATTATTATCAAATAATAATTTTAAATAAATAATAATAATAAATTAATCATCATCATGTAAACAATCATGGGATGAAACAAATTCAACCTACGTTGGTTCACTCAACAAGGCATTCAAAATATTAAACTTAATCTCTTCCTTCACTTGTGCATCCAACTTCTTCCAATGATTCTTCATCTTTAATCTCATCAAGACAGCACTCAATTGTCGAACACCCACATGCGTCGATCCTTTAATTTGTGAAACAAATCCAACCATACATTCACGTTGTTTGAGAAATACTTTAATCACAGATTCTGCTTGTTTGATAATGGCACTCTGAGGAACCATTAAATTCAAAAGGACTCTTTCCAATTCTTCGGCATTGGTGATTTGAGAAGGTTGAGAGATTTGTTGTTGCTGCTGTTGTGGTAACATGTTAAATTTGTAAATAATATTATAAGAGATAATGATGATATACTATCGTAATAATAGTTATATACACTAATAATTGGACGACCTTGTAAAAGAAGAGTGTGCGTGTGTGCGGGAGTGTGTGTGTGCGCCAAAAGTCGTGTCGTGTCGTCGTCTGTTCAATTTAATGGTTTGACTTTTTTTTGCGGTTCAAAATTTTGTTGAGCCCCAAAACTTTTCTCGTGTCGAGACGCGTGAAACTCGTGTGTGTGTTGTTGGACTATAGTGAGTGGACAGGAGGAGGATTCTCTTCTTGTGTTCTTTCTGGTCGTCGTCCCCTCACACACACACACACACACGCAACAACAATGCTCCTCCCGCACTCACTCTCGAGTGCACCACACTCGACGACTCATTGAATATAGGTGGTGTTTGCTTTGCCAATGAACAACACGTATATTCAATTTCACAATGGTAGTGAATAGGTAGTAAATAGTTAGTAAATAGTTAGTAAATAGGTAGTGAATGTCCATTAAAATTTACTCTCAACAGGAAGCTCGTGTTCAAACGAGGACCACAGTGAACATTGTCAGTAATGCGTGTGCTTATTCTCAAATCCAAGGTATGTATTTCATGCACCATTTTTGAAGCGAATGACTTTTCAAGGAACATTACAACCACTCCAATCAATGTCAAAACGTGATAAAAATTTCACACAGTGACTGCTGACAGCGATTCAAAAACAACACATCAACACCACGTTGTTCAACAAGAGGATGCGTGGTGTCAGTAACCGAAGCAATAGTTTCCACTATTCGCTCTCTTTCTTCTTAATGATGATGACTTGTTTGATGGTTCACACTCGACTTGTCAAATGCCACCAAATGTTCGTTCATTATCATCCGCACGTTGTTGCTGGTGGTGATGAAGATTCCATTCATCGTTCCGAACCCTATTCCTCCTATCAACCATTATTATCATCCATTCAACAACAAAATTCCATTCAACAACAACATGAAAATTATTATTTCAATTTATCTCTCAATGCAACTGCCAACAATCATTCACTTTATTTCAGTCCATTCGTCTTTTTTGAATCCAAGCGCCAACAACACCACACCCTATCCATCATTTACTTCAGTCATGATTGATGCTGCCATTTATTCATTTACAGATTTTTCAAATTTTAGAGATTCCATGATTTATTTCACAACAAATCGAATGGATGTTTGTTCCTATGTTAGAAATACAGGAAATGACATTGCTGTGGATGGAAGTAATGCTTGTGAATACTTTTTTTGTGATACCAATGCAACGGTGGCTGATCCTTTTTATAGGAAATTGGCTGAAAGTTCAGTATTTGGATTGGTGGAAATGTTTTGCAAATATTGTGATTTAGGAAATGATACATTGAAAGCGAGAATTTGGAATGTTTCGACTTGTCCCTATATTCGAAGAACGTGTGAAGTGGCCATGACACGTGACAGTTCGATCGATCAATTCAGTTTGTGTGGAAGTGAAAAAAGTACTTGTTTACCATTTCCTTATTTTGATGGAAAATTATTTGATTTGGATAATCTTTATTATTGCTATTGCGAAAATGAAAAACGATGGGGAATTGATTGCAAAGATTTTTCTGTCATTGATGCTCGACTCTATTTGGATTGGACTGTTTTTACCATTGCTTATGGTATTGAAGCCATAATTGCCATTTTTGTCTTGTTACTTCCTGGAGTTTTACAAATTTCCTTTTTAAAATCAATTCGATATTTATTTTTGAGATTTAACACATACATACGTACCTTGTGGACAGGTAATGCAGAAAATCCAATGGGATATGCTGATGAACAAATCTACACTCCATTTAAATGGTTTTCTGTTCGACATTTGAGACTTGTGGTCATGATTGTCATTTCCATTTCACTCTTCACATACACTTTGGTGAGAATTATTTGTCACGCAGCAAAACCCTATGACATGTTCGCTGTGTTGGATATTTTCCTTTCGTTGTGTTTTTATTTCATGACGACTGGTTTTCTATTAATTGCCGTGTTGTGGAGTAATATTGCCTTATCGGATAAGAGAAAGGGATCCACCGATCAATTATTAATGCCTCTACGAGTGATCATGTTTGTTGTGTTAGGTTTCATGCTCTTGCTGGCCATTGCCTATGTCATTGCTGAACGATTACTTCGACTTGCGAGTGGAATTGTGTTAATTTTCTCAATGGTGATATTTATTGGATTGAGTGTGTCCTTATTTGTCTTTGGATTGAAATTGTATTGGGACCTATCGAGAATTCGAAAGGAAGGAATTTCGATCACGTCCTTGCGATTTACCAAATTTATGTTTGCGAGTCTTGTGGTCTTTGCATTGACATGTGTCTTTTTCTTGTTGGCCTCTCTGACCAAAGTTTCACACACGGGAATTCTCTCCAAATATTATGCATTGTGGCAAATGTTGTTTGTGGACTTTTTCATGTTGTGTTTGCATGCCTTGTTGATTTATATTTTGTATGATCATAAGGCAGCGATGGATTTGTATGAATTTGTGTATTGGCCTTTCTGTTCGTGCTGTTCCAAAAAGAAGGCAGGTCATTAATATATATTTTTCTTTGCGTACTAATATAATTCTCATAAGTATTGAGAATTCTCACTTTAAATTAATATTGAAAATTCCATCATTATCAAAAAGACAAAGATTCAGTACATCAAAAGAGGCGTCTGGGGCCACCTCTCTGCTCCAAGTCCAACAAAGATGCAGCGGCTGGGATACACTGCCAGACCTCCGCAATAGCCAAGCGAACGAAACTCTTTGCAATTAACAAGTTCTCTTCAACAAGGTCACAAACATAAATTATTGACACGCTTAAGCTGTTACATTGTGATTTTGTTTAAACTGTCTTTACCATGTGATGGTTGACTGTCGTCTGAAAATAGTGCATAGGATGCATGGTCTATCATACAATGTGATTCATCGTTGATTTAATGGTCATCCTATTTCTTCAGGATGGTAGTCACCTTATCATCTTTCGACGTGTAAATAAATATATTCGTATCATGATCCTTCACGTATTTGGCGAGAATGTCCGCTTCTGTGGTGCCACCACTTGGAGGTCGATGAGTGGTGTTGGCAATCTTTTTCACATCTTGACTAGTGAGTGTTAGCGAAATTAGTACAACACTATCTTCCAACAAGGACTTGACTTGTTGTGAACATTTCTTAACGGCAATGCTGGCAGTACTTTGATGTTTTGCTTTGTTTTTAGGTTGTAAAAACACAACGTGATTTTCAGGTATTGTATCTAGAGGTGAGCTTGGCTGGATGGTGCTTGAGGAAGCGCTTGGAGTGGTTGGCTTTTTCTGCTTTCCTTCACTGGTAATGTAGGCAACGAGATTTTTCTTGTCAATTTCGTAGACTTTTGCTTTCTTGATGCCTGATTCTGAATCTTGGTTAGTAGATAATCGAATTCTCACTAGATTTTTGGAAATGAGGTTTGACTTGGTTACGACAATGTATTTGACCTTGTGTTGCTTGCAATAGGTTTTCACATATTCATAATCGGTATTATCGTCATAGGTCAAATCTGTCTTGATTCCTGCTTCCCATAACATGTCAGCAACTCTCATCCTTTCTTCCTTAATTCCCTTATTTTCTGAATATACGAGTACTTGTGGCACACCACTGTCAAAATGAGGAATGATCGGCTCTTCCTCTTCACTGGTGGTGAGCTCTGTCGTTTGTTTGGTATCCACCAAAAGGGTATGTCTAAATAATTTCTCGAGTTTTATATTCGCTCCTACCACATATTGAGGTGTCTTATCAAAGAGTGTGAAGTGAGTGACCATTTTGTCATATCTACCACCATTCATAATAGCAATGTAATCATCACCTTTTTGAATTCCAAATTGGAAAATCACACCACTATATCGTTGGTAGTCGTTCGTTAGGCTTGTATCAAATTCAATCTTGACATTGGACTTGTCAATACCCCATATCGAAATGTTATTGAGCAGGGTTGAAATATCATTGAGGGCCTCTCTAGCTCCAATGTTAGTAAAAATATTGGCAAGCTTTTGTCTTGTGACATCCACAGCTCCTCTCAATCTAAATAAATCTTTTAGAATTGGCTTTCCTTCTGGTACAGGTTGATTCCAAGTGTAGTTACACTTTTTTCGTTTTGAAACGAACCTGCAAAGTTCTTCGTATTCTCTCTTGGGTACTCCACAATAGTCTAATATGGAATAAATAACGCCGGTATGATTAATTCTGAGAACCCAACGGCCATGTTTTGGTACAAAGACCTTTGCAATTCTACTAAGAATCTTGATAATCTCTGCGTCTGTAATAAGTCCAAATCTTGAGCCCACAATGTCAACAGAGCATACTTGACTCATTGTGAAACCGGATTTATCGCTTTGTTTTACCACATTCTGGAATGAGTATCGTTTCAAAAACTTGATTTCACGGTCGTTAGGAAGTCTTGCCAAATACCTTGCGAGTGTAATGGCTCCATCTTTTGCAATGTTCATCAATTTTCCTGACTTGAACATGACAGGATACGAGTCTTTTTCTTGAATCATTCCATCCAATTGGTCACTGTTTGGAAAGTAAATTTCTACGTCGAATTGGACGGCTGCATGCAGGTGAAATATTGATTGGAGAGTTAGAATTGCTTTTTCTCGATTGTAAACTTTGGCTAAATTAAACTCATTGCTGATGGATAAATCTTTTTCTTTTCTGTTAAATAGAATGGAAAGTTTTTCTTCTGTGGTGGATATAGGCATGTACTCTGACCCTAACAACTGTTCAGCAGTGGGCCTTTTTTCTGGGTCCTCATTGAGCATCCATTCTATAATCTCTTTTTCCTTTTCATAAACTGCTGGAAAAGAAGGAGGAACTTTACCAGTCTCACGAAGTTTTGATATTACCACAAGGCGTTCGCTTCCAGTGGAAAACCTGGGATGGAGCCTAATTTTTGAGAGTGTGTGATCATAACAGTGTCGTTCATGTGTCATTGAAACATTTTAAAGGACACTTACATTTCAAAGAAAATAATTCCTAATGAATAAATATCAACCTTTGAGGAATAGTGAGGTGACGTTAAGATCTCTGGAGCGCTGTATAATGCTGTGCCTACTCCTGTAGACAGCTCTGATGAGTTTGATTGAGATAAGGAAAATTCAGATTGTCCTCTGTGATGTCGATAATAGTGTGACTTGCCTCTCACAGCAACTGAAAGTCCAAAATCTCCCACCTTAATGGTTCGATCTACACTAATAAAGAGGTTACTTGGTTTCTAAAATAGGATATTGCAATAACTGGCTGTGGAATGATAGAACTTACCAGGTCACGATGTATAATGTCATTCTTATGCAGATAATTGAGAGCCTCTACCGTTTGTCTTAGATACCGCCATGCTTCATCTCGTGTTAGAGAGGTCTTGTCAATGACCTCTCGAAGAGTTTCTTGGCAATATTCCATTTGTATATACAGAATACGTGTTGGCACATTTTTGGTGAAGGCATTTGTTGACTTTAGCTCCGTTTTAGTTTTAGGTTCTGTCATTTCGGAAACTGAGTCAAAGTTATAATATTCTGTTTCATCTGAGTTACTTTCAAACATTTCATTTTCTATAGTTTCATTATTTTCCTCTCTCCATGCGTTGAAATATCGTACAATGTAGCTATGGTTTAGTCTTGATAACAGATTAACCTCTCTCAAAATAATTTTCTCTTCTTTCTCATCCCTTGACTGGAATTTAATTTTCTTAATCGCATAAATTCTTTGATCGAGCTGATTTTTGACTTTTGTGACCATTCCAAAGCCTCCTTCCCCCAATCGCTCGAGTTCTTCGAAATCTGTTTTGTACCTTGATAAGCTTAATGAAGAGGAATCCACCTGGTCGCTTGGTTCTCTCCAAAAGAAGGAAAACGGCTCAACTGCGCTTTCTGAGGCTGTTTTGATTTGTTCATTAAATAGGTTTCTAAATTGTTCTTTAAACTCTGTAAAATTTGAAATATACTTTTCCATAGAGGGTGACAAAACTCCTATTTTCATAAGTTGCTCTGTCAACTCTGTAAAAGCATGTTTTTGATCTTTGGAAAGTCTGTTACAAAATATTTTGATGAGATGAACCAGAAGCATTTGAGTTCGCTGTTGATTATCCTCTGTTAATTCTTCTAAGCGAGCATCTTCTTTTTTCTTTTTTGCGTCTAGATAGAAGTTGATAAAATTTTTAGCTGGGCTAGATGATACAACTCCAGGGCTGGTTCCAGATTGACTAGAATCGCTGGATTCCTTTTCTTCCCTTATCGATATGGGAGAAGATCTGTGAGATGGCTTTTTTTGTGTTTTTTTCTTTTTCGAGTCATCTTCTTCCTCTTCTTCTTCTAACACTAACTCTTCTTCCTCTTCTTCTTCCTCCTCTTCACTAGCGTCACTTTCTTCCTCATCACTATCCACCAAGACAGCTCTTTTGAAAAAGTTACGATTTTTTGGTTTTTCCTCTTCTTCCTCTTCTTCGCTATCTTCTTCTTCTTCGCTATGGCTCTCATCATCTTCCTCTGAATAATTTAAATATTCATCTTTTTCCTCTTCTTCTTCCTCGTGATCATGAGAGGTAAATTTCGACACAGGGCTGCTTGACGATTGACCATGCATACTTTTTTGATATTCAAAAATTTCTTCTGTGACTTTGCTGATGGGTGTTGGAGATTCGTCCATCATGAGTTTTAACTTATGTTCTAGCTTTCTTGTTTTTTGTTCTTTAATCATTTGCTTTCTCTTTGCGCCCATGTCAATAATTTCTTGTTCTTTTTGTTTGTTGAGTTTTTGTCGTTTTTCTTTTTCTTCTATTGCTCGTCTCTTTTCATTATAGTAATCTTGTTCTAGCCTTTCTACATATTCTTTCACTCCATCAGTACAAGTTGTAATTATTTCATGCAACAATTGGAACCCTTTCCCCTCATTGCATTTTGACTTACGAACGTCACTAATCATACATAATCCTTTTCAAACACTTACTATTATTTTGTCGTAGAGCTGCTTCACGCTCTCCTTGCTCATACCGATAGCATTTTCTATGGTGACTTCAGGAGGTAAAATTGGATATCCAACTGGCAGGCTGCATACAGATTTTTGGGGTGTTAAATTAATGGCATTGAGGTTCCACACACTTACATAATTTTTAAAGTAATGCTTGCCTCAGCAATCAAAGGTTGGTTTGTGGATTCCTTATCATCCTCTTCTTCTCCTCCTGGGAGAATATCTGAATTCACCATCATGTTGTGTTCTTTTGTTTTGAAAAAAAAGATGATCATAATTTTTCTTGTACAATCAATTTTCAAGGGATCATCAATAGTAAACTCTTCAAGAAGAGGCTTTTTAATTATTTTAGTTTCACTAGGTTTTTGTAGAGCTTCTTTATACGATATTGAAGGCTGTTGATTTACATTTGGTTCATTCACATAATAAAAACTCAAGGAATCGGGATAAACGATTACTTCCGAAAATAATTCGTTTCTCAACTCCTCATGAATATTTCTTGATGAAGCACTAGCTACAACATCTTCGGGTTGATGTTGTTGTTGTGATTGAGTATTTGAAGAAGATGTGGCCGTCATTGAAGACGGCAGCGATTTCTTCTTATTCTTATTGGGCATTTTTTTGTAATGCTTTGGATTCTCCCCAATCGACAAGGTAGACGTGGCTTGGCTAATGTTTCTACTACTACTCAATAATTATGTATTGTGTTTTCCTTCACTCTTCCAATTTGCCATCAACTTTCATCTCCTTTTTCATTGACAGAAAATCGTTGGATTTTAAAGAAATATCAAAACAGCAAAAAATGACTCAACATCAAAACCTTCGCGATTTGTTTGTGAGAAATGGTCAGGGACACATATTCACCTTCGAGAAGGACCTCTCCGAAGAACAATTGGCACAACTGTATCAACAATTGGAAGAGTTACCAAGCCCTGAGTTGTTGAATGGAATGTTTCAGGAATCGGTGGTTTTATCTGGTTCTCCAAGTCGACCCTCCGATGTGATTGAGCCTCCTCCGAATCAGGTGATATCCTTCAACAGAAGTGGCACCGAAGAGGAAGAATTAAAACAAATTGGTATGGATGCTATTAAACGAGGAGAGTTGGGCGTGCTGTTACTTTCGGGAGGTCAAGGTACTCGTCTCGGAAGTTTATTACCCAAAGGAATGTATGATGTTGGGTTACAGAGTGGAAAGACCTTGTTCCATATCCAAGCAGAGAGAATTTTGAGATTACAACAACTTGCTGGAGCTGACCAACCAATTCCTTGGTACATTATGACTTCCAACTTCACTCACGAAGAGACTGAGCAATATTTCAAAGACAATTCATATTTTGGACTCAAAAAGGAACAAATTCTATTTTTCCAGCAAGGAGATGTCCCTTGTTTTTCAATGGATGGCAAGCTATTGTTGCAGTCAAAATATGAAATTGCCACAGCCCCCAATGGAAATGGTGGAGTTTATCAAGCTCTTGTTAAATTTGGAATTTTGGATCACATGAAACAAAGAGGAATCAAATATATTCATTCGTACTGTGTGGACAATATTTTGGTGAAGATTGGAGACCCAATTTTTATTGGACATTGTATTAAGCATGGCTGTGACTTTGGTACAAAGGTAGTGCCAAAGAGAGATCCTCATGAAAAAGTAGGAGTATTCGCATTGAAGAATGGCAAATATCATGTTGTCGAATATAGTGAAATCACTAAGGAAATGGCTGAAAGAGTTGATCAAACATCAGGACAACTCTGTTTCAATGCAGGTAATATTGTCAACTTCTTCTATACACTAGAGTTTTTAGAAAGGTGTGCTGAAATTCTCAACACACACAAGCTGTATCATATTGCAAAGAAAGATATCGAATCAGTGGACATCAATACTGGTGAGAAAAAGAAACAACCAGGTGTGAAACTTGAACTTTTCAACTTTGATATTGTAGAGTATGCAAAATCTGTTACTATTTTCCAAGTAGATCGAGAGTCTGAATTTTCTCCTCTCAAGAATGCACCAAACCAAAACAATGCCGATTCTCCTGAGACTTGTCGCAGAGATTTATCTATCCTCCATTCAAAGTATCTACAACGGGTTGGAGCCAATGTTGTTGGAGATTGCAAAACTCAACTCTGTGAAATATCTCCTCTGATTACCTATGCTGGCGAGAATTTGGAGTCTTTCAAAGGAAAGACCATTCAATTACCCTGCCATATCACACACCTTAATTAAGAGCAATTCGAATACAACACCCACCACTATTTATTTTGCACACTCTTGAATTCTCAATTGTTGTTGTTGTTGATAACTCTCCATGAGATGATCGAGCAACAGGCAGTATCATTTTAGATGAATCATCGCGATGATTTCTATGATCGTTCAAAAAAGATTTCTTTGAAGAAAAATGAACAACAGCCTTACTGGAGAGCAAGGTTTCGATTATGGAAGCACCATTGAGCGAGTGAAGCGGTTTGCAGTGGCCCTTGCCGAAACGGAGTTACAATCATCCAAATCGTTGGAAAATGTGGCTGCGGAAATTCAAAATATACAAAACAACAATACTCTGCTGCATAATCAAATTACAACATTGTGTTCAGCTCAGATTGAGGAAGCTCAACGTGCCTTATTATTGATCAATTCATCTCAAAGTATTCTTAAAGGTGTAAAATCAGAGTAGGTATTGTACGGAAGAGTCTTGCAGCTATTGATTTCAACTTTTTATCACTTTAGATTTGCAGGTCTTAAAGAGAAGGCCAGAAAGGGACAAGAAATTATCAAGTGCTATTCAACGATTCGGAAAGCATTTTCAATTTTGAACATGATCGGAAAGACAAGAGAGTGGATTGCTAGGCTTCTCCATCTCAGAAAAGAAGTATTCCAGATGAAACAAATATTGAGGAGCGAGTTGGAGAAACTTATGAATCAAGAAGAAGAAGTTGAGACTGATGAAGATGATGAATTTGATGAGGAAGTCGATCTAAGCCAATTTGGTTTTGAGGAAACTGACTTTAATGACGAAGATCCACACAATGTATTGATTGCAATTTATGAAAGATTATGCGGATTGGAAGACTTTAGGTTAAAAGCACTCGATGAAACGTCCAACAATCCTCAAAGCATGCAAGTATTTTCAAAATATTTGTCCATAATTGACTCTGTGATGCATTTGTTTAATAAGGTCATGGAGAAGCACTTTGAGAATGCGGTAGGATTGTCACATGAAGAACCAGAAAAACTAATTCAGGTCATTAGAATTATGGAAAGAGATGAAAAGAGAAAAAAGATAGTTGAAGCGGATTCTTTAACATCCCACGACACCGTTGAACCAACTTTAAGATATTCATACAAAAACTATCGACAAATGTGTTTTGACTCTATCGAAAGATATGTCCAAAACTCTTTGAGGTATGAAGTCGGAAATGACGAAAACATTGAGGACGTCATGGACAAGATGAAAAATCTTGTCGAGTCTGAATTGGAAACAATTGAGAAACATCTAGTTGTATGCTTTCCTTCTAAATACAACATTTTTGAAAAATGTGTGGAATTTTTCGACAATGAGGTTCGACACATTTTAGGTCACTACATCACCGATGACACAGATAATATTACAAGATCACAAATACGTAAGTTTTTAATGTGATTTTGGTTCACTCTTCAAATTTTGCTCTGCAGTTAAATGGCTCATTGAATACCCAGAAATTTATGATCCGTACCTTGACTCTCTCGAAAATGTGGAAATAGACTATTCTGGTATGATCACAGACCTTAAAACCACAATTAATATTACTTTCTTTGTAAGTATAGCTGTCGTGATAGCTGCTGATTAAATGACGCAATCAGAAATCTATTATGGAATGGAGAGAAAAGCTTGTTCAAAACCTTTTTAATACGATTTGTAAAGATAACTCCGATGAAAAAGGTTTTTTAGTACAGGGTGACATTTTATATACATACGGACCCATAGATTTTTTTACTACCCTGGATCAAGCATTACAATCAATCTCTCAATGTGGACAAAAAGATGTAAGTAAGAATAAGGAAACATGCCACTCTCATCTTGGAAACTTCTCAGCTCATGGAACAAATATCATTTGCTATAAGACAAACATTGACCGATTACACTGCAAACTTGAAGGACGGCGTTAACAGTAAGTGTTGCGAAATCGATTGCAAATTGATGGATTACAATACTCATAATGTCAGAGCATATTGATAAAATCACAATTAAGAGATTAATAGCCCTCACCAATGACTGCACCAAATGCATTTTGTTTACTCAAGATCTGCAGGACCAAATCGCTGAGATGTTGCCTGACTTGGAGATGGATAAAATCACGATGGAAGAAGTGCTGAGTGGCTTTTCCAGCCTTTCCAAAGAACTTGTAAATACCTTGTGCCAAAGATTCATATCCAAAATTGACCCCTATCTTGAGAAAATATTTACCAAGGAATGGTACACCGAAAAGGGAGAACGAACATGTGTAACAGAAGCTTTAGAATTGTTGCAAAATGACATTCAATTACCAATCGATTTTATGGAATGGGAAAAAGTGGTCGCCATAGTCACCAAAGTATTTACTCATTTTGTAACCAGGTACATTGACGCGTTTATGACAAAGAAGTTTGTCTTAACCAAAGAAGAACGAGAGGTTGTGAAGTCTGAAATTGCAGCCAGCATTGCATTTTTACCTCCTGAAGACGATAATGGTTGGGTTTCCACCATTGTAAAACCTCTGAGACTGATTGAGGATGTCTTTGATACCATTGATGACGAGGATTTACTTCAATGCATGTCTGAAGCAACCAGTACTTATCCAGATCTGGGAGAGATTGTGTTTGAAACGTTTGTGAAGAAAGCCGGTTTTTCAAAGGACAGCACCGAGCTTTACCTATCCACCATCTCACAATTTTTCAAAGCAAAGAGTAAGCTTACTCAAAGAAAACATGACAAGAAGTCCTTGTTTGGAGTGTATAACCCCAAGGTTGAGGAAGACAAATCCACAACAAAATCAGATTCTGTCAAAGAAAGGAAAACGGAGAAGAGAGAAAAGATCAAAAAGAAAAAATCTCTTCGAAGAATATTTTCTTCACAAACAGAACAACCCAAGTCATTTTCTGCAGGTTTAATCGACTCATCAATTCCAGATGATGATGAGGACGAGCCATTGCCCTCAAAACCTACGACAGGTAATAGCAGTCCAGTGTCGGTTATTCCTCCTGCAAGCGCATCAGAAAAGAAGAAAACAGATTCTGGTGGTGTCACCGAGATGAACTTGCTGGACTATTTGGATGATTGAAATCTAAGTAAAGGAATTTTGTTGGAAATCTGCAGATCAAGAACTTAAGGAAATTTCGTTGAAATGAAGTGTTTTTATTAGGTTAAAAAACAGTTAGTTCTTAGTATTGTCAGTTAGTACCAAGTTTTTCAGATATCATTTTCTCAATCCAGTATGCCCACTTGTCTACACAACCGTTGACGTCCTCAATAATGTAATCACGTCCTGGTGTGCGTAAAATCATATTGTTATCTGACTTCTTGATAACCTTAAGAGTTTTTGATAGCGGCACAAAACCTTTCACCACCATGTTTTCATAATCTATGTACATGAGTCTGGGCCAATCAGTTAGAATGAGCTGTCTCTTTTTAGCGGTCAATCTTCTTCGTTTGATAACTTTTCTAGTATAGATGATGGACTCGTTTTTCAGTAAAAATAGTGACCACTTTTCGTTCAATTTTTCTACAATATAGGGATTAGGTTCATCAAAGTCGTCTTGCTTGTCTTCAAGTTCAATAGCATCCAAATCAGCAAATGGTACAATAGATGGTGGAGTTTGATTCTTCAAATTATTAAAGTCAATGCCATCAAAGAAGGGATGGGCTTTTAGCTCCTTATACCCACATGGACCTACACCCAATCGTTTCATGGCATCCAATTGGAGTAACTTGTCGACAAGATCACGTGCCACATATGGAAAATCATCAGGGAATTCAAACTCTCTCTTCAATATCTTTTGGAAAATTAAGTATTCAGACTCAGCCTTAAATGGATGAGTGGCTGTAAGCATTTGATATACAATACAACCGAGAGCCCACAAGTCAGCAGCCTCAGTACAATCTTCATCTTTCAATATCTCTGGAGACACATACTGTACAGTTCCGCAAAATGTACCCTTCTTGGCCTTAAGAGGAGAATCTCCAACAGTCACTTCTTCTTCAGCTGTTATTTTTGCAGTTCCAAAATCAGTTATTTTTACATGCATGTCCTTACTGAGAATAATGTTTTCGGGCTATCATTGAGATAATACACAAAGGTTATCTCTCCTTCTTGGGCCTGACATAAATATCAACATACTGTTGTGTAGCACAGTAGGTCGTGAGTCAGCAAATTCATTTTGAATTGGATTCCAATCATTAATGAACTTACCCTTAAGATCTCTGTGAATAATTCCGAGAGAGTGCATATACTCCATCGCATTCACAATCTCAGCAGTGTAGAATTGTGTGGCTTCCAGCGAGAACGGCCCATAGTTTTTAATGTACGAGTATAATTCTCCTCCTGGAGCATATTCGAGGGCAAAATCTAGAGTGTCATCATTTTCCGTGTCGTGTGATGTTGTGTGAACAATGATGACGACCATATTGGTAGTACTTACATAAATTATTGGCATCTTGGAATGTACAAAACAATTTAATCACATTATCATGGTCCATCATGTTCAATACTTGTTTCTCCATCTTTACAGTTTTGGTCTTGTTTTCCTTCAAAATCAATTGCTTCTTGATAATCTTCAAAGCATATTGCTTTCCGGTTGGTTTAAAGGTGGCGAGAACAACTCTACTATACGCTCCCTCTCCAATTTGTTCTCCCAGTTCAAAGTCCTCACAAGAATAGGACTTTCGGGGCATCATACCCTCATGATGATGATATTGTGGGGGAATCCCAGTGGGAGGTGTACTGGAACTACGGGGAGATACAGGCATTGGGGATATTGGTGGTTGTTGATTACTTCCCACACTACCATGATGGTGTGTGGTGCTACTGCTGTTGGTGTTGTTATTGGTGCTGTTGTTGTTATTAGAGGACTGTGGTTGTTGTTGTGGTGGTGGTGGTGGTGGGTGCATCATCGTGGAAGTTGTTGCCGTTAGAGCGGCTCCGCTGCTTTGGGGCAAAGCTTGCGCGAGGCTCATTTTTTTGTGCGCAGAGCATTTTTGGGAGAGACAAGCGAGGAGTGGAGAAGGATTGCCAAAAAAAAGAACAATGTTGTTGAGGATGTTGACTCAACGTTCGAATGTGTATCTCTGTTTCTTTGGAAATGACTCGACTGTTGTATGATCAGAAGTAGCAGCAGTAGCTGAGGGGGATTTGTTCTTTGGGGTGGTTGACAGAAAAATTGCTTTGCAGCAAATGACAGATGTTGACAGTGCTTGGAAACAAGTGAGTTGGCAGCAGTCGTGATTCTTTTTTTTTTTAATGAATTCTGCAAATCAACACATTCTCACAGGTGCTCTTATCGAACAAACAACGGTTGTCATTAAGGGCATCGACAAGTGTCAACTGTGAAAAGAGAGTAGATAACTCTTGCTTGATGCTCAATTTAAAGAGGAGAGATGAGTTGTGGTCAACAGCTATCCTGCATGATTCATTCAGAATTTAAAGGGGAACTACTAGTCATAAAAGAATCATGTCGAATGTACATGACATGATGGAGTATCGAGAGATAGTTATTCAGGGTATTATTGCCCATGCTGTTAAGAAAATGGTTGTTGTCCAGGCTTGGGCGCATACTGTTCAAGTGTTAACTGACTGATAAATTCATTGCATTCCTTTCTTTTCTGTGTGTAAATTATTTTTGCATCTTGTAGTAGCTCCTTCCTATTCCAAATCACCATAACGTCGATGAAGCTCCCAATTCTTATAATACTGCAACTGTGATGCAGTAAGTGAGGGTGAGACCATGGATATGGCTTGTTCAAAATCTTCGACAGAGACAACATCTCTCTCAACAGACGTGTTGGTATTACCTTGAGAAAGAATAGACCTGGAAAGGGCATTAAGACCGGCACGTTGGCAAATGTTTGCTATATCTGCTCCAGAGTAAAAGTTTTTGGTCCTTTCGACAAAGGAATCGACATACTGAAGGACTGTTTCTTCGACTGTCATTTCCTTAATGCACATTTCAAATATGGATTTTCTTGCCTCGCTGTCAGGTGGGCCAACATAGAGAACATGTTCAATTCTTCCTGGTCTGAGAAGGGTTGGATCAATTTTGTGTGGAACATTGGTTGCTGCAATTACAATGACACAGCCATTGTTGTTGTCATTGCTGGATGTGTTTTTGATGACATCATTGTCTCCAGAGTTAGTTCTCGCTCGTTGCTGTGTGGAAAATTCGATATTCTCCAAAGAATCCAGTTCAAGCAATAATTGCGAAATTAAACGTTGTTCTCCACTCGAAGAGTCCATTCGATCTCCAAATATTGCTTGAATTTCATCAAAGAAAATGACACAAGGGCTCGCCAAACGAGCTCTGCGAAATATCTCAGCAAGAGTTTTCTCAGATTCTCCAACTTCAGCCTTAATAAGATCAGGGATGTTGATGGAAATAAAATTGGAGCTTGAGGCAGAGGCTACTGCTTTTGCAATTCTGTATTATTATTATTCGCATCATATATTGTTTATAATTGAAATAGAACTATTCTGAATATACTTACAAAGTCTGTTCGATAAAGGTGAAATTTTCGAGAAGGAATGATCATGAATACACGGCTCGAATACTCTCTACACAGTGCTACTTACTTTTCCAGTACCTGGTGGGCCATAAAGCAACAAGCCAGTGGGTGGCTTAATCCCCATTCTCACATACGACTCGTAGTGTTTTAAAGGCCAAACCATCATTTCATTCAATTTGGATTTGATATCATGAAGACCTCCAATATCCTCCCAGCTCACTTTAGGGATTTGTGGTATCGTCAGTGATTGTGAAGATTGTCGTATCGAATATGGCTCTATATTTGTAACTTCTTCAATAATGTCGCTCGAAGAAATATACACTTTGGATGGTGTATTGACATCTCTATGTGGATTGGGAGAATGAAGTAATTGTCTCATTTTCGCATTTTGAATACAATTAGAGCACAGAAGAGCAATATCTGCTTGTACCAAACCATGAAAGTGATTAAAAGAAATATCTTTGAGGAGATTATCTTCTGTCTTGAATTGGATCAACTCAGATTGATTCATCTCTAATTCCACTGTAACACTATCATCATTCATTAAAAGCGTCTTGAAAATATTAAAACGTTCTTCATTACTTGGAACGTCGATCATAATATGTTCTTCGAATTTTTGTTTTACAAATGGGTCAAGGCGTTCGATTTGACTGGTAATACCAACGAGGCAGAGTGGAAATGGTGATGACTCTAGATAGTTGAAAATCGAAAGTAACTGATTGAGAAGTAGTAAATCTTTGGATTCTTCATCTTCAGGAAACAGTGTATCAATTTCGTCTATAAGAACTATTGAATTGTTGTTAAGAGAAAAATAACATTTTCAGTGAAGAAGTACTTACATATACATGGATATAAGCTTTCTGCTTCTTTCAATTGATGATAAAGGTTGAATACTCCTTCTTCATCTTGATAAATATTTTGATAGAGTGAAGCAGGAGAGAGTTTTTTCACATTCAAATTCAAATCTTTGGCGATGTGAAAAACCTGGCTAGATTTACCATTTCCTCCAGCTCCATAAATTAAAAAACTTCGGATAGAGTTGGCTCTATTCTTCATTGAGTGATTAATCAAAGAGCGCAATGTGAAATATTGTTCGCTTTTCCAATATGTTCTGCTTTGTAAATGATTTAAATCTATTTCATCTGAATTGACAATAATTTTTGTCTTGTCCGATATTCTACCCCATTCTGCAGCATTTAACTCGTTTTCATTGAAATATTTCACTTGAACAGTAAACTCCATGAAACCAGTATTGTTATCAAAAGCATTGATTGGAATATAAATGTTGGAACGTCTCTTAACAAATTGTTTTCTTGTTATAAATTCTTTGATATCTAATAACAGTATCACATAACTTGATATTGACGACAATAATTGGAAAACATACAATTTTTGTTGACTGGCAAAATTTTGGAGAAACTCATGTTAGAGAATGGTTTCAAAAGTACTCGTTGTAATTCCGGTATTTGGTCATAAATTCCAATTTTGTTAATTATAATTGCTTGGTCTTCCTCAAGTCCGAAACTTTTCATAGCAATTTCATTCATATAAATTTCTCTTTCCACCTCTTCTGCTTTAAAATTAGCTTTCAATACTCCCAATGATGGATCAACATAGAGCGTCAAAATAATTCCTCGAATAATGTTATTATTATTATCATTCATATTGGATTCCATAGATGGCTGTATGCCATCAAGTTCAACAAAATATTGTCTGGGAAATATTTCCTTGCTCACACATTGTTCACAATCCCCAACGCTCCAAATATCCAACAAACGAGTCATCAACGGAGAAATCACCACACAATAAATATCGGAAACTCTATTCAGTCCGACAAGTTTCTTCCTTCGTTTCAAAAATTGAGAGGGATAAGCTTTGAGTTTGACTTGCATTTTTTTTCATCCACGCCTCTTTGAAGGATTCAGAATGGCCATTTTCATTGTCTTTAAGGGACTACATGAAGAAACTCTTGATGAACTGAACAGCATTGAGAAAAGAAAAGACTGTTCTGAACCGTTGTACAGTGAAATTATTAAGTACGACTCATCAACAAAAAGAGTTCATAAAAAAAGTTGAAAAAAATGTTCTTGGCAAAGAAGCCAAAAAATTCGCATCATCATCAAGATGCCAATGATGGCAAACATCATCAGGGAGGAATTTCATCATGGAACAGAAAGAATAATCATAATAACACATCTTCTTCATATAAAAATAACACCAAATATAATAACCGAAAAGGAAATGAATTCAACAGAAAACAGAACAAAGGCTCATCGTTCCGAGAGCGAGGACAATATAGCAAGAACTCTTCTCATCGCAATGATGAACCAGAGGAAGAAGTTGATGACATCTCTGCGTTCGGACAAGAGATTTCTCAATATGCATTAACCGAAATTTTGGATGAAGAAGGAAAGAATCAAATCAAAACAGCAAGAAGCATCATGTCTTATTTCCGAAGAGTTGAAAATCTGATCAATAAGGATGAGTTTCCAACAAATGAAGATAGAATGCAATTTATAACCAGTGTTGTGAACTACACTTGTGAATTGAGAAACTTATTTGACACAGGAAGTGATGAGGATCGAGATGAGACGATGAAAAAAGGTCTTATTGCTCTCATTTTGACTTTAAATAATCCAGTCATTGCGAAAACATTACAAACCATGATACCACTTTCGTCAAGTGAGGATCTTAGAGGTTTTTTGAAAGCCTGTTCGAGTGGATTTGTCATTATCTGTAATGGAAAATTTAGCTCGTTTGTGATTCAAGAGGCTTTAAAATATGTTCCAGATGTAGTTAAGGAAGAATCTGATGCACACCATGCAATGCTTGATGACGTTGAGGATAGTGACAATACTAATAAGAGCGAAGAGAATACCATCTCTGAAATTTTGAATAGAATCTACTACTCCAAGATTGATCCAAATTTGTTTGACATGGTTTTCCACAAGAATGCAAGTTTTGTTGTGAGACAGTTAAGCTTATGCCTTGGACATATTAACTCACAAGAGGAAGGAAGAACACTGCTCGATATCATGGTAGAGAAAATGATTTCATCATGTCCAATTGCTGATGTTCTTTCCGATAACATTGCCTTAGGATTTTTGACTTCTCTCATGGAAAATGTTTCCTCGACTGATTCTAAATTATTCACAAATATCATGAAGTATGCCATCGGACAAGAAAACAACTATGAATTGAGTGTGTCTACTGAAACCATTTCCAAACTCCTTTCTACGCCTCAGCATTGTCACATTGTCGAAGTTATTATCAACCATGGCGATGAAAAGACATTTTCCTACATTTTGCAACATGTTATAATTCCAAATGCTGAAAGCTTTGCTACGGATCAATCTAAATGTTATTCTTTGGTGAACGCTATTGAAAAGGCAAATCGAGACCAATTCATATCCATTTTCAATTCTATCAAAGATAACATTAAGAATTGTTTCGACAATACTCTAAATGTAATAACAGCACTCGCTAAAGGATGTCTAAAGTTTAACACGAAAGAGCAAGAAATCCTTCGACAAATGATGAAAGGCCTTGAAGGAGAGGATCATCAAACCGTAGAACAATCAGTGAAGAAATTACTGTTCTCTTCAGAAGACGGCAAAGTCATGAACAGACACGGTTGCAATTTACTCTCTACAGTTTTCACATTCCAGTCAAAGAAATTACTTGCTCCTCTTGTGGACGTATTTAAAAATATGGACGAAAGCAAGTTTTTCGATTTGTGTGTTTCGAAGGAGGGCAGCATGGTGATTGATTCATTAGTTCAATCGTACGATGAATTTATTCAAAAAATCAAGCCAAAACTAGTTGATTTGGCCACTAATATTTATGGTGCTTTTATTGTCGAAAAGGCAATGACTGATTGTAAGGATAGCAAACTTCATAAGGAAATTGCTACCATTCTTAAAGATGCAGAACAACAGATACGATCCACAAAGCCAGGTTCGATACTTTGGAACAAGACAAACCTTTCTCAGTTTAAGAGCAATCCAAATGAATGGATTCAAAGAAAAGAAGAACAACGAATTCAAAAGAAGAAGACAAGTAAGATGATGCAAGAAATGCTTACATCGTCGAGTACGTCATCCTCAAGCAAAAAGAAGAAGAATAACAAGTCGACGAAAGGTTTAGAAAAGGAGCAAAAAACCCAAATTTCAGAGGAGCCACAAGAAACCCCACAGGCCATAAAACAAACTGACCAGAACAAACAAAAATCCAAAAAGAACAAACCCGAAAAGTCAAAGAAGGAGACTTCTTCTGAGCAAGTGTCAAATAGTGACATTAATTTAGATTTCTTGGAGTTTTCAAAGGAAGAACTAAAAGCTCAACCAAAACAAGAAGAGAAAAAACGAAAGAAAGACGTGACAGACCTTCTTGACAACATTTTTGAATCCAGTATGAAGAAGAAAAAGAAATAATCGACAACTAATCAAGTTTAATAGTCAAAATCTTTGACTTTTTGCTTTAGCTTTTGTGTATCTCTTCCTTTTTGTGCATTTCGTTTTGCTGTTTGTATGTCTTTGGCACGAGAGTATTGCTTCTTCTTGAAGTCTCTTTTAACTTTTTCCTTGATATCTTCCTCTGTGATTGTTTTTTTCTTTTTTCGTCTTGCAGTTGTGGTGCTTGTACCAGTGACAACAGAAGGAGATTCTTCATCACTGATAACTTGAGTCTCTTCATCGTTTGGCTTTTCTTCAGTGATCTGCCCTTCTTGTGGTTGTTCAGTTGTCGATTCACCGTTCACAATCTGCGACTCTTCGTTTTCTTCCTGTTCCTTTTCTTTCAAAATTTCATCGAATTCCTTTGCTTTCTCCTTTGTAAAACCGCTTGCCTCAACGTGTACATCCAGTGAGTATTCTTTGGTTATGTCTGATAGTTTTGGATGGAACCTTGAATATTCTTCGTCCTCTGGCTTGATAACAATTGAAAATCGTTTTGCAAAGAAGCTGGAAATGCAATCCAAATCTCTGTTAAAATAGAATTCTGCATTAGGATGAGAAGTGGAGACCATTTGTGGAAAATCAATCACTACAACCTTCTCGCTCTTTGGTTTCACTAACAAGTTGAATTCATTGAAGTCACCATGTACCAGACCATACTGAGCTAATTTCACAAGTAGGTCAACACATTGTTCATACACATATAATGGGTGCTTCATCTCTCTGATTTGATATAAAGGATAACCCTTAATGTGCTCCATGAGTACGCAATGTCTATTGCAGTCAATTGGTTTTGGTACTGGAATGCATTTGGTGTCATAAATAGCTTTCATAAATGCAAATTCTTTCAATGCGCTCAATCTACTCATATATAACCAATTAGTAGTTTTGCTTCTCTTTCCTAAATAATCTCTTGTGTTTTTCACTGCTCTAAACGAAGACCTTCCCAATCTGTGAAATTTAATAACAATTTGTTTGGCTTTATGTTCCAAGTCATAGCCATCAAATTCATCTTCTTTTTCATCCTCATCCTCCTCATCCTCTTCGTCATCCTCATCAAATTGTTCAATCTCTTCTGTAGTCTTTTCAAGAACAATATTCTCTTCTCCATCCTCTTCATCTTTTGTTTCTTCCTCTTCTCCTTCCTTCACAGGCGATAGCAACAAGTAAATATCCGATTCTTTACCAACACCTATTTGCCTACCAAATCCGATCACATGTCCTCTCTTCATAAACGTCTTTAAACTCAAAAAATCATATCCGGGATATGTTAAATGATAACCATCATAATTCTTTGCATCGTGATGAACCAATTTATATTTCAATAAATGTGAGAGCACTTTTTGAGTACCTCCGTGTCTAAGTCCAGCAATTCTCTCAATCAATGGAGTTGGAACCAATTCATGGTTCTTCATACCCATCTCAATGGCCGTGAGCACACGAAAATCATCATTGCTCAAATATCGGAATTTATTCGAGTCTATTTTCACCATTTTTTTTGAGTTTCCAAAATATTAAATTTTTCAATACCAACTTCAGAAATTCAAAGATTGCAAGATTGTTCTCCTCATGAGTAAGAGGATAGAGGTATTTCTTTGAATGATTGGAAAAACTCATTCACTCCAATAACAACTTGGAGAAGTTGTTTTTCGTGATTCAAGTGACTAAATTGAAAATGCAAATTAAAAAATGAAGAGACTCTTCTGTTCTAAAAAAATACCCACAACAAGCCTCAGTTCGCATCTTCTTGTAAGCAGTTCTGTTCAACCACCACCTCACGACGGACTTTATTATCGTTCATCCTTCTGTGCTGCCTTGATACTACACAACAGTAGTGGAACAACAATTACTACTACCAATAGGAATTATTTTGTTGAAGAGAAGAATTTTGGTACACAAAGAATCGGAAGTTTTAAAGAAAAAGAATTAAATTATTTGATAAATTTTCAGAAACGGGAATATAGTACAATGATTACTTCGGATACAATTGGAACAACAACTGAAAGCGCTACTACTAATGATACAGGCTCCTCCATTCCAAAGAGACCTGTCATTCAAATTGATTACAGGAATAAGATAATTTTAGCTCCAATGGTGAGAGTCAATGGTCTTCCATTTCGTAGACTGGCTGCACGGTATGGAGCAGATATCGTTTATTCAGAAGAATTGGTCGATAAAAAGTTGCTAAAATGCAAACCTGTATATAATGAAAAGTTAAAGACCATTGATTATATTTCGGAAAAGGACAAGTCTATTGTTTATCAAGTAGAGGTTGTGGATAAAAATAGTGATTCACCAACAGCGTCACAAAAAGTACCAACAGTATTGCAATTGGGTACATCCTCTCCAGAGATTGCTCTCCAAGTTGCCGAGTTAATGATTGACGGTTATGATGCTATTGATGTAAATATGGGATGCCCTAAAAAGTTTTCTGTTAAAGGAGGAATGGGAAGTGCTTTATTGCGACCAGAAAATCAAGAAAATGCTTTAGAAATTTTAAGAACTCTTGTGAAAGGAATTCAAGAAAAATACGGTAAACCTGTAACATGTAAAATCAGATTATTGGACACGCCAGAGCAAACTTTGGAATTATTTAAAAAGCTTCAAAATACTGGTGTTTCAGCAATTTGTGTCCATGCTAGGTACATACCGCAAAGACCTCGAGAGAAAGCTCATTCCCATCTTATTGAGCCAATTTCCAAAATTTCTAAAGTTCCTCTTATTGCGAATGGTGATGTTTTCAAGCCGGAAGATATTGAACGAGTGAAAACTGTCACAGGATGCTCAAGTGTCATGATCGGTAAGTTCTTGAATCAAAAATTTCAAAATGAAATTTCTAATACTTTATTAAGCCCGAGGAGCAATGTGGAATTTAAGCATTTTCAGAAAAGGAAAAGCACTTTTAGATAAATTAGAGGTAGCCAAAATTCTATTAGACGAGTTTATTACATATCAATATCCAGCAGGATTATCAAAGTACATCATTAAGAGAATGTTTGAGACACACGCCAAAACTAATCTCTACAAACGACTCATTGGTTGCAAAGGATACGATGACTTGCACAAGGCCTTACACTTCAACGATGGCGAAGATCTCAACAGCAAGGAACTTTCTTTCGATCAAATTACCTCAATACCTGAAGAAGATGACCTTCTACCAATCATCGCTTATCAATCCACAACAGCTACCACCACTGTCACAGAACCCTCCACAAAGAAACAGAAATATCAGTAAAACATTAATGTTCAACATTGTCGAAAGAACTATCAATACCACAAAAAATTGAGAAGAATGAAAATGTTAATGAGCGATCTTTATTGTGCATTGTTGTCCACAAAAATAGCAGCACCAGTCAACACAAATTTATCAACATCTGACGTCGAGTTGCATGGCATGTACAATTCAGCCACAGTGAATTCACGGTTCGTTGAATAATAAATTGGAAGAGGAAGATTCACAGCAGCAATTTCCTTCTTTTGTCTGAGATCTTCCATTTGTTTTTCGGTTGCCCAAAACACTTCACATGATGGTAACGGAGAAAGTGCAGGAGCAGAATCTGAGGTGATATTGGTCAATGTTTGTCCATCAAATTCTGCACCTTGAACGGCAATGCCCTTAATTCCAACCTTATTGGAAAGGCCTGATACATTCTTCGAGGCCCATAATGCACTCAAAACAGTCAAATCATCTAATTGCAATCCAGACTTCCTGGCAGTTTGTTGTTTGAGAGCATTGAAGAAGATGTGAGGACTGAACATGTTGTTGAGTTCGATTGGCTTGGAGTAGAGCTTGCCTTGTGAAATGAGTGAACAATATTCATGCAATTTGAGAGTCTTGGAAATTACTTCATTGATCCAAGCAGTAACGTTGTTGAATGGACCATTTTCCCATCTTAATTGCCATCTCTCAGGTATAGTGCCATTCATCAAAGACACTCCATTTTGATGGATGGAGGTATCTATTAAAGCAATTCCTTTGATTACATCACTAATCTTTTGAATTTCAGAATCAATAAATTTGATCAATTCCAATGCATTGTCCATCTCCAAAGTAAAGAAGGAATCAACAGGATCTGTGAGAATTTCGTTATTGCGTTTGGAAGATAAAAGAATGGATCTGTTTTGATTGATGAGAGATCCCCACAATTGAACAATTGGAACAAGCTTGGAGGTCCATTCATCTTTGTTGAAAATATTTGCAGATCTAGATCGAGTGGATAATTGTTTGAGATTGTCAATAATCTTGGAACCGAGAGAACTTTGAACCAATCTATCAGCATTGGGAGGTAAGCCAAAAACTACAGGTTGATCAGAATCAGGAAGCTTTTCAATGAATTTGATGTAATCGTCAAAAGAGTTACTTTCTGGTAAATAAACTCCTTTGGTGAATAGAGGTTCCTTGTTGTTGAGAATGTTTGGATTAAAGAATTTAGAAAGATAGACATTCAAAATCTTTGCATCATACTTGTTGTCGATTCTACCTCCATAAATAGCATTCTCTAAAAGCCCAAATATTGTGTTCCATTCAGGATTTTCGTTTTGAATAGCATATCCAATAATATCAGAAGCAGCTCTATAATCTGAAGATGAAAATTCATAGAATTTAGTCCAACCTTGTGGAATGTATGTTCTTCGTTCTTGCACTATTGAGTGGAACCAAGCAAGTAACATGGACAATCTCATTCTTGTCTTGCCATACGATGAAAATTCGGACACATTTTGAGATTCAAAGGTTCTTAACATGTTTTGCTTAATACCTGGAGGAGACTCAAATGTGAGTTTCAAACTTTGTTGAAGAAGGATTATAGGGAATTCTTCATGAGATTCTGTGGTAAGCCATAGTCTAAAGTTTTCATTCACGTCTGACAGAACAGCAATTTCCTTTTCCAATGTTGGAAGCCATGAGATAACAAGGTGCAAATTCTTCAAGAATAACCACTTTCCTTCTCTTGAACATTTTCTCAACAGTTGGATGGCTTCTTCTGTTTGGCCTTGACCCATGGCAAGTTCAATAAAGTTAGCATCACCAACAGTTTCGAGAGCCATCTCTCGAAGTTCTTGAGATGGATCAGCACCTGTAGTAGTTATTAAAAGAATAGGTTCCATACAAGTACTTTCTTGTTTGTAAATGTTTGAAAGTTTTAAGGATGAAGCTGTGGACTTAATATCCAATGTTCTCATAATCAAGTCAGAAATAACAAAGTACAATTGGTCTGGTCGTAACGTCTTGATGACAATTAATTTGTCGGCATAAGAGATTGAGTTATCATTGACAGGGAACGACTTGATTGCGTCTTCCTTTGAAAGAATCCAAGACTTCCATTTCTCTGCATTGTTGAATTGAAGTTTAGAAGAAATATCTGGAAGGAAGGAAACAAGAAGTTGTAAAGCTTTGACTCTATCTGCTGGAATCCAGTTCGGAATTTGGCTAATCGATGATTGTTCTTTCACAACAATGTTACCAATAAAGAAATCCCACTGTTGTGGGGTAAATAATGACGGGAACAAGCCATGTACCATGTGCATACCGAATAATTGTCTGTCAGCTTTGAACAATGATCTAGTCACATAATTAAATGCAATCTTTTGAAGTTCTTGTTTCAATAGAGTCATACGTAAGTTCACATCAGACGCCTTATCAAGTTTTGAAGTTAAAGCATGATCAAATAACTTGATAAACGAGGATAGACTGAATTGATACATTGCGTTGATATTCTTCATGTCTGTCATAATGAAAAATAGAGTACTACCCATTTCTGCAAAAGGTTTGTACTGATTTCTTTTGGTTTCTAAATCTTGCATAATCTTACTTGACTCCTCCAAACTACTCATGATACTCTGACTCTTTTTCTTAATTTCTGCCAACTTTGCGATGAGAGACTCGTTTTCTAAAAGATTACCCTTTGAAGATGCAAGCTCGTTTAGCAGTTGTTTTTCCAATTCACTTAACTGTATCTTATTTTCTTCTTCTTTCTTGAGAAGCATGCTCTTCTTTTGTTCAATTTCTGGATTTTCATGTTGAAGAGTTTGGCTCAATAATTGGCCTTCAAGTCCAGACTTGGTGACTGTAAAGTTCACAACAGTAACCAATGGTGAAGAATCAGGAGAAAGCAAAATATTAGGATTTCTTGTAATCAAGTATAACTTGAAGTCATCACTATAATCAACAGTTTTCTCTCCCACTACTACTGACTTTCTCGTTCCCTGAACAATAATCTCATTTCTAAGCAATGGATAAAGAATTGGATCGATATGATCCACTTCTTCAATGATCAATGTTTTTCCGAATCGTACTGACAATTCCAATGTTGTACTGAATTTAGAGTCATTTGGAGTTGTGCATTCAATACTCTTGTTCATCAAGTGAGTCTTTAACCATTCAACTGCTCGTTTTGAAGGATCAATGATGAGAGGATGTTTGATACTCTCGAGTATAACAATGGCATTCTCTATAGATAATTCATCTCCAGGTAATCCCTCGCTCTTATACTTCAACATTTCACTTTCAGTGCTCATAAATGATCTAAAGTCAAACTGTTTGAGCCCTGCAATTGGTTTCCATTTTTCAATATATTCTTGTCGAATGTTTTCAGGAGCATCAGGAAGGTAAACCATGAATGCAGACGCAAGCAACGCCTGGTATGGCATTTCCTTCATTTCCTTAGAGAGAGCATCGACTTGTTTTTCCCATCTATCCTTTTCTCCTCCCAACTTGCCAATGAGACTCTTAGCCGATGAAAGAGTCTTTTCAGCTTGTTGCAATCCTAATTTCAACGATTCTGCTTCTTGTGTCTTTTGTTCATACTCATCCTGCAATGATTTGACCTTTTCATTAAGAGCATTGAGTTTTGCTTCACATTGAGAAAGTTGTTGATTCAACAAATCTTGAGATTTTTCAAGAACTTCCATTTCTCTTTTAAGAGGACCTACTTGTTGGAGAACTTCAGCATATTCGATGTTTGCTTTTACCCATTTGGCAAGAGGAAGGGCAGATTTGCTGCTTCTAGCTGCCACCTCAGGTTGGAACGATTCAGCTCCTTCTCCGTTAACATACTTTTTGACATCTTCGAGTGTTTTTTTGTCAACAGATTCAGCATTAAAGCCCATAATTTGTTCTTTGACACCCATACGATTCAAGAAATTCTGAATTCCTTTCCAAGAGTAATCTTTCTGACCCATTAATCTCACCACACCTTCCATAATTTGCCTAATAGTGACTGGAGGCTGAGCAAGACTTTTGATTTCAGAAATTTCTTTTGGACTCAAAGCAGCAACGGCTTGTTTAGCACTGTCTAGTAATGGTTCTATTGAGCTAAGTTTTGAATTAATAATTTCTTTCTTTTGATTCAGTTTCAACTCCTCTTCTTTCATTTTCTCTTTCAATTTTTCAATGTCACTTTGTTCTTTGACGGATTCTTGCATGCTCTTTTGAATTTCAACGAGGGCCACTTTCTTCTGTTCTTGTTTTTCGTTGAGTTGAATCTTTTGTTGTTCAGCTTTTTTGGACAATTCATCCACACTCTTAGATGCTTCTTTCAACTTGGAGAGACCCTTGTGCAAGTGATCTTGTTGCTCTTGTTTAACTGTTCTCTTCTTTTGAAGTGTGATGTTGAAGGTGTCAATAAAGTTAATAAAGTGAAGAGGTGATGCTCCTCTATCCTTGCTTATTTCGTGTATTTGGACAAACAATTGCAAAAATTCGTCACTCTTTAAAGAAAGAGACTTTAGGTCATTTTCATCAACAATCATTTTGGGAATTTGTTGAATTCCTTCAGTGGACCAGTTATCTTTCCAAATAATAGAGCATTTGGTGAAAATAGCCGGATTGGACCTGCATTTCAAGTCAAAGTCTTTGTTGTCTGGATCCATAACCAAAATTACTCGCAAGTTGTTTGTTACTCTCTTAATCAATGAGCTATATGCTGAACTTGGCTGATTACTTTCGTCTCTAATGGTTGAAAGTATGATTTCTAATTCTTCCTTGGAAAACAACCCAGGAATTTCTCCAGAGCTTAACAGACTGTTGACATATTCAAGCAGAGCCAATTCTCTCATGTTGTGATCTTCGAGTAGTAGGCATATTTTTTCATTCTGAGCAGCCTTTTGTATGATTGCTTTGATGTCGTTTTTGAAATGCTTCACAGAGTAGCCAACGACCATCTTTGGTGAATAAAGTTCAAATTTCAAGAGATGACAAACTAAGGCGACAATGTCGCTTGTGCCAATGCCTGGTTTTGTAACAAGAAGTAATGAGCTTCCATCTCTGCACAGCACTCTATCAATCATAGCAATATATTCCACAATTTCAGGAACAAAGAATAATCTCAGCGGTCTATTTTCTCTTTCAAAGCTTTGAATGGCAGTCTTTTTCAAGGTACTTCTTTTTGCTGTTCCTGAATATCCCAAAAAGTTACCAAATTCAAGAGTTTTGGCAGGACAAAGAATTTTCTTTTTGTCTGTTGTAGCAAGACTTGTGAATAAAATTTTGCCCAACATTTTAGGGGAGTATCCAATGCTTTCTAATTTCATGTGAATAGCTGATTCAATAGTGTCAAAAGCAGCTACATCCTTCACTAGTTTATCTCTAAATATTCTTCTTGCTTCATATGTCCATGCATCCAACAGTTCTGTGCATCTGTTGCTTGTTGAAGGAATACTAAAGTTAGACAGCCCTAAAATCCATCTTATCAAATCTCTTGGTGTGAATTGGTAATGAGCAAATTCGTCTACTGTAAATTTCTTGGTTACATTATCATAAAGTTCTATCATAACCTCGGTTAGCAAATCAATGTTTTGGCTTTGCTTCCAAATAGCGTGGCCAGCAAAGTCTTTAGAAAGAGCAGCTTTTAGATATGTAAAAACGATTTGCTTCAATTGTTGCTTGTCCGTATAGGACATGTATGCTGTTCTTACAATAGAAGTAAATCTGCTTGTTAGCTCATACCTTCCAACAGTGGTCGCAGGATTCATTGAAGCTACAATTTGAATTCTTTCCAAACCAATCCATTTCAATTCTTCATCATAATAACCATTATAAGTTATTAATTGTTGCAAAAATGAAATCAGCTGAGTAGTTCCATACTTGTCAGGACATGGTAAATTAATATCTTTTAAGTAGAGTATTAATCTCTCTCCTTCCTTTGGTCTCAAAACCCTACCATTGTTAGTTGTAAATATAGCACATGTTTGATTTAGTTTTTGGATTACATGACTCTCATTTGTTTGTGAATTACAGTGGATTCTAGCAATTTGAATGGAAGGCAATTCAAGGAAAAGATTTTCCAAAAGCATTCCTTTACCTGCACCCTCTGGAGCTAACAAAATAAATGGTTCCATATTTTGCAACCAAGGATAAATGATATCTGTGATTCTTTGGACGTCTACTGTTCGTATCATTGGACAACTTTGAAGATTATCAAAACTAATATCTCCAGAGTCATTAAAGGAATACTGAGTAAAGCATGAATCCTCTTTAGAGTAATAAAAATCAAGTGGTCGTCTCAAATCGACTCCACTCTCGCCACACAAAGTATAAATATCTTTTGCCAACTTTTCTCTAGCTTTGATGTTTAGAGATGCACCTAATCCACGAACAAGTGCGCATGCAAACTCGCCTTTGCTTGAAATATCCGGGTAAATGTGTGATAGTCCATTCATGATGATGCCCATATTAGTAGTCTCAATTATGAACTCTGATTTGTCAATGTTGAAAACTATTTCAAGAGCTGAGTAGAAATAATTATCGATCAAAGACTTGACATTATCACTCAAATGTTCGTGACTGTTCATCCAAGCACTAACAAAACTCTTTACGTCTACATCATTATCCGATAGAAATATGACACCCATTCTACTAACTGTTGCAGGAGAGGCAAATTTTAGACTGTGAGTTTCAAAGATAAAGTTTACATTGGAACCAAATTGAATTCTCTCTCCAGAAGGCATTGTGAGTAAGTGGTTGTCATCCAACACAGAATTTAAGGACTCTACCCATTCTGGATCAATATCACCATCACAAATCATCCATGATATGACATCTGGCTCTTCTTTGAGAATATTTCTAGAATTTGCAGTAATAATTCCATCAAACCATTCTCTTGTGTCCATATCCATATGACCCAAAAGTTGATGTCTTGGCATCGCTTTTGGATTAACGACGTACGTTTTCATCTTTTGGTTGATCTTTTTTAGAGCCTCTGAAAGTACATGCCAAATGACGCTTTTACCAGATCCACTTGGACCAACCAAAACTACACCCATCCTTTGTTTGCAAGCTTCATAAAATTGAACAATTTTCTTAATCATGTTTGGTATTGGAACGAGACCCATTTCATTCATTACATCCTTAATTGCTTTTTCAAGTTCAATGTATGAGATGTCTGGAGAATCAACGCCTGGGAATACATCCTTGATGATACCGTTAAATAAAACAGCGTCTTTGTGAGTAAGCTTTGAGAGTGTGTTGACCCGTAGTGCCTTGATCACGATTTGGGCCTCCGTCTCCTTGCTGATATTTTCGGTGTGTTTTCTTGCTTGTCTAATTTGAGATCCACCAATGTTCAAAATTGTTTTCAGAGAACGTAATCCCCAATCGTAGTGCTGTTGAGTACTCAATAATTGCTTACTGAGTTGAAAAACGCTTACAATTTTTTTTCCCAAGTATTTGGCATGTTGGAAGCCTTCAGAAAGTAAAATCACTTCAGAGATAAGCTCATTGTCAGGAGCAGCCATTGCCACAGATCTGAAAAGTTGTTTCAAGTTATCTGGTAGTTGACTTCTACCTCCGTATCCTTTGCCTGCAGGATTGAGAGTCACAAAAATACCTGCGTTCAAATTCACATTCACCTTATTGCCGAGTAATTCTATTGGCTTGGTTGATTTTTCCTTAATTGCAACTTGGATTACTTGAATTTGTTGGGAGATTGCTGACAGTTGATCAGGCTTCAATCTGTTAAATTCGTCAAAACAACCCCAAGCTCCGCATTTCACCAATCCTATAAATATTCTACCCATGCTGTTAAAATCGATACCTTCATCACAATTGAAGACAAGCACCTGACGTCCAAATAAATGTCCAAGAGCCTTCACACTTTCAGTTTTTCCTGTTCCTGCAGGTCCATAAGGATTGCCACCATATCCTAAGAGCATTCCTTGTGTTAATGTCAAGTAACACTTGTCAGTGAGCGGAGTATGAACAAGTTTGGCAACATTTCCTTGATATTCATAAGTATAATTAAATTTAGCATTGCTCATCCTAATAACACATTTTCCATTCTCAATGTAGAATCGAAGCTGTTTCTGCCAAACCCAATGTGCCACTGAAGTTACATTAGCTTTGATTAAAGCTTCAACAACGTCAATGTTGTGGATTATATCTAAAATCAATGCTTTGACTTTCATGGAAATAACCTCATCATCCTTTGCATTAATGGCAGTAAATTGGTTTAACTGATTTTTCAGACTTGCAAGAAGTTGTTGCAGAGTCTTGTTCTGAACGGCTTGTTCACACTTTCTTGTGAAATTGATGCTCTCTTGGAGGCAAAGAATTTGAGATGGAAAAGCGTCAATATCGAATTCTTTTGACTTATCACATTCAATCAATAGTTGCTCAAGAGTTTTGAACATTTGCTGATCCAAATTAGATAACCATTGTTCAACTTTGTCTGTAATTTTAACAGGCTCTTTCAATTGGACAATCTCACCCTTAGAGCTACACATAGCAATAATTGCATCTTGCTCCTTATTAAACTGTACCTTGTAAATTCCTGCATACAACTTTTTTAAGTGAGTTTGAATCACTGCTGGATTTTGGGCCTGGCCAAGAATCTCTAAGAGATCTGAATCTCCAATAAAATAAAATCTTGGATACGCACTTCTTTTTTTCTTCCAAGAACTTATTAAGAGCTTTTTGGCAAACATCTAAACCTTCAGAAATGTTCTTCAGTCTATCCTTTAAACCAATAATTCGTTCTAACATTACCACTCTTCTGCCAATAGTTCCCTTATCGTTAATGCTGTGGATAATGTCAACATAGTCTTTATCAATACGATTGAATCGTTGTTGTTCCGAAGGTAAGGATCCTCTTGAAAATATAGGTTCCAAATATAACCACTTTCTTTGAATATTCATCAAAAAGTCAATAAAATCAGCTAAATTTGTGAGCTTTTGCTCCCATGACCGTATTTCTTCTATAAATGGATCTGCCCATTGCGAGTCTTTGATAGACTGTATTAACGATTGATTGTCTCCAATTTGAGTCAGTAGTTCTTTCCAATCTTTGATAAGGTGTAAAGTTTTTTGAGTTCCCTTGTATTCAAAGGTTGAAAACTCTGTTGAAAGTCCCCATGATTTGAGTTCATTTAAAGCATCTCTAATTTGTTGCTCTCCAACGGCTCTAGAGCTCAACTCCTTAATGTTGTTAATCTTTTCCATAATAATAGAAGCTTTTGGAAGCAGATGGCCAAACTTCAATTCCTCTACAGTTACCTTCTCTAAACCAATGAGCCGGAAAAAGGAATCCCAATGCTCTGGTTGCCATCCATCTCCAGTAATGAACTTGAGATAATCTTTGAATTGGCTATATTTTTCAACCTCTTCTCTAATATAAATGGTGATACTATTCTTTTCCTTCTCTTTCAAATCATTAATCCAGTCCAATACAAAATCTTCGAAGGTAAATATTTGTTTTTTAAAAGTAAGCCACTCTTGGGAGGTGAGCTTTTCGAGATCGCTTATGTATTTTTCATAAATACCCCAAATCTTCTCAAACTTTCCAATATCTTCATCCAACTCAGAAATTTCTTTTGGAGGCTGAGTAATCACACCAAAGTAGGTACATTCAGTTAAAATTTCTTCCCCTCTTTTTCTGAGCTCTTGAAAAGATTCTCGCTTTTCTTTGATGAATGATATTTGCTTCTTGGAGGTAGCCGCATCAACAAAGCTATTATCTTTTGGCTTCAACTCGTGCCATTTGTTAGAAAACTTTGTTATTTCAGTTTTAAATGAGAGTAATTTGGATTCCACTTCTTTTTGAAGATTACTTGTTCTGTCTTTTAGGTAGACCTCGTGTGCTTGGAGATTATCGTCAAACTCATTCCACTTCTCTTTGATATAGGTTCCATCCAGAGCTACACCTGCAACACTTCTCAATAATCTATTCTTTTTCTCAAAGTTATCAAACTCAGCATAAAAAATTGATTTCTCCTCACTGATTTTTCTACACGCAGCGTGTGACTTTCCAATTTCGTCCATGGATTGTGGATCTTTAATCAAATTTTCTAACGCCTGATTAATAAATTGTTCAATTACGTCCATGTGCTTTTGAGTCTTTGTTCTCAAGGTTTTAACTAGTAAATCTCCCAATTTTTGGAGCTGATCTTGTAGAGTTTCTTTGATACTCTCTGTTGACACCGAAATACAATCAATGCGAATCACATTTTCGAGACGTTCGATTTCCTTTCCTTTTTCTTTGATCATCCTGAAGTTTGCCTCCCAATGATAGGTTTCATTCAAATTTTCTGTGGCTATGTCTTCTAGCTCATTTTCAACCATACCCAGAATTACAAACTCAGAGAAACGTTTTTTAACTTTTGCTAACCTTGTGAAAAGCAGAGTAGCCTTATGGTAAACTGTCTTAATACCTTCATTATTGGTGTAAGTAATGTTTTTGAAAATGTCTGTATCACTTAAACCTCTAAAAACAACAGGAAAGGCAATAAAATCTCTCATCTTTTCGTAATATGTCTGTTTGATTTTCTCGAAACTTGGAGAGAACTGAACTCTCTTATCTTTGAAAACAAGCTCACATTTGATCTCTGGTAGTTGCTCATTTAGAGTTTCCAAGCCAACCTTGTATTGATAGTCAAGAGCTTTGTAAATGTTGTAGTCCCAATGTGTTTTCCAGCTTTCCATATTTGAGTAATTTTGTGTTTTAAGGAATGAAAATATTTTTGCAATTTCGGTGACCTTCCCTGTCCACACTTCCTTTTCCCTTAAGAGATCAATATTCATAAGTTGAGATACTTTATCACCTATCAAAATGTGATACTTTCTCAATTTTCTGTTTTCAGAGGTAAACTGCTCAGCGGCGTTTTTCAGTTTAGCGATATACTTCTCTCCATTCGCTTTGCTCCAAGACTTATCCTCTTTTTGGAATTCAAATATGACTCTCTCAAAATTGGAAGCAGCATCTATTAACATACTGGATTGACTCTTAATCACTTGTGTGTGTACATTATTATAAAAATTTGCAATCTGTTTCAATGCAATGGCTTGAGTATAAAAATCTTTTGCTTCCTCAGCCAATTTTTGAACTCCTTGAGAAATACCAAAACCTAATACAGAGAGTTGTCTAACCTCTCGTAGTAACGAAATAAGTCTCTCGTTATAATTTACAACCATTTTCTTATTTTTATCCAGGCTTATCATGGAACCTTTGAGAGATAATGAATCTTTTGATTTTTCAACTTCTCTTTCCCACTTTGTTTTTTCAGTGTTGATGAAATTCTCGACCTCCATCTGAATTGAGCCACATTGCTCTTGCAGTTTTTGAGATTCAGACAAATCGTCCAAAAAAGTAGTTATCGTAATCACTGTGGATTTTAACTTTTCCTCGATTTGCTTCACTGAAACAATTCTTGAAACAATGTCATTAGTAGATATATTTTTGTCGTATTTCTGATTATCCAAATCGGCCTTCAAGGTTTGAACATGGGAACGCAATTGGCCCAATAGAGTTGAACGTTCTTGAGTGAGTTCTCGTTTTATGTTCTCTCGTCTAATCAAATCTCTGTTCTTGTCAAACTCGAGTAGTAAGAGCAAAGGTTTTGAAGATAACGCGGATAACTTGTTTCTCAACTTTTCTGCAATCCTCTTTTCGAGTGGTTGGATCATTTCTTCGAATCTGGATACCGCTGAATTCCATGATTGTTCGGCATAGGGTGTGATATGGAGAGGGTTCAACCCAGAAAAAGGAGAAAAGCAATCAAGTTTACAACATTCCTCCGATGATAAATTATTTGCAAGTTGTTCATAGCTACTTCTAATTCTTTCGATTTCTTCCAACCGATGAAGCAGTTGTTGAATAAATAAATCTTTACAATTTCCGCCTTTCCACTTGTGATTTCCGTCAACGGTCCAAAGAGAAATCAAATCATCAACGCTTTTTGTCCAATGAAAACATGTTTCAATGGCAGAGTCAAGCTTTTTCTTGACAGACAAATAATCGTCTCGCCAAATGTCTACCTGTCCTAGTTTCATTTGGATAAATCTTCCGATTGAACTGCCTATAACTTCAATTAAATGTCTCATTCTTGCTTCAGGATATGGCTTCGGGTCAAGAACATCCACCCACAGCGAATCAAGAGCATCTTTGACTTTGTCAATCAGCCCATACTCGCCAATCAAGTCATCTAAATTTTTTTGGTGTAAACTTGAAAAGTCTGCCAAAAGGTTCTTTTGTTCGATAATTTCGTGGATTTGTTGAGCTTGTTCACTTCTTGAGCTCATGTCACTCCAATACTGAAATTCCTCTTGAGGAGTTAAAAAGAAATACTGCTCTCGCTCTTCCGCTTCTCTAATTATTTCAGATGATTGTTTTTGTACAAGTGATTGCAGTCCCATTTCAAGTTGGTTCATTAGGTTTTGAATTGAGGGGTTGTTGCGAGAGTTGTTGGAATTTGCCAACAGCGGCCCATACACCTTTTGGAGTAATTGTAACAAGTCAACTCCTGTCGATAGATCATTCGATAATGATCCGATTTTGACATTGTTTTCTTTACTATCCAATTTCATTTCTTCTTCTGAATTGATTGGACTTTCATGTCTCTTCATAAAGTGTATTTCATTCACGAAATCAACTCCCGATACTCTGTTTGAAATTTTCAACTGTTTCCGAGCATTGGATATACAAACTTTCATTAAATACAACAACACCCAATCATCCGACATACAAACCTTATTATTTTCCAGCAAACAAACTTCCAGAAATGTTTCATTTCCATCCAAAAAGTTTGAAACGCTCTCATCCATATGAAGGATATCCAAAGCACTCTCTCCCTGTTTCGACACTGAAGAGAACGCGACCTTAATCCATTCTTTGAGAATGGCTACTCTTGGATCATTGAATTCGAGCATTATTTTTTGTAGTTGATTGTTGTATGAAGTTCACAGGCAAGCTGGTAATCCCGCCATAATTTTGCGCTTGTTTGAAATGATTCTTGTACGATCAATGATTATGATGATATAAGATCAAAAGGTGATCCATTTGCTCGTTGTGATGTAAAAGATGTGCCAACTGTCATGGAATTTAAAAAGTGTTTGGTCCTAATCGAAGTAACAGAACAAGAAGTTATGGCAGCAAGATATTGCAAGATAGGTTCAAAAAATCAAACACCACTCCTTGAACCACGTGGAGTAGTCGACGAATTGATGATCCGATGAACGAAATCCCGATCGAAATATTTCGAGGTTATATTCGTGTGGTTGAAATAATTATTGATAATAATAATCATAACAAATGAATTAATAATTTTCAGGTTTTCATTAATGGATGTAATATCACAATTCACATGATCAACCAATTAATTGTTATCAAATTTTGTAATTAATTAATTTGCTACTTTTTGGTTGAAGGAACCTCCGAGTCATCTTTGATTGTAATTTTGATTTGAGTGACCTCCTTTCTATTGCTCAAGTAATTCCAAACCAACAATCCAGCAATTGCTGTTCCCCAAACACCAGCTTGATATTTCCAATTCATAAATTAGGCTTTGATTGAATTTTTTCGGAACTTAATTCTGGATTGAACGACCACCAACTCAAAAGAGACAATGAATCAAGGCTTGAAGTTAAACTGGTCTTTCATCACTCCTGGTGATGATGATGAGGTTTTGGTGTCGAGTTCGGAATATTGAGATCGATAGTCAAATGTGTTTCTCTCCAAAAAATGGAACTATAAAAAGCAAAATATTAGTGAGACCATTAATGATACAAAGTATTCCAACGAAAAAAGTTGAACAGAAGAAAACTCTTTTCCTCTCTCTTTACAATGCTTCTCAAGAAACTCAGTAACAGTCAGTTTATGACAACAAGCAGAATCTATTCAATCAAATATGCCAGATGTCATGTCTACTCAAACAGTTAATCTCAACAAGTGGACATTTGTTGCCTTAATGAAAATCGAAAATATCCTCAAGTTCAAAAAAGAAATTTCAAATTCATCATTCCTTGTTTTTAATCATTGTAAAAATCATTGCTAAAGTTGGGCTTGATTTTCTTTGTGGTAGGCAATAAAGACGTGTGTTGAGGTTTCGTATTAAATGTGACATTATTAGGCAGTTGAGAAATTTTGTTTCCAATTTGCAAACCTTGTTCTGGAATATATTGCTGTATTGATTCCATTTCTGAATTGCTTGCTTGTGAGTCTTTTGAACTACCCGCAGTACTAGTTTTGATTGGAGTGTGTAATGATTGGTGAAAGAGAAATGAGAGTAATGGAAGTGGTTTTTCATCTTCTCCATACATATCATTTAACAATGCAATCTCTTCACTCGTGGAAGTACCAAGAATCTTGTCCAAGTCCATGTGACCATTGGTTTTATAAATCTCCTTACTTTTCTCAATTTTTTCTTGTCTATATTTGATCAATTCTTGATCGAGTATTGGAGTAACCTGTTGTTGTTTTACATCTTGATCCTCCATAAGAGACTCAGTGTTTTTTCTGTTACTATCTTCGTAAACGTTGTCGTTAAGAAGATGATAAATATCATCTCCTCCAAAACCTCGATTTATATCATTTTCATCAAATGGATTGATAATAGTTGGATCTTCATGAAGTTCTTGAGTTGATTCATCATGATCCAACTCTCGTTCCTTCTCATCGTCGTCAAAGAGTTCATCAGTTTCATCCTCACTGTCAACAATGACAGCTTTTCTCTTTCTTTTCTTTCCTTTTGAGGGAGAAAATGTTCCTTTTAATGGTTCCACAACAATATTTTCCCTTGAAACTGCTGGTACAATGTCATCTGGTACCATTCTCATACTGTTCTCAAAAAACTACAAATGTAAGTGTTATAAGTCCTGTCAAACCCAAACACAACAACACTTACTTTAACTTCATTGCTGTAGGAAATTTCTTTCATGGCGTCAAATAATATTCGTTTCTGTTGAATAGCTCCTTCATAGGCAGAACGTTCTTTTCCTTCTGACAACAATGCAACAATGTTTCCCTTTCTTCTTCGACCTGTTCTTCCCACTCTCTGAATGAAACGTGTTGGGCTACCCACCGTGTCATCTATGAAAGGTATGTGAATCGGAGTGTGTGAAATGTCTGTGATGAGAATGTGTGTAATTGGAAAAGTTGAAAACTTACATAGTACAATTAAATCCACCTCACCAATATCAAGTCCTTCCTCACCGATTTGTGTTGCCACTAATACGTTAAAAACTCCTTTTCTAAAGTCCTCGATAATTGATTTTTGTTTTTTTTGATTAAATCCTTTTTGACCTTTTCCCTTGCTTTGTCCAATGAAAGGAGAAACTTTAAGAATTCCATCATGTTTACCCAATATATCCACAATAAGATCTACTGTTTTTCTGTACCCTGAGAAGACGACAGCTTTGGTGGTGTGTGTTGCAACTGTGTTGTCTTTTTTTGTGAAATGTTCTAAAATTACTTCCTCTAATTTCTTTAGCTTGGGATGTATATATCCCTCTTGAATTATTTTCTCAGCCGTCTGTATCATGTTCTTGAAGAGCGGTTGTTTGATGATTTGATTTCTACTTTGAAGAACATTTTTCTTTTTTGTGTCTGTTGTGTCAGTCGACAATGAATTCAACGCATCCAAAAACAAAGTCATGTCCTGGGTATGTAAATAATACAGAGCATTGTAGAGTGATATCAGTACACTAATAAATTACAATTCAATATGAGTATCATGCGATTCAAGGGTTAAATTGGTCAAAATTGCTGAGTCTCAATTACTTACTTGAAATCCCCCATATATTTGTAACTGTCTTTCTTTCGTACCATATAAAATCCTTAAGATTAAGCATCATAGCATACCATCAATAATGTTCTTTCTGGTAGATGTAACGATGAACTTACGTTTCATTGAGGTGAGTAAGGCTCCTTTGGAAAGCGAGGACGGATCTGCTTGATATAAAGCACCAACTTTAACAAGCTTTTCGAGAAATGGAGTAACCAGTCTGTAAAACAGAGCTATTGGAGTGACATTCAAATTGGAACTTTTAGAGATTTATAGGATACTTACTATCAATAATTACTGAAACTCTATCTCGATTGCAAATAATTATTTTGGTTTCCTTTTCGTGAACATATTCTGCAACATCCTTATCATTTTCATCTCTCACTTCCACGTGTGAAATTCGTAAATTTGTGATTACCATTTGGATGGCTTCGTGATTTCTTCCAGGTGTGGCGCTAAGTCCTAACGCTCTCCAATGATCACTATATTTTCCAATGAGTTTCGCAACTACACAATAGGAGTGATTTCCTGTTGCTTTGTGAGCTTCATCGAAAACTACAAGTACAATGCTTTTTGCAGGGCAAATCTTCTTTTCCAAATCCTTCATAAGCAAGTTCAGTCATCCAGACAATTTCGATATGATTTAGTACCTACCTTTTGAACGCATTCAGGTGTTGAAAAGAATACTCTTTTGCTTTTCCACAACTCTGCTCGTTCTTTTGGAGCTATTTTACCCGTCAAACAGACAGTTTCATCTTCTGGTATTCCCATAATATTGTAACATGCATTAATTTGTTGTTCTACAAGAGAAACAGTCTGATAAAATTGTTACAAATTCGTTGATTCAGAGATTGTTGGATAGAACAAAAACTTACATGCGCAATAAATATGATTTTTCCAGTTGGAAACCATCGATGAAAGTTGTACATAATGACACTAGCAATTAAGGTTTTCCCTGATAAAAGTAACGTGAAAATCATGATTAAGAGTATTCAAACATTATTTAAATTCAAATAATGACATTTGAAATGTTGTCAACAACACATACCCAAACCAGTTGGCAAGCATACAAGCGTATTAACAAATAATGCCTTTTCACAAATCTTGAATTGATACGTTCTTTCAGCAATATTCGTTGGGAATATCCAAGTCTTTGCTGCTTCCAAGTCAATCTGAGGATAATCTCTCTTGTTATACTTTAACCATTTTAGCCTATTTCTCTTCTCCTCTTCATGTTTTTTTAAAATCAAGTCCAATTCGTCGTCATCAATGGCAACCTCATCCATGGAATGGTTGGTTTCATTTCCATTGCTTGTAGATTGGTGAGAAGGATCGGATGAAGACGATTCCTCTCCTGAGGAGTTTCTTGTCGTTGCAAAATTGAGAGTACGTTTATACAATCTCAATCCGGTCGTAGCAGTGTTATTGTTTCCCGATGACCCACCATCACGATGTTCATCTTGATTCGAGGAACTAACCGTCCGAAAGATCGAGGACGGTCGTTTCGACATTTTTTTCTTCTATCAAACAATAGAATTTTTTCAGAATGGTACAAAGTATATACCATTCTCCTCGTCTTAGCCACCTCTTTGATGATCAAGGCGAAACAAATCCGACATTGGGTTTTGAAAATGCAAACGCCCAAAACAAGTGTTTTTGTAAAAGGGAATTGTTCTCAAATTTTTTGTTGAAAATAAAAACACCTCTCACTTCTTCAAAGCCTCCCTCCACAAAATGCCAGCCGAAAACGTCGAACAAGCTGAACAACAAACTGTTGATGAAACCATTGATAATCCAGAAGTCATCAAAAAGTACAAGCTTGGTGCTGAAATTGTTAATGGTATGTATAGGATGAATTTTCATGAATTTTTGAATCTGGTGTGATGATTGAATCTTGTATGAATGAACGGTGATTTGGCTTCCAATCCAAAATTGGTCTTTAATATTAATATCATCATTATCATCTCTTAACAACATATTGTTGTCCTTTCATCAAAACAACTCGGTGCAACAATATAAATTTTCTCTTCATCTGAATGTATTCATCCATCATTTCATCATGAATTTGCAACTTTCACGGCATCAACTCTTCATCCATCTATTCCATCCACAATAATATTATTTCTTTTTAAAACATCTCCTCTCCAACAGAGGCCATCAAACACATTCAAACCTTGTTGAAGCCTGGAGCTAAAGTCATTGAATTGTGTGCTGCTGGTGATGCTTTTATGGAAGATAAGATTAAACACGCTTTCAAAAAGTCAAAAGGATTGAAGAAGGGTATTGCTTTCCCAACTTGCATCAACGTTAATGAAATTGTTTGCCACCTTTCACCACTTGAAAATACACCAGAAGCTAATCTCACATTGAACGAAGGAGATGTTCTTCGAGTTGATTTGGGTGTTCAAATTGACGGATACATTTCATTGGGTGCACAAACCTATGTTTTGACAAGTAATGTTGTTACAGGAAGAGAGGCTGATTCTCTTGCTGCTGTTCACCAAGGAATGGAAGTTGCTCAACGTATGATGAAACCAGGAAAGACAAACATTGAACTCATGAAAGCTCTTCAAAAGGTCGCAGAAACCTTTGGTGTGAAATGGGTCAATGGAGTTTTGTCACATGAAATGAAGAGAGACGTAATTGATGGAAAGAATGTTATTTTACCACACTTTGATGTAGACCAAACTGTCGAAGAATTCAAATTTGAAGCAAATCAAGTTTATTGTTTGGACTTGGTGGCCACAACTGGTGAGGAAGGCAAATTACGTGAAGGTACTGCAAGAGCTACAATCTACAAGAGAGAACCATCAGTACTTGTTGATTTGAAGGTTCATGCTTCAAGAAAGATTTACGAAGAAATCAAGGAAAAGTTCGGAGCTGTTCCATTCTCTGTTAAACATTTAGATCCAAAGATGGGAAGAATGGGTATCTTGGAGTTGTTGAACTACAGAATGATTGATCCATATCCAGTTTTGTGTGCCAAGAAGGGGGAGTTTGTTGCTCAACTTAAATCCACTGTTCTTATTACTAAGAAGCAAGTCCAAAAGGTGACTGGTTTGCCACTTCAAGCCTTCCAATCTGATAAGAGCATTCAAGATGAGAATCTTCTTGCCATCCTCAAGTCTGGTTTGAAAGTTGTTGCTCAAAAGGAAGAAAATAAGATGGACGAAACTGATTAAATAATAAATTATATTAAGTCATTTTCTGAAGATATTGTACCTTTTTGAGCAAAGCAACAGCCCAATCTATGACTGAATGAATATTTTCAACGACAGAGTTGACATCTTCGGTTGCACAGTCTTGTTCGCTGCTAAGCAAGGCCGATTGGGGCACTTGGAACATAACAATTAAATTACAACTCACTTCTACTTGAACAATCTTAACCACCGTTGCAGTAGAAAGCACAATCTCCATGGAGCGAGGTTTGTCATTGACAGCATTCACTGTGAGTGTAATTGGACCAATTTCATTGTTTAAATAATTTCCAGGAAAACTTCCTTCAGAACAAGAAGCACTTACTGATATCAGCAGCATTCGACATTAAAAAGTCTGAATATGCTTGTAAGTCTAAGCTTTGAGTTGTTGAACATAGAACATCCTTGTCTTTGCTTATTAAATCCGCACTAATGATTCCTACTTCGTTCCTTACTACATTCTGTCATGCTTCATAGGTTCAGAAAAAATTCGATACTTACACTCATGTAAAATTATATGAACCATTGAAAGAAAAGTTTCTCGAAGTTTTGTTTGAAATAAATAAGGATCTATCCTCATCACTTGAATATCTTCTATTTTCATTTCGTCTTCTGAGACCATTCCATTAAATCCAATGGCGGTGCAAAAACTTTTTTCTTTTTGGTGATTTTTCAGTGAAGGGAATATTCGTTGTCCCTTAAAATTGTTTTGAGAAACGTCAGGGCTTCGGTATTCATTTGATAGATAGGATACAATACTTGATGATGAAGAAAAAGAAGTAGATTCCGAAGGATTTCCGTTGTTGGTGCTTGGTGATGATGGTACATAGTATTTTGTGAAATTAGCGGAGTGAGGAATGGAATTGGAAAGAGTGGATTGATACAACGTTGGCTGTTTTGAATGTCTGTTGAGGGATGTTGCCTCCTCAATATACTTTTGGAGTGTTTGTGTGGCAACAAGCTTTGGAAATTCAACTCCAACTTCAGTATCGGTAATGACAGCACAAAATATTCGTCTGGATCCATCATTAACGATGGTAAGGGCAAGCCTTTGCATCTCGAAATACTGAATGGTATGATAAAGCTCTCTTTTTCCTTTGACTAACACTGCAGTTAATAAAGATGTGAGTAGATTGGAACTATTCCCAACGGGGGCCATAAATTGCTTCTCAAACAATTTGACTCCCGACTCGGAAGCAATAATTAAGTTGTGTATCATGATTTGGAAAAGAAGGAAGCAACATTAAAGGCATCAAGAAATTACTGTTGTTCCACCCTTTCTGTTGTTTGAGATCACTATTCTGCTGTTGAAGGTATTAATGTTGTTGTTGGCTTGTTTGGCTCGTGGGAGGACCGAATTGAGGGATTGAGTCTATTTTTGCTAATTATTCAAAAAAATGAAAAGAGCATCCCGTCTTGTTCAAGCGTCATCATCATCACTAATTGCTTTTCGTAATCAAACAAACAAAAGCTTTCTTTCTCCATTCACTACTATGACCTCATCAATAGTGATTGGACGTAGAGTATCATCCCGATCATCATTGAATTTTATGGGAAATAATTACTGCAATTTTGATAGGAATATCTCCTCTTTGTATCATACTTGCTTGAAGAGCGCCGCAGAAGATAGGAGTACAATGGATGGATCTAGAGACATGCACGGAACTACTGTATTATGTGTTCGTAAAGCTGGTAAAGTTTGTCTTCAAGCTGATGGACAAGTTACTCTCGGTAATGTTGTTATGAAAGGAAATGCTCGTAAATTGAGACAAATCGGCCAAGATGTAATTGCTGGTTTTGCTGGTTCTACTGCGGACGCCATTACTTTGTTCGAAAGACTTGAGTCTAAGCTTGAAGAATATCCAGGACAACTGATGAGAGCTTGTGTGGAAATGGCTAAATTGTGGAGAACTGATAAATACTTGAGGAAATTGGAGGCTGTCATGATTGTGGCTGATAAAAACATTACACTGATTATTACTGGTAACGGAGATGTTTTGGAACCAACAGAGGGAGGAGCTAATGACAGTGTTGTCGGTATTGGAAGTGGTGGTCACTATGCTATTTCTGCGGCGAAGGCCTTACTGGACGTCGATGGCTTTGATGCTGAAGCTATTGCACAAAAAGCCATGCTTATTGCTGGAGAGATTTGTATTTATACCAATACAAACTTTACAAAACTCATTCTCGAAGAGAAAGATGGTAAACTTGAAATTACAGAAAAGTAATTGCTGTCTGCAACGAGTGAATAAGGAGAAAGGATACTATAAATACATACAGTTTGAGCTAGTTTAACTCTGCGTTTTCACTTCACACTTTTCATCAGATTTTTGGCATCATGTTGCTTAAGTTCTGCATGGGTGTTGAGGGCCAGCACGGAACATCCTTAAACACTGGCTTCCAATCGAATAACCTTTCTGCCATCTCTTTATCAAAGCTTCTATATCTTGCAAATACAAAGTGAAAACCAAGAGGTAATTTGGTGTCTGGATCTAACACATCGGCACTAATTGGAAGTTGAGTGAATGGATCAATCACCAGATTATACAACTTAAATCCATAGAAGGGAAGCCTGTGTAAAATTGTTTCCCACAATGAATTGATCTGAATCAAAGATTGAAACATGTCCCTGATAGGTCGCCTTCTCTAACAAATTGTCCTTTAAATAATTATTTCACATAAGGAGGATAAATAGGTCCATAGAGACAGTCACCAACCTCAAAAGGACTTCCATATAGATACAACATGAAACTTGAATTCTTTGCAAAATCCAACATGGAAATGGTTCTACCCTTGTTGACCATCATATCGCAACGCATTCTTTGATTGTCGGTATCGATGTAAACATAACCAAAGTGTTGCAAACTTTTACTGTTGGGATAAGAGAAGAGAATTTCAGCTTGGAATGAAGGGAAAGTGAATGCAAATGGAGCAGTACGTATCGATCGTTCCTGTGCTACTTGTGATGATGACAATTTCACTAAATTGATTTCACATAAACAGATATGGACACGAGAGCCACAACAAGGTGGACAGACATCGGAGAGACATATGTTTTGATGGAGACTATTTTTGAGTCAGAGTCTATTGCCATCTCCTATATTCGTAATGATAGAGCTTGCTTGATGCAAAGAACAGGCACAATGAAGCGCTCACCCAAGTTAATTTCATGACAAAGAATGCAATCAATCGTGATGATGATTTTCAAGAGCGTCTTTGCTTTGAATATCAATCCGATTGTAAATTATTGAAAAAAATATTGTGTGGTGAAGAAGAATTGTCATCGTCATTGTTTTTTCAAATCTTCCTATTATTGGCTTCTCATCATCATCATCACTCTTGCACCTCTTCATGAAGACACCAAGAAATACTCGTCAGCTTCTTGCTGCTCTTGTTCAATCCGGTACAACTCCCAAACAATGTTGTAATTATTCTACTTCGGTGAAAGCCGCTCCTGCTTCATCAAGTGTGCTTCATCAACATCTTGCCTCTCAAACCAAAATTATGGAGAAGGCTAAAGAGAAATATCTTGAGAAGGTGGTACATAATGGAGTAGAATTGTCGGAAGATAGAAATGGAGATAATGCTCAACACAACTGGAGTCTCGGTAAAGCACAAATCTATCCTCAATTTGATGCCTACCGTAATACCGATGTTGCAACTTTGGTGAAAAAGTCTTTCGGACAAGTTGATGAAGAAAAACAATTCTTAAGAGTCAAACAAATCGTCGATCCTAATGATTATCAAAAGCTTGTCAGCCAAGCAAACAAACAAATTTCAACTGGATCATACACTTCAAAGGACGAAAAGTTCCATAGACGTACTCAACGTGAAACTGGATGGTATTTATCACACACACCAAATTCATTCACTCAGGACGGAGCTTTCGGTTCTTCCAATCAACATTGTTGTCTTATTCGTGTTGTTACTGACAATAGCGTTTCTGGATTGTTTTTGAAGAATATGATATTACCAATTAGAAAAACTGCTCCATCCACATTTAGCTATGACTCTCTTATTCTTCATGCCCCAGGATTCCAATTTATTCCACCTCATGTTGTTGAAGAATTTAGCGGACCAACACCAAAAGATTTGGGACTTTCTACTGAACACTTTGTGTTTGAAAATGACCAAACCAATACTTCAATAGTTGGTGGCATATTTTCTTCTTCAGTTTTGCTAGATAATATGGCTTACTTTGGTGCTAGAACCATTTTCTCAAAGTCATCAGCCATTGTTTTACCTTCAGATTCTATTATCAACAAGGACAAGTCATCTTCAACTCTCTTTATTAATTCCAATAATACCCTTCGCTCTGTATTGGCCAATGCCAATGATTTGTCACTATACGGAGCTCACTATAATCTCCTTTCAGATATGGGCATGAGTAGATGCGTTGGTGGTCTTTTACTTGAGGTTGAATCTGGATCTACATTCTTGAACAAACTGAAGAGTGGTGATTTAGTTGAAGAGTCAAATGATGGAAAGAGAGCTAGAGTTATTGCCTCTCCCAAAGAAGGAGTTTATCCAAATATTGTTCACACCCCAAAGAATATTGTATTTGTGGTTGAAGATGCTAACTTTATTGTCCCTCTTTTGGGTAAAGTGAAAAATCCACAACAATTCTTCCAAAATGGATTGACAAGCATTGGAAAAGAACCAACATTCAACAAGTCCTTCACTGTTTTCGGAGAGCAAAGAGCTTATGCTGACCCTCAACAAGTCGCTGAAGCTTTTGCTAAATTCAACAAGGCATCCAATGTGTATATTGTCAACGGAGCATACGACGAAGCCAAGATCCAACAAGCTATTTCTTTAATTTCTTCTGGTGAAGTTGCAACACTCAAGGAAGAGCAAGCCAACTCTATTTTCTCAATTCTTTCTCATTCTAGCATTGAAAACATGGCTTGGAAGGATCGAACTAAATATGCTGCTGCTATTAAGCAACTTGAAGAAAAATTTTTGTAATTGGGCTTTTGAATATGGAATAAACATAGGGCCTCCTTAATTTGTTATTTTCACATGATCATTCGGATTGAATGTGAATCCCAGGATGGTCATTTCGCCAAATTTTCAATCAAAAATGAGCAAATTGTTAGCTGTGGTTATTGGTGCTGCTGTTCTTGTTTCTGCAACAGGAGGTTGGAAGAAGCTTTTCAGCCCAAGAAACGTACAAAGTGCCGCAAGACACATCAGAGAAACAAAAGAAGTGTTCATGAATGAATTGAAAGCTCCTACGCAAGGAGAAATTCCTACAGAGAAGCCACCTTCTTCATACAACTTTACCAATCCATCGGAACCGCTTGCTACCCACTATGAATCAACAGCAAGTAACACACAACAACAAACATCATCACCAAATAATACATCACCACCAACAAGCAATACCACGGAAAAGAAGGATTAATGGTAACATCTATTTAATCATTTACTTTTTCTGTTGCTGTTTAGCTTCTTGTTGCTGCTTTAAAAGCAACTTTTGCTTTTTGTCTCTCTCAACCATTTTCAAATATTGATCAAACTCGAAACTATTGTACAATGATATCATATATTAATCATGGAAATTTGTTTGCAAGCATTGGAATTTTTAAATCATTATTGGATTAATAATTTAGAATGACATGGAATAAATTCATGGTGAGGTACTTACTCCTTTTTGGCTTTCATTTCATCAACAACCTCTTCCGCATACTCTGAAAAATTCAAATCCATTACTTCCTTATTTCCATCATCTTCCATTCCTTCATCTATATCTGAGAATGTGGATTGGAATGAGTCGAACCATTTTTCGATTTCCTTGTTGTCAAACATTTTTGAAATCTTTTCCTTGATCTTTTTGGCTCTCTCACTAATGACTTGTTGAGTTTTAGCTTGCACAGGTGGAGTTCCAATGTTTTTAAAGCTGTCTTTTCCAGCAATAACTTTGAGAGGTTTAACTGGATCTTTGAGATTGAAATCAGTTGTTGACAATTTGCCTCCCATCACGAAATAATTTATGAAATTCCGAAAAGAAGAATCGTTATTCTCGTTGGTTTTGGTGTCTGTGTAGATTCCCATGAACATTGGATTGGTGGCAAAGGTGTGACACAAAAATCTCATGGTTTGATTGAGCTGTTTGAGTTGCAGTCTGCATGACTGTCGGCAATGATGGTCACAAACATGAAAAACTTACGGATTGTAGATTTGAGTTGCCTTATCAAAGTACGTTCCAACAAATATGGTTTGAATACCATGAATTTTTAATTTATCTCTGCTAAATCGTGAGTTGTTGAATCCAAAATAATAATAAAAACTTACATGTCCTCATGAGTTTCTCCAATTCTTTTCTTTGCTCGCCCAATCAACTTGTCTGGGATTTCGGAGCCCTTCTTTCTCAACATATCATACAACTCATCTGATATTTTAGTGAGCACATATTGATAGTATAGGAAATCCTCGAATAATTGCAAAGGTTTTGTCAAGTCCAAAACGATTACGGCAATCACAGTGTGAATATTGTCAGCTGTGATTGTTTCTTTTAATAACTTGATCAGTGATCTTCCTCCTGCCAGTTCCCACATATTTGCAATATAAGTTTTAAGTCCTTCTTCTTTCTTTCCAAATGTAAAATCTAAGGCAGTGCTTTTTTCTGGTCGGTCCTTTAAATAATCTCTCTTCAAAATTCTATGTACAAGACAACTCTTTCCAGACTGTTCTCCTCCTATAATAAATACATTACTCTCTACTGGCTCATTATTTAATGAAATGACATCTTTTTTTGTTTCCAAGATGATGTCCCATAAGGTCTTTACATTTCGGCTTGCCTGATTGGACGAGGAACTGGTACCATTGCTCGTTGATACTCCTCCGTTGGAAGATCCATTCGTAGGTGTTCCTGATCTTCTTTGCTGTATGGAAGATGCAGCAGAACTTGGCGGTCTTCCCATCGGAGCTGTTGCTCCAGGTCTTCGAGAAGCAGATCCCGGTCGATTGGCTGTCATTGTAGGTCTTGGATTGGAGGGTTGAGTTGTTGTGGCTGCGGTCGTTGTTGTTGAACTCGATGATGTTTCCGAAGGTGTATTATTACTATTCGATTGACCTACATTACTACTCCTCCCAATATTGTTGACCTGAGAAGAGGGTGGTCTTGTATTACTGTTTGAGAGTGTGGGTGTTGTAGGCGAATCCATGTTGTTGTTTGTTTTGGTTGTAGTTGTTGAGGGCGGGAGTGGTGATGGACTTGCCGACATTTTTTGATTTGCTGTTGAAAAAGAAAAATCATGACTTTAATATTTATATCGTAATTAATTTAATTGCATTCGTTTGTAATTCATTACGAAAATCATATCTTTTACTTGCAATATTGAATTTAAACCCAGTTAAGTGTATTCATGTGCTTTTGCTTCTTGATGCTTAGACCTTGATAAACTTTGTGTTTCTTAACAATCTCCTTATGGACAATATCTGGAGGAATATAGAATGGTTCTTTCCATTGATTCTTTTGATAGAGTTCGGTAACATTAAAATCATATTCTGTTCTGAAGAAGCACATTCCTGATGGCTTCTTGCTATCATTGATCAATTTGCTCAAATCGAAATATCTTCTTTGATTAAGTTCAAAGGTCTTTGCTGTTTGTTCTGGTGTTTGAATTGGTCTGTAATCGCTTCCCTTAATATCGAATTCATTTTGTCCATCTATCGTAATCAAGTTGCTGTGAGCTTTAAACTTTTTGTCAATCAGTTGATCAATATATTCATATTCATACTCGTAAGCATGCCTTCTCATCTTTTCTCTCATTTTCCTGTTAAGCTCTTGGTCTTGCTTCAAAACTTCGTATTGTTGTGGTTGTTTGTATTGTTCAGTTGTCAACAAAATTTCTTTGACTTTTTCAACATTTTCCATCTTTTCACTTTGTTTGTACAAGAGGAAAATATAGCGGAAAGTTCCTGCACACTCTGTTGGTAATGGAGGAATGTATGAACAAATTGTGTTGCCTTGTGAAACGTCTCCACTTCCTGGAATATTTGCAACCATCCAATGAATGAAACATCCCTTGTCTGGAATTAATCTGAATGGGTAGTCTGGAGTCAACATGACAAGAGTGTACAGAGCATCTTTCTCTCCTTCAAATTTTACTGTTGGTGCTTGTTCAGTAATCTTTGATTCAATGAAATTGCCTAGCAAGGAAGTGTTTGAGAATGTTTGTTGTTCCTTTTCCTTTGCAAATGTTACGGAAAGTTGAGTGGTGAGATTGGCAGCGATTTCCTCTCTGAATGTTGGCTTCTCGACTTGTTTTGGAAATAAATCGACATGAAGATCCAATTGTTCAAAGGTTTTGATGGTCTATTGTTTTGCGAATTATTTATATTTGATGGTGAAACAAACACAATATAAAGTATACATATTGTCGCAAAACATATTGTTGGCGGTGATGAAAATCATTTTTGAAATGATAATAATTTGAAAGTACGTGATGATGAAAAGAGAAGCATAAAAACAAAAGGAAATAAACAATTAAAATTGTATGAATGTCTATGAGGAATATACTCACCTTTTCCTTCATTTGTTGTTGCCATTCGCTATTTGATAATGGTGTTACTTTGGGCATATTTGCAGGAGCCTTTCCCATGTTCAAGATATCAATTCTAGAAACTAAATATCTGTTCTCTCTTTTGAAATCTGGATGTTCAAAGAGATGTTGAGTAGATTCAGGAATGTTTTCTGTAGGAAGAAAAGATTTCTGATGATGTTGTTTGTTTCCGAGACCTTTAGGAGTTCTATGTCTCTTAATTTTAACTCGGTAAGTCGAGTAGGCACGAGAGGAAGGCAAAGCCACAAGAGTGGAAAGAGCACCCGAAGAAGAAGAATTTCGAAGGAGAGAAAGAGCGTTGAATTTTTGCATTTTTTTGAAATTCATAACTTGATAGTATTCTTTCTTGTTGCAACAAGAAGTCCTGTCTTATTTGGGACTCATTGAGAGAGAGGGGCATGAAGGAATGATGATATTCTTGATTAGTTTTGTCCTGATTGGTTGTGAGCTCGTCTGCTTCAGCTTGAACTTTACAAAAGTATTCTTCATTTCAGAATTTGAAAATTATCACCAGTTCTCTGCTTTATCTTTGTGGAAAACTATCCATTCTCCACCTCACCCTCTTCGTACTCCCTTCGTGAAACGTCATCGTCACCATTAAACACCACTCTCTGTTGAATGGTTGGAGTTCGCTCTCAACATTTCGTCTTCCTTCGAACAATGAACTTGTATCTTTTTTTGCAACCTATTTAAAGCTCCAAAAAGGTTCTTCAACACACACAAAAAAACAAACACAAAATCGTATCGGAAATTACACTTATTCAAACACAATATAAACCCACAAATGTCTACTCAACTCACATTCTCTGGTAGTTGCGAATATACTGGCTTAGCCTATCCCAAAGAGTCCGATCTCTACTGTATGGCCACTATTCAAGCTCCCGAATATGAAGCTGATGAACGCAAAGAACGAGCAGGAATTGATCTTGTGTGCGTCATTGATAAATCAGGTTCCATGGCTGGTAGCAAGATTGAATTGGTCAAATCCACTCTCGCTTTCATGTTTGATCAATTGAAATCATCAGATCGTGTTGCTTTGGTTGAATTTGATAGTTCCATCTCTACCTCTCTCTCCTTCACCAACATGAATGAAGAAGGAAAACAAAAAGCCAAACAAGTCGCCAAGAACATCCATGCAGGAACATGTACCAATTTGAGTGGTGGTTTGTTTGAAGGATTGAGATTGATCAAACAACGAACCACTTGCAATGAAATTACTTCCATTTTGTTATTTACGGATGGTTTGGCGAATGAGGGCATAACCAACACTTCGGAAATTGTGTCCAAAATGAATACGACCATTCATGAAGAGATTAGAAAGCAAATTACTTGTTTTACCTTTGGTTTTGGATCCGATACAGATGCGAACATGTTGACATCCATTGCACAAGCAGGAAATGGTCTCTATTACTTTTTGAATAATGTCGATGACATTCCAAAGGCATTTGGTAACGTGATTGGTGGCCTCGTGAGTGTCGTTGCACAAAATATCAAAGTGAAGATTATGCCAAATTCAAATGTGAAATTGAAAAAGGTCTTTACGACATTCAGAAAGACAGATTTGAGTGGTGGTACTGGTTGTGAAATTGCTGTTGGTGACATTTACTCGGAAGAGAAGAAGGATTTGGTCTTTGTGCTCACTGTTCCAGCATTGAATGGTCCTGTTGCTATGCAAGAATTGGCTAAATTGCAATTACAATACTTTAACGTCATTACTACTGATAATGAAGGATTTGAATTTGAAATTATTGTCAACAGACAAAGCAGTCAAGATCCAGATAAAAAGACAGCAAACTATCAATTGGACATTCAACGAAACAGAGTCGAATCTGGTGAAGCCATGGAGAAGGCCAAGAATCTTTCTGATCAAGGAAAACTCGAAGAAGGACGAAAATTACTCACTGAAGCTATTGAAAAGATTGAATCATCAGTGAGTGGTAAAGATGAATTCTGCGTGGGTTTAATTAAGGATTTGACAGACTGTAAGAATAACATGGTGGATCGAACGACCTATTCCAACGTTGGATCAAAGATGCTCAACAATTATTGGTCAGCTCAAATGTGCCAAAGAGCTACTTCGTGTGAATCAAGTAACACCCAAGGAGCTTATACGAACAAGAAAAAGGCTGCCATGACTTCTGCATTCAGCGAAGCATTGAAAAAGAAATAAAACATTGTTATGTCTCAATTTCTATTACTTTTTCTGGCACTCAAACGCCAGCAAAATGAGTGACGAATCGAAGAAAGGGAGAGGCAGTCAATTGCTTTCCTCCGCTTTCTGCAATTCTTACAAGCATGGAATGATAATACAAACTTGCAAATGCATTCACTGGGGTTTCCTTATCAAAACCAACTAATGAGACCCGAGCCTCGGTGAAACAAGATGACAAAGATTTCCACTTCATTTGACAAATTGGACGTTCCACTCTCGATCTTTGTGATTTTAACAACTTATTTCCAGCTTTTTGTTTTTGCGTCAACTTCCGTCTTTTGGCGATCTTCCTTTTGGTTGTGACTTTGGAGTCCATGGCGATTTTACTGAACGTGCTGACAACAGATTCATATCCACAATCACCAAGCATAACAGCACCCTCCATAGATGATTCTATTTGAGCGTCATAAAGGCACTATCTTCGACTTTTGGATTATAAGCCCCATAGAGTTCCCGAATTAGTCCTTAATAAATTTTAATTCCTTCCAACAAGGAACAGATTATTCGTTATCAAAATACTATACGAACGAGTAATTTGAAAGAATTATCGGTTGCTATTAACAGTCATTTCCACACATCCGAGGAATTTAATTATGAAATTCATTCAATAGTTACCACAACAATCATTTAAGTACATCCAAACCTACTATCGACACCTCCAACAAATTTCAACGTCATATCTAAATCATCAAGATCATCAAGTTCAATTAATTGTTTCTTCAATTCGTCTTGTTCTAAAGACCATTGTTTTTTTAATATGATACATCTTCCGTTAGATTTTTATTCATGTTAGCCATTAATAATTGTTCGGAACCAATGCTTCTGTCTCCTGATGTGGTACTGAAAGCTCTGCACCAGTAAACATTTTTGACATCAAGATGAAGAACATCAAGCTTAACAGAATTCTCCCAGAATCAAGTGAATGTCTTTGCATTGGATTCCAAGAAGGAACTAATTTTGAAATCCATACTGATGGCTCCTGTCAGAATGGTAAAACAGGAATGGGAATCAACATTTACAACCTATCATACCCGAATATACTAGTAGATTCCTCCTCAGGACTGAGAATTTGAGAAAATCACAAGAAGAAGGAATTTGCAATTCATCTTTACTAAGGTAAGGACCTCGTGACTAAGAAAATGTCAAGGTGGACAAATTAGAAAAACAAAGCCTCTCACAAGATCCAATCTTTGACATCTAACAATTTTTTGGTCAGTAACGATTGTTAACCCACTCAAGAATTAGATTCGAGTCAAGAAGTGAAAGCACGAATTCGTATCATGCAAATCCTTTCATTTCTCTCCAGTTACAAATCCATGATCCTATTCAGTCTTAATGTATTTCAAGTGGTGCTGTGGATACTCTTCGGAGGTATTGAAGAACTCATATTCTCATCATCCTCTCAACAACAAGAAAATCAAAGAGTTTTCCTTCTCGAGGGAGGTCTTTTCGTATTCAATCATGGATGTGGACTCTCCACCACTACATACACGATGCCCTAGATTAGATTAAATTATATGGGATTCATCACTCTGTCTGAGAGCCCATCAAACCTGAAGCCGCAGCGAAGAGCCAGGATGGTCCTAGTTGCCGAAGTTGTTGACAGCTCCAGCTGGACACAGCTGATAAAATCCGGATTTGGATGTCTGAAAGGATTTTAAAAGAGGAATTTGTTAATGTTTAATGAAATTTGTTGGTACTACTCGGTTATTAAAAAAACGTCCAAATTTCTCCTTGAATTTCTTGTACGTGAAGGGTAAAAAGACATTAGCCATACCATACATGCCAATTGTCGATATTGAGAGAATGATGCCCCTAAGGTCATCTGTAAGACCTTCCCACATTTCATTGTCTTTTTTTATCAAGACGGTCATGAGGGCCGCAACAACCAGAGTCAGAACCGTCAAAACAGAATGGAACAAGAAGTGAAACGCCTTTGGAATCTTGGTTGATTGATGACCAAATGAAGCCCCAAAGAGCCCCAATAATATCAACACATGTCATTTCCTGTTTTGAATATTTCCAAAACCAAAACACCAATACTTACTTCTTCTTCTTTTCTTTTTTCTTCTTTCTCTCTTCTTTCCTCCTTCTCTCTTCTTCTCTCTTCTTCTTTCTTTCTTCTTCTCTCTTCTTCTTTCTCTCTTCTTCTTTCTTCTTCTTCTCTTCTTTCCTCCTTCTCTTTTCTTCTTTCCTCTTCTTTCTCTCTTCTTCTTTCCTCCTTCTCTTTTCTTCTTCTTTCCTCCTCCTCTAGGTATCGAGTAAGAAGTTCAAAAATTTTCTCCGATCTTTTATCATCAACTTTTTCAGACATGGTGCCAGTTGTGTTTTTTTTTGTTTGATGATGAGGTGCGGCAGTTGGTGTTGGATTTGAAGCCATTTTTTGTATACAAAACGAAGCCTTCAATATTGTGATTAAGGCTTTTATGAGCAGAAGCGCACAAAAAGATTTTCAATGGGCAGGGAATACTTTCTAAACTTTTCCTTCAATCAAGCAATTCGAGAGAGGAGTTTGGACACTGAAAGCAAGCAAACCTTTGCCATCACTTATTCCGTTCTTTCATGTCGAGAGATGTAGTGATGATTTTGATCGGAGGAATGCAAATCTCTCAGCCATGCATCTATCATCACTTCGGACTGGTAGTCAATTAATTGAACATGATCATTCTCTCAGATTTTGATCGGAGGAATGGTAGTCAATTAATTGAACATAGTCTTAACTCGTTTTGGACTCCCCAAGATGATTGTCATTCAAATAGTTCAGTACTGCGGTTGGAGACAACTTGGGAACCTGCAGTGCTGTAGCCTTTTTTTGGCCTAATATGATGAGGGCAAACGGCTTGACATCAACAATTCGAGCCACTCGAGTGAAATCTGAGAGAATGCATTATTTATTTTGGAAGCAATTAAGTCAGAGCATGTCAAGCTATTCCTTTAACATGACACCGTATTGCTTTGCGAGAGATTTTACCGTAACTCCTTTCTCATTCTTAACATCCACTTTACAATTTTTGCAGGAAATGAGGAATGTCAGAATTGCCGAAGAAGTGAAATCCATCTTCTCCTTCATATCGAATAAACAATAGTGAAGTGGTGTGTTTCCCTTCTTATCCATAACATTCACCTCGACTGCTCTGTACAATTTCTTTTTCTTGTCAACTAACTCACCAGATGAACTACTTGTCGTTGTCAGTTTTAACAATTCTCGAACCATTACTGCCTTTTTTCGTTTTCACAGCAAGATGTAATGGTGTCATCTTCCGCATGTTATCTGGAGAGTTTAACATGGTTTGAATTCTGTGACTGACAATATTCTTCATGTAATTGGGAACATTACTCATGGTCTGTTGAAGAAGCATTTTGTGTTCTTGAGATTCCCTTTCATTGAAAATATTAATTAATTCTGAAAGCATGTCCACATCACCACTTCGTGCTACAATGTGAAACACATTTTCTCCACTGTTAGAGGAGTTTGAAAGTGATGAAAATATTTGAGCTTGATATTTTGAATTGAGAAGGTATCGAATGACATCAATTTGAGAATTTTGGATAGCACAGAAAAGTGCTGACCAACCATGTTCATTTCTGACCATAGTCAACAAGGTGTGAGAATCAGGAAGATCGCTCACTAGAAATTTTACCACCTGTGATTTAGTATTATTATTTAGTGAAATCAGTAGTATTATTATTAATATTATTTGAGTGATATTAGTGAATTGATATTAGTGTTCATGTTGGTTATTTTCACACATTCGTAAGTGTCAATTGATTTTCAGAACGTAATAATTGTGAGAACAATAAAAATTTTGAACAACATTGAGATACTCATCAAATACTTACATCGAGATCACCATTACCAAAAAAGTCGTGTAAAAGAGTGCTTCCATCAAATTGTTTCAAATTCACATCTGCACCAAACAAGAGTAAATCTTTCGCCATGTCAAAATAGTGTTGTTTTAAGGCGAGACTAAGAGGTGAAAATCCATATTCATCTCTTACATTTGGCTATTTGAAATGATATCCATTTATAATATATCAATAGGATGAGAGTGTGTGGAGAAAACTGTCTCAATCCTTTGTCTCATTTTCCACTTAAACTTACCATTGCTTCATGGCCCAATAACAAGACCATTGCAAAATGAGAACCAGCAGCACAGGCCACATGAAGAGGAGTCCTAGAAATTTTATCCTTCACATTAGGATCTGCACCACATTCAAGTAATAATTCCAAAATTTCTGTATGATTATCTTTAGCACAAATATGTAAGAAACTCTTGTCCATATCTTGTCCATTTCTAAAATTCAAGTCACAATTTGAAATAAATTCCTCCAAAATTAAAGTTGCTGTGAGAACATCATTCTCTTTACATGCAGTATATAATTTAGAGTTGCATTGCATTTTGTCACATTGTTTGAGAATTTCACGCAAAACATTCTTTTTTCTTTCCAATTCTAAATCAGACTCCTTTTCTTGTGTGGGTTGTGTTGATTTTGGAACGTCAATTTCTTTCATGGACTGAATATGAAGGACTGCTTGTAACAATTCGGAGCCTCGCATCGATGCTTCCGTAATTAACACTCCATTATGCTCCAATACACTTCCAAGTGCCTCTAAACTCAAAGAGAGTCTTCTTTCATCAAGAGCAGATCTTGACAATTTTAATTTAGATCCAGCTCTTGAATATTTTCGTTTCAAACTTTGTGTTAAACTGTCTCTTAATTGATTAGAACCTTTCAAACTTGAACTCGATGCATTATTAGGAGAATCAACCGTTTTGCCTGAAATTACAGTTTCTACACTCACACCACCAGGGCTTTCCATATATTGTTGTGAATTTTGCTGCAATGGAGAGGTTCCTTTCATTGATCCATTCGTTGCATTTCTCAGAAATGCCAACTTGGTAGGTGTCATGAGATTCAATGAATTTCCTTCCATTGTTAAAGAAGGAGAATAGGGTGTCAATGAAGATTTACTTCTGAGTCGACCGCCACCACTTCCTGTCATCGTCACTAATACTTGATTCGAATTCAATCCGTTGTGATGAAATAATTCCTCAATCAGATGATCCTCCTCTCCCGATGATGATGTAATTGTGGCACGAGAAAGATGTGGACTACTCGTTGTCTCAATACCACCACTCATCGAGATATTGGGTGGATACACCTCTGGAGTTTTAAATGATGATTGTGACGACACAAATGGAGAATGTTTTGGAGTTGTGTTCGAAGAATGATTGTTCATGACAGTCTTAGAATGTAAAGGTTGAATGACATAATCTATATTTTGATGCTTGCTTGGAGATTTGGGTGATTTGGGTGACTTTTTCGAAACTGATTGTCCTGATGTCACTTCAGAGACTTTGGATCCAATGGAGAGAAGCATACTGGTATTACTTTCTAATTGAAAAAAACTACTATCACTTGTCGAAGTTGGATTTAACGAAGGAGCCGACTTGGAAAATAATTCGTTCAAATCGCCACCAACACGTCGCCCGAAGGAAGAAGGACGAAGAAGATTCTCCAATTCTTCATGATTCAATAAAGAAGATTGTGCAAAGAGAAGATGAGGTGATGATGAAGGTGAATCGAGTTGTCCTTGATAATTGGAGAGAGAAGACGAGGAAGAAGAAGCAGAAGATGCTCCTCCTCCTGCACTTCCAGCTGTCAGTTGAGGATGAATGGTTGTATACAATGCTGTACTTGTGGATGATGATGCTCCTCCTTGTTGTTGTTGTGGAATTCGAGGAGAGAGAGTGGGAGAAGGCTCCACCGAATTGAAAAGGAGGTGAGAGTTGTTGTTGTTGTTGGGTTTTGGAAGTTGAGATCCACTTGTTGTTGACAGTGTCGAATTGGTGGTGTTGGTAGCATCAGAGGATTCCGCACCACTCAGTAAGAAGGAAGGAAGAGCGTGATTCAGTGATGATGAGGAGGAGTGATGATGATGATGCTGGTCCTCTTCTGAAGTGGTTGATGATGGCGTTTTGGGTGTTGTTGTGGAAGAAGGAGTGGTTGTTGTAGTAGTGGTGATCATCATGTGTGTAGATGATGATGATGATTGATATAAAGTTGTTGTAGTTGTTCTTGTTGAAAGTAATAATCTAATTATATATTTCGTAATAGTTCATACTAGATGAGAAACAAAGTTTTGCTCTTTCTGTCTCACAAGAGTCTCTCAGGCTTGCCGATCGGATTTTTGTTTGTTGCCAAATGTCAAAAGATTTTGAAGGTGCCTCTTTTGGCTTTCTATTTGGTGAGAGGAAGACAAATGTGTTTGATTCGGACCAAGAAGAGATTTGCTTACGTTTGCTGTATTTGTGAATTTCTGTGTGAGTGATGTTGTGTTCATTTAGAATAGACTTGTCATTTAATAGTTGTTGGTGACAGGTGGGTATGTCCAAAAAACATTAATAAACGACTCGGCGGCCATCTAGATACCAACATTAATGGCATCAAGAGCTCGGGTACTTGTTTGCACATAGGTGTGAATAAGGGAGAGAATATGATTTTCTGGAGGCTGTGCATTCGTACATGTTTTGATAATTGCTTGTTTCACAGCTTGGAAAAGGGTATTTGAGAGAAGGGAATAACGAGAGGTTGGAGATTTGAGAGAAGATTGTGTTGGAATGGTCAAGAAGTTTTGCTTGGAAGGAAAGATTTTCACATTATCCAAGTTAAAATCAACTCCAGGATCCATGATTTGAATCGAGTTAGATTCTGGATGAAAGTTTACAAATATTCTTAAGGGTGGGGAAAGTAAAAGATCAACCGATGATGAGGATGAGCTGCTTTCTGTTTCTTTCTGATCAAAGCTTCCAGAAATATGTATGTTAATAGCGACCTCAATGACATAATTTACAGAGCTTTCAGCAAATCCTTCACTTTGAAATACTGATAGAGATTGTAAATCAGTAATATTAGTTGCTATAGATGACTCTGACGTTGACTTCATTGATGAAAGAGATGCTGGTGATGATACAGCACCCGTAGGGGTTCCTTCCGCTTCAGTTGGTTCTAGTTCTTGTCGGGTATAATATCTGATATCTAGGTCAATGGATGCGTCAATGTTAGATCCTTTTTCGATCTTTAGATGATGTTTAAGGTTATTTGTCAATTTAGAAATAAAACCCATAAACGTGTAAGATTCGTAATATTGGCGGTGAAGTAATAATTTAAGAAACGAGCTGAAGAGTCTACCTCTGTGTGCTTCGTTCTCCAAAGATCCATTCTCGAATTTTCTGCTTTTCGATGGTAGCCCCTCTTCTGTTTCTCCAATTTGATGAATTTTTCGTTTTTCCATTTCTTCTTCAACGAATTCATCAAATGAAGGAACGTGAATATATCTTTTAATTCTATCAAATACCTGGCTCAAACGTTGTTCAGTTTCAAGCTTCATAGATGGGTCTGAAAGTATTTTCAAAAATTCTTGAGCTTCACGTTTAGCTTTTTGAATTTCTTCCAATTTGTTTTCGTATTTTTTCTCAAATTTCACAAGTTTTTCTTTTTCTGTTGTCAGGATTACTTCCATTTGTGTTAACAGTCTAATTTTCTCCTTTGATATTTCTAATGCAGATTTTTCAACTAAATTATTGAAAGCTTTGCTCTCTCGTTCTTTTGGGTCCAAGTCCTTGCAAGTTTCCATATATTTATGGTAATGTTCATGGATATGTAAAAAACAATCTTTCACAAATTTGATCAGTTTTTTAAATTTGTTATCCATATCTTGTAACTCAGACAGTAGGTCTCGATTGTCCGGTACCTTAACGATGCAAAGAATTAGAATACATCTGGAAGATAGACAAATACTTACTTCTGCTACTTTGTGGATCCATGCTTGTATTTGCGGTGTAAGTTTTTTAAATTCTTCATACAAATAAACTACTAAATCCACATTTCCAACTTTTTCTTTTTTTCAATGCCCAGAAAACTCTCCAAAATTCTTTCTTAATCAGTTCTGGGCTGGTCAGTGATTCATAAGAGATCGATTCCGCGACGCTAGGCTGTTGCGAAGGGATTTGAGCTGGTTGGGGCGATGCTTGTGGTGTAGTCGAAGTTTTAACTTGTTGATCGGGAGGTGTAGCGGAGACTATATGTGTGGTAATAGCCTCCTGTTTAGCCTCGGGTTTTTGTTGTGGCTGTTGAGTCGGAGCTGTTACTTTAGCTTGTTGCCGAGAGGAACTTGCATCCAGTTGAGGTCTGTAATGTTCTTCCGCTTTCTTTGGAATTATTTTCAAATATTCATGTAATTCTTCAGGAGTGGAACAAGTTTTTTGGGCTTCATGAAGAAAAAAGAGTGCGATTTGTTTAATGCTTTCGGGAGGAAATTTAGGATTGTTTTTGAAGAATGGATTTTCTGAAACGTAATAAACTACATAATCAAGATATTGTTGATAATTGGCGGCGATCAGCATTGCCACGCCTGTCGTTGGATGATGATGGGACATTTTTTTTCATCCGAAGAAGAAGATGAAGTTACAACACACTTTGGATCCCATCAAATACATGATGAGTGATGCATATCACACACTCAACAATTCATCTTTTAATATCACCAAAAGTTTATTCTTGACGTTCATAAAATTTCAAATAAGTTTCAATTCAATTCTTACCGTAAATTATTCAAAATAGTCAAGAAAATGAAAATGTTCCTATCTCCATCACCTCCTGAGGCTGGTGCTGTGGTGGATCATCAACTTGGGCGGCAACCAACATCAACAACAACAACACTTGGTTCATTCCACCCTCAAGAATCAGATGCAATAATTAGAAAGGTTCTCCGAGATGAAAGCAAAGAAAATATATACCCATCAGCACATCCAAATCATCAGCGAAACAATCCTAACAGTAAAAACATTAGTACAACACTACTGAGAAGCAGCACGACTATTATCCCTACGGTTCCGAGATCAATTCCTCACCATACACAAAGTATGAGCAATCTTGATACATCAACGCATCAACAATCCCATCCTTCAAATGATAATGACATAAAGACTTCTCAAGGTTTACCTCGGCCGAACACTTCAGCAGCAGCCAATAACCCGAGACGAGCCAAGATCATCGGTGTCAAAGACAAAATTGCTTTATTCGATTTATATGCCCCTTCATTGACTCCTTCCGATAAGGTTTTAAAAACATCCAACGAAGAAATGATTTCTCTTTCAACCTCACTTCATGTACCTTCATCGTCTTATTCCAAGTTTTTCCTTAAAAAGTTTCCAATTTTAAAACAACAAGTTGATACAAAAAACGTAAAAGGAGGAGGTTTTATTGCTCCATCGCCGAGAACTTTGGAAAGTGTCACCGACAAGATGTTGACACCAACTATAAGAGAGGAGCAGCGAATATTTAATCAACCCATAGTAACAACTGTGGTAGAACCCTCTGCCGCATTTGATATACTGCCGAAATCTATTCAAGCGCCATTCGCAAAAGACGGAATGCATACCAAACTGCACATTCCTCAATTACCTCTCGATACTCTTGACATGTTAAGTCCAGACTCTTTTGGAAATAGTTTGAACTCTGTGCGTGTTAATTGGATCAAGAGTGATGATATTACGGAGCGATCCGTATCTCTAACTTCTAGGGCTGATTCTGTTATTCTAGAAAAACAACGCCCAAGCACAAGTCGAGCCGCCAGTGCTGGAGCAAGTCGAAGGTATCACCCTGTCAAACAAAGTGGATCGAAATCCCTTCCTTCAACATCTCAGAGAAAGAAACGGTCTGAATCTCCTCCCTCCCAAATTGAAGAGGAAGAAGAAAATGAGGAAGAGTATGAACTGGAAGAAGGCCATTTTTTGGCAGACTCAGATTTAAGCCAGTTCGAACATAATGTCGAGTCCATTTTCAAAAGCTCAGCTGAATCAGAAAGTGAGATTTATGAATCCCTGAGATCGTCCTATTTTCTTAACGTAAAAGATGAAAAGAACAAGAGAAAAGGAAAAGATCACATTTCGATAGAAGAGCATGTAAAGATTACAAATGAGCTAATTTATAAGCTCACATCTTCATTCAAAGAAAAGGTGAAAAAAATCGAGCAGTCTGTGAAAAAAGAGTTTGAAAAACTAACAAAACATCATTCAAAACGAATCAATCATATAGAGGAAAAAAGATCAAACAGCATTGTCAAAGAATTTATTAGAGATATTAACATAAGAAAACAAAATCAGGTATGTATTATATATTGGACCTTCAGAGTTGAAATCATGACTATTATGTAAGAAATTGAAAGAACAAATGGACGAAATGAAAAAAAAGTATGACGAGGCGATGGAATTGTTGACTGAAATGAATTCATACAAGCAGAAATATGAAAATTCGCGACGAGAGTTTGAAAAGTACTATAATGATCGACCGTCTAAGCGAGCAGAGAATACCATTACCACCATTATGGCAGAGAATGAAAAAATGACTTTAAAGGAAAAGCAAGAAGTAATGTCTGACTTTTTGAAACACTTTTACAACGAAGATGGAACCTTGAATGAAAAAGCAATATTTGATATGTTTGTTGTTAATAAGGAGCTTCATGAAAACCTGTCTAGAACAAGAGACACAGTTTCATTTGTAAGTTTTGTGTGTGATAACGTACCGTGATTTCTTGCTTAATATTGTCAAGTTACGAGATCAACTTTATGAAAAACAAAAAACAGGAGGTGCCAACAATCAAAAAGCACAGATACCATTTTTCGATGCCTCTCTCCTCAAGTCACAGAAAGAAAAGCAAGTGTTGCAAGGACTTAGCCAAGCTCAGTTCGATGAACCATACCATCCACCAAATCCTCCTGATCCAAACGTGGTGTATGAGCTCAGACAAAGAAATGAATACTTGAAAAAGTGTTATGAGGTGTTGTCTCAAAAGGTTATTCTTGCCGATAGAGTGGTTCTAAGGATTAAGACATTATATGAAGGCGTGGAAAAGTTCACAAAATGTACAAGCTGTAAAGAGCCAACTTTGAAACCCAAGATCCTATATTGCGGACATGCATTTTGTTTGAAATGTTGCAATTCTGACAAGATCAAAAAACTTGACGACGCCACAAATACCTTTCAATACCATTGTTCAGAATGTAGAGACGTTACAGAAGAGTTGGTCGACAACAAGAACCTGAACGAGCTCGTCTCATTCACCAACGAAATTGACATTGAAATTTCCGAGCTCGAAAAGAGCATTCAGGATGCCTTGTCAATGACCAAGATTGATCCATTGAAAAAAACTTCTCATGTAAGCATGCTGTCTCCAAGACCAAACAGTGACACTGCTTCAGACACCACTATCAAATAACTCGTAATGTACAAGGTAAAAAACAATACTCAAAAGACTTGGTTTTGCCATTTCCATCTTGTGTGCCTTTGTCTCATCGTTTGAAAAAAAATCACCTATCAGTTGTCAATCCACCAATAAAAAAATGGACCAAGAGTTGAAACCTGGACGCCTTTTTGTGTGGGGAAAAACCACTCGCAATGAAACCGAAGGCACTCTCAAAGAACCCACCGCTGTTCCATACTTTTTTGATGCACCTGTGTTGATGACTGCTTGTGGTTTGGGTTTTACTGCCATATTGACAGGTAAGTGAAATTGACGAATTTTTATGCGTGTCCAATGAGAACGAGGATCTCTTTTCAACCTGAACCTACCTACTCACATCCGAATATTGTTCAAATCATGATGATGACGACTACAACAACCAACTCTGAACCAATTTGTTGGAAAATGAATCATCATTCTCATGACACACGCCATGACACACATTGTGGCCATCATCATCATCATCGTGATGTCATGTGGTGAATGTTCCGATCGATGAATTGATGAATTGATTGAAAAAAACTCACATCTCTCCTCTATGAAACCATCTTTACTATGGATTCTCACTCTTCACAACATATTCATGACATTAAATGATTTTCATCAAATTGAAATCGTCATGTCAAAATATGACATGGTATTCAAAATCCTCCGAAACCACACAACACCACAGAAAAGAGAGAAGTCTACACACTTGGCTCTCGCAGTTGGTACATGACCGATTACGAACATGAAGATGTCGATGACACTAAACATTCACTCGTTCATTGGCGAGAACTTTCCAACAAGGATGTCATTCAAATCGTTTGTGGATTGAATTTTTGTGCTTGTTTGACAAGATCTGGTGATATTTATACATGGGGAAGTGGAATGTATGGACAATTGGGACATCGAGAAGAAATTGTGAATGCTTTTGAGGAATTTAAAGTTCCAAAACCCACACGAATTGATCACTTTTCAAATTGTATTTTTATTGCAGCTGGTGAAGAATGTATGGCTTGCATCACACGTGATAAACACTTGTACACATGGGGTAAGAATTTCTGTGGAATGTTAGGTCACGGAGATGAGAAGGACCTTTTCGAACCCAAACGTGTCGTTGGAGTTTCGACGACAGGAATTTCTAAAAAATTCAATGATTCGGATGATGTGGAGAATGATGCAATCGGTGGTGACGACCTGGAAGATGACAATGATTATGAATCTCTTGAAAAGGAAGAAATAATTTATGTTGCTTGTGGACAATCTCACATGGCTTGCATTACTGCCAAAAACGAAATTTTCACATGGGGTAATAACTTTTTAGGTCCATTAGGTAGAATTCTCGATGCAAAACAAGAATCTGATCCAAATCCTCGTCTTGTTGATTTGGTTCAAGTTGGAGATTTAGTCACTGAGGAAAATCTTAAACAAAGTGATGAAGTTGATTTTGTGGCAGTCGAATGTCTCAAATACAATACTTTGGCATTGACTTCAGATGGACGTTTGTTTAGTTGTGGTAAAGGTGGATGTGACGGTGGAGGACATGGTGAAGCTCCAAGAACTCTTTTAACCATCATTCAAAATACATTAGAAGGAAAACGTGTGAAATCCATTGCCAAGAGTTCCTTTGCCACTCACACAGGTTGCATTGTGTTGAATACCGATGATGATTCTATTAAGGGTGGACGTGATGAATTATATATTTGGGGAAATAATGAAGATTACAAATTAGGAATTGCAGAGCTAAACGATGAAAATTTGAGCATTGATGAAGCTTCTCTCTTGTATCCTAAAAAGTTTCCCTTCCCAACCACCACTCGTGAATGTTTTTATATTTCCTGTGGAGAGACACATACGGCAGCTATTTTGAAACCACATCCAACCGATAAGAATCCAAATCCAGAACTCACTTTGGAGAAATTTGAAAAGGGAGAAATCACACCTGTGGTTGGAACCACTAGCACCACCACCAACAGCACCACCAACAGCACTACGAATCCTACTTCCAAATCGAATTCGACTTTTAAAAAGGGGACTTCGAAAATCGTTGAAGAAGAGTATGACTCGGAATCGGATGAAGACGACGATGATGATGAGGACGAAGACAACGACGAGAATGATGAAGGAAAGGATTCCCATGACGAGCAAGAGTTCAAAACAACATCATCAATGAAGGATGACAAGAAACAACCTTCTTCAACAACGACTACATATGCTGCCCAACACACAACGACAGAGAATTTGACTGCTGCCAAATCATCTCCTAACAACAACAACAACAGTGAGGACGATGAAGAGGACGATGAAGATGATAATGACAACAATGTAAAGAAACCTTCTCAAGGCACCACTGCCACCACCACCTTGTCGACAAGTACATCGAAATCTCAAACGACGACAACGACTTCTAGTTCAACATCTTCCTCCAAGTCAGCAGCAGCAAGTAGTGGTACCACACAAAAATCGAAATCTTCAAATCCAGTCAAAGAACTTCATGGATATTTGCAAAAGAAGGGTGAAAAAGGTTTTGTCAAGTTATGGCGAAAACGTTGGTTTAATTTAGAAGGAAATTATTTGTGTTATTATGAAAAAGAAGGCGTAAGTATGAACGTATGATGATGTGTCATTGGATTAATATCGATCTGAAATTTTGGACTTGTATTTAACGTTTGAATCGAAATGTGAAATATTTTACAACTTGTCGAAAAACCCTTCATCATCGATTTGGAAATTTCTGAATTTGTAATTGATCATAATATGGATGGACTTGTTCACAACAGGGTAAATCAAAGGGATCTATTGGAGTGGATGACATTTTGGACGTCCTTCCAGGAGCCACTCAATACGGATTCAACATTTCAACCACGACTGGACGAGTGTATGAATTGCAATGCACCAGCGATCAAGAATTGAAATATTGGACCACAGGTCTGCAATCTCTTATCAAAAAGAAGTAATAAATACCATCGCGTAGCAGCAGTATTGCAGCTATTGCAACATTCTTTTCGAAATATGAAATTTTATCCATTCAAAATCTTATGAACTTGGAACAAATTCCTTTATGGTAATTGTTAAAAAAAAAGAAAAAAATGGACGAAAGTTGTGAGAATGGCGACTACGGCGTGATGAATCATGATCATTCATGTTGCCATCATCATCACGAAGATTACGAAGAGAAAGATCCACAAATCCTCGAAATATTTAAACAAGCAAAACCTGTATTTTCAAAATTAGAAAAGATCACTTATCGGGATGATGAAGAAGAACAAGCCTTTCATTCCATCATGGCGGTACTTGGTCGCTCAGATTTTGAGTGCCAGTCTCAAGATCATGATGATGTAAGCTCGGAAAATGAAGAAATAACAAACGATGTCAAAGAAGAAACCACAACGGTGGAAGCGAAAACTGAAACTCATCAAACTCTTCAGGATATTCTTATTGAATTACTTTCCGATTTCAAATATGGCAAGGATAGACGCTTCCATGGAAAGTTATACATGTTGTCTAAAGCGTTTTTATTTATTGCAAAGTTTTGGAGCTTACAGTTTTATGATGAGGAAAGCGATGACGAACAAACGGAGAAGACTGAAAGAAGTAAATACATTCCTGACACTGTTGACGAGTTAAAATTAGCAAAATGCATTGGTTTTTCATTTGCGTGGGTGAATGTGATCTTTCCTCGATCCATTCCAGATTATGAGCCTTACATTTGTTTGTTAATTGATGTTGGAAAGCTGAAACTTACCGATTTATGGCTGGAAAAGGGATTAAATGTTGTATCGTTTACCAGTAGTGGTAACGGAAAAATGAATATCAAGAAAGCTCCATTGCATTTTAGTAGAAGAATGATTAGTCAGTTTCGAGGAGAAAATTTAGTGATTGGTGACAAACATAATTTAACAACTAATAGGCCTGAGATGAATTTCACCATGGATATTGACATTGCTGAAGAGCCAGATGTGGTAGGAGATGCTTTCAATGAGGACAATATTCTTGCATTTCCAACACATCGGTTTTCAAAAGTTATCTTTAACTTTATTGGTCATAATATTTTATTGGACAAACCAGTCATCATGCAATATTTTCGAATTTTAAGAAGTAATGGAATTCTTGATTTTAAAACAGAGCATGTGGACCAGAAAGCTATTGAACAGATTTTTGCTAGAAAGTATGAATTTGAAAAAAATTTATGGAATTGCGGTTTCTGTGACATTTCTATTCAAAAGAAATGCGACGACGAAACCACCAAGTACGCTCCTTATTATTTGCATGTTCAAGCCAGAAAGCGATAAACCATCTTTAATTTTTTTAAACGCAATTTATTCAACCATCTTGCTTGGCACAGTTGGATAAAGTTTTTGTGCCAGACTCAGCAATCGCTTCACACTTTGTACATATCTTCGTTGTTCTTCGTCGTTAAGAATATGTTTGATTTTGTCAGAACCAATTCTTTCACGCGCAGTTCTTGCGTGAATACCCACCATGGTTACACCTATTGGCCAAGGTTGATCTCCAATAGCTAATTCCATATATACATCATTTGCTTTTACATATTCTCTATCCGCCATATAAGTACAAATTGGTTCTAAAAACTTGAGAATTTCATCTGACAATTGTTTCTTTTTTAGCAATTTAAAGAGAGGCTTGATATATGTTTTGGTTTGTTTGAATATGGTGGCATCACGCTTTCCTTGAGAAGACTTTTTCACATGTTCTGGTAATTCGTCGAGGGAATATTGCCATTCCTTCATTAATCTCTTTAAAACCCTTAACACAAACTCATAGGAATCCTCTGATTCTTTTTTGTGATGAACTCCTTTGTATTTGATTTTCTCTTTTTTAGTTCCATCTTCTCGTGTTGAGCTTTCCGCATTTGATTGTTCGATACCACTCGTATTGACTTCATCAGCCACTTCTTGCTCTCGCTCCTTTAAAGCTTTAGCAAAGTCGTTTTGTTGTCCTTTAAATTCTCCTAAAGTTGTCTGAATATTTTTCAAACGTTTTAATCTGAGTTTATCCGTTTCTCCAAACAACGTTATTGGCTCTCCATAGGAGCGCAATAATCTAAATACTTCTGTTCTAGGGATTATTTCCAAATTATCGTCATCATCTTCATTATCAATTTTTGTTTTCTTTTGGTTAGAATCGGAATTTGTTGATGCTTCGTCAGCATGATTATTATTGTCGGAATTTATGGATGTCTCATCCTGTTTTCTTTTAACTCCCTTCTTAGTTTCCTCTAAAAGCTTTTTATATCTCAATTCTTCAATTTCACTCTTCTTTACCCATCGCTTTGATGAGGTTGCTGCTGAATTATTATTGTGATGATCCGATGAATGTTCTTGTTCCGATCCCGTAGCAGATGATGAAGCGGCCGTTAAAAGCGCCTTCTTTTCGTTTTTCGCTTGGTTCAATGTATTTTTGAGAAGAGAAAGTGAAGACATTTTTTGTGTTTAATGAGTGCGTGTTTATCATCTTGCATCCTGCAAGGAAATTATTGCTGTTTGCCATACACTTAATGATATTCGAAAAAAGAATTCGTCTTGATGTTTGAACGGCTGTTATAACGTCTAACCTATTTTTGGAATCAAATAGAAATTTCCCGCTCGACAAATTTACATTTAAAAAAATGCACGAATTTAAAAACAACTCTTCGGGAGTGGCTTCTGCTCTACAATATAATAGTAACACAACTTCTTCAAATAATAATCATTTGTCTCGGAATTCTTCAGTTTCAACGTCCAAGTCAGCTCCAACAAAAACAACAAGTAAAAGAATTGGCTCTACCTATGAGAAAACATTTTCTGCTCCAAAGAAAACGGAAAAAGTTGTCAAAGATCCGATTCGAACAATCACGGGGCGAAAGGATGTTCTTGCAAAAGAAGGGATCATGCCCACAAAGCATCCTGAAAAGTCAAACGCAGTTAGAGGAACCATAGCCAAAAAGCTTGGTGTTCAATCATCGACCAAGGACATGTCTGCCAATCCTAAAATCTCAAAACAAGTCACTGGTGCTTTTGGTAGAGACCAGTGGGACATTGAGTTTGAGGAGGAAAAGCTTGAAAACATTTTACCACAGAGAGTACAAGTACCGAAGTCTGCAGATGTGGACAACAACACATTTAATTGGACAGAAAGACTAGGACGAGGAAAATGTACTTCAATTTGTGATCTTAATGGAAAACCCACGATTAATATTGAATCAAGTGCTCTACATTGGTATATATTAACATATGAAGAAAAATCTTTTTTGGACTTGGAAAGTGAAGATTTTGATATCCACACGTGCCTAAAAATTCAAAAACCTTATGAAAATTCTCTATTTGCCATTGTTATTGACTACGGAATAAGCAAACGATTTAAAGACGAGTACATAGCAGTCATCATGAATTGTGGACAAAAGTATTGGAAAATCGAAAAAGTTGAAAGCAAGAAAACTACCCCTGTACAGCAAGCGATTGATAAGACACTAACACCTTTAAAATTGATGGATATTCGAATTTCCTTGACAGACCGTAAACTGTCCTTGCAAAGCAATGGTTCTGAAATTTTCAATGATGTCATTTTACCTCTTTCAACGGAAGGAAGTAAGGAACGAAGAGTTGGTATGGGTGTCTTCTCGTCGAAAGCAACCGTTTATTCGTGGAAAGTGTTTGACCCCAAAGAAGAACAAAAATCGATTGATGAGTTACCATTAATGGAACGACCATTCCCTGAATATGTCGATAAATCTCTTGCAGAAATGATAAAAAGAGATATTATAGAGTTCAACCCAAACGTTAAGTGGGACGACATTGCTGAACTACATGACGCCAAGCGTTTATTGAAAGAAGCAGTTGTTCTTCCTCTGTTGATGCCTGATATTTTTGCAGGATTAAGGTCTCCATGGAAAGGAGTGTTGTTATTTGGCCCACCCGGCACAGGAAAGACGATGGTGGCCCGAGCTGTGGCCACGGAAGGAAAAACAACATTTTTCAACTGTAGTGCATCAACACTTGTTTCTAAATATCATGGAGAATCAGAAAGATTGGTCAAGACACTCTTTCAACTTGCACGATTATACAGTCCTAGCACAGTTTTTTTTGATGAAATTGATGCTTTAATGATGACAAGAGGCAGTGCTTCTGAGGTAAGTCTAACGTTTAACATGGTGTAATTTGAGGAACTGATGGTTATTGAAACTTTAATCATGACAGCATGAAGCGTCTCGAAGATTAAAGAGTGAGCTACTTTCTCAGATCGATGGAATTAACAGCCAAAACAGCAGAGTAATGGTGCTTGCCACGACAAATAAACCGTGGGACCTGGATGAAGCTATGAGAAGGCGTCTTGAAAAAAGAATTTATATACCTCTTCCAGATGAGAAAACACGCGAGGCCTTGTTTAAAAATTTCCTTAAGGAACAAGAACTCGAGCCAGATGTTTCAATTGAGGCTCTGGCATCCATGACAGAAGGATACAGCGGAGCGGATATTCATCTGATATGTAAAGAAGCAGCATTACGTCCACTACGAAAGGAACTTGAAACCAAGTCCACAGAGGAAATCATGAAGCTAAAAGAAGAAGGGAAATTAAGGTTGAGTTTGAAAATGGAGGATTTCTCAGAATCAATCAAAAACATGAAACCAAGCGTTTCAGGAAATGAGGTGGACAAGTATCTAAAATTTGTGAAAGAATTTCAAAGTGTGTAAAAATACGTTCATAAATATTTATTTCTTCTTTCTTGACTGTAGGAAGGTAATGAATAATTGTTTGAATCTTTCCAGTCCATTGTTCTTCTTGTTATTGATGTCTTGCAGTGTTAGACAGAATCCTTGAATATCATTGGTGTCCATTCCCAGTTGTGGCAAGAAAGAATTGGCTAAATAATTGAGAAAGGCTGGTCCACACTTGTCCACTAAGGCCGCAAATACTTGGGTGACGTTTGAGACAACATTGAAAGAGGCACCATCGTTAATATCGAAATCTGGGCGAAATAACATGGTGAAAGTTTCAACAGTAATATTTTTCATGACGAAATCATTGAACTCTGCTCCTAGTTGAGGAGAATAGCAATTTACAATATTTTCCAAACACAGCAAGGCAAGTTTGATGTGATGGACAGAGGCATGCTGGCATCCTTTCAGAATCGTTTCCAATACTCCGTTAAACATGGAACGATTTTTCTTTTTGGAAGTAAATATTTGCAATGTCAAAACAATGACTTGTTGTAAATTAATAAAATACTTACTATCAGAAATCAGAACCTGCTGTAGTCCTGTTAGGAAAATGGTATGTAGAAAAACAAAGTATGACTTGTGCAACTCAGATTTTTCTCTACTCTCTTCGCTTGTGTTAATAAGAGAGTAATCATAGACCCCATTGTTCATCATTGGATAAATTTTAGTCAATAGAGGACCAAACATGTCATTAATTAAATTGAAGACCTTATCCTTATACTTTTGCATAAGTTGTCCCAACAATATCAATAAATCTTTCATTTGATAAATCTCTGTACAGGATTGATAAAGATTTGAAAGCGTGGATGGAATAACTTCCAGAATTTCTTCATTCATGAGCTCAATCATCCTGTGATAATAGAGAATGACGCATGTTTGAATATCTTTGCTCTTGGGTAGTTCTGAATGAACTCTGGTCACTGTCATCAGGAAATGTTTGAAAAATCCTACAGAGTCCTTGAAATAAATCTTTTTAGCAGCGCTGTCGTCAAAACCCTTGCTCAAGAAGGCGGCTGCACGAACCATGCTACCGATGTATTTGGTAAATCTTGGTTTTTCGGCCGAGTCTGACATGAAGAGTTTTTGATTCAAAATTTCTTCAATAGCTGAATTAATTGGAACGAGAATTTCCTGAAATATTTTTTGTCTGGTCTCAGAATTAACTTTTTCGGAAGCACATAGATAACCAACTGCTTCATATAAAAAGAATCTGTCGCCTCCATAATCCCCATCAATTAAATCTTGATCAGAAGGTAGGTTTATAGCCATTATTTCTTTAATTGATGCAAATAAAGGTTCAATAAATCCGCTCAATCGGTCTCTGAGAGGTTTAGAAAATTTGGAAAATAAAAACTTGGCTCTACCCTGTACCTGAGGGTTGGAGTTTCTTAGTCCTCGCTGGTCAACAAAAGATTGTAACATTGAAGAAATGATATCATCTGGAAATCTGGGAATCAATGAGGCATATCTGGAAAGAACTTCAAAATAGGCCAATTGAATCGAGGAATGAGGAAAAGAGGAAATGTCTAAATTGTTAAAATAATTTTGAACCACATTAACAACGTTGAAATTTCATCAAACTTACTGCTTCCAACAATTTGTAATAATAGATTAAAGAAAATATTTTCCTGCTGATTTACATTTGGTCTGTTAATCATATCTGGAAAAACTTCAGCAGTAATGTACAACAACGTTAAACAAATCTCTGCGTCAGCAAATCCAAGTACATTAAGATTACTAATGGTATGGCTTGTTAATGCGTGTATGAACTGCTTCATTAAATCAGGAGCAATGATACCAATGTTCTTATACAATACAAACAGCTCTTTTCTGTACTCCAAAAATCCAGTCTCGTAATCATCCTGCTGAGAAGGATCGAATTTGAAATCCTCTGTAAATTTTGCCTTCTTTTGAATAGTTGACAACATTTCATGGAGTTGTGTTTGGAGTGATTCAAATTGCAAGGTTTTAGACTTCTTAATCTGGAAAAATGTTAGTGATTCACTCCAGTATTGATGTCGAAACGTACCACAGATACAAAGTCATTTAAAAATTTGATAACCGATGAAGAAACTTGGTCATCTGCATCAGCAAACAATGCAAGGACAAAGGGGAAAATATCTTGAAGAATTTTGCTGGCACTTGAATATAAATGAAAATCTTGATTTGGCTAAACATGGTAATTAAAATAGAAATATTAATGAATTTTCAACATACTCTAGAAGAAATCTCCAAAAGTTGATTAGACACGCCAGCAGCAAGTTCTGAAACTGATTCCGCAAATTGCTCATCATTTTCGCTCTAAATTGAATTTAATTTCAAAGCAACTAAAATAAATTTAAAACTTACATCCACAACTGTGTTTAACAGAATTTGAGGTATTTGAAGAGAGGTTATTAATTTGAGCTTGTCATTATCATTCATTCCTTTTTCTACCATTACGCATAAGCATTTGCATGTATTAGTTCTAAATTCGTTCATTGTCAAGAACTGATAGAATAGCTGAACAAATTGTTCTGTTGTCACGAGATTTATATCGATCCAATCAATATAGTTTGACATTGTTGTAAGACAACGGTTTGAGAGAACTAAATGCTTTGCAGAAAGGATAGTGTAAAAGGTGCTCACAATTTGAGGAACACAGTCTTCACGCATTGCATCTTTCTATTTCAGAAGTTTCAATGAATGGAAATCTGGTTAAAGATTACTTACAATTTCCACAGCTCTTTTGTGGCTCTCTGGTGATCTTTCAATATATCTGGCAACAAATTCAAAATCAATTGTATCGAGAATGTTTAGATACATTTCAATCATGAGTTCGCTTGGAGAGTTTGAAAGAATAGAAAATAGGTCTTTAAAAAACGTTGGCCAACGAGAATAATACTCTAACCTAAAGATAGCAATTAATGCCTCACAGAATTTGTTCTTTAGAAATGCAGGAGTCCTGTTGTTCAATACATTCAAGAACCAGTGCATCAAAGCCTTCTTGATTATGTCTTTGTCTTGATCGGAAAGAATATTTGCCCTTCATGATTCACCATCAGCTTGTAAGAACAACCTTCCAACAATTCCAACCTACCTTTCAGATAAAAACGAAGATAATGTTCCGAAGCACCAAAACTTGACTTGATCATATGTTGACTCGAGAACAAACTGAAGACAAATTTTCCAAATATCATCTCTGTGCTTCAACTGCTCACAATAATCATAAGCATCTTTCTTCACAGGTTGGCTCGCAAAAGCATCGACTTGGGACAAAATAGCCCTCTCAAATGATTGCTTAAATTGCTCGTCCATTGTGTGATGATGATGATGAAAATATTCGGAATATTAACTATTAGACAGCAATAAAAGTTCTGAATCAGGTGCTAGGGCAAAAACACGAGAATGAGTGCTATTGATGATTGCTGTTTCAACTAATTATCAATCAATAACAAAGCCTTTTAGTTTGGACCTGTATGATTTTGCTTGAATATTTTTTTTAATGCTCAACAATTCCGAATTCGAGAATTCGATAGAAATGCCTTGTCTTCATCTTCACAAACGCACACGAATAGTGATGAACAAGAAAAAACGATCTCTCTCAATAGTGATGCAATCCTCCTCTCTAGAAGATAATATTAAAAAGAAGCTGAGAAGGTTACAAAAACTCACACACAAAGCATTACTATCCAAAACCTTGGCTCGTTCAAAGAACAAGCTCACCGAAGTCACTCATGATATTCTAAGCTCGGAAATTGAAGGTACTGATCAACACTTCTTTCTCAAGTGCTCGAATTGCAAAATAATATTCAGTGGTGATTGTTCGGCAAGTAACAGTGATTTATCTGCAAATACAACCACATTCCGATCACCCTTCTTCAATAATAATCACTTTGAAATGCCAATTTCATTCATGATTTATACAGAAAATTCAACAAGTTTTGATGGCGTGATGAAGCACGAGTATTCTAATGGCATTGGAGTGCTGTATTATCTGAATAAGATTGCTCTTCAATTATTTCTTCAAAGTCTGTCTTTTACCTTCCAACAAATTCAAGAGAGCCAAACACTTTCGGACGATGATGTATTAAAGTTTTCAATTTTGAGCGTCTTGTTGCCATCATCATGCCTTGCAACAAGTTCAGTGGATGAATTTTTCGAAAGACAAAGTAAATACTTCCAATGTAGCACAAGTATTGAATATTGAATGATTATTGATTGATTTCTTGGTTTAAAATATTTTAAATTAAAACATTTTAAACCAAGAAATGATGATAAATAAAACAAGTACAAGAACAGACAACAGAAAAGCATGGCTATGCATCAAAACATCCACCAATAATTTCCACTTCCGATTTTCTTTCAAAAGTACTCGTTTAGACGCATTATTCATTCTCCAACTGATGATGATGGTAAAGTTCAAAGGATGGATCAAAACTAAAATAATACACTACTTATTGGGATAAACAAAAGCTGAAGCCCAAGGTTCTTTTCCGGTTGCTGTTAGCTTGTGAGGCTCAATTTGTTGCGGTGAAACATATTTGCCAGCCCACAAAGAATAGACAAAATCAAACATTTTTTTGTAAAACGCCTTGTCAGTCATCACCATTCGCCAAAACAATACGTCCTAAAGATGAGACCAATCTTGAGAAGGATTTATTTGAGATTGATTGTTTTGTACAGATGATGGTTAAGAAATTAACTTATTGGAGAAGCTCTCTTACTTTTTTGAACAACTTGAATTTTCCTCCGGTTCCATTTGTAGAAGATTTTCGAATGCCCGTATGACCTTGGGAACTTGTGGATGTGGAACTGCTAGCTTCTTGCCTGTTCTTTTCCTCTTCTTCTTGCTGTTGTTTTAATTGCTCTTCTTTCTGTCTTCTTTGAGCCTCTTCTTGTTGTTGTCTGAGTAATTGTTCTTTCTGTCTTCTTTCTCTGATCATCTTTTTCTTTTGTTCGATGAGTGAGATGTTTGGATAACGATACGAGTTTCTGTTGTTTGTCTTTTCTTTTCTGTACTTGATGATTGAGTCATAACATTCACGTTTGATATCCTCAGAGTCTACTAATTTGTCTTCCCATGCAAAATCAAAGAGAGTGTCACAATTTACAATATCACTTTCCTCAAACAAATCAGCAAAATATGGGTGACGGATAGCTTCTTCTGTTGTAATTCTCTTTTCATAGTTGAATTCAAGCATTCGTTTCAACAAATCAATGGCTAGTGGATTAGCATTGGGAAATAATTTAGAAAAGTCTTTTCCTTCAGATTTTGGTAAAGTAGCCATAAATTCAACTCCTTGGTCAGAGCCTTTGATATCTTCCAAGTTTGGTGTTCCTAGAGTAGTGACAATACGTCTCATTTGATCCACAGCACAGGTTCCTCTAAATAGGACTTTTCTGCCCATCAACTCTGCCAAAATGCATCCAATAGACCACATATCAGTTTCCTTAGAAACAAAATCATTGTTCAAAATCAATTCAGGAGCTCTATACCAACGAGTTTGAACGTAATTGGTACTCATTCGAGGATCCAGATCAAAATCAATACCTCTTGCTAAACCAAAATCACAAATTTTTAGCTCGCAATTACTGTTCAACAAAATGTTTTCTGGTTTTAAATCTCTGAACGCATACACAGTTACAATGTCACATTCCGAATAATGTCACTTACCTATGAAGAATGTTGGCAGTTTGCGTATAGTGAACAGCTAACAAAATCTGATAAATAAAGTATTTAACATGTTGGTCAGTCAATGGTTGATCACTTGAAAGGATGTCTCTCAAATCTGCCTCCATCAATTCTGTGACAAAATAAACATCTCCAAAACTGTCATAGTCTCTTGGAGGAACTACATCCATCAGTCTTACAATGTTTGGATGGTATAGATGTTGTAGAATTTTTAATTCACGTAAAATTCTCTTTTGTGACATTTTAGATCGGTGAGGAGCTGTTGCTTCGTTATTCTTGGATACTCGTGGGAATACATTCTTGTTCTTTTTGACAGCACATTTTTGACCATTTCTTGTGTTGACAGCACTCGCAACAACACCATAACTTCCCTGTCGGTGTTTATGAACCGATCATGGCAATGCAAAATTGTATGTAATCAATGAATTGTATCACAAATACAACAACAAGATTGCCAAAAACTTACCTGTCCTCTGATTGCCTCTAATTGATATTTCCTTTGAATTTCGAATATTTCTCCTTCTAATTCTTTTACTTCCAACTCATCATATTCAGGTTCTTGTTGTTGTTGTAATTTAGCCAACTTTGAGAAGGAAGAAGTTGATATTTTAGAGGAAGTAATTGAGTTTTGTGATTGTTGATCCCCATCCTGATTCATGGTTGATGACTCGTCCTGGTTGTATGGTGGTGGTTGTGGTTGGCCATTGATTTGATCCACATTCATACGATCTTCGACCGAAGATGTGGAGCCTACTTGGTTGACCATCTCATCGGTCATTTGAGATGAGTCTGTATATTGGTGATGATGATAGGAAGGAGGTTGAGAAGACATTTTTAAAACTACAATCGATCGATGGGTCTGATGATGATGGAAAATGACGAGTCAGTAAACTGTTTTTGGAATTGTTCTTGTCGGATGGAAGAGAAAAGGAATTGTTCAAGCAAGAAGCTTTTTGTGGTGGATGATTGATGTTGCTAATTATTATTTTATGTACAAAACCCAAATGTTGAAAACAGACGAGAGCCTTGATATGAAAGTAGTAAAGAAGGAAGGTAGATAACTTGCCAATGGTGATGATGATGAAAACCACTCTTGTTGTAGTATACTCAACAAATACAAAATGTGAGAGAGGATAGAGAGGAGGAATAGACTCTTGATGGTGGAGATGAAGGTTGATCAATTAATCCTGACGATGTTTGGATCAGGACTCTTTGGTAATGATATGTGTCTCTGATGACGAGTTGACAGAGAGGGTAAGAGGAAACTTTTTCTTGTGATGCTCGGCAATGGTGGTGACGACTGGCAGTTTGCTGTTGCCACTATTTTAGGCGAGGAATCATCAACATCACAAATAGGACTATTCGCTTGAGAATGAAAGGTCCCATAACAGGAGACGACTGACAGTGCAGCAGCTATTTGGGTAGTGCCATTTGGCGAGCGAATGAACAGGAGTGTCGTTGAGGTGGGTTTGACCTTACTGATTTTATTCTTGCTGCAACAACTTGTCGTAATCAATTCCTCTTTTTTCATAAAAGTCATAAAGAATAGGATGCATAATGCTAAAGAATAAAGGAGGAATGAATGACAAAAGGATCATGGTGCTATATCCATAGGGTAGTTTGGGAGAGTTTTCATAGACCCTCAATTTGTAGTACTCTCTTTGGCCATAAAAGTGATGATCGGCATGGAAGATAATATTAAAGTAACTGTAACTACTAACTCTAAAGAGAGCATCAAAACTATGAGTCTCATTCACAGGTTCATAGCTGCCGTCATCTCTCTTTCTTCTTTTAAGCCCATAATGCTCCACATAATTCACAGACTATGTGAGAGCAACATGTATGACAACAGATTCAGCATTTTGATAAGACTTTCATGTGGCTCCACAACTTACCTCAACAAGGAAAATGGCCACCAAACAAGTCACGATAAAGGAGGTTAAGGCTGCTGCTCCAATGTAATGATAAATACAGATTGGAAGAGCAATCGTGACTACAGTGCTCCATAACATCTCTGATTTCAACCATCTCAACTTTTCTTTTCTCTTTTTGACTTTCTCTATATCAATTCTCCAAGCATTCATATAACCAGTAAAACTTGATCGAAACACAAACTTATAAATTGTTTCTCCATATCTCGCAGTGGCCGCATCTTCATAGGTCGCTAGTTTTTTGTGATGTGAATACACATGCTCCAAAGGAAAATGTAAGTAGCTATGATAACTTAGAATGATTCTTGCACATAAATTTTCGAGCCATGTTCTTTTGTGGAGCATCTCATGAGAGATGGCACCACTCTGAGCAATGACAATACCAAGTGATAGAGAATGCAGGAGAAACTGTTCCAATGTCAACAAATGAACACAAGTGAGAGAGAACCAAAATAAGGCACTAAGGGTTACCGTATAAACTAGAGGAATTACTCTGAAGAAAAACTTGTACTTGTTTGTCTGCTCATCAATTTCCTTCTTGTCATAGGCGTTATTACTGTACAAATATTCAACTCCTTTGAAAGGCAAAACAATTTCTGCAATTGGTAAGATCACAAATCCGAAAAGAGGGCTTGATAAGAATGAAGTTGAAATTACAGTCTCTTCTGAAGGGAAGTATTCCGAAAGAATGACAGAGATGTTTTGATTGACATGAGGAACAACAGTATCTGGAATGTATGTCATGGTTTTCTGAATGAACGAGAGCGGTTGAGAAATGATATGCTTTCTTAGTGGATGATTTGCAGTTTGAAGTAAAGCCCACCAAGAGAATGCATGCAAACAAATGAGAATGTGAATATTAATCAGATACATGATTGGATGATTCCAAGTTGGCAAAGTTGTCTTCTTGTTAGCCGTGTGAGGTGAAGAGAGGCTTGTTTCTGCATTCTCCAGCTTGGTTGATTCTTCTGAGTTGTTTCGACTGCTCTCTCTCAACATGTTCTTTTCCTGCAATGATGAGGATTCATCTACAACGAGAGGTTGGTCTGGTAGATTAATTAATTCGTCGCTCATTCTGTGATGAATTATTGTATGTACAATTTAGAGCGCCTAATTGTTGTCGGTTAGAATTTGTGATTGATCAGGTGGCTATTTACAAAGATGATGATATCTTACACTCGCTATCGGAAACAAATTTACAAAACGAAATACAAATACAATGAATTCTACTTTCAGAGCAAGAGAGGGCCTCACGTGAGTTGCAACCGCGAGGCCTTGGCGATTGCTAGCGATCGTTGGACAGAGAGAAGCCAGTACTTGACGATAGGAACGATGAAAGGGACAATGTAAGGCTATTTTTGTTGCAGTGGTTAAAAAAGTTTATGAATCATTCAATCCCAACAGCAACGTACATCGATGGACAGGGTGAAAGAATTAAAATGGATCTGTCGTTGGATTGCCTGTTTTGTGGTGGGATCTAGTTCTCGAGCAAGGTAAAGAACATGTTGGATTAGAAAAGTGAAAATTCCCAAATCTCTCAAATTGCGAAGGATGCGAAACACAAACTTAAAAACTTGAAGAATTTGAAAAAATCAAATCTTTTGCCATTTTATTAGTAATGCACAGAGGCACAAGTTGATCAACTGATCACTCGAAGAAGTCATCCTTGATTGTTCAGTGATGAATTGTACGAGAAAGTGAAGGAACATGTTTCGAAAGAGTAAACAATAAAATTCGTTTGTTAATTAAAGGAAGGACTAATGGGTTTGTGGTCTCTTCAAACACCCGACCTTAATAAAGGTAAAAAACTCCAAAAACCGCCCAGCGGAAAAAAAAAGGAGAAAACCAAAGAAACGCAAGGAAGCAAGAAGGATGAAGGCAGAAGTAACGACTACATGATGTGAAGCGCAAGAAGTCACAGTTAGGTGGCAGAGACGAAGACTCCATGATATGAGGTCGCATTTAAACAATTGCTTGATAAATCCATGAAAATCATAATAACTTGATAAATCCATGAATATCATGAAAACATGATGAATTAAATAAATGAAATTAAATAACAAAATTATATAGTTAGCTCAATAAAATCCTTGCCGAAAAGATTCGAATCAAGGTGGACCTGTACTGTCACAATGTTCTTCCTTACCACAAGAACATTCCGATCAGCGAAAAAGGTACTTGAATAAGCTTAAGAAAGCAAGTGGGTGGGAGTGTGAATGCAGCTGTTAGTTTGGCTTGCCGTTTTCCAATACCGAAAGAAGGTTCCGAAGTGTTTGGTTTGTTTGTTTTCTTCTTTGTTGGCTGTTGAACTTTTTTAAATGATGCTTGCAGAGCCGGTCTTTGGATTTGGATAGGGGTGTTTGGTTGTGGAGTTCTTGGTTGTGGAGTTGATTTTGGAGTTTTTTGTGGAAGTTTTTGTGGTGTGTAGTCTTGTGAACTTCTTTCCGAGCCTGAGGTTATTCTTGGGAATTGTGTCTTTCTGGGTGATATCAATCTTTCTTCATTATCAGAACTGCTTTCTGATCCTTCACTATCCGAATCGCTTTCTGATCTTGATCTTGAGGCTTGCGAATTGGATCTTTCATTATCAGAACTGCTCTCAGATCCTTCGTTATCAGAAGCACTTTCTTGTAGATTTCTTGGAAGTTCATTATCCGAGCCGCTTTCTGATCCTTCATCACCGACTTGTACTGGATTAGAATTATGTGAATATTCTAGAATTTCACGAGTTGATAGTGTCATTAATTCAGTGTCACTCATTGTCAACATTTTAGCAATAAGGTTACATTGAGCTTTTCTTTTTTCCTCTGCATATTCTTTTTGACGGACAACATTAACAGAGGGTCTTAATAATTTTGGCTTTTCTATAGGAAAATCAAAGTCTGAACGCATCCATTCCTTGTGGTGATCTAATAATTGAATATTATATTTTTCTACGAATCTATGAATGTCAAACAACACAAATGCAATTTTAAATTTTAAATTCCACACATTTTCCAAATCTCCACTCATTTTAGCAACTGAATGAGGATTGAAAAATTTGAATTTCTCACCAATATGAGAGAATAATGTTTCAATCATACCACGAAAAGCACCAAATTCTTCATTATATTGTGCTTCACTGTATGTTAGATCTTGATTTCTTGGTTTTCTAATTGGAGTTCTGAAATTTGACTCATCAAAATCATATTCTTTTTCTTGCAATTTTTCAATATAATCAGGAATTCCCAAGAAATATCCACCATCAAAATACATCCACACTTGGATCTAATAGTTTTGGAATTCTCTCCATTTGCTTGAACATACCAATGTCTGTATTAGGAGCACATGGTAGGGATTTCGAAATAGCAATTGCTAATTCTTGATTATACATCAATACTTGAGTTCTTAATCCAGAATCTTTTTATTTGTAACTCCAATACTCCCTTTTAGGATATTTGGCTAAATTACTATATTCAATACGTGTATCATGACCATCTAAAAAAGTGGTTTCATCCTTGAAGCCTTTTTCGTTTTCAATTATACCAGTAAGACTACTCACCACAACAAAAGAAGCAAAGAAAGTCAACAAAACAGTAATATAAAATTGTGATGATATTTTTTTGAAGTTGAAACTCCCAAGCTAAGTTGAAAAGAAGCTGATTTGGAATGTTTCGGATTCTTTGAAACGCGCCAAAATCTTTGAAACGCCCCTGAATCTTTGAAACCACCCAATACCTTTGAAACATCCCAAGCTTAAAGGAATGTTTTAATTTATGAAAGCCTATTCAATTTAAATAACACGTTTCAAATGCATTGAAAGGTCTAGAATTAAATGGTCCTGGAACGAGCTTCATAGAACAGTCTTAATATAATACCTTAGTAAGTGAACCTATCTCAAATAGATGGGAGGATCTCTCACTAAGCTAAATGCTACACTCATGAATATTGACAGGACTGATAAGTCGATGATCAGTTTAAAAAAGATATGAAGCATTAGTAAATTCGTTGACATGAGTAACATTTGTGACCCTGTTCACACACTAGGGGAGTCTTGAAAGATGATTAACGGGCGAATCAAAGTTGAAGAAAGTTTCAAAGTCCAACGTTCTCTTGAAAGATCGAGTTAAGGGTCAAGAGGGTCCTTATGACGAATCTTTTAGATGGTCTCTGTTAAGTTTTACCAAGCGTACTTCAAACAACTAAATTATAGTATCTGGATGGTGGAGTGAAAGAGTTGATCATAGTCAAAAGATTCATCTTGTCTATGAATTTGGGTCCCAGTGACCAGAAACCAATTTCCTCGTGTGTCTGTTAAGATTGATGAGGTTGTATTGTCGAACCATTCAATTAATATATATGAGAGGAATCCAATATAGTCTGACACTCTCATACGGGAATAATTTAAGAAAGTCCATAATTAGGGATGATAAGCATATATTATCCTACTAGAAACCGTCAACCTTGTTTTGAGAGAAATATAATTTTAAATCGAGAACAAAGTCAAGAGACCCGTGGTGGGTGGTTCTTGAAAGAACTCCGTAAGGGAGACCAAAATCGAGAGATTGACCAGAATTAACGTATCCTCAATGCAAGAGACTACAGAACTACACCACATAATTGTGAATATCTTAGTGAGTGAACTAACAGTAACAACTATGTGGGAGATTATGAACTCAAATGACATCATTCAGTCGCTTGTAAACTTAGACTCCTTTTGTGGCATAGGGGAACGGATATAATGTCTTCATGTCTTTTCAGTAGTTCTCCATCTTTCTCACAAGCTCTTCTCAAATTGATGATAAATCTACCATAGTGGAATGTTCTTCCTTCAACTTGTGGATAAGGTAAATGGACAGTTTTCAGACATGGAAATATCTAAGAAATTCTGATCTGTCTAATATCACAATATAATTACTTTCGATTATTTAGGTTCTCCGCTTTTAGGAGAATAAATTGTTACTAATGAAAATTTTTCTAAAATAAGGATTTGCTGACCACATGTTAATGTTGATTCAAAATGAGGAGCAGATCCTTGTTGGTCGGAATGTAAATAATTAAAACATCCTAAAATAATTGTACGTCAGAAGAGAAAATCTCTCGATTTTTGCTCAAAAGTGTCATTGGTTAGCTATTGTATGTATAGTGATGAATGGCATTGTCTCACATAATGATTCGAAAACCTCTTATGTACTACTATCATCGTCTCCACGAATTCAAACAACCTCTTGTTCGACATAGACAATAGATCCGAATTGGACATGATTATTAAGGGTTGACAATTTTTGTCAAATGATGTCGATTCCATATTGATCATAATGACAGGAATTCCTCTTCTAGACACCAATTTGGGAAGAATAATTAAAATTTGCTCAAAAGCTTCTCCTTTGTCCATAAAAATTCCATGTTTTTCAAAAGTCTGTGCAAGAAAGGCAATGCTAAAGTTCTTATAACCTTCATTAATTTGAGGATCTTTGAGAAAGTGTTCTATAATAATGGGAGGAAAATGAAGGCGTACTAATTCATTGCTTTCATCTTTCTGAACATTTCCGTTGTTCATTGGTTCTGCATAAAATTCATCATCACTGCAAAATCATAAAATGGAATTTGCGATAATCCTTTAAACTGATCATCAACATTATTGATAGGAATAGTATTTGATTTGATAGGTATTTTCAATAATCCAATCAATAATAATTGCTTATAGATGGTCATTAATGTGGGAGAATTTTTCAGGCTGTGAATGGATTAATGATAGCTTTTGGCATCTCATTGATGATTGATCGAAATTGTTTGTCAACACCTTCTTCAATCTCGATAAGTGAAATGCCCAATTTGTCGAAAATATAGGCAACGTATATTGGAACACCACTGGACTGTTGGTGCAGTTTTTCAACAAATGCTGAGAGTAAACTCTTTTCCTGCAAATAATTCTTCAAGTGAGAGAAATTTTCATGTTCAAAGACCCCCAAAATGTTGTCTTTAGAAAACAACTTAATAATAATTATTCTCCTTGTGATGATTTTGTGGATTTCACAAGGAGAATTATTGTCTGGCCTAAATAACCCTTTTACAAGTAAATCAAACATTATTCCCTTTCCACAAATATATAATGAGCATCTTGGATCTTGATTGATTGGGTGGAGTAATGTGGAAATAATGTCATACATTGCAGGAAATATTGGATCAAACTTGCCATTTGAACCGAGTGCTTTTTATGCATAATTTAAAACAAACACCCCAAATTCATCAAGAACCAAGAAATGGCACATTATCAACGAGTAAATTAATTTCAGTTTCCAATGATCTTCTAATTTCTTCAAGATCGAATATCGTTAACTTTGCCTGTAGTAAATCAGAGTAAATCAATCGTGATTCCAATAATTGTCGAACATTTTCTTGCCCATATTTTTCAAACAATGACTTCTTGTATTCTGGTTCATTAGAAACCATTTTAAAAGCTGATTGTTTTCCCCTTTCTTTTATATCTTGCGCTATATTGTCAAGAACGATTCCATTAAAACCAACATCAATAAGAGGTTTTACCTCATCGAAGGACAATGAGGCTCCACCAGCCACATCATCCAATGTCAAGATTGAAGCAACCTCTTGAGCTGTCCATTTCTTGTAATATTTGAGTGAGAGAGTAACCGTTTGTTGATTCCAAGAATCACCGAAAGCATTTGGTTGTGATGGTGCCTTTGGGTGATTGGTAATACTTTCACCAAAAGAAGGTTTTGTTGACTCCTGATCGTTGTTTTTGGAGTTTTGACTTTTAGCGTCATTTGGAGAGGTAGTTCCATTGCCAAATTGTTTGATACTTTCACTCTTTTCTAATCAAAATTCAGAGTAATGATTCAAGATACTCAAATACCCAACCTTAAAAATTCACCAAATATTTACCAAAATTGGCCTGAAATCCAAACATTTCTCACCCTACTAGTTGGTAAATGTCACACCAAATACTATGAAAACTCAAGATTCAAAAAACCAGTTCAAAAATAATCCCCAATCCTCACAATCCTCACGGATTTACCAGCACCAATGGTGCTAATAATTAATTAGTAGTCCAAACAACTATGATTCATATTCAAGAATGTACCCTTATGTACTTTTGAAAGAGAAACTCCTTCCAAGAATCTTGTTGAACAACGACAATCAAGTAGTAAAATTCAAAATTGCATCACCTCGAAAAAAACCTTACAAAAAAAATGAAAACATTTCAACAAGATGCATCACCTCCTTTCGAAATTGAAACACTTCCAGAACATTTTGATTCCATTGAAGCAGTTCAAATGGAAGAATTTTATGACATGGGAATTATTTTACAATTAATTTTCAAGAAGGATGAAAACCTAAATGAAGAAACTCAACGTGAAGCCTTTTCGGACTTGATGAATCGTTTGATCTTAAGAACGGATAGCTCAAGTGTGACCATCTTGTGTCCGAATTTTGATCTTGAAATTCCAAAAGGTAATGCAAAGTTTTCCACCGTTCGTGAATTTTTAAAGTCCTTGTTGTATTCATTGGATAACATGCCATCTGCCATCAAGGACCAACTCGCTCCAAAAATTGGAGTCTTTAAAGAGATTATTGAAAACGATAATTTCGTACCTGATTGGTTTAAACTAATCATGGAGGATCCTCTGGGAAATTCAAGAATTCAATGTAAAAAGTTTGGCATTGGAAGTGATGAACAGAGTTTATCATTTGTTGAATATTTTGAACATGATCCATACGTCAGTGTTGATTTATTCCATCGCTCAGAAGGAGAATGTGTTGAATTTGATTTGAATTTAGACAATGAACAAAGACCTCAAACTCTGTATGGTTCTGAAGCTTTTGAAAAAGTTGTTGAACTGTTGTCACGCTGTCCGAAAATTGTTGGATTGACTGGAGCAGGTGTGAGCGTTGAGAGTGGTATCTCAGCATTTCGTAACAGTGGTTCTTCAAATTTACAAAACATTTGGGATAAGTGGAATCAAGATGAAATGACTTTTCAGAACATTTTGAGTCGAAAGAAGATTCGAGATGATTATTTTGAAATGCATGCCTACCTGAAAGACCAAATCTCAAAAGCATCTCCAAATCCCTCTCATCAACTTTTTGCAGTTTTGAACAATCAAGGACGACTTCTTCGAGTGATCACTCAAAATATTGATGGCATGCATCAACGTGCTGGTTTACCAGAGAGCAAAGTCATTGAAATTCATGGATCTTCCAAATTGGTAACATGTACCAAATGTCATCAATTCATTGATCATCCTGATGAATTGTACGAAAAAGTGAAGGAACATGTCAAGAGAGAGGAAGAAATCCCAAATGAGCTCACAACATGCACATGTGGAGGTGTATTGAAACCAAACACTGTTTCCTTTGGTGAAAATCTTCGACACTCTGAACTTGTTGATGCTCGTCAAATGTGTCGTGAATGTGATCTTCTCATTGTCATGGGCACTCGATTGTTGGTTGAGCCAGTGAATTCTCTTCCCAAATTGGTGTCTAGAAGAGGAATTCCTGTCATTATGATCAATATGGAATCGACATCATTTGACAAAAATTGTGTTGCCATACTGAATGGTAAAGCAGGAGAATGGTGTCAGCAAATCATTGATAAATTATTATAAAAGCTTTCCACTTTGAAAAGTTTAATATCGAAAAGAATTGTGCATAATTGTCGTAAGAAAAAAGAAGAGGAAATTAGGAGAAAAAATGCCAAAAGATCAAAACGAGTCATCCTCTTCATCAACAGAAAAGTCATCCGCATCGACCACAAGCCACAATGCAAAACGAAGCTCTCGGATTCAGAAAGCACTACAAGAGGCATCTGATCAAAAGATCAAGATTGAAGATAAGAATGGACAGAGAAGAATGGACATGTTGAGAAGTCATTTGAATCCCGATACATCTCAAAGACAGCAAGAAAAATCGTCACCAACATCATCACCTCTAAAATCATCATCGGAAAAAGCTGTCAAATCAAACAATGCACCACAAAAATCACAAATTGTATTTCCAGCTGAAGAATTATCTGCTTATCTTTCTCCATTTTCTCCAAAAGAAAATAAGGCAAGAGAGAAAGTGGTACAAGCAATGAGAGATCGCCCTGACTTATTTCATCCATATGACATTGATCTTTCGAGAATTGAACAATTAGATTTAAATTATGAAAGAGTGAGTATTATATTCGAGTTAAAATGACACATATGAGCAATTGACAACCTACGAAATGATGGAATAGATGAAGTATTTAGTGAAGGAGAAGAAGTGTTTTTCTGTAGATACATTGGAACATGAGCCTGCCACTCATTTCGCTGCAATGTCAGCTGTCGCTTATTTTGATCCTGCTCTTTCTGTAAAAACAATGCTTCAGGTTTGTGTCAAAGTACTACAATGGTCCACTAATAATATTTTATGAAATAGTTCAACTTTTGGGCTGGAACACTTTTGAACCTTGGCACACAAAGACATAGAAAATATTTTGACAAAATTGACAATTTGGAGCTTATGGGTAGTTAGTATGTTTCATGCGTTATACAAACTATTGAATTAACATTTTCATTTGTAAAAAAGTGCCATCACAGAGTTAGCTCACGGATCGAATGTAAGAGGAATTCAAACAACTGCTACTTATTGTAAAGACAGTGACACATTTGAAATTCATACTCCAAACAGAGAAGCATGCAAATGGTGGATTGGAAATTCAAGACATTGTCACATGTGTCTAGTTTTTGCTCAGTTAATTGTTGGAAAGGAAAATCATGGAATCCATTGCTTTGTAGTTCCAGTAAGAGATCCCACTTCAAATGAAATATTACCTGGAGTCATCATTGGAGACTGCACTGTAAAAGAGGGCCTAAACAACTTGGATAATGGATTTTTATTGTTTAACAAAGTGCACATTCCAAGAGAAAATTTGTTAAACAAGCACGGAGATGTAACAGAATCTGGAACATATCAAAGCCCATACAAAAACGCAGCACAGAGATTTGGAGCAATGTTGTCGACTCTCACAATGGGAAGATATTCAATTTGTGGTAGCTCTACTGTTTCTTTGGCAAAAATTCTTGGTATGTGATTTTTGTTTTGATTGTATTAGCTCGAATTTGTAATGTTATTAGCAACCACTATTGGATTTTCTTTTGAAAGAAGACAATTTGGAATTCCAAACAAGCCAGAAAACCCAGTGATCAATTTTCAAGCACAAAAACATACCATTTATCCAATATTAGCAGAGTATTTCGCGTTTAGATTTGCTTCTAACCATCTTCATCATTTGTATGTCAATAGAACACCCGAAACTGCTCAAACTTTACATGTACTGAGTGCAGGTTTCAAAGCTTACTTGACAGATCACAATCAATCCAGCATTCTCAAGTTGAGAGAAAAATGTGGTGGATTGGGTTATTCTCAACTTAATAGAATAGGTCTTACTATTGCAAACCATGACATTTTCAAAACTTTTGAAGGTGACAACACTGTATTATTTGTAAGTAGCTGTATGATACATTGAGGCAATCATTTAACACCTTTGTAGCAAGAAGTTTCCAAATACTTACTGGCAAATTTTAAAAAGATCATGACTCAAAAGTACTCCAGTATTTTCTCCTCTGTTGGTTATTATGTTTTAGATTCTTTGAATGGCAATGTGAAAGCTAGACATTTAAGAAATGCCACCGATTTATTGGATTCAAACTTTTATCTAACACTTTTTGAGGTCAAGCTTGAAAAACAAGTACAATCTGTTGCCACCCGTTTCCAAGATATTTTGAACGAACTTCAACTTTCGAATAAGGAAAATGTTCCAAAAGATGAAAGAAAGGAAGTTAACAAATTTAATGCATGGAATTTGGTTCAAACTCAATTATTAGAAACATCTATTGCTTATGTCGAAAATGAAATTCTCCAAATATTCCACAACAAAGTGAAGGATTGTACACACAAACAAGTCAAGCAAATTCTTCAAAAACAACTTTACTTGTTTGTGCTTGGATTGATCGAGAAAAATTGCACCTACTTTTTAACTCACGACTTGATGTCACCTAAATTAGCCAAACAACTCGTGAAGGAAAAAGCAAGAGTTATTTCCTCGATGGAAGATGGTGAAATATTGGGATTAACAAAAATCCTTGTTCCAGATGTCGTTTATGCCCCAATTTGTAACTATGAAGGAATTATGAAAGGTGTGGTCTCTACTGATCCTTCTCCAATGTATGATAACATGCTTATTCAAGCTTTGAACAACAGACAACTCTTTGGAAATGCAACTATGGAGACACTTGGTTTAAGAAATTTGTAAAAAATAGGTTTTCTTGAATATATATTAGTATTATCAATTATTTATTATAATATATATAATATAAAATGTAATATATTTGTCGATCATTTCACTTCGCCCGTTTTTTGGCGCCAAAAAAATCCGTTATTTTAAACTCATATTCAAAAAAATGAGCCAACACCTCGAACAGAAACGAAGGCAAAAACAAATTCAAGACGCCATTGATAAATATCAAACTTCTCTCAAGACTCAGCAATTAGATATTGATAAAGAAGCAAAAGCACTCTTTGATCTAGTGAAATTTTTAACTCGTTTTGAGGACAACAAGCTTGCTTTTGACTCACGAGGAAATTTGATTCGGGATTTTCTTATTAAACACTATGATGCTCATATATGTGATGGTATGGGAGAGTTTCCCCATGAGTTGTACAGCAATCAAATGATTTGGGATATGTGGCTCATCTTTTCCGAATGCTATACGGATGATCCTATCACTAATTTACAAGCTTTACTTCGTTTTGCACCAACATACCCTAAATTATACGAGACATGGGCATTGCTATGCCGAAAAAGTGGCCTTTTGGAAGAAGAGGCTGCTGTTTATGAAGAAGCTCGAACTAGGGAAGTAGTCTATACAGAGCTCTTAAGTAATATGGAAAAGGAATATATTGAACACATGTCAAGCCAACAAGTACAAGTGCAACCACAATCACAGCCGCAATCTCAACAACAAACAAGAGTTGTAGAAACACCACAAACATCGCATAGAAAGATGGTTCAAGCATCACCCACTTTGAATTGTGCAGGATATGACAAGAATTTAGTTTTTAATGGAGTGCAAGAGTATACTTTTGAAGAATTACGTGCCATGCATTATTTACAGACCACCTCACTCATTGTGAATCATACAGAGCGAATGGTTTCTGAGGAAAAAACTCTCAACACAACCACTAACCCTAGTACTACTGAACCCTCCGTAAAATCATCATTATCCACTCAAATAATATCACAAAAGAAAGCAGATGAAGCAGATGAATTTTCTTTTGATTTTGCCTGTGACATCACACGACAGATTCCCACAAGAAAGTCAATTGTAGAAGCAACTCCCACTTCATATGCATATACAACCATTGATAGTATGTTCAGAGGTGAAATAGACAGTGAATTAGAAAACAATTACTTTGAACAACGAAAACTTCGCAAAGCTCAAGAAGGAGCTTTGGATGAAAAGAAGAGAAAAAGGGATAACTCTCACTCTTGTCAAGATGACGAGTATGGCATGAATGACACTCTGAAAAAAGCTAAATCAACCACTACTAATACTTCTAGGCAACTACTCCCAAAACCTGTAATCAAACAACCTACAGAAAAACAAATTCAGGCTCATAGAAATCGATCTCTAAGCGCTTTTCATCAGTTCAACAAGGAGAATGACGAGTCAGGAATTATGTATTTTGAAGAGGACGAGAACAATCTTTCTAAAACAATAATTATAAGTAGAGATGAAGCATACAAGTATGATGTAAAAAATGTTCCAGAACAATTGAAGAAGTTGGTTTCGAACGGAGTTATTAATCCATTTTCAGAAGATACTCGAAAGATCTACTCAAATATTGTCAACCTTTCTAATTGTTTCAATGATTCTCGTGTTTCAAACTGTAAAGGAACATCACTGACAGATATAAGCTCTATTCTCAATGAACTTGCTCAAAAGAAAAAGAATAAGGACAATTACAATTCTCAAATGTTAAGCTTAAAACTGAACACAAAGACATACCTGATAGAGGATAAACTTTCTTCTCATGTGATTCAAATTCAAGATTTAAGAAATAATAATGGAATTAATCACAGATCATTCGCTCTCAAATTTAGACCTCCTAATGATTTTTATGAATACTACATGGTCGAAGAATTACAGAGACGAATACCCGAAGCAGATTCACACAGATTCCCAAACATTCAACGCGTTTATGTGTTTGACAAGAATACACTTCTAATGGAAAAGCTTGTAAATAACATTACACTGCAGCGGGCTATGGACTCTGGAACAAAATTGGAGGAAACAATTATTCTGTATTATACCTTAGAACTTTTAAACATTTTACAAAGTTTACACAACAAGGCAAACATGATTCATAACTCCATTCTGCCCAGTAATTTACTACTATTGAATGAAGATGGTGCAGAATTATCAGATTGGGCGATCAATGGAAAAGGATGGAACACGAAAGGATTAATGTTGACAGACTTTTCGAAAGCTCTCAATTTAGAACTATTCCCAAGTCATGTGAAATTTTCGTGTGCAGCCAATCCAAAAACTTTGCCTCAAGTGTTCACGAACGTTTCCAGACACCCTTCATCATGGAAGTATTCTGCTGACACGTGGAGCGTTTGCTACATTCTGCACCAATTGTTGTTCAAGAATGACATGGAAGTGTTGACAAAACAAGACCAATATCACATCAAAGAGTCCATTCGACGTTATTGGAAGTTCAAAGACATTTGGCAATACTTGTTTGAAAATCTGCTGAATCAAGATCAACGTCATCCCAATGAAAAGCCAGATTACTCGCCCATGATTTCGATGTGTCAACAAGCACTTGGATCGTCCGGAGATACTGTGAAGGCGTTGTTTTTACGTTTCATTGTTTCCTTATCCTCCAAGTAAGGTCATAATGCGAACGAAACTCTATTTATTCATAAACAAACTCAAACTTGAAATACACCTTTCCTTTGACCTTCTCGGTCTCTTTGGCTTTGGTTTGTTTGAGTGGATTGGGCTTGAGAGGATAACCAAAGCTTCCTTCTTGGATGTCCTTCACATTAATCAACACCATGCCCATGTAGTTATCTTTGTGGAGGGTTTCCTTATCGTACATGTGGAAGGCCAGAACTCTGTTGTCCGCTTTAATGTCTCCAATCAAACGACTGTCATGTTCATTGAAATCATAATCGTGTTAGTGTCCATCAAGTTCTTTCATTAATATGATAACTTACATTTGGAAAGTCTCATTCCAAACAGGATTCAATGTCTTCTTGATCGTATGAGTGACAAAGAGCGCAGTCTTCTTCTTGCTTATTTGTTTTTTACCATCATCAAACTTGGCAACGATATATGGATCAGAGTTTTTGTCATTATACACTGCCAAATCTTCTGCTCGATCTATGGTAATATTAAGATGTTTTGGAGGAGATGGCAACAAGACAGCATAATCACTCAGATTAATCTTCATGACACTTTTGATACTAATCATGTGTGTTGCAACATCTTTCATGGTTGCCAACACTGTGAGCATTTCACCTTGTTTTTTCCATCCACATTTGAGAGGTTCAATCACAAGTCTGAATTTCTCTCCTCCAACTTTTTGATCAAAGAATTTCAACACAAGAGTACTCTGACTGTTCGATGGAATATCTTTGGACAATTCCAAACATAGAATAATTCCAAGCATTTGATTTTGAAGTTCATAATCTTTGTAGGCAATTTCGAATCTTGAATTTTCTCCAGGAAGTGAAAATCTCTTGCTATTCATGATAATTTCAACACTCATTGGATTTCCATATCTACTGTTTTGTTCGTTCACTTCAGTCACATTTGTTGGAGTTAAAATATGAAGTTTTGGTTTGTAAGAAATGTCAGAACATTCCAAACTTATCACTGATGTGAAAACTTCCTTGTACATATCAGAAACAAATGGTTGAGTCACACATTCATTTGCATGCATTAACTTGAAAGATGGTCTTGCTTTGACAAATTCTGAAAGCATTTCTTGTCGAATTTTTTCAACCCAGTTCGAATCCTTTGCGAATTCTTTGCGGATTGGACACACTTTCCATAAATCACTCTTTTGATCGACTTTTTCCAACTTCAATAAAAGTACTTCAGTTTCAAAATCTGGTTTGATGACATTCTTTTCTTTCAACTTGATTTTTTTAAGTTTTTCTTCTTGTTCTTTTGGATCCAAATCTCGAATAGAGACACCAAATAATTCTTCATTCTTTTCCTCGTCACAAATAATCATTCGCATCGATTCATCTTGAATGCACTTGACAAATTCATCAGAAAGACTTCTCTCTTTCACTTCATCAGTAAAATCAGTGTCATAATATGGATATGGTTCTGCCTTGTAGGTGACACATGGAATTCGAATTGCGAGTTTGATGAATGCTGTTTTCAAATTTGGTAAATTTGCCATATGTTCTTTCATTCCCAATTGGAAGAGTGGCATGTATTTGCTTTTCACTGGTTTTGCAGCTTCATGATGAATGTGATAACCATAATTATCAAAGAAACACACATCCAAATTGTAATATGGTTTTTTTGATAATTTTCTAGAGAAACCATCTTCATCCTCCTCATCCTCATCATCCATAAATAGATATGGAGCCAATCTCTTTCCTAATCTCAATTTACAAAGAAGAGGTTTTTGAAGTGAAAATTCAACAGTTGTTGTCATGGTAGAGGATGAATTCGAGAGCATTGGACAAGTATTCACAGTGTCAGAAAGTGGAGATATCATTGGTAAATGTCTCACAGCATAACGATAAGCACCCAATGGTCCATGTTGATCTGTGTATTGATCCATATTAAAGAGTTCCCATCTGGATTCAGAAGAATTGTCTGGTAATCTCTTAAGAAATCCCCAAATTAAAGTACTTTCATTTCCTGGAGATGCTACAATGGATGTGACAAGTTCCTGCTTTTCATTGAATACTTTCATTACACTATCTTTCACTCGAATAAAATTAGTCTCAGCATTTCCTTGAAATACAGAAATAAACAAAATTTTGTCCACTTGTGACGGAACATGATTCAAATCAATGGAGAAGGTGGCATCTGATTTAGTATCAGTTCTTCCTGAAATGACTGGTTTTTCTTTTCCTGGAATAAACACTGGATCTCCAATGTGTTTGATGGCATAATTACCTCGATCCAATAGAATTGCTTTGGAATTGATACTAAATTTCTTTCCAACCAGAATGTGATTAATTTCAAAGGTATAACAACGAACGCTTTGAATTTTCAATGAAGAGAGAACGACTGAATTGTTCTTTTTAAGTTCGAAATATTTGAAAGGTTGACGTAAAACAACAGCTGTCTCATCCGATGAATATACTAGTAGGTACATATGTTAGGTAACATCATGTTTTTTGTCATCACAAAATGTCATGTTGAAAATTATGTTTTTTGTCATTAATATCAAACATAATTGTCACAAATGTCAACAATGGATGTCAAGTTGAAAATAAATCACAATGAAACAATAACGTAATGTCACTTACATTCTCCCAAACTCTGGTGAATCAATCCATACTTGTAAGCATCCATGATGGAAGGTGAACCTGGTCCCAAATTCAAACCAATGGTATCCATCGCACAAACATTATTTTGATTCATAATTTGTGGATCCATCCATAACACAATACTCAAAAACACACAATTTTTGTTCTGCTTGATCATTGATTGATATGGAAAGACAAGCTTATTCTCTGGTTTGAATTCAGTTTTTGTGAGATGTGGCAACTCTCCCACAATATGTTTTCCCCATTCCACCACTAAATTTGATTGAGGAGTTAACACACTTGCAAAATCACCTTCCAAATAAAAGACCACACATTTCGTTTTTCCTCGATAAGTTCTCAATGGATCTGCCAATGCTTTTAAATTCTCACTTCTACTTTCTTCGTCATTTTCTGCATTAATGATACCCAATTCTTGAGCAATTTCAAATTTTGATGGATACAATGCTTCGACAAAATTCATTCCTTTCAACGATTGTTTTTGAAAGTCCTTTAAAAAGTGTTTAAAACCAGTGTCGAGTGGTTCTTTAGGATTTGTGAAAAGATTGGACAGATTTGGTTTCACGATAAACGATTGTGAAAACTCTCCATCATTTTCCGTTTGATTGGATGATTTCAAATGAAGTGTTTTGTGAAAATTAGAAAGTTGAAAGAGTCGGCTCTGTGGAGGCACCTTGTTGTTGTTAGGAATGTGATGACCATCAAACATGACTGAATGATCCATCATGAATGTCATCGTCGTGATGATTTTGAATGATCATATCACAATAATTCAAATTGGATTCATGATGGTTGTAATAATATTTTGAAATATTTACAAAGGATTCGTGATGATGATTCACACATATAAAAAGACACATTGTGATGATGTGATGGAACATGATCCAAAACCATCATGTAGTGAATCACACCATATAATGTTGTCAACATCCGAGTGTTCTCAATGATAAATATATCTTTCAAAGAACATATAGACTTACCATCTGTTACAAAACCAAATTCATTGAGTTGAATGCATCCCATTCGTAAATGTGAGGGAGAGGATGGGTTTTGTTTGCAGAATGTGAATTGAATTTCAATTGCATCTTGTAGAGAGAGAATTTGTGTGGGTGGTCGAGTTGAATTGCTTGAGGGGACTTGAGACATTTTTTGGTTTTTGCTGTTTTGATTCGCTCCTTGTCAAATGTCATTTATATATTCAGATCTTTTCAGTGACTTTAGCAATTAGTGTTCAACAATGACAATACTGCGACGTAATAGAATCTTTTTGATGCCTGAACAGGTGATGATGTGATCAATTCAAGATACTGCAGTAACCCATCATTCATTAGTAGTATACAACAATTCATGTGCTCTTCGTCTACAGTTTGAGGTTTTTCATTTAATATCATGATAATATCATCTTGGAAAGTTGCGAACATTTGAACTAGTTCGAATGACTCTTTACAAATTTCGACATTTCTTCATGCAATACCCAAAAGCTTGGAAATCCCACAATCAATGTCTGTATGATATATTTCCACAACACACTTTCATCTCTCTTTACATGATGAGTTTTAAAGAATGAATGAATTTGTCTATAACACACCACAGCTTCAATCACATGAACCAATAACGCTCCATAAAATCCAATTCTCAACCAATCTTGATAACCCACAAATAACTTGAAAAACGATGAGAGGAATTGAATGGAATGAAGATTGGGATGAAACGATATAAATCCATGAATGACTAATCCTCCGACAAGAAGTAATGAAAGAAAAAAGGGAGATGATCGGAATTTCAATCCTTGTGGTTGTTGTTGATGATTCAAACGAGAAAAAGAATGAAATGAATGGGATGATTGAGAAGAAGAAGAAGAGGTAGCCTTAGGTGTAGTAGTAGTAGTGGTTGTACCTTCTTGTGTTGTGGGTGTTGTGGGTGATGATGAAATATCTTCAAATTTTACCATTTTTTTCAAATAATTGAGAAATGAATCAGTTCGAGAATTATCATCATCATTTAATATTAAATGATTCGATTTGGAATCAAGTGTAACTACACTGCAAATACAGAGTACTGGAAAATCCTTTTCATTGTCTTGATGGTACTTTTGTGATAAAGATGGATCTTTTCAGTCTCTCCTCTCGAAAAAGGATTTCATGCATCACCATGGATTATTAGCTTGTGTGTTCCAATCATTGTAGAATTCCAATCATTCCTTTTTGTTCACACACACACTCACACTCACTCACACACACACTCACACTCACACTACCCTTTCTATATAATTCTGATGATGATTCTATAACAATTTGCTAACATTTGTCTAACAATTTGCACCAATTAAATTTATGAAATGAGAAGGAAATGCAGCATAGGACAACATGATTAAGGAAGCCAGAATGCAAACATAGGAAATGCCAATCACCACTCGTTCAGGAAATAATGTTCCTTTCAACTCTAAAAAACTCAATCCACAAATGATGGACGTAATAATTGCAAAGAATGAATACACCAATATTGGAAAACTTCCTCTTCCCTTATACAAGTATTCGGAATAATTTAAAAGTAAAATACTTCCATACCAAAACAATCCTTGAAAGAAGGAAGAAATTAATCCTAAAATTCGATACACTCGAATGTTCTGACCTGAGATGCAAACACATCCACCTGAACAAAGAGCCATTTTCTTAATGGTTCGATTGTATAGTAATAACAAGACACATGCAATGAAAACAAAACAATATGAAATGGGAAATGAAATTCCATTAATGAAAACCTTGGATTGGAATTGATTGAATGGAGGGATGGATGAGGATGGATCACGAGGATTTTTCACTTTCTGTAATTTGGTCAAGAGTGAAAATGAATGATTTGTGACATTGGCCAAGAATGCTCCTTCGTATAAAAAGTATAAAATTGAAGCTAAAATGGTGACAAACATGGCAATATAAAATTTCATGACCACTCTCATCTTGACCGTTCTTGTGACATTCTTATTACTATCTGCTTCCTTTTTGGCAACTTCTGTCCAATTCACAGCAGTTGTCATGTGTTCTCTTCCACTTCCAGAATTCATTTCTTCTTCACTTCTCTGTTCACGAGTATTTCTTTCCACAAACACATAGGCAATTCCCAATGAAATTAATCCAATTAACATGATTGGAACTGCAATGCAATACACAATTCCTTTCGAACTATTCACATAGAAATGATACGCAACAGAGAGATTATTTGGAATTTGCAAAGTAGTTTCATCCCAAAGATAATCAATATCCGTTCCAGCAATCCAATGAGCCATCACCACAAAGAAGACACCCACTCCATAGACTATTTTAGTGCTCCATCCAAATCCAATCCATTCGGTGGCAAGAGCCCATGTTGAAAAACTCAACAAGACCCAAAAACAATGTGCAATGATCACACTCACCCAATCCTCTGTTTGAAACATGGAAACTTGAGGAGGACCTGTCAAAGTAGTATTCGTACCACCCGATGTTGTTGAATTATTAATACCACTACTACTACTACTACTAGTAGTAGTAGTAAATGAAATTGTTGCTGCTGAAATACTCGACGAGACAAGAGTGGACGTTCCATTATTCACTGAAGAATTGGTGAAATAATATTCGAGTGAGGAAAATGGAACAAGACCTTGACAAAAGAGTGCCACCAGAGGCCAAAACACCAATGCAAAGAAAGAGACTTGAATCCAAGAGTTTTCAAATTTCCACAATGTTTTACGATGAAGGAGTTTGGTCAAGAGAGGCGTTGGGACGAGAAAGACAACTCCTAAAATTCCACCCACACATGCACATAAGAATCCGAGACCAGCATCTTGAGAAGAAATGATCACATCGGAGAGACAGAGAGGTGTTGAAGAGTTGGTAGCAGTGGTAGCAGTTGTTGTTTTGAAATTCATTTTGGTGTTGATCAAGAGTGGATGACAATTTTGTTTTGTTGAATTTCAAAAGCACAACTGTTCAGAGTGAGCATCCTCAACTGCTGCTGTCATGTTCATGAAAAAAAGAGATACCCTAGCGAGTCAGGATCAGGTCATGACTTGTCAACTTTCGTTTTTTAAATGTAGTAGGTGCGCGACCTTGCACTATAAAAAGTGCATGTCTAATGAAAATGAAATTGTAAAAGAGCGACGACTTGACAACGCATCATGTCTCTTCATTGACAGCGCATCCAATGCATGTACATGATTCCTTGTCATGAGTAGAGAGAGGGTCAGAACTTGTTTATTAACGTTCATCGATGTTTCCTCCTCAAAACTTTTTTATGGATTGGCATTCATATAAATATTGACCATGGTGGTAATATCTGTCAAATTAAAGCCAAGTAAATTTGCAACAATTTTACCCACATCTGTATTGTCTCGATTTCCATAATAATTTTGTGATCCAGGTCCAAAACTATAAACATTAACATCCACAGCTGTGTGACCTCGTGTTGAGAATCCAATTCTTGCTCTTCTATTAATCACTTCATCAATTCCAAACATGAGAGGAGGTTGAATACTTTGCATTAATGCATGTTCACTAGAACTTAGACTTGGAATTCCATTTTGTGATAATATCAGTGAAACTTGTGTGAAATTTGTTGGATCAGTAATAAGGTTCGCAATGTATTCGGTGCTGTGTTTGATTGGACGAATTTGTTCAGTATAAAAGGCATATTCAGAATTACCATCCACATCTCTATTGAGAGTAATACCACCTGTTTCATGATCTGCTGTTGAGATGACAAGAGTATCTGGATTATTGGCAGCAAATTCTTGAACAATTTTAAATGCTTCATTGTAGGCAATCACTTCTTGCCATTGGCAAGCAATATCATTGGAGTGAGCACTGCAATAATACATGATGATATTTTGGTTTTTTAAATTGACATTGGAAAATGTGTTTACAATGTGGTAAAATAATAAATTACAATCAATTGAAATGATAAAAAAATAATAAATTAAATAATAATGAATTATTAGTAATAATTAATAAATAATATTAATTAATTATGAAATACACATAAATGAATCATGAGTTCAACTTGTCATTGATACTTACCAATGATCAATTCTAGAACCTTCCACCATTAAAAAGAATCCATTCTCATTATTCTTACTAATAAGTTCTAAAGCTTTTGTTGTCATTTGAGGAAGAGTAGGTTCAGGTTCATTCGTTTCCAATCGATCAATGGTGTATTTCATGGTTGTTGGAGCAAACAATCCCAAGAGAGGAAGTTTATCAGCTTTCAACAACTCATCCACATTGGTAACGTATTGATAACCTTGATCTTTAGCCATCTGTTTGTCATGAAATATTATTTCAACAATAGGATCAAGTCAAGAACAGGAAAATATGAACATTTTGTTGACAAAAGTTAGAATGATGATGATCATATTATTATTAACAAATGATTTGAAAATAATAATACTTGAAAAATAAATTCATACCTGAACTAGATCAATAGAATCCTTTCGTAAACTTCCATTAGATTCTTTTGGAATAAAATAGGATCTTCCACCTCCCATAATGATATCAATACCATATTTTCTGTCACGCATTTTACCAAAGAGATCAGACATCATGCGAATTTGTTGATAGGCAATTTTATCTTGCATGGATCTATGTGAAACGTGAGCTTTTGAAATTAATAGATCAATATTTATACAAATATATAAATAAATAACATTGAAGATGATGAATGTTTCTCACCATCATTCACTTAAAACCTACCAGAAAAAGCGGCTGGGGTAGCATCCGTGACAGGATTAGTGGCCACCAAACCTATCGATCAATAGATTGAATGTGTCATATTCATGTCAATCATTGGATAGTTCTTTTTAAAAAATCTTACCTGTTCTCATTCCCTTCTTTAAGGCTGCTTCCAACAAGGTTCCACATGGCTTCTTTGATGGATCAACACCAATAGCTCCATTATAACTCTTCAATGCACATGAAAAAGCAGTAGCTCCTGCAGCACTATCTGTGACATCGCTATCCGATGAAAAAGTTCTTGAGCTTCCCACAAGAAATGGGTCTAATGCCAGTGATTTGTTTTGTGTGACAGAATTTTTCATCATGAATCGGGCAAATGTTTGTGCAGCTGGTCCAAAGCCATCTCCTATCATGACTGTGTGTTATTATTAAATTAAATTATTGAAAAGAGTAAATGTATTATGATATGAATATGTCATAAATATTTCATCACAATGTGAACATATTTTACAAAATTAGAAATTGAACGACACCTACAAATGACATTCTTTGGAACGACTATTTCTTCCGTGTGTTGTTTCAATCCAATCACATACAACACAATATTCAAACTGAAATGTTGTTATCATAATATGAGGAGCAGTATTATTGAACATTTCACATTTTGTTGTATTTCAATAATATATTTGAATCATTTGAAAAAGATACCTTTTCTCACAATATATATATTTCAATAAACCCACGTACGTCAATGAGAGCATCACCAATACTGCCATTCCGACGAGCATATAAATGATCCATGTGGGTGTTTGTTTTAGGCTGGCAGAGAGTCCACTCGTTGTCGTGCTGTTGTTGGAAGATGAGACACCACCGCCTGCAAGACCTCTCTCCAAACGATCACTTCGAATGTGTCGAGTCTCGAGCTCACGTTCATCAAAGGATGAAGAATCCATTTTTTGATTTGTTTTTGTCTACATGAGTGTTCACAGGTTCGTCATGAGAAGAGATTGAACGCGTTGTCTCATAGATCACTCGTGTCGGAAAATATCAAAAAGAGAAGGGTGAGGTGACTGACGAGTTGGATATGAATGGCATTTGCTTTCACCTTCCAATTCATTTCATGATAATTTCGAATCAAGCAGCTCCAGGTTTGTATTAAATGTATTCGATCCATACCAAGGCTCGTTGATTCGTTCTTTTGAGAACCATGACAACACTCAGTGTTCTCTTACAACAACGGCAACCTTTTAAAAAAAAATGCATCAACTTCAACCCGAGAAGAAAAGGCTTTGCTTTGAAGTGTCGCCTGTATGGACCATTGTGTTCTTATTCATTGTGATGGGGTTGATCTTTTTTGCCATAGCGATCGGAGGAATTTTTGGCCCAGATTCGATAGAAATTGTTAAAGCAACGGACAGTCAAGGACGAGAAGAAATATTAGAATTTCCCCCCGAAATATGGAAGGACACACTTCAAGGCCAAGAGATTTCGGGAACCTTTGATGATCTTTCCGTTTTCAATGATGAAATTCTTTTTACTGTAGTGTTTTTCAAAAATTCTAGCCTTCAGTCATTCGGATTTCAAGATATGATGGAGATGAAAATAGGAGTAGAGGGATCAAATGATGATGTGAAATGGGAAGAGGTTGCACCACTTGATAAAACTCACACGAGAGAATTGACATGCCCTCAAGATTCTCTAACATGTCAACCACTGACGCTATTTCAATTAACAAAAATTTCTTTTAAAAAGTACAAAGCAACAATTAAGATAATCAATCAAGGAAAGCAAGCTGATATGAATTTGTTTCAGCCTAAACTATTCTTTAGCTACGCCAGTATGAATGACACTTTTGTCAAGTTAGAAATTGGTAAGTTTTTAAAACAAAACCAATCATAGATAATGCTTTCCTTGCTTGGATCAACAGCTTTCCGATATATCTTTTTGTTCTTTAACGTGGCTATTTTAGCTCTATTCTTGATCTTTACTAGATACAAGGTAAGTTGATCGATTATCTGTCTCTGACTCTTCTACAAAATTTTTGAAACCATATTAGCAACCATTCTCATTATGGCACACGGAGCAAAAGTGGATCGCCTTTGTTCTGTTTTTCTTAATTCTTTATAACAGTAAGTTTTTATTTAATTAATATTAAGGAACCTTTCCAAACCACATTAAACATCTCTAGATCCTATCTACGTACTTCAATATTTGTCTGACCTCTGGCTCTTTAATTTATTGAATATTCTCTTTAAGGTGACATATATTGCTATTTTATTGTTTAGCTTTTTGGTGTTTACACACTCAATTTATACAAAAGAGGAAAACCGTGGCGTATTTTCATTCTACTTTCCAAAGGGCATACTTGTCATCACACTTTGGATTCTAACTGTAGTATCTTTCATTTTAGTGAGCATTACCAAAAAGTATGACATTGCTTATGCATTTGAAGAGCTTGCTTATCACAACTATATTGCTGCTTCCATTGTCACTTTGTTGGGAGTATATATTTTACTTCTTCTTTACTATATTGTTCGAGGAATCGGAATGATGAAAGATCTTCCAACAAAATACTCTGCCAAGTTTAAGATTGTATATGGAGTGACCTTGTTTGTTTTAGTTGTTGCCATAGCTGCATCTGTAATTTCGTACTCATTTGGTAAGCTCACATCTTTCTTGTTTTTGGCAACCTTGGCACTTCTAAATTTATGGCCCTTTGCGTTGGCAATTTTCTTCCTCCCTTCCAATGAGAAACATATTGGAGAAGATAAGGATGAAATCAGAATACTTCAAGGTGCTGATGAGGAAGACGATGAAGAGCTGGTTGTTCAAGACGAGGATGAAGAGCAATAACTTTTCAAGGCGTAATAATCTATTGGGCGCCAAAAGTAAACTCACTTGAGAAATTGATAATTTTTGTTCAATCCACGATATTCAGAATGGATGATAAATTTCCTTTTCCAGTCAATATACAAATTTAAGCTTTAAATAAGTTTTTTCAGGTCCCCTTTCAAATGCCACAGGGATCTTAATTTACCTGTCGCTGTTGGTCACCACATTTGCTTGTAATTGAGATTAGAAATTTGGTGTTGAGTTTCCTTGCTTCATTTCCAAAGCACCCAAAGAGTGTGTGCAATTTCAAAAAAATCACCCAACAAGTCCATACGTTCGCAAAGCCCATCATCACACACACTCGGGTTATTTGCTAAACAAACATCATCAAAAACGTTGTTATTACTCATTCCTTTTAGTAGTAGTACATTCGTAATAATAATCACACCACAAATTAATATTAGAACGGCTTTTGCTCACAAAAAGGACATCCCTTTGTGAGGTTTTATATTTGTTGTTGTTGTTAGAAAACTTCATCATCAACGTAGCAACAACACATTTGTATCATAGAATAATGTACAAATCGAAATCGGCAAACATGTTAGGAACATCTCACAATTCCAATGGTTCTTCGTCCAGTACGAAGGCTTATCCCTCTCCGTTCTCGCTATCTTCACTTGCTGTTGATATTTCTCCACATCATTCATCTACTTTAACAATGAGTGGTACTCCAGAGTGGTTATCTTCATCGGTCATACCAATGACTTCGCCTACTCTTTATGAATCAACTTTGGAGCAACATGAAACAGTTATGAAGATTTTCAATCAAAAGCAACATCACGATGAGGACGAGCCTCAATGGTTAACGAATAATCACCACTATTCCGATCACGAAGATGAAGAATTCTTTGCTGTTGGAGATTTACAATCAATTGTAGATAATAATGGTAATAATAATACTAACAATAACACACATCCATTTGTTGTTCCTTCCATGGATTCGCATCACGAAAATCAACCATCAACGGCAAACTCTATCCTGGATGATTCTACCGCTCATCACCATCATCATCATAGCCTCGAACAACAATACGTACTTTATTCCGAAGAATATGATGAAGGAGTTTTACTCTCGGAAAGTCATCTCTTTCGCCAAATGGTTCAACCAACAGGTATGTGAGTTGATATATTTTGGATTTGCTGTTTCATACCGAATATAAATTGAATCAATGCAGCAGAGAAACGGCGCATAGGAATTAACAATATCGTTCAATTGGTCATTAAGCATGCTAAACTGTGGAAAGAATTGAATTATAACAATGATGCCTCTACGAGTAGTAATAGTACTAACAATAATGAGGAACTCTACCCATCAAAGTTTTTTGAACGTTATTCAGGCCTCATATCTAGATTTGCCTATGAATGTCCATTTGAAGACGTTTCTTCTGCATTCATAAAATTAATAGACGATTTAGAAAGAGACTATGGAATCAAATGTATTCAGAAGGCAGATAAGCACAATGGATTTCTTCGAGCAGTGTCACATTTCTTTTCTCCCACCATTTTCAAACCTATTTTCAAATTAGCAAGCTCTTCTGATACTCATCACTTTATTCAAAACACAAAGGAACATTTCAAAAACATTTTTATTGAAAACGGGCTGGTACCACATGTATCCCAAGTATTATTTGCACATCCTTCTTTTGCAGAAATTTATTACAAAACCTATAATTTCGTGATGAAATCAAATGGTCCACTCCCTCTCGATTGGAGGTGTTATATTGCAATATTTGCTGCTTCAAGACACAATTGTAAATATTTAGTGCGAAGACTGGAGGCGGAATTTTTACTTTACGGAGGGGACAGCAAGTGGCTACAAGGTATTGAATTTATTCCATCAAAGTTAAAAAAGCTTGTCAAGTTGAATTCGATACTTTGTCATATGCCTTGGATGGTCACGGAGGAACACATATCTGAGCTAGTGAGTAATAAGGGTGTTGATGATTCTGGATGGACCATTGCAGAGCTAGTTCATGCTATCACAATAATGTGTCATTTCTTTTCACTACCAGGATTAATTTTTGGAACAGGTATACTACCTGATGACGACACTACTCCTGTATCAGACATCCAGCACTCAATTATGGATAATGAAGAAGTGAGGAAGAGACAGAAGAATGAAACTCAAAAATTGGTTGAGACTTTAACCAAACATGATACTGATGATGACACACCAGTTGACAAAAATCAAAGAAATAAGGCCTTTGAAAGCACAGAATCTGAGTTTGTAGACTCGACGTCGAAACCTATTGTACCAACTCATCTATACAACAATTTGAATAACTTTGATTGCTTTTCGAGGCCACACTTTGCCTCAATGACTTTCTGGGAAGCTCAACATTATCAATCTCAAAACAATGAAAGATCAAAGTCACTAAGTACGGAAGGACTAATTCCGGAATCATCGATTCATGTGCCTTTAGTTAACTCTGCTTCCACAGTCAAGAAAAGTGCAACAAACAGACAACATTTAATCAAGACGAAAAAGTACAAATACAACAAGTATGACTTTACCTACAAAGATTTTGATGTTAAAAGTAAGATGTACGAAACTGCATCAATCTATGACTTTAACTGGGAAGAAAATGCTTATTCGATAATTAGTAGATTCTACCATGGAGCAGCTGATTTACTGGATGCAGAATTTGAATTCATCTATAATATGACAGATAACAGATGTGACGACATTAAGGATATAGATACTTCAGCATTTCGAGCAGCCATATGGTGCTATGTGCATAGACTTTATGGCGTCTCTCACGACGATTTTAACTATGAAAAAGTTAACAAGCTGTTGAATATTGACCTTAAAAAATACATCAAAACAATAGTATGCTATCCAGAGAGATGTACAAAAGAACAATTTATTGATATGGGTGTAAAATTACGAACAAAGGAAAAGATTCACATATGCTTACTTGCTATGGAAGCAAGAAAACAGGTGGGATTAATTTATGGTTTGAAAGCCATCAACAATTACATGCAATAGAATAGATCTTTCAATACTAATTTTTGTTTGCTACATTTCCTTTAGGTTCTTCTTCTTCATCGACCAAAAGGTCTCCAATCATTGCTCTCTTTCTGATGCGAGCATAAATGGAAACTCCAAGAACAATGCCAAGACATGTCAAGGCGACGATTCCACCCACCACAGCCAGAGCAATGGGAGCACTTAGGTCAAAATCTATGGTCACCACACTTTCCGTTGAGGCACACACCCACTTGGACAAGTAATCATTCACTATGCGATTTCTAATGCTGGACGAAAGGGGTACGAACTTGGCTTCTGTAATGGTCTCCTCAGAAGCTGATGAATACAAATACACAAAGTATCGATACAATACTTTTCCAACATTGCAACTAAATCATGATTTTGCATTTGTTCGTTTCTATAATTATCTTCATCACCTGACTGATATACTTACTCTGGCATGGAGGAGCTTTTATACACAATGTAAGAATAACCAGAAATTGGATAACTCTCTGCTCCTTTGGCATTGACAATATTTGCTGTAAATTTGCTATCGAATGCATCTTTGAAATCGTCCATGGCATTTTGACAAGATTTAGTGGTGGGCGAAACTGCATTTCCTGCTGCATTGATGATCTTGGCATAGGTGTGTTCGTATAAAGTGTCTGGTGTTTGATACGCAATGGTATAGGGTGTCAATATCACATAATTGGAGACTCCCACTGAACCTTTTTGTTTTGAAATGCTTGAAGGGGATTCATTAGGCCATTCAGAGGGAAGACCTTCACATAACAATCATCGCAAGGAAAATAGTTCACACATTTGGTTGAAGATGAGAGACATGAATAAGGCAATGTGTAAAATTAAAATTTGTAAAATCCATTGTTGTTACTCAACTTACTTGTATCTCCCAAATACCATGTTGTTTCACCTTTAGAATCTGCTGCAAAGGCTGTCAGAGCACTTGTGAAAATGTGTGTCGTTCCTGAGCTGTCACTTCTCACCACACGTTGAATGGGTGTATTGGGTAATCGACTAGCAATGGATGGATTCAGAGCAGCAATGGAAGGATCATTCCAATTACTTTTGTAATTTCCATAATAATATTATTTCCCATCACATTCAACAGTGAAAGAATATAATAATAATCATAACAAATAATTATAGTTCAAATAATTTCAAAGACTTACGTAATTTTCCCAGCAAATATATTGACCAATAGTGTTCGATCCAAAATCAACTGTGGATCATTCGAACTCAACTCTGGTAAATTATAAATCACTAAAATGTTGGTGCCTACAAAAGGCAATACTTGAGTTCCTGGATTTTGTGAGAATTGTTCATTGGAAGGAATGGATTCACTTGCTGCATAATCATAGGGAGTGGTCGTTGAAATGGAGAGAAGATTTGACAATCCCAAAGTACTTCCTACAGGTTGATAGATGAGTTCAATGTTGTTTTGGAAATGAGAGATGGAAAATTGTTGACCAAGTGCTTTGCTGAAGTTGTTGTTGTTGTGAACCATGTGAAAAGAATTCACAACAATTTGATTTCAAATTCATCACAGCCATCATCGCGCGACAAGTGTGTGTGATGGGAACAAAATTTCACAATAACGTTGCGCGGTCGAGACAATCATCACACCAACGTTGTGTGTTCAATTCGAACATTCACGAAAGGGAAGTTGGATTTCGAGTGTGTTGTTATTAACGTTCACAAATTTGTTCGTTTGTTCGTTCACATTCAAAAGTTGTCGTTCGTTTGTTCGTTCACAGAATTATGTATCATTCATGTCATTGCGTACAACAGAGAACACCATTCATATGTGAACAACCATCAACATCCATTCATGCATGCGTTGACCTTTTCGTCCAACTCCTCTATACTTACTGTACTTCCTCCGATAATGAAGAACCTCCACCTGTGATCATGACATTACTTGCAGGAAAACTTGCGTGAATCACCACAGAAGAAAACATGTTCACCACTACTACTACCACCACGGACACGAGATGATAGTATTTGAAATAGGAGGTGAATGACCTCGAAGCAAAAGGAGACTCTCGACGCAATGTGTTGGTGACACTGAGAGGCATTTTGTTGGTGTGATGTAAACATGCTGAGGAGAGACATCACACTGTGAAGAGGGAAGAAATTTGACGTCAAAAAAAACTCCTGGTTTCTCGTTCGTGCAAATAAAAAGAGAAAGTTCAAAGTAAAAGGAAGCATGGCTTTACATGGAAAGAGAAAAACGGAATGCTCTGACAAGCTGTTGTTATAGTACATACTATGCATACTATTAAAACCTATCATTATCTCATGAAACTATAACTACATGAAATGACCTCAATGCTAATTCTTTTCAGCTTGAATGAGCTCGTTGAGACGCTGTTCTTTAAATTGTTCGAGGGCTGTTTTTTGTTGTTCCATAAGACATCCTTGTGCTGTTGAGTTAATGATGGAGACAAAGAACCAACTAATCATTAAAATTAATACAAAATCCCAAATAGTGGCAAGAATACTCTTGGAGGCTTCAGTTGCGGTTTGTTTGATTGCATCTGGATGGAACTTGGCTCTTTCATTTTCGAAAAATGTTTTAACTTTTCCTTGAATGACTGGAAGTTTTAAATCCTCAATAAAATTAACAATTTTTTCTAGTTGCTCCTTTCTGAATATTGCAACTATGAGTAGTGTTTGTAAATTTGCCTTGATAATAGATTTTCCAATAACAGTGGCCAAAAAGAAAATCCAGAAAGGCACGAGATAGAAACCACAAGTGAGACCTGCCAAGTCAAAAAGAGGGTTAGGAATTGATGCCATTGCCAAGATAAAGAAAAATGTGTAATTGCTCTCAACCACTGTCTCAACTTTTGATTTGAACCAATCCATCCATTCATTCCAAATTTTAGAAATTCCAGTTGGAGTCTCTTTCTCTGATAATTCTTCTTCGTCTGAGTCATAATTTTCATCTTCAAGACTTTCTAGTGAAGAACCTGACTTTCTGGCGGCTCTAGCGATAAGAAATGGTGGAATTTCTCCAATGGCTGTTCCTAATCCCCAGAAAAGAGCTTCATATTCCACATTAGAAACAATCTCCCAAAATGTCATGCTGGAACCAGGTGAGGTAGTTGAAGGACATGTAAAACTGTTAGCACCATACTTTGCAAAATTACAAGAGTTGCATTCTGTACATGCAATAGTCACCTTTGCAATAAATGGTCCTGCTCGGAATGAGTTATAATTGTTGAGTGTCAAAATTACACTTCATCAACATACCTAAATACAGTAAAAATGTATGAAGTCCAGATCCAAGTCCAATAGAACTCAACACTCCTAACACAAGCCATTCTAATGCAATAATCGAATATGAAATAATTGACTCTACGTTATACGGTTCAATGAATGATATTCTTAAATTATTGCAAAAACTGTCAATATTTGAAATCGTCTCTCTGTTCTCTGTCAAATGATGGTGCTCGTTACATATAAATTTCCATGTAAAAATTAAACTAGCCAGTGACATAATTAGACCAAGAATAAATACAGTCAAAAAGAGTCTCTTTTGTACAAGATGAGCACAAAGTTGCGAAATTTTCAATTTCAACTCCATCAGACAGTACCATAATGTTCGGACCGGAGATCTCAACAAGGTCAATTTTTCTCTTTCCTCCGACTGTTGCTCTTTATATTTCTTTAACTCTTCTTTAAATAATTTCTTTGATTCCAGACTCAATTTTTGTAGTAAATCATGATGTTTACTCAAATGATGTGCTGTGGGTTTGGTCGCTTGATGTTGAGTCATGCTGTGTGCGTGTGGTCGGTTGAGATGATGAAGAAGAGGATGATCATAAAAAAATTTGATTATTGTCCACCACATCATAATCCCAATCATCATCATCATCATGTATCCATAATCACTTACGATTTGGTTACTTCTTTTGATGATACGAACGTGTTCAAGCTTTCACGTTTTGACATTTTTTTGAATATTCGATCAATTTTTGGCAACGCAAAAGTGCGAACCCGCCAAAAGCAAGACAACACAAAAAAAAATGAAAAAGAAACAACAGGATGCAACAACAATGGATAATTCCTTCCCGATCACCTCTCAAAGCCCGAGTTTTTCTCAAAAATCATCAAGTCGTCGTGGTGGGTCCTCATCGATTCAACAACAACAACACTTGCATTTACATCATGTGGTAGTACAAGAAAAGAAATCAAAATACAATGAGGAAGAGGAAGACGAGGATGATATGGAGGTCATGTCGGTAAACGATCAACAACAATTTCTAAATCATACAAATAAGAAAAAAAACATTGATCAAAGTTCGGAATCAAACAAGATCAAAGGTAGTAATAACTTTAAAAAACTCTCCTCAGATGTTAAGAACTCGGTCAATTCTTCAAAAGGTTCTGTTTCATCCAAGGATATAACTGTTTCAGATGACACAATTCCTCTTAAATTGAAAAAGAAACCATATCCTGATACTTTAGAGGAGGAACAATTGTCACATCAAGAAGTGGAGCAGGATTGCATTGATGAGGGAGAACTTGACCATGATGATGAAAGTGTCACCAACTCAAACAACTCACTTCATATCCTCTCCACGGTTCGACAAAAACTTCACAAGGGTCAAAACGTTGAATCAAACAAGCCTGAAAAACCTTCCAAAATGGCTGAATACATCAAGAGATTTAGAACAGCTCCTCCCACTAAAAGGAGTGAAAGAAAACGGCTGGACAAACATGAGTCCGTGGAAGTGAAAATTGAAAATCCCAAGATTGATCAACATTGGAAAACGAAACTTGTGACTGATTCTAATGAACAAATTCATCCATCCATTAGAAACATTAGAAACCTAAAAGAAAGCATCAAAAATGAGATTGACGAAGTGGACAACGATATCAGAATGGCCAGAAGACATAAACCGTCTGAAGACTACGATCTTTCACCACAACTGTTTTCTCTCAAGGAGAAATTTTCCTACATTGATGCTCTTGATGTTGATATTACTGAGCTGAATAATATGACTGAAGAGGCTTTGGAAAATGGTTCATTTCATCTTTTAAACAACTTAGAAAGCAAGAAAAGTAACCCAAGCCCTCAGAATTCAAGTGTTATAAGTAAAAATACCACTGACAGTGAGGATGACTATGACGGATTATTTGAAGAAAACATAAGATCGCGATTGAAATCCTTAGGACTTTCAGACTCGGTTTTGGGAATAAACCATCTTAAAGGAGAGCTTACATTGGAAGAAAAAGCAGATGATCTCATCAAGCAAAAAGGAAAATCAATTAATGTTCAAGATTCGAAAGACATTCTCGACAAAGAAGATAGAAATTTTATTTGCAAAAGCCCAACAAAACTTAGTACCTCAAAAATCAGCATTTCAGAAACTTCTGTAAACCCAACAAGAATTTCAGAACCGACGAATAATCCACGGAGCGAGGAGAGTACTTCCGAGAAGGCGAGAGAACAGACACTAAAAAAGGAAAACACGATGGACATTAATATATCAAACAAAACCTCAGCAAATATGGAGAGTTTTTTAGGTCAGTCACTTCAATCGGTGTCATCAGTATCATCAGTGAATGATAACGATATCAGTGTTGGATGCTGTCAACGAATGATAGAAGAAATGGTCACTTCTCAAGATTTTTCAGAAGAAACACCAACTCGTCTTGCCGTTGATATTAATGACGACGATCATGAGTTATTCACCTCCGACTACATCTGCCAAACTCTAAGGCAAAAAATCGATTTCCTCAAAAAACGTTTATCAGAATTAGAAGCACAAAGGTAAAGCATGAAGTTTATTCTCACTACAAGATCTTGTGAGGATTCATAATGTTTTTTGGATCTAAGGTTTTCTTCAAGGATTTCATCAAATTGATTGACACGTCACATTGAGAATAATGTAAATACTTCTTTTTAAGCATACCAATTCCATGCTCAGCAGAAACGCTTCCCCTGTGTTTGCTTGTCCATTCATACACGTAGGGCTCAATGGTGTCCTTAATTTTTTGGTCAAATGTTGGTGAAGTGATATTGAGATGTAAATTTTCGTCACCTAAATGTCCAAAGCTAAACACCTTAGCTTGAGGGAATATTTTCATTCTCTCCTTCATATCCAATACAATATCATACATTTTTGAGAGAGGAATTGAAATGTCATACTTGTAAACGTAACCATCCTTTTTAAGAGACTCTGAAACCAATTCTCTAAACTTCCACAAATAATAATATTGCTTCTCATCAAAAGCCAAACTTCCATCAGAGGCCACGCCTTCTTCCAACGCTTTTGCAAAAAACATGTTCAATTTTTCTTCATCATGCTCTCGTGAACTACCTTGAGTTTCAATCACCATGTAGAATGGGTATTCTCCTTCCACTGGTGGAGCACCCAATGTATCTTTGTGATGTTTCATGACTAATTTCATGCTATCCTTATCGACAAACTCAACTGCTGAAAGAATTTCACCCAATTCTTTTTTGGCCATATAAATTAATTGTTGAATCTTTTCAAAAGAATCTACTGCAATAAGTGCAACATTGACGGATTTTGGTTTAATGGCCACTTGGAGGCTCACCTTTGTGATAATTCCTAAAGTACCTTCACTTCCAACAAGTAAATGTGACAAATGGTAGCCAGTGTTATCCTTTCTTATTTCTTTAATGTTATCCATAATAGATCCGTCAGGCAAAACACATTCTAATCCAAGTAAATTTGAATGTAAAGATCCAAATCTGATAAATCTAATGCCTCCAGCTCCTGTTGCTATATTTCCACCAATTTGACAACTTCCTTTTGCTGCTAAATCTAAGGGCATTTGATATCCCTTTTCATTCAGAAAGAGATTAAGTTGTTCCAAAATACATCCTGATTGACAAACTAGAGTTCCGCTTCGTTCATTGAATGATATTATTTCATTCATTAAATTAGTACTTATAATTACTTGAGGTCTTGGTTCAATTGTGGGGTCAACAGGAACACCTGAATTTGTCTCATTCACACAAGGATCACATATAATATTTTGCATTTTAAAACAATTCATATTTTGAATATAATGTACATTGTTAAACAAATGAAGCCAAAATAGTTGTTATCAAAAAAGGAAAAATAATTTCAAATCGCAAGCACTATGTTCATCCACAATAGTATTTTTGATATTACGATTACTTACCAGCTCCGACAAGTCCAGTGTTTCCTCCTTGAGGAACAATTGCAATATTATTTTCATTACAATATTGAACAATTTTAGAAACTTGTTGAGTGGTTCTTGGTCGCAATACTAATTCCGATGATCCTCTATATTGGCCAGTCCAATCAGCGTTGAACGCTAAATCAATAGAATCAGGACTGTACAATACTTCTCCACCCTTTTTATGAGTGGATTTGTCTTGAGCAAATATTTCTTCAAACGCCCGAACATGATCCCGAGAAATTAATCCTGAAAGGTTGAGAGTTTGATGAAAGTTTCTGACAATAGCACTGTTGTACATTCCATGGAATGGATCATCAACACTTGGACCTATTGATGATGATTTTACAAAACATTTGTGGATTGTTGCTGACACGAGTTTGGTTGATCCTCCTTTCATTGCTGAAGAAACAAAGAAATTTGAAGCCATGATGTTTCTGGTGGTGTGACCACAGGTGGCCAAATGGAACATTTTTTATTGAGCGAAACCCTCTCGTAAGAATCCTTTGGTTGTTCTCTCTTATCAAAAGCATTGTGACTAATGTTAATGATCACTCTCTTCTCCATTTTCGTGATGGTTTTCGTCTGAGGCTGATGGATTATAGAAAGGTTCTGCAGAATTTGAAGAGACACTTGCAACTATGTCGTGGTTGTGATTGTTATTGTGTTCTGGTTGAGCGTTGGAAGTTGTGGCGGTAGTAGGTTTTTGGATCTTCTTTTGTCTACGGTCTTCTCGAGATTCGCTGTCAGAATCTTCATCACTTGAGGACCAATCGTTCTTTCTTCGTTTCTTTTCACTATCTGCAATATCTGTGTAAGGTTTATGATGTGTTCCCAGTGGTGTTGTGGAGTCACCAGTCTTTTTCTTTGATGAAATCAAGGATGTTTTCTTGCTCGAAAAATGAGGTTGGTTATAGTATGGATCTGTCACAGGTGCAATCGGAGGGAATTTAGAGCTTTGCGCTAAATGATTTACAGCATATTGACCTGTACCAGTTGCAGGATTAATTGAAGGAGCAGTAGAAGCATAGGCCTTTCCTCCACCTAAAATAGGTGTCCTAGATGGATTGATTCGAATATTTCTATTTCCTAATAATGTGCCGGAGCATTCTAAAGCCTTATTTCTAGATTCGAAATGTAAAAACTCTACAAATGCAAAACGAGCACTGTGCACAGCATCTCCTGCTAAAACGACTTTTGTTACGGGTCCACAATTAGCATCGAAAAATTCTTTAAGATCATCTTCAGTTAATCCAACATCAACATTTCCTACATAAACTGTTCTATTGATTTGATCATGATGCACCGGAGTAAAAGAATAAGTGGCACCATTTCCAACAGCTCCTGGAGTTGGTTGAATTGGCGTTCTTGAGCCAAGAATTCGCAATGCATATCGTCCTAAGAATTGACCAGAGAGGGAAATCGCTGCTTGAGCGCTTTCCTTTTGTTCAAATTCAAAAAAGCCAAATCTTGTTGGGTGCTGAGTGTCTCCACAAACTCTATAATTTACAATTCTTCCACAGTATGAAAAGAACTCACAAACCTGAGTCTCTGTTATTTGGGTGTCAATACATGTAACATAAATAGTCCTTTTAACTTTTTCTTCTTCCTCTGCTTTTTTCTTTAGATCGGATTCGGAAAGATATTTGTATAGAGGTGGTGAGGTCTCTTGTGGTTGTTCTGATTGACTAGCTGATGCATTTGCGACGACTTGTTCGGATGAAGGCTTGTTTGGAGGTGAAGAAATTGGATTACGACTCAGTGATATTCTCAATGTTTTTCCCAATAAATCCGTTCCGCTCAACTCGAGAGCAATTTTGGCTTCATCGGGTGTTGCGAATTCAACAAAGGCATAACGATTTGTTGCGTCTCTGCCAGATCCGAAGTTAACAAATTGTCGGTTATTCAATACAACAGAAAGAACCATCATCATAAGTCCATCACGATCCAACTACAATATGTGTTACTTACCCAGCCATCTTGCAATTTGTAATCGTTCCGCACTCGTCAAAAAACGTCTTTAATAATTCTTCATTGAATTGCTCGGGAAGGTTTGAAACGTAAATAGTTCTACCCATGCCTGGCTTTGATGACATTTTTTTTGTTCAAAAATAAAAAACTAAGGCCATTATTCGTGCACTAGAAGCGTTATGATTTGTCTGTTTAATTATGATATACTTTTATAATGCTACATGGATCTGTTTAGATGCAATATGTGATGACTAGAAAAATCTTCTCAAATTGAAAACGCCACCTTCGAAAGGTCGAGTTGTTTTTTCTTCATCTTTTTGTTCCGATTCTATTATTTTGTTGTGAACATCAGCAGATTGTTGATGATTATTGATGACGGAAACAGGCGTACCCGAAGAAACGTTATTATTTGATTGTGGAGCTTCATTTACCTCCACAGGAAGATTGCTATTATTCGTTATGGTTGCAATCGTCTCTTCTTTTGTTTCTTCGGTTTCAGAAAAAGCCTGTTGATTTTCTTCAGCCTGTTTTCGTTTCGCTTCAATGGCATCAGCATCAAAGTACAAGTGAAATTGTCGGCCTGCTGGTATTCCAATACTACATCCGATCGTCAACCCGAGAAGAATTGCTCTTATTCCCAAACTTTTCATTTTTTCAAATAATAATAAAAGAGTCGTCTTCCTAATAGTCAGAAATTAAAGTGTTGTAGGTCAATTTCGTCGTTGGCAAATGCAGATTGACGACACTTTGAATTCCATCATTGAAGATCTTCAGGATTCGATTTACCTCAATAAATTTAAAATTTCTTCATTGTTTCTCTCCTTTCATTCTCTTGTGAAAACTGATACCACAAAATGCTTGAAATGAAATATGCTTTTAAAGTTGAAAAAGAGACTTGTGTGAATTTTATTGAAATGCGCAGAATTCTCTCTCTTTGACAATTCTCTCAAGAATTTAACCCTTCTTGAAAATGGGCTCAAAATCAATCATTTGGTGGAGTTTCGTTGCAGTTAGCTCCCTTCTCAGGATCTTGTAATTGGTTCATAATCTCATCAGGAAGCTTTGGAGGTAACCTTTTAAGACTTTCACGCCCTTTGTGAAGATTTGAAAATCACAAAGGGCGTGACGACAAGAGGAATGCCGCCTTTATAATTTTAGAGCTTTCTGAGTCCCCTTTTTGAAAAAGTAGCAATCACGAGGATCCATTCTCATGGAGCCTCTTCCATCAATCAGGTATTCGGAGTCAAACATGGAGAAAGTATGGCAATTATTGAGCCAGCATTTTCTCGCCAAGTAATACATGACCAATGGTGGACATATAATGGAAAGAAGGAACATCACCATGCATTCCATCAAGTGAATCGAAAGCATGCAACAGACGAGTGCTGGCGAAAGAGGTTGCATTTTTATTGCTGCAGAAAAATCTTTCATTCTGTTGGTGGTGGTGACATCTTTGTTTTGACATATTGTAATTCTTGTTTTCGTTTCATAACAACTTGCTTGAGTTCCATTTTAAATGGTGAAACTTCCGTCTTGTTGGGCGTTGACGCACTGAGAGAACTGGCATTAAGATCATTCTCGTCATGGTCCTTCGAGTTGTTATTGTCCAGTAATTTCACACTCATTATTGAAGGATCAGAGCGAAGCCTTAAACGGTTCGTACTACTACCAATTGGTGGCATTCTTAGTCTAGGTTCATGATGGCTCAAAGAGTTTTGGGAAGCATTTTCTTTTGGTGTCTCATTCTCAAACTCATAAACCTTCATAACATTTGGATCACTCGGCGAGGCAGTTCCTGAGCTTGCATTACTTGACGGCAAAACCTCTTCATGATAAAATTTTCTATCATATTCTTTGGAAGCTTCTTGGATGGGAATGGTGGAAAAGTCCTCAAACAATATATCAATTTCTTTACTGTCATCAGAGGTTTGTGATGGCTTGGGAAATTTATGTGAGCTTACTTGTTTGCAAAAATCTCCAATCTTATATTTCAAATTGTTCATAGAGACAAAAAGTGAATTTTCAGTTTGTTGGAATTGTTCTTCTGTTTGATTTTGCTCAGTTATTAAATAGAGATAAGATCTAATGCTATCCATTGAACTCTCGATTTCTTTTTTGAATTGAATGAATTGATCATATTCTGATTTCTCTGTAGCTTTGGCAAGTTTTTCAATTTTTTCAACAATTTTAATTGAGAGAGAATGACCAATTTTGCCCTTCTCTGATAATTCATACATGACTGTCAAAAATTGTTGAAATGGAGGCATGTTAACTCAATAAGCACATAGTTCAAGTATAAAATGAAACACTTACGTTTTTCTTTTGATTTCACACTTAGGTTCTTATTCTTGCACGTCGTTATAAGAACGTTAATTAAAAAATCATCAATGTCGCTATTGATGGATATTAATTCAGAAATTATTGAAATGCTATTACTTGAAATACTATTAATAAACATAGATATTTCTTCGAGTTGAGGAATCTCCTTATCTTGAATTGTTTGAATAATGTACAAAATACTGTTTTTTAACTTGATACTTGAGGTCAAAGATTCTACGAGGTTTTTTCTCATTTCTTTGCATCTCAACATGTTGTCTGGAGTATTAAGCTCAATTCTTGAAATGGGTGCATTGTGGAGATTGTCACTACGATCATAAAACCTTTATATAAAATTTCATGTTGTATCAAATAACCTACATGAAATATCCTCTCGATGTGAGTTCAACCTCTTTGATTGTTTTTAAAACATCTGTGCATTTCTTTGAATAAACTTGCATGGATCGAACAGCTCGCTTCAAATTGTTTGGGGTTGCATGATTTTGATCCTTTAATAGATACATGGTATTCTGTATTATTTTGATATTTGTCAGTTGATTCAAATTTTTCGCTCATATCTAAGTTTACTTACCTCAAATTCTCTAAATTTCACAACCAATAAAAATAGTATGATCAAACACAGAGCAGAGAATAAAGGATGAAAAAACTCTATATCAAAAATTACTAGCACAGTAAATAGTATTATTATGAGAGAAGAATTCGGTTGCTCGATTGCTACACTTGGCTCATCTTCAATACATTCCAAACTGTCTTCAATGATTTCAGCCTTTTGTTTTCCAAGTATAAATGCGTAGTGATCCAAGTAAGCCTCAACTGCTTGATTTTTGTAGTATCGATCATAGTCAAATAACAGAAATAAAACCATTGTCCAGATATAACTAGAAATATGAATACAAAGAGAGAAAAAATCTTTTGAGATAGATGTAAATGATTTATGATCATCATGAACGAGAGTATGATTATTGACCTGAGACAAAGGTGCAAAATTTTGAGTGGTAGTAATTGGCGACGATGACGAAGCATGATTTGTCTCATCGGTTGTTGAAATTTTAAAATTATTAATCATAGTCGTCTTTGTACAATTTTTTACCCCTTCCGAGCTATCATCTTCATTGTTATTGCATTCCAGCAAATCATCCAATTTCCGACCAAGGGGTGTATGAACTCGCAACACTTCATGCATTTTTTGTCGTGTTCCTCAGACATAGCTCTTCAATGACACACAAGAGTTGGGAAGTTTAAAGGGAGTGTTGGTTGAATTTAATGAACCCATATTCGGAACAGAAGGACAACATTTGTATCTAGTTTGAACAAGAACAGCATTTCAAGGATTATTCTTGCTCTTCGCAATACTTTTGATATTCGGTCTTGTCCATCAAACCCTCTGCTTCCTTTTCAAATTCCATCTTAATCATCCATCCATCTTGTTCAGCACTTTCGTTGACAATTCCTGGATTTTCAGAGACAACACTATTGACTTCCACAACTTTGCCTGAAACAGGAGAATAAACTTCGCTCACTGATTTAACGCTTTCAACTTCTCCAATCACACTGCTGGCCTTGATAACATCACCAGGCTATGTATTATGAAATAACAATCACAGTGATGATTTGAAAATAAATGATTTACCAATTTGAAACGTTTTGTAATCATAGTATCATCATCGGATTACACAGTCCAATCAAAATATTAAAATATATAAAATTAAAGCAGCAATGGATGATGAATGATCAATAATATCAATAATGTTAATATTTATGATGTACAAACCTTTACAGACAATTCAACATGAACAATTTCTCCAAGTTTCTTTTGAGCCTCATCTGAAATACCAACAACAACATTCTTTCCGTTTTCAAATCTCACGTATTCGTGGTCCTTTGTGTATTTAACGGTGGCGTATCCTCTTCTTTGAACAAAATTCAAGCACGATGTTCTGAGGAGTCTGGTGGCTGATGATGATTTGGTGATTGCAGAGAACATTTTTTTGAAACGTTTCTTTACATGCTCTCTATCGGTGATCGAGTACTACTTTGGACAATAACGTAGCTCAGGTTTTATATTGAATGATTAATTGGTGTGTTCCACGATATGCTCAAAGAACAATCAGTGGTGATTCGGTGGAGAAGCACCAATCAGAACAACCGCTAAATGATTGGTTGCCACATATTTTTTTCCACCCACTACCAGAAAATTCTCTTCCAGAAAAAAGAAGAAAAAATGAACTAGAAGGAACAAACACACAAGAAAAACACACAAAAAAGAAATGCCCATTCCATCATCAACACCTCGCAACAATTACCGACAAACCAACAAGAGTGTCAGCTTTTCTCTCGATTTCGAAGAGGAAAACAACAATTTTGACGACTTCTCATTGGACAACAACAAACAACACAGCCCGACTGCTGCTCCATCTCCGAAACTTACCTTCGATGATGATGAAAATGATTCGATCATGAGAGATGATGAACAACAGCTGGATGAATACGTTGCCCGTGTAGATTCACCACGATTTGACTCGGATGATGACCCCATGTACGATGATGATCATCGTAACCATCATCACGAAGATTTATCTCAACCCTTGTCACAAATTTCATCATCAGAAATTCTCGATGATTCTTCGGCGATCAAAGTAAAAACAGAAATTGATGAATTGTTTGAGGAATGTGAAAGAGAAAAACAAGAAGAGGTAACATATAAATCTCGATCATCATCAGACGTTAAATCTCCAATATTGACCTTTTCAGCAAGCGTTCCAACACAGGTTTCATCTCCGATCCTATCTAGTCCTGTGGGTCTTAGTCAATATCAAAAAGAACAACGTAACGTTTATCAATATGAGGATATTAATCAATTGACACAACAATCTGCAGCTCCAAAAACTGAAAATGATCAAGAGGTCATTGATTTAGAACTTACAGAGTCACAATTAGAGAGTTTACAAAGAGAGGATGAAGGAAGCACCTTCCACAATTTCGAAAAAACTGAAGTAACAGCAGTGAAAGAAGAAAATATTGCAGTTCAAAACTCGTCGATTGCTTCGATGAATCCAACAAACAATGTCTCTCCTCCTAAACAACAAGAAGAACAACAACCAAATGCATCAACCTCTAGTGATCCCAATATTTCAACATCATCCATCACTACTAACAATCACATGATTGAGTCCATCAGTAGTAGCAACAACAATAACAACACTGTGCCAACAACCACAGAGGATGATGATGAACTTGATATAGATTATTCTCAAATTGAAGCGGCCCTTAGGGAAGCAGATGAACAAGAAAAGTTAAACGCCGCTCAAGAATGCACTAAAGATTCATATGTGTCACCAATGGAACAATTCAGATCCAAAATTGTAGCACCTCAATCCTCTCCTCAACCACCTCCATCATCACCGAGAACACAATCTTCGAATCAAACCTTTCCCAAAGTCAAAGATGAAATCCAAATGAGTCAAGAACGTTCCTTATTACCACCACCAGTGATTATGGATGAAATTGAAAATTCTGAAGGATCACAAATGGATTCTGTGAAACTTTCTGTTCCAACTAAAAGTCCAGAACGCCCTCTTACTTTTAGAGAAGCTGTCTATAAGAAGCTAAGTCATTCACCTCCTAGCTTTAAACCAATAATTCCAGATAAGGAGCTCGTGGCAATCAAAGATCAATATGGATTAATAGTTTTTCAAAGAGGAAACAACTATGCAAATGAGGAACGAATTTTTGAAATGAATGTAGATACTATTGAAGTTGAAGATGGTGTTGAACTTACGTTTTTGACATCCAAATGTTGGGGAACATTGGAAGTACCATATTCTCAGAGTATTGTTTTTGATTCAAAGACCATGAATTTGAAGAAATGTAAATGCTCTTGTCCTGTTGAAGATCATTGCAAGCATACTTGTGCTTCTCTCATTACTTGGTTAGACTGTAAAAAGAAGAATTTACCTTTTCCATCTCTTAATTCGATAGGAAGTCGATTAGAACTAGCTCTAAATGAATTAACTCAATTGAGAAAAGAGGTCGAACGATTAAGGAAAGAAAATGAATGTCTCAAAGATAATTACAGTTCAAATAGTGATGATTCAAGTTCGTCATCCTCCATCATGAAAGATTCAAGTGTGACTACTCCCATCAAGATGAATCACCAGAATCTAGGTCAGAATGGTTTTGTTTCTTCAAACAGTATTGAAAAGACTCCTCCAAATAGAGCCATCTTTTCTTCCCCAATTTCTCCCAGCAATGTGGCAGAATCGACCGATCTCAAACGAAAACGAACGACCTATACTCAAGGCGAAAGAGATCCTCATGTTGAACTTGGAGAAACATGCAAGAAAATACATTTCTAAATTACAAGTTGCATTGCGTGATAATCTCTTCATGTTTTCTTTTCACACAACAATTTAAGAGGACTGCACTTGCAGAAATTGCCAATCGCTGGGATTTTTTTGTCCGACTCAAAAACAAGGCATATTTTACTTGGACACCTGCAGTTTTTGCAGGTTGGCATTTTATGTGTCCTAAATTGCTGTGACTTGTTGTGTTGTTCCAGAATATCCATGAATGGAAAAAGTGATGGCCAAAGAAAGAATTTACGGTCCTCAATTAAAAAAAAATTGAAAAGAGATTGGTCAGTCGAGTTTTTGCCATTGTTGAGAAACAAGCTATGAGTTGAGTTGTCATGCCATCATCGGTTCGGAGTGCAAAGAGTCCCTCTCGGCCAACACCGAGATCTTCAACAAAATCACCCATTCAAAAGGATCCGATGGAAGAGTATTACAAGGATCCAAAAAAGTATCAAGATTTTTATAATGAGCTGTATGATTCACTGCAGACGGAGAAAGCAAATTTTGATGAATGCTCTTTTGTGTTCCTTAATACCAAACGACCACTTGAACCTATTATTTCACTTCAAACAACCTCGGAAGAATTATTTTATGGATCATTCGATGGGCCAATTCGATGTTTCAGTACCTCTAACGGAAAGAGAACACAAACACTAAGGGGTCACGCTTCACTAGTTTCAGGTCTAGAGTTAGTGAGCAGAGAAAAAGTTGTTTCGGAATTAGAATTGGGTCCGGTAGAAGACTTTTCTTTGGAGAATACAGAGGAAGGAAAAGAGGTGTTTAAATCAAGAAATGACTATGTTTTATTTAGCTCTTCACGAGATGGAGATGTTCGATGTTGGGACCTCAATCTAAGTAAGACGATAAAACGTCTAACAACTGAAACTGCTGCACCTATGACATGCATGAAGGTGTGCAGCAAAGAGGGATGTCCAACGTTGGTAGCAACAGGAGCATTGGACGGTAGTGTTACGATGTGGAATTTAGCAAAAGGGAACATATCATCCGTTTATACTGGCCACGCTTCAGCTATTTCTTCTTTAGAATATAGTGACAATAGGCTTTTTAGTGCCAGTTTAGACTCGTTTGTCAAAATTGTAGATATTGAGAAAGAGGAGGTGTTTTCAATAATTAGGCCTAATTCCCATCCTGTAAGGTCAATATCAGTAATTGGAAATGACATTTTTGTTGGAACATCCACGGGTGTCATACAACAATACGATATTAGAACATCCACACTTGTTGGTTGTTTTAGAGGTCACACTGACTGTGTTCTTTGCACAAAAGTGTATGATCCTAATTATTTGATTTCAGGCTCAGAGGATTCATTTGTGGTGCTGTGGGACATAAAGACGAAAGAAATGGTTCATGTGTACGGTGGTCACAAAGATAGCGTAACTGCAATTTCTATTACTGAAAGTGACAAGAGCGTTTATTCAGGATCTTTGGACAAAACAATTCGACGATGGGCTGCTTCGAGCGCTATTGGGCTAGTTCAAAAAGAAAGCCAGTTACTTGAGCACAAAAAGAAACTGGAAGAATTGTTGGCTAAAGAAAAAAAGAAGCAGACCAAATAGTGGACATTTGGCGTTGAGGAGAGGGTCAGCAATAATTCGATATCTATCAAATCTCAAAATGTAAAAAGTGTATTGATCTTTATTGAGATTCTCTTTTTTATGCCAATTTGAAGAAGTTGGAGGGAATCAATCCTTCCTTATCGTCAGTGTTTCTTCCAACGAACCACCCATCTGAGTTGACTTCAACGACAGTGATTATTTCACCTGCCTTGAAGCTAATCTCCTGCTCATCCTGGGCATCGTAATCATATTGAGCAACAACCTTTGAACCTGCGGTAATATTCAATAAATCTTCAGGAACTACTGAGCCTTGGGTAGATTCAACAAAGTTTGAAGGGAAAAGACCAGTTTCACCTCTATTGTTAATACCTAACCACCAACCATCATCATTCATTGCGAGCACATTAATATAATCTCCTTCCTTAATAGTAAGTTCACCTTCCTCAGCAGCATCATAACCATACACGCATGTAACGGTTTTGATGACTTTAGTTGGAATTTCTGTCTCTTGCTTGATAATTTCTTTCACTATTGATTTTTCACCGGTTGATGTAGAATCAAATGGAGGAGGTTGTGTAGTAGTACTAGTTCCATTACTATTGTTGTTGGTTGTAGTGGAAGTGATGGTGGTAGTCTTTGAGGACTCTGGAACTGGAGATGAAATCTTGACGGCACTTCCTGTACCAGATGGTGAACTTACAGTTGTGCCACCACCAGATGGTATTGTTGAAAATCTCTTCTTATTGAGCTCGTCTGGAATTTTGATAATATATGGTTCAAAGTTGTCTGGAGCGGGTGGTTGAAAACCGGATCTTGTGGATGAAATAAATGTTTGAATTTCACGTTCTTCGTTCATTGCTTCAAAGCTTTGTTCCATGTAGTCAGATTGAGCTGAAGTGCTCTTTCCAATGTTAAAGTTCAGTTTAGCAAATCTTCGCAACAAATCTTTCAATTCCTTTCCTCTCTTTCTGTCGAGTACTTCTAAATTTTGCATGATCTGTCCCAATTGAACATAATATTTTTGATCCATTTCGTGAAGTTTCTTAATTGCTAGCTCATAGTCTTCTTCAGCCTTTTTGGCTTTTTTTTTCGGAATTGTTAATATCCTTATTTAACTTTTCCAATTTCTTGGCTGGTAAATTGGGGTCACTGTACAACGCAATTTGTAAATCCTCTAAATGCTTCTTTTCTTCCAAATCTTTTTGTTTTGCTTGTTGAGCGTCATGTTTGGCTGAATTAAAGTCACTTCGGAGCTTTTTTTCATCCTTGGTTGCCATCTTGATAGCCTTACTTAAGTCCTTTCTAAGAAGAGTAATCTCTTTGAGAAGGTTTTCTTGAAGCTCTTTTGCAGCATCAAGATATTGATTTCCAACAGTTTGAAATCCTGTTGCAAGTCTATCAAAAGGCTCGATTGTCTCGCTATTTGTTGTTGTGTTCGGAGAAAAGTTTTGAATGGAACAACAATCAGTGTTTCAGTCATCATGATCAATTTCATTTATAATCACCATCATCATCAGTGATGATGAATGAATCGACAAAGATACCGATCCAAATAATATTTTCATCACAATTGTTTAATAATTGTGAAAACAGCAGAAAATAATGATGATGATTAAATATCAATGTGGCGATCATCGAATACTCAAATTCTTATTAAAAACTTACAATGAATTCTTTTCGGTCGTGAGTTTAGTTTTACATAATTTCTTCCCGATCGACTCGTACAAACTGGCGGTTTCCTTTATAAAGCTCTGAAATTGTTTTATATCTGCTTTACTGATCATTAATTTATCAATTAGCTCTGCAAATCGGTCCCACATATCAACCTTGTACGAATACGAGGTCGATACGGGTTGAGCTGTAGTGGGCAATCCACTATTGATCTCAAAGCTGGAGCTCATTTTTCTTTGTTGATGAAGAGCGATTCTTCTCCCTTTCTGAAAATCACCTTCAATTCCCGCTTGATTGATAAGTGATGAGAGAGGCGATCAAATGGAGGCCGAAACACTCTTTCCTTTTTGCTGAACGTTACAAGAAATTGGGATTCTTGGGATTTTTATTGAGGGAGATTGAAAGTTGTTTTCACTTAGTGTTGTTAGTTTTTTATTGAATCATCACAGCGATTTGGGAGAAAGAAAAACGAGACAACCAAAACTGATAAGGGAGAGGGCAGTGAGACTGGACATAGTTAGTGGTAGAATATGATCATACTTAGTTTTTTCGTTGTTGATGAATCATTGTTGAGGAAGTAAATGAAAGGTTGGTTGGTTGGTGTTGTCGTTGATAAATTTGCTTTTGCAAGAAGGTATCCACGAGCGTATTAAAATCGACATTAATTCGGTAAAATCTGAGAAGAGATTTGGCCTTTCGTTCTCTTTTCATAATTTTGCCATTTCTGTTGTTCTTCTTCTCTGCGTAAATTGTGATAGTGCTCTTTTTCATGGCACAACATTTCAATCGATTCTCTTTAACAAGTAAATCTCTGTCATATTTACCAACAACAATGTGATGATGTTGATTAAAGCAAAGAGAACCATTTGGAATAGGCTCAGCATTTTGAATTTGTCTTGAAATTTCGTCTGTCTTGATTGGATCAATGAGTGAGTTGGATGTGTTGGAGTATGGTGAAGAGAGTTTTGATGAACTTGATGGAGAAGTATTTACAGAGTTAGTGGTTGGGGTGGTCGTGATGGAAAAAGGAGAGTTGGAAAAATCGCAATGCATGTTTGAAGAAGTTTCGTTGGGAATGGGTGCAGACTGTGCTGTCTGATAATCATCGCACATATATTCTTCCTCTTGGGAGAGCTCGTCTTCATCATTGTATTCATCATGCTCGTCTTCTTCCACGTACTCTTCATCGTCATCTTCATGCTCGTCACTGTATTCAATAGCTGGTCTATGATCATGAGTAGAAGGAGCAAAACAAGTAGAATTTGCTGTTCGTTGAGATTTCATCGTCTGATTCATTAGTTGCATTCTGCCCAGCGTTGTATAATATCTTCGTTCTTGAGTGTCACAATGGTTGGTTGTAGATTCTGATTGTAAATCACTTAAATATTCTTCAAAATTCATATCCTCAACAAGTAATTCCGTTTCTTTCACAATTTCATCAACATGATCGCAAAATACTTCATTGTCTTGTTTTTTAAGTTCATGTAAAGCGGGGCTTGATACCGTTCTTAGCAAATGCTGTACATATCTCGATCGTAGCTCAATAATGAATTGATTGAGTTGTGGTTTATGTGCGAGAGACTCTAAAGGGATCGAGAATAACTTATCCATGGGCACTCTGAACAAAGTCTTTTGCAGAGTAAGATTGCTGTTACCCATATTTCCAAGTTGGGATGATGTTGATGGGGTGAGTATTGAAGAGGACTCTTGAAATGGTGCTGGCTGAGTTGCACTTATAATTGTGCTTGCAGTTTGCAGGAGCAATTCATTGCTGCTTGCGATTGTGGTTTGAGAATGTGGTTCTTGTTGATGATTCATTTCCGATCAGACGAATGGATCAGTGGGTTTGGAGATTTATCAAAAGATGAATTTTTAAAGTGAGGTTGTTTGAAAGCCTTGTGCGCAGTTAGATGTAGGGTTGATGCTGAATGTTCCCTCTTCAAGTCCAGTTGGATAAATCCGAGCAATTGATCAATGTCGAACTCAAGGAATGAAGAACGAAACGAGAGAGAGAATAAGCCTTCGTTTTGAGACTTTTTTTCTGTTGTGATACAAAGTGCGAGTAAGAATCACACGATCTTATTCTTGAGAAATTTTATTCTTTCGAGATGCAAACTTGAGCATTAACACCAATTAAAGCAATCACCTTCACAAAATAGAGCATACGAATATTCATTTCTGGCCAGACGTGCGACTTGAAAAAAATAGGAGAGTGGATGCTGTGAGCATTGTATGAGCGCAGAATTAGGAGGAGAGAGAAGTCGCCACTTGCCGTGTGTAGATTCGAGACTTTCTTGTCTCCACAATGGAAAAAAGGGATTTGTTACTCGGGTGCTAAAATTGGCGCGATAGCTTGACAAAATAATACGCAGTTACTTTTGATTGAAAAAATAGACTTTTGTAGATTTTTGGCTCGTGGATAAGGAGATTTTGAGTCTGTGGCGATGAACAAGATCGGTAACTGTTGGAGAATAATAAATGCGAAAGGTATTCATGGTTGATCATTTAGAAAATCATTTACAGAAAACATGGCGACATGCATTTCAGTAACTTCGGTCACAAAAACTTCAAAATGAATGGTCGACATATCCGCAAGATTCTCATCAGAGCCACCTTTATTATTGATCAACAGTCAGCATTAAAAAACTAGAGAGTTATCTACAGTCTGGAGTTTCACATTCATGTTTGTTACATGTTGTCTCTAAACCATCGTTCTTTGCCGAACAACAAGCATAAACCAACTCCAGCAGATTGAAGTCATCAACCTAAAAAAAATTCATTTTTTGTCCAGGGCAAAATATTGTTGGATTCGCAGTCACATACATTGCTGATCATACTTGTTCATCATCATCATCATCAACATACAATTGAGAAATGGCAAACAGGAAACTTATGGCCGAGGTCGATAGGACCGTCAAAAAAGTAAACGAAGGAATAGAAAATTTTGATGAATTGGAAGAAAAAGTATACAGTGCCCAAAGCAGCTCGCAACGAGATAAATTCGAAGGCGAATTAAAAAAGGAAATTAAAAAACTACAACGATTGAGAGAGCAAATACGTACGTGGATATCTGGAAATGAAATTAAAGATAAAGAATTGTTGGTGGAGAAGAGACAACAAATCGAAAATCGTATGGAAAGGTTTAAGAAATGTGAGCAAAAGACGAAAATGAAGGCCTACTCAAAAGAAGCTTTGAGTAAAAGTCAAGTGGAGAAACGACATAGGAACAAGCAAAATATAATACCCGACTCCAAAGAGAAGAAACAAGCAAAGAAATGGTTAAAAGATGTGACGGAACAGCTTGGCAATTTAGTGTTATCGATAGATGAGAAAATTGAAGAAGAGGAAGAGAAGGAAAAGAAGAAAGATGATGGAATCATTGAAACCTACCGAGCACGACAACGAAAACATGAGGATTATATTGAGAAATTGAATCAAATTTATGAGTTTTTAGATAATGATGAAGGAATATTACCTCAAGATTTGGACGATTTGAAGGAATACGTGGAGTATTACATTGATGAAAACGAAGAGGCCGAGTTTGTGGAAGATGATGAAACCTTTGAAGCTATATTTAACAAACAGAAAGAATGGGAAGAAACGGCTCCGAAGGAAGAATTGGTCGATGTGGACGAAGTCAAGGACAGCATTAAAAACCTTGATGATGAAAGTGAAGAGGAGGATTATGATGAAAATGAAGAAGATCATGATGAGGATTTAACAGAAGATGAGGATGAAGAGTTGAGTTCTCCCGTCTCTACGTCCTCTTCACGAGAAGAGGAAAAGCCTTTGTCGAAATCTAGCACCACGACAACGACCACTGCTGCTGCTGCGACTAAATCCAAAACCACAACAGCAGTCCCAACCACTACAACAACACCCAAACAGCAACAACAACAACAAATCACACAAACACCTGCAGTCTCCCAAGCAACAGCAACTACAACAACTTCTACCTCCTCTGCTGCAAACAAGAAACCAATCAAGCCATCACCTCCTGCAATTAACACAACTTCCACTGTTACAACAACAACATCAGGAGGGCAAACAACCCCTGTCAGCGCCCCTCCAACTTCTGTTAAGCCATCCTATAGTGATTTGGTCAAGTCTCCTAAAACTCCTCTTCAACCACCTCAACAACCAACAACAGCAGCAACAAATGTGGCTACCTCAACAGCACAAAACAAGCAACCATCCAGTGTTGTTCTTCCGACAAGTACTTCAGCAACTGCTTCAGCAACAGTCAAAAAGCCAACAGTTTCATATATTGACATTGCACAACAAAACAAGAGTGTGCAACAAGGTCACAATCTGACAGTAGCTCTTAATGATAGTGTCACATCAGGCAGTAAGCCAACTCCCACAGTCTCAACTCCAACATCCACCACACCAACCACTATTACACCAACAACAACAACATCAACAACAACTGCAGTCAGTGGAGCAAGCAAGAATGCAAAACAAGCATCAACCAAACAAGCTACAAAATCCCAACAATCTAAGAAGGCTCAATCTACCACTCCTACTCTCACCAATACTTCAACCCCAGTTACCTCTAATACTTCCACAAGTGGTGATGCTCTCTCTCCCGTTCAACCTGTATCTTCCACACCTTCACCAACCACTATTGACAAAAATAATGATGAAACATTCAGTGTAGGATTGCCAACTCAATTTGGATTGGAAGATTTATCCAGTCAGACTCAACAAAATCTATTTGTTAATCAACTTAAGATGCAACAAGCTGGAGTGATGAACCCACTATTATTCTCTCAAAATAATGCTATTACTTCCTCATTCCCTCCTCAAATCCCACCAAACCAAATTCCGACATTCCCATCAACCACTTCTACCATTGCTACTTCTCCAATTAATACCTCATCAACTGTTCCTCCTTCCTCAATCTTTACAAGCACCTCTGCATATAATAGCGTTGTAAACAATCAGTTCATGAGTGACATGCTTCATTCAAGTATGCGACATCTTCCAGATGCTTATGATTGTAACTTTGTTTATCCTTACTTCCCAATGAATGAAAATCCTCCTCAATTCAGAGCTGAGACTGAAGGGTTTCCAATTGAGTGTCCATTACATAACCCATTGCATGCATTGGCCAATCCTGCAACGTACAGTCTTCTTTCCGTTGATACACTATTTTTCATCTTTTATTTCCAACCAGGAACTTATTATCAGTACTTGGCTGCCAAAGAGCTCAAGAAACAAGCTTGGAGATTCCATAAAAAGTACTTGACATGGTTCCAACGCCATGATAAACCTACTGTGACAACTAACGAGTACGAGCAAGGAACATATGTATACTTTGATGCTGATGCAGGTTGGTGTCAAAGAATTAAGGAAGGCTTTAGCTTTGAATATGCTTATCTTGAGGATGAGTTGTAACTGATTTAGATTCTTCCATTTAGATTCCTCCCACTCCTTTCATCTTAATAAATCTCTTATTGAATTAATCATCCTTGATGTAACAATTGTTGTCAGCATCAAAATAAATGACGAACAAAAAAATGCAGCAATCATCTGCCAAGTCTGTGGTGGATAGTTGGATATCTAGTTCCGATTCGGAGCAAGAACATAACAAAACGAGACACCAGGATGTGGTGAATAAAATTTTCACTTCACAACAACAAGTTCCAGGAAAACATCATCAAAATAGACGAATGGGTCTCCAAGCCGATAAACTTTCAACCGAAACCTTGAAACAGCAGCAGAAAAACAGGATTGATAAAATCAATAGCGATTTGAAATTTCAAATTTTAAAAAAACATGATGTGAGAAAACGAAAAAAGAGAAAAGGAGAAATTATTGATTATGGAGAAGAAGAGGAAGAAACACAACAAACAAATGCGTCTTCTTCTTCAACAAATAATGATATCACTAATCAACACAGTTCTTTGAAGCGTAAGAATGTAGATCAAAAAAACAGTGAAGACGATGAAGGAGAAACCAAACTAAAACATATTACGAAAAAGAAAAAACTTAAAAAGAAAAAAAAGTATGATTGAATTTTACTCTGCAACCTCGTTAATTATTCGTTCAATAGTTTGCTTGCCTGCTTCATCCACCTCCAATTGTTTTAAAAATTCAAAACCTTGATTTAGGCGGTCAACTCTCCTAAATAATGTTAAGCATAATTTAATGAATGAGTCAAAAGAAGGTAATCCAATTTCTTGTAAATATGATGGGTCTGTAAATCTGGCTCGTTTGTAAGCTAACCTTAATCTGTTCAATTCACTAAAAGCCTCATTGTAGTGTTTACCATTCATTAATGATATAATAAAAAAGTGTAGTTGAATCCAAAAAGACGGTTTGAGTTGAAAATTAGACTCTTTGTGCAGATTCTCAATTTGAGAAAAGGCATACATTGCCAGACGTAATAAATTGGAATCATCATCTTGAATTTGTGCAGAAGTATTTGCTAAATTAAACCAATCTTGAACAGAATTCGAGTTCAATGCTGCTTTTCTGAACCATGGTAGAGCTTCTTTTAATTCATTGTTGTTATAATAGCTCAGAGCAACGAGCCGATATGCTCTTCGTGATGCATCATTTTCTTCAGCTGATGAAGGAATAAATGCAAGAATATTAAATATAAATTGTCTTGCTTCCTCAAATTGAGAATTATCAATTAGTCGATGAGCAATATCTAAAGCTTGATCTGGCTTTAATATATCACTTTCCAAATCTTGAATTATTTGTTTGTGGTCAATTTTTAATTTCGATCCTTCTTCAGGTTTACTTTCCGATGAGTTTTTCTTATCCGAGTTATTATTGAAATTATTTTCATGAGTTTTTTCTTGGGTTGTAATAATGTGATCATTTGGTGGTGTCTTCACTCCTTCACCATGTTCCGATGTTGATGAAAATTGTTGAGGTTCTAAAATTGTGCTGTTGTTACTATTATTATTATTCACAGAAGACATCATTGTAATTGAATATTGCAAAGGTTTTGAAAGAAATAAATGTCTCATCAGCGAGTCTAGTCGTCTCTTTGTCGGGGGAAGAGTTGGTGGATTCATTTTTGTAAATAATGTTTAAAACAAAAGCCTTTACAACAATGCAACCATCTTCAAAAAGGGTTCTTCTGGAAGTTGAGAAGAGAAAACATTGCAAAAACCCATTTGATGATCGGTTTTTGCAATTAGCGTTGTCTTCTTTCCAACCTTCCCATAGCATGGAGAATACGGAGCGAGCCATGGAGGAGTCAATTTACAATGCTTCCGTTAATGTAAGCCTTCGTACGGAAATAATCAAAGAAATGTTGAAACAGACTGCAAATGAGGTGGAAAAGTTTGTGATTCAGACTCTTGATAATAGAACAGGTTCCTCGTCTGACGGATCTTGCACAATAACCACCTCTCCAGAAAGCTTACCAAAATATGATCGTTCAAGATTTCTAGCCTTTTCTTGCCAAAACCAAGAAAGCATTAAGGAATTCTCAGAAGTACAAGCAACGGACGAATTTACTTCAAAGAACACATGTCTGAAAGAGCTGCCATGCTTTATTCCATCATATTCGAACCAATATTATGTTTTAAACGATCAAGACTACTACAACAGAGAAGACACACCACCCCAACCTTACATCATGGACATGGAATGTCTGGATACAATTTTTGCTGGTTTTGAGAGTGTGCTTTCCATGAGTGAGGACAAAATCGAACATCTCTTTCGACAAGAAGGCATTGAAACAACGATTTATGAGGATGTTTCCTCACCAGAGGAGAGCGTTGCGAAACCTCTCGCTGGGGATGTTCAAGACAATGATGACTTGCTGTACAGTCATTCTTGGGACAATGATGCCGTGATGAATGAAGAAAATGTTCCTCTTGTTGTTGATGGTGTAGATAACAAACAACAAACAGATGCAATGGAGATTCAAAAAGAGTTTTCATACAAGAGGGTGTTGGATATGGACGCTTTATTTGAACTGCCTAGAGTTAAGGGAAAAGATACAAAATTGAGGTAGGTTCACCCATGCAATTATCATTGTTGAGTAGACAAATTGTTAAAGACTGAAGCACTTCTATGAAGACAACTTGATCAAACCAAGTTTTAACATTCAACAAACCTATTCTCAACCAGGTTCCTTTACAATGTGGCAGGAGATGTTGGAAAAAGAATTTACAGACCTTGATTTTGGAGCATCTCTTGTGACTCCTGAAATTGATATCGTCAAGGTTGCTGCATGCATGAGTAATGCTTTCAGCGATTTTTTGTTCAGCAACGACATTTGTTACGAGCATCCTGTTCACGACTCAGAAGGGCAAGACGATGAATATTTGTTTGGACAAAAGGGTGACCCACAAGATGACACAAAGACTATCATAGAAAAGATCCTTGAAACCTTCCAACAACACAAACCAAAATTGTCGATGGTTAAACTCTCGTCGTTGATACAGGAGCAGCTTCGCGATACCACAACTTCCACACTTTCAGAGTTAAGAAAGAAAAGTGGGGTTTTCCATTTAGTTTCTAAACCGCGGTTCTTCATGGCTCTTCTTCATTGTGTTCACCTCCTCAATCTCAAAGGAGAACACATTGCGTTATCGAATCTGTCAAATGAAAAGAGTGAAATCAGAATTGTGAAAACCTTTTGAATTTATTGGCGCCATCACTAGCGGTTAACATAAAAAAAATGTTGCAAACTCCCAAGCGTGTTGCTTTCAAAGAGACTCGTCATGAGGAAGAGGCTCCATCATTACTTTTCCGAACTCCAAAGGGCCAAACATCATGTAAGCTCATTCTGAAGAAGAAAGTTTCCACTCCGTTTAGATCAACCACATCGGACGACAAAGAAAACACACACCCTATTTCCGAGATATTCGCCTCTCCTGTCCAAGTCAAAAAGAGGGCAAGTAGAAGAAGGATCAAGAAATCAAATGACAGTAACCCTACTTGTGCCCAATCCGTCTCTTTGGATTCTTCATCATCTCAGTCATCGTCTGGGCATCATGAAATTATTACGATCGTCAGTGAGGAAGAGAAAGACCCATCTCCTCTGACACCAACACAACAAAAACAAACATTTCAATCTCCAAAACCACCAACTCGTTTGAATGACTCCATTTTTGATACAAAACCACCAACTAGCCATAGATATTCTCACATGAAAACACCTGTCACGAGTCGAAAGCAAACAATTTTTTCTCCTGCTCTCTTCTCCCCTTTCAATAGTGTAGCACCTTTGCTTAACTCTGTGTACAGTAAGAAAATTTCAAAATCAAATGTTAAGAAGTTGAAACCAAAAATTAGATACGGAATTACCGAAGAGGAACTTATTAAGCATTACACCGTTTCAGAATTAAGAGATTACTGTTTAACACATTCAGAAAAGAAGCATGTAGGCCTCTCAAAAAAAGAACTTGTGGAAAAGGTGATGAAAATTTTAGAACCAACCTCTCAAATGTTTATTTTAACAAGTCCACGTATTGCCGATATCAAACGAAAGCAGAGAGATTCTGAGCTATTGACAGAGAATGAACAAGTGATGGCGGATGCTATTGAACGGCTCGAAGATGATTCTTCTTCTGAGGATCATGAGATTGGAGATGACATGACTTGTAGAACGCTTGTCACTCCTTCATCAAGAGGATCCACTGTTAAAATGGAAAGTAATTTGTATTCTCAATTCTATAATCTTGGTCTGAGAAGTATCTCAAGTATGAGATCGTATTGTTTAGAAAACAATATTAATGCCACTGGAAACAGAGACACTTTGAAAAGAAGAATTATTTTACATCTATCCAAAACACAAGCTAAAGATTAGCTTGCTTTTTTAACATATCTAATTCTGCTTTCTTCTTTTCCAAGTCCATCTTTTTTTGTAACCGATCTGGTTGGAAGTAATATGCGGAAATATATCTGCCACCAACATTGAATCCTGATAATCCTTCACAAGCATCCCGTGCATCAAATATATCTTCATACACAACATAGGCAGTACCTCGCGTTTTTGTTGTATTTCCGAGACGAATTTGTCTGATTGCACCAAATTTTCCTAACAAATCATACAATTCTTCCGATGTAATTTTATGTGGTAAATTTTTCAAACAAAGAATTCTATTGACTTTTGGTGGTAGTCGTTTCAGTGCTTGTTGGCGGCTCGTAGCTGATGATGTTGAGCCTGTACTCGAGAGAGGAGTGGAAGACATTTTTTTCAAGGTTGAAGTCCCGTTGTTGAAACAAACATAAAAAAATGCAACAAGGTGTTCCAGATCTGACAAAAAAGAGACCCTTACAAGAGACAAACAAGAAACCCAATGCATCTTCCTCTTATTCAAAGAAAATCAAAAGAGAAAAGTTTGTAAGTGCTGATGTTGTTACATCTCATCAAATAGAGTTGATTTTCTCGAAATTTGGGTATGAACATATATATCCGATATGAATCATAGATTCCACCACTCTTGTCCAACAAGCCTTCTTCTCTTCAACCTAAATTTGATACATCCAAGTTTGCAAACGAGTTGGATTATTTAAGATTTAAGGCTCAACAACAGGCAAAGGAATTGGAATCGCTGAAAAGAAGTGTACAAGCTCTTAGTAATTCTTTATCCAACGCAGAAGAAGAGGAAGAAGAAATAGAAGCTGCCACCGAGAAATGGTTGGTTGCCGCCCAAGAAATACTTTATGCCCTTCAAAACAAAACTAATCCCAAGCTTGAGATGAAACAAATTCTTGATCATTTGAATATTGAGCATGAAGATGTTCGTTATGACAGCGAGAATGATTCCTTTTTCTAATCATACCTTGATGATAATCAATTAAAAAATGTCTGAGAAAGCACCACGACATTCGGTCTTGGAATCAACGGATTTGATTGGACACTCGAGTGTTGGTGATGATGAGAATAATACAGCTACTACCGACTCAACGAACCACAACAATTATGATAGTGAAGAACTATGCCAATCGAGTACTCCATCCTCATCACGTAATGTCACTTGTCATCAGCAGCCGGCATCATCATCACCACACACTCCACGTAATGATGAAGATATTTCGGAAGTGTCCCAACAAGTATCCTCTCTCCAAGTAAACTCACATTCTCAACAAGAAAGTATCTCGTCTTCGACTTTTCAACAACCAATGATGGATAAAAATCATAATTCTGTGAATGATCCTTCAAAAAATCTCACTCATGAAGCACCTGGACCAACCCACGACGACACAACTCACCAATTTACCAGTTCAATCAACTCAATCAATTCTTCTTCGACTAGTACCACCAATGTTAACACACCGCAACGTCACATCAAATCATCTTCATGGGTCGAAGAAGAAGAAGAAGAATTTACACAAGCAGATGAAGAAGCTTCTAAAATACCAAATGAAAAATGGGCCTTAATGGATAATATTGGATTTCCACCTCCCTATGACTCACGTGAAAAAGAATTGTATGAACAATATATGAATAGTTCACAACGAAAGAAGTTTTCATCGGAATGTAAAGAGTCTTGGCAAGAATATTTCATGACTTCAAATAATGGATGTATGTTGTTTTTATTTGTTAAAAAGTTGAATGTTCATGTCACTAATAATATACTTAAAGTTTACAACCGAGTCAGTTACAACAACAGTTTAAAGTCAATCATTAGAAAATATGGCATTCATCCAATGTATAGAAAGAAAATATGGTTAGAATTAAACAATGTCGATAAAAAGATGATTGAAAATCAAGGATATTATCAGAAAATGTTACAAGTCCATCAAAATATATATAATGAAGCTGAGCATCAAATTGATTTGGATTTATCAAGAACATTTCCTCATCATCCTTTTTTCAGACATGCAAATTCTAAAGGAAGAGAACAGTTGAAGAGGATTTTAATTGCTTTCTCATGGAGATCTCCATATATAAGTTATACTCAATCCATGTAGGTATAGTTGAATGTGTGTGAATGTGTGAACTAACCGATGTTTGTGCTTTCCTTGTATGAAAATATATGACACATTTAAAGGAACTATATTGTTGCCATGCTGTTGCTACATTGTGACGAAGAAACAGCATTTTGGTTATTTGTAGAGCTTGTGGAAGAAATTTTACCAAAAAATTACTACAATCCACAATTGACAGGAGTAAGGTAGGTTAAGAGTTTGGAAATATGGATTCTCCGTTTTTCACTTACGAATTACAGAATTGATTCACGAGCCCTTGATGAACTGATTAAAAATCGCCTCCCTAAAATTCATGCTCACTTTCAAAAGATCCACTTAGATTGTACAGCTTTCAGTAGTGGTTGGTTTATGCGTTTGTTTGTTGACATTTTCCCTATAGGTAGGTAAAAAGATTGATTCTTTCTGTTCTATGGAGTAATAATTGTTACAATAACTAATAAGAAACAACCTTGAGAATTCTCGATTTGGTCTTTTCAGAAGGCAACAAGATACTATTCCGAACAGTACTGAGTTATTTGAAAATTTATGAACCTCGAATATTAGAAATGGATAATATGGGAGATGTCTTGCATTTTGTCAACTCAGATCCATGTACCATGTATGATCACTTCAAGTTGACAAAGAATATGTTTTTATTTTACAGACTCACACGACAGGTTTGTCTTTCATTACGAACCAAGTACAAAGAAATTATTGAGAAGGAAGATGAAGAATTAGAGACTCGGCGAAGAATGCTCAAAAAATAATTCTAGATATGTCATGGACTTAGATTTATCGTTTCATTTCATTGATGATTGATTTAAGTTCTTGAGTAATCCTAGATTCAATAGTATACAAGTTTTTATCTTGCTGTTCCTTCAACCTTACTGCCTCTAATTGTAGTTGTCTGACCTCTTTTTCCAATTGAGTTACTTGAGTTTCCTTCGAGTCCAGCTTAAACTGATAATTATCCAGTTCCTTTTTGTGATTAAGAGATAATTGATTCAGCTTCTCAACACTCTTAGCAGCATTTTCATCAGCATCTTTCAGCTTTAGTTGTAATTGATTGATCAAAAGAGATTTTTGTTCTGACTCATTGGTGACATCTGTTAGTTGACGGTATATGAGCTGAATTTTCTCATTGGCTTTTGTGAGGTTTGATTCTAGTTGTTTGCATTTGTTCTTCAGCCTTTCGTGCTCTTCTCCCAATTGGTTAAACTTCTCCTTTTCATATTGCAGTTTTTCATTAAAAAGCTTCTCTGCGTGAATTTTGTCCTCATCACACTTGCTCTTGAGATCAATGAGAGCTCTCTCCTTTTCAACTTCCATTTCTGAAATCTTTTGTCGTATTTTGCTGTATTCTTGTTCAATGAGTGTCAGAGATCTCAGACTGCTTTGTAAAATCTCAATTTGGCGGTGAGCATCAATGAGTTGAGCATTTAACTCACTTTTGTCATTTTGTGCACTGTACAGTTTTTGATTGGTTCCAACCAACATCTCTTCCTTTACAGTTAATTGCTCGTTGAGCTTCTTAATGGTTGTTTCGTTTCTAGCTTTCTCTTTTTGCAAATCCTCCACCAGCTCTTTACACTTTTGCAATTCGTCTGAAGTTTCCCTTAGATTCTTTTTGGTTTCAATATGGTTCTTTGTTTCCTGCGCCAGACTTTGCTCCAAAGCAAGAATCTTTCCTTCAAATTCCTTCATTTTGCTGAAATATCGTTGCTCATTTTCCTTTGTTTCTTTTAAATCAGAGATTAATCGAACATTTTGTTTTTCTAACTCTGATATCTGTTCGTGAGCTCCTCGTAATTGACTTGAGTAAGTATTTTGTTGTGTGATCACTTGGGTTTGTAGAGTTTCAATTCGTCTCTATTCAATTCAGTCAGACTTTACGATTGCAATAACAAGAAAACTTACATTTTGAACGTTATTCAGCTCCGAAATTTCTGACTTTAACCTGCTGGACATTTCTGTTTCCTTTTGTTTGGTTATTTGCATATCATAATTTCTTCTTGTGATTTTGTCGATTTCTTGCAGAGTTTTAAAGTCGACTTCATTGCCAGTGAGCTGAAGAACGTTTTGTAAACTGCATGTTCAAAGTCAAAACTCACCTTCAAATCAGTGATCATATAATTGTCATGAAGGGCTTCAAGGATATATTTTCCACCTCTCACACCAATGTAATTCCATCTCAGGTCAACTGTTTGCAATGTATTGTTCACTCTAAATGCATTTGCTAGCGAATTGGCACCTTCGGGAGTAATCTTATTATTTCGTAGATCCAATGTTTGAATGGACTTGTTGGATTTTAATGCCTCAGCAATTTCTGATACACCCGTTTCGTAAACACCCAAACTATTCCACTCACATTTTAATTCTCTAAGACTGAATGTTTTGCTTATTAGTTGTGCCAATCCACTTGACCTATACAGGTTAGAACCTCTTAGATCAATGGACTCAATCACCCGTGATTGTAATAATCCTTGACAGACTGCATCAACTCCAGAGTCTCCCATATAGCTTTCAGCAAGATTGATATAAGTAAAAGTTTGATTGCCGTGCAACGCTTGTCCGATAGCAATACCATTCTTGGTTCCGAGAGTGAGTTCTCCCAAGTTTAAAGTCTGGGTACAATCATCATCATCCGGAAGATTAACAATCGTAGGATGAGGTTCAATTCCTTGTTCTCGACATCCAACAATGTACTGCTTTTTGAATTGCTTCATTTTTTTAATTCAAAAAACGTAAATTTTTGGCGCCACCACCCAACACAGGAATTTGACTGATGTTGACGTCAGAGAGAATCAACATTGTTGATATGCTAGTGAGAAAGAAAGCAGAGGAATGAACATTTTGTAATAATTACCATTGTTATTGCAAATTCATCACAACTTTTGTGTAAAAGTAATGAATCATGATCGGTATGCTCATAGTCTTGTTGAGTATGTTCGTGAGTGCATCATGTTGCTCCTCATTCCAATAGCAAGTAATCACACGCTCCTGCTCCTCACCTGATGCTGTGACATTGACCTCAATTTTGAAAACAATAAAATCCAAATCATTGGTAGTTCTTAAATAAATGGCCATGTCGGAGGTGGTTGAAAATTCTACTTCTACCTTTTTGATCTGTTCATTGTCGTCATGAGAGTGATGGTGATGGTGATGCTGCATTTGTTGTTGTAATGAATTTGTGAGCAAGCTCTTTTGCTGCTGCTCCATGGTGGATTCTGAGTTAAAGCATGACAACATTAAATCTCTCAGTATCATTTGCTTCTTGACTTGTGCAATGGTTTGTCTCATTTGAGGGAATGTTAAAAAAGGAACTCTCTTAATCGTTACTCCTGCAGAACTGATTAGACGCTTTTCAGAATAAACTTCTTGAGCGGCTACAAAATGATAAGTACTGTCTTGAACCTTTTTAAAAGAATTAGTTTTAAATCCTCGAAGTAAATAATTTTGGAAAGGTTCCAATTCTCTAGCCACGGGAGGAGCAAAGGGATCACTGCTGCAAGCAATCATTTCTCTGGACCACTCAGCAGCAATACCAGTCTGTGTGTTGAGTGTCTCAACATTTTCACTTTGAAGAGCATTTGTAGTCTTGTGTAATGTATTGGATATTGGTTTTAAGAAATTAAATTGACGTGCCACAGGGAGTGGAACTAGCACAGGAGGATTAAATATCATAACAGGGCAAGTTTGCTTCAAAGCATTTCCACCACATGCCTCAAGTGTTACAATTACATTCTTATCACCGTAGTAATTAATCCAAATACCTTCACATTTCATTGCCACTTTGTTTGATGGAAAATTATTTTCACGAATAATGTAATGTTCGAATTCTCTCATCACTGTTGTGCTTTTTTAAGAAAGTTTCAGAGGAGGATGTTAAATTAGAATCTGGTCTTAAAGAACTCTTGTCTGTCACAATACAATTAGTGCGAGTTGTAACTAAATGATATAACTTGCAAACAGCAAGCAATTTGCTTTCAAAAGCTTCAAATAGATTATCTCTCACAAGAGTATTCATTAAATCTTCAGAAATTGCCTTGATTTCCTTTGAACTGCTTGAATCTTTTTTAGTCTTTTGAAAGCTAATGCTAGTCAATGTTTTCTTATCTGGAGAAAAGAGAATATCCAAGTTTAACAGATTAGAACCTAAAGAGAAAATATGAGTATTACTCGATGGATCGAGCATATCTTGATACGCATACTCTTCATGACCCAATAGCTCGTTCATTTGTTTGGCAACATTGTTGAGAATTCTTTCTACAACTTCAAATAGTTGCAAATGAGAAACAGCTTTTTCACTACATTTTTTAATCACATCCAATAACTCTTTTTCCTGTAATTGAATCTTTTTAAACTCTCTTATAGACTTGGATTGTTGTGTTATTTTTTCAATTTGCGTCTTGTCCGAACCCTCTTTACTCATGATGGCACTTTGTTCTTGTATTTTTGACTTTAATGATGACATGGCATGTTTCAAGATTTCTCTTCTTTCAATGATATTATCGCTCATTTGAAGAGCATGAACCACACCATGATCTTGCACATCTTTAAGTTCCCTATCCAATTTTACAATAACTTCTTTAATCTTATCCCAATCATTTGTTGTAGGATTTGATTGAGCCGAAGAAGGAGGCTGTGATGATGATCCCGAAGTTGTTGGTGTCAAACTTGCAGTCAAGAAGGGTGAAGTGCCTGAAGAAGGAATCATTTTTTTTGCAAATTTTAGAAAAAAAAATTGGGAAAGGCTTCTCTTCTGACGATCATTCGAAAAATTTTTCACCCAAAAATTCAGAGCAACATTTAAAAACATCTGAAACACTATAATAGCAACATTGAAAATGATTCCCTCACATTCCTCCTCGTCGAATTACTTTTCATCCTCTTCTCCAAAAATTCTTCAGTCTCATCAATCTCTCTCCAATCCACAACAACAACAATCCATCACCATGATGGACCACTATCATCTGGCTATGCAACATTTCAATCGGAAAGAGTATGAGCCTTGTATTGAAAATTTAAACAAATTATTGAAAAATACAACCAATACCACAGAAATTTTCAAAATTAAACACAATATGGCCATTGCCAAATATTTATGCGAAATTAATAGTAGTGATTCATACAATGAATGTTCCGAAGAAAGATTGTTGTTAGAATTGGAAGAAATCAAACAATCTACCAAAAAACATTCTAATCATCAATTTCCTATTTTAATTTATAATCAGGCTGTTTTATACTACAAAAAAGAAAAGTACAAAAAAGTACTAGAATTATTGGAACCATTGTTTGAAAGTTTAGATTTGAATGATCAACATACCACTCAGTTATTGAAATATGATGAATTTTTAGTTTTAAAAATTTGCTTTTTATTATTGGATATCTATATCGATGTCATGAAATGTGTCGACAAGTCACTCCTTGTGATCAAATATATCGACAACAACTTTCAATCCATTATTCAAAGTTCTATTCCATCTCTTCCTCAATTGAATATTACAGAGCTTTCAATAACAGAATCTAAATTCAACATTTTCTACTACAAGTCTAAAATATCTATTCTAAGAAAGGAGAGTTTGAGCACAACACTAGAATATATTAATTCTGCCAATCAGATCATTAAAAATGCTATTGCAAAGGATAATGAAAACAAATATATTAATGATTTGATGGCAACTAAATTATGCTTATTGGATTGTTTTTTAAAAATTAACAAGAAATCAAATAATAACGATGAATCGTATTCTCAAATCATGAAAGAATGTGTTGAAATTTTGGGACAACACAGAGGAAGACTTTCACCAGTGGTTTATTTCAACAATCTTGGTTGTTTATTTCTACACATGGATAATAAGGAACCATCGATCATGTCTCAATTTTATTTTTCAAAAGCCTCCCAGAGTGGAAATGCTCAATCTCAATATAATCTTGCTTTCCAATTGCTTTTGAGAGAATCTAAAAATATTGAAGAAGTTGCACGATGTCTCTCTCAAAATAGTCCATTCCTTGCACCCTATGAGCTGTTTCACAAAGCATCTCTAACAATGTATGACAATCCATATCTTTGGATTCGAATGGGAGAATGTATATTATGTGAAAATCAGAGACTTCTCAAGAAAGATATTCATGAGGCGTTTCAGCAAATGACAAATAGTCTTGTTAATAGCCCTACTGTTTCATTACCTGTTCTGGGAAATCAATTAGGAGTGAAGAAGTTTTCAACTCACAAGGAATTTTTACAAGTGTAAGTATGGATCCATATGCACATTCAAACTCTTTGGTTCACCTACATCACCATGTGGGTACACAAACTCACGTTCTCTCTTTGTAAAATTTTTTTACTCCCATCCACACATTCACAGTCACGAAGATTCAATCATGAAGCAAAACAAATATCATTTGGAATTATTGAACGACAGATTCACACCAAATTCCCTAGAGGAAATGTCATTAGAAATGGCTGAAAAATGTTTTCACAATGCGCTCACTATTTTACAAGCTATGATTCATGAATTCAAAAAAAGACATGGAGAGAATATCACTGAGGACCATAATCACAATACTGAAGTGTCAATGTTCTATCTTCGATTACAACGAGCTCTCATGAATGTTACTCTGAAATTGGCCTATGTATCACTTGCATTAGATAATCCATTGTTATCTCTCTCGCATTGCAAAACCATCTTATCCCTTTCCTTGTCTTATTCTAATATTGTTGCCATTCCATCCATTGGAATATGTCCTATTCAATATACAATTATTGCTTTGTGTTATGCCTTTGAAGCATTAACGATCACAGATCAATCGGAAAAGATTTTTCAATTGATATCACCTCAACAATTGCAAACACTTTTATCCTATTTGCAACAACAACAAGACCATTCCATTGTACAATTTGGTCTCTTATTGAATTTAGCAATCATTCATGTCATTCAAGGAAATTATGAAAAATCTCAGCAAACACTGAATCACATAACAAGTGATCCTCAAACATTACCCTCTGAGGTGAAACCTTACTATTATTTGATACAGCTCTACTTATTGATTGTGGAGGGTAAAACGAAACAAGCTTTAGAATTGATTTCAACCATACGAGGAGTTTAATATAATTCCTCAGTGTGTACTTCCTTTGAGAACTTTTCAAAGACAGACCTTGCACAAACCAACACTCCGCACCACTACTACTACTACACAGGACTGTACTCACCTTAAAAACGTCAAACCAAAATAAATCCAGATTCCATTTGTGTTGTCCGCGTTCACTCTTTCACGTACGCGATGAATTTTTAAATTTAAAAAAAAATTGAAGGTGGCTGTGTTTCATCGCCTCGATTTCTCTCTCTCAAACAATAAACATCACACAACGAAGGCTCTTTCAGAGAGTTGATTGACCATCCTCATCATCACCATCAGATCATCATCTCTAACTCCGAAGTATCATCATGTTCTCAAGCAATCAACAACCAATTGCTGGGCGATATTACGATAAATCCATTCTCTCTCCAAAATCACAATTCAGTTACAAGGGTGGAGAGGCATCATGTACCTATATTTGTCTTGCAGCAGTTGAATATTTCCTAAGAAATTACAAGAGAATGAGACACTATTGTTGTGTTATTGATGAACAATTCATGACCAAGAGTGGTCTACATCTCGACAATAGCTTGGATGCTTATGTGGATGATCTTAAAAAGCAAATAATATCCGATATCGAACATATCATGACTGTTGGTGTTTGCAATGACAGACGAGTGGGATACACCTCTTGTGACGAAGTATACAATAGCGTTGATCATTACAAGAAGAACCTTGAACTCAAATCCATGTTCATTGGTAAATTAAGAGACAGCAATATTTTCATGCAATTGCTGAAGGAAATTGAAGTTCACTCATTGCAAAGTGAGAAACACATTACAGCTGTTGTATTGACAAAACCTCCTGAAACCATTGCCATCCTACACGATGGTCAGCACAGTAATGAAAAATTCTATTCTTGGTATATATTTGATTCTCATCCTCGAAGATTTGAAAAAGGAGGTGGAGGTTTCTATTTGTTTAGAGACATTCATGATGTTGATAGTCATTTGAAAGAATTATTTTCAACTAGTTCAGTGGAGGTGTACAACAATGTTTTTAATGGAGATTCCTACAAGATGGCATCGTATGCCATGTACGAAGCTACCATTGTACAATTGAAACGAAAAAGTGAAACACAAACTCCTTTACAACAAAAAGAGACTGTCACAACAGCCACTGATCACAAGGTTCAAACAACAACAACATGTTCACTACCTCCAAACAAGGACATGAACCAAACAACACCAAATCAGTTATCAACAAACCAAACACCATCAACACCATCCATGAAAAGTGAACACTTTGAAAAGAGGTTGGAAGAATTGGAAAATCTCACAAGAAGACAATCTGAAGAAATTCAAACATTAACCATGTTGTTGGATGAAGAACGAAATCATTCACAACAATTTCAAAATGAGAATATAATGCTCAGAAATAAGATTCTTATTCTCAAGCAGCAAATTGCAAACAAAGGAAACAACCAACCAGTGTTTGATTTGTTTGACACTTTTTTGAACTAGCATTTACTACCCACAATGACAAATTCTCTGTAAATAAATACAACAAAACTTGAGTTCTCCTTCCTTCAATCCATTCATTCCAAAAGGAATTTGATGGTACGTTCCTTTTCAAGTCCACTTTTGTCAAGATGGTTAAAAGAAATGGAAGAGGTCCAACAATTCTCAATTCTCATCAACAACAATACACAGGATTCAAAAAGAATCGCGCACCGATCGGTCATAATTCAAGAAGAGCCTTTTCAAAAAGGCCTTAAAAAAAATGCCACCACACCTTCAACGCTCCTTCTCACCTTTCCATCGGCACTCCTCCACGTCGTCAACTCCGATGACCATCTTTTTTTTAATTTATTCTCTCATAGCGATCGTAGTGTCCATAATCATGATGATGGCACAATTTACTCTCGGAGGGTGTGTCATGACTTCTAATGGATTCCAAAATGGAACAGACTATCCCACTGTTCCTTGGAAAACACCTTTTCATTTACCGAGCAATTATGAAAATATTTTGTCAGCCATGTGTCCTCATTTAGCTTCTCAAACAGTATGCTGTAATACTACACAAGTAGACAAAATGAAGGACAACTTTGTGTTGCTTGATATGGTGTAGGTTGATTATTTTTTCGTCCATAATGATCGTTTTGAATGTCAACGCCCATAATAATTATTTTAAATGCCAATGACAATAATTATTTTAAACGCCAATGAAATGACATTCTCCTTTCAAAATCATTCTGAAAGCTTTTGGAGATGTCCAGCATGTGTCTTGAACATGAAGAAAATGTGGTGTGACTTTACCTGTAATAATCAACAAGATACATTTGTTTCTATTGCTGCTATGAATCCAATTCCTAAATATAAGGACTACATTGCACAAGTAGATTTTTATCTATCCTCAGATTTCCAAAATGATTTATGGGCAAATTGTAAAGATGACAAAATGGCAGCACAACCTGTGAAAGAGCAATATCCTAATGTTCAAGCATTTCTTCAAGGTCTCATTCAGAAATCAACACCCAATCCAAATATTACTTATGTGTTTCAAAAATTAGATGATTTCAGTGGTACCATGATGCATGAAAGAATTACAATTACTAAAAAATTAAAACCACTTCGAGTACCAAAGGATTTAGACCATGAAGATATTTATGATGATTTAACAGAAAATGATTATAAGAAGGAAATTAGATCAGTCCATGAAGATAGAAAGAAAGTGAACAACATGTTACAAAGAAGATTGAATCTCTTATCAGAGGAGCAAAAACCAGTGAGTGATCAATTGTCCTACTACAATGCCACTCTCTTTAAATGCTCTTTAATTTGTCCTTGTGCTTATTGTGAACAATCATGTGGAAAAATTACTCCTGACTATACGTGTTCCATGTTTGGATTGCAATGTTATATTGTTGTCACTATTGGAGGAAGTATTTTAATTGGTCTTTTTGTGATTGCAGTGATTGGATCTTTATTTGATCGAGGATGTGAATGGATCCGAAGAAGAAAATCTAGAATTATTGTTGAAGACGAACATAATTACAACTCTGTGAATGCTTCCATTCCACCAGCAACATCAGCAACCCACAGATATAGTACTTTTAATTGATTATTATTAATAATACCTTTAAAGTATTTCGAACTATTTATAAAAATATAATACCATTTTCATCATCACTACCATTTTACCTCTTAGGATGCTGAACCTTCTTCATCACCACACACGATAATCATTGGTGTGCATCTGTATCGCTCTCCTTCTCGACCTCTCTCTCCCAAACTCTCTCCACCAACCAACAATTCTCACAAACTCTTCAACACTGAGAAGGCAGGAAAGGCAATCGGACCCGGGTTCGAGCATCCTCTCGAATTCCTCACCACCAATGATGCCGCTTCATGCGCTCTTCCATTCATGAACCCGCCAAAAAAAAATGACTTGCTTTCAGAAACGACTCTCTCCCAAATCATCAAATCATGGCCGTGATGATCATCAACAACAGAATCTGGCATCCAAAAGAGTGAAATCCGATGAAGAAGAAACCATTGACACCTCCGATGAAGAAAATGATGATGAAATGGAATCCGATGATGAGACTCAAATCAACTCAAAGGCTCATCAAGTCGATGTCATTCTCAAAGTAACTTCTAGAACTATCACATTATTCAACAAGGCAAACAAAGTCATTTCCATTCCTAACGATGATGAAAACAAATTGCAGTATGGAATTACTGATAAATTAATTGAAGAATACAATCATAGAATTGAAAACAAATATTTAATGATGACAAGTGATGAATCATCTCCGGAGAAGACTTTTGATGAAACAGACATGTCTATTTTCCTCTCTACCATGTATAGTGATCATAGTGGTCTTTCTCTTCATAAATATCAAAAAGAAGGAGTCATGTGGTTATTGAAAAATTATTTGGAAAAGAAGAATGTCATACTTGCAGATGATATGGTAGGTTGAATCTCATACTTGAAATTGTCTATATACATGTGCATCTCTCTGAAACCATCCTACTACAATGCTACTACTACTACTACTACTACTTTGAAACAACGTAAATCTCTGAAAACCCATCCTACTACTTTCCAAAAAAGGGTATTGGCAAAACCGTTCAAGTCATTTCAACTATTAATTATTTAATGAATTTTGAAAATATCAAAGGACCTTTTCTCATTGTAGTACCCAAATCTATTCTAGGAAATTGGGTCAATGAATTTAAAAAATGGCAACTTGAAACAATCAATGTTCTTGCATATTATGGAACTATTGAAAAGAAGAGAGCTCTACAAAAATATGCTATATTTTTAGATGAATCGATTCAAAATAGATATCTATTACCTAATGTTGTAATTACAACAAAAGAATCAATTACTCGACAACATTTATTTGACACAATCCATTGGAAATATGTAGTGATTGATGAAGCTCATTTCCTATCGAATCAAAATAGTAAGGTTTACAAAAAGATGAAACTACTCAAAGCTGAAGCCATGCTTTTACTCACTGGAACTCCACTTCAAAATAATTTAACACAATTTTTTTCTCTATTGAAATTTTTAAATCAAACAAAACCTTTCAACGACTCTCTCAAAGAATTCAAAAAATTATATGAATCGAATATCAAGGAATTTGGGTCAAGAATCAAAGAAATAATGCTTAGAAGAAGCAAAGAAGAAGTATTAAATAATGTCATCAAACCCAAAGAAGAATATATTCTATTATTAGAACCCACTCCTCTTCAAGAAGATTGTTTTCGAGTGGTAAGAGAAGAAATGGAAGAAGAAGAAAATTCAGAGAATACTCTTCAACATGTGATTGATTGTATGAAAATTGCAAATCATCCTTTTATTTATTTGTTAGATAAGAGTGAGAATCGAGTTTTCAATCATTCTCATCGTCATTCCTATCATCATTCATCGATGGATCCAATCTTTAACTCTCACTACTATTCTAAATTTCTCTCTACTCTCACTCGTGAATTCATGTTAAAGAAAGTGATTCAAACGAGTAGCAAATTTATTGTATTAGATTATTTACTTGAAAAACATTTCATTGAACAAAATAAGGTGGTTATATTTAGTCAATATACTACCACACTTGACATGATTGAATATTATCTCATTTGTAAGAATTATCGATATCAGAGATTAGATGGAAGCAAATCCATGGAAGAACGTGAAATTTCTATTGAAAGCTTTCAACATGAAAATTCTCAAGATTTTGTATTTCTCTTAAGCACAAAAGCAGGTGGTTTGGGATTGAATTTAGTCTCTGCCAATGTTGTCATTGAATTTGACATGATGTGGAATCCACACAATGATGATCAAGCGACGAATCGATGTCACCGAATTGGTCAAACAAAAACAGTTTATGTTTACAAATTTTTGATAAGAAATTCTATTGAAGAAAAAGTATTAGAATTTGCTCATGAAAAGCTCACAATGGCCACTAAAGTATCTTCTCATATGAAAAGAAATTCATCCATTGATGTTGATTATTATAATAGCAATATCCTAAGTAGAATGAAAAATAAGGAATTGAAAGCAATTTTACAACAAAAGAAGAAACACAAAGATTATTATTCCATCTCAACCATGTATACTCAATGGAATGAATATGATTATCAAAGTCAATTTCTGAATTTAACTTTGGATCATGTATTTACATGGTACAGCAAGGATGATATTCAATCTCTCATTTCCATCTATCAAAAGTATCCCAATATTGAATACTTGTTGAATAACAACAATGTGAAGAATACAAACAATGAGAAACGCAATCGTCCACACCATCATTCTCAATCTCGTTCACATCATCAATCTCATCGATGGAATCACTGGAGTGGAGATTTAATTCACATTTATCATTCAAAATTTTTAGAAGAAATGTTAATAGAATTGAATGATAAGATTGTGTCCATGACATTAAATCATCATGGGAAATCTCTACAAGGTAAAATGATGGCACAACAACACTCATCATTCAGCACCTCATTTTGCAACATTGAGAATGTCAATGATTTTCTCGTTACTCCATTTCGTACATTCCTTCAAATACATGAATATTATACAGATGAAGATTTTGAACAAGTTTTAAAGAGTGGATGTAAATCAACAAGGAATAGACAATTTCTAGAAACTCTAACACCACTCTTGTCTCAAGAAGAATTAGAAATACTCTTTGACAAGTATTTGGATTTGAAACACATGGTTGAGAAAATTCAAGAATTAACTCTTTGTCATGAAATTTCTGATCGTGACTATCTGAAACAAATGGTTCAATTATTATTAGAATTAGGTGAATGTGTGTCCAAACATTTCCACAAACCTTATCATGTCAAACAAGTGTGGGAATTTATTCAAAAACATTTGAACATTACGGATGACATGTATCAAGTGTATTTGTCAGTCATGGAACAAAGAAAAGAAGGACATCCAAATTACTCAAACAAGACCTCCAATCATTCAAGGAAGAAGAAATTGTCGAAGAGATGATTAACTGTATTCCATGTGATCCAGAATTGAATAATAATTATTATATAATATATTATCTAATAATATAACAATATTTTAATAATTAGGTGAATTCATGTTTTGAATTGTTTTTTTAAAAAAAATTAAAAAAAAATGCATCCACAAAATCCTCACAATGAAAAAGTCTCTTCGCCATCTTCATCAACCACTCCGATTTTAAAATCCAACCCAAGTAATTACCAGAAGAGACCAACAACTGATTCATGGTTCTCTCCTCTCTTTAAATTATCCACTTTCAATTCTTACTATTCCTTTTTTTCAAGCCTAACTGCTAGCACCTTTTCTTCTTCCATTCCAAAAGGGGCTCTTCTCACCACGATGGCATCAGGCTCTTCATCACGAGTGAATATGGTAACAAGATTCATTCATAAAATTCCTGAACCATTCCGTACTGTTGCTCTGGCTGGAATTGCTTCCATTGTTTTCATAGCCTATCATGATCTTCCACATTCATCAGCAGATGACACCATCGGTTATTGGACAGGATTTCATGGAGTAAATCTAACAAATGTATTTAAAAGTAGATTGTATCATAAAAAAGAAACTGCGTTTTTAACGAAAATAGATTCTCCCTATCCTTTTGAATCTGAATTTGATTTGTTAAATGAGAACGCTTTTAATTTTTCAAAAGAATGGCATGATTATTGGAGAGAAATGAAATTAGATGCAAATCCACCTAATACTCAAGAAGAAGATTTAATACATCCATTAGATTCACATATTTTCACGCTTCGAAAAGGAAAACAAATAGATTTGGAACACTTATGGTTCTTGTATTTGCAATTACATTCAATCAAGTATGATACCATCTCAGAGTTAATTAGAAATAATAAGGTTTCCAATGATTTATTGTATGATTTGAAAATAGCAAGTACACGAGATGATGAATTTCGACATTTTACACAAAATTATGTTGTAAATAAGGATGATCTCAACAACAAGGATAGCACTAAATCACTTGATGAACTCATTCAACAGAACATTTCTCATCAAAATTTATGCTCGATTTTTCAAAAAAGAAAACTCAATGAAGAATATCAACGTCGATTAATCACAAAGAAAGATCTTCTCACTCCACAAGACTATTTGAGAATTTTTTATACAGAAAATAGAACCTATAGGTTTAGTGCAATGTATGATCGAAATTTTGTCAAGTAGTACTTCTCAAGATCATAACGGTGTTTACGATGTACTTTACATTCTCGAACTAAATCACTTTCCATTGCTGAGTTGCCTAATTTTCAAAAATGTCAGTTGCCAAAAGAATTCTCGCACATAAAAAAAATGCAAGTCAACAACAACCCTCCAATCACAACACCACCACCACAACAACAACAAAACAACAATACTTGTCCACCCATCAGTATGAACACTCCTTCCTCAAACCCTCCATCTTCTTCTCTATCCTCATTCAACAACAACAAGTATTCAAATTTACCTCCGGATCACATTCTCAACAAACAACATTCAAAAATTAGTATTAAACAAGTGCAGAAACCAACTCAACCTTGTTCCATCAATAATAACAACAACATTCCTTCCTCTTCTCCAATGAATGTGAATATTGCTCCTCAAGTAAACTCTTTTATGAAGGATTCATCAGAAACTCCTTATCACCAACCACCACCACTACCACAACAACAACAACCATTATCGATGAGTACAACTTCCACAAGTCCAACGACTCTAATCTTGCCAACTTTGAACAACAATAATTCTATTACTTTGACTACTACTAATACCAATACTACTACTAACAGTATGGTCGGAGTAACATCATCAAAGACAACCACTCCACATCATCATCATCAAGTGGACATCCACGACGAGTCTCACTCAACAACAAATTATACTACTACAAATCACAACAATAACCATCCTCCTCCTTCTATGAATACTAGTCTCACTTCCAACCTCACAAATCAAGTACCAACAACACCTTCAATAACGAATCATACGACGACTTCCAATAATAATAGTCAACAATGCATTTCTCAAATTCCATCTTCTGCCTCAACCAACATTCCAAAGAATACGATGAAATTTCTTGTGGATACTCATTCCATGAAATTATTATCGGAATGTAATAACACAACAACAAGCAATTCCTATTTTCACATTCGAATTGGTAATTCCAAACAATTAGAAATGGAAATTACAAGACATGCCAATCGAATCAAATATTTTTCAAATTCATGTGTTTATGACATTGAGTCACAAACAAAGAATTGGAGTCATTGTTTTAGAATTGAAAGTGAATATATTGATGATAAGCCATTACTCTACATTCCTATTACTGGTTCTATTCAATTAAATATTGAAATACCAAATATGGATATTCATTTGCATGACGATCATTCAGTGAAATATGATTTGAGATGGTGCATTGATTGTGCAAGTCATAGTGCTGGATGTATTTTGCTACCCATCAGATATGGATATAATTGTGTGTTGTTATTGAAAATGATGAGATTGGAATATGTTGAATTTATTGCTGTGAAATCGGTGGATTTGTATTATTACAAGAGCTTGGTTGGAACGAATCATTCGAATACTATCAACACTATCAACAATACTACAATGAATCAAGTCATGAGCAGTGCGAATACTGTCATGAACAGTGTCATGCATAGTCTTGTGAATTTACATCAAATGCAATCCTCTGCCAACAAACAACAAAATTCCATCATGCAACCACCACCAACAACAACAACAAGTCTGCAGACTGTCGAAGAGCAGCACACTTCAGACAAGATGGATACTTCCAATGACTTGGATTGTTCAAAATTGCAAAGTGATGAATCTCTAAGCCAGTAGAGTAGTGTCTAAGAAAGAATAAACACTTCACTTTGACTCTTTACTACTTAGTCCAATGAATGTGAGACCATTGTTGAATATGAGAGAGATTGAATGTCTTTACTACTTAGTCCATTGAGTTGAATGTTAAAATACTTCGCCATGTGAGAGTGGATTGATGATTTTATAAAATCCTTTCTATTGTCTGATTTCTAAATTGAATTTTCATCTCCAATTTCACTTACTGCATTCTCTTCTTCACTCAACTTTCTGCAACGATCAGCAACCACAATTCCAACATCACTCAATGGAAAATCTTCTCTCCACAAAATTTCAAATAACTTTTTGTGCATTCGTGTGAACATGGTGTTCACATCAGGATAGGTTGCATAGAGTACAAAACATGAGGTATTGCAAGCACCTCTCACTTGATGGTTCATTATTGTTGAATAATCAAAATAATCTTCCAATTTCACAAAACCATTCACACCTCCTTCAGAATATAAAAAATATAAATCTGGTTTCTCATAGGATAATGCAATCATTGAACCTTTCAAATAAATTTCATCTAATACATAATGAGATTTAAATTGTTTCAAATAACTTGGTGCAACTGTGGAATCAATAACAAATGGTCCTCCAGTAGGTGGTAATTGTGTACCTCTATTCGCAAATCCTCTTCCATATTCAATAAATTTATCTTCAGTGGTTCTAATAATAGTTGTGTAACTGGTACAATATATTTCTTTTGGAACATAATTTAAATTATTAATGTACTGAATATCAATATAACTTCCTGAGGTTGCATGCATATTTTCATAGTGATTGTTACTACCACCCACACAAATAGTTGAATCATCAAGAAGAGCAACAAAACCAAAACTATGAGTTTGTAAATTAATAATTGGTCTTTTTGTTGTGAATACAATTTCTCTCCAAGTGGTGGAAGTGTTTCCAGGTCTGTCAATGATGTGAAATATGTTTCAATTATGAACATGTGTTTGTGAAATATGTTTCAAATATATTTGAACATTCACATTCCAAATTCACAAAATATGTTTCAAATATATTATTCACATACATTCACAAATTCCAAATTCAAACATTCACACTTACCTACACCAAATCACTTGACCACTAATTCGAATCTCACAATGATTAGTCACACAAAAACTCAATGAATAGGCACATTCCACATGAGTAATTTCTCGATTGGTAATACCTCCACTCTGATCCCAATAAGGATCAAAAGCCAATGCAGAATCTAAATTTAGAGCATGTTTTGGAATATCCACTCCAACATTGTCATAATGATTTTGATCTCCACCATAGAGTACACATCGATTCAATGTTGAATCAAATACCCAATAGAGCATTCCATAAGAATCTCCACGAATAGCAAGTACTTTTAATTTCACTCCATCAAATTTGATCATGTATCCAACAGGAGTGGCAGAATGTTCCACGTCATAGACATAGACTCTTCCACTACCTGCTTCAAGAAGATAGATTCGATTCGAAACACACAACACTTGTGCGATAGTTCCAAAATCTTCTGGAAGATTCACAGATGCAAAACATGTTCGTTTGATAAATCCTTCAGAATCGACCTGATGTTGTGAAGAGGGATGAGATGCATAAAAAGTATTTGTTTTCATGACATGGAACTTTCGACAAGAACCACTTGTGGCAATGACAGATTCTGGTAAATAAATGTGATGATGACTTTGTTTGGTAGAGTTCAACAAGTAAGAAGAGTGAGGAGAAGGAGGAGGATTGAGATATCGTCGTATATAAGAGGAGTTGTTGTTGTTGTTGTCATTGTTGGAATTCTTTCTTCTCTTGTCTTGACTGTTATTGCGGTTACTACTTGTACTATGATCGATAGGATCCATGTCCGATTGTTGATCAGATTCGTTACTCGGAGAAGAAAAGAAGTTTCTAATTTTGTTGATCATGATGATGATGAGAGTACAGATGCGATAAATTGATCTTTATCAAATAAATTCGGAGAGAATGAATTTTCAGAGAGTACTTCTAACGGCAGTGTTCTTCAGGTTGTTTTGGCTCTTATTTTTTTCAATGAGCCAAAACTTGAACTGTATCAGTGTGATCTTATCACCTCACAAAATGGTACCAATCATGAGGTTCATTCATCCTTGTTCGGCTGTTCCTTTGATGGTGTGGGTACTGCTTGGGGAGGAACTTCATGGTTGTGTTGGTGAATTGAAGTGGAGTATGTTGGATCTGTGTGAGTTGTAATCGTAATATATTAGAGCGGGGTCAAACGATCCAGTGATGAGATTCTGGTCTCTATTAAGTATTGACAGATTCATAATCGCGAGAGGGTTTTGTTCCAGACCCGCAGTATCGTCGTCTCCAGAGCTGAGAGACTGCTCTTGAAAAAAAATGTCTTCCAACCAACAAGAACAACAATTAGAAATTGAGGCTCTTCAATCCATCTATCCGACCGAACTTTCACTCCTTTCCGATACCCATTATAAAATTGAAATATTTCCATATACTGTTGAGTCGGAAACTGAAGTCAATAATGTAGGAATTACTTTGGAGGTTACTTATCATGATGATTACCCAAGCTCATCGATTCCTCATTTTGAAATTTATAATACGAGAGGAAATATTACGAATCGTACAATGAATGAATTGAAAGAATTACTCACAGAAACTGCGAATCAATTTATTGGTACATCTTGTGTTTTTACTCTTGCTAGTACTATTCAAGAATTTCTCGCAAAATATCAACAAGAACAACAATCAGCATCGTCATCCACGACAGCACCACCATCAGCCTCCTCATCAACAACCAATGATTCGTCTTTGGATAGGTTTACAATGGATTCCGAAGTTTTAGTTTCAAATATTGGACGAGGCACACCAGTCACTCCTGAAAACTTTAAAGAATGGCGTGATAAGTTTGTTCAAGAACAACAAAAAGTAATGGAAAAAGAAAGAGCAGAAAAAGCAAAACGATTTCCTGGAAGCAAGACTGGAAGACAAATATTTGAAGAGCGTCAACAATTATTGATTAGCAAGATCGGTGAAGAAGCTGCACAGCAATATGTGGATGAAGATGAAATTGATGAAGATTTATTCTTGAATGAAGAAGAAGAAGAAGAGAATATTGAACATGACGAAGATGATGAACAAGCATAAAGAATGGTTTTTTCATTGTAAACATGGGCTCAGAGACTTCGATGTGTTTGATTTGAAAAAAAAATGTTGAAACAACAATCAACTCTCTTCAACCTTGCACGAGGAAATTTGAAATGCCTCAAACAATCCTCCTCCTCCTCATCATCAACATCACTCCAATTTTTGAAATCAGCCAATCTTCCATCAGGTCAACAACGCTTTCTCTCCACTTCCAATCAAGAACTCATCACTCATTCTGAACAATTCAATCTCACTCCCGAACAATTGGAATTCCAACAACTCGCCAAAGAATTTACCAACAAACATTTTCAAGCTCATATCGTTTCGGAATGGGATCGTAATAAAACATTTCCAGTGGAGACTTTGAGAGAAGCAGCACAATTAGGCTTTGGTGGTATTTATGTCTCAACCGATTATGGTGGTACTGGTCTTTCTCGATTGGATGCATCAATTATTTTCGAACAATTAGCCAAGGGTGATGTCTCTACGACCGCCTATCTCACCATTCATAACATGTGTTGTTGGATGATTGATCAATATGGTACTCCACAACAAAAAGAGCGTTATTTACCTGCTTTGTGTAGTATGGAACAGTTTGCATCGTATTGCTTGACTGAGCCTAATAGTGGAAGTGATGCTGCATCATTGAGAACAAGAGCAGTGCAAAGTGAGGATGGAGAGAGTTTTGTGTTGAATGGAGAGAAGGCTTTTATTAGTGGTGGTGGAAGTAGTGATGTCTATTTGGTGATGGCGCGAGTAGTTTCTTCGGAGAATCAACAATCATCATCCTCCGATGCAAGCAACATTACCTGTTTCATTATTGAAAAGAATACACCTGGATTATCATTTGGTAAGAATGAAGTGAAATTGGGATGGTAAGTGTTGTTGTTGTTGTTGGTATACGAGTAGTACATGAATCATTTACCATCATTGTCATGATTTTTAATTGGTCATGATTACTCTCAATATTTTAATGTCAACAGGAACACACAACCCACTCGTGCTGTCATTATGGACAATGTCCGATTGAAAAAAGAAAACATTTTAGGTGAAATTGGACAAGGTTTCAAAATTGCCATGCAAGGTCTCGATGGAGGTCGAATTAATATTGCAACCTGTAGTGTGGGTGGTGCTCAACAATGTATGAACATGGCAGGTGAATATTTACACACTAGAAAACAATTTGGAAAGACTCTCTCTCAATTCCAACATTTACAATTTAAATTAGCAGATATGGCTACTCGAGTTCATGCTTCTCGATTAATGGTGAGAGCAGCAGCTGCTCAATTAGATATGGAGAAATCATCACATTCCACTACTTTTTGTGCAATGGCTAAAAGATTTGCAACAGATGAATGTTTTGATGTGGTCAATGATGCTCTTCAAATGTTTGGAGGATATGGATATTTAAATGAATATGGTATTGAGAGATATTTGAGAGATTTACGTGTGCATTGCATTTTGGAAGGAACTAATGAAGTGATGAGATTAATTACCTCACGTTATTATTTGAGTTTATATAAGGATGGTTCACAACAATGAACAATATTCTTTGAGATTATTTGAATTTATATAATGATGGTTCACACAGCAATAGACCAATTGTTTAAGAGATTCTAGTTCAGTGATTTATTCAGATCATTTTGTTATTATTGTTTCATATCAAAGTAATATTATTAGTAATATTATTAAATATGCATTCAGGACCTTCTTTTGGCTTCCATCAATTTCAAGAATTGAAAAAAATTGAAACCAACTTTTTTGAAAGGCTTTTCATGTCGTCGGAAAAAAGGTCTCCCAGTAGTCCCGAATTGAGACTCGGACGATTGAATGGTGATGGTCATCATCCACCAAGCCCTCCAATTTTAATTCAAAGTGATGACAATCAATCAAGTACGAGTGGTAGGAGTTGTAGTAGTACTAGTGATGATGATGATGAACAATTCATATCATCCATTCATCATGATGATACAACACGTGAGGATCCACCTTCTCCGATTTTAGGAATTTCCAACAGAAATTATACAATTCGCAATTCAAACCATCATCACAAATTGAAAACATCAACTCCATCGGAAGTAACAAATCATTTACATGACTCTTCACAGCAACTGACATTAACCAATCACATCATTTACAATACCAATCTCATTCAAAACAAATGGAGTAAATTAATGACTCCCTTCGATATTCAACTCACTCAACATTTTGATATGAAACGATCATTCATATCCAATGCAAACAAATTGCATGACCATCAAAAGAATTTTAAAATTGATCATGGATCAAAGAGGAATGAAAGTGAAGATGATGAATCATCATCATTGGCAGATAGTCCCTCTAAATATCTTGAACAAATTCAATTCTCACAAATACCAGCTTCATTAATGATACCATCGAATAGAAGTGATAAAAATAGTAGTCATAGTAATAGTAGTTCTGGAACTAGTCATGGTAATAGTAGTATTCACAAAGTCATCTCTAAGAAACCTAATTCATCATCATCATCACTACTACCTTATGAAAAGAACAAGTCACACAATCTTGACCTAATGTCAAATTCTAAAAAGAATTCCTCCACTCTCATTTCAAAAGATTTCTCATTTCAAACACCACCACCATCTCTATCACAATATCATGCATCATCTTCTCCACCTTGCTCTCTTTCTACTAATCATTCCACTCCAAGTAATAGCAGTACTTGTTCTCACAATGAAATGTTAAACACTTCTTTATTAGGAGATGATTTATTATTAGATGATATTAAAATCTATGAAGAATCATCCAAACTTGAACAATATTCTCCAAGTAATAATAGTAGCAATAACAGTAGTGCCATGACATCATCATCCCATCCCTTCAATAGTAGTAGTAGTACTAATACAACAACTACTACTATTACCACCAATAGTCATAATAATACATCCACCACCACTGGTGTTGTTGTTCTCAAACCACCACCACCACCACCACCACCACCACCACACTCTGACAGTGCTAGCAAAAAGAAGAAGAAGAAGAAATCATCACCCAATACAACCAATGCAACCACTGCAACCACTGCAACATTGGCACCCAAACAAGTGGTGAAAATACGAAATAATGCCGAACGAAAAGAATTTGAACGATCAAAAAACAAATTTGAAAATTGGTTAAAATTTTCATCACCTGATAAGATAAATGTTGTTAATTATGAGAAGAGAACAACACTTCGAGAAGGGCATTCCAGTGATATCAAAAATGAAACAACTACTACTCACTCTTCATCATCACAAGAATCACCCAATGATAAAAAGAGAAAAAAGACAACAACAACAACTTTGATTCTTAAAAGAAAGAAACCCAATAGTATCAAGACAGATTTAGAGAAAACATTGGACCATTCCACAACATCATCCAATAATAATGATACAAATAATAATAATAATAACAATGATAATAATCAAAATAGTGATCCTACTAATAACAATGATACTCATAATAGTGATCCTAACAATGCTACTAATTATGGTGATCCTAACAATAATAGATCATCATTCTATGAATTGTACTTTTCATCAGCTGCTGATGGTCTATGTTTCACATTGGGTGAAGAATGTAAAAGTTGTCATGAATGGTTAGAAAAACATCATATTGAATCAAATACGAACGAATATTCTGGTTACATGACATGCATTCATTGTCAATCCAACAAATTTAAACCATCTTTAACGATACAAGATGATTCTACTAATACAATCATTCGAATTGTTTCCTTTGTACCAAAAAACAAATTATTGGAATTGTTAAACAAGATTCAACATGTGAATTCACAAATACTCTATGAAAATCATGAAGAATTATTTTGGAATGTACTTTATCATTATGGAAGTATTAAGGAATGTTTGGATGAATTGCAAAATTCTCAATTCAAAACTAACCTTGTTGGTCACAATAACAACAACACTCTTATGATGATGAACAATATTGGTCCTAATGAAAATATGAATCATTTGAATCATCATCATACGATTACTACATCAAAAGCCAATAATGAAAATACTTTCACTCGTAACAAGACTGATCACACTACCACCACCACCACCACTACTAATACCACCACTATTGTCTCTACTACTACCACAAAAAGTATAAAAAAAGAAAAATCCAAGAAAAAAGAAACGACACAAACCAAGAAAAATACCAAAAAACAACTTTCACAAAAAAGTCTATTTGATTTTATGAAATAATGGATGCGATGGGATGCGAGATGATGTTTCTTTTTGAACGGCACTGCTCCTCGAGGAGTATGCATACACAAAGAGATCCTTCGTGTGCCTTGGTGTTGTTGGTGTTGTTGGTCAACAACAAACAAACAAACCACTACTACTAAACCACTACTACTAAACCACTACTACTAAACCACTACTACTAAACCACTACGACTAACCGCCACTTTCATCCTTTTTGTTTTCATTCACACTCTCACACATCTCGGGTAGGTTATCTTTTGCGATATTCCCTTAAAAAATGGACATTCGAACCACAGCCACCACTCTCCATCCAGCCGATGAAGATCAAATCCTCATTGGTAGTAGTAGTACTAGTATTGGTGCTGCCGTTGAAGGTATTCAAAAGACAATTGAATCAACAGCAAGTGTGATTGGAGAAGAAATTAGTGGTAGTGAATTTGAAACGAGTCATGCTCAGCAAGAGTACTACCTCATGAGTGAAGATCTTCAAGAGGAAATAACAACAACACCTAAAAGTACTAGTAGTAGCAGTACTATTGTTGGAGGTGCTGGTGCTGATAAGAAGAAGAAGGAATTTGATTCTGACTTTACCCCATTCAAACCCATTCATTCGTTGAGATTCTTTGGTACCATTCTTCTCACTTACTATCTTTGGATTGTCACCATTTTTCATCATGGTCAATTCATTTATCCTCATTCACTCTCAACCATCTATCCATTTGTAAAGGACCAATTGTTAAAACCCATTCTCATGTATGCTCTTCCTAGTGATTACACTTGTATATGGATGTATTCATTAATGATGTTATGGTGTGGATTGCAGACCATTCTTGCCACCACTTGTTCACCTTCCTATCACATGTATCATTCCTTTGTGATGAATATATTTATGGTTTTCATGTTGAGTGTGACTCATCTATTACCATTAGTGGAATGGTATGAACATTTCATTGCATTGTTTACTTGTTCATTGGTAGGAGGATGGATCCTTACACTTTTATCAAAGACGAGTGGTACAATGACTACCACCATGATGACCAATTCGAACACTACTCTTCCCACAAGCACTACTACTACTACTACTACTAGTATTACCTCTCGAATTTCACTTCCATCCATTGATATGGGTTACAATTTATGGTTCATTCTCTCATTGAGTGTGTTGGCTAAACAATTTGAATTGTATGAATATATCTCCTATACTGTAGCATGTCAATGGATTGCCACATTCCTTATTTGTAATTACATGATTCAACTCTATATGAATAGTAGTGTCATGGGTGCCTATGATGGTGAAAATGATTGGATGGATGTCTTGGATAAGAGTGTGGTATTACCATTCTTTAATACGATACCATTGATTTATCAAATGCATCAAGGAGGAGGAGGACAGGACTTGTCAACTCATTCTACTACTACTACTATTCCAACAACAACTACTACTTTTGGTATTCTTGGAGGTAGTAGTGATGGTGGTCAAGTATTCCCTCTTCTACCCATTACTCTCTTCTTGTTAGGTTACTATATTTGGAGTATTTCCAATACTCAATACATGTATTTCAAACAAGAGTATTACTTTCATGGAACAGAACAGAATCGTCCCATTTCATCCTTCCCATACTTTTTATTGAGCAAGACTCTCACTCCTCGTGTAGTGAGTTCTCGAGATGGTTCTTATATTTTAGCAGATAGTGGATGGTTATTGTGTCGAAATATTGATTTGAGTGGTGAATTGTTGATGGTATGGTCACTCTTTTTATTGAATGTGTGGTATGGAGGAAGTGGAACTTGTTTATTCATTCCACTCTTGTATGCCATGATGAATACATTGGATATTATTACGACAGAGAGAAATAGACATTTGTACTATTCGAGACAATATGCACAAGATTGGACACGATATTGTATTATGGTTCCCTACAGTTTGGTACCCTTTGTGTATTGAAGAGTTGAGTGAGTGATCATGATGATTGGATTCAATCATGTCGTTATAATTTCTGAAGATCAATTATTATTCATGGACACTCATTCAAGAATATTTTCTTCAGAATATTATAAGATCATGGATTGAAATGTGAAGACCAAGTTGTGTTTATTTGTGTTAAATGGTCATCTTTCACAATAAATGGAGCACCAAACTGCACGAAAGCATGAATGGATTTGCTTGGTTTTATTTTCATCAATTGATTCACCTTTTCCTTCAATTTTTTTGTTGCATTTTCTAGAACATCACTGCTGCATCTTCTTTCACAATCTTTTATTCACCCTCTTTAAATGGTAGTTCAAGTCATACATTCATGGACATATGCAAGAAAGACTTTAGTTAACTCTTTCAACAGTTTTTTTATTCTCCCAACGTTGCATTGAATGAACTACTTTTAGAAACCATTTTAAAAAGAAGAATCAGAATTTTCTTTAATAGGACCATCCTTAATAACTTTAAAACATTCATGTTTAAAATACACTTCTAAAACATTGCAAATAGAGTGTTGAAGTGATTCTTTAGAAAAAAGGTTATCATTTTAAATAAATCTTTTGTCAATAATATTTCTTAATACATGTTCCAAAGTTTTTTAAGATGGATGATTGAAAAGCATTGTAATGTCAAATTGATCAAGGTTTGAAGTTTTTTCAAGTTCAAAAAAATACTCTTTTTGTATGACTTCATTTGGGATGGTTAGAGTATTAGAAACATCTTCTCTCAACAAAGTAAGCATACCATGATAATACAAAAAGGACACAATATTAATATCCCATACTTGTCTTTGATGATTGTTAATGGGTTCATAATACCAGAACAATATAATTATTCAATTGTACAACATTCGTGGCTGTTAGTTGTTGAAGGATAGGAATGGAAAGTGTACTCGAGTTCTTGATCGTTACAAAAACTTTTTCACAAATTTTTCTACTCATGTCATCGGTCATAGAATCGTGAGGTATATCTTTGCCTTCAATGACATTTGAAAGACATGATCTTGCATCATCTTTTTTAGAAAATACATTGAAAGAGTAGGATTGAAAAGAGGTTGATCAGCAAGAGAAATTGGAATGACACCAACAATCAAAATTGGAAAGGATTCAAGTACTGCACCAGAAGATTTTTTTGAGATGTTCAAGGAATGAGAGAATGGGTGAAGAGATTGAATCTCCACGACTTCTTCCTTTCACAATGGTTTTGTACTTTTCAGGATTTTCAAATGCTATTTTTGCATAATGATCATAGTCATCAACAAGTACCATAAGCTTCTTCTTTTTTTCTTTCAAGACTATAAACATCAAATTGTCGAATGAGAGAGAAGCACAAGTTGGGTGACACTTGTCCTCCCAGATGGAATAATTGTGAACCTCTTCTTTCCAACAAAGGTATGAAATGAGATTTATCGACATAGAATTGTTTGTTTCTTCGAATCGCGATGCAAAATCTGTCTCTCCATATGGAAAATAAGGAATTACCTCCTCTGTTTGGTTTAAAAAGGTGGTTGAAAAATTTCTAACCGACGATGTGTTCATGTTGAGTGGAATCCCACAAGAATAAGAAGGACAGGGGTCATCATCAATTGAATGAAGAGTAGAGAAAATGTTTGAATTCATACCATGATGATGATAATGTAAATACCAAAGAGCTCTTAGAGAATCGACCACCACCACCACCACCACCACCACCCTTAAAAACTTGATAACCCCTTCCGTCATTAGGTTCCGAAATGTGTGGTTGAGAGCGAAGAAGCTTCTTCCTCCGAAATGACGGACTACCAAATCATTGGATTGGCGCTCGATTTTTTTTGAACCTTGTCCTCGAAAAAATAATGTTTCATTCCTCCAAGAATGATGAAGGAAGAAGAGGCAGTTTGAACAACAAGAACAACATCACACTTGAACCACCACCACCACCACCACCACCACCACCACTCGAATCATCGGAACACTCTCCATTATTATTGTCCATGAAGAATGATCACAATAATGAACAACACGGTCAACAACAACCTAAACAACAACAATTTGAACAACAACCTTCCAACACGACACAAAAATTCCTCTTTTATTTCACATCCCTCTTGCTGTTGACCTGTTTCATTATCTTTGATGTTCTCTCAACTTTATATTTTAAAAAATCATTGAATGTATTGTATCAATATCCTTTCCTTGCCTCTGAATTGAATTATGTCTTGACTTGCGGATTGTTTTTTATTGGACATTTGATCTATTCTGAAATTTATTATCCCTTCAAAGTTCAATTGAATTCAAGAGAGAATTCTCATCATCACTCTGATCACTTCATTTCTATGATTGTCAATGATAGTAGCAATTCCATCCATCCAATGAAGAATACTATTACTACTAATACTACTCCAACTACTAATACTACTATTATTGAAACGACAACAACAACAACTCTTAATACCACCATGATCACCACCACTCCTATGAATACAACTCCTTCTCCTCCTTCTCCTCCGATGAATCACAACACTCGTCATCACAGCACTCTCTATTCCATTCATTACTTGAACATTTCAATTTGTAATATTTTTGAAACTTTATTTCAAATTATTGGTTCAAATGGAATGGGAAAGAATAGTGGAACATTAATGGTATTATTAGCACAAATGAATATACCATTATCAGTACTATGTACATTGTTTATATTTAAAGTGAAATACAATGCATTACAATGGTGTGGAGTTGTATGTATTTTATTAGGAATATTTATTGTAGTAATATTACCTTATTTAGTAGTATTGGCGAGAGATGAAGTACAACAAGAACAACAACAACACTCATCCACACGACCCTCTCTCATCTATGCTGGTATTTTTGTATTGAGTTGTTTCTTTACTGTTGGACAGAGAATGTATGAAATGTATCTTTTAAAAAGGACCAACAAACGAAATAATTATTTCATGAATAATACTCATGAACAAAACAAAAGAAATACTATTTCACAAAATGTGAATGATACTCATGAAAAAAGAAAAAGAAATACTATTTCACGAAATACATGCAAGGATCCTTCCATAAATGTTCCACTCAATGTCTATACACTTGGATTCTATGAAAGAATTTATGAATTAATTTTAAATACCATTCTCATGTTTCCTCTCTATTATTTCTTTATTAATCAATACGATTCATTTAATTCATTTATTCATGATATGAATATAGCGTTTAATAATGTTTTATTTGGAGAAAGACAAGGTTGGATTACCATTGTTATTTTCAATATTAATAGTTATATTTGGTTGCAATTGAGATTATTGTGTGTGAAATATATCAATGCTGATATTACTTTCTTTGCCAATGCATTTGCATTTCCATTTTGTACACTGGTGTTTGCATTACCATTTATGAAATTTATCATTCCTGAACAATCACCAATAACACCCTATCATATAGTGAGTATTGTTGTTTTATTTATTGGATTGGTATTATATGGAATTGGAGAACGAAGATCAAATAAAGATGGTCTTCGAGGGAAGACTTCATTGTGATATATATTCTTTTAAAAATATCATCCATATGGATGAGGTTATGAGAATGTATTATTACTGTTTCATTTTGATGCTTGAAATTTGTTTCTGTAATTCCGACTTGCGTTGTTCGAGTTCTCTCAGCTTCATTTGAAGCATATTGATTTCTTGCTCACATCGACAACACTCCTCTTGCAGTTCCATATTTTCAAATCTCAAGCGATGTTGCTGAGAATCTAATGTTTGAATTTCAAAGCGTAATTGCTCGAGTTGATGTTGTTGTTCCATGACGACGACGATGATGATGATGTGTGAGAGGATGAGAGGATCAATGTTGATTTTTTTTTGATGGTCGTCAATGTTTGTGGTTTGACATTTTTAAAAATGGGAAGAAGGAACTTTATTCACAACAACAACACTTTGATCTAACAAAAACACTCTTGTCAACATGTGATTGAACAAATAAATTCACCAACAAACACATTCATTTCAAATGCTTCTTTTCATTACTTTTCAAATATTTAAACAATGCTGTATGGATCCAATCACTTGGTTTGTAAAATGATGATTTTCTTGCCTCCTCAACACTTTGTTTCTTGTGTAAAACAAGTAAATCCCTAGTTTGTGAATCAATCAATGCATGAAGAGTATTCACTGGATCTTCAGCAAATTTCTTCATAAATTTCATCTTTTCAGATCTTTGTTTAATGTCTTGAATGACATTTTGAATATTCTTATTAATATTTTCAATTTCTTCATTGGGTTCATCATTCAAAATCTTTTCAATAGATGAATTAGTTTTAGCTTGATGTGGAGTATTCACTTGAACAGGAACATCTTTTTTAGAATTACCTTGAAAGACTTGTTGTTGTTGTTGAGGTGTCATTAATTCTGAATCACTAGTAGGTGAACATGAAATTGGATGAATAATTTCAGTTACTGTAGAGTTAATAGGAATAGTGAGAAGAGATTTCACTTTTTTGAGAATTTCTGTATAGGAGATGATGTGTGGTGTGGTATTCATGGTATTGTTGGTATTCATGGTATTCATGGTATTCATGTTGGTGGTATTCATGGTATTGATGGTGGTGGTATTCATGTTGGTACTATTATTATTATTCATGGTGGTAGTTTCATGTAATGTCATCATGTGACTCAATAATTCATCACATCGAATCAATGACTTGTCTTCACTATCATACAAACGATTCTTTGTAATATATTCCCAAATCATGGATAGAATTTGATTCAATGTAAAAGTTTCTTCTTGTAATGAATTATTAGAACCACCACTCTGACTCTCCAATTTCAAACTTCGACTATATTCTTCCGTTGTTCGAATCAATCTCTTCAAATAGACATTATTAATCTCATAGAGAGGTGGATCTTGTTTGAAATGAAATAATAATTTCAATGGATAGACATGTTGAGGATATAATTCATATAATTTAGAGAGATTCACTCTTCGACTAAATGTAAATCCATCCTTCAATGGTTGTGAAGGTAATGAATTCCATTCAATAAAATCTTCACCACCTGAAAATACATTTCTATCTAATTCAATAATCATTGATTTCAAGAAGTGAGTAAATTTGTATTGTTCAATGGTTGCTGAATTAGAAAGTGTTCTGACAATACCACCTTGAATTCCAAATCTCCATTCTTCTTCTGTTTTTGAGATTGGTTTTCTTTGATGTGTGACATAGATTCTCAATGTTTCACTTGATGTTTCATTGTTTAATAATAATTGACGCATATGTTGTTTCTTTTCAGAGAGTAATACATCCAATCGATGTTCATAATTTAAAAGAATGGAATAAATTTCACTCTCAGAGATGGTATCTTTGACTTTTTCAGGTAATTGAATGTAATCAATTTTTGATTTTCTGTGTTGTCATGTTGGTGGTATTAATAGTATTCATGTGGTTGTTGTCAAGGTTGGTGGTGGTGATGATGTTGGTATTAATAGTATTCGTGTGGTTGTTGGTATTAAATGGTATTCATGTTGTTGTTATTGTGGTTGTATTCGTGATTAGTGGTTATTGTTGTAATGTTTGATAGTGTTGTTTGAAGACAATGTTGTTAGAATGACAAAGTCATGGATGGTGATCGTATTGTTTGCAGGAGACAACACATGTGGTCGTGTCGTTGGTTGCAAGAGAAGATATTCATGATGAAAAAAGGAATAAATCAACAACAACAACAATATAACGATTGTCCCATTCATGGTTATTAGTTGATGAAATGTAAATCACAAAATAATTACTTGAGAAACATACTTTTGTTGTTGGAGGTAAGGATTGTTAGCTGCCATCATCATTGATTGCTGTTGTGTGGATGATAATAATGGGTTGGTGGTGTAGGATGATGATGGTTGTTGTTGTTGTTGGGAAAGGAATGTACCCAAGGTTCGTTTGTTACTATTTTGAGCATCGTTCACTGTAAAGTCGATTCGGAAATCATCGTGTTGTTGTTGGCGATGAGGGTTTGGTCAAAATAGATTCAAGAATTGTCATGTTGCTCGCTAGTGATACCTACCTGCACCGGCAGCAGCAGCAGAGGGATTAAAGAAGGGTTGCTGCATTTTTTTCTCTCGAGACGAGCGCAAAAAAATGACTCAACACCCTCCAGACAGCAAGGAGCACCTCCTTGAAAGAGTGAAAGAGCTGGAATTAGCTTTACAAAAGGTTATGACATTTATCAATGACCTCCAATCTCTTTCACCTACAAATTGTTCCGTTCTGGGACAAATTTGTAGCACTTCATCTTA